TTTTTGGGGGGGGGGGGGGGGGGGGGAGAATAATTTCGGAGGGTCGCTGGGGAACAACAGCCTGGTGCTACTGGCGAGAGGGAAAGCTCTGGCGATGACCACAGCCGTGTTGTTGCGGTTCGGAGAAACAATGCAGCGCAAGACACAGGCTATATAGCAGAGGGAAAGAAATAAATCAAAGACACCGCCAGCTGCTGTAAAATATTTCACCAGCTACATCATCAGCCCATCCAAACTCACGACACCAAAACCAAACAACGCCGAAATGCAAGCGAGGACGATGCAACAAAAAGCACCAGTGTGAATAAAAGGCCCGAACGCCAGCAGCAATCTCCGCACGCCACAAGATGCGGGGGTTTAGCGTTGTCGAGATTCGCGCAGCCACCGCTACAGCAAGCACCGAGAGTGGGCCAGCGCCGACAAACAGTGGGCTGGCCACCGGGCTACAGCGCTTTAGGCTTGGTTTGCAAAGTGGCTTACAGGGGGCATGCTGATGCGGGCTGGCTTTAGCGTTGGCGGTGGTGACCACTGGAGAAAACAGGCGGGGGACTCGGCTCCGTGGGCTCGGTTTGGTTACAGCGCCAGGATGGGCCACGGGGGACGGGGAGCTCACCAGAGTGAATTGGCAAACAATCTATTTACATGACTAACGACAATTACAAACAAGGCTGAGTAGTTTGCGAAAAAGATCGACACACTCGTCCCACCACAGCTACCACAACATCTCGCTACATAAGCTTGCGGTCCTCAATCAAGTGAACAGGTCCAACATAACGCTTGCGTCCCCAATAGTAGTACGATACTATCGAGCATATGGCCGTCAGAGCAAAGATTGGCGATGCCCAGTTAAATGTAGCTGCCGTCACTGGATACTCTGTCGGCCAGGCTGACCAGAAAAGAGCCCATCCACAGAGCAACACGGCAGTGGCGTTGGTAAAGACGCCCCATCGTCCCAGTGCAAAGGAACGCTCAGGGATAGTTTCTGGGAAATAGATTCGTCTCCAGAGGATACAGCCGATGCTTATCATGTAGCATTGCAGGGTTGCGATAACGCCCAACGAAATAATGGCGTAAAATGCGGTCGAGCTACCGATGTAGATGAGACTGAGAAGCGTGCAAAGGATGCCCGACAAAATATACGAATTGACGGGAATCTTGCGGTCCTTGTCGACTTTGCTGATCCAGACGGAAAATGGCAATCCTTGGTCTCTTGCAAAGGCAAACATGTCTCTAGTCGTGGCAGCAAGAAACGAGACATTGCCGAGCATAAGGAAGAAGCAAATCAATGTCAGCATGGTGGTGACCCAAGGAAGAGGCATCGCCGCCTTCATGATGTAGATGGCAGGGTATGTTGTGCTGTCTTGCAGGGATGCGTCCACATCTGGCAAATGGTACGACATGGTAATCGTGGTGAAGAGGATTTGAAGACTATTGGCTCCAAAAACAGCAAGCATGATTCTTGGGACCTTGCGTGGAGAATCTTTGACTTCTTCTGACATGTGTGCCACAGTGTCTACGCCAGTGTAGTTGCCCATGGATGACAGTTGACCAATCATGACAGCCAACGGCACTGGGGACCAGCCAGCAAGACTCTTCCACTCGGTCCAGACTTGTGTAGATGTCGCCGCAGGTGCCCTAACCCAAATCACTACCATCAGCGCAATGTAAGTAACCACAGAAAGAGCAAAGAATGGAGTCTGGAGTCGAGGGATGATGGAAGACCCGTAGATGTTGACGAGCGTGGCCATAACGATGACGGCCATGACAAACAGCGTTCCTTGCCAGTTTGGGGACGGGTAGTCTTCGTTGTTGATAAGGACAATGGACTGAATGAGAGTGCCTGCGAGGAACATGCCACTGGCGTTACCAGCCTGCCATGCAAGAGTTGACAACCAGCTAGAACAACATATGCGTTAGCCACCACTTGTTATGAAACAATAGTAATATTATTGATTTCATGCCACTTACCCTTCCACGTAGCTCAAGAGTCTCTGCCAGCTATCTGGGGCAAACTCGCTGACCCAGTGATACTGCGCTCCTGCAATCGGGGCAATACTAGCCATCTCTGCCATGCTCAAGTAAATAGGGATGAAGAGGAAGAATGCCCAAATAGTAGACCAAGTCGATCCGGCCAAGCCGCCATTTTCGAGAGCCGGAGTGGCTTGGAAGAGAGTAAGCTGCCATGCGCTAGTGGCAATGGCCGCAAACGAAAGCATGCTCAAGAAATCGTAGTACCGAACAAGCTCTTGGCTTCTTCCCATTCTATTCATGGCGCTATGATCTGCGCGTGTAGACTTGTACAAATCCTGGGCGTTGGACAAGGCTTGCACCGTCATGTGTGGCACTTCTTTGGCGGTCATCATGTGCGATAGAGAAATTCCACCTTTGAATACATCTACTGGCACAAATTGGACCCTTAGGGGGCGCAAACGGGGGAATAAAGCTTATATAAAGGCCCTGCTGAGATTAACGTTGCAATAAGGTTGGGGTGCGCATTCGCTGCCCTCAGTAATGCCCCAAGCTCACCAATCGCCCGGGCTTGTCAGCCCAATCCCCAGTTTAAAATATGCATTTCACTGTGCAACGTGTATAGGATCGACGGCAAATACGGATTTTTGTGTGTTTCACGAGGGGGATTTAATAGGCAGGTGGTGGTTGGAACCGCGTCGTGGCTTACAGGCGAGTGTACAGGGATCACCACAACGATTACTGAGACTGCAGGCGGCTCTCGCAGGGCGCTTACTGAGCCTCTTTTTGGGGGTCCGATAAGCCTTATGTGGCCGATAAATTGTGGTGAGCCAATGATCTGCGAGAAGAGAAAAGCATATATGAACGGACATGGTTAGTCCGTTGGACTGTTTTCTACTTTTATCAACTTACGCAGTTTCTATGGAGGGGACACAAGTCTCAAGCAAAATGCTTTTAATCCCACTAAAATTAGAAAATTAGAGAATAACCCACACCGTGATGATAGTTTGACAAATTATCTTTAAATTTATTAAATCACTGCATTTTTTTGCAGTATCATTCAACCAGCTTTTCCGTCGTCAGGGTGAGGAGGATAAACCCATGGTGGAAGTGGCTGACATCGATGGCTTCGCAGGTCGCAATGCCAATGAGTAGGACACTGTTTGTCCGAAGCACATGGGAGAGGAGGCCACCGGGGGAGATGCGTAGCCCTTTCGGAATTGTCGGCCAAACTGACCATAGTAAAGCCAGCAAGGACAGTGGTAATAGCGAGTATGGTTTTCATCTCAGAGTATAAAGCAGGTATGATGTTTGGTTTGGTTTGGCTTTGCTTTGAGATGGAATGATAGTGATGTTGAAGAATATTTGGGGGCGAGTGGAATATGCTGGCTGTTCTATACTTTATCTTTTAAGCATCTGTTTTGTCCTAATGAGGATGTCTTGGACGATAATTTCTTCAAATTTATAAAGAATATAACCACTGGTTCGATGTGGCTCTCTGAGAGTAAAGGCGAGGCTTACACTACTACGGAATTGATCGTTCAGCCAAAATTTAAAAACGATTTGTATTGAACTAATAGCTAATTTGATCAATAAGCAACACTTATGAGGAGAATCTATTGGATCCAACGACCCAATTCTTGACATTCTGCATCTACACAACTACCGAGCAGCCACCAATTAGGTTTGTCTCAACAGTACGTCAGTAGCATACACCCTACCCCCATAGCATCCTCTTATTGCGTCTTTAAACAACAAAATAAAAGGTACTCAGATAAAAACCAACCTTATCTCTCAACTCTTTTTTTTTCGAAACCCACTATATCGAGTACATCAAGGTTAACATACTTGCCTTGTTCAACAACCCCGTTATACCGGCTTGCCCCGTATAAATGCCCTCGGCTAGAGCTTGCACCCGTCCACTGTTGCTTTGGTACAGCCCCAGTACTTCTTAACCCGAGCTTCCCCACAGCCACTGCAGCCTGCCCGGCCCATCTTCACATGTCACTCACAAGTGCCTTCCATCTTTCCGGCTTAGACCGGTAGCTTGCTCCACCAGCCAGCCAATTGACGGCCGTGCAATTGTCAACGCACACGAGACATCGGCTTAAACCAAACTTCAACTTCGCTTCTACATCACCGCGGGTTTTTTCTCCCTTTGCACGCCACCACCGACCAGCACCACCTGCGCCAGCGCAATCTGTGCCATTGGCCAGGCCGTCTTTTAGCCTGACAATCTACATCTCGTTTCTTCCCGACACCTCGCCTCCGATCGCCCGCCATGTCGGCCCAAATGCCCATCACGAGATGCGTCCAGCGCAGCACGAGGGCAGTCGCCCGACTCCGCACAGCGGCTCCCCGCACTGTCCGCCCCGTATCGGTCCTTAGCAGAGTCTCTGGTGCTTCCAGAATATCAGCAGTACACCCTGCTGCCAGCACTCGCCTCTTTACATCATCACGGGTGCTTCGCAATGACGATGATAGCTTCGACCCCAGCAGCATTGAGCGCGAATCTGACCAGGTTGACGTATGCATTGTTGGTGCCGGCCCTGCTGGTCTTAGTGCTGCCATCCGCCTGAAGCAATTGGCCAATGAGGCAGGCAATGAGGATTTCCGTGTCCTCGTGCTGGAAAAGGCCGGCGATATCGGCGCACATATCTTGTCTGGAGCCGTTATCCAGCCCAGCTCCATCAATGAGCTCATCCCCGACTGGCTTGACGAGGACAACCCCAACCGCTTCGAGCACGCAACCCCAGCCGGCACTGACAAGATGCGCTTCCTCACCAAGACCATGGCCATCCCCCTCCCTGCTCCCCCACAAATGAGCAACCACGGCAACTACATTGTCAGCTTGAACCAGTTTACAAAATGGCTCGGCGAGCGTGCTGAAGAGCTCGGTGTCGAAGTGTACCCTGGATTCGCCGCTTCTGAAATCATCTACGACACTGATGGCTCTGTCAAGGGTGTCGCCACAAACGACCTTGGCATTGGCCGCGACGGCAAGCCCAGAGATGCATTTGAGCGAGGCATGGAGTTCCATGCCCGCGTCACCATGTTTGGTGAGGGCTGCCACGGAAGCTTGAGCAAACAGGTCATCAAGAAGTTCGACCTGCGCTCCGACAGTCAACACCAGACATACGGCCTCGGCATCAAGGAGGTATGGGAAATCGACCCCGCCAAGTTTGAAAAGGGTCTTATCGTGCACTCCATGGGCTACCCTCTGCCTCGCAATGTGTACGGTGGTTCCTTCATGTACCACTTCGGCGAGAACATGGTCAGTCTCGGCCTGGTCGTTTCTCTAGACTACGAGAACCCGTGGCTCTCACCGTACCAAGAATTCCAGAAGCTCAAGCAGCACCCGCTATTCCGCAACGTCCTCGAGGGCGGCAAGTGTATCTCGTACGGTGCCCGCTCACTGATTGAAGGTGGCTTCCAGTCAATCCCCAAGGTTGCTTTCCCTGGTGGTGCGCTGATTGGCGACTCTGCCGGCTTCGTCAACGTGCCCAAGGTCAAGGGCACGCACAACGCCATGAAGTCGGGCATGCTCGCTGCCGAGGCTGCCTGGAAGGGTCTGAGCCAAGAAGGCGAAGGCACCGTCTTCCTCTACGACTACGAGGACAAGCTGCGCAAGTCGAGCATCTGGAAGGAACTCAAGGAGGTGCGCAATATGCGCCCGTCTTTCCATACACCGCTCGGCCTCTACGGCGGCGTTGCCTACTCCGGCCTCGAAGCCTTCTTGCTCAAGGGCCGTGTGCCGTGGACCCTGAAACACAAGACCCCCGATCACGCATCTACGAAATCCGCCGATCAGTACCCCAAGATCGAGTACCCGAAGCCCGACGGCGAAATCTCCTTTGATATCCTCACCAGCGTTTCAAGAACAGGCACGAACCACGAGGAGGACCAGCCCGTCCACTTGCAGGTCAAGGACTGGGATGCCCACACCGAGACCACGTACCCCAAGTACCAGGGCCTGGAGAGCCGTTTCTGCCCCGCCGGTGTCTACGAGTACGTCGAGGACGAGTCCAAGCCTCACGGCGTCCGCTTCCAGATCAACGCTCAGAAGTAAGTATATACCTACAGCAAGAAGAAGGAACCCACCCAATCGTATCGTCCGTCCATCTGCTAACCATGGTTTTTTACAGCTGCATCCACTGCAAGACTTGCGATATCAAGGCGCCTCATCAAGATATCAACTGGCAGGTCCCTCAGGGCGGCGAGGGTCCCAAGTACTACATGACATAAGACCCATGTCCTTGCCTATACAACTTCCCTGAGCATGTTACTGTACATATATACAAATGGAGCCCCTTCGCAGGGGAAAGCAATCTTCGTTGCATTCACACGATACTCTTTTTCCTATATCTCACGTATGCCGTCTCATCAATAAACATACCACTTTTAAAAGTTTTGTCTGAAATGCATCATCATGAGGCGTAGTAGATCTAGCCGTCTTCGTACCTTGTGCGCGCTGCAGCAAGCACAGCCCATCCGCAGCTCCCACCAAGCTGACAGACAAAATACAAAGTGTCCTCTGCACAGACGAGGCATGTAGGTTAAGTGAGAGAAACATGCTCGCCTTTGATTTCTCGCTTGTAACCCATTCCTCACCAGCCACACAGCGTTCCGTTCCGCCCATATGGCCGCGCACACCCCCTATCGCTTTGGGGTAAGAATGTGTCTTAGCCCCAGTGGTTGCCGACCATCAAGCGCAAGGTCCTAGACCAAAACCATAACATAACAAGTTGCTTGATTGGGAAATAACGTCCCAAAACAAAAGTAAACACTCGCTTGTGCACAACCCGCCGAGCTGGGGCTTGTTTCTAACTTAGTCTTCGGTAAAGCCCTCGCCGTAGCGAGAACCCTGGATCTTGAAGCTTAGCGTCGCGTGGATCGATGCGCGATGGCGCCACCCTTGATCGGTGCAGCAGACGCTAAACTGGCGCTGAGGTGCCGTTAGGATAAGCTGGCATCAAGATCGCCTGACGTCGGTTGTCGCCCATCAGCAGATTGCTTTTCCATCTGACATTAGACGTGAGATGAGGTGCATAGTTGAGCCTTTTGTGTTTACTTTCTCACTATAGTTGTTCTATGTGGAATAGCAGTTCCTAACCCCCAGTTGGGGTGGGTGTTGCTGCTGAATATAGCTACCGGAGCCGTGATCATGTCAATGCATGGCATGCTTGAATAAGCCTTCAGAGTCAACCTGTTTTACGACGATAAAAACAAGCAACTTGACATAAAATCACACAGCTAAATATTAAACAAAGAGCAGAAATAGGAAATATATGACCATCCCAAAAGTTTACTGCTATAAACCGCAAAGTTATATCGGTATATAGGGTATCGTGACATTGATAGCGTGTTGCCAATATACATTTACACCCAGAAGCTCAGCCCACACCAAAAAAAATTGTTAAGGGGGTACTTAGCCCAGGGGAAGGGTTGGAGGCGGGGGGATCGCTCTTGTACCGGGTACTTTGATAAGCGTCCACCTTGAAAATTTGCACTACCTTGCGCTCACAACTCCATCACGTCAGAGTTGGCTATGCGCATCAGCAAACTCGGTGCGGAAAATAGCTAGTGATACTTTTACAACATGACACAAACTATAAACGCCGCTGGTTTCTTCCACAGCAGCATATTGTCACGAATATTCGCGTACTGAAGCAGTTTGATGCTGCGACATCGATTCGCGCCTGTCAGGGATGCAACTTGTATAGGGTACGCGGTGGTTGGACCAATAGCATCGCAGGGGGTCACAGGGGTGGAGCGGCTGGTCGCAGCCGTCGTTGGATGCAAAGTCAATGAGTCACTTTGTCGCTCTCGCCCCAGGCCTTCCGGGGGCGGCCGACACCAGTGAAAAGGAAAAAAAAAAATCGTGACAGAGCCCCGGATCCAATGCTACGGCGGAATTGAGTTCTCCCACAACGTAGACGAGATCCGCCCAACGCATGCATCGCGATGCATCCGGACAAAGGCAGCAGCAGGGCAGCGCCTCACTCTTGGTCGCAGTCGTGATTCGCTGCCTGACCAGCGTCGCACAGGCGGCCGCAAGTGTGTCGCGGGCGCAAAAAGAGGCCACGTCTGCCTTTTTGGGATGCAGCAGCAAGAGAGTGAAAAGCAATGAAAGGGAGTAGACCGAGTTGGATGGCTGTTTCACTGCGCCGAAAAAGCACGAAATTAGTGGCCCTGGCTTTTGGTAGCAGCAGCTAATATCAGTGCAGGGAAGGGATAACACAAGGGAAGAGGTTTAAAAAATTCGGCGCCTCGTCTGTGTGTCCCCCCGCCCGTAGCAGCACCAAAGTGAGAAAAAAGGGGGCGAAGTCGAGAAAATCTCAGGTGGGCACAGTTACGCGGCCATGAGAATGCCTGTCGCAGGCCCCATAATTTTGCAACTCGTGCGCTTTCTCCTTCTTTTTCCTTCGCTTGCCGTCTGCGCTGCCTTTCCTTCCTCCTCGCCACTGCCGCCAGCTTCTCCTTTTTCACTGCCAAAGCACCGTCAGCATGCTGTGTTGCCGTCGGTGAGAGCACCTTTTGCTGCCGCCAGCCGTTTCGATCGACTCTGAAAATGCCATGAGCAGCACCAATATTCACTCTTCTCTGGCGATACATGCTTTTTTCTGTTGCTGAATAGCCTTTGGGAGGCAGACGACGCGCAGTGGCGAGCTGTCAGAGGCACGCGCACTACGATCGCTGGCTGCAGAACACCCAATAGTGGCCAAAACTTCCAAAAAAAAAAAAGGGGGGGGGGGGGGGTTCCCCTAGGCAAAGGGCCTGCCAGGTAGGTCGAGGCGGAAAGAAGAGGCAACGGCGGCAGCGACGGCTTCAGCAGCAGCTGTACAGGGGGGTCCAAGGCCTGAAAATGACCTGAGACCCCCTGTGCTGTCAACCACGGGGGGCAACAGGCGCTGAAAACAAGCGTTGTTGACATCTGTTGCTCCGGTACCTAGGGGTTGCTCCAGTCTCAAAATGGGTTGGATGGGGTGGAAAAGGAGATAAATTTGCTTGATTCTCGCATCATGATTGGCCAGCAGTGGTCCCTAGCGCATAGGCTAACCTTGGACTGGACCTGCCACAGTGGCGCCACAGGCAGAGTGGTTGCCTGGGGGGTGTGCCGGGGCCTCCCAAGGCGAAAAATATATATACCGGTCGCATCCCCCAGCCGCCCAACGCGAAATTTCGTGCGGATATCCCGACCGGCGGCCCTACGTACCTAATTTCTTAGTCACGTCCGGCCACAGCCTTTCTTCCTCTTTCCTCCCCCAACAAGCCGTCTCCACTTTTCTCTCTCTACCTGCGCAGAAACAATTCTAGCAATTGTTTTTTTGCCACTTCCCCTCTTCTTCTTCTCCTCCTCCTCTTCAGCGCATCACCTCGTTTTTGACCTCGGTCGGAAACAGTTGAAGAAGGCTCCTTGTCGCAAACCTATCTCTCTTCTCCTCGCCTCGACAGCTTCTCCCAGCGGAAGCCACGCAAGTCTCAGCGAACCCTTCATTTGGGTAGAAAGAAAGCGAAAGCCTCGACGTCCTCTCATTATCCCCGCGCGCGATTTGCCCCAGCATAACTGAAACACGTTATACGCTTCGTCATCTCGCCCATTATTCTCGTTGCCAGCGATCTCGATCACTTCGACGACAGGAAATCCGTTCAAAAACTACCTCCCTCGTCGACCTCGGATCGTTGCGCACGTTGTGTGTAGTCAACCCGTCCATAATTCCAAAGAGTTCGCAACCTTTCAAGTGAAGAAAAGGTTCCGACAATACAAGATCGTCGCTTCGACACAGATCTTTGCATAGTACACTCCGAGCTGCAATATTTGTAGGGGAGACATTCACTTGTTCATCTCCCGCGACTGGTATGCCATCTCCTCTTCCCGTTGCCGCGCCCGCGCTTGTTTGCGACAGTTCTTTTCTTGCGCTTGTCGCAAACCGGCGCATCACAGCGCGCCAACGTCTGGAATCAGGACTTTGCTAACTGGGTCATCTTTTCTAGTTGTGCTTTTCGACGCTTCTACTATTGTAACGTAGTCGCGTCTTCCATCCATACCGGCTTTCATCATGGAGGGCATTCAAACGCACCCCTCTAACGCCGCCCAGGCAAAGGCATTCACCGCCCCTGGCTCGCTCTCATTCCCTGGCGCTTCCAATGAGCTCACCCCTCCCGCCAGCAACGGCGATGTTAACCAGCGACCCAACGCAAACGGCCAGCAGCCCGCCAACGGAAATGGGGTGACTCCCGCTACCCCAGTGGCTACTCCTGGCGCTATGCAAGGCCCCAGTGGCATCACTCCCGTGTTGCAGTATGTATTACCTCGCTCTCTGCGCGTTGTATATGCTCCGTGACTTACATGATACTTTTTAAAGGAACATCGTTGCCACCGTCAATCTCGATTGCCGTCTGGATCTCAAGACGATCGCTCTTCACGCTAGAAACGCAGAGTACAACCCCAAGCGTTTCGCTGCCGTCATCATGCGTATCCGTGAGCCCAAGACCACGGCTCTGATCTTCGCCTCGGGCAAGATGGTTGTTACTGGTGCCAAATCTGAAGACGACTCCAAGCTTGCTTCGCGTAAGTATGCTCGTATCATTCAGAAGCTCGGCTTCAACGCCAAGTTCACCGACTTCAAGATTCAGAACATTGTCGGTTCCTGCGACATCAAGTTCCCTATCCGTCTGGAAGGTCTTGCATCCCGCCATCACAATTTCAGTTCCTACGAACCTGAATTGTTCCCTGGTCTCATCTACCGCATGATTAAGCCCAAGATTGTGCTTCTCATCTTCGTCTCAGGCAAGATCGTCTTGACTGGTGCCAAGGTCAGAGAAGAAATCTACCAAGCTTTCGAAATGATTTACCCTGTGCTTCAAGATTTCCGCAAGGTTTAAATGTTGCATACGGGATACTCTTTGCCAATGCTTTCTTGCTGCGGCTTTGAACTGTATGACTACACACCAATGGTCACGATACCATGACTTCTTTTTTCTTCTTTTACTACAAACACCGCGTCGACGCCTCTGCTAGGTCACAAGCAGAAGAGCTTCGTCGCTTTGTATCATCTGTCCCTTTCAGCATTGCATAGGCGTTAGGCAAGGACGGTGGGAGGGTTGCCTTGTTTTTTTTTTGAACTTTGAAACATTTTTTTATTTGCTGGTTTCTTGATTTTATATGCGATGGCCGTCGTTACAGGCAAAAAGCACAAAGAAGATTTTTATCACGCGACTTTACATAGACTGTTCTTGCAGGAAGCGCCATCTGGCCTATCCCAGATCAGCACCTGTTTAATTCTTTTCTAGGGGGAGACGCGATACCAAGAGGAGGAGGGGACGAGGAGCAGACACGTTGACTGCAGTGGATGAATGTCAACGTGAGCGGTTGACTTGCAAGATTTTTGTTTTTTTTTCTTCAAAAGAAGAATCACAGCATTTCGCTTGGTTCCAGAAAGGCATGAGTCAGATTCACGTATGGTGTTTCGTTTTCATTAGCTGGTGCGATTTTCGTCGCCTATTATGACAATATACCACTACTTTGCTCTGTCAAAATACTTTGTTCATGAATCATTGAGTTGTGATTAAACTAAACTGTCTGGTAAATCCGCCTTTCATGTTGAAGTGTTAACCTGAATCACAATCTTGCCTCCAGCAGTCCTTGTGTCCAACTTGTCAAAGGCCTCTTGAAACTGGTCAAACTCGTAGACGCTATCTACCAGCGGCTGCAGCGTCTTGTTCTCAAGCAAGCGGGCAATCTCAGCAAGCTGGACACCCAACGACTGGACAATGAAGAATTTGCTCTTGGTAAGCGCCTTTTTGCCATCTTGAGGGCGCAACCGGTCTGGAAAGTCGGATACACTGATGAATTCACCTCCATCCTTGACGGCTGCCCATAGACCAACCATGGTATCACCGCCCACGCAGTCGACAATCAGATCAAACTCATCAGCTCCGCCATGCTTCTCCCTCCATTGCAACACACTTGTAGACGTGTAATCAATAATCGACGTAGCCCCGAGTGAACGCACTCGTTCCGCTTTGCCACCGCTGCAAACGCCCACCACAGCACTAACACCAGCCGCCGCGGCCAGCTGTACTGCAAAGCCACCCACGCTGCCGCCTGCCGCAGTGATTAAAACCCTCTTTGTTCCGTTTGCCTTCTTGGCTGCCTCGTCACCACCCCAGAGGGCATTGCTGTCTAGAGACCCGTGTTCAAAGAGCGCCTGCCAAGCTGTAAGTGCGCTGAGAGGCGTCGCTGTTGCGGGGACCCAATCTATAGAGGCCGGCTTCGCCGCCAGCTCTGACTCCAGCGCAATGGTGTAGTCGCGTAGGCCGCCGGGTCTGGTAGCGTCGAGGCGGCAGAAGACGTGGTCGCCGGGCCGGAAGGCCGATTGGTCGCTGGAGCAGACGACGATGCCGGAGACGTCTTGGCCGGGGACGAGCTCTTTGTCGGGAGGGAAGAACTGCGGGTTCTGGGCGAGCCAGGTGAGTTCGCTGTAGCAGGGGGCTGTGGCGATGACTTTGATGAGGACGTGGTCTGGTGAAGAGGGTGTTGGGAGAGGTGTTTGGGTGAGTGTGAGTTGAGAGGATGTAGGTGAATTTTGTATCACCGTGCGCATGGTGGTGGGGAGAGATTGCTCCATGATGGGATATGAGAGTGTGGAAGTATTAAGTTAAGGGGTTGTATTGTTATTTTGCTTGGCTATATGGTAACTTTGATAGGGTCGATGGAATGTTTTTATATATACAGGAGGGAGGGAGCATGAGATGAGGTCGGTATTAGTCGGGCTGAGGCCGTTTTCACGGCGCCTCATTAACGCCCCTCGGCGCTGCGTTGAGGCCGACCACCGATCGCGTATACAATAAAGCTGAATACGACGATATCGAAAAGAGTCATTATTCACAGAATTTGGTGTCATGCCGCTCTCACCGGATGGCCCGGAGACTACCTATATACATTTGCGTGCATATGACATCACGGCTTAATATAGTATGAAGGTCTGTAGCGTGAACTTGCCCGCCTGCGCCAGCCTTTCAGCTTCACCGTCCATAAATCCGTACAACAGTCCCCCGCCAACTAGTCGGTATTGTCTGTTTACCTCTCGCAGTACTAGTGGGTATTTCGATCCTTTGGTGACGATAACAATGTCATCCTTGGACATGATCCGGGGCCCTAGACCAATGCTTCCGTTGGACGTTCTGAAGACACGACGGCACATGGATGTCCATGTCATGTCTTGCACGTACTGCTCTGCGGAGCCGCTGGATGCCAAGTTCTGGACTGTCTGTTTATCTTGGTCTGAGAATGTTGCGTAGAAGCTGCTAGTCTCATTTGTAGGGCGGAGCTTGTTGTATTCCAGTACGTAGGCGGCAAAGTCAGCTCGTTGGAGGTATAGTCTGTCGTCGCTTGCAGCTGGCGAGTTTTCGCGATGAGCTCCAGTAAGCATAGAACATACAGCATTCATAAAGTCCTCTGTCGATGGAGCAGGTGTGCTCTCTATATCAAGGACGAGCTTCTCATATATATGGTCTATTAAGAACGGCGTTGTCTTTTGGTCTTCCGCTTCTCGAGTTGTGATGGTAAGTTCGTTGGGGTTGACAATCGATGTATATGCGACGATTGAGTCGATTAGGTATCCTTCTATCTCAAGAAGCGTCATATTGGGTGTTGCAGCGCTGTGTATTTTAATGGCATCAAATTCCTTAGCTGCTGCAAACGTAGGATATCGCAACGGGGCCACCAGGTTCAGCGCGTGCCAATCAGGAACCCAGCTGGGAAGATCAAGCAGGTGTTGGTTCTCGTCATGATCTACAAAGGCGAGGATATGAAGCCTGTCGGTGCGTTGAATAACGTTCTTGGCTAGATCTGTATATACTTCCTCTGTTGATATAGTGTAACGCGGCTCAATCAGCGGCACGTCTTCGATTATTGCACTGGGGTGGCCGAGGAGGGAGTATACATAATCTCGGGCGTCGGTGGAAAGATGCACTCTGGCCCAATGCAAGACTTCAACAAAGTCATAGATTGGTTTGCCTAGCGGATCATTTGACCAGACGAGGTTCACATGATTGCATACCCAGGACTTGAGACTCAGATGATTTATTACTGAGGCACCGTTGTCATCCAGGAAGAGAACAAACCTCGCAACGTCTTTCCAGAGGATCTGAATATCACTTCGTCCCCATGACATGACTGCTAGTTGTGCAAGTCCGATTTCTTGTATGATCCATGCCCTGTGGAAATACTCAAGGTCGAAGAACGTCTTGATGGCATGCCATGCCCGTGTTAGCTCGGCATCAGCCTGATTGGCGGTGCGTTCCCCACGATGGATGAGGCTCTGTATTTGCTTGAGCTCGCCATTTGGGTCGTTGTTGAACTGTAAAAGAGTTGTAATAGCAACTCTGGCAACTTGTTCATCGACCGATGGGTTTTGGAAAGCTCCTAGCCAACAGAGAACTTGGCTGGCGTTGCGGAAGATACTCCCCATCATGCGTACCTGGGACTGTCTCTCCAAAACATCTTGCTGTTTTATACAAATAGCGTCAACCCATAGTCGTCGTGCTGTATGTGGAAGGCGATAAGCTTTCAGAGCAGTTGCGAGGTTGGCTCCAATAGTTAGCGGTCCAGCTGTAGAGGCATCTTCGTTATCCTGGCAACGAATCTGCGCGGTATAGATGTCCGCTTTGCCCCAGACATATGACAGAGCCTCGTAGGGGCGATCTTCGATTAACTGAATAGTGAGGTGGCAGGATATCGGCTCATCCCATGAATCTGACGGTTGCAACTCTAATACTCGAACTTGATGTGTCGACAACTTAGGATAGTCGTATGCCATGGTGCGCCAAGGGTCTCAGGCTAGCCCAGTGCGTGGCCCACAGTTCGGCGCTGCAGGTGCAGCGATTAGGTTCTGCAGCTGCTAGAGATCGACAGTGAAGAGGCCCCTATTGTGGGCAACGGAGACGGGGGGCGGCGTAGTCGCCTGGAAGACGGCCTGATCTTGTCTTGTTGCAAGAAGAGCGACAAAGAGCACATAGCAAGTCCTGCTGTGGTATTTTTTAAATGAGGGCCACCTCAGGAGTCTCTACCAACACCGGTTGAAGGCGAGCGGCTGAGGCACATAACCCCACATTGTGTATTCAGTAGAGGTAATGCACCTATGAGAAGCCTGTTCAGCTACCGAAGGTAGTATTATAATTGAATCTTTCTAGTGTAGGTGGTGTGCCAGCTACATGATATTTAGTGCTGTTTATTGTTTGAAAGGATGTAATGGCGCATCCTAGAGATGTAACGGCTTCATACTGCGGATTGTGAATTGAGATTCGTTCTCGATGGTCAATACTGTAGCAGGAGTCAGTATAATAGTTCTGCTCCATTCTACCAAGACGCCACGTCCACTGTCTGCCAGCGCAGAGGACGCCCTGGCGCAAGTCAGCCGATGGAATACACGGTGAGGCTAACCGAGTGTGCCGGCCTTATCCAGACGCATCGAAAATATCCACACATACAAGCCTTTGTCCTGAGCTGCTGGTCATTTGGATGCTGGCGAAGACCCGTATGTCTAACTTAGCGGTGTATTTGCCACATCGCCGATGAGATGGGTGAGGCCGCTGATCCCTTCTTCACTCGTGTTGGTGGTTTTGGTACATTTGTGCAACCCGCAGTTCGGCATAGTACGCCTCTTGGGCTGGCAGCTGGCGCCAGGTGGCAGAGTACACCACAGCATATATTCCACCATAGTTGCCAGAAATATTCTCTACATCTCCATTCATAGATCGGTGTAGCTAACGACACTGTCTAACCGGCTAACTAAAGGCTACCATTTAAACGCCGCTAAAATCACAATGAGCCAGCCACGACAGCTAAACTTTCAGGGTCCCGATTCCGGCTTATGGTTCCCCACGTCTGCGTGGGGGCCCCCCTCCAACGACATCTGACAGCAAGGGCGCAATTCTGCTTCCAACTGGTTCTTTGACATTGTCATCTTAAAAGCAGGCGACCGCCGGGAAGTTTAAAGGTTGGTAGATCTATGAATTTACTCAAAACAGAATTACTGACTCTAGTAGACACTCCGCGACAAGATGGGACGGACTGCACCGACATCGGTCTTAATCGTGGGCTCCGGCGTCTTCGGACTGAGTACCGCCTGGGCACTCAGCAAACGCAAAGAATTCGCAAAAACGGAAATTACTGTCGTTGACGATGTTAGAGGAGGATCATTCCCGCCAGCAGATGTTGCCAGTGTTGACTCCTCCCGGATTATCAGACCCGACTACTCTGACCGCCACTACTGTGCCCTCGCTAGTGTTGCGCAAGAAGAATGGCGCAAACAGGGAGATGACGACCTCGGAGGTCAAGGACGATACTCGGAATCAGGTCTCCTTCTGATGGCCGATACGCCGACACAAGTTAAGAAGGGCAAGCTCTCTGGAATGGACTATGTGAAGAATAGCTGGCAGAACGTCGATTCAATTGCTCGCGAAAGCGGTTACCCACCAGGCAAGATTCGGACGTTGGGAAACAAGGAGGCTATCCAAAAGTTTCTCGATGCCCCAGGATGTAATGCTGATTGGGGGTATATTAACGAACTTTCGGGTTGGGCAGATGCAGGACGCGGCATGGAGTGGCTTTACAAACAGGTTAAAGCTACTGGCCGAGTGAAATTTGTTGATGCCAAAGTCGAAGAGCTTGTTACAGATGGGAAGCGAGTTGTCGGCACTCGATTGAGCTCCGGGAGCATTCTCCGAGGCGAATTGGTTTTTGTCGCAGCAGGAGCTTGGACTGGACAGCTCATTGACGTTCGAGGCAGGATTGAGGCTACTGGTCAAGCTGTTGCATACATTGACATTACCGAAAAGGAGCTCGACGTTTTGAAGAAGCAACCTGTAGCCCTCAACCTATCGACTGGGCTCTTTATTATACCTCCTCAAGATAAAGTCCTCAAGGTTGCCCGCCATGCTTACGGTTACCTTAACCCCGTCACAGTTACCAATGCGCTGCCTCCATCGCCATCGCACCCAAAGCAGAGCATCGTCGCTTCGCTACCATTGACATCTCGAAACGGATACCCCAACTACTTGCCTGTTGATGCAGACAGCGACCTGCGTCGCGGATTGAAAGAGTTGTCGCCAATTAGCGGCCTCGAAACCCGACCATGGAAGGAGACGAGGCTCTGCTGGTACGCTGACACTCGCGATGGCGATTGGCTTATTGACTACCATCCAGGATGGGACGGGCTCTTCGTTGCCACTGGAGGTAGCGGACATGGCTACAAGTTTCTTCCAGTTCTAGGTGACAAGATTGCTGATTGCATTCTGGGACATGGTGGCGAACTTGGAGACAAATGGCGCTGGAAGAATATTCCGGAGGATGGCAGCGGCAAAGAGCACAACGGCGTATACCAAGGCCTGCAAACTGACGATGGCAGCAGAAGCTGTACCTTTGGCATGATTTTGCAAGACGAATTGGCCAAGACCAAGGCAAAGCTATAAATTATAGAACTGGAGCATTAGAAACTCTTTTCAAATTAAATATTACGAAGCAATCTCTACTCAGATCTCGTGTCTTGAGCCTCGTTCAAGTTGCTAATAATACTAAACTTTCTGACGCTCTTTGCTGTGGGGCACGTACCTTGTCGATGCCTGTTTGACCTCGCTCTGTTTAGCTTCCTCGTCTCTGCGACCACCGCTAACGACATCTGCACTTACGACCGCGACATGGCGACGCGATTATTATAACGAAAACGAAAAGACATTGAGCTGTGGGAATGTCCGAAAACCAAGATAATTCTGGCTTCCCCAAGCCAGACGCGAAGCTGCAGAAGTCAGCGAAGCAGTCTGCCTTCGAACGACAAAAGGCTGAAGCGGAGGCCAAGAGGAAGCGAGAAGCGGCAGAAACGGCGGCTGTATACGAAGATTTTGTTAAGAGCTTTGATCGCGACGATGACAACAGCATGGGAGACAGCGAAGCTCGCCAGGGCAGAGGCGATCCGCGAGCGCAGCAAGGTATGGCGCGTGGTGGGCGGCCACCCTTCGGCGTTGGTGCACCACCGTCTGGAGGGCCGTCGCGAAGGCATTTCGGACAGTCGGGGATGAAGAGCGGTCCTGGTAGTCTTGGACCTGCCCCTGGAGGCTTCAACAAGAAGCGATCATTTCAGGACTTTTCCAAGCAAAACCGTGACAATGCACAAGGCGCCGACGACCACCGAAATCGAGCGCAACCCGGATCGACCATAGCAAAGGCGTTTGATACGAGCGACGATGAAGAGATGAGAGATGCTGAAAATAGAAACGAAGAGCGCGCTGTCGCAAAGCCGACGTTGCGCCTCACAAACTTGCCCCCAGGGACCTCACCAGCGACAATCAAGGCGCTCATGCCGTCCAACTTGGTCGTCGAACAAGTGAAGATTTTGCCAATCAATAACGCCGCACTAGGTACCGAGCGCAAAAGCTTGGTTGCTATTGTGACCATGTCATTGGAAACTCCAGGAAACGAGATGGACACAGCTGTCAGTCTCCTTCAAAATCGCTACATGGGTCACGGCCACTACCTCTCCTTGCACCGCCATTTATCGTCTGCAGTTTCTTCCTCAGCAGCGTTACCTAATCTTTCAAATACGTCATCCTCACAACCATTTGGCGCGAAACCGGTCGAGCAGCCAGCCAATGAGGCGGGCCAGGCTTCACAACGATTCCATAGAGGATTCGCACCACCAACGGACTATGGTCCCGCGCATGGGGTTAATCGCACAAATCTTTTACATGTTCCGGTGAAGCCACCGCAGGATATCAGGACACTACAGCTGATAAACGGTGTTATTGAAGGGATTCTGGAACATGGCCCCGAATTTGAAGCGCTACTAATGAGCCGTCCTGAAGTCCAACAGGACGAGAAATGGGCTTGGCTATGGGATGCGCGCAGTGAGGGTGGCATTTGGCTACGCTGGCGGCTTTGGGAAGTAGTCACTGGCTCAGGCTTGAAGAAAACAAATGGCAAATATGTGCCACTCTTCGAAGGGAGCAATGCATGGAAAACCCCGGACAAGGCTCTCCCGTTTGAATATGCCACGACATTGGAGGAAATTGTGTCTGACTCTGACTACAACTCAACAGATGACGATGACTTTGAATATGAAGGCCAGAAGGATGGACATAGAGGGGACGAGAATGAGAAAATGTTTCTCAATCCCCTTGAGAAGGCTAAACTTACACATCTGCTGGCGCGACTGCCCACATCAATATCTGGGCTGAGAAAAGGTGATATTGCAAGAGTCACGGCTTTTGCTCTGATGCACTCTAGCCGAGGCGCTGATGAAGTAGTGGATATGATTACTGCCAATGTCGAAAAGCCACTGTCGCTGACTAGAGCAAACGCTGACCGGCCGATGGGTGATAATGATGGACGTGAAGATTCTACAAGCGACACCCAGGATGTCAGCGGCGCATGCCTGGTCGGCCTCTACGCGGTGAATGATATCTTATCCTCATCGTCCACTAGCGGAGTACGTCATGCCTGGCGATTTAGACAGTTGTTTGAGACGGCGCTGCAGCAGAGAAAGACGTTTGAAAAGCTCGGGTTGCTACCTGAGAAGTTGAAATGGGGGCGCCTTCGCGTGGAGAAATGGAAGCGCAGTATAGGGCTGGTTCTAAACCTGTGGGAGGGCTGGTCTGTGTTTCCGGGCGAGAGCCATAGTCAGTTTGTCAGTAGCTTTGAGAAGCCTCCGTCAAGCAAGGTGGACGACCCGGTGGACGAAGCTGCTGCCGAACAAGTTCAGAAGGGACGCTGGAAGGTTGTTGATGCCGGAGCTACCGAGACTCGTGCAGATGACACGATGGCAGCCACAGATGGCGGAAGCGACGTTGAAGGCGAACCGATAGACGATGATGACATTGAGGGAGAGCCAATAGACGATGATGATATCGAAGGAGAGCCCATTGACGACGACGACCTACTTGGGGAGCCAATGGACGAAGACGGCGCGGCTTCGGACGCGGGCCGAGACGAAGCTACGGATGCTGGGCCGGCCGCCGCGGACTTGCAAGCATCGAAGCCGGAGAAAGGGCGGCAACGGATGCGCGCCGTAGATATGTTTGCTGATTCCGAGTCTGGCGAAGAGTAGCCACACACATGCATGCACAGGGATGACCGCAGTTTACTTGTATTATAGAAAGGATGGGTCCAGCGTACATAGGACGAGCAGTAGCAGCAGCAGCCCATGTGCGCTGCCACCTACAGAAATGAAATGACGACATTAACCTGACCAAAACACACTGAACAAGAGAAACAAAAGAGGAGAACTAGAAACGTAACCGTGTCAAACGGCGTATCAGATACAGTAGGCAACCACCTGACGGCGTGTTTTACAGTGGACGATTCTGAGCCCAGCGGCTGGTCCACAGTGGGCGTGGCGGGCCAATAGAAACTTGCTCAACTTGGGGGCCTCGGGGGCGGGCTCCGCGCACCGTGGGAACATGTCGCTAGAGAGCGGCGCCGGGCCTGTGGTGGGCTGAGTCGTCCGACTGGGCAATTTATATCCGACCGACCATGGGCGCCGAGCCTGATTTGCAAAGAGTCATGACAATTTGGAGGAGGCCGAAGAATCGCGATACAATAAAGCAGAATATAATTTGCTTGTATTTGGAAGCCCAAAGTGTAGTTCGGGAGAGGTGGTTGGTTGTTGTTTATACGCATGCAATCTTACCACCGTCGCAAATGGCCCAGTGCCATTGCCACTGTAAAATACAGTAGCAGCCTCCTTTCTTAGGCGCTGTAAGATGCGCCTGCGAGTGCCGGGCACCTGGCGGCCCTACCTACCCACCAGCTCGCGCACGTTCCCTTGTATAGTTGCGTCGTGGATCCCCTGTCTTTGGGGTGCTGATTTTGGAAAGAGGAAGAGGAAATGAAGATGATTTTCGATGATATTTTCTTATCCTTTGTATTTTATACTTTTTCGCTCGCGTCTGCGCATCTGCCCAGTCGAGACAAAGGCACGAGTCGCATGGCCCCAAACCTTCGTTCCCCCACTGCAGGGTCGTCGTGCACAGTAACAGCCTTTCAGGCGCTAGTGGGTGCAGTCTTCTCGCTAGCGGCATCGTGGTTCCAACCAACGCTACGCCATTTCCAGTTTCGAGGGTCCCCGCAGCGCCGTGGCAGTTGCTCTTCAGCGGACGTGCGTCTGTTTTTTCTTTCCCTTTTTGACTCTCACCCTCTTCACTACATCTGGCTTTTCTTTATGCCAACTATTGCGCCGATATACCTTCTTTTATTACTTCTCTAACCCGTCTTGCTAACCTTTGGCTTCGGTCGACATCGCCAGCCGGCTGACTTCATCTGCTTTCCGCGGCACTTGGTTTCCTCCCCCCCACCAACAACCACTGTCAGAAATCTTGCCGCTTTCGTCGTGCGCAACGCTGCCCCTCGCCGTGCAACTTTCGATATACGCGACAAAACAGAGCGATATAATTTCAAACCTCGAGAAATTTCGAGAGCAAATGTGTCAGCAGGCGTAAAGCACCTCGCGGCCTGTCACTCCGTGCTCCCCGACGGCACTCTCGCCGCTCACTCAAAACTCACATACGCCGACTATTGCCCACAACCAACAAAATGCCCATAATCAATGGAATAAAGATGGCTTGGTAAGTAGATTCAGTATTTTGCGTAATATATCCACTGACTGTGTCTAGCGAGCCCTGCATTCGCGGCCATCGATCTACAAAATGCACTCACGCCGACGAACGTCTCATGGTCCCAGTAAGAAAACCTGGCCGACCTTTGAGTACATGTCCCCATCCTGCCTCTCGTCCTTGCTTTTGCGCCGGGGTTACGGCAGCGATACCGAAGAAGCAGGCGTGTCGATGTGGCCCTGGGAGCAAATCTACAAAGTCAGCTTCCATTAAGAAGGAACCTGTCGATGGAGAGCTCTCTAGCGGCAACATTACACCTCCGAGCCCAGCACGAGCAGGCAGCTCGTCATTTAAAGTATCTAAATCTTCAGCAAAAAGCTCATCCGCCAGGTTATCGCTTGACCCGATGGGACTGGCGCGAATGGACCCTGGCCAACTCCAGATGCTCTCTGCTACTGACATAACTACGACCAATCACATAACCAACGACGTCACATCTACCATGCCACCATTATCAGTATACACCCAAACTAGTGGTATGGTTACGGCGACAGGTTCCTTCTCACCCCAGTTTCACCAACCTCCACTACAAGCGCCGTTCCCGATTCCGCAAGGTGCGATAAATGGGGACGCAAAGGCGAATGGCGGAAGCTGTTGCGGTAGTAAACCAACTCAACTTGAGCCACCTACAAAAGCCCCGGTACCAGAGACGAAAAGCTGCTGCTCAGCCAAGCCGGAGCCCGAACGCCAAAATGGCATGCATAACCCGGCTCAACAACAAACCAACGGGATCCTGATGCCACCGCCACAACAAGCTGTCGTTGCGATGCCTAACGGAATGTACGCATACTACCAACCACCAACCGTTTTCAACTATCCTCCTCAATACGGCTCTTACATGCAGCCGCTACAACCAGACCAGTGGAGGCAGGTTATGAGCACTATGAGCTACGGCCAACCGATACCGCAGCCCATGTATGCATTGTCCCAGGGTATTGCTGGTCAAACAAATGGGACTCAGAATGGTGAAAATTGGACATCGCATCAGTGCAGCTGTGGTGATGGTTGCCAATGTGTAGGATGTGCGGCTCACCCGTACAATGACGCGACCCAGGACTACGTCCGTTCCGCATGGTCGTCCATGATGGTTGACCCTCAAATGAACGGTTCGCGAAATGCCTCTACAAATGGAAGCGATATGAATGGGCACAGCGAACACGGCGACACAAACGGTATTTCGGTGTTGACAAATGGAGCTGAAATGACGAGAGCACCATCGGCACCACAAACACCATCCGACGCGACTTCGGGCTTAGCGGAAGAGCAAACGTTGTCAGCCAATGACTTCTTCTTTGTCAGCTATCCATTTTCAGATGGTTGTGAAGGAGATATGGGAAGCTGCCCTTGCGGTGACGACTGCCAATGTATAGGGTGTGCTATTCATGGCAACGCTGCACCAGAACCGTCAGCAGCACCGCAAACGTAAGACTGGCCATGGTCCCAAGGTTTATGTGGTGAGAGCGGAAATTATAGTGGTTTGGTGTTTTTGTATGATAATATATCCCCTATCCCGTTGAAATTGAATATACTTTACAAAGCTATTTTACTCTGCTTTGAAGCTAAGCCAGATACTCAACACACACTCGTGAACCTGTCAGTACCATGCCACTAGCACCGCTCATAGTACATTGGCTTTCTTTAGCTGCTAATGAGAAGCATTCATTTTATCATAGAAATTCAAACTTGGAAATAATTCATTACCTGTTTACGACTGTGTTCTCTTTATAAGTGGTTTTGAGTAGGGAACCGACCTGGTGCTTTTGAGTGGACCCCTGCTCAAGCGCAGCAGTACTTGTGTGCACCAAATTTGCGTGACGTCCAGTCGGCGCATCTCCATCACCGCCATCATCACCCAGCGCAAGCAAGCCAGTTCACCAAGAGCCTACCAGTTTCTTGGTTTCTGTCCAAAGTGGCTTCCATTAAAATAGCGAGACAGAGAGACGATGTCGGATTCACGGCATCAGAGATCGTCGGGCAGGGACGACCGTTCTCGTCATGGAGACAGAAGCCATCGCCATAGGGACCGACGATCGCGTTCACCAGCGACGAAAGAGCACCGCAGTCATCGCTCGCGCCATTCTTCCAAAAGGGATAGATCCCCCAGAAAGAAAAATCACGATAATGTAGCCATTGTGCTCCCGTACAATGCCCGTCAACTCTCGAAATACGATTTGCCACAATTCGAGCGCTACTTCGCCTACTATCTGGATATCCAAAAGCAACGATACATTGAGGATATGGACGATATTGAGGTCAAGGGCCGATGGAAGAGCTTTATGCGCAAATGGAACAATGGCGAACTGGCGGAAGGCTGGTACGACCCGGAAAGCTTTGCCAAGCACAAGGTCAGCGACGACGACATCGAACCGACCGAGAGCACGCCGAATAAAGCCCCTATTCAAGATCAAAATAGATCGAGAGATTCGGGGATCGATGGTAGCGATAGTGAGGACGAAAACTACGGCCCAACATTGCCTGGCGGTCGTCGAGCCGGAGCAAGCATTCCCTCCTTGCAGGATCTAGCTGAAAGAGACGAAATGCGCCGCGAATCCAGAGAAGCTGAGCGAGAAACCCTACGAGACGAACGGAAAGCAGACCGGAAACTACAAAAAGAGCGATTGGAAGAGCTTGTACCACGTGCTGAAGCTGGTACGCGCGAGCGGAAGCTAGAGAAACGCAAGGAAGTCAATGACAAGATGCGGGAGTTTAGAGACAAGAGCCCAGGCATGGAAGCTGGAAACGAAAAGGATCTTATGGGTGGTGGTGACTCTTTGGAAGAGTACAAACGAGCCAAGGCACAAGAGAAGCAGCGCAAGTCGGAAAGAGAAGTAATGAGAGAGGAAATTGCGAGGGCCAAGCAGGAAGAGCTTGAAGAGCGCCGACGGCGCTATCAGGAAAAAGAGCAAGGAACTATCAGCATGCTCCAAGAATTGGCGCGCCAGCGGTTCGGTTAAGCGTGGAAGGCTAAGCCGACGCGTGACCATTTGACGTATTAGGAAACTTTTTACCGGTGCCTTGCCGCAAGCCATGCAGTACCTCTTACTTGATATCGTGGACCGACGGGTCCGCAAGAGCGCGAGAAACGGGGCTAGTCGCCGTTCGATGCTACCAGTATGCGCATTGTTGCGGGCGGGCAGGCCGTGCGAAGCCGGTCTACCGCACACGGTAACATGAGGGTCCCACCCCGCCAAAAATTCTCAGGCAGATCTGCGCGGCAAGAGAAAAATTGGCGACGGAAGCCGACATACAAGCACTGCGCCGGTACGTCGTTTCTCTCTCCTCTCCGCATCGACGTATTTTCTGGCAAAAGTACCGCCACCGTCAGCCCAATTGCATTCGGCAGGTGTCTTCTTGACGCTAGCAACTCTTGCATCACACTGCGTGGATCCCGCTACCACAGCCTTGATACCCCTCCTAACCATCACCTGCTCGGCTTCCGGTTTGCGGGCAACAGCAGCAGGTTTCTGGTTTACCTTGTTTGATTGGTCCAACCGAAAGGAGTACAGGCTGTCATTGTTATCAATCTAGACAGCAAGGTTACCTGCTCCCCATCAATCGGGAATAACAGGCATCGTCTGTAACTTGCCATCATCACACGTCACACCAAAGTCTCAGTATCCTGGAGCAAACTACGACTCCCCGCACTCCTTAGCCACAATGGATGAAGAGGATTTCTATGGAACAGGAGACCTTTTAGAGGATCCCGAGGGTTACCTGCCTCCGACACCGCCGCCTACCAAGCAGACATTCACACTTGGTAGTGGAAAGGAGCTTGTTCTTCATCTAGTCGGCAGCAGCCCTACGGAGGCACACCACCTATGGAATGGCGCCAAGATTATATCAGACTTCTTCGAGAAGGATCCGAGCCGCGTCCGCGGTAAGACTGTGCTAGAGCTGGGTGCTGCATCTGGGCTGCCGTCATTGGTGGCCGGCCTTCTTGGCGCTAAGAGAGTCATCATGACCGATTACCCGGATCTGGACCTGATACAGAATATGCAAAAGAACATTGATGAATGCGATGCTTCTTGCGAGACGCCTGGGCATATCGCCGATACTGTTAAGGCACTTGGTTTCATCTGGGGCCGAGACTCGGCTCCCCTGTTGGAGGCCTTGAATGCGACGTCGGGGCCGGAAGCAACATCACAAGCTGGCAGCGGCAACAAGTTTGACGTATTGATCCTGGCCGATCTCCTCTTCCGCCACTCGGAACATGGGGCACTGGTGAAAACCATTAAGGAGACAATGCGTGAATCTCCAGACAGTGTAACCTATGTCTTCTTCACGTCGTACCGACCCTGGAAGCGGGAGAAGGATATGGCCTTTTTTGATGTTGCGCGCGAGGCTGGCCTCAAGGTTGACAACGTACAAGAAACAAAGCTTGACAAGCCGTTGTTTGACAACGACCCTGGAGACTTGGATATACAAAAGACTGTGAGCGGGTTCGAGGTGCGGTGGCCGTAAGAATGTCGGCCGAAGTGTAGAGTAAGAGCCGACGGCCGGGTTTATACGGCACGGGTGGAAAAAGCACAGGCGCATAGAATCGATCAGCGAATCATAATAGAACAAAATTACATTAAACGAATCGAAAAATAACCCCCCCCCCGCGTCGGTACTGTTCCGCAGTGGCATGAAGCTGGCTGTCGTATAGATCAGGCGGGTAGCACAACTTTTGCGATGATACGTTACGCTGGAGGGGCGCCACAGTGCTAAAGTCGACAAGCGCGGTCCCTGAGCCGAGCACCGCAGTGCCTTCGCTTGGGGATATGTTGCGTCACTGTGGACGCTACTGTAGCGTTTCCCCGCCTGCGTCGTTTGTTCAGCCCGAGAGGAGGCGATTTGTGTTAAAAATAAGGGGCTCGTCATTCGTTTTTCTCTTTTCCTTTCTCCAGATTTCTCGCAATATATTCTTCTTGGCCATCCGTTGATTGCTATTCCTCTCCGCACCAACAGACCCCGAGAGTTCCCATCTACCCCGCAGTAGCACCACCACCCACCCCGCCCTATAATTTCACCCGCCTTTGTTCTCTCCAGCTAGGCAACACACAACGCAGCAGCAGCACAAACACCAACACAATGCCCGCCCAAAAGACCAACACGCACCTCGCTGACCTGGAGCGCGACGGCTTCATTGTCGTCAAGTCCATCGTGTCTCCCGAGAAGCTCGCCATCCTGCGCGAAGCCAGCAAGAAGGTCGAAGCCCTCGGCCGCGCTGGCGAGTGGCCTCACATCCGCACCGTCGGCAAGCAGTTCCCCCCCTGGGAATTCAACCCCGAGAAGGGCATTTGGGGTGTCCAGCACATGATGAACCCCGACATGCCTGGCCACGACCTCTTCACCGAGCTCTACTTCTCCGAGGCGATCCTCAGCATTGTCAAGGACCTGCTCGAGTGCGAGGACGAGCAGCTTGTCATGGAGCTCTTCAACATGCTAGTCCGCCCCGAAAGCGAGTTTGACCTGCGCTGGCACCGTGACGACATCCCCGCCGAGGCTTCTGCCGAGGAGGAGATGGAGCGTCTCGGTCACCCGGGCTTCCACGCCCAGTACAACTTTGCCCTGTACGAGGACGACTCGCTCATCCTGGTGCCTGGCTCGCACAAGCGCGCCCGCACGGATACCGAGCGCAACGCGGATCCCTTTGAGCCTGTCCTCCCTGATCAACTAGTCGTCAAGCTTGAGCCGGGCGACATTGCCTTTTACAACAACAACATCCTCCACCGCGGCGTCTACGACTGCAAGAAGGAGCGTGTGACGCTGCACGGCTCCGTCGGCCACTCGGGCGGCAGTGCGCTCCGCGCTCGTAATGTCCTCCAGCACGGCATTGGCAAGTGGGTTGACAAGGTCGACTTCTCGAAGCTCGAGGAGAAGGACAGACTTAGAGCCGAGGGCATGCGCGCTAGATTGATCAAGCTTGGCTCTGAGGCTGGTGAGGTCGGCTACTCGTTGCAGGGTTAAAAGGTACTGGGATGGGTGTATACGGAGCAGACAGATAGAAACAGCAGCATGCTGGGATAGCGTATAGTTGGGTAATTTGTATTAATGAGAATGAACTACTATATTGATAAACTTTTTATGACTTCAGTGCTAGTGCTGCGGCAAGGATCGAGATCGGGAGACGGCCCGATTTTAAACTCTAACCTTGGCGCTGGGAGGCGCTTTTTGAACCTGCCATCGAGTATGCAAGGGGGATCAGTGACGGCATGCTTTTTGATGTATGATTCTAGATATATGTTTTTGAAATTATGTCTTGTGACTTTGTATACTTAAAAATCAGGTTCCTGTGTCGCTATGGCATGCTTCTACTGGGTCACCTGTGGTAATGCTGTCCAGACAATCTACGCTGCTCCCCACGAAACAGTTTGCATTATGAATATTTATTGGGAATACGACTGTAACGTCCGCGTGTAGTTGCAATCACCGGCCACATGGCCAACTATTGACTTGGCGCACGCGTCGACGTAGGAGGAGAGTACGGTGGCAATGTATGTCTCTCGCTCGTTCTACTGATTGGACCTTGACCGTAGGTAGGCATTCCGAAATGGTGATCTACGCTACGCTACAGTACTCTACGTGTAATACTGGCCCCAATCCCTTGGTGCAGCCAGGCCATGCATGCCTGCCTACGACTGCTGGGATCTCACATTGGGACTGAGGCAGGGGGAGGCCTTCCTCTGTCATGGGTGTATCGGGTAGGTAGCGGCTGGCTGAACCAGGGTGTTCCCCGCGGCTACAAAAGTGTGTCATTCTGTTGAGTGGGCGATGCGGCAGGCAAGCAAACTTGTTTGTCCTCTCTAGAGCTCGGTTCAGAGGGAGGGAGGTGTGACGAGTGGTGACCTGGCACCCATTCGGTGGTCTCTCCGCGCTGTGGGTGCTGGTTGAAGGAGGTTCAAAGGTAGCATCAAGATGGGGGGAAAGCGAGGGGGTTGCAAGCAGAGCGGAGCACCAGCATAAGGATGGGCGGCACCTACGTAGTTGGAGTGGCCACACTAAATTTAGAAGCTCTACTTATGAAACGGAGCGGAGGGGGGTTCCCATGGCAGGCTAATTGGCTTGTTCCCGAGAGAAGAAGGTGGTGCGGCGCGGTGCGGTTAACGGCATAAAGCAGGTGTTTTGGGGAGAGGGGGGATAAATAAGATAAACCGAAGGATGACAGTCGCTGACGATGATGCATGCGGCGTGTTTTATGCCAGCAGACAAAGACACCAGTTTTCGTAGCCTTACAGAGTCCAGCCCAGCAGCCATCGGGGCTAAACTGGCAGGTCCTCGCTTGGGGGCGACAGGTCTTTCAAGGCGTGCGCGGATACCCGGAAATGAAAGCCCAACCGTTTTTCTGCTTTTGCTCGGTACTTCACTGAGTTGTCGTTGCTGATAGCCAACCAACCCCGCAAGATGTGGCGCCTGAGCTTTTGGTGGTCTACCCAGGCTAAGTTAGTTCGGGGCGCCCCCCTCTCTAGGCCAAGATGAGCGCTGTAAGGGAACACAGCGGCCAAGCTTTCTCCAATGCGGAGTCGGCGGAGAGCTGCAGTGATTTTCTTGCATCCTTCAGCCGCATATGCTTTGCGATATGCTGGTTGAATAGCTTGGTGCTATGGCGATGGGAATTACAAAAGTAGTAGTCGTGCAATTGGCCCTTTTTCTGATAATTCGCATTGGTGCGGCATAATCGTCTGCTCGTTCAAGTCTGTCTGGTAGGTGTGTCCTTGCACCTTCACAGAGCCTCGTCTTGGAGAAAGTTTCCGGTCCAGGCCGTCAAAAAGAGGCACAGACTCGTAGAGGACACGCGAATAGGATCTACCCCAACAATCACCTTTTTCTTTTGCCACAATAGCTAGCTGTCTACCTCTCGCCACTGGAGGAGGCTTGTGAGATAGGTGCCTGCTCTAGCCGTGCCCTGACGCATAGCCCTGAACTTGCCCCAAGCTTCAATGCAGGTTCTAGAAAAGTATAGTGATACTATTGGACACATAAAAGCCACACCACTCTCAATTGCAAAAGGCAGGTATAATGGCGAATTGTTTTGTAAGAATATTGGAGAAATCCACGCTTGAACAGGCTGCGGTTTCTCTTACAAAGTTTAAAGCTATCGTCCCCGCACCAACTCCGCCTAATTAGAACAAAAGGTACGCTATGGAGCTTGCAAAAACAGTGCCTTGGGAGGCTGGAGGCGCGGACACCCCCGTGGGCTTGCTGCGAGTTTTGGGCGCTCTTCAGCACCACCGGGTGGCTTGGTCCCCCTCTTTTTTTTTTTTTTTTAGCGCGGGTCCCTCCCCATGGGGATTCTGTTTTTTGGGTGCCCTCGCTGAAAACCGGACTTTATTTGGCATGTGTTTTTCCAGTAAGCCGAAGCACCCGCTCACACGGAATTGCTCGCCGGCTATCGTTGTTTTGAGTAATGGGTCGTTTAATTCGCATTGACCATCTATGGACAATATAGGCCTGTAATTGACAGCCTTCTTGTTGTGTAGTGTAGCAAAATTCAAGCTGCTCTATTTTCTTACGTTTTTGTTCAAGGAGTCGTCTCCATTAAGCGGACGCCCCCAAGGCACTTATGCCTGGGACAGGGCTGCGTTTGCTGACACTGCGTGCTCGGTATCTCTGGCCGAATGGGGCGACGCCTCGGGTGACTCGCAGCCCCTTCTGGGCGAACGAAGCTGCTGGCTGCACTGTATGTACCCCAGCTCTGGGGCCACCGACGCGGCTCAAGCTACGAAATAAAACAGGAAAAAGAAAACGAGAGCGCGGTCCATGTCGTGTTAGCGTGCGCTGGGAGCTGACCTTTGCCCCCCGCGCGGCGCGCATCGATGCCCGCTTTGGAAGTACAAAGTTGCTTGCTGCCTTGTGCACACCACCATCGAGTAGCTTGCTTAGAAAGCCAAGCAGTTGACAGCGAAGCCGGTGCAAACTTGAAAAACAGAATATCCAGAAGAAACCGAGCTAACTAGGAAGTGTGTGTGTGTGTATGCATGTGTCTCCAAGCCGGACCCCGGCTTCAGCTGCCACGAACAACCACTCCAGCGACGCCTCTTCAGCGGGCGTCCAGTGTGTGTGTGTTTGTGTGTGCCAGTGGCTGCTGTTTTTTTCCCTCTCCGCCTTTTGGGACACTGCCTGTTAAGGCACACGCCGCCGGGGACGAGCGACAGCAGCACCAGCAACGGAGAAAGATAATTGTTGGTTGTAGCTTACAGCAACAAAAGCGGATTCTTGTTGCTAATGGCCTGAATCGCAAGGGCTCCTTCTCCTTATCTTCCTGTTTTTGCTTCTCTCTGGCCTAGCGGCCATTCCTCTGGGCTACCTTCTTTTTTGGAGACAGAGAGCCAGCTTCCCCTCACCCGCCCCCCCCGTAAATCTTCCAATTGCTACCAACGCCCGCCTTGTCTAGCGCACTCTGCTTGCACCTGTCCAACCCCCACTGTACCCGCCTCCCCTCCCCCTCCCCCAGGTACAAGTTTAGCAGTAAACTGTACTACTACGCCCGCTAACCCACACGCCCCCCCTTACCAAAAAGAAAAGTAGTGGTGCCTCTTCAGGCACAACACGGCCCAGCCAGGCGCTGAAGCTAGTGCTTGGGAAGCCTGAAAAAGAGGCGAGACGAGATAGAGATAACAGACCTGCCTATCTCTGACTTTTCCCCGCTTTCTCCCTACAGCGCCCATTCCCTGCGCTGTCGTGTGTGATTTCATTATTTTTTTTTGGCCGTGGCCCCGGTTTACCCCCCATTCTGATGCACCATCTCCCCCTTCCTAGGGACCGTGCATGCTGCAAGCTTGTCCATCTGGCCGCCATCCCCTTCTGTTTTGCCTGCTCCGCTCCCCACGATGGCATTGGGGCGTATCTCTTTTAGCTCGTGAGGAGAAGCCTTTCTCCTCCCCTACTTTTCCCTTTCGCTTCCCATACTTTTTTTCCCCTTTCTTATTTGCCGTGACCTCATTCCTCACTGCTAAGCACCAGCTTGTTCCTTGGATCTCGGCTTCCCCCTCACCACCTGCAAGTCGAGTGTGGATTCTCCTCCGCCCCCCGTCTAAAACGACGCCAACTGCCAGCCCATCGCTTTTGCTGACCTGCCTACCGCCTGGGTGCCCCAACCAACGACTCTTCCCCGGATTGCAATTGACGTTTAACCCTTCGCTGTCCACGATACCGCCAAGTTTGAGCGCGCATGCAACACGCCTTGGACCACCACCACAACGACGCATAGCCACGTTTTTTCCCGTCGATTCTTTACCGCCTACCACCAGCGCCTCACGTTTTGTGGTTGGGTAGTTTTCTTTTACTGCTTCTGTCTCTTTCATCTCACTCCCACCTCACCACACTTACCCTTTCCTCTCCCGACGACGCCGTTTGACCCCAAGCCCGAAAGCTACCTTGGTTCACAAGCCAAGCCAGCAGCAGCAATTTTTTTTGAGGTGTCATCTGCGAATGCTGGATACACAGCTTCCTCCTGCTTCGCCTAGCTCGACCCTACCCGCGTCGGCTACTACTACTTCTCGCTTGGTCTGCTCTTACGCCTGTCCTCACTCGTCGCCGTCGCAATCGGCGCACCACCACCCACGCTGCTCGTCACAATCACATTCCCCTCTCCCGTCACACGGACACTCGCGTACATCAACTCTTAGCCAGACGACGTGTGAGAGGGGATAGACTCTGTGACCTGAAATACTACGCCACTCAGCGCAGCAGCTCCAGCTCCAGCATTTTTCTCTTCTCCAACTCGTTGGCGTAACCGCTGCGTGCACCCCGTACCTGTGTGTGCGAAACGCACCTGACCCTATCCTACCTACACTTCCTCCCCCGCCTCATTGCTTTGGTGTGTTGGGCTCACCAGTACCAGCGCGGCCAACTCACTCACTCACACCCTATATCCTACACTGGGCTATACGCGCCCGTTCATCTTCTCCTTATGCCATCTATGGAAGGCCCCTCTCTTTTACTGGCTGCCAGCCAGCCAGGCGCAACCGCCAGCACCGACGGCGAGGTTAAGGTACCAAAGCCAAAGACGTTACCTTGCAGGTACTGCAGCAAGCGTTTTAGGTAAGATCAAACACTCCTCCCTGTACACGTCTACAAAGAGCCTAACTCCTGCATTAGACGAGTAGAGCATGTCCAGAGACATGAGAGAACACATACAAAGGAAAAGCCGTTTTCTTGTGCCTGGGACCGGTGCGGTAAAACCTTTGGTCGACGGTAAGTTACAGTAACCTCACGGTGCATTGGTTTGATCCGCAGCCCACCATGCAACATCACACGCTCCTATTCAAGCCGCCGCTACTACACCCCGCCTTATTATCACCCAAGCCCCCCCCACGAACGTCGTTTCGAGTAGTTCTCGTCGTTGAATGTATTTTCCCTTGGCCCTTGTAAGCTGTTGTACAGTGAATCCCTTTACAAACAGCCCTTCTATTTTATTCACCGACTTCTACCGTTGCAACGTCACTTACTCACATGAATATTAGGGATCTTCTTGTTCGCCACGAAAAGCTGGTTCACCTCAACGAGAGCAGCAAAGAAAACACACGACCTCCTAGATCTTCATCCAGCTCTGGTTCACACAAGCCGTCACTGTCCGATGGACAAGTTTCAGTCGATGCCATGGGCATGCACCCAAATAGTGGCCCTCCGCCAAACCCCGTACCGCCACCAGACCAATCGCCATATCAACAGCATTCTATGATGGCTACCACAGGGGGATCTTCAATAATACAAGATCACAGACTTCCTTCACGCATGGGTGCATGTAACCTAGACGTGCTCTCACATGCGGCCTTGGCTACAGAGAGCAACAGTATGCCTCCCATGCTCAGTACAATCACACAGCAGCCAACGAGTCACACGAGAGTAAAGAGTTATGGTGAGCCAGCACCGCCATTTTCTGACAGACCTCGAGAGGATCCCCATAGTCTCAACTCGAGGTTTGCACCACCTCCGCAGCACCAACCGTCTCAGCCAATGTACGATAGCGAGAACTTCTTCCTCGACAACCTTGGCTCATCCGCTCACTTCTTGCCACCTCACTTCGAATCTCAAAATCTTAACAGCCGTGCCGTCAATAGACCACCTTCTCAGTTCCCGTCCAGGTTTGGTTCCATCGCCCCAGATGAAGCAGAGCTGGCGGGTAGAGGGCCTGATGATGGGCCGAAGCAACCGCCCCTGTTTATATCAAATGCGGAACACGGTATTATCAAGGCAAAGTTTGATTCTTTCGCCTCTGTTTTGCCCGAAGATTTTGTATTTCCGTCAAAAGTAACGTTTTTGCGTTGGGTGGATGGCTATATCAGCGGCTTTCACGACCAGCTCCCATTTCTTCATCTTCCCACATTATCTCCGGTAAATCTTGCTCCTGAACTTATATTGGCAATTCTAGCAGTAGGAGCCCAGTATAGATTTGAGAGCAACCGGGGATATTCCCTGTGGTACGCTGCCAAAGCAGTTGCCATTGAGCAGATCCGACGTCGGCACAGCTCCGAGGTCCACGCCCTGTTGCCGACCGCGGCCGCCTACAGCCCACAATCCACAAAGCCATCTCCCAGCACCACATATCGTAATTCGTTTGCTTCGGCTCATTCAGACCGCTCTGGCGGCCAGGATGGTACCCGCCGTGATTCTTCGTAAGCCGGAAATGTATTGGGACCTGCAAGAAAAGCCACTAACTGAAGATCTTATAGCGTTAATACACCGCAAGCCAGATTGGAAACTATCCAAGCTGTGCTGTTGTTGTTTGCAGTTGGGCTGTGGGGAGTAAAGACAATATTGCACGAAGCATTGGCACTGCAAAGTAATCTCGCAATGCTCATTCGAGAAGAGGGACTTTACATGGATACCAGCCAGGCGTCTATTCCTGACTGGGAATCCTGGGTGAGACGTGAAGGCGCCGTCCGGACAAAGCTCATTGCTTTTTGTTTTTTCAACCTTTGCAGCACTGCATACGATATGCCCCCGGTACTATTGACACCAGAAGTTCACCTATTCTTGCCGCTGCCAGCTCGTCTTTGGAGAGCTGAAAACGCCTGGCAATGGCAAGAGCTTCGCCAATCTACACCTGTGGTAGAGATTACATTGCATGAAGCATTCTCACGACTCTTTAGCCGCGCTAACCCTGGGCTTCCACCGCAACTGTCTACCCTCGGCAACTACATTTTGATCAACGCCCTCATCCAGCATATATACCTATTGAAGCAAACATCCTTTATGAGCAACTCTTACAACATGCAGCGCAGCCTGAAGCCGGACGATGTGGAAGAAGTCGCCCAAGCCCTTTCATTATGGCAGACAAATTTCGAAGAGCGAGTCAACTTGAGAGCTGCGGAAACGACCAACTTTAGCGGCACGGATACAGTGACAGGCGGATCTCTAGTGTATAACGCCACAGCACTGCTCCGATTGGCATTCATCCGATTATACACGGATAAGCCTCCCAGCAGAGCCTTGGAGACTAGAGATTCCATGCTGATTGCGTCGGCCATGGTAAATACGCCTCCGCTTGCCCGCAGCCCGCGGCTGCACCGTGCGATATACCAGGTTATGCATGCACTATCTGTGCTCGTCAAGGCTGGTGTAAACTACGTGGCGAGGACCAAGTCTACGGAGTGGAGCATCCAGCATTCTAGTAAGAAGAAGCCACCAGACTACCTGTTGATTACAGATTCACTAACCATATTTACAGTTTGCAATTTGGAATGCGCCATCTTGCTGGCTAAATGGCTGCTAACATTGTCTGTCATCACACCATCTGACCCTCCGATTTCGCTGGAGGAGAAGCAGATTCTGGATACAGTACGACGATTGCTGGACGAAACCGAGTTTGCTGTCCCCTTTGACCCGTCCATGATTGGTGTCTCGCCAGAGATGGCCGGAAATGATGCATTGAAGCTACGACAACTTGCTGGAGCTGTGGTGCGACTCTGGGCAGAGACCTTTAAGGGAACGCATATTTTCGACATGGTCAAGATTATGGGTGGCAGCCTGGACATGTATGCGGATCTTTCCATGAAGCAGATGGATCGTGGACATATGGCGTGATTTCATCCGCCTGACATTGGTGGGACTCTATAGAAGACCGATCTGGCTCTCTCGAGCGGGATAGTCTTGGTGTTTTTTTTTCTTTCTTTTTGAATTTTGTTGGTGGCCATGGGAGAATGAGCGAATGCACAAAAGCCAGCGATTTGAGATTTTTACCGTTCTCTGGACGAGGATACGAGATGGCATGATTTACATGATTTATTCATCTATTTTTTCTTACCCAGTACTTATACATTTACATATTCTACTCTATCAACCATCTTTGGTATCAAGACCGGCCTAAAGTGGCCCCTACCCCGGATTTACAGGCGTACGCTAGCGGTCTTTCCGGACTTTGGGGTGCCCGATGCAAGCAAAGCACGTGAACTGCGACCATCTCATAGCCGACGCGCAGCACATCGACCACAGTAGCCGGTGGGGCTACCTCGGTTCTGCCCCAAACGGCGACCCATAGCATCACCAAAAACGCCGATGGTTCGTTTTCCGTCTCCGTTGCTGGTGCTGCCTTTTTCTACCCTTTTGCTCGCTCCCCCAGATTTTGTCTTCCTTCCCCGTGTTTTTTCGTTTTTTCGTGTCCATTCCAATCACTCAACCGCACACACCAATCCCACATTCACAATGCCTCTTGCTACCGAGCTTACCAGACGACTGGGCATTCGTGGTAAGTAATCCTAATCCTTCCGCTGCTCCGTCTACAGCAGCCCAGCAAGTAAATGCTAACCAGCTCGCCCTCGCTCGCCAGTCCCCGTCGTTCAAGGCGGCATGATGCACATTGGTACCGCTGACCTGGCCGCTGCCGTCTCCAACGCCGGTGGCCTCGGCATCATCACAGCCCTCATCTTCACCACGCCCGCTGCGCTGCGCGACGAAATCCGCCGATGCCGAACGCTCACCAAGAAGCCCTTTGCCGTCAACATGACGCTGCTGCCCTCCATGGTGCCCCCCGACTACCCCGCCTACGCGCAGACCATCATCGACGAGGGCATCAAGATTGTCGAGACGGCCGGCAACTCGCCCGGCCCCATCATCACGCAGCTCAAGAAGGCCGGCATCATTGTCCTGCACAAGTGCACCACCATCCGCCACGCCCTGAGCGCCGTCAAGCTCGGCGTCGACTTCCTCTCCATTGACGGCTTCGAGTGCGCCGGCCACGTCGGCGAGAGCGACATCACCAACTTTATTCTCCTTAGCCGTGCCCGCCAGACCCTCAAGATCCCCTTCATTGCCTCGGGCGGCTTTGCCGACGGCCAGGGCCTTGCTGCTGCCCTGTCGCTTGGTGCTTGCGGTATCAACATGGGCACGCGCTTCATGTGCACTGTCGAGGCCCCCATCCACCAGAACATCAAGGAGCAGATTGTCAAGTCGGATGAGAACGACACAACGCTGCTGCTGCGCCGCTGGAAGAACACCACCCGTCTGTTCAAGAACAAGGTCACCAGAGATGCCCTCAAGGTTGAGAAGGAGAGTACTACGGGCGAGTTCAGCGAGGTTGCTCCCCTCGTCTCGGGTAAGCGCGGCAAGGAGGTCTTCATCAATGGTGACCCTGAGTTTGGTGTCTGGACTACCGGCCAGGTCATGGGCTTGATTCACGATATTCCTACTTGCGCTGTCTTGGTTCGCCGCATTGAGACTGAGGCCGAGACCTCCATCAAGGAGAGACTGAACCTCATCATTCCCGAGTCCAAGCTGTAGACATCTTACTATAAACATGTTCTGTGTACTTTAAACAATGAAATATATCATGATGAATCTTTTGAAACAATAATGCGTCTAATTTGTAAGCAAGTCTACTTCTAGTAAAGGATCTATGGCAATTTGTGCTGGTTGCTACGGATAAAACGTCGGGGAACTCATGCTTCATCGTCCCCGTTGAGCGCTTCGAGGACGACCATGTCCGCGTCCGCGCCCTCCGTGACGTCGCTCTGTTGCTGGCGTCGCATGCGTGTTTGGATCCCGTGGACGGCGGGGAGTCCAGCAACTATCCAGTCGCATATGCTCCTCGGAGTCGGCACGGGCACCAGTGTACGCCGCTGGGTCCGAGTACAGAGGCGCTGGGACCGAATTCTCCTCCAATGCCCATTCCGGTGTGCTACAAAGGCTTACACCCGTCTCAATCAATGACACACGGCTTCTGGGATGACCGCTGGTCCAGCCCTTTGGTGCGCGGTGGTAGGGCTCTTTGTCTTTGGAAACGTCCCGGGCCAATGCTGGCGTAATTTCCATTACAGCGCCACAGAAGCCAGCGTAAAAGGTACCAGTGACATCAGACGATTTGGCCAGCGAGAAGCATCGGTCGTATTTGCTGTTGCCCATGTTGATTGTCACATCTGGCTGCCAAGTAGGGCGGCGAGACTCTCTGTGCCAAACACAGCTCTCATCATTGCTGCTGCTGCAAGTATTGTGCTTGGCTGCGCCCTTCTCTAAGCCGACATGACCATAGAGCGGAGGCGGAAATGGAGGCTCGGATGAACAAGACAATCCATCGGTATGCTGGTAGCTCTTTGTCGGATTGCGAAATTCAATGACCCGCAGCTCCATGTATCTATTGTCGCCGGCAACAAAATGTTCGGCACCAAAGGCAAGTAGGGCGCTGCTGGATTGATAGGGCTGGAATCGATCTCGGTAAACAGCGTCATAGGGCGATGCTGTGCGAAGGTCATGCAAATTGATACTGCCATTATCCCAGGCGCTTAGGACAATATTGGGACCGCCCAGACCATGAACAGGTTCAATGGCACGAACAGTGAGCCGCTGGGACCAGTTGTTGATATCAACATCAAGCTTTTCAAACGCCGCACTCAGGGTCGTCATGTTCGGAACGGCAGGGAACATCTCAATCCCATCGGGACGGATCTGACCCCATTGTAATGGATCTGTGGCGCTTCCCAATGCGCATGCGATTGTATCGGAACCCAGAAACTTGCAGCTTCTGAGCAGCGGTAAGGCCGTGCTTTCAGCATTGGTAAAGTCAAACGTTTGACTTGGAGCAATGGATCTTGTGCTTGCCTTTAGGCTACTTAGATCGTACAGGCGTAGTCGAGCACCCTGGCAGCTCGCAAGCAAGGCTGACTGCTGCTGATATGCGGTCCAAGTGACAGCCAGATGACCGAGTGAGGTCACAGGAGGCATTGATGCAGGTTCTTGTTCGCACGCAAGCTCAGGCAATAGATCCACATGGTTGCCTTTAAACCCCGTGGCATGAATGCTTTGTAGCCTCAGCGAGCCATCTGCACGACCAATGGCGACACCGGGGCCTCGCGCTTCGTCAACGACAGACACGGCTGTAACATCTCCAGAGCCAGACATGTAGCCATCTACTGCCCCGCGAAGTTTCATCCACGGCACTGGAGCTGTGCCCAAATTAGGCCGGCGCCTGGACAAAACATCTTCACCGGCGCCAACCACAAGCAGCTCTTCCATGGATGAAGAGAGCAGCCCTGCGTCCAGACACGGGTAGAAGGACACAGACTGCTGGAATCGTCTGCCTGGTGGAAGGCCATGTCGGTGGTGCGAGAGTTCCTCCTCATAGCTGTTGATGAAGAAGGCTCGCTTGGCCCAGCACCTATCGAGATACGTTAGGCGATCAGCGACATTGGAATAAGTCAGCTGTGCCGATGCTGGGATCTTCAACGATGGGAACTTTGCCTGAGCAAAGGACTTCCAGCCATTGTGTCTGGTAAGGTAATCGGTTCGTCGGCATACGCCCTGGAAGGCAGCTACGTCGCGGGCCGAGTCGAGTCGCCCGACGACGTCGTGAAGGAGCTCATCTGGTAGTGTAATCAGAGAGCTACGGACCATTATACTGTGGTGAAAAGAGCAGTCATTGGAGGAACGAGCTGAGTCGTTATTCACAAGACATTTTTCTTTCTTTTTCTTGGAGAGTTGATCTCGTTGTTAAGTTGTTTCTATTGAGTTTCGAGGCGACTAGGCAATTGTCGCGTTTGGTCTGGCCGTTTAGTTTTTGCGTTCTAGTTTGTAGGAAGAAAAGTTGTGCAGACTGGCTGCCTGGTTACTTAAATTTCCGTGGGGTGACTCAACTTGTCAGCTCCACCTGGCGACGCATGGTGACTCCCGATAATATACGTTGAACATAATTACAGTCACAGATCAAAAAAAGTGGAATAAAATAAAATTAAAAATTCACGGTTAATCTCGAGCGGAAAAAAGAAATGAAGATGAGCATTGATTTGAATAATCATGGGTTAGATTATGTACAGCCCACTCCAATTCATTCCTCCGCTCACCCAATGCTTCATCACTACCACTTAAAAGAGACGCCATACTCCCCCAAAACTCCAATAATATGTTTCCAACAAAAGCTCTACATTAACAAATACAAAGCCCTGGCAGCCTTTTCTGCTGCCGCAACATGCCATGGCCGGACATCTGTCTCAGCCTCAACCACTCCACGTGCACGAGCCAACGTACCAAGACTGCGGAAGTAGCTAAGCATTTCCCGTAGCAGAGGCTCGTATGCTCGGGACCCGGCTTCCGTGTGAACAAGGTTGACCTCCATAATAGCCGGCGAGTCTTCCGCTTTGGATCCGGTGCGTTTGACCAAGTATCCAGAGATGAAAGCTGGATGTGTTTCGAGCGTACTTATCGAGTTGCTCAGCCGATGGCTTGAAATGGCACCCCATGTCTGATCTGTAACATCCGCCAATACTGATTCGGTCTCTGGATCAGCGGTACTATCGCCACCAGGTGTAGCAGCCAATGTACTGGCGTCTCGAGCCGGCGTCGCTGGCGTCGCCATAGCCTCCGGAGAAACGATGTTCGGCTGCGGTGTAGACACTGGCGTAGTATAGCTCGTGATTGATTGCGGTGGTAGCTTGATTGCTGGCGGGATAAGCTGCAACGATGGCTTGGTATCTACTGTCATTAATATCATGGTGACGCTGGCGTGGATTTCCGTACGAGCCAACTCAATCCAAAACTCGGCTTCGTGAGCCTCCATCGGACCACATTTTGTTATCACAACGCGCCAATGAATCTTCCAGGTAGAGATCAGTTGCAGTGTTGACTCCCAGATTTCGTTGGCAATGTCATTCATTGTTCGTGACGGTGATTTATCTTTGCGGCCAAAGCAATACGAAGCCGTAGCTTGTTCATTGCCTCTATCGTCCGTCCAAGCAGCACTGATCCACCGTTTGTCCACACTCGTAGCATAGGCAACATGTATGCAAGAGTTCTCTCGAATGAGTGAAGCAGACGGATTGTTGTTGAGCTTAAAGTCGATGATACGTGGTAGCGGCTGCTCCAACCGAATTGCCGGCGCTGGCATCGTGCCGCCAAAGGGAACACAGCGGTCGTAGGTTTCCATACAAAGTCGGACGAGGTCAGCTGCTGGCGTAACGATAACTTTGGATGGTGATGAAATCAGGTCGGCTGAGACTAGCTGAAGAACAAGTTCGTTCTTTGGAATCTCCTGCTTTGCTGTCAAGGATGCTTGGTACGAATCAAAGAAGCGCTGGAAGGCAGTGCATGCTTCTACAATGGTGCCGGGATTTCTGGGAGAGTACACAAAGTACACAACGACATTCGTGTCGACTGTTTCCAAGCTAGAGAGTGCGCCTCTCAGCGTCTCCATGCTCTCAATCATTGCGGACCCATGACCAGTCATAGTAGCATCGGGAGACGTCGAAATTTTGTCAACCTCATACTGAAGCATGCCAGCCTCTTGGTCTGCAATGGGCATGTTTTGGACAGAGCCCAATTTCAGCGTTTCATACATGCTCTTCAACCTGCCAAGGAACGTTCTGACATTGTCTGCCATTCCTGTCCATCCCTGAAAGACACAAACCGCATTGACGTCCTTGTTTCCTGAAGAAGGAGCTAGACCTAAACTCTCCCAGAAGCCAATAGCAGACGGCAGTACCGATAGCTTGTTATCGGCTCGCCTCACTTCAAGATGGGGGCTTGGAATCTGGTACAGGTTGCTTGGGCGCACTGGGTCAGAGTTCGGATCGCGACCTGGGATCGCGCGAGGCTGTACTCGTGCTGGCTGCCCCATTAGTGGAATGTCCTGAATATCAAGCAACGCCTTGAGCTTTAGCGAGGTAGCCCGACTTAGGAACGACGAAACGATGTGTTGCAAGATGTCTATGGAGCCCCGTGTGGCAAAATATGGCGGTCGTTGACAAGCTGCATCGTCATCGTAGGACTCTTCGGAGCGATGGTCGTATATGTCAAGTGCTCCAATGGCTGCCTGTTCAGTTACTAGTTGGGCAACCAGTATCAGATCTTCGTCAGAGAGTGGCAAATCCAATGGAAACGGCTCTGGGTCAGCAAAGTACTGAGGAAGTGATATCTCGGGTGTATCTGGTCGTAGTAACCGTGGCAGCTCAAGGGCAAGCCGGTCATCAGCTTCATTCAGAGGTTCGGCGTCTCTTACAGGAGTTCCTTGAGAAACCGCATCGGAGTCGGCTGGGCCATTAACCGTGGATCGGAAACCGGTCTTCAGCGGAGACGGATCGCCACCGATATCAGCATATGATTCGTCACTGTCAGAATCGGAACTAGACTCGTCGCCGGCGGCGGTCATGTTGTTATACTTGCCAACTCCGACGTCTGCAGTCAGTCCATCAATCCCACCTAGGCTTCCCATCAGAGAATCCAGAGAATTTGGACGCGCATTTCTCTTTAGTAGCCCCTTTCCATGCCGTTTTAAGTAGTTGGTCTGAGGGACTGCCCCAGGTTCCGATTTCAAGGAAGCCCGTCTACCGACATCGCCATAGTCATATAAGCCTCCATGTTCATATTTCTTGTTCAGCATGGGAAGACGATGGTCGAAGTCGACCTTCTCAAATATTTTGCCGGCTCTCTGCAGATTATTAACATTTTGTGCTGCAGCTGCTCGTGATAAAAGAATTGAAGCGCGGACTCTTTTGAAAATTGTATGAGGGTCAAACGGGCTTGAACTTCTTTTCAATGTCTTCCCAAAAGAGTTTTCCTTGCCTCTCTGATTTTCATCAACCTGTGAGCTTCGAGCGTGCCGCAACTCGGGTTTGGCAAACACAACCGGCTCCTCCTTAATGCTGACTGATTGCTCTGGAGCAGCTGTAACATCAGTATTATGTTCCACTCTTGGCGTACCATCAAGGTCGTCCTTATCCAAAGGCTTTTCATCATGAGGCTCCATCTCCATCGCGGACGGCTCTTCGTCGAAGAAGTTGAAGTCCGCTTCAGTAATATCATTATCATCAAACATGTCTCCTCCCATGTCCTCAAATATGTTATCAGCTCCGTTAAGCAAGTTGACATCGCTGTTTAATCGCTTAGAATCACCAGCTTCACTATGCGCCTCTTCTTCTCCACTGTTAATGACATGGGAAGCGCTAGGGGCAGCATCAATGTCGACATTTGCTGCTGATAGAGGATTTCCGGGACTCGATAAAGCTCCATCAAGTGTTGGTGTCACTCCGTTGAGATTGTGGAGAGCATCCGGGGGCGTAGGATACACCATATTTGCACCTGAAGCGCCTTGTTGCCTCATTGCTAATGGTGACGGGGCATTAGGCCGACTTAATCTCGGATCTTGGCCTTGAGCATCAGCTGCCTGGGCCGTTCTTCTATCTGACCGTCTTCTAGAAAGCTTTTCTTCGCGCTCAGCCGAGGCGTTGAACCAGGTTCTTGCCAATGCCAAAGGGTCATGGCTTTCGTCATGGACGCTGATTATCATTTCTCCAACTCTGTTCGTTGATGACACGTCCAAAACCTTTTTGCGGAAACAAAGCTTTCCGGGCCATGGCATTGAAAACGTAGGGCATGGTTCGTTATTGCGCTTTTCCTCTGTACGTGCTTCTTGTAATCTGAGCTTGTTGATTGACAAGGTAGCCCATGATTCAGTGCCAATAGCTTGATTCGACACTCCTCGGGATTGGAGAATGTTGAAACACGCTTGCTCCCACAATGCGAGATGTGTTCCTGACAGGCTTCGAAGAGCTTGACTCTGGTTTGATGACGGGTGTTCTATGCCTAAATCCGATGTTGGGCTGCCATCGCGTCCTTTGACAATGCCAAAAGGCGCCGCTAAAACTTTTGTTGCCATACCGTTCGAGCTGCTTGAGATGGCCTGACTAAGGCATTCGAAACCGCGACATACTGTAACAGTAAAGCCGATGATGAGTGCTCCGGTAGTCGTTATATACGCACGAAATGAGCCTAACCGTGGTTGCAATGACGGATCCGCGTTACTGTAATCTTGTACTTGACAAAAGGCCTCTGGTAACAGAACTGTTCGGTAGTTCAAAGGCAGAGATTGAGTCCTAGTACAAAAGGTCGAAGACACAGTATATAGGAGAGCGCCGATGAAGTTCTCATAAACAAGTTTATCTGTTATATGTGGAGAATTTGTTTCTTGCTGCGATAAGTTGGACGCCTTTGACTCATGGTCCTGTGGCGTTGTAACAGACAACTGTGATGGTGAGTTCAAGCCGTGTCTTTGAGAATCCGAAGCAGAGGCTGTAGGCGTGGCCGTCGAATTGATCGTCTGAGTGCTTTGTTGGGTTTGAAGCCGAGATTTATGAAGAAAACCTGGTTCAAAAACTCCTTCCTCTCTTATTTGCAATGCACAGTCGAGGATTTGTATGGTGGGTCCGAGCTTTTCGTTGGCAGTCGTATCGAGTTCATCATCCTTCGGAAGAACGTAAAAGTACCATATAGCTCGTTCCTTTGCATCGTAAGACACAATATGGCGTTGTTCGCGGAGAGCCTTTTCAACGTTTAGGCCAAATGAATGGAAATTGAATCGATGGTCTTGCGCAGGTTCGTAGAGGCGGTAGGCGATGGCGGACACGTCGTTCTATTCCATAGGTTAACCCCAGCATGAAGCGCGGCTAGATCCTGAACTTACCACAATCAGCGCGTTTGTTTCATATTCGCCCGTGTCCATGATTATAATTGGCGCCCCCAGAGGCTACTGCAGAATTGCTAGAGCCACTATGGAGGATGAAAGGTGCCGGGCGGCAAGCGACCTGGCGAGCTGCGTCGTCGCAACAGCCGCGATGCTGGTCGTAAGTAAATAGGTCCCGGGCGTTAAGTATGTTACTTGTGACTTGAGATATCTATTGACCTTTCATTAAATCCATAGCGAGCCACGGGTCCCTCTGGTTGTGCGATCGATCGACGGAATCGTGCCAGTGAGGCGAGCGGCGAGATCGGCTTTGCAGCTATTCGTTCGGACGGTCGATGATGATGATCCGGATCTCCAGGCGGTAATTGGGTATATATACAGTATTAAACCGGTGGCCTAGGCAAAACTGCGGCCACTCTCGATACCAGTGGCGGTGATGCTTGTTGTTTCGTGCTCGGCGCTGTTGAACAGAGGAAGCGTGCTGTCCCTCAGCGGAAGGGGCGCCGGCGCGCTGCGACTGCGCTGTCATTGGCTGCTACGGCCTGAGCCGACGCTACCTAGGCCCAGGCTGTGGGGTTGTTCACCGACCGCCGTCCAAAAGTGGAGTCCCTGTATTTTTTCTTTGGATGTAGACGGCAGAATTATTCCCAAACTTTTTTTTTGCTGGTAGCATTTTGCAGCCTTGGAAATATTCAACCACCTCTTCAACAAGACAGGACTTTACCAAAATCTTGTCGCCATGAAGCTTTCGAATCCGGGCACCGTGCCCGTGTATACTATATCCGGTGCTTCTACTGCACGCCCACTACCAGACTGGCTTGCTCGTCGCCGCAAGCGAAGTCTTAAGAACGATGCCGAGTACCAAAACCGAGTCGAGCTGCTCCAGGATTTTGAATTTGAAGAGGCTAGTAACTGTATTCGAATCAGTGAAGATGGTGAATGGGTCATGAGCACCGGCACCTACAAACCTCAGATGCACGTTCATAATCTTCCCCAGCTTGGCCTGTCCTTTGCCCGCCACACCAACTCTCTAAACCACAGCTTCGTCCTCTTATCTTCGGATTATTCAAAATCATTACATCTACAGACCGACCGCCGACTCGAATTACACACACCAATGGGCTGCCACTACGAAGTGCGTCTACCACGCTATGGTCGAGGCGTTGTCTATGATCGCCCCTCTACCGAAGCGCTTGTGCCAGCCGTTGGTATCGACGCCGAGGGCAAGGGCGAGGTGTTTCGTCTGAATTTGGAAATGGGACGTTTCATGAAGTCGTTTCAGGTTGACGTTGGTGGTGATGATGAGTTGACTGGCGGTGGTCTGCAAGGTGGCATTGATGTTGGCAGTGTGAACTGCGTCGCCACGGCCGAAGAGTCGCACAATCTGCACGCTTTTGGTACTTCTATTGGAACGGTTGAGTTCTGGGATCCACGATCCAAGTCCAGAGCAGCTCTCCTTGCCGGCCATGACGGTGCGGTCACTTGCCTGGATTTCCACCGTTCTGGCTTGTCGCTGGCAACCGGCTCGTCAACTGGTATGGTCCAGTTATTCGACTTGCGACGCCCAACACCACTGTTAAAGAAGGATCATGGCTATGGTTTTGCTGTGCAAAATCTCATACATATGACCACATCATCACAAGAAAAGAAGATCATGTCCGCAGACAAGCGTATTATCAAGATTTGGGACGAAGCCACCGGTGACCCATGGACGTCAGTCGAGCCTATTGTAGATTTGAACGATGTCGCATGGTGCAAGGATAGCGGTATGCTTCTGACTGCCAATGAAGGCAAACAGCAGCACGCCTTCTTCGTTCCTCAACTTGGACCCGCGCCAAAATGGTGTGCGTTCCTGGACAACATGGTGGAAGAGATGGCAGAGGAGATTCACACAGAAACTTACGACAACTACAAGTTCCTGACATTACCCGAGCTCAAGCAACTCAGCTTGGCACATCTGGTGGGCAAGAGCAATTTGCTACGACCTTATATGCACGGATACTTTGTTGCAACTAAGCTATACGAGCAGGCCAAGCTTATTGTCAATCCTTATGCTTGGGAGGAAGAGAGAGTTAAGCGCGTCAAGGATAAGGTTGAGAAGGAACGTGCCAGCAGAATCAGAGGAACCAAGAAGGTCAAGGTTAACCAGAAGCTGGTCGACAAGTTGCTTAAGAAACAGGAGAACCGTGAAAAGGTTGATACCAAAGCTGGTCTTCTCGGTGATGACCGTTTCACGAAGCTGTTCGAAGATGAAGAATTCATGGTGGACGAAACAAGTCGTGAATTCCGTCTTATCAACCCCAGCACTGTTGTTGATCAACCGACTGAGCCCGCTCCAAAGCCTACCCGATACCAAGGCAAAGACTCCGATGATGACTCGAGCGATGATGAAATTCGCGGGCAGCCTTCTACTACTGGTGGTATGGTTATGCGAGTTACATCGACGCAGAATCACGGCCGACCTCTCAAAGATACCGCATTCGGTTCTAGGCAAGCCAAGGGTGGCCGTGAAGGAAGACGTGGCGGTGACATCGTCGGTGAACGCTCTGTTACCTTTGTGCCAGCATCGAGGAGGAAGAAGCCTGGAGAATCCGAAGAGCAAGAAGCACCCAAGAGACGAGCTAATGCCGGCCGACGTAGCGCAAGCTCCAACACATTTCGCAAGATGTAAGGTGTACCTTATAAGCGGTATATTTACTTGTGCTACCTATATATCTCTACAATGCACAAAATGTTCAACCTCAATACTATCAGCAAGCCCCTTGAGATGGAAAAAGACGAAGACTGTACCACAAAACGCCATAAAATCATTATCCAGTAACCGAAACGAAAGAATATGCGCCTGGGCATATTTCATACCACCTTTGATAACCTAGCGACGGCTCTGCTTTTTGTCTGCTGGCAATGGCCAAGCTTTTTCAACATCATCGGCAGAGGATCTGGAAGTGCTTGGTCGACGATCTCGTCGTCCAGTCGAACCACCCATCTGGCGCTTGACGGAGTCGGGGAATTCGGTTCGCTTTGGTGTCATAACTCTCTTGACCTTGGCTGCCGATCGTCTAATGGTCTCCTTGATAGTCCATTCGCGTTTCTTTGCAATGAAGAAGAGAGTTGCGGTGACGGCTAAAGAAGGAATGTTAGTACCGCTCCCGGGTTCTACGGCTTCGCTCCAATTCTTGAGCAACGTACCTCCAATGATTGCTACAATGACAACGACAACAATAATGGCAATCATGCCACCTGTTGATAGGCTAATAGAGTTAGCAGAGCTGTCGCCAGAGGCACCAGCCTCGGTGCCGCTTTGCCCTTGGTTTCTACCGTCGTAGCCATTCGGCTGTTCTGTGACGAGCGGGGTGTATGAGGAAACTGTTGCAGAAGGCATGTCGAGCAGTACTTTTGTTCTTAAAATAGGTGTAATATATGAATAGACAAGATGAATGAAATAAGACAACTTTGAAGTATATGAAACCAGCGAAATAAAAAGAGGTAGCGGAAATGGAGAAGAGAAGAGTACTATGCCCTCTCGAGTGCCGAGATTTCTTCTAAGCGCCGAACCTCTTGGCTCCTCACGGCGCACCGCTGGTGGCGGCGTGACTGCGACACCGCAAGCTACAATCAAGTGAGAAAATATGGCTGCCGGTACTGAACTGATCACCCCCAAAATGCTAGTATTGTCCAATCAGCGGTTCTAATTCTCTGGGACAAGTGCCTGCATCGACGCCATTCCCCCCAGCGGGCGGAGATGGTTGCCAGCCTAGCCCTGTGATTGGCTGACTGGGATCGCGAAGCGCCGGCTGTGATGCTTGTTGCCAACCCTGTAGCCAATAAGGTTGTAGGGATGGGGGGCTTGAATTGCACCCCTGGCTACACTGTCACCCTACTAAACTGCTGTGACAAAAGAGGTTCATGGAGAGAAACGAAAAGGTTTATGGTGGATACTGAGCAAAGATAGCTGTACGCTCATTAAGTGTAAGTTATGTACAATTTATATTCACACTATTCGACATGTGGTCGTCTCAAGACATATCCATAGAAAGGGACCTCTCCACGACCTTCAAAAGCCAATGATGACTTTTTTACACGAACGAAACCACGCTTTTCCATGACTTTTTGGCTGCCAATATTGTCCACATCTGTCACAGCGGCAAGGCACTCCGTCACCAATGAGCCGTTCTTCTCACCCGCCAGGATTGATGCCCTCTCCACGTCGATCTCCTCCCCCGTTCTTGGCAAGGACCACCAATACTCAATAAATGCAGATAGGAATTCGCTGGCATACCCCTGGCCCCAGAACTCTTTGCGTAGCATGTACCCCAACTCGGGCCAGCCTAGTCTTCCCGTCCGGCTGTGAGTACCTCCCGTACCAATGACCTCACCAGTAGAGGCAAGACATATGACAAAGCCCAAGCCCTGAATGCCATTTGCTGCCATCTTAGCATTAAGAAACGCTTGTGTTTTCTCTATGCTATCATCGATGGCCTGTCTTGGTGTCCACTTCATCACCTCCATTTGTGTACGGAGTTTATGAAGGCCGTGCAAGTCATTTTGACTGAATGGTCGTAAAATGAGCCGCTCTGTTTGAAGTTGAATTTGCTCCCCCGGCCCCAGAAAAGGCAACGGGGGTGCAGTAGTTTTGACTTTAATAAACTCTAAAGGAGATATAGTATCCATGATAGTTGCGCTTTGTGTTGTAAGTGTAGCAAATCTACAACTGGGAGAGCAATTGAAGACTCATGTCGCAGTGAGTCACAGTGGAACGCGCTACCCGGTGTCGATGCTGTTCATAACTGGTGCTTACTTCATGCTCCATGTAGAGAAACTGGCATATCGGAAGGTAAATTTCTATGCGTGAAAAATTAAAGCGATAATCCTTTTCATAATAAAAATGTTGATTCATGATAACTTTTCGTCATTTGCCAGCTGGCGCACCTGGCGCATCTGTCACGAACGTACGGACGGTAGCTTGTTAAGAGGTGGCTTGTCGTGCTTGCCCAATTTTCTTAAGTCACTAACTTAGATTTCAGTAATTCATGGAAGGGCTTATCATCCATTGGGTCTCCATCTTTAAAGAACACATATTGTACACCGTCAGCCACCAGCCGCCATGAGTAGGCCTCCCTTCCAATTAAACACCCCGGTTTCCCAATCGCATGTACAGAGTAGGTTGTAGCGGCTTCAAAGTATCTCTCGTACTAAACCTAATAATTTCAAGGCGGAATGTTTTCTTTCGACTATTCGGCCATCAATGAAGGTGATGTGAGAGCCAAGAATGTTGAGCTCGGAGAAGGCTTTACGTTCTTAAAGCGGGAGCCAGTCAGACCCGGTCAATTCTTTCAAAGGCCAGACCGCACCGAAAAATCAATCGACGTAATCTCATTATCAGAAGGGAATAAGAATACAGGAAGCCCAATACTTGAAACGGAAAGCAGACCTCTTGGGGAGTTGGTTACGACTTCTGATGTATGTGAGGAGTCCTGCACCAAGGACGAGAGTACCACTTTATTGAATCATGACAACACTTTTGGTACCAATGAGCTAGAAGAGCCTTTCAATATGGAATCCCCTCTAGGATTGTCTAGGCCAGACCCGTTGAAGGTTTCGCTGCCATTGAAGACCGTTATCCAAAGTTCACGACCAAGCAAAGCTGGAATCTCGGAAGGAACAAATACTCAATTAAGCCCATTCGAGATAAATCCGGCTGTCTTCAACAGCCGTAATCCAACTAATAGAAGGGACTCTGTTTATAGTGACAGTCCGTGTGGAGATCTAGAGCCACCCGGACTGTTGCTGCCACCTTCACGGCATCGTGATAAGAATAGAAACACCAGCTGGGAGGAAAAGAGACGCGTAACAAAAATGGCTAATTCTAGACATCGATCCCAGTCCTGTGCCAGCAACATGTCCAAAAAACGTCGTTCAACTGGTATAACCGAACGCCTTACCTTAACCAACGAGAAGAAGGCTGCTGCAATGAACAAAGTAGCTCAAAACTGGAACACCTGTATGCAGATTGCCGCGGAAGAACAAAACATTGCCTCCAAGGAAATTTTCAAGCTAAAACAATCTATCAGGCAGCAAGACATAGAGCTTAGCCTTGCAAATGGAAACTATCAGCGCAGCCAGTCTCGTGTAGACGACCTTGAGAATCAGCTACAAGATATGCAAAAGAAATATGCAACTATAGAGAATGAAAAATCACAGTTGGAAGAAAGGTCACAAACACTTGAGGAACAACTGCAAGACTCTTGTGACAGAGTCAACAAGGTCGAAGAAAAATGCGGCGTCTACAAAGACAAGTTGAATGAGGCGATACAGGAGCAACAGGATCTACACAAGTTATCACAGCATCGTTGTGATGAGCTACAAACACAGCTATCTCAGTTGCTCGAAGAAAGAGATGTCCGTCGCTCTGAGATTGATAAGGCAATGTCTGAGAGTCAGGCGAAGAAAGAGGAATTAGGTTTTATTGTCGCAGCAGTTAAAGATGAAATATCAAGAGAGCGCGAGAAAGGTGATATAAGACTGTGACTGTAACATTATGAGGCTAATTGTTGGCTAGGCAAAATCATGGAGTTACAATTCCAAGCAAACTCCGAACGGTACGCGAGTGATCTGGAGAATGAGAGGTCTAAGTCGGAACTACTAAGAAGTCAACTTGAGACGTGCATCAATACCAGCGATGCGGTAGATGGTGTCATGGACCGTGCCAATGAAGTTGTACGCATGGTGGAACACCTTTGTGGCAATGCTGATCAGGACAGCAAAAACATCAAGCACCTGGAAGCAAAGTAAGTTGAAGATGTCACACAATAAATACGAATTACCTTCTGGGTCGTATACTAATAGATGCTTATCAGAATCGATACATTGATACAGAAGGTTTCAGATATATCCCCCACCAGTATGGCTAGCAGAGTTGCCGATGAGGTCGATACAAGAATGGAGACAAGGTAAAAGGACACCGATAGTAACTATGTGTTGAACTAATGTCGTAAAGATTTGATTTGTTCATGAAGTTTATGGATTCACGAAAAGAGTTCTTTTGCTCTGAACTTGATTGCCGAGATCAAAAGGTTGCGGAGCTTGGCGAGACCCTCGCTAGTATATCACATGAGCTCATCACCACTCGTGAGGTTCTGCAACAAAATAAGATGGATAGTGCAGCATCAAAAGACCTTTTAAACGAGGTTGTTAACAATTTGGACAAGCGCATCCAGATATTACTTCAAGAGGGGAAGAACGAGGCTCAGGAGAAAATCATCCTTCTCGATGGACATATTCAAAACATATCAACTGCTCTCCGAGACACAATCACGAAGATAGAAGATGTTGCAGCTATACAAAGAGATTCTGGCTCTCTGCATGATGAGTTAACTTCAGAAAGAAGCCTTACCAATCGATTGAAAGAAAAGATAGAAGTGCTTGAAAGGGAAGTTCGCGATGGTGAAGATCTAAAGCAAAAGTGGAAACAAGATGTTCAAGCAATCGATGACGCACGTTGTCAACTACAGAATATTCAAGAGAAAGTTACCAAAACAGACGAAATCGCAGCAAAAATGGACAGTATGCTACGCATTAATAGCTGTATCCAAGCCACATCAGACTACTTACGTACGGAACGGACATGGGTTCGGAAGCAGTTGGAGAATCGTGGAGTATCGGCTACAACAACCGCATCATCCAACGAAGAACTGGGCAGGAAGAGTCTTGCTCGAAAGGTTGTTCTTGCAAGCCCGATCAATATTATGCCCCGCAGCGATTGTGTTACAGTTGAACAGGAACAGAAGCAACGCAGAGAAGGAGCCAAGCCGAAGCCGATTTTACGACAGCAGACCAATATTGCTAGTATTGAATCTAACAAAGAGCAAATTGAACAAAAGACAGTCATTGAGAACATCCGAGATAGTCTCGTCAAGGGCAGTTCCTCCCAGAGTGGCTACTTCTTCCCAACGGTTGCCGAGTTCATGAGCAGTAGTCTATCAGAAAGCGATGAGAGTCGTGACGAACCGTGCAGCAAGGAAACGGAAGAAAGTCCACTTGCGAAGAAACAGCGTCTTAATGATTGGGATCCTGCAAAGGACGACAAAGGGCATCCAACATCGGTTTCCAGGGTGCTATTTCGGCCATCGGGGCGATAGTGATGATTGCTTAGACGTCGGTGACGAAGCCTGTAAGTCGCCCCTACAAGGTGGCCACTGATATGTGTACAAGTTATGGAATCTGCTTGCTTGATGAAGATTTGCTACAAGATTCGCTAGATTGATCCGAGAAACGGATTGTAATGTCATGAACGATTTGCACAGGACCACCTCAGCGCACCGGAAAACATGTGTGAATATAGATTTTGATGTAAAATTGATCGTAGATTGTGATTATAATGTGGAAAGCAAACCCAAACTCCGTTTATGCGTCATATAATACAGAGACGAATGCTGCTAGCTGGCCGGGATTCGGATGTCCAGTCCCGCACCAAAAAGCAACACTCGTCGCGCGTAGCTTTTCCAACGAGACCTTTATTTCGATCGTTTCTTTGATTCAAGGAATAGGACCTTCTTGCGAACTGTAGAACGTTTGAGGTTAGCATTGTCTGATTTGGGGCCAGGGCCAGATAACGGGGCACGCGATCGCATGACGGCGGCTGCAAGCAGAGTGTTACGCACTAATAGGATCGTATTTCAGCATGCCCATAGGAAGAGCCGTTCTGGGGCGCTTGAATGTGTAGAAGAAGCCGGTCATTGCCATCGAGATGAGGCGGACGTGAATCAGACGAGTCTTAGCTGCACGAGGGGAACAAGGAGTTAGCAAGATGCTGAAAGGGGACGGGTTGGCTAGAGGGCGCAGAAGGGAGCACTCGTTGTGGGAATGCGAGAATGCGCCGCGCTAGAGGCTTATTTTTTACGTACCCTTCTTAGCCATTTTGATGGTTGGTCGTGGTTGAGAGAGATGGTGGTTGCTTCAGTGCTTGGTTGTCGCATTCATCGAGAGTGAGGTTTGGCGCAGGACAAATTTGGGCCGTTCGGCGAAAGGTGGCGCCGGGGCCGGGGAGCGTGCCTGGGTCACCGCACGCCAACCCAGCAGGGTACTGGAGACTATAGTAGAGACGGGGCATGCCAATCATTAGCAGCTTATTTGGAAAAAGTATCGTGGAGTTGTGACTGGGATTAATGGAATTGGCATAGAGAGGACTGCTTTTCTTTTAGTGTGCCATAGTGATAAAGTGAATAAGTCAGGTATTTCTCTAGATGCAGTTTTTCTTTTTGCATCTAAGTAGATTTGGTGCTACTCTCCAGTCTTTTGGCAACAGGGCAACAGACAGGCCTAAGCTATAAGCTGTTGTTGAGTCGTTGAGGGGGGGCCCTTATCAGCCCGCGTAGGCAGTCTCACCGTCGTCGGGCCTTTTTCATCTCTCTTGTTCTGCTCAAAAATACCAGACGAGTAGTTGTCGTGAACAGGAGTCTTTTTGTTTACGAGCATCTCTTTTCATATTGGACATTGCCGGTCAACCATTCTGGCCATGTCTTCTGCAGCGGCCATGCGCTTCAGTGCGCGTCCGTCACGCAGCATCAAGAGTACGTTTTTACAGTTTTTCCATTGTGTGCTTGACAGACAGAAGTCTGTCTTGCTTTCCCCGAGTTTGTTTCTCTCTGGCATACGACGGCTTGTCAATCACCCCCGCACTCTACACCATCCGAATCCTGCTGCAACGCGATCCAATCCGGCGGATTGCGCCGTCGGGGTCGTCCGGTTGTCTGAGTCTTTGCCTAGTGGCAGACAAAGCAAGGCGGGAGATAGCCTGGTGACGCTCAATTGGACATCCCGCCTCTTCTAGCGGCCGATGCCTGCTTGGATTCCCGCTTGCGAAGTCGCAGGGCGTGCGCAGGAAGCTACTTGGTTTACACGGCGTCAAACAAGTCTACGGATCTGTGTAGGCCGCCACCAAAATATACCACCATAAGGATGCTTTTTGGGGTATTTGACTTTTCTCTTACCCTCTTGAGCCGATCCCGCCCGGTCTCTCGGTGATTATTTTCCATTTTTCATTTCCATTACTATTATATTTTCGGCATTACCAATCATATTACTGGCCCCCTGCAACCTGCACTTTGATCAGCCTGTTATTTTTCAGGTATCCAGTGCAGTTTGCCGTCTTTTTTTTTTCTCGGGTCCGACACCGCAGCGGTTACTGACGCATTAGTTTTCCCACTACGCAGCCACACTGAACCTTGCGCAACCGCGACTTTTTCCCGCTGGTGCCCCGCCATCAGTCGTTTCGACGCCGCTTGCACCCCGCCGAGCACACTTGCCTTGCCTCAACCACCTTCTTCACCAGTCTCAATCGTTTTCTTCCACCGCGCCCAGTATGAGACTTACTGTAGATAACATCAACCAGCGCGTCCGCGCCGCCGAGTACGCCGTCCGTGGCGAGCTTGCCGTCAAGTCCGAAGAGTTCCGAGCCCAGCTCGGCAAAGGCGACAAGTCGCTGCCCTTTGACCAGGTTATTTCCGCAAACATTGGCAACCCCCAGCAGCTCGACCAGAAGCCCATCACCTTCTTCCGTCAGGTTCTCAGCATTCTCGAGAACCCGGAGCTGCTGGAGAAGGAAGACGTCCTCATCAACGGCCTCGGCTACAAGACCGACGTCATCGAGCGTGCGAGATGGCTGCTCAAGCAGGTTGGCTCTGTCGGTGCCTACAGCGCCAGTGCTGGTGTTCCCGCTATTAAGGAGAGCGTTGCCAAGTTCCTTGAGAGTATGTTGTTGCTTCTTGCTCGCCAATGTCTGATGGCTGTTAACTAACTTTGCTTCAATGTAGAGCGTGACGGATTCCCCGCCGACCCCAACCACGTCTTCCTCTCCGCCGGTGCCTCGTCCGGCGTTAACACCCTGCTCAACGTCATCTGCGCTGAAAAGAAGAGCGGTGTCATGATCCCGATCCCCCAATACCCTCTCTACTCTGCGACCCTCGCTGTTCTCGACGCCACACCCGTTCCGTATAACCTCGACGAGTCCAAGAACTGGGGTACCGCCCTCGAGACCATCCAGGCCTCCTACGACAAGGCCGTTGCCGAGGGTGTCGATGTTCGCTGCATGGTTGTCATCAACCCTGGTAACCCTACCGGTGCCTCGCTCACCGAAGAAGACATCCGTGCTGTCATCGACTTTGCCAGCCAGAAGAACATTGTTCTCATGGCTGACGAGGTCTACCAGACCAACGTCTTCATTGGCCAATTCCACAGCTTCAAGGGTGTCCTGCGCAAGATGCAGCAGGAGAACGCCGGCAAGTACGACGGTGTTGAGCTTGCTTCTCTCCACAGCATTTCCAAGGGCATGGTTGGCGAGTGCGGTCACCGTGGTGGCTACTTTGAGCTTGTAGGCTTCGATCCCGAGGTCGAGGCCAACATTTACAAGTTTGTCTCCATCATGCTCTGCGCCCCCGTCATCGGCCAGTGCCTTGTCGAAGTCATGGTCAACCCTCCCAAGCCCGGAGAGCCCTCATATGAGCTCTACGACAAGGAGTACAACTTCATCTTCAACGGTCTCCGGGAGCGCGCCAACGCCCTCCACAAGGCCTTTGAGCAGATGGAGGGTGTCGAGTGCGGTGCCCCTCAGGGTTCCATGTACCTCTTCCCTACCATCACGCTGCCCCAGAAGGCTCACGAGGCTGCTGCCGCCGAGAACCGCAAGGCCGATGAGTTCTACTGCATGGAGCTGCTCAAGGCTACCGGTGTCTGCACAGTTGCTGGCAGCGGTTTCGGCCAGGCTGAAGGCACACTGCACTTCCGTACTACCTTCTTGGCACCCGGTACCGAGTGGGTTGACAGCATTGTCAAGTTCCACAACGACTTCATCAACAAGTACAAGTAAACAAATCTTTCCTTTCCAGCCTTGCACAGGGCAAAACAATAGAAAACCCGTACATATCTTTCAATTGTTACTATTATCACCATTTCTTTTTTTTTCTAGTTAGCTCAAAAGACTCATTTTCTTGGCTATCGGCTACTTTGATTTTATGTTGGGATATCTGGGGGTTGTAGTTCTTCTAGTCGCTCCTAATTCTATAAATATAAAATCATAGACACTTATGGGACTTTGCACACTAGTTGACATTAGAATGATAATTTCTCATTATCTAAGAGCTTTGATATCATACAAACGCCATACCGTAAAACATGATATACGTTGCACCGCCCTCCATCATTTAGACGTCTATTTATTTTGCTAACCAGTATTTGCTGCTTATGCACGCTCACTTCCTCTTAGTCTCACAGCCTGTCCGTACTTTTGAAGCTTGGTAATCAGCTGGTCACCCTGGCGGACTACGTCCTGGTATTGCTTGTTCTTATCGTCGGGGCGGTTGGTCTCAATTACGCCCTTGCCGCTGACACGGTCAATTGTGCATGGGATACGGCCGGCAGCAATGAAGCGAGCGAGGTCACTATGAGTAAATACTTAGTTAAAGGCCAGCATACAATATGGTGCGGTGCTTTCTTACCGATCGAGAAAGTCTACTGTGACTCCAAAGTCGTTGGCCATGCTGTCTAAGCCGACAACACGGTAGCTTTGAAGGAGTTGCTGGTATGCGCGTAGGCGCATTTCGCGGATGAACCACGACTTGTGCTCATGCAGGTAGCGGTCCTGGTTGAGGAATTGCTCTTCAACGGCAGCCAAGGACTGGAAGAAGGTCTTGTAATTTCCGTTGTAGAGACTGCTGACAAGGCGCGCAAGAGGGCTGAAATCAATGGCGAGCTCGGAGTCAGACTGCTCAGTGGTGGAACCTAGTGTTGTCAAGTTGACGGCGGTCTTGGCCGAGCCCTCGGTGTTCTTATCGGCCGCGGGGTCCTCTGCGCCAGGTCCAGCGCTCAATGCGCCACTGAGAGCAAGGAACTTGTCCTCACCATCACCCAAAATGGCCTTGATTTCAGGTGCATCGACAACCTTTGACTTGAAGTCTACACGCTTCAATGAGACAGATCCTGCTAGCACAGAGTACACAACGAGATTTGAGTATGTGCACAGTTCATAGCTGGTGAAGGTGGAGAGAGAGTCGAGCAGGAGCGGGGCGGCAACGTTATAAGATCGCAGGGTGAGGAGGTGTAGGCCTTCGTAAGCCTTGAGGCGGTTACGTCTGTCCCAATCGCCGCCGGTTTCGACGAGGGTCTTGGCGCGTTCGATATGCTTCTTGACGAGGAGCTTGTCGCCGAAGAACAAGCCGGTGCGGATTATTGCGAGCACGAGATCGATCTTGGTACCGAGAATGCCCGTCTTCTCGAAAACGTCTTCGTAGGCGGTGAGCGCTTTGTCCTGTACGAGTAACTGAGTTAGCCAGGTTATCAAGTTTGTGTACGTCGTCGTGTTTGGTGACTTACCTTGTCGCCCACGCGAGCCCAGAACTCGGCGCGCTTGCCCTTGGCAGCCATAACCTCTGTGTCTCCGGCCTGCTCGACGGCCTCATCCTCCTCCTTTTGGAATTCGGCAAGCTCCTTATCGTTCTCGGCCTTGAGGCTGTTGTAGAGAGCCTCATCCCATGGCAAGCTGACGCCGGTAGCGGGGCCTTTGGTGGCAACGATGCCGGCCAAGCTGGACTTTCTGCTCAGGGGCTTGCCCGGGCCGCCTGCTGAGCCGGTATCACTGACGGTGTTGAGAAGACCCTCTGTAGGGTGCGCGAGGTATCTGTAAAAGGGCGCCATCTTGTCGCCGGTGATGGCATCGTGGAGGGCCTTGACGGCGGCCTGCTGACTCTGTCTCGTGGCATATGCGTTTGTGAGGGTGAAGACGTGCTGCGAGAGGGGCAGCAGCGGCCACTTGGCATATTGAGGATCGGAACCCATGGCTTTGGCGCGTTGCAATCCGGTCGCTGTGGGAGAAATGAGTTGAATTGGAGGCGCTGACGGCGATGTTGTAAGTAGAGAGGAGAGAAGTGGGTGGAATCCAGCAATGCTCAGTGATAGCCAGCTTGACGACAGCTTAGGGTGGCCCGTGCGTCTTTTCCAGGTCCCAAGGCTTCCGTCAGACACGCAACAGGTGGTGGCCAGACTACGGACCACCTAGGTATGGGCGACAGTATAGCAGGTTCAAGGCGAAGTAAAAATTATTTAAAATCTTTTAATTATTTAAAGAGGTTCAATTAGGATTCATAATGGTTATTTCGTGAATTAAATTATACTAAGTGCCTCTGGTAACAAAAAAGACGATAATTGGCTGTAAAAATATTAAACATCGCTTACTATCTGACCAAACTTACTTTAATTCTATACTATACATTATTGATACTTTTAAAATAAAATTAAAATAATTTATTTTCGTCATTTGCATCTCACACAAGACGCATGCCATCCGCACGTCAGAAACGCATATGCCGCCTGTCTCCACTGTGACGCCAACCTCTCTCAGCACTCTTTCTTCCTGGAAATATTAACCATTTCGACAACCAATTGCGTTACACAACAAGCCCAAACGAACCCAAACATACACATAAAACACCAGCATACGTAATGGCTGATGATCGCTATCGGCCCTCGGGGGATAGAGACAGAGATCGCCGTCGTGACGACGACAATTCTAGACAGTCCAACAACGAAACCCAAGACCTGCCGCAACCCTACAATGCAAGCTCTCTGCAAGTAAAGCGAAGAGCCGTCTCGCCCTCTGAACAGCCTAGAAAGCAGAAACGACCTGGTGCCCGTGCCAGAATCTCCGAATCCGAGCGTGAGGCCATCCGCCAACGCCAGATCCAGCGCGACCGAGAGTCGGCGCAAGCCGCTGCTGCCATGAACGAGAATAGACCTCGCCAGAACCACGACGTTGTGCGCCAGCACTATAACAATGTCCCTGAGAGAGGACGCGAGTGGCGAACTACCGACAGCAACATCAAGGGACTCCGAAAATTTAACAACTGGATCAAAAGCTGCATCATCCAGCGATACTCTCCCGACGAGGACCACGCTCCCGGTTCACGAGAGGCAGGTAGATCGAGCGGCCGCGAACTACTCATTCTTGACGTTGGCTGCGGCAAGGGTGGTGATTTGAACAAATGGCAACAAGCGCCTCAGCCAGTGCAGCTGTATGTCGGATTGGACCCTGCAGATGTCAGTATTGAGCAAGCCCGCGGAAGATACAGAAGCATGGCTTCTCGCGGAGGCCGCGGTGGCTATGGCCGCCACGGATCCTCTCGACTCTTTGACGGACGTTTCCACGTGAAGGATTGCTACGGCGAAACCATCGAAGATCTCGACATTATCCAGCAAGTGGGCTTTGACCCGTCGCCAATGAACCGTCGTGGCTTTGACGTCGTTAGCATGATGTTTTCCATGCACTACGCTTTCGAATCAGAAACAAATGCGCGAAACATGCTGCGCAACGTTGCAGGAGCATTGAAAAAGGGAGGTCGTTTCCTCGGCTGCATCCCGAACTCAGATATCATCAGTGAAAAGGTGCGAGCATTCAACGCCAAGGCAGCGGCCAAGCGTGAAGCTGCCGCCGCCGCTGGAGCGCCAGCAGATGCCGAAAAGGCCAATGGAACACCGCCTCCTGCAGAACCTGAAGACGGTGAGCTGGAAGAGGGCGAGGAAGAGCCCACAGCAGAATGGGGAAACTCCATTTACCGCGTCCGCTTCCCTGGCAAGACGCCTGACGATGGCATCTTCCGTCCGGCTTTTGGCTGGAAGTATAGCTTCTTCCTGGAAGAGGCTGTCGAGGAGGTCCCTGAATACGTTGTTCCTTGGGAAGCGTTCCGTGCGCTCGCCGAAGACTTCAATCTCGAACTGCAATTCCACAAGCCATTCAATGAGATCTGGGAGATGGAAAAAGATGACCGTGAGCTTGGCCCGCTCAGCGAGCGTATGGGTGTCAGAGAGAGAGGCGGTGGTCCCCTACTCTTGTCTGATGACGAATTCGAGGCAGCTAGCTTCTATCTTGGCTTCTGTTTCTACAAGGTTTAAGAACGTGGCCTTCAGTCGGACGTTTTCAAAAGCATGTATCAAGACTACAATCAACTTACTCAAAATTAATAGCAAAAAACAAAATACATCAAATGTGGATATGAGTGTGAAACGAGCGTGTGTATATAGTTGGGTATCATGATATAAATACATAGTGTCGTAAGACGGCAAGCCCAACACCCCATCCATGCAGATAGCCTAGCGCCGCGCGGCCATCCCGACGCAGTTAAAAGAGAGAGAAAAGCAAAAAGTACAGTCCTGCAACTAGTTAACCAAGGTGGTTGGTTGTATCCTTCCATATTTCTCGCTAGAGAATGTGGTATCAAGCTACCCCGGTGTAGTTGCTGAGGTTCTCGCAAAGTAGCGAAAACGCGTACCAGAAGAGTTGGGAATTATGATTAGAAAAAGTAATAATAGATTAGTTTCAAGCCGCATTAGTTGACCGGCGCCAGATCATAACTGCGGCAACAGCCGCGCAGGCCGTAGCACCAAGAGCCAGATACAGTCCTGTACGGTCTGGGGCGTCTTCCTCGCTCTTGGGGAACCCGTTGCTGGGGTTGGTCGCGGTCTCTGCGAGCGCAACGAAGAGCTCGCTGATGCTGTTCCACGTTACGCTGACATGTAAAGGAGTGTTCATATTCAGTGAGCCGGTGTATTGATCGGGTTGTAATTCGCTGCGCTGAGTTGTCTTGTCTCGGTCGGCCTTGAGGGCGGTATATACCGACGGAAGTTCATCCAGGTGGGCATACTTTTGGCGCATATCGACAATGTGTGAAAAGGAGTCGGGGTCGGACGAGTCGTAGGCGTAGCAGATGAGGTCGCAAGCATCTAGCTTGCTCTGGTTCTCGAGGATGGCCGGTTCTAGCTCTCCGAGCTCTTCAAATATCATGTAGACCTGCTTTCCGCCAGGTAACTCGACACTGTTTACCGCTCGTCTTGGTTTAATAGTTGGTCGATAGAGGCCATCAAATGGTCGGTTCAGGAACGCATCGAGAAGAGACGACTTGCCGGCGCCGGGGGCACCAATGAGGTAGCAGAGCACTACGTTTCGCTCAACACGCCCAGGGCGGCGTCTGCGCTTACGAGACTTGGTAATTTTGAGCGCTGACGTGATGGAGTCTTTCAATGTGGCAGGTTCGAATCCCAGGTATGCCAGGTACTCAATGGTGACTTTGGGTTCCAAAAAGGTCGTCATGCTCCACTGGGCGAGCCAACCCTGAAGTGTGATATGGCCAGCTTCGTTACGCACAGTTGACGAAGGGAATGATGATTCGGTCCATGAGGCAGGAAGCCCGGGAGTGGGTGCAAAGAGCGCTTCGAGTTCCTCATCGTTGAGACCGCCGTCGTTATCTTTGTCGAAAAGCAGGAAGAGGTCCACAAAGAAGCGGTAGCCAGCGGGACTGAGTTCTGCTGAAGAGTATTCGGGAACATCGAAGTTGGGGTGAAGGAAAGCTTCCTCCAGGCTCAAGCTGTCGGTGTAATGATACTTTCGCAGAATGATCCAAATCGTCTCGTGGCGGCCCTTTTCTGCATAAATCTTGTTGAGCTGCAGGAAGCCCTTCTGGTCAACACCGTGCCCCATATTTGAATCAGGTAGCGATTTGGCAATGGAAGCCTTGATATTTTCGAGGTCGTTGTCTGTGAGGGGCTTGTCGAAGCACTTGGACTGGAACTCTCGCATCTCCTCGTTGTTAAGGTAGCCATCCTGGTCCTTGTCGCAGAGGAAGAAGATTCGCTTTAAAGCTGCAACACATGCTGGTTTGAGCTGGCCTTCCTTGTAGTCAAACAAAGGTGCGATGGGATGCGTTACAGCCTTTTGGCAGAGGAAGAAGACCTCGTTCACATTGCGGTGCTCACGAGCACTGGCACGAATACAAGAATCGATTTCTCTGAATTCAGCCATGACAGGCAGTAGCTCTTCCTCAACAACCTGTGGAGTATCGGCCTGGCCAACAAGGTCTGACTTGTTGGCACACAGAACAACAGGGACGTTTACGCCGAGGGATCGGAAGTAGGGCATCCAGAAGAGAGCGACTCTCTCGTAGCTGTAGTGGTCGGCATAGATAAGGAGAATGACGTTGCATTTTCGGATCTCTTTGCGTAGCGTTGTTCGATCCTGAGGTCGAGCCGATGTGTCGACAATGGTTGTGGTGACGTTTTCTGGCGTGCCAATGCTAGGCGGGATCGTGATCTGCGGGAGGACGGGTTGAATTTTGTTGTTTACAAACTGGTCTTTGACGAGAGAAGCAATCAGGCTGGACTTGCCAGTGCTCTCGTCACCGCAGACGCAGATGCGCACGGCTAATCGGTGTGTTAGCGACAGCTTTGTGGTTGCGATCACGTTGGGGTCATTGGGGGGTAAAGGAGTGGTCGCGATGGGGAGAACGCACAGGTAACCATGACGTCGGACGATGGTTGATGAAGGAATAAAAAAGCAGCAACAGCAGCTTTACTTGCTATCCATATCGGTTCCGGGCAACAGACGGGTTCAACAGCGATGATCTGGTGATGAAGCCAGTGCTGATGAAGAAAAAAAGAGAGGATGGAGAAATGTCGCGACAGCGACAAGACCAAGTTAAATTGCCTGGGCGCGCCAGGATTGGGCGGGAAGAGAAGAGGAGACGACACGCCAGCCGTATTCGGTAGCGTGGTTGGGTGAGCTAAGCCGGATTGGGCGTTTCGCTGTCGATGACCTGCGGCAGCGTCACAGCAGGGCGAGGTTTTGGCGTGTGTGTGGTGTAAGTGGGCGCGCGCCAGAATTGTGTTTTGTTGCCTGCTGTACGGGTTATTTATTTTTATTTTATTTCAGAATTCTGAGAATAAATTATGAAGCTATCTTGTCCCCGTTTAGCTCTCTCGGCCACGTTCTCCCCCGCACAAGCCACACAACTCACTGTAGATAACGCGTAATGGGCAGCCAGCCAGCCACTGGGAGCCGCCACAGTGCACTCGCCCAACACACCACAGCGCCTGCCCGCCGCTTACCCCACACTGAGCAATGACCGCCCACTAGGTCAAGGCTGAGCTGCAACGGCTCTTTCGTCTCCTCTCTCATCTTCATCCTTCCTTCATCGTCGCCTGTTTGTTGAACGTTGCCTTTTACGAGCGTCTTCTACTAGCGCCTCATAAAGCACTCTGAATTACTGTGCGCCATCTCACGTCTCGTTGTCGGCCGGTCACAATCCTTGATATTCCGCAACGTCCACCTCGCCAGCCCAGCTCGTCTACCACCGCCTTCCCGTCAAACCTCCACTAGGCATCATGCTGTAAGATTTAATAACCCCTTGCACTTCACACAGTTACTTACCTCGCATCTCAGAGGCTTTACAGTCCTGCCGCCTCCGCCTCGGTACCCCGGCATGGGGCCCTATGGCTCCAACCTGAGCGGCGTCGTCCCTATCGTGGAAACCAACAACACGCTAGAGAACCCATCGGGTCCTGAATGGCAGTTCCTTGTTGGTGAAGGTAGCTATTCTAGTCCATATGTCCGATGATAACCTCTAACACCGTTGCTTTAGGTACATATATCCTCAAAGAAGACCTCCATCTCGCAACTCCACCGCCTCATCCCTCCGAGGCACCCATTATTAACCCAAACCCGCTATCTACTGATCCACAACCTGCCAGCGCGGGCACCAAAGTGACACTCATGTCCCTGGAACCGCGATCACCGCCAGCGGCATTTGCCAAGGGTCCTACTGCGTCCGCGTTTGCTCCCGACGCTTCTGCCGGTGCCGGTGATGGTTCCTACGATGGACGCTCCTCGGGTGATGCTATAAAGAGCAGCGAAGACAGCCACAACGGCACAATAAGCGATATCACACGACCTAGCGAATCTGCTCCCGCGTTTGGAGAAGGGAATACTCTCCTAGCTGCCGCACCTTTGAAGGACGCAACAAAGAGAAGAAAGCCAAAGAACAACGTCACCAAGAGTAACTCGTCATTTATTTCTAGAGTTATTATCAACGACAATTTGAGCCGGCGGATGGCAGAGCGACCTGCTGACGGCCTATATGGGTTTGCCAACATCAACCGTGCTTTCCAGTGGCTTGATATGTCGTCTCCAACAAAGGTCAGTACCCATAGATGTCATCTACAAGGTATCCTATTACTAACATACGTAACAGAACGACTACTTTACCAAGATCTTGTTCACCAAGGCTCATTGTTTATGCCATGATGTCAACTTGGTAACAAAGGCCACGACTCATATGGATGTTATTTTGGGATTCTCTACAGGTGAAATTATCTGGCTTGAGCCGATTTCTCAAAGATACACGCGATTGAACAAAAATGTTCGCCTCTCGATCCTTAGTGTCACAGCTTCATTACTAACATGTTCATAGGGTGTTATTAACAATACGCCTGTGGCAGAAATCAAGTGGATTCCCGGGTCTGAGAACTTGTTCCTTGCAGCACATATGGATGGTCTCCTCGTTGTATATGACAAAGAAAAGGAAGATGCCGTATTCCTACCCGAAGAGGATGAAGGCCAACCCAGTACCAACGATACACCTGATGACGGAAGCGATCCAGCAACCAAGATTCAAGTGCAAAAGTCTGTACATTCAAAGAACCAAAAGTCCAACCCAGTCGCAGCTTGGAAGTTGTCAAACCAGCGCATAAATGCCTTTGCCTTTTCCCCCGACAACAGACACTTGGCTACTGTTTCGGAGGATGGTACACTGCGAATCATTGATTATTTGAAAGAAGAGTAAGACAGGTCCATTTCTCTCAATTTAAAAACATCAATGCTAACCGACCTTAGGCTCGTCGATCTATTTTATTCATACTATGGTGGCCTGACCTGCGTCTGCTGGACTCCGGACGGCAAGTACATATTGACCGGTGGACAGGATGACCTCATTTCAATTTGGTCAAAGGATGATTCGGCTCTTGTGGCTCGTTGCCAGGGACATGACTCCTGGGTTTCTTCTGTGGCTGTCGATCCGTGGAGATGCGACGACCGCAATTACAGGTTTGGCAGTGTCGGAGACGACGGTCGACTGTGTTTGTGGGATTTCAATGTGGCAATGGCCCATGCGTCCAAGAATGTAAGGAAGACAGACTACGTTTATGCGGGCATCAAATTGGGCAATGCTAACCTAGTTTCAAAGGCAACTCGAAACCGCGGTTCCATCTCGTCACATCCAGAGACTGACCATGGTGACGGAACCACTAACGGCAGAAACATCTCACACGAGGTAGAGATGCGCGCAAATATCCCGATGATTCCTGCAGTATTGGTAAGAATGATCATCCCATGGGTACCCACGGCATTGCTAAGCGACACCTTTTGCTGTAGACGACTCCAATCCATAAGAGCCCACTATGCTGGCTAGAATTCACAAGCGACTCCATCATGACGAGCTGCAAGAGTGGTAAGTGGAGCGGAGGCAGTCTAGACCTCTTTTTTTCTAGCAGTTCTAACCAAGCTGAATAGGCCATATTCGTACATGGAATCGACCTGGAATGGGTCCTACCGAACCTGTAAGCGAAGCAGCGCAATAGTGAGGTTTTGGAGTGACACCGTTGATCTGATATACATGGAACAAGGGGATATAAGAGGCGATGGATTTAATACACCAGCTGTGTAGAGAGTTTTGTATACAATCATTGAAATGTGACTTTTCTTTGCTTTTTTTCTTTCTTAATTCTTTTACAATCTCCGCATAAAAATGCTTGACTGGGGGTGCACGTGTTGCCAAGGTGGCGCTTAAGCGGCGGGAGCGCCGTGCACCAAACCAAGGAACATGCATCCACAATTCCCGGTTTCAACGGCGCCCATTGTTCATGCACGCCACCGATGTGGCCTCCGCGCCTGGGCCTCTGACCATCGAACATGCACTTGCAGTCACAACTCATGTCCACCAGCGAAAAAATTACAAGCTAATGCGGGAGGGAGCCAAGCTTGTTAGCTCACGTTACGCAGGGATGCTGGTCCACAAGGTTCTGAGCTTCGACCGTTTGGTTAGTGCAACAGTTTTTGGCTCCTCGCTAGTGGGAACTTGGGTTAATTTACAAGCGAGGATCAATTAAGAAACAACCCTTGCCAGATTCTCGCGAATAAGATGGAAATGCAGCGTGGCGAGTTGCATCGCCTGTTGGTCACGATGATCCGGCGTTCGCCAGATCGTCAAAAGTCTCTCGAGCTTGCATCTTTATAACCACCACCACAACCACTGACGCAGCCACTGCGGCCGAGTCAGACGTCATGGACACTCGCCAACACAATGGTCCCCTATGTTTTAAGCAGTGTTCCCTGGAACTGCAACGGTCAGACTGCCTCAGCCACATCCGTTGACACCCACTTACGCTGCTGTGGCTGATGCATAAACCGGTTTGTACGGAGCCTGGAGGGGCTCTCCCTCCCCAATGTGGCAGGTAATTTGGCCTATTTTGCAGGCGGGCATCTTAGTCGTATGCGTATGCTTCCCTCCCAACGATAGGGGACGAAGGCTTTTGTTCGAGCGCCAGGTTGGCAAGTTGTGAAGCGAGATGGGTCCGGCTGTGGTCAAAACCAAGATTTGAATGGCTGCGTTTGGCGGAGATTTCTGGCTGCCTCTTGCATGACGCCCATCAAGATTTGTCTATATATCTTGCGGACGCCATGCCAGTGGCTCAAACCCTCTCTTTATGATCATCGTCTCCCATAGATCTCACGTTATTTACTCTTCCTCTCCTACCCTCTCCCAACATGTCCAACACAAACGACGTCTTTGACGTTGAGGCAACAAGCCTACAACAAGACACCCACAAGCCCATTCACAGGGGTATCCCAGCTGGTCCTCGAAATGCACTCGTCGTCCTCATTGGAGAGTTTTGCGGAACATTCATGTTCTTGCTTCTCTCTTTCATCGGTGCCCAAACCGCCATTAACAACAACGATCCGAAGAACACAGATCCCGATGCACCACTCCTACCCATGAGTCTGCTTTATATTGCTAGCGCCTTTGGCACAGCCTTGGCTGCTAACGTCTGGATCTTCTACCGCGTCAGTGGCGGCATGTTTAACCCTGCTGTAAGTTCGAACCCGAAGACATCCCTATTACACCACTAACAACATGAATTAGGTAACTCTTGCTCTTGTCCTCGTCGGTGCCATGAAGCCTCTCCGTGCTCTCATGGTTATTCCTACACAACTTGCTGCTGCTATTGCTGCTGCTGGAGTGGTCAACGGTATTCTACCTGGCCCCCTCAGGGTCGGCAACGCCCTTGGCGCCGGCACCCAGCCAGTGCAGGGTGTCTTCCTCGAGATGTTCTTGACGGCTCAGCTTGTCTTGACCATCTACTTCCTTGCTGTTGAAAAGCACCGTGCCACCTTCCTTGCCCCTATTGGTGTCGGTGTCTCTGTTTTCATTGCCCATATTGCTGGTACAAACTACACTGGCACATCGGTCAACCCTGTTCGCTCGTTTGGCCCTGCTGTCATTGTTGGCTTCCCCCACTACCACTGGATCTACTGGATTGGCCCCTTCCTCGGAACCTTCCTCGCCTTTGGTGTTTATTCCTCGATGAAGTTCCTTGACTACAGCACCGCCAACCCTGGTCAAGACCACGACGATATTGACCGCGCCAACAAGCATATGAATGCTCCCGTCAGAGCGCATGCCACTAGCCTGTCCAGCGCTCACAGCCGTTCTACTCTTGTTGGATCCCCATCTGGTAGACCTAGACCTGGAAAGGACAGCCACTCCAGCCGTGATGGTGTTCAAGGTCACTAAGGTGGGCACTTATACGTTTAGGAGATTTCATTTGATGATTCATGAATTTACGGCTGATTTGGAGCATTGGACGGACAAAAAAATTTGTACACTATTGCATTTGATTTGAAATAAAGGAAATATATATTTAAAACATTTAAAAGCACTGTTCAATTCTCATAGTGACTCGAAAAAATGCGGTGTTAGTGATGTGTTGGGCAACGAGCGCTAGCGTCCAGGCGTGCAGTACTGCCTCACTGCCCGCCGCGTGAGTTCATCCTCATGCACCAACACTACGGTCGCCAGTATGGCGAAAGGGGGAGCCTCCCGCCCGCTTCCCTGGTATCAAGGACCGAAATTAAATCCATTTGTATTTCCAGAGGGCATTTTTGGTCCCCGAATTCGATTCCTGGGTCTTATTAGAGGCAGCGCGCGCGGCGAAACCCATCGCGTTGACATTGACGGCCAAGAATACGACCTGACAGTGGTGAGCTACAACAAGTGCGGATTACCATGCCTATCTACTAACATGGAAAGTTCAAATTTTATCGATGGTCAGATCTCGTTGAGTCGACGTACTTTGAACAATGCCCCGACCAGACCATCAAAGACGTCATAGCACAATCTGATCCGTTCCATTGCGAGTGCCGCGCGTACGGACGGCTTAAGGAGACCAACTCTGAACATCTAGCCATCAAGTGCTACGGTTACATCATCTTGAATGATGACGAGGAGGCCCAACTTTTAAAGGCGTCGTCCTCGGACTGGGCGAGACCAATGGGGCAGAAGAGCCAAGGGATTCGAGCTGTCGCCAAAGAGTGCCTCCCATACAACGCAGATTTGGAATATCATATGCTACCTCAGATAAGACGCGATATGTTAGACATGCACAAGATTGGCATATGCGTCTACAATCTCAGCAAAGAGAGCTATATTCAAGGCAAAGTGGCCGACTTGTCCGAAGCCATGGTTGTACCGCATCGGGATCTCGATTTATCCAGCAATGGCCTGACAGCAAAGCGGAATTGCCAACGTGATTTTATTAATATGGATGCCATAGTGGATGAATGGAATACCAGGCATCCAAAAGATACGTACAATGGTTTCTTTACACCAGCTCCGCACCAGCAAGGGCGAAACGTGCAGTGGCTTGCCAATCGCCTCTTCAGCGGTAGTAGCAAGCATGTCACCGCTGCAGAATATGACTGGAAACAAGCAGCCAATGCAAGAAGAACATTGGCAATTGCGCTCCAGAGGGACGGTGATGGTTCAAGGAAGCGGCCTCGAGGGTCATGATGATTAGCGTCGTTGTCGATTACAAGTCTTGTTTTTCAGGTTGGGCGTGCGATTGCCGCGATTTCCTAGATGCCGACTTCCTAGCGGCGGATGCTACTTTCCAATCATATCTCGGTGGCATTAGATATTTGTCGGGCACAGTCATGAATGGTGTTGTAGTGGCTCGCGTGCTCAGCCGTAGTCTGCTTATATATTTCATTCGCGGCAAGAAGAATCGGAGATATGCCTGGCGCGGGTGCGCCTCATTCCATGACACTAAAATCCCATCAATTGCAGTGAAGTCTCGCCAGTATGCTTCGTGCGTTGAACTTGTCTGATCAACGAGGTCCAAATATCGATGGGGAGTGACATGTGCTTGGCTAAAGTCGACAATCTTGCTCTCCATAGAGTTATCTTCCCGCAGGTCGAATACACAGATTCCAATTCGATGGGGACTGAGAAGATCACGTCGCATCTGAGGTAGTTTACTTCGCTCGAAATGGGTCGACCCTTCCACGTACTTTTTGACAATACCCCGGATGCCCATTCGCTGGTGCTCTGGTCGATGTCGCGTCCATGGGAATGAGCTGAGCTGCCTGACTTGTTCCTCCTCCTCTGCAGTAAGGATAACGTATCCATAGCACTTTATTGCTAATTCTTCGTTGCCGGTCTCTTGTAACCTACCAAATGCTCGGCATTCACAGTTGAACGGATCAGATTGGCCCATGACACCTTTGATGGTGACTCCGTCGTATTGCAGTGGCTCGGGTGGTGTCAGCATCCGCCAATAATAAAATTTAAACTATGAATTGAATTTTAGCATAAAAAATATTTCAATTGGTTATAGGGATCACCAACAAGCTTTAGAGCATACATGGTTCCATTCATCTCGACCTTGTGTACCTCGCCATGAAGACCGCTCCCGAGTCGCCCCAAGAAACGAATCCTCGGCTCATTATTCCTTTCCAAAAATTCAAATGGTTTTTACTTTGGTCAAGAATATAAGGGCAATGGGCGCTTCGAGGTCATCTCTGTCTCGCTGACTCTGTGCTGGAGCTCGTGTCAATGTTGTTGATTGGATGTGGTTTCAAGCGCCGTGAGTTTCAGTAACGCTTAGAGCCAGCGGCAGAGACTACGAGAGAATCGAACCATAAGCAGTTGAAGATATATCACGTTTTATTTACATAATTATATTTAAATCTCGGTCGTCAAAACGTGACTCTCTTAATTAGTTACCTAGCTATTGGAAAAAAGAATCAAGATAACTTATATTATTCTGTAATGTTTAATATGGAAATGTAGTTTGCAAACCAAAACTTCGCAATTCCAGTTGCTTTGTGGCATGACCAAGTCAAATCTGACGAGGTACAGTGATGTTGAGCGTGATAACATTCGCTAAAGTCAACAACCACATGTGTGTAACTGAAAGTAAGAGCACAAGAGCTATACTCGGCTTTGGGACGGCGAATATACTCGGGTTTTGCATAGCAAAAATATCCTGGGCTTGTAAAGCACCAGCCCTGCCAGTCATAATTTTCTACCGATCGTGAAGTAAGAGTCACAGTCAGCACAGGCAGAGTGATATTTTTAGTCTAGTAGCGCAACTGTCGTCGATCAAAAGTAATAATTACAGATTAGCTTGTTGTAGCCGAGCAACAGATGCCAACAACGCCTGTTTTCAGTGCCTGCTGCATACTGCGTGTTGTTACGGCTCGAGCAACATATGCCACAAAATTCAGTAGTTCTTCTTTACCTATAGTATATATTAGCATGAGTATTTCCTTTCGTTCTTAAATAAATAGCATACCAAGTGTATAGAGACCGTAATACCGATGGTTAAAAGAATAAGTAAAGTGAGGGAAAGAAAAATAATTTTTCTTGGTGTCCAGTCGAGGTTTGTGGGGGTTGTAGTATTGTCTTGAACGTCAAGAGGTTGTCGATAGCGACGTGTAGTATTAGCTACTGGTAGATCGACAGATTGTGGACAGTAACACCCTTTGTTAGCTGGTACATCGACAGGCTGTGGACAGCAACATCCTGTATTGGCTGGTAGATTGACAGATTGTGGACAGGCACACCCTGTATTAGCTTCAAGATCGACCGGTTGTCGACAGCAAGGCATTATTGCGGTTGGGCAATATTGTGGAGGAGCACCCATTTTGTTAGTTCTGCAAGTTCTGTATTTAAGAGATAAAGATGTTACTTGCAAATAGATATCTGTGGTCTTTATATATATTGTATGCTAATAACAAAGTTTTTGAAAAGTGTTAACTACGTTTTCCTCACATACCTTGGAAACCTTGCTCTTTCCAAACTATATGTCGGTAGACCCAAATACACAATCTTTAACTCTATGCTACATAAAAAATGTATAATCCTGTTAGAGTACGTGTGATTATCTCTAACATTCTGAAATATAATAATGTTTTCGTCTATAACTTATAAATAAATATTATTTTATCTTTGAATGTCCAGAAAATCAGCACGTCTCCGCGAAGGTAGTAGCGACGCGCGCGGGCGATACAGGCTTAGAAATGGTACTGTTCCTACACCATAGCGGTTGTGCCTGCCCTTTGTGGTCGCCTCATCTTTTATGTCGGCCCGCCATGTCTTAGCTCTCTTTTTGGCCGTAAGATTATCGATGCGGCGTCCTTATCCGTTTGGGGGTCCAAGGTGACATCTTTGCGCTCCCTACGTCACAGCCCAGTGCCAATCCGATGCAACAGGCTTGCTCTGGTTACCAGCCAGCACTGCCTCTAATTAGAGGCGCAATTGCGCAACCTCGTCGCTAAGCAGGTAGAAATAAGAGCGTGTCGTTCTTATCTGAAATGCAGCAGGGATGTCTGCACGTGGATAGAGTGCCTCTTGCAACATCTACGTACGATACGACCCTAGTCCTGCACGGCATTGTTGTACTGTTCGTCTCGTCCTGGATACCGTCTGATGAGGCGATAAGCATCGGCACGAGCTTGACTGTAGCGGTGACGGAGAAAAAAGACCGGACAGGTGCCTTTTTCTTATCGCAAAAGAAAAACGGTCCTCGGGCATGGTCGCCGAGAATGCCGCGCTTAATTTGGAAGCCCTATGGAAGTCGATAGCGCGCCCAAGATAACGAAACGTTCCTGCGGCCCGGTCATCCGGTAATAGCAGGCAGGGTCCCCTTAAACCCTGCACTACAGCGGGCTTTCTCTTTTTTTTAGCGGCCCGAGTGACAGCTTCGCACGCGATTCAGAATAGCGGATCAAACCCTCTTTGTTCTTTTTATCTCGCAGCTCCGATTTTTTTAATCATAGCGAGGGCAGTGGTGCAATTTATGCATTCCGATTTTTCCCTTTGCTTAACATCCTGTTCCAAGCCAAGCTTGACCCACGAGTTGCATGCTGCAGCGATTGGCGCGGGCACATGGCCGCCTACTGATTGACGATCGCAGGGTTGTCCCTACAATGTGAAAAATAGGTCCCGCTTCCAAAGCACCACATGGGCAATAAAAGTGGTGAATGAACAAGTGTATTGCCAAAGCAAAAGGGTACAGATCTGCCACATACAAGTTCCCTTTGTAGCAATCGGCATTTTCGCTCCTGCTTTCTGGCCTCGGCACCCAGACAGACAGCTGAGCGAGAGGGTGTTGGCCTGTCGGTACTTCGTGTTCACCACGCAAGGAAAAAGCTTGTGACGACGGTGGACAACCAGTAATAGGCACTGGACGTTATGTTCCACGCGAGAAGGGGGGGAGGGGCATAAGCTTTTGCGACTAGTGTCGCCTCACCGGCGTTCTGGCTGACTAGAGAAGCAACTGAGCACGCCGCCCAACGAGTAAGCGTGCTGCGGCTCTGCAGAAATTATTATTCCAGGGTGTGCAAGCGCATTGAGGAGGAGGTGGTCGTAACAGATGGGGACCCGAGTTGATATGCCCTAAAGGATCAAATTTACCTGTCACAAATTGCAAACCCAGGAATTATCAGGCACGCGCTCGCTCTATCTGTGGCTCTCTACTCAGCACACTCCAGTGCTGCTGGTGCTGGTTGCGTACCGCCGCCCGTAGCTGCTGCAACCCCCCACCACCGTCCGTAGGGGCTGTAACAGCATCCTCTTGCCCTGTAAGCATGCACCACCCAAGCATTTTTCGCCGCACCAACCGCCCGTTGCCTTATCCGGGCACGCCCTCAGCACCCAACTTAGAGCGGGACTGCCGCCAGACCCAATTAATCATCCCCGCTGTTGTTCGATCTATTTTCGCCTTCCTTCACACTCCTTCTCTCCTCCTGTTCCTCTTTTCTCTTCTTCTGCATCCCTCACCTCAGAAGCTCTCTTCGACAGACGCTTAACGTCATTGGAGTGCCGCCGTTTTCAAATTAACACTATCGAGCCGCCCGCATCCGTTGCACCTGCCGCTTATACTCATCTGCCCCACCAGTTTGCGACTGCGCAAGAGCCGCCTAACCAAAAGCCTAGCCGCCGACTTCGCCTTACGAACGCATCAACTGCACCAATTACCACGAGCCCGACGAGGCGCCAAGCATGCCGTCGTTTAAACCCTTTGCTGCCGTCACTGGACGTAACAGCTACAGTCTGTTTGACATCCGGTTCGTTTCCCGAAGTGCTGGTTCCAGTGCCTCACAGCTCGCGCTTCTAACACTTCTGCTAGCCTTGACGAGGACTTTATCGTTTTTCGGGGTAGTGACCATGAATCCTCTGGCCAAATTCTCAAGGGCGTTATAGTCCTTTGTCTACCGCACTCGCTGAGAATGGAAGAACTCCGTCTTCGTCTTATGGGCACTCTCCGTATTTCGTAAGCAAATACTCTCGTCAAGCAGTGCCATTCAGTTCTAACCAGGTATATTCCAGAGTAAACACCGGTGCAGGCCAAAAGATGGATAGAACGAAGACTCTACTCGACCACCGATGGGCTCCTTTTGTTGGACAGCACGGAAAGAGCATGAACCTACCCGCGGGCAACTACGAGTACCCCTTCGAATACATGCTACCAGGAGACACGGCAGAGAGCGTGGAAGGTATCCCCGAAGCCTCCATCACCTATCGCCTCAAGGCTACTGTCGGTCGTGGTAAACTCGCCTACGATCTCCACGCCCACAAGCACCTCCGTATCATTCGAACACTCGAGCCAGGAGCGCTCGAAACCCTTCAGGCCATGAGCGTTGAAAATATCTGGCCAAACAAGGTCGAATATTCCATTATTCTTCCCCAGAAGGCTATTGTATTTGGCGGCGTTGTCAACATGGATATGCGATTTACACCACTTCTGAAAGGTTTGGAGCTGGGCGAAGTCACTGCAAAGATGATCGAGATCAGAGAGACCATGTTCCAGCCGCATAGCTCCAGTACAGCCGTCCGCGAACATCGCATAGAACGCGAGGTTTCCACATGGAGATTTGAGATTGATCGAAATGAGCACTGGCAAGACGTCATTGAAGAGACGGGGCAGGAAGGATGGGTTGTGTCAAAGCAGCTTAACCTTCCAAAGAAGCTTCGCCAGTGCATACAAGATCTAAACCACAATGGCATCAAGGTTCGCCACAAAATTAAGCTAACGGTTGCATTGCGCAACCCCGATGGCCACGTTTCCGAGCTGAGGGCCACTCTTCCAGTGTCCATCTTTATCTCGCCCAATATTCCTTTCGATGAACACGGCTCTCTGCTCAGCCAAACACCCGGGGAAACCTCTGCTGCGTTGGCCCAAGGCGCTGTTGCACCCCCTGGATACGGCGATCATATACTAGACCAGCTCTACGATGACATGGACCCAACTGGCTTCATGACTCCTGGAATGCAAACCCCTAATATCACGTCCGGCTTCAGCAGCCCCTTCTACTCGCAATCACGAGCCGGTTCGGCAGAGAATTTGGCCAGCTTGGCAGCTGCTAGTGCACCGTTTGCACCAGCTGCGCTTTCATCAAGATTGGCCGATGTTTCACTAGACCCTACTCAACGCAATAGCTCGTACAACTCGCTTCACTCTGCTCAGGGACATATTTCTCCCAGCGGTCAACTTAGTGCTGGGCATCGCTCCGAACCTGTATCCACCGACTTGACTAGAAGCAACAGCGAAGAAGATCAATCACCACGACATTCTGATGATCAGATCCACTTAGATACGGAAGAATTTGCCGAAATGAACCGAGTTCCCAGCTATGCAACGGCCGTCCGAACGCCTCTCCGATCCCGCGTCCCAGGCGTTGTCCCTGACTATCAGACCGCATTGAGCGCACCTCGAACACCGCCAGCGATCGAAATAAACCACGAAGTGTTGACAACGATTACGGAGAATAGACGCGAGGTTGACGATGAGGCAGCGACAGCATCGGGTGGTGGTTTGACCATGGTACGCTCGCATTCCGATTCGCACATGAACCGTCGACTTCATTCTATGCGTGCACAGGACCAGGCAGTATAAGCGATTTGTTTTTTACGACCGAGGAGATTTCAAGCTGGCTCTTTATCTTTCTCTTCTTTCTCTTTTTTTTTACCATTTTGGCCATTGGTAAAGGGCATAGGCGTTTTGGGCCATATGGGAGCGGTGCATAATTACATAGAGGAAACATTTTACAAATTGGGAGGCAATATTTCGGAGTTTTTATGGTATAAAGGTTGTTTTGTTTATATTATTTTTCCATACCCGGAAGTTAATGATGATTGAGTTATTCCATACCAAAACCAAAACCCTGAATGAAACTGGGATATACAGTGAGGTAGAAGCGATATAAAGAGGTAGCAATTCCGTCATAAAACGTGGTATATTACGTTGACAGTTTCTAGGCCACAATACCGTTGTATTGACCGCTTATTTTGGGTGCCCAACGGCTTGGTTGCGCGCGAAACAAATCAAATCAAGATCGTAGGGTAGCAACCAGACGTGGATCGTATTCGGCAGTATGCCGTGCCAAGCGGTATCTTGCATCGCCACAAATGGTTCACAAATCAAGGTCCGTAAATGCCGATACGGTAATCTTTCTGTGGTTCGTGTACCTTTATTACGTTGTCGGGTTTCTTCTGTTGGGTCCGATATTCGTCGTGGCCACAGATACGGTGGCGCGGTTACACCGCCGCCGGAGTGCATACAGCCAAGACGCCGACCAAAAAGAAAAGACGACAGCGATCAACAGGGTCTCGAAAGTTCATGACGTCACAGCGACCCGACAATTCAAAGCCCGATATAAATACATGAGCGATCGCCTCGCAGGAAAAAGAGGCGTTTGGAGAAGAAGACCCTGCATATTGAGGACATTAATTGCCCGACCGATAAATTATATGATACCCATCTTTTGTTATTTTTCGCCGATTAATACTAATATTTAATACCCTTTGTCTGCCTCTATAACGCAGACGATACCACCACTACACAGAGCTCGAGGTATGTTCTACAGGCGCCTGTCTTTCTCCCCCCGTTATAATTACACTGGCTGTGCTGTGGATAGCCCCGGGCACCAGCACTGGGAGCAAGACAAGTATGTAATCCATAAGAGGAGAACTGGGGAGATGGCAGAGAATTATGGGTGAAAAAGAGAAAAAAAGAGAAAATGCGGAAATTGCCCATTATCCCAACTTTGCTCTTTATTTCCCTTTCGGCCAATTACAAAAAACGCCACCATGTCCTTTGGTGTCTGGGCCGCTGTCTGGGCGCTGCCGAAAAACTGGTTTTGGGCCTGGTCCCGCGCTGCAAAGGCACCTCTCCGGCCTTGCCTTGTCCCCTGCTCCTTGCCCTCCCCCACACGGCCTCCTTCTCCCCAGGTGCTTGCAAGCTCACTCCCCTCTTTATCTTCACCGCTCGCTGCCTCTCTTCTTTTTCTGTTCTTCAAACTTTCTGGCTTCATCTTTGCTAACCATTGACATCGCCAGTGTTCACACGTCGAGCGATTCCTACTCTATAGCTTCCCCTCTACCCCCCCCCACACCGAAGCTACCCCTCATAACCCGCCGCAACAATGTCTGCCGCTCCCTCTGTCGAGATGCCCATCCGTACGTCTACTGGACTTACGGATGATGCCGTCCCTGAGTTCGACCCTCATACCGTGAGTTTCAACCACTGCCGTGAACATAAGTTCCGCAAAGGTCTTGGCTAACACGCGCACCAGACAACCGGCGTCCTCGCTGAGCGCCTCCAGGCCTGGAAGCATGCCTGTGGCTACCTCGAGGACTACATGTCCGCCATGGAGAAGGCCCATGGCAAGCAGGCCAAGGAATATGAAAAGGTTCTTAAGGTAAGTCATTTGTAAACACTCTGCCTGGCACTGTGCCCAGCTAACATGTCCTTCATAGACCATCTCCAACCCTCTTCGCGAGGGCCACCACTTCGACCAGAACGTTGGCGGTATCGCCGGATTCTTTGAGAACATGCGCTCTAACACACAGGCTATGATCAACACGAGCATCGAGACTGAGAAGAGCATCAAGGGCTCCGTCCTTCCCATCCTTGAGCGCCTCCACAAGGAGATTAAGCACAAGGCCAAGGAGCTCGAGAGCGGTGCTGGTGCTAGCGCCAAGGAGGTTGAGAAGCTTCGCAACACCACCCAGAAGCAGATCGAGCTCCTCGGCGAGAAGACCGCTGCCTTCGACTCTACTGGTGGCAAGTTCTCTGGTACCGACGACCCTTACATTGTCCGCCGTGGTGTTGTCCACCGCCTCAGCAACCAGGTCATTGCTGAGAACAACCACAGCAATGATCTTATCTCTGTCCAGAACAACTTCCAGGTGTTCGAGGGCAACATTATCCACACTCTCCAGCAGGCCATGCAGGCCTTTGCCCAGCTCAGCGGCGGCCAGAGCGAGAAAATTACCGCTCTCCACAACGACATGCTCGGCACGATCCAGTGTGTCCCCAAGGAGTTTGAATGGATCAACTTTGTCAGCCGCTGCAGCGACGTTCTTGTTGACCCTCAGGAGCCTGCTCGCTCCATTGATAACGTTACCTTTGCCAACGAAGACCACCCCTCCACCAAGGCTCTTATTGAAGGCACTCTGGAGCGCAAGTCCAGAAACAAGCTGTCCTTTGGCTGGTCCACTGGTTACTACGTTGTTACCCCTTCCCGATTCCTCCACGAGTTCAAGGATACCGACGACAACCGCCAAGATCCCAAGCCCGAGCTCTCTCTCTTCCTCCCCGACGCTACCATTGGCATTCCTAGCGAAAACAAGTTTAACATTCGTGGCAAGGACAAGAGCGGTACTTTGAGCAGCAAGTTTGCCGGTACCACCGAGCTCAGCTTCAAGGCTCACACCGCTGCCGATGCCCAGAAGTGGTTCCATATTATTCAGGCCGTCTGTGGAGCTACTGCTCCCGCCGAGGCCAACTCGGATCCTAGCTCACCAGCTTCTCCTGCCGCTGCTTCTCCTGCTGCTGTTGGAGCTGCTTCCCCCTCAAGCACTGCTGCTGTTGTCGATGAGAAGGCCGCCGTCCCCGCCACCGATGATCTTAAGATGAACACACCCATTGCCAGCCCTCCTGTTGCCAGCCCCGTGGCTGCCGCCCCGGCCGCCGCCACTCCCGCTCACCAGCCTCAAGAAACTGGTATCCTCGGCACGCCAGTCACTTCTGCCGCTCAAACGGCAGCCCTCACTGCTGTCCAAGGCCACGCCAAGGTTGACGAGAAGCCTGTCGTTGGATCTGCCATTTAACGGGCTTGGCTGAACGGGGATGACGAACGGAAGAAAATATGAGCTTATGATTTTTGTTTTTTTTAGCAACTGATATCTCTTAATACTAGTGTGCAGTAAAATGCGTTGTATTTATTGTCAATAATACTTGGTTCATTCACAATACAAGTCAGAGTAAACAGAAGTGATCAAATAATGAATATATTAAATTATTGCATGCCACCAGGGCAGCTTTACAAATTTACACAGTTGGGACCTAGAGTGGCTTCGGCAATGTTAGCACCAGGTTTGGCAGTAAGCAAAGCAGATCATAATTGCGTAGATTGGTGTAATGTCAGAGATATAGTGTGCCTTGTCAAGGCGGTTTCGTCAATGCAACTTTGGCTACGTTGACCGTCGTGATATTGTAGCATCATTTTATGATGGGGTGTATGAGCGGAACAAAGGAAGAGGGAGTACTAACCAATTCATAAGGTTGGACGACCAGCAATGGGTACATCACAATACTGGGAAAGGGCTTTTGCGTTGTTAGCCTTTGAGGACTGTACAGGTTGGCAACATGTAGGTTGAATGATCAACTCTGTCAGATAGAAGTATGAAGCGTCTTCGCAGCCGAGGCTCAGACATATGCTTGTCTTTTGTTCATTTTTCTTGCTCATCAAGTAGAGGATCGAGCGGGAAAGGGTTGCATGTCGAGGGTCGACTAACCTAGCAATCAAGGTACACTTCATACATGTTAGCGTTGGAACACTCGAGTATAGTTTGCAAGAAATGTTGTTCAAGGCCATAAATTCAGTTATGCATGAATGGTATTAATAAAAGATTTTGTCTGCATCGAAAACTCGGATAAGACTCGTCATCTAGGGAATCATCTTGTAATGGCCATGGGGTAGGGGAGCAAAAAGAAATTCAAAAAAAATAGTCTCTTACCTTTTGAGGTGCATTGGCTTCATGATGGCACATCTACGGGTCACACAAAGCATGATACTACTACAGAGCCTCTGTTAGTATTCAAGTCTGACAGGAATGACATGACTGAATGGAAAGAGGTGTCCAAGTTGTAATCAGTGGGCGAGGTTTTCTAGGCCTGCCGCAAAGTGGCTTGTCTTGACTCATGTGATTTTGTTCGGAGCCCAGTGCCGCTTCATCATATAACTTTCGACGGGGAAGACGAGTATATATGGTTCGTACCTTATCCTTTTACTGTTGCAATTGTTAGCTGATGCTCAAAACTTTTGAAGAATAAAACATGTATGAGAAGAAACAATGCATTGGGTGTATCGTCAGACATAGCCATTTAATATCGTCAAAGAATAACTCAGCCGGTAATTTCCAGCGTATATTGTTGTTTACGAAATGATCATCATAACACCATGGGGGAAGAAGAGGAACAGAATGAGAAGGGGAGATTCTTACCATTACAGCCGCAGTTGATAGCTGGGTGCCATTGCTTATTTTGAAAGGGGGAGTTCCCTCAAAGCTATGAGTATTCGGTTAGCCACTTTGTTCTGTCTCAATTGAGCTCGAAAGGGAAACGGCGAATGCTGAAAGTTCTTTCAGACTGACGTGCGATAAACGAGTTTTCATTCCAAAAGGTCAAAGACTCTAGTTTGTATGGTTTATGGTATGTCATCATGTAGGAGAGGGCAGGGGAGAGCTGTGCAACGAGGAGGGAAAAGTTTTTCAACACTTACCAAAAGCTTGGAGCTGCTCTTTTGGAAGGGCATGAGGATGCAAAGACTGGAGGTGAAAAGCTCGTCGAAATAAAAAGTAGTTGTGGACCTCAATTAAAACTTATGTAATCATGGCACGTGATGGCGCGTACGGGGCGTGAACATGGGCTCGCGACGCCGTGGGGGCTGATGAGCGTAGAGACCGTGAATAGTGTTAAAAGTGACGCAGTATAATTACAAAATGCCTGAGATTGCTGAAGGTAATTCCAAATCAATGATATTTCTTCCGAGATAATAACCCATTTTAACTAAAAAAAAAATAGTTGCGCGCATTGTGCATTTCCTGCGCATCCATCTGGTTGGCAAGAAGATTGCAAATGCATGGGCCATTGACGATGGTAACGTCTTTGGAAAAGTCGGAACTACTGGCGCAGCAGTGCAGGCAGCATTGAAGGGTAATAAGGTACGTACACAATGAATTTATAAGTGCCAAGCTACTCATATCGGTTTAGGTTGTTTCAGCGGGAAGCCAAGGCAAATACTTTTGGTGAGTTTACATGCTCTGGCAACGTGAAATTAAGCTTACCTACTGCCTAGGATTACTCTCGAGAAGCAGCCGCATCTAGTGATGCACTTTGGAATGACAGGTATGTGTTCATGGATGTCAATTGCATGACATTCGCTAACTAAGTCAGGCTGGGTTCATATCAAACAGGATATGACTGCTTACACAAACTACTACAAGAAGATGGGTGACACCACATACGAACAATGGCCTCCAAAGTTTTGGAAGTTCCATCTCAAAACAGAAGGTCCCGATCCGGTTGAAATTGCTTTTACAGATGCGCGCCGGTTTGGAAGAGTTCGTTTGGTAGACTGCCCTGCAGCCGATATTCGAAAACACTCGCCTCTTGTGGAAAACGGCCCAGATCCTGTCGTTGACAAAGATCGATTCACGCTCGACTACTTTTCTGGAAGGACGAAATCGCGACATGTCCCAATCAAGGCTCTTCTCCTTGATCAAACATTCATTAGTGGAATCGGCAACTGGGTTGCTGATGAGACCCTGTATCAGGCCAAGGCGCACCCGGAACAGTACTGCAATGAGTTTGATGACGACGAGATTAAGAGTATTTACGAAGCCATCAACTATGTGTGTGGACTATCTATCGACAAGCTTGGAGACTCGGACCAGTTTCCTGACCATTGGCTGTTCAACCATAGATGGGGTAAGGGCGATAAGGGACCCAGTAGGCTTCCCAACGGTGAAAAGTTGGACTTTATTACTGTTGGTGGTCGCACTAGCTGCTATGCACCAGGTATTCAAAAGAAGACTGGTGGTAAAGCTGGGCGTGTGAAGAGCGAAGTCAAGTCGGAGGACGATGCTCCTGAGCCTAAGGAGTCGAAGAAGAGTGTGAAGAAGAACGTGAAGAAGGCTGTTGTTAAGAAGGAGGAAGAAGATGAAGAGGATAAAAAGCCAATCTCTAAGAAAAGACGAGCCCCAATGGACCAAAGCCCTGTTGAGAGCAAGAAGGGCAAGACCCAAGCCAAGCCGGCGGAATCAACAGGTAGAAGACGATCAGCAAGACTACGAGAGTAGTTGAAGAGGCCCTATTAGGATATCTATTTTTGTATAATAGTTGGATATCATTAATCTATTGGTTACCATGTACATTAATATGACACTGACAGCGCCAAGATGCTCTGAGTGTCTAACCCCAAGTAACGAGAGTGCCGCCATACCGCACTATGAATTTCTTTTAAAACCAGGACTTCATTAGAAGAAAAAGGTCAAACGTCAAGATACGCCAAGTGCAATGCAACACTAAAGCAAAGATAGAAGGTTTGGTATCATGTCTTCAGCCTCAGAATGGAGGTGAAGAGGAGCGTCATTAATTGCTTTCGACGGCAAAGCCGACAACGTAGTTGGCGTTGCAGTCGGGAATGTGAATAGGGATCAGAGTGAGGGTATTTGTAAACTGCTGGCCGGTCTTTTTGTAGTTGATTAGATTTGTTTGAATTTCGGTATGCGAACTCAGTGCATTTCGTATTTGTTTGACTGATGGGAGATTCTTTTCTCTGACGTTCCGCAGGTTTGGTTGTAGGCTTTGTGGTCGTTGGAGGAATCTGCAGTTGCGGCCGATGATTTCATCTGTGTTGTATCCTGTCATGGAACAAAAGGCATCAGTGACATAGATGGCTGGGGTATCAGCCTGGTCGAGATCGCATACGATTAGTGATACAGAGCAGTCTACTGGCCCAAGATGAACCTGGGGGTTTGGCCTCCCCATAACATAAAACTGTACATCGGTTAGTATTGAAAGAACTCGTTAGTTCAAAGAATAGGAAGTAACACACAAGAATCTTCATCAAGTCAAAGCCCGTGCCAGAATAGAGGCCTGGATAAATTATCGGATCCTGCAGAGGCCCCCATCTGGATCGGGGGGTCGCACGGAGCTGGCGAGGCGAACTAGGCGGACTGGGTTCACATACACTATACTGTGGTTGCTGTTAGTTGGAGATATTGACCAGCTCTGCTAGAAACCCACCTGCAAAGCACGAATTTCCCACGGATTCATCTTAAGCAGCTGTGCTTGCACCGTCAGGGTGGAACTCATATTGCTCACGGCGACGTAAAGGACGATCCAGGCAGGTGAGAGCGGTCCGCCAGGTTACGGATGGCGTAAGCTGAGCAAGAGGCTAGCCGAGGGTACTTTGCGTAAGCTAGTTTGGATTAATGTAATAATATTCGTATAATTAACCGTGTTGGAGTTGTGTTTGTTGCGTCTGCCATCGACTATGGTGGGCCAGCGAAAGTTATAACAAGAAGACAAAGACGGCCAGCGCCCTATTCGTGCTTTTCGCGGTCCAGATCGAATGACGCGGTGACATTGGACAAAAGTAGCTAGTGATTCCAACTATGCTGTATTTTGCCATTTGGGAGCGGCTCGCCCCCCCAAACAAGGCCTTAAATCAAGTCTCGATCGCCAGAATACACCGCCCACAACGGCGATCGGGGCTCATGTACAGGTGGTGGAGCGGCACTTTACGGGCTAGCACCGTTTTTGTCCCAGCGCTACAATGCATACTACATACAGGGCGGCATCTCGATGGCATCGATGCGTGCAGGCGTGGATAACTGCGCATCGGCCATCCGAAGCGTCATCGCGCGGGCGTCACAACGGATAATTTTCTTTCCGGCCCCATATTGCCATTATGTATCATTTTCTTTTGGTATCCGCTTGTTCTTGACTGGTCTCGGCTGTCGCTCAATCAATGTTTTTTTGATGGTGCTCGTTACGATGCTCGATCTCAGTCGGCAGCAGGGATCGACAAATTCTATTTGGCATCACTGCAACATTGCTGCGTGGCTTTTCCCTCTCTTGTAGCACATGATTCGTATTGGCTTTGCGTTCGAAAGCCTAGCAAACTAGTAAACACTCCGTAGAACGTAATTGCTACCGTAGAAGACATTGTCTTTTAAGGTGGTGAAATGCTGTATTGGTAGGTAGCGGGGTGTCGAAATACAGTGTGCACTGTTCCCTCTTCAGCGATGGCTCTCTGTAACGGCGCGTGCACGGCGCGTCTCCCACCCCCACTTGCGACGTTTGGTGAAGACGCTACAGTTAGCACGAGCGGCACACAGTGATCTCTACAGCTCAAGCATCTTGCTCTACGCTCCAGCACACGCAAATCCGTCGCAATGTCGAGAAGGCACACCAGTCGAGCGCAGTCATCGGTCGCAGATTCGTCGCCTGTTCCCGGACGATCGACCACAGCAGCCAACTTTCCTGCCTATGAACCGCCATCTTGCCATCTTAACGATGCTGCACGTAGTGCTCTACGGACCATGCCCAACAGCCGAGACACTACAGCATATGCTGGCTGTATTAAAGATAGTATGGCATTACTCGGTACTAGCATAAGCGACATGCACGAGCGATTCCGGCTTCAACGAGAGAGGTTGGAAAATCTGCAACGACGCCGAGAGGAAAAGGGTATAGCCGAAAAGTCCGCCGATGAGGAGCGGCTAGAAACACACCTAGAGGAGTTCAGCGCGGAGATTAACGAATATACAATGCAAACAGAAAGCTCGTTTCGCGATCTGATTGATTGCAGGGCGGAACTGGAAGACCAGGATAAAGCGCTTGAAGATATCTACAGCGCTGCATCGTTGCAGGCTACGGAGCAGATCTCACAGCGAACTAGAAGTTCGCGGCAGCAAGCTGGCGTTTTACCCGAAGATGACGATGAAGATGAGGTTACCACTCCCACCGTGCCTGCTACGAGCAAACGAGACGAGTTCCGAAAATTGCGAGCCGACAAGCGCACCGAGTTTGAAAGCATGGCGGTGTATCAGCGGTATGCACTCGACAATGACTATGCTGGTTTCAAAAAGATGTGGCACGACGGTACGCAGGGCGAAGATGGACCTCCACTAGCAGACCCTTCTCGCTGGTTTGGCCCAGATGGCCAGCCCGTCCTCGCTAGAGTAGCCATGCACGACGACCTGCCTGACGCAGCTGATGGATCCGATGACGAGATTGCTGTCGCCAGAGAAGTCATCAGCCTCAACTGTCCATTATCTCTACGACGCTTTGAATTGCCATATAGCAATCGCAAATGCAAGCACACATTTGAAAAGTCGGCACTACTATCGTATCTTCCGCTTCGCGGACAGGTCCAGTGCCCGCAGACAGGCTGTGCACAGGTATGTCTATTTTCCCCTTTCGTAAGATATGGTGACATTGTTTACTGATCATTTAATTGCAGACGTTCACGAGAGCCAAATTCGACGAAGACTTCTATCTTGACCAAGCGATTTTGCGCCGTATTGAGCGATCTGCGCAGGCAAGTAGGACAATTGACGACATGGATGATATGGAGGACGATGTTTTGGAGAGTTCCAATCTAGAAGGGGATAGCGAACTGGCCATCCAAAGCCAACGGTCATTACGAAGAGAACCTAAAGACGAACGATGAAGATAAAAGATATAATAACGATACCCTTGCCTTGATAGTTATACCAAGTTAGGCTACAGAAATAAATGACTTGCAACATAGACTACATGTACGCGCTCCCGGCGGGGAGCAAGCTTTTGTACACTTAAAAATATCCAACTTTAGAAATCCTGAAAACCAAACTAGACAATTACCATGGCAGCAATAGCAACACCAGTAAGCGTAACGATGCTGGGGACAGAAAACCCAGCGGCTGCATTCTTGGGTGTAGAGGTAGCAGTGAAGACACCGGTGAGAGTAGGCGATGGGCCAGGCTTGGACGTCGTGTCAGGCTTCGTGTTATCACTCCACTCCTCCTTGGACCTGTACCATGCGCCATTGATGACTACTCCTTTGCCACTCAAGAAGCCACTCTGCTGTTCATCGCTGCAGGTGGAGTAGAAGTTGCGAAGCCAGCAAGTAGTCTTTGGCATAGGAGGCAGCTTGTCAGTCTTGGTGGAGTTGAGCGGGCCGTCACTGCTAAAGGTCTTCAAGTCGATGTCTTTACCGGTAGAGATGGACTTGCCCATGAAGATACGAGAGAAGATCTGGAACGACGCCTCGGGCTGGTAGGCGTAGATGGAGTGGCCGGCCTGGTAGATGCGGCTGAAGGAGAAGTTGCCAAACTGGCGGACTTCACCACCCACATAGTCCTTGTTGACGACGATTGGGGAGTATCCGGCCGCGGGGAACTTCTTTGCATAGTCACCGCCAGCCTCGGCAGCGACGGCGAGCGAAATAGCCTCACCACCAAACCAGTTACAAATGTAGTCGCGATCACCGTACATCATTCCAACGCGGACGCCGCGCTTGAGAAGGTCAGCCAAACGCTTGATGTTGCCAGCGCGCGCCAAGTCGCCAGTCTTCGTGAAGGCCTCGTAGACAGCATTGCTGGAGAAGGTGGTGTAGTTGATGGGCGTTCCAACAGCCTGCTGAACCTCGCGCTTGTTCAGGTACTCGAGGAAGTGCAGAGGTGGGCGAGGATCCTGGAGAGGGGCGGCCAAGTCGTAGGAGCTTCTGTTCATAGAGTAGTATGCATACGACGAGTTCCAGCAGGTCTCTGCGGCGTCATTGCAAAACTTGTTGACCTGGGCATTCTGGCCCTTGTCTTCCGGGTCGTTCTTCTCAGCGAGTTCCTGGCACTGCTTTGACACCTGGGCACAGCCGCCGTCGCTGTCGTACATGTCCAGCTCGTACTTCAATTCCTCATCAGAAATAGCTTTGAAGCCGTAAGTGTTCTTGTTGGCGAAAATGGGGTAGTACCGGTTCTGGATGCCCTGGTCGACGCAGCCGTTGACGATGCCAAGCGTAGCAAGCTTGATTTCCACCGTCGAGTTGGCGTCGATTTCACCCGTCTTGCGGCGGTCGTTTTGCTTCTCGAAATAGTCGGCAAAGATGGGACCGTAGCGGCCGCCATAGCTCTCTGCAAAGAGGTTGACGCCGAGGTGAGAGTCATCAGTCGGGCTGTACTGTGGGAATGTCTCCATGAAGCCCTGAAGCAGGTGCCACATGGCGTGCGCTGCAATCTGGGTGCTGTTGGCCGTGTTGCTCTGCTTTTGGGTGCTGAAGGTGCCATTGACACCAAACCACGGGCTACTAGTATCATTGGCGATGGCTGCAGGGAAGGTGTAGGTATCATTGATCACGTTGTAGGTGCCGTCGGTGGGGATATCATACGATAAGCCGACTTGGTTGGGCTGTATTGATGTTAGTATGATGGTTCAATCAAATATTGGGTGACTAGCTAGGTGCCGCCATGCATACCTGGTCAACAAAGATCATGTTGGAGCTTCGGTCCCATCCCCATTCTTCGGCGGCTGTCTCGAAGCCGTCCATGCCCTTGTCAATGATATGGCAGGGCCCGTTGCCGCCAAAGAAGCCCAAGAAGGAGCTGGAGCCAGGACCACCGTTGATCCAGATGGACAGCGCCTTTGTTGGCTCACGGGCTTCGACAAACCAGAAGAAGAGGTTTGTGGGAAACTCGCCGGGGACATTGACGTAACCGGTGTATTGCTTCTGGGAGTCCAGAGCTGTCTTGCAAACGCCCTTGGCCTCTTTGTAGGAGACGGTCACATTGTCGCCACCTGGGGGCTTGATAACAGTCATGTTGAGTGACTTAGGATCATTGTGGACGAATTGGGCCAGTGAAACCGCCGCAAGGGGCAGCATTAGCAAAGATGGTAGCATCACCATGTTGGAGGACTAGTAGGTGCGCAGCACTTTTGTCTTCAGTCGAGATTGGATGGTGATAGAAAGTAAGAATTTCGCGCAGGACCAAACAGCAAAAAGAAACCCGCCCTCTTAAAACACGTGCTGAAGGACGATGGCACTGAATCAGGCGAGCCTGCGCGGGGATGGGGATTGTTCGAAATTAAGCTCTCAGCCTGTGGCGGGTGAGGCGTGAATCGGCATCAGGCTGCGCGACTTCGCATGCGGATACTACATCGGAGACAGTGGGGATGGGGCATGCTGAAGCCACTAACGCGGAGGCGGGTACAGTGCGGATCTAAAAAGATGCGCTATTGACGAGGGACTTCTGTTCAAGGACTCATGGAAAAAAAAATTGCAAAATTGGAAATATTAATGCTTTATTTTTCTTATATTTTTCAAAATACTAGTACAAGGTATATACAAAAGTTTGGCGGGTACATCCCACCTACTGGAGTGGCATCCGCTGGTTCAGTATCTGCCTATCATCCATCCAACTGAACGTGCTTTACTCGGCGTCTCGACGGATAGCGAAAAAGTAATTGCCCACCTTTTCGCTGCCCTGGACCTCTTTCCAACCGAGTCCAGGAACATATACTACACCCATGACTCGGGCGCTATTCCACCCTTTGCCCATGAAGAAGGTCGCTAGCTCGTCCTCATTGATGTACTTGTTCCAGTCATGTGTGCCGGGAGGAACAATGTGCAGAATATCCTCCGCAACCAAGTTTGTTGTAAACCAGCTCATCCACGTCCGTGCAATCGTGCTCATGACTAGCCAGCCGCCGGGCTTAACAAACGGCCGTACTCTGTCGAGGAACGCCTCGGGGCGATCAATGTGCTCAATAACCTCAAAGAGCGATACAACGTCGTAGCCTTCGCCTTCCTTTGGTGTCTCGAGATTCTCAATCGATGTCTGCTTGTAGGATAGCTTTCCACGCAAGGCTGGGTCTTGCTTAGCGTGTGCCTTTGCCACCGCCAGGACGGACGGCGTCGGATCGATGGCGGTTACGTGTGTTGTGCTGTCGAGTCTGGCGGCGCTCTCTGCAAAGATGCCGCCGCCGCAACCAATGTCGAGGTATCGTAGGCCGGCTTGTTCGGTGCCAGAGACGGTCAAGCATCCGCGGATAAAGTCGTGGCGGAGAGGATTCATCAGGTGCAGCAGGCGCGAGGAGCCGTACGGATCCCACCACTCTGCCGCGAGCGCATTGAAGTGGGAGACTTCTTGGGCGTTGACTGACGAGTATGTGCTATGGCATCGTAAGGGACGAGAAGTTGTAGTCTGAGTTGTGAGAGGCAGGATGATGCCAGAGGATCGGGGAGTCGGGGCGGACGGAAGACGGCGCAGCCCAGGGGCGAGCTTTGGCCAGAACTTGGAGGTCATGGCCGCGCTGGTCGGTGCGAGGGATGCGCTCTGTCTGAAGAGACGCGTATTTAAAAGTGTCGCGAATAGAATCGAACGATTGGCTGTTGGGTCGAAAGAGTTCGGCACGCTAATTGCATGCTTGTGTGGCTACAACGGTCGTGGAGTTTGGCGATGGTGGATGTCAACTTTTTTTTTCGGAAGCGGATGGTGGTGGTGTTGGTAGCACCCACTCGTGAACATCACGCAAATTGATCAAATGCTAGTACAAACAAACAAATAAACACCCAATTTAGGGTTTAGAGCTCTGCATTAAAAACAGTAAAACTAAAAAGTTTCTACCAATTAATTCCATTTAATTCCAAGTTTTCTCAACTGTATCTCACTATAATATTAAGTGAATTACTCCATGTTTCACTCGTGCATCGATATACATCTATAAAATGCATACAATTTAATTATCAATTTACATTATTGGTAAACTCTGTAGAAACAAGCTGTTGTGTTCTTTTTAATTATATATAAACTTTGTAAAAGTGAGTCTATGTACACCTGTAAACTTTATAGAAGTAAATTCATGTACCTACAGACTCTGTATATATAAGTGACTTTGTGGTGTATTTGCAAACGCCGCATCTTTTACTTTTCTCTCATCCACAAGAATTTTTTTTTCAGAATCTTTTTCTTTATCACTTCTTTATCCAAGAGAGCCACTACTATTCAGGTTTACTTTCTTCCTACAACACCAATTCGCGATCACTTGAACTCGCACCATGCCTCAACTCAACTCTGATGAGATTGAGCGCCTACATGAAAAGTTCTTGAGTACTCTGGTTGAACCGATTGACAAACATGCTTTTGAAGTCTCATCCTTTGTGGACATCAAGAATCTTGAAGAATGACCAGCTCGACACTACGAACTAGACTCGAATGACTCCTCGACATTTTTGGCACCTCCATCGGAGGATGAACTGTCACAGATAATGAAGAATGAGAGCCGCTACAACTTGCGTAAGCGTCGACCATTCAGCAGAAGGATTTGTGCACTTTCTCGTGCCGAGTGCCTATTTCAACGGATGAATCTCTATCTAACTGGTCGAGGAGGCATGGGCAATGGGATGATACTGACCAAAACCGAGTAGCAAAAGTTTTACCCGTAAGTTCCTCGGCGTCTTCATTTTCTATACTCTATTAACTTCCTCTGCCTCAGTGACCCCGATGAAGAGACAGTTATTTTGCGCATGTTCATTGGTACAAGCGGCAAAGCTAACCAAGTCTTGTATTCGGCATTCCGTCACCCGCAGTACCAGAAGGGAGTTGATACCGGCTCTAAGCATTATCTTGCGTTAGCTCTACCAGGAGGGGAACTGAAGGATGGGTCTCTATCTATCGGCGAGCTAGGTATTATTGGACGTTGGGTATCTCTTTTTATGCGGTCTGCCCTGGAACAAGATTACAAAGCCGCCTCGGTAAGTTGCTATTCCCGTACCAAGTTGAAATAACACACAGCTAATTTTTTTTAGATTACTCTTATCTCTATCTGGGGTAACTCAGCTCGAGTTATCGCGGCTGAGATCAATTTTGACCCTCCATACGTAACAATTGGAACCGCCCCGACCCTCGCTATGCCCAGAATTATGGACCATCAACAACCCTCAGGTTCAGACGCTCCTACGCTGGGCTATGGGAAAGCCGTATGGTGATCTCAAAAAGTACGAGTTGGGAAAGGATGGGCCGTCTCTTTTCCACGTAAAGCCGCGCTTTGCTCTGCAGTCGGCCGTCAGAAAACCAGTAAAGATCGGCCAAGAGCCCAAACTAGACTACACTGATGAGAGTGAAGCAGACACTGGCTAATGAAATGAAGACACAGCACATAATGAATTTTCATATTGAGCCCCAAGTCTATATGTGAATAATTTTACGAACAAGTGCTGGCTTTATTTCTCCTGCACCCACTGCGGAACAACTCTCTTCAGGAAACGCATAAATTTCCAAAAGCCAACAGCGTGCTCAACATTCCCAGCTGGATCCGTGACACGCTCTGGGAAAGCGATTCCAGCACCAAAGAGGCCAGGGACGTACGTCTTGTTGTGTGGCGAAACGAATCGCCCAGTGAGGCCGTCATGCTCAATAGCCATGGATGAGGGCTCTGACTCAGGGCTGTCCGTGACATCAATAGTAGGCAAAGGGTCTCTCTGATAGCCAATAGCCTGAACAATATGTGTACAATCTGGTAGCTCCGCATGATATGCCTGCTCCTCTAAAGCACCTATCGATGTGAAGACTTTTGTTATGACTTTGCTCGCGGGGCTCGATGCAAACGATGCCTCCTCCAGATTTTGACGAGCCCACTGCGCCGCGTCACCCTTTAATCCGGTATTGTCGTATAGAATCCAGCCATCCATTGGTTTGGCGTAGCGTAGGGAACGGTGGCGGCTAAACCATTTAATGCGAAGGTGAGGATGTGACGATGCAGCAAGGTTATAGAGATTCATCAGTACCAGGATGGCGGAATGAGATGCTCCCACCACGGCAATTGTGGTAGGAGTGTCGCGAGATATGCTAGCAGCGAGGAGGGGAGGGTTTAGTGCTGTGTCGAGGTGAATGCTGGTGGCTTGTTGGATGTTTTGTTGGATCATTCGAGGAGTCGTGTCTATGGGGCTGGATCCCGTGCAGAGAATCAGGCGCTTTGCTGTGACAGCGTCTTTGTTGTTGAGCTTCACAGTCCAGATTCCAGTTGTCTACAATTTCTGTCAGTTTTTCGCTGGGTTAGGCATTGAATGCAGCTGTTGTACAGACCTTGTTGAGCACTGCTCCGGTAACCATTCCGGTGTGCTGCTGGGCATCTTGGTAGTATTTTGCGATTCCCTTGGTCAACATCAAGCACATATCTGCACCGTAGCCCAATTCGCACCCCTTGTCTTGAACGAGGCCTTCGAGGGTGGTAATCGCATTGGGACGTTGTGCAAACTCAATAATGTGCCGAAACGGAGCGAGCTCTTTCGCAAATTGCAGGAATAAATCGACTTTTGTGTTGCTGGGAACCTGGCGATACCGCGCATTGACTCTACCGGCTGTGAAGGACGGGTCAACCCAGAGCTGGCTTCGATTGGTCTTGGGAAGATGCTCCAGTAGATTGCCGACAACGGCCAATCCAGCAGGGCCGCCTCCTACAACCACGGCTTCCAGCGCGGCATTGTGTGTCTGGGCGGCGTAGCGGACAACTGTGACGCGGAACATGGCGATGGTCTGGGCTGCATGCAGATGAAGATGGAGGTGATGCAAGGGGCGCGGCCGGTTATCAATCGCATGAAGGGCATTCCGAACGCCGAGAGAACAGGGGTCCTTTTTAGGCCGGTTGTCGGGTATGGGCCGAGAAAGACGTTCCATCAAGGCGGGTTAAAGCACGCATGCAGCAACACACTAGCCCTGAATTGGCATGGGTAGCGGGTTAACCGGCAGCTAAACAACAGGCTAAGAGTTGGACAATCAATCTGTGAACAATAAGTTGGCTTGGATGTCGCTGTAATTGTTTGCAGCGTCACGCCTACCACGTTGGTTTCAACGTCGATATGATGTATCCGCATGAGGACCGCATGAGTATCAAATAATTATTTCGAAAAAATAAATGAAAAATTCTAGATCATCGGTTAGGCTTCAAATTCTGGCTACACTCTGAGTAGACATTTCCAATCAGCATCGTTCAGCCACAGGCCCTGTCGTTGTGAAAGTTCCCCTGAGTGGCGCTCGACAGGCGTTTTCCTGCAACAAAATCGTCGATAAATAGTTGTTATTGATAAGTTTTGGCCTAATAGGTGTAAATAAACTTGGGATGCGCATCGCCCAGATTATCGCCCTCTTCAGCCAATAAATAATCACGTTTGCCCGCCCGCTTCTGCTTATTCTCCCACCACAAGCCAAGCACATACACACAGATTAGACCGGCTGTGACGCACATGAGCGAAAAGGTCGTCTTAAACCCAGACCAATAGTAAGGAGGCGTGTTAAACACCAGAGATGCAACAAAGCCACCGCAGTTGCCCAGGCCAATCTCCATGCCCATGGCAAACGCCGTCTTGTAGGACCCAGATACGTTGTTCAGTAGCAGAATCCACGCGCTTGGCAGCAAGCAGAAAGATCCCGAAGCGATAAAATACAAGGCACCGTATCGGACATCCACTGATACATGCTGCTGGTTGAGCAAGATGACATACCCAATAATGGCGATGAGACAGCCGAGAAGAGCAAAGCCGGCACGATGCTTGAGCTTGTCAGAGAGGTAGGCGACAGCAAGCGTGACAGCGGATGCAACAACAAATATGGGAATAACCAAGGCTTGAACTTGCTGAGGCGTATAATTCGGTTTGAGCGCGTGCACAATCGTCGGTGCAAACAGAGAGCAAGAGTACACGCTCGAGATGTTACAGATGATGATCAAGCCGCTCACATACACCTTCCAATCCGTTATGCATCGCACTATGGCTTTTCTGTCGAGAGTGCCCATGCGCCCAATGATGCCCTCGTTTCGAATACGATGCTCCAACGCGTCCTTCTCCTCGGGCTTCAACCACTTTGCTGTCGCCGGCCAGTTGCACACAAAAGGCCAGCAGACGAGAGTCACAGCAATCGTGATGGCACCCTCGATGATAAAGATCCATCGCCATCCATTCCATCCATTAGACGATCGAATACCCGCCACTGCAAACGCCAGCAATCCTCCAAATGCATTCGATACGGCGTTACCAACATGAAGCATGCTGACCCGCCACTGGAGCTCATAGCGCGGATAATATGCCGAGAGCACAAAGATGGACCCAGGAATCAGCCCGGCTTCCAAAATGCCAATTATTAAGCGCATTGCAATGAGTCCACCGGAAGATTGTACCAGGCCCTGCCCAATTGTGAAGAGGCCAAGTAGGATGCATTCAAGGCAGAGCACCATGGACGGCGCAAACCGCTTGACAAGCCAATTGCTGGGGACTTCGGCAAGAATGAGTCCAACAAAGACAACTACGACGGCAGTATTGAATTGATTGCTTTTGGGATCCATGCCGAGGTCTTTTTCGAGACCCTGAATCCGCGCAGTGCCAATATTAACCCGGTCAATTAGCGAGATAAACCAAAGTACAAAGAGCGGCGGGAGAAGCCGCACGTCAAGCTTCCAGATGAGTTTGCGGTATTCCGCATCACTTAAATTATCTTTTTGGTCTTCATTTTCGTAAGTAGCCTGCTGGAAGAGTGCTGATGGCGCCGCATCTTTTTCTTTGGTCATCATGGAACGGCCGTGAGAGTAGTGGATAGGGGGCAGTTCGAGGAGTATAGCGCGTAGGGAATTTCAGATACGACGAGGGTCTCGAATGTATCAAGGGAAGCTAAGACGATACAGTCATGCCTTTGATAAAACAGGCCAGGCGAAACGTCGGCGACAATTGCCCGGAAATGAGGGGGTGAAAATCGAAGTTCGGCTGCATATTGAGCTTAATAAGCTAGCCTTGTGATCTACATGGGGTGCGTATATTTTGGGTAGCCTTGTTTAAGCTGCTGAAGCTGAAGCTGTTTTCATTTCAATAGAGGCGTATTTTTATTCGAATCCGATATCGTCGTTTTGTTTTTGTGTGTAAGTGGCAACGTGCACGCTGAGCGATGGTGGCGCATTTTTGTTCCCGATCCTGCCTCCCGCCTCTCTATGTGGGGGCCAAGCCAAAATACGGAAGGCTAAATAAATAGAAGGCATCTGTCGCAGAAGTTCTTTTACGTTTCACTATGGGTTTATTCTTTTCTTTATACTTTTTGCTAAAGTTCTTAAAAATAATCCAAACGCCTCGAATAAATAACCGGCACCTTTTCTAATAGAACCTTTTTCTAACCTGCTGATGTTTTCTTCTCCTTAGTCTCCACGTTCATTCATAGCAAACTGAGATACCATGTCTCCGAAATCTACGACTTTCCAGCCAAAGACGCAGCAATCTTCATACCCATCTGTCTCGCATGCTGAGCCATGAGGGCATCCGCAATCGTCAGAGCAGCCATAGCCTCAACGATAGGCACCGCGCGAGGGACGACATTAGGGTCGTGACGGCCCTTGGCAGCCAAGACACCCTCACCGGAAGCATCGTAGCGAGCGGTAGTCTGGTCCTGGGAGATGGTGGCAGGGGGCTTGAATGCAACACGGAAGAAGATGGGCATGCCGTTGGAGATGCCGCCCTGAATACCACCCGAGTGGTTCGTCTTGGTGTGTAGGCGCGAGGCGGGGATGCCAGCTGTAGCACCAGGTGTCGTAGCCGTGGCGTCGGCGGGGGTGGAAACGAAGGGGTCGTTGTGGACGGATCCGCGCATTTCGGAGCCGTGGAAGCCAGAGCCAATCTCAAAGCCCTTGGTCGCAGGAATCGACATCATGGCGTGTGCGAGGAGAGCCTCGAGCTTGTCAAAGGCGGGCTCGCCAAGGCCAGACGGGCAGCCGCGGATAATGCAGGTGACGGTGCCGCCGATAGAGTCGTGCTGGTCGCGGAGCTCGGCAGTCAAATCCTCCATCTGCTTCGTAATTGTAGCATCAGGGCAGCGGACGGGAAGGAACTCGTCAACCTTTTCGCGGGTGAGGGTGTCAACGAGGCTGAGGAATTTGGGGTCGCTGCTGAGCGAGTCGACGTCGTCAAAGAGCTTGATCTTGCCAACTGAGGACACAAAGGCGACAATCTCGACACCGTAAGCCTCGCGCAGCCACTTCTCGGCAACGGCACCGGCGGCGACACGAGCAATGGTCTCGCGGGCACTGCTGCGGCCACCACCGGAGGAGGCCTTGATGCCGTACTTTTCGAGGTAGGTCCAGTCGGCGTGGGAGGGGCGCGGGTACATGTCGATTGTTTTCGATCCGTAATCTTTCGGGCGCTGGTCTTCGTTCATGACTGTGAGGGTGATGGGCGTGCCCAGGCTTAGCGGATGTTAGCATCGTGATATTTCCAATATAAGGTGGGGTGGTGGTCTCACGTTCGTCCAAACTCGCATCCTGATCCAATCGTCACACGGTCCTTTTCATCGCGAGGGGTAGAAATGGCAGACTGGCCGGGACGTCTACGGTTGAGCTGCGGCTGGATGTCCTCTTCGGTGAGGGCGAGGCCTGGCGGGCAGTTCTCGATAATGCAAGAGACACACTTGCCGTGGGACTCTCCCGCGCTGTGAACAATAAGGGGTCAGTAGGAGTGTTGTGCTGCGCCTGTGGGCAGATTCTTTGAAAAAGCACTCACGTCGTCACGCGAAAGTAGTTACCAAAGCTCGACATGGCGTCTATATCTGTTCTGTATAGTCGAATGGGTGAATTGGGCAGAGAGCGACAGCGAGGCGTTGACGCAGAGATATTTTTACTTTGCGGTGACTAATCCGACGTCGGAGCGTGGGGTCACAGCACCGAGTATAGTCGCTGTCACGTGTGTGGGTGATGGATGCGGGTCTAACACTACAGCTGAGCTCTCCAGCTTTGATACGTCTCGATGGAAAAGGAAATTCTTAATGAAAATTACGTGCCTGGGTAAATTGATTTTTCTATTTTCGGTGCCGAGTGCTGAGAATACATTGCATGATGTGTTGAACAGGGCCTACGCTCAACTCCGGCTCCGGCGGGGCACCGTTTACTGCAGGGATTGGAGTGAGCAAGCTACCAGCGCCGGGCTGTGGCATCTCACCCCCAAGAATAAGCAACCACTTTACAAAACGGAAATTGTACAAAAAACAGAAATATGAAATTACTCCATCTAGGTAAAATATAACTCGATATTCTACAAGAAAAGCATCTTTCGCAAACTTGGTCCTCCTCATAAAAAGTCGACCAGTGCTTCATCTAGTGTAGTAGCCTCGCGCATCGGCTGGACATCATCTCGTGCTGGCAGACCAATCTTGTTATGCCAAACCACCTTCATACCGGCACGAGTAGCACCGGCGACATCTCCCGCGCTGCCTGCGACGAATAAGACATCCTTGGCTTCAACACCCAGAGGCTCCAAGATGGCACGGTATGCTTCAGCCGTGGGCTTATAGTAGCCGCTCTCCTCGCCTGTGACAACAGCGTCGAAAATGCCTTGACCGGCCTGGTGAGCCGCTATGCGTCCCAGACGCACGGAGCAGTTGGTGACCACACCAAGCTTGTATCCCTTTGCCTTTAGCCTCTCTAGCACGCCAGGCACCTCTGGCCACGGCTTTAGCTGCCTCCAATTGGCCAAAAGAGCCTCTGGTGCCGACGATGGGAGGCCAACGTCTTGCGCCGCCTTGGCTACCAACGACTCATAAGGAACATACTTGTTGGTGCCAAAGGTGACTTCGAGGTAGCGCTGGCGCCATAGCATGCCTTCGTCATGCGTTCCAGATGGCGTGGACTGGTCCCAAAGGGTCCATGAATCCAACAAAGCAGTGAGAAGGTCGAAAACAACAGCTTTAGGCTGCCGAGGCGATTGGTCCGTGGTATTAGCTGGGTCCGTGGAATTCATTATAGTCAAGACTAAGGGTTGAGGGTGTAAGATTCGTCAATTTAACGTTGATGGTATTATCCAAGTGTAAGTCTTCAAACAGTAAAGTGTATTTAATTGAAAGAAAATAAATAAGCGAAAGAAAACCCGGTTTTGAAAGAGAAGTTCTTGTTCGCTTAAAGGGCGTCACAGTCGAGATGGGCCAATGAGGCTAAACGAAAAGGCTGGCGCTCCCGCGCACCTCTTTAGGCTTAGCGTCGTTGGGTGTAGACGGGCATTGACGGGAGGATGGCCATTTACTTAAACGGACTCTTTGCCGCTGTAGGGGCCAGATAATTCTAGAGAAATGTTTGTTTGAATATTAAGCGACTAGTAATTCGAATAAATTTCCATCAAGTCTAGCTTCATTTATGCAAATATTCATCATCTCATCATGGATCTGCGCGAGCGCTATATCGGCCAAAGCATCACTGCCGTACCAACGCCGGCTGTTATCTTGGATCGAGCCAAGATGAAAAAGCATTGCGATTCCATGTTGGAGGTAGCCAATACTCTTGGTACAGATTTCCGCGCTCACATAAAAACTCACAAGGTGCGAAACCGTTAATATTGTAAATGCCAGAAAGTGATCCTAGAACTAACAGACTGGACTATCAAGACCACAGAAGGCGTTCGTCTACAAGCAGGCTCAGACAACCAAACTGTAAGGCTGATAGCATCTACAGTTGCGGAACTCGAGCATGTTCTTCCAGTGCTACAAGACATGAAGCAGAGCTCTCGCTACGTCAACATGCTCTACGGGATACCGCTTCTTGCCTCGAAAGTTGACCGTCTGGCTGCCCTTGCCCGTCAACTGGGCCCGGATTCCATATCTGCCATTGTTGATCACCCCGTACAACTTGATCATTTAGTGCAGTTTTGGAATACTGCTGGGCTCCCAATTGGCGTCTACGTCAAAGTGGACACTGGCTACCACAGAGCCGGTCTGCCATCTTCCAAACTAAACAAGGACAATCTGCTTGCCAAGTTGCTGGATCTCGATCAAAAAGGTCAAATCAACTTTCTTGGTCTATATTCGCACAGCAGTCTCAGCTATAATGGCTCCTCTGCATCAGAGGCCCTGGTTCATCTTGAGAGCGAGATTGAAGGCTGCCTGGATGCGCTTCAACTATATTCCTCATTCTTTACAACAAAAAAGGACATTGTGATTAGCGTGGGGGCATCTCCGCAATGCATATCTGCTAAGGCATTAGTTGGAAACAGTTCTGATGCTGAGGGGCCAGATGCGACTCGGTTGAGACAGCTTATCGCCAAGGTCAACGCTGCTCAAGCATCTGGGCTGCGCACCAAGTTGGAGCTACATGCAGGCGTATATGCTATTCTTGATATCCAGCAGCTGTCAACAAGATCATGGGAATATGGCAATTTCGAAGATGAAATAGCGATTTCAGTTATGGCAGAGGTGTGCAGCGTGTATAATGATGGCGAGCGACAACAGCCCGAGGCGCTCGTTGCTGTTGGAGTGCTTGGTCTTGGTCGAGAGCCCTGCTTTTCGTATAGCGGCTGGGGTGTTGTGCATCCTAGTGCGTACACTACCGCCACCACGAAACCCGAACGACGACTCATTGTCAGCCGAGTGAGCCAAGAGCACTGCATCTTGGCCTGGGAGACTAACAAGCAAGACGGTGACGGCGACAAGCTGCCGCCTATCCCTCTAGAAGTTGGACAGAAGATCCAGATTTACCCTAATCATGCCTGTATAACAGGAGCCATGTACCCTCACTACTTTGTGGTGGACTCTTCGACGGATGAGAATACTATTCAAGATATATGGGTAAGGGCTCGTGGATGGTAGTTTGGTAGTTGGAATTGTCTGCCCTCGAAACCAAATAATAAACAATCAAAGGGGTTTTCTATAATAATACAATTACATTAAAAACATCTATGGTAGATTGAAGGCTGTCCGGTAATGATGCAGCACGCGTAAACGAGAACCGAATCAATCTTTTGGCTGCGATATGAACCACGCTTGCCGCCGCCTCCAGAATCATTTACAGCCTGGAATAGGCCAAGAATATCGTTACCGACCAGACGCTCGGTATTTATAAATTTGATGGCCTCCAGAATTTGAAACAAGGGGAAATTACCCTCCTCCAAACTGTCCTGCGTGAGGTGTCCAACCAGCCACTGTTGCGTCCATTGACCAATGGCAAAGCTGCGAGAGTATATGGCAGATGCGAGTAAAAGATTTGCAATGCCAATTGTGTAAACATTGCATGATAGACAATCCTCCCAATTCAACCCAGCCGCTATTTGTAACAATAATTGCCCCCATGCCACACATTCTTCGGTATCGGTAAGGTCTAGGGTATCATGCTGGGGTTCCGGTGAACCTTGACGAGCCTGGTTTGACTCAACGCGGCATGCAAATAGTCTGGCCATGGAGTAATATGCAAAATTCATAGCAAAATCATGAGACTCAAATTTTAGCGGCTGAATATGTAGCTCGCCGGTACCCGACAGGGTAGGTAGATTATCCGGCTCTGGGGAGCGCGGTAATTCCTGGAGTGTAAGTGACTGATGCCATACGTCCAACTGTTTTGAAAACTTTTGATGATTCGTAGGAGTAAGTTTAGATTTGTTTGTGGTTGAAATATCGGCAAACGCAGCTATCGTACCAGCAGTACAACAACGATGCGTGTCGCAGAGGATGCTGAGGATCATGGCGCGCCGTGTATGCGGCGTATTTGCAATAGCCCTCATAGATATGGAAGCAATTGGTAGATGATCTTGGAAATATTCAGGAGTACCAAAATATGCCCGCCGCCACCAAGTCTGCATCCGGACCTCGATCCAGGCAGCAAGCAAACCTGGCGAATGCCGCGCCAAGTGTTCAAGGTTGTTCTGTATAAGGGTCTCGGCTGCTTGAGAGTGGAAATTTAAGTTTCCAAAACTGCCCATGGATGACTCTAGATAGCAGAATAGTACAATGACAGACAAGGCTAGTTGTGGATGAGCCTTGAGGTCCTCATGTCTCCATTCGCCGATCCGCCGCATCAACCCTCCATACAGCTCCATACTGAACTGCTCATCAGCTTCATTGGGGTGGAATAATCTGTCTATAGTGCCACTCTGGGCCAGAAGATTCGGTCTCGGTGATATTCGGCTGAGCCGGCAAGCAGCAAGGGAGATCATGAGCGCTCTTGGGACTGGCTGGCGGGTATCCCAAGCGTCGAGTTGACGAAAGGATGAATGTATGGCGGGGATGCATCTTGTTTGCCACACAGGTATGTAGTATGCAACTTCGGCGCTGAGATCACGAGTGCTCAGAGATAAGAGTGGTAGAAGGTTGTTTACTGCATGTTTATAATTCGTTATGCTGGACGTGTAATCAGTTTGGTGATGCTGGCCCGAAGCAGCCGTGTCGTCATGGACTACCCGTAGAGAGGGCGAAGATGGAAAGGCCACAACGGGCGAACAAAACTTAAGAGCCTTTGCTTCGCAGCGGGTGCCAAAGCGAACACAGCCTCCACATATTGGCTTTGTCTCGTCGCACTTTGTGATGACATGGATGATCAGCGTGGTGTTGTCACTCTCAGCCTATTCTTTGTCGACAACGCACCTTCTTACGCCGTTTGCGGCAAGCCAGACATCCCGTTAAAGAGCGGCGAATCTCTGTTTTCCTTGGTCTTTCTGGCGCTGGCTTATACATGCGGTTTTTGCGGTCGCTGATTGGTGTCGTAGTTTATGCAGGAGACTGCTGTGCAAGGTACAGTAAAGCGGGCAGCTGTGGTTTGTCGCCTCCACCAGCTGGCACAGGTGGCGAGCCGCATATTTCGACTTCAGCAAGAAACAAACATGCACGCATTGCTCCATTTTACAAATATCGACACGATAATTGAGATACAGAAATTCATCAGGCACAATTTCAATGCATGCTTTTATACTTATAATATGTTTGTTTTCTTAGTGACTACATACTACGAAGATGCTATTATAAGCTGCGGCGTCACCAAAAAAGTCATGTCTAGAGCGTTAGCCGTTCCGTTGTCCAGCGGCTTGCTTCGGTACGATTTCAATGGCAGAGAGTCCAAGTTTACTGCGCAGAGTGGTATTATTTTTGCGTAGCGCAAGCTAACTAACCTTAACTCTTAACCTTACCCTTTGTGGCTTTGTTTCAGGTCTCACAAAGGTACTTTGTTACACCCATGCAAGACACACAACCGGCCTCACTTCCCTGCTTCTTGCCCGTGGCTCCTCTCCGTCGGTGCCACTGCTTTCCAGGCCAACAACACCGAGGTTCCCGCCCAGTGGGACCGTGGAGGTGCCACTGGTGCTGGTTTCTCCGACTTCTTCAACCGTCTTGACTTCCAGTCTGGCGTTGTTGACTCTTACCTCGCCAACAGCGTTGACAAGGGAGACTACTCCCGCTTCAACACCAAGGGCCGTGCTTACCCCGATGTTGCCCTCATTGTTACCGACTATGTTTACTACTTCAAGGACCACTACTACCTGAGCTCTGGTACCTCCAACTCTGCTCCCATGTGGGCTGGCATGATCTCTTTGATCAACGATGCTCGCATCAGCCAGGGCAAGCCTACTCTTGGCTTCTTCAACCCCCGTCTCTACACCGACAAGGCTGTCCAGGCCGCCTTTACTGATATTGCTACTGGTGGCAACCCCTCTTGCAACACCAACGGCTTTAAGGCTGCTGCTGGCTGGGACGTTGTTACCGGTTGGGGTGTTCCCAACTTTGAGAACTTGAAGAAGGTCCTGAGCAACTAAAAGTTTTTCTTTGAAAATAAAAAATACTTTACTCCAAATATGTAGATTAGAATCAAATAATGTATTGTTATGCTTATGAAACCGAGTTTCATGTTGATAATATGATGTAGCGGCGTTTAAGTCCTCTGCTTGTCTAAATACCTTGGATTATGAATGGAAGATACATCTATTTACTATCCTTGTGTTATATAATATTACTCGATCAAGGAGTCGCCGGGTGTTTCCAGGCTTGATAAGTAAGCCAGGTCTGATATATACTGACTATTAACGAAAGGAGTCCTAGCACTACGGCGAAAACGACTCCTCCAAGCGTGGCCATCATAACGTACCGCCCGCTACTCTTTCGTTCCAAGGCACGCTCCAGCCAACCGCTCGGGCTCGGGTTCTGCAACTCAGCATAAAGATCTGCCAGGCGATCAGTCAGATAGACATAGGACATAACCTGGCTATCTTCGAACTCGACGCGGATGGAGTCGTAGACATAAACCGAAATGTCAGGATCAAAGGAGTTTGTCGTGACCAGAGTATCAAGGAGGGCACGGGATCGGGGGTCTGATAGGGGGAATAGAATTTCTTGCAGCGAAGTGAGCGTTTCAAGAAGGAGCCGGCGAGGCGGTAGCCTAGTGATGCGATTAATAGTAATTCTTCGATTGGGTCAAAGAGCAAGACGTGGAGAAGATATACGTACGCCACGGCTACAGGTTCTGAAAAATTCTCTTTTATAAGTTTTAGTTGTTCCTTTAGAAATGCCGCATGGTGGAATATATAAAGAACTCGATTCTTCCTGTCAAAGCGAAGGTGGTTGCGAAGATCGCGGGTCGGCCGCATGGCGATACCTAGGTGTTTCTGAAGCTTCCTTGCACGTAGTGCATTTGTAAAGCCATTGTACAAATCGCTATTAGGAACACTGAGAATAGAATGGGGTTTCTTAGGGAATAGATCTGAAATATATTCGTTGAATCGCACTTCGTCTTTCCACGGGGTCCAGGAGGCGTTGCCCTGTTCCAGCACATCGGAGGAGTAATAGACAGGGGAGCAATCGACCATGGTCAGAGTTTGCACTACAAGAGCTATTGCATCTGAAAGTGCCTTTTCGGATGTATTGTGTCGCGTGATGGCCCTCGCAAATTCACTTCTTGTCATGTATGGGCAATGTTTCAGCATCTGGATCGCAGCGAAAAGGCCTCCGTGGGTTTGGAACACTCTCGTCGAGGGGAACGACTCGCCAATGTATACTTGGACGATTCCTTTGTAGAATTGGAAATATCGTGTTAGTCGCTTAACACGAGCGGTGCACTCATCTTGGTTGCAGCTCCGACCAATGGTGCAAACGCACTCTGGCCACGACCAGAGCTCACGGCCAAGCGCGGGCAAGATGCCCAGTTCAAGCTGCTCGAGGGTTAATGTAGAAGCGCTCATCTTCTTTGGTTAATTATTGCTCTTAAGCAGACAAGAGGTAGGTATACCTACGGTTATAATACGTTTCTTCCATGGTGTTGTATCGCCGTGGCTGAGCTGCATATCAATCTCAGCCTCACCACGGGGTGAGATTCTATTGGAGGAACGGTGATGAAGCGTGGCCATGCGTGTGGTCATCGAAAGGTATTTATTTAGCAAGGCTTTCCCAAGAATGCCTACCTGGTACTGATCCTGTGACTGCAGCTTCACTTGACTTTGCCATCCATGGCTACGGTTGGTGGTACGATGGTAGCGACGGAACCAATACCATCGCCAGAATCCCATGGGCGACACTGCGACAACACTTCTCGGAGCTACTCCTCTGCTTCCAGTTCCGTTAGTGGACAACAGTCTACCTTAGCGTCTAGTTATTCCTCGGCCACCGCATCCGCAGTTCATCAGAACCTCCGTCGAGGCTCTACCAAGACGGTCCTGCCTACAATCCCAGATGATGGCGGATTTGCTGTACCCGGAACAACGCTCAAGGCATATGATAAATATATATCCAATACTCTCAGAAGTCGGTTCTATGATCTTCAGCGACTGTATAGCACGGCACTAGCTGAGGAAATCTCGAAGAAACGGCGGCTTGGGTTGGGCCAATTCAAGGTGAAACGAAAGAATAGGACTGCAAACCCAGGACCACTATCGATGAAGTGCAAATATCTGGGCACTTCTGAAGAAACTGCAAAACTTTGTATTGTTATTCACTGCGAAAAACAAGTATCGAAAACTGTCACCGACTTTTTTCATCAAGAGCACGTCGCCAAGGATCTCAACGGTGATTTTGAAATCCACATCATCAACGACGGCCTCATCCGATTCGCCGCTATGGAAGATGTTTCCGTGTTTGGTAATAGCTTGGGAAGTACATCCTTTGGCAGGAAAGTCCACCTTCGACTGGAGCACGCTTCTCGTTGGGCTACAATGGGTGGAGTGATTTTAGTATCGACAGCAGAGCGCGGAGACACCGTCTTTGGTCTCCTCGCAGGGCACCCAGTTGCTGATATTCGGGATCAAATCGAACGTGAGAGCCTTGCGAGTGTCGACGATGAGAGTATTGAAGCAAGCAGTCTCGACATCATGGAGGATGAGCCAGATTCTCTTGATTCAGACTCTAGTTCAGATTCGCCAATTGCTCATATACTTTCAAATGGGAAGCAGAGTACTGCCGAAGACGAAGATAACGGGTCGATCATCTGTGAAGAATATCTCGGACAGGTGATTCATGACTCATTCCGCAACGAAGCAGAAAAGAACTATGATTGGTGTCTCATGGAGCTACAAGATAGCAGCACAATGGGAGATGATATCCATCTTGGCAAGTTTCTCGAATGGCCGTATCCTGGCCGAGCCCGCCACGATACTCCATTGTTTCAGATGAGCGTCGAAGCAATTGCAATTACTTCTCATGGCATTCAAGCAGGTACCCTATTTCGAGACAGGTCCTCAATACTGCTACTGCCAGGTTCGGCATTTGTGGAAACGTTGAGATTTACTCTAAAATCTGGCTCAGGTAAGCCTGGTTCAAGTATATTATCGCACGGCCGCTCTTGCTTAACAATGCATTTAGATTTAACTTACGGTGACTCGGGTTGCTGGGTAGTAGACAGTAATGGACATCTACATGGGCATCTCGTGGCAATCGACGTCTTTCAAGAGGCATATGTAATGCCACTGGAGGAAACACTACGCAGCATCAAATCCAATCTACAGGCAACATCGATTGCGATTCCTGGGCCAAACCACTTCAATATTATCATACGGTGCCAGGGATTACGGTCAGGGGATATTAAAGAACATTTACGGCTTGAAAAACTTCTCCTGGGGCCATTCTCGACGCAATTCAGCATACACGCGAGCCCGACTGCGCTATTTGAGTTTCCTCTTGCCGAACCACCAACCTGCAGAATTGACGGCATGATAACAGAAAGAAGAGCCGTTGAATCTAGGAGTAATAACAATGCTGGGCGGCACTATTGGGTTTGCCGGTTTGGGAATACAAAACACTTTGTATGTTGGGATGATGCATGGGGACTAGCAGACAACAATCCACCATGCTTTTGTTTCAAGCCAAGTCGGATAGGGTGGGATATATTGAATGTCTTTTATACATGTGCCCTTGGGAACTGTTCATTTTTGAAACTTGAAGCCGGAATAGCAGAACAACAAAACCAACAGAGTACACGGTAAAGGCACCATGACAATGCGTTTATTAATCACTCGATGCTAACAGTGGTTAGGGTACCCTCCGAAAGAGTTTTAGTATTTCAAGATCAACAAAGGGGTCCAAGTGCTCGTATAATAGAGGACCTAGCCGACAGTCTCGATGAAGATCTAATGATTGCTAGGGAGGCTCTTGAATACCAGAACATAGCCAACATGCCATCCTCAGTGGAAATGGGTTCAAAATCATCTGGCTCAAAGTCATATTCAGAGTCAAAGGGCTCGCAGTCATCGGCTTCAATACGATCATCATATTCAGGATCATCGTATTCGGCACCATCATATTCGGCACCATCATCCTCAAAATCATCTTATTCAGCCTCATCATTTACACCAGAAGGATTTATATCACATTCATCTTCAAGAGCATCATTTACACCGCAATCATATTCAAGATCGTCGTATTTGTCACAATCATATTCATCACCATCATCATATACACCGTCATCATACTCGGCATCATCAGCCGCAGGATCCCGTTCATATGGATCGTCTTCATCTTCAGCATACAGATCTGGCTCATCTCATCATGACTCGGGCAAGTATTATCAAAAGAAGCTATCAATAGGCCTACTTAGCTAACAGAAATGAGCCATAGGGCCATATTCATCTTCGTCGTTATCATATAGACAGAATACGGTAGTCAACTATGGACAGACTCAGTACGCCTTGCTTGACCCTAGCTTGTATTCTTACGACTATTGCTTACAAAAGCAGATTTAGTAGAGGACACCCGACACCGCAATATGGAGGTTATCCAGAATCGAATACTGGTAGCCAGCCCCAACCGGAACGTAAAATCAAACTCCCTACGGTTCCGGAAACTGAAAAGAAGTAAGAATGAGTATGCGTAGGATTACGGTAGCATTTATTCTGAGCCAAGGTGGTGGAGGATGGTAACGATCAAATTATCCTAATCAATACCAAACCTATTAAAGTTACTTATAGGCTATCTAGTCGTAATACATGCTGTCGAGATCGTCTTCTTTATGTGTCTCAATCACACAGTCGCTAGTCGGGAACGCAACACAAAGTAGGACATATCTTGCTTCAATCTGAGTCCCGTCCAGAAAGTTCCCATCATCTTGATACACGGTACCATAGACAAGTCGGCCGGTGCAGGTACTGCAATTTCCAGCTCGACAAGAGTAGGGCATATCAACACCTTCCTCCTCGGCTGTGTCGAGAATATTTTCGTTATCTGGGCAACTGGAAGGTACAGGTGCCGTCTGGCATGCGAAGAGTGACCTGATATTTGATCATTTTTTGTTGTATTGAAGTGGTTTTCTTTTGATTTGCTCTTTAAGATGGCTGGTTTGTAGGTTTGAAGAAGAATGGCTGAAAGATTAAGAATAGTTGACCATGGTAACTCGGAGCTGGTTGCCATAATATATGCTACCTCCGGATATGTATTAACTCAATCCTTGCTTATAGATGTCGGCAGTCATATTAACAGGGATATGTATTCCTTGTTATTCTTCCCGTATGATTGCAATTTGATGTTGTATTACTGGTTCGTTCCCTGCATCTGTGAGGTTGTTGTGAATCCTACGATCCTTCCAACTGCATCTAGCCTAGAAGTTCCCATATGATTGGTTCCAGAACCTCACTAGCATCAGCTTTCGGGCCGCATATCTGCAACCGCCCTTGACTGACGTGGCTTGTCATATGCTTCAAAGGATTGAATCCCAGCTTTGCCCGTCCCATCCGGCATGTGGTAGCCGTCTGAGTCCAGAGGCTTGCCAGCCAAGTTATGTGACTTCTACTTCTTTCGTCCAAACCCTTCTTAAGTGCTATCATAAAAGAAGGTTTTGCAGTGATGGCGGCTGTTCATCAGACCGTGTCTTATGAAGACTTTCAGCTACAAATCTCGCAGCTACCACAGGGGCTCCTAGCTCTCGTCCATCTTTACTCGCCATGGACAGAGTTCAAGTCTAACAACGCCCCTCAATTTTCCAAGCTCGCTTCCAAGTACCGCGCAAACACGATATCTTTTATCGCTGTTAATACGAAGTCTATTCCAGAGGTTCATCGCCAATACGAGATAAAGACAGCTCCTCGTATACTTCTCCTACGTGACGGTACTCTACTTGAAGCCATCCAAGGCATCGATTTCGATGCTGTGGAAGCCACAGTGGCTCGGAACGCCGATATTGAGCGGCTTCCTGGCATGACACAGGAACAAATATATGAGCAAATCGCATCAATAGTAGCAAAGCAACCTCTTATGCTGTTTATGAAGGGCACACCACAACAGCCAAGATGCCGCTTCAGTATGCGCATGGTCAAGCTACGGGCTAAACACAACGTGGACTACGGGTCTTTTGATGTCCTCGAGGATGAAGATATCCGTATGCACGTAAAAGAGTACGGCGAGTGGCCGACGTTTCCACAGCTATGGGCAAATGGTGCTGTTATTGGCGGATGTGGATGTGGTGAGCGAATTGTATTTTACAAGAGGTATCAAAGTTAACCATGGCCATACAGATTGATCTCGACATAACTGCGAATCCTGATTTTTTAAAAGCAATAGTATATACGTTAGTGGGTAGTTCTGTATATTAATAATCACTTCATCGTATTTTATAAGTCCTTCTGTCATGTTTTCAGTCCACTTTACGATATCTTGAACTTTGAAATGCATATAAATCGAGGAGATAATGTCTCTTAGGTCGTTTTCATCTTTTATAAACGCCCAAATACACTATATATCTTCACAAGCATAGGCATGATCCTGCGCGAAAAGAGTCCATGAATCATACTCCCGCATAAGATAATCGCCCTCAAATTTCCGGTAAGCTCGAACTTCTGGGGTTTCGCCAACATAGAATAACCCATGGGTCTGGCGCATCAGCGCCGCTGACTTGCCCAAGTACATACTGGTTCGTCGAATCACATATGGGATCATGGCAGGATAGCTTAACGCCCAAGAATGGAGTGCCCGTGGCGCATCGGATAGCCAGTCTCCCATAGACCTCCTTGACTTCCCTCCGGATTGCCGGTGTGGCTTTGCGGAAATACTTGAGGAAAGCTTTGTCGTCAATACTATCGACCTTTTTGGCCGTGCGGTCTGCGAAACGGGCGCAGTGTCGAGTCTCGAGGTGGAAAGGCATCTTGAACGCAGCACAGATGGCATCTTGTGTAAAACTCCAACTACAGACGGTTAACATTTAAAGCCTTCAAAATGTACTAGGGGAAATATACTCAGTTGCAGATTCTAGCGGTAGCACCGTTCGATTTGCAAACTCTGCTCGCGGATATAAGCTCTGGCAAGTTGCTATTGGCAAGACGAGCATGCCTAGCACTACGCTGCTAATGGGCAAGGTTGAATACATCTCAGTATAGAAATACAACGTCTCAAAGAGGAAAATTATGGGTAAAGTTGACAGGAAACATGAGCGTATAATATAAGTAGAAAGTCGTCCCCCAAAATTAGCCCCTGCGGCAGCATGACAAAATTGTCTTACTAGTATAGAAGAATATTTTAGAGTGAAAATCGCGTCTGAATTAGACCAGAGACTTCATCGACTTATACTTTTATTTTGATATGGGTGTATACTGTCTCGTTCGACCAGCCTTTATGAGTGCGTAATCTGAGTCTATGTCTAACATAACATCACTTGGTTCGGCACCTTTTCCAGGCTTAATCCTACGATCGATAATGCTCCATGCTCAAAATATACCTTGTCTATAATCTCCTATAGAATCCTCAGCGTATATATAACCATCATGATGAAGAGAATAGAGACTGATGGAGAATTGGCTCGTCATGTCTCTTGAACCAGATTGATACTGAAGTTCGGTAACGTACCTTCCGGTGGAATGCAATCAGTGTTGAACTCTTTTTGCAGGCAACCACTAAAACAAGCTACGTCCAGCGCAACATTGGTCGCCATGAAAGCTTGCCAAAGCATGTTGCGCAACTCGTCTCTAGAGTAGTGTAGCAACGGGCTTTTTATCATATTTAGATCGGACTTGTCAGGCATCGTTATTGATGAATCGCGTACGTCTGGTGTAGAATTAGATGTACGAGTTTCGTCTTTTCGGTCTGCAAATATCATCTGAGTGCGCAGATGCCGTAGGTTTGAAAAATGACCTTTCGAAACAGCCTCGCCGAGTGCAACCAGGTCGACAACAGGCGTACAAGGAGAATACATATTGATAGTGAGTATGTAGATACTTTCAGGAAGTATGCTGATTAAACAATCAGGCTTTGTATATATCTCGTGGTGGTGGTGGCAGAAAGTGGGTTGATCAAGCACTAGACTCTGCAGCCGTGTGAACTGGGTCAAGTCTGATATCACCTCCGTCGGTCCCACGGCGAATATCTCAGAGATATGACAGTTGATAGCAAGGTGCCGAAGTGTTGAAGTGGTGGATGACAGGGCATCGATAAGTTTTCTTGGGGAAAAGGCGTCCTCCTCCAAGCCCATGGGGTGAGAATTTGAATCGCTCCAGCTGTGTACACCTTGAAACCAAGCCTTTTATGGCCGGTAGCGGTAGAGGCTTTCGAATCTGGAGTAGCAAGTAAATGTAAGTTCCTTTAGGTTGCGCAGCGAACTGTGCGCAGCGTCCAGCTCGTCATCACTCCACGGCAGATCGTCGTCGGGATACTCTTCTGAAAATCCTCGATAAAACATAAGGCGTTGAAGATTCGGAAGGGCTTTTAATACGCAAGATATACTCCCAATAGCTACCATGTTTGGCTTATCTAGCATTGTGTTTTGTATAACTAAGGTACGCAAGGAGCGGAAACCGTAGTTGTCGAATCTTTGCTGAACAAGGCCTGGAAGATACTGAAATGTCACTGGATTTTGGGGTAAATTCTGTCGGCGCAGCTTTTCTTGCGCATCTTCGAAGTTGACAGATGCGAGTTCTAGCCGCGGACATAGTCCCAACATGAGAGATGTAACGAGATTATCAAAAGCCTGGCACATTCCATCGTCATAGTTTGCGCTTATTTCGCTGTCTGCGCTCTGAGGATACTCGGAAAATGTCTCTTCAAATTTCCGCAGTTCTAGATCTGATAGCTTTAGTTCTGTTGCTAGGCTTCTTAGATACCAGATATTCTCGCGTGGTATTGAGCTTTTACCAGGAAGAGGAACCCAAGGGCGTCCCATATCCTCAAAATAAACCCAAGTGAGCACTTTGACATATTCTGCTAGCTCAGGCCGAGACTGGAGCGTGCGAAAGAATTCAGTGTAGGAATAGATGCGCGGAAAGTGATCGAGGACGCGTTCAGCGAGAGCTCGCATATACCGACTAGCAAGGCAAAGACTACTCAATGTATTCGTCTGTTCGCGGGGATTGTGGCGCATTATTGCAATGGCATCCTCTGTGTTTTTTGCAATGGCCGCAGATGGATTCAATAATGTTATGCCGAAGGTCACGGCTCAGCTTCATGAATGGAAACTGAGCAAACGGGGGTGCCGTTGCCACCATGTTGTAAACTGCGCCTCATAAAGAATAACCGGACACAAGCGTATATAATAAAACCTTGCAAGAGAACGCAAAGAGGAAGATGGTAAACATATCCAAGAGGAGTTGAATGAGGCTGGAGGTTCGTCCCTGCTGTGCAGGGCGGCGTCTGAGCGCTTGGACTCGTCGGTACAGCCTTGTCGAGCACAGGCTTACTTCGCCAACAGCAATCGTTTTATCTTAGATTTTAATCCATTCCCACCATGAGAGCAATGTTTTTGTGTCAGTCGATGTAAGTAAAAAGCAACAACAGTGAAAAGGCGGGGTATCTTATTGTTCCTATGGCTCATGTAACTCTGGCACAGCGTAATAGTCCATATTTAGTCCAGCCCAGTTTGGCCATCCTTGTTCGACTAGCGATGGGTAACCTGCAAGCAAGTCACTAGGGATATCGAACCAGCCATCTTGGGAAGAAAGCGGCGCGTCGGCCAATGTACCATCGGGGATATTCGAATCGGTGTTGAGAGGGCCTGTGGGAGCTGAAGGCGGATCTAGTACAGCATCCAGACAATCGGATATAAATTTTGCTGCACGCTCACAGATGAAGTGATTGGACTCAGTTTTCGTGGCGGCTATGTCAAGCTGTGAGATTAGAACCGAAACCTTTTTAATCACGGCCGCCCGTTGGACTTCAGCTGGTAATTGGACTCGAGAAGATCCTTCATTGACGTCTTGCAGTGCATTGAGTAATAGAGCGGCGCTAGGAACGCCATGGGATAACAGCTGTGTACAATGATTAGCACTAAAGGATCTCTGGAGTGAGGAGACGGATGAACAGTGCATACCATGGTTGGCAGATCCTCTGTAGATAAACGCCCACTGTTTTGCTCTTTGCTAATGCGGAGGATGAGCTCCAGCATTTGCCATGAGATGGTGACCAGTTCCATCGGTATGTATGTACTGGATTTGAGGGACGATAAGAGATTGAATTGAATATTGTTGTAGTCGAGATAGAGGGTTGCCAGTACAAGACAATTCCAGACATCAATCGATGTCCAGCAGTCGTCCGTGTACTTGACATATTGCGGGAGCTCGTCCCATGCAGCGCTTAGTCTTGTTGACAATTGTCTGCAGCGCAGAGGATCATATTAGCTAATGGCATTTCAAGCGGAGGGCTGTGTTTATTACCTTAGCCTTGTATCACGGTCTGGATCGGTCGATATTTTTGTGTCTATTAATTCCTCTTCAAAATGGGCAACCATATAACGCACGCGAGAAGCCGACATGACGCTTAGAGTACTGTTACGGTTCCAACCAATCTCTGTAAGTATTTTGTTCTTGTCAGCAAGTATAGTCGGAGAGAAGAGGTCCTTTTCTGGGATATCCAAAGGCGGCGCGCAGTCGGCGTATTGCAGTCGTATACAAGGCTGGCGGTTCATCTCGACAGCTCGCATCTTGTCGAAGTGGTTGGTCGTGGCAAATATTCTCTTTCGGATTTCAGAAAGATAAAATGGCAGTTTATCAGCCGAGTGGCTCGATTCCCTGTGGATATTGAGCGCCAACATGTCAACGGAAAGGTCACACATCCGACGCCATACATTTACACCTGAGATCCAATGTTAGCCCTCTCTATAATTAACCATAGGAATGTAGTTTTATTACTTACTTGTAGCACCTTCCAAAAAGTCTATCAAGCACATGTTGGAGAAGCTCAGCCATAAAAGCACGTCGTTCGGCTCTGGTGCCAGTGTTCGCGCCAGCTCCAGACTCAGTCTACCACAGTATAGCATCTCCGACACAAGTTCTGGGTCAGGTATCTGTTTGGTATTTCTGTGAAATAAAAGGGACATCGCCGTATGCGTTAGGACTAAGCCAATGGTTTCTATACGCAGATTTGGGCCTGTGAAGAGGTCACAGAATGTGTGCATGTCCGCGTCAATTGGAACACGGACGGCAGAGCTTGAGCTGGCCAAGACTCTGGCAGCAAGCTTTTCGATACCCCCAGAGCATTCTATATTGCCCTGATTTACTCTCAGTGGCAGCTTAGCGAGGAGCTCCTCGACAACGTATCGCGGAACGTGGCTGAAGGAGGCTAGACTGACGAAGGACTTGACACATCCCGCAATGCGAGGTAGAAATCGTAGTGATGCTAGAATCTCTTTGATACTGTCCAGATTACGTGCCTCTGTCCTCTGTTCGTGAAGTTGTGAGACGAAGGTTTTGGGTATGGGTACGCCAGATTCAGCAGACGACAGGATCTGGAGGATGCTGGACGCATTGTCCTGGTTTGGGGTTGAGCGGTTGTGTGGTGATATTGCTGGGGGTGTCTTTTGTGAAGGCACAGTATGCTGTGACAGTGGTGAATTCGATGCCGTACCCGGCTTTGATCTCGGCTTGGACATGGGCGCTGGATGATAGAAGCATTGCAGTTGGTGGGTGTCGCAGTATGTGCAGACCGGCCGCTTGTGGTCACATTTCGTCTTCCGCTTGCGGCAAGTTTCACAGGAAGCCTTCAGGCCATTCCTGCGATAGCCTGCCCTTGTTGGAGACTGGCGTGAGCTCATCGTGAAGCCGTTGGCGATGACTCAGTCATGTGCACGGTTGGGACGCCTGTCACGGCGCGTCAAACATACGCCGGGGACTTTTCCTTGGTGTTAAGAAGATTGATAGCCCGAGAAGAATGATCAATAGCCGCGTAATCTAATGTTGCAGTGCTGGCTAATTACTGCAATTGTAAAAAAAAACCTGTCGTGTGGTGTTGTAGTAGCGACCGCCCGTACCAGTCAGGCTTTGCGGGGCGGATCTGGTGTTATGGTGGTGACACACCGCGATCGCTGCTTTCATCACACCACCGTCACATCACATCTTCCCATATCTGCATCTAATACAAGTAACCAAGAACAAAATAAGAAAGATGCAAGACTGTCGTAAGATTAAAAGCTCATCAGTCCCTATTATCTACTATTGCCCGGTCTATTCTTCGACTTCATTTTTCCGCAGTGGTGCCGTTAACCAACGCTGAACATATCAGTGATGTAGTGGCGTCGACGAGCCTCAATACATACCAAATGGATGTCGATTTACTTTTTTATAATTGCAACGATAGATACCTTTTTTTTCGACATTATCACTGGATGTGAGATCGTGCGCCACACACCGCTACACAACACAAGGCTGTCGTATTCCCGGGTGCTTACTCTTTCGTAGCCTCATCGTCCCGGTCTGCGCTGCAGATCTTCGTATTCCAGTTGCTATATATACTGTATAGTGGGGTTTGAGCGCGTGATAGGACCTCTCTATGCATTAAATCAGAGCCCAGCTGCGCAGTTACGATATCAGTCAGCAGTCAGTGATGCTTGGCAAGCGACGACGAACCAGCTTCAGGCTCTCACCAGAGGACAGCAAACATCCTGTGGTCATAAAGCGTCTGTTCAAATTATAAATAGCTGCCTCGCCACTCTTCAAATCATTCCAGTACCCATCTTCATCATCGACATACATTACAACCGCATTCCACTTTACATTCACACTCTCCATCATCACCATGCGTTCCTCTATCCTTACTGTTACCATGGCTGGCATGGCATCCGCCGTCGTTCTCCCACGTATCGCCATCATGTCCGAGTCCAAGGGATTCCGCCTCCTCGTCCGTGTTCATGACTACGATACCGACCTCGCAGCTCAGGTCAACAACAAATATATCGGAGGTATTCACATTGGCGCTGCTCGGGAGGGTGTTCTCCCTATCTTAGATGGTTCCAAGGGACCCGTCTTCTGGGTCAATGGCACAGATGCAGAGCTCCAAGCAAACCAGGGCCACGTCTTTAGCGATCTCGATAACGGAATGTATCCGCTTGGTTGGCAGATATACAAGAACCCCGATACACTACTCGGATCTGTCGAGATGGCTCCAGGTCTCCAAACCGCGGGAGTTTCCGTCTTTGATGGAGGACTCGATGGCCCTGCCTACCTCCAGCCCACCGATTACATGGCCTGTCTGAGACCTGCCGTTTACACCGGCGAGCTTACGCCGTTTATCTTCCAACGCGATACCAAAGATAATGCGAAGCTGCCAGAGGACTGTGTCATTGTGAAGCTGCTTCCCGAATGTGCTTACCTCCAGGACCTTCCTGCTGGCGCTACATACAACCATGACCATGCGCAGACGTCGCGTTGCTACGTCGATGCTTTCGACGGCGGCTACTAGCGTATCATCTTCGGCTCTTCAAGTATATACTTTTATTTACCTTTGATATAATACCATAGATGCGAAAAAAAAAATTCACAAATATATACTTGAAATTTTGTAGTTTGAATCAGTCGTGAAATGTAAACCGCTAATTGGCAACGGTGTACTTGGCTGCTTAATTCAGGGGGTAGTACTACCCGATTAGACGATGCCTTTGAAATCGGCTGGTGTTGGTTACAAAGCAGTGGGAGTCCGTTTGCTCAGCAAAGACCCATATGTTTTGTCATTGCTTGCTAAACCACCCACTGTAGAAGTACTGTACTAGCTGTGGCTTGCGTGTACAGCGCAGTACCCGCTGACACATGCCAGCTTGTCTCTCGAGAGAGCCCCCAACCTTCTACAGTGTTCTAGCGCCTAAATTCAGCCCGCCACAGCTGCCCGCTAACTTAAACCTTGTTGCTCTTGTCCCGTACAGCACCGTAGCCCGTCCACAGTTAGTAGCGGGGTACCCACCACACGACGCATGCTGGCCGAGGCCTGGCCGAAAGCCGACCCGGACGGCCCTGCAACTTACTCCAACCTTTCGGCCTGGGGCTCTGCGCAAGCGCCATAAATGTTTTGTTTCCCCCGCCCGCCGGATGTGAATGTCTGTCTGCTTTTTCAATTCGCATTGTAAATTCGAACCGTTGGTTCTCATCAATTATTTGCGAAATCTTTTTTATTTTGTTTTCTCTTCTTTTCTCTCGCCTGCGTTCAATCACTGCTGGCTGTCTGCTGTTACTTACTGCCCCTCCACCACTCCCCGAGCCGGCGCTCCCTGTGCCACGCCACACCACTGCGGCCGAAAGCGAGAAAATCCAAATCCCCATTAGCCCGCCTCGCACGACCAACTCTCCGTCTCCGGTTCCTTCAGTTTCTCTCCTCTCCTCCAATTTCATTCTTTGCGCCGACCGCCCATATTCACTCCCCTCATATCAAATAACCCGCTACAATGCCCTCCTCAATAGACGCGAGTCAATTCGACTCCATCCCCGACGCCGTCGCCGCTTTCAGTAAGTTTTTCGACATCGTCACATGCGCTGGCTGCCAGCAACAGCCAACCAAGCTTGAAAATGCCATCTTTTGTTCTTCTTTTTTACTAACGTCTGCTCTCTTTCTTACAGAGAGAGGTGAATTCCTTGTCGTCCTCGACGACGAGTCCCGCGAGAATGAAGGCGACCTCATCATCGCCGCCGAAGACATGACGACCGAGAAGATGGCCTGGATGGTCCGCTACTCCTCCGGATACATCTGCGTGCCCATGTCCGCCAAGCGCGCCGACGACCTCGAGCTGCCTCGCATGGTCACCAACCCACAAGACCCCTACGGCACGGCCTACACAATCTCCGTCGATGCCGAGTCACCCCTCACCACCACCGGAATCAGCGCACACGACCGAGCCCTCTCCTGCCGCACCCTCGCCGACCCCAAATCTACCCCTCAGAACCTGCGCCGCCCCGGCCACGTTCTCCCTCTCCGAGCCGTCGATGGCGGCGTCCGCGCTCGCCGCGGCCACACCGAGGCTACCCTCGACCTCTGCAGACTGGCTGGCAAGGCCGAAGTCGGCGCCATCTGCGAGATCGTCGACGATGGCGAGGAGGTTCCGGGACAGGCTGTCCGTCACAACTCGGGCATGCTTCGTGCCGAGGGCTGCATTGCCTTTGCTAGAAAATGGGGAATCAAGGTCTGTACCATTGCCGACATGGTTGAGTACCTTGAAAAGACCCAGGGCAAGCTGGCCGCCAACGGATCTAGCTGATGCGCGCAAATTCATTATCTACTGGCGTTTGTTTCTTGTTCTTATGGTTCGCTTGCTTTTTTGGACGACATATTTGTGAAATCCCGTTTTAGAAGGAATATAGGTGGAGAGTCGGCTCGAAAAAGGTCAACAGGGTTCTGGACTGGCTCCTGTCTATCACAATCTCTCTCGACACAGTTTCTGCATGTATAAATGAAATCATCTCAAATAAAAATGGATGTCGTTATGTCTTTAATTCTATGTATTATTCGTTTCAATTCATGCCATAAAGTCCTCCTCGGCGTTGACGCTGCTCTTGGCGTTACTTAGTCCAAGGTTCAACCCTGTAGCCTTCTCCAGCAGCTCGCTTGTTGCTTCTTCCGTAACAAGCGGTGCGGGCTTATTCGATCTGACCTTGACTTTAACCTCACCCTCAATACCGTCCAATCTTAGAGTTTGAACGGCTTCGCCACCAGCGGGGGGCTTCAAGTTAGGCTGTGGCGCCATGCTGACGAGCTCGCGGAAGAAGTTGTTCGCTGCTTCACAGCCGTCAAGCAGCCACTTCAGACAGATGGTTACTCGTTCCTTTGCGAAAGGGTTATGGTCATCGTACGCACAGCAGTTGAGAAGGGGGACGATGCCGTTATACTTGACCATCTGCATTTGTACCTCTGGGTTTCCAGGGCTGCTCTGGCCTTGAGGAGGCTGCAAAAGCGTTGCAATAATGGTAAAGATCTGGCCCTTGATACCGGACCATGGGAATTGGTAGGCGGGCTCTTGGATAGGGGGTGGTGGTGGTGATGCGGCTGTGCCTTCTGTCCCATATGGTGATTCTGTCACTGGACCATCAGCTGCGGCGTCTGTGGGCGATCGTTTGGGGAGCGCAACAAGAGGTTTCTTGGGAACACCTGCCTCTAGGGCCGTTAGAATAGTGACGAGATCGTAGGCTGCTTCCCACTCAATGAGCTTGGCGCGCATATCAGGCATCTCGGCCGCAGTCGTCAAAAAGTCCAGGTACTGGTATAGCCCTTCCTTAGCGCGTTCCATGTCCCAGCTGTCAACCGGAAACTCGGCCGCGTCGCACTTATCTTGTCTGATTTCCGATTGAAGGTGCATAAGGGCAGCGCATTCCGGCACAATTCTACTGCGGAAGAAGCTAAAGAAGAAATGCACAAGCTTCACATCGCGGCTGTTGTCCTTTGCTTCCGCATTTGCATTCGTGTTGGCATTGCTTCGTGCCCGTAACATGTGGTTAACCAGTCGGAGAAGTACGGTCTGCGCTGGGGAGATGATATCCTTTGGTATCCGCAGCGTGTTCCAGGCGTACGGAACAAGGGCGCTGTGGTGCAGGGCTTCCACTATTTGAGTCGTGACTTGGAAGATGAGAGACTGTTCATCTTTATCCCAAACTGCGATAAACACAAGCAATTCTCGGAGCAAGCTCTTGCCGCAGTCTAGGGCTAGTAACATTCTGCATCTGGTCTTTTGCAGATTCTCGCCTGCTTTGGTAAGGCCAGAACCGGCGTTGTCCAGAATGCAGGATTTCACAATCATATGAAGGGCCTCGATCTGTTTCGGGTCCAGGATGTTAGGAATTTCCGTCAACAGTCCAGTCAGTGAGCCCTCGCCGTACGAATCATCGTCATCAACGTCATCATCGTCTAGCATATCGTCAACATAATCGTGAGGGTAGTCATGGTCATGGTCGTGATGGTGGTGGCAGTGGTGATAGTGATGGTCATGGTCATGGTTATGTTGGTGATCATGGTCGTGTTCGTGGGCGTGGTCATGTTCATGGCTATGTGTGTGATGATGCTGGTGAGGAGCATCGCCACTATCATCGACGTTTGTGTTTTCGGCGGTATTCTTTTGAGCTTCCTTGTTCGTTCCGTCTTGTTCTGTATCTGATTGGAATTCGTTGTCGTCGTGGGGTTGGTGGCAGTCTGGGCAATGCTCATGCTCAGACAATATTTCCTCCACTTCATCTGGAGAATGAGAATGATCATCTCCATACGAATGCGAATATGTGTGAATGAGGTTGTTTTTGCATTGCTCCAATCTGTTTTGGGCATACTCCACAGCCGGCATTCCCACAACCCATTCATCGTAATTGGGGTCTCGCACGCGAAGCCACCACGTATCAATTTCTCTCGAGACCCGCCCATATGCGCGATCTTGTTCGAATTTGTCTTCTTCGTCGGGGTTCCATATTGGATTAATCTTCTCTTCATTTGCGTTGCTCTCAGTGTCATCACTATTGCCATCAGAGAGCCAGTTCCTGGCAAGCGGTCTAATTGGCGCCAGGATTCCTGGAGGTTTGTCCGAATGATTCTCGGTATACTCTCGCAAAAGCTTACGGGCAGTGTCGCACATTCTTGAATTGCGATCCAACCAATGCTGTACCTGCTGTTTTGATGCCTCTAATCGGAATCCAGAGCAATCAGCATACATGTCATCTGGACCACCGAGAGCGCCGTCATCATCAAAGAGGACGTCAAACCAGAATGACATCTTGTTCCGATCGTGCTTTGCCGTCCAATTATGTGCCTGTTGGAGGGCAGTAACAAGAAGCTTCTTATCTAAGAATATGTGAGAAAGGACATTATGTGCCAGGATTTGTTGTACTTTGACTTACAGAGCTCGGTAACATCAGCCAACTTCATGCGCTGCGCGTCGTCCAAGATTTCACCGTCATAGCCTTTGCTCGTGACATTGACACATAGAATGATTGTTTGGTAGACCATTTGGTCGAAATGAACGGCAGCACAAATGTCCTGTGGAACTTCAGGCTCTGCATTGACCAAAAGATTTCTCGCAATATGCATGAGCTTGATCAAGGTGCCCAAGTCTTCCTTGATAGACGCATGGTTCATAACAATAAGAGCAGTGCTCTCATGGGGACTCACTCCCTTCTCCGGGTCGTTCAGACTCGACAGCGGACCAACCGACCGAGCTGTGAGCGTTGGTATGGATGCGGCAAAAATTCTTGTTAACCAGATCCAGATGGCGACATTGCGCGACAGGGCTTCTCTGTGACAAACGTATTAGATGCTGCTTTCAACAGCAGTAATGCTAATAAATAATTACCTGGCCTTTCTGATAGTATGCGTCTTCTCCAGTGTTTTGGTAATCATAGAGTTGACCCTTGCAGCTGTTTGAGGTCCCATGGGTGGCAGCTCGGTGAAATGCCCTTCAAGACAGATGAGCGCAGCAGAGAAGCATCGTTCCTCGATTGTTTCGCCAACGCCGCCAGAATAATCCTCATCTTGAATTTCCGGCTTGTCCGGTATTTGGGCCGTCGCGGGCGGGGCGTGGACAATCGTCATCTTGCACGACGATGTTGGTTGTTAAGTCGGTGACAAATCCAAGTCTAGCAAAGAAAAAAACTATGGTTGTGGTAAAGTGGAACAGGTTAGGCGTTGTGTGCCGCCGTTGGGCGCCGCAGTGACTTATCGCTGCTGAGAGACGCTTGCTGGACGGTGCTACTTAGACTGTACAATTTGATAAAATCAGAAATGTGATAATTTAATAGAATTATTTCAACTATCAATAACGTTTCTCCGTAATCTATTTGTATTGAATGAATCCTGGCACTGAAATCGCAACCTCAGTGATTTGGTTTGCTCTTAGACGTTGGCTCAAGATTACAAGTGCACAGTTTCAAGCAGCAGCATATGGCAAAATCGATTTTCAATATTTCAGAACACATGTAAAAAATAGTTTCTTAATTTTGGAAATAATTACTAGGAATCCAGAACTCGCACGTTGCAGAAGCAGCGAGCAGGTCAATTATGTTGACGTTCACATGCCGCCACCGCCTGCCGAAACGGGTACAATACCCCTCCAGCAGAAACGTCATTTCGATGGTGGGGTTGAGCGTGTTTGTCGACTTGCGTAGGAAACTTTGCGGCGATTTCTTGTCTACGACAAATCAATCCACAGCCACATCGCGACGCTCAGTGACCCAGGTTTCACATAACTCATAGCAACAGTTACGCAGGAGGCAATCGACTTACCGTCATCTACCAACCATGTCCGAGCTTCCCACCACGTTCGACAGTGCGTTGCGACTGCTTTACCTCCTAATTCTGCCACCGCTTAACTAACCATTCATTCATAGAGCCCGTCACTATCGCCGTTATTGGTGGTACCGGTCTGGGTCAGCTTGAGGGTTACGAACCTGTTGCTCTCCTGAACCCTACTACTCCTTGGGGCGAGGCTGCATCCCCAATCCACATTCTCTCTCACAACGGCACCAACATTGCCTTCTTGGCGAGACATGGTGTTCACCATCAGTTTGCCCCTCATGAGGTTCCTAACCGTGCCAACATTGCCGCTTTGAGAAGCATTGGTGTCCGATGCATTGTTGCTTTCTCTGCTGTTGGCTCTCTCCAGGAGGAAATCAAGCCCATGGACTTTGTTCTTCCTGACCAGGTCATCGATCGCACCAAGGGTATCCGCCCCTTCACCTTCTTCGAGGGCGGCGTTGTCGGACATGTCGGTTTCTCGGATCCCTTTGACTCCAAGCTTGCCGATGTCGTCAAGACCTGCGCTGCTAGCATGGAGGGTGATGGTGTTGTCCTCCATGACAAGGGCACTCTTATCTGCATGGGTACATAACTTGATTATCTGGACCGTATATACCAAGACTGACTTTCCACACAGAGGGTCCTCAATTCTCGACTCGCGCCGAATCCCACATGTACCGCTCTTGGGGCGGATCTGTCATCAACATGTCTGCTCTCCCCGAGGCTAAGCTTGCTCGCGAGGCTGAGATGTCTTATCAAGTCATCTGCATGGCTACCGATTACGACTGCTGGCACTCATTCGAGCCCGTGAACGTCGAGATGGTTATCAAGTACATGCAGTCCAACAGCAAGAACGCCAAGAGACTCGTGGGTGCCGTCATTGAGAGACTCTCTCAGCCTGAGCACGCCGACTTGATTGCTGCTAAGCACTGGGAGGGCGGCAGCCAAGGTGCTGTCAAGTTCATGACCAAGCCTGCAGGCAGAAACCCCGAGGCTATGAAGAAGGTGGAATACCTTTTCCCTGGTTTCTGGGAGGCTTAAGAGCGAGAACCTGTGTGTTTGCTTTCAAGATTGGATTAGAACTGAGTAATTTGTCATATAAACGCGGTAGATTAAATTGGATTGGCTCAACAGTTTCAGGAGTTTTTGCAGCAAAAAATGGATTATATATCTTCAACAGATGAATACCGTAGCAAATAGAATTAGTCTTGAATTTTTACATAATACCATGGTTTGGAGCATCAAACCCGGACGGAAATAATAAAAAGCAATGCATCCATATGCGCGAATCTAACCTAAAGCAGACCAAGTAGCGACAACGTCAGCCATAAAGACACGTTGACGTGTGATGCATGAGAAAACAAGAGAATATTGAGAGAAGACGGCGTGTCACGGAAGAAATATCGTTGGACGAGGCTAGCGATGTACATGCATGGCAAAGTCTCATTACGTGCGTAGACATGCATGTGGCTTCAGGCTATTCACCAAACAAGACAAACGGCCGGTGCGATTTACGAGGTCTGCAACGGCTTCTGGGTGGTTGCTCAAGACTCGCACGAGCGCCTGTTGCTCAGCATTTTGCAACCGCCGAAAGCGCAGATGCCACGAAAATCGGAAATCAGCAAATGCAGGAGTCCAACTCAGATTTGCAAGCGTTGACCGTTGGTTGGTTGGTGAAGCGTTGCACAGGACTGGTGGACCAAAAAAAAAGGTCGTCCCCCCCGCCCACCGGCGCCCCCAAGGCAGCCAGCATCATCGTTTTACACCAAAGCCCCTGCATCCTGACCTGTCACTTTTCACCTGTGGCTTCTACCGAGCTGTCGAATACAATGGAACATGCCGCTGAGGCAGGCTCTCGCATTAGCCCATCTGGGCACGGCAGTGCACAGCCCGTCATTCTGCTGCGCTGTAGGCGTTCGCCTGCATATTCGCTTGTCGTGCATTTGCCTTGGTCAGCTTGCTCTGCCCTCCCCAAGCGACATCACCGTGACCTGGAGCTGGCAGCACCGTGGCACGATGGCAAAGGGTTCATAGTGCATCCATGACTCGCTATTGCATCTGCTATGGGACGCACGCATTTCGTGCAGCTAGGCTTGGGCTTTCAAGGACGAGCCTGCTTCTCCACGACGGCTGCTAAACGGCCACCAACTTGCGCTATCCGTATCCTGGCCCTGTATTCTTCAACACCTTGGCGAGCTTGATGATGAACATGCATGACATGCCGGGTGTATTACAGATGTAGGGCACGCGGCTGAGCACCAGGAGATCAGCGCCTGAAGGTGATACGGTTTGGAGCACAGCTTCGCAGCTCAAAAACGCTGTCGTCGCTGGACCGGCCTTCGGATCCTGTGCACGATACTTCGATTCATTCACGCATCCATCCATTTGCTACACCAGCAGCTCCGCCAATGCTGCGGACACGAACTGCAACACGAGTGGCCAAGTCGTGACGAATGTGATGAATCACCCAGCATCCAACATCAGCGGGCGTTGTTAGCTTGATGCGGATCCCTTACTCTTGCTACTCTATCTGGCTGCACCGGCGCAATCTTCAGCATGCCGTTGCTAATTTCCCGCCCGCGACCCACAAGTAACGCGAACGCAGCTCTACAAGCCCCATGGGTTGTCTGGAGAAAAGGTACAACAAAGTCGGACGATATGATGGATTCAAGGCCCTGGCGCCATTCAGCCCGGCCAATCATCCCCTCGGAGATATTCCGTGTAGCCCAGCAGTTTAGGCAGCATCTTTACCACCGAATTGGCCAAAATTGCTCAAAAGGGAGATAAAAAGACGCGAGAATCACAAATTCTTCCCGTAGCTAAGCTCTGGCCAAGGAGCGAGGTGGTTCCGAGACATTCAGCCACAGGCTACCAAGAGCTGGAAGAGGATCGACAAGTGTCAAAGAACCCGTTCATCTTGTCCTTGATTTGGCCTGGTACAGAAGGGCCCGGCTAGCTTGCAAGTCATTTCTGAGACATGCGACATTCGCCTCTTCACCTTGACTATGGCTGTCTTGCCGCATGCTGCCCGCAAATCTGCTGCACGCAGTATCGTGCGATCCTTGTTAGGGTCGTTGGCTGCGACCTGGCAGCGTTCGCGTAACGCTCTTGAAGGAGTTAGTACCAGTGACCCCTGCGTTTACGGCTGCCGGCGACATCTTAACGGGGACGCCAACACATCATCCGTGATTTTGCCAGCATCTAGATGAAAGCACGTAGAGCTCGGGCCAATTCGAGGCCAAGGTGAAGAAGCCCTGCGGTCGTCTGCTCTTTGCCTGTATTCGGCGTCTCTCCAGCATGACAGTCACTCAAATGATGGGAGCTATTGCGTTCACTGCTCATCATTCGAACAAGGCACTATACATGGGAACGCGCCCAGCTAACAAAACGAGAATCCCATGCAGACAGGTGTGGGTTATTGGCAAGCCTTCCAGTTCGATGTTTCTCCTATTTTTGTGACCTCACACGTGCTAAACGCCGTGGCTGCCTCCATACCTCTCCACCTGCACGAGGAGACAAGGCGTGCGACATGCCAGTGGGTTCCCCGGTGGGCAAGGTATCAGAACACAACAGGCGCGGGCTTCTCCGGATGTTTTGACGAAGCCCGTACTGAACGGCAAATCCCTTGCGTTACACTTGTCCGAGCATACCAATGCTTTTCTTCGTTGAACAAGGATTGTAGAAGCGCCGCAAATTCTAACCTTTTGTGCCTGTGCCTTGGCGCACAAACACACTGCAGCCGCAGCTGGCTAGCTGTCGTTTTTTTTTCAACGGACGCCTGTTTGCTGACACGCTAGTCGCCAGGCTAGTTCACATGGTGGCAAGGCCAGCCAGAACTGAGTGGAGCGATATCGAACGGCTCGGGCCTTACTGGAAGCTAGACGGAACACAGAAGGTGGTGCGGAGGGATCCACGCGTGCGCAGACAAATGAATCAATTGCGCTCGGCGTTTCCAAGTATTACAGGTGGAGATTGGGACAAGGGCCCTTTGGTAGGAGCTTTTGCTCAGCATTAGGATTCTTTTCTCGCTCGGTTAGCGGCAGCCGCCTCTTTGGGGGTCTCCAAGATGGCGTTGATGACAGGGCAATGGAAGCACGGCAGACTGGTTGTTTCTTTGTGCGGCAAAGGGGAGGCTTTGATGGTGCAAGGCACGCGTGCTTCTGTATCATCAAGGACCCTGCCGCGCACGCAAACTTGGCTGAGCCAGTGGCGTAGCAAAGAACGGCGAGGCGACCCAAGGCATCGCCCTCCGAAGGCCGACAGGACGCCAGGGCTGGGTCGCAGGCTGCTGTACAGCAATACTTGTAAAGTTTACAGGTCGCTCGGCGAGCAATAAGAATGGAGTGGCATGTTGCGGGCCCACCACATTGCGAGGACCCAGGCGCCACATGTTCCACTTCTCAACGGCGGCGGCGATTTCAGGACGAAATGGAGGGTGAAAGAGTGACAGAAGGGCCAAGGGTGTATTGATGCAACCCACACGCGCCGGGCGCTGGCTATTTTGCCTCGAGGTCTGGTGGTCTAATGGATCGAACCAAAGTAGCCTGCGCTTTCCGGTCTTATTTCCTCTCTCCACCGTTGACGAGACTCGTCATAAGCAATCAATCTCAGCCGGCTTCGACCCTTTCTTCTCAATTTCTTCCTTTCCGCCTCAAGCGCCTTCAAATCCCCCCTCTCCGATTTCCGAGCCTGTGTAACATTCCCTATTTTGCTGTTCCGATCTTCTTCACCCTCACCTCACCTTGGATTGGACTACTGCAAGGGTTCACTATACTCTCACCACCCACGCAACGCTCCAGTCGACGCTGTAGAGCCACACCAACTATTTATTACCACAAATATCCCACAAACCTTTCTCGCTGCTGCATCTCTCCAGACATTCTTTTACTCCATTGATCTTTTCTCTCGGCACTGAAAGCCAACGTCAAAGAACGAAACACCGGGCCGAACGACCCTTGAACACTTCCCCCGTCGGCCGATCTGCTTCTGCACCGGCCCAAATAATTCCTGCTACGCATCCCGGACAGTGATTGCTTCCATTCGAGCACAGCCCACTGTTTTCAAGCTCTCGAAAAGGTTTCGGAAGAGAAATCGCATTGTCAAGAAGCAAACAGAGTCAGACCAGGTAACGACACCCTTGACTCGACCACGGGCTGACCGAGACTCTTTTCTCCACGACTCGGAACAGATATCCAGCATCCCCAACTACTATCATCTCCTTACACTCACTTAACCCTGCAAGAGCCTCCCCTAAAACATTCCAAGCATAGGAAGCAGTTCTCCATATCTAATCTACCGACCGTCTCAAGCTTCCGCCAACCCTTCTTCTCCTGACAACAAGGGTTATCTGCACGGTGCGGCCCGCAGTTGGTGTAAGATCCCCACATTGGGCAAGGAAGTTGGAACAAAAGAACTTTGCTCTCCGACATTTGCTTTCTTGTTCGGCAAATCGAACGTTAGCTATATAATCTCTCTGGCTTTACTTAAATCCCAGACCGCTCGCCATATCGTTGCTGACCTACAACATCTCGCTAACCCTTTGCTTCTAACCTCATACACCATGGCATACGACTCGTTCCCCGTTGTCTGCAGGAACAATATCCTTGATATTGGGGGTAGCATCCTCAGTGACGATATTGCACAGCGTTTGAAACGTGCTCTGACCGGCATTTACAAGCCTGGTGAAAAGCCAATATTGCCCGATGAGTTGCTCTACGATGGCTTAGGTCTCTTCATCTGGAACGAAATCATCATGATTCCTGAATTCTATCAAACTCATGATGAAATTGCTATGTTTGATAACAACGGCGCCGACATTGTCAGCCGTATTCCAGATAATGTTACCATGATCGATCTTGGCGCTGGGTAAGTCCCAACTAACCACTACAAGCCGTTTTTCTTCGTTATGCTAAACTTCAGGATCACAGTGACACTCGCAAGGTCCAACATCTCCTCGCTGCATTCGAAACCGCTAAGAAGCCCGCTACCTACCTCGCTTTAGACATCTCCAAGGCATCATTGGAGCAAAATGTTAGCTACCTAGTGTCCATGCACTCCGACTCAGGGTCTTCCGTGCAGTGTGGCGGCCTCTGGGGCACCTTTGGCGACGGCATGGCTCACGTCGAGACTATCCAGTCCCCTCGACTATTTCTTTCGCTTGGCTCAGTTCTCTGCAACGATCCCTGGTTTGAAGCTCTTTCTCACCTGCGTAGCTGGGCCCGCCTCATGCAACCTGACGACTACCTTCTGATTGGCATGGACGGCCATCTCATGCCCCAAGATGGGGAGAAAATTTGGGATGCATACCACTCTTGCGATGACCTCTACAAACAGTTCTTTCTCAATGGCTTTCGATTCTCCAACGAGCTTCTTGAGGAAGAATGGTTCCGCGAAGAGGACTGGGATCTCCTTGCTGAGATGGAGGAGCACCCGACCACAAGACACCGATTCTTCTTCCGCGCCAAGACGGCCGTCACCATCAAGAGCCTGGACTTGACGTTCGACAAGGGTCAAGAGCTTGATTGGTTTGACTCTCACAAGTACGGTGAAGAATCCGTTCGTCTCATGTGCAGTAAGGCTGGACTTGTGGTCGAGAAAGTGTGGCAGGCTCCTGGATCGGAGTTCCGTAAGTTCAACAGACAATCTTAACATCTACAATTTACTACGGCATTGCTAACATGGGTGGCTTTAGGACAATATCTTGTTCGTATTCGACAGGGCAAAGACGATGGCAACGATGGCGACAGTGCCGTCGCCGGCCTGGACTAACTTTATCCTCATCACCGTCACATCACCGACCATTGGTTCATTCATGAGCCTGGTCTGGGCATCTGATTCGTCAGAGTGTGGCAAAAAAAAAAGTGCTTTGTTTCTCGCTTTATATTTATTATTGCTGCAAATCCTGGCGGCAATTTGTACAACTATGTGAGGCATAGGACCTCATATTCCTTCTCCTGTGCCTTGAGCACGACCAGCTCCCACCACGGTCGCCGGTCGCTCACATGGGCAGGCAACTTCTCGTCCTTCGGGGTATCGATATCTTTGTCGAGCCAGCTGATAATTCGTTTTAATGCATCATAGAGGGGGGGCACGCTCTGTTAAACAGAGTGAAATGGTTAGCGATCTGCATGCTCAGGACAAGGAGCCCACGGTGTTTCAATTTTTCCATTTTTTTTCTTAGATCCAACAGGGATAGAGTAGACAAATGAACTGATTTGACTTACACTTCGAACGGGTGTCTCAACGACGCTTTCAAACCAATCAATGGCAACAGCTCTGTGTTTTGGTACAGTAGAAATAAGTCCCAGCAAAAAGACTGGGAACAATGGTGCTTGGGCGGTGAAATGAGATCCTGATGTGGGCATAATGGTAATGCACTTGGCAAGGTATCCGAGATTGAGGATAACATCAGGGTGATGGCGAGGTAATCGCAAAAGACGGCATTGCACATACAGCACGGTGGCTAATCGCCAGGCCTCTGCTGTAACAGCCGTCATCTCCACGGGGTCATCGATGCGGTACTCATCAGATGTCTTGCTAATCCAAGTGATAGGGAGCGGCTGTGTTTGGGCAACTTCCCATGTGCAGCCCTCCTTGCTCCATTGCCGTACGTTATCCAAGACCGTGAGGAGACGGCCGGCGGTCATTTGAGGCATGGGGGATTCCGGTTCTTGAATCTGTCGGGCAGCCATACATGTAACCTGGCTCATGGTATGCAACAGACGCTTGGAAAAGCCGCAGCCACCGTGGATCTCGTACATCTCAGCCTCTGTGCCATATAGTAGCCATCCGAACCTATCGACTTCATTGACATAGTCAAATGTGTCGGGGTTGGGCAAAGGCGTCATAGGCTGGGCAAGAATGACATGACGTCCAACGATAATAGATTGAGATAAGCGAAGCTCATCCATTTGGACATTCTCGGGATTCCAGAATCGCGATCCTGGATCTGTCTTTCGCAAGAAGTATTCACTTTGTTTGAACCCTTCCAACCAGCGTGGTTGGTTTGGTCTCCTAAGCCGTCGCTCAACCAGGACAATCTTGCGCGAGGTTAGTATCGGCCAATCAACTTATTTCCAGAGGGTGGAATGTAAAACTTACATCCTGCATTGAGAGAAGCGCTGAGATTGTTACGAGTTCGTTAACATCTTCTGAGCTCAGCGTGTCAGCATTCTCGAGCAGATCAGTTAGTCGCGCTTCTGCTTGACGGAACCGACGATTAACGCCTTCGCAGATTATTGCGCTGGGTTGGTAGTCATAAATGTAGATGCCAGCCAAGCTCTGAATCGCAGCAAGTACACCCACTTTCCCTTGCATTTTCGCAAAATCAGTCAACCATAAATTTGACTTTTTGAGAATACTTCGCCCAGGGCACCAGTTATTGATATCTGTCAAATGAGTGTTAGCGCTAGGCATTTAAGAAAATAATAAAGAAAACGTACAGAATCTAAACAGCTTTCTGCCCATGGAATCCATAGGAAGCTCATGGCCAAAGTCCGGGGGCACCATTCTTGGCTTTGGACCTGAGCTAACGGCTACCGGTAGCGGCATGCCGGATTCAAAGCTGAAACTTGATCGCGCCGACATGGGGCTGTCAATGAGAGTCGCACTTGATGACCGGCGTTCAAGTGCAAGACCATTTGAGACCTCTGTCGTAGCTGGTGTAGCTGTTGTAGATACTGTTGTGGTAGCGGGTGCTGCTCCTGGAGATGGTGTCGATATTGTTGACTGGCTGCTAGTCGGCGACGTTGAGCGCTCTTTCGAGGTCTCCGCGTCGTCGGCAAGTTCTTCAACCTGAGCTCTCTTAACCCAATTAAACTTGACATAACCGTTAATCTGCCCGTTAGATGGACGTTGAAAACGAGGGCTGTTGAAGGTGCCAAAGGTGTCAACACAGTCCTTGAAGGGACTAATAAATCGATCTGTCTGCGACCGGCGCTGGTTATTATGGGGATTTATCTCATTTAGTGACCGCGCTGGCTTCTTTTCGGCTGTAGTGAAGGATGCTTTGGAGTCATGAGAAGCAGCGGGTGGGCTGGCTGGCCCCAAAACACCAGGTTGGATAGTTGCTTGATTATCGTAAGGAATGGGCGCAACTAGAGAAGGATAGAGAGGTTAGGATCTGATACATTTGTCACGTAGGTACAGCAAAACCAAGGCTAGCGCGCCATAGCGTTGGGGTTGCTTAGCTATGCTAGCTTGGTAGAGAGAGGTTGGGGATGCTTACCAGTTGTCCCTAATGCATCCAATATTTGCGGTATAGGTGAACCAGGAGCCCATGGATCTAGCGTATCACTGGGCCCCATGGGCAGGAGCATATCATTTGGCGCAGGGAAGAAGGATGGGGATGGAGACCAGCGCCAGTTGGTGTCAAACTGCTGCTGATTCAAGTCGAAAGACATGGCGAAGCCCATTTCGTCCAGCTGCCCAGCGGCTGCAAAATCGACAGTATCGAGAGAGGCGTCGGGCCGGATTCGAGCTTCGCCGTCTGACGGCCCAAGCCGCATTCGTTTGGCAGGACGGCCATCGCTGTCGCAAAGGTCGCTCATTGGGGGAGTGCTCGGCACGCGCCGGGGTTGTAATATGTTCATAGACTCGATGCTTTCGCGGTATGTTTGGTGAGAGAAGGGACGCGAAAAGAGACGATAGAGTCGGTAAATTCCAAGAGTAGCTCTGGGAAAAGAGAGCAGAGAGAACCCCTCTGGGATAAGAGAGAAATCACCCGCTTACGAGACGATGGTGTTTGTGGTGGGAAAGAAGCAACAGAAGCGACAAGAGGGACGGGGTGGAGGGAAAAGAAACGGGTCGAAGGTTGTGTTTGGGCGGAAGCGGGCAACCCAAGACGGCGCTAGAGTCTAGTGGCCCTTTAGCGCAACAGCGTGCCCCAGTTGGGTGGACGGATAGGGTGTGGGGGGGTAGAAGGGCCGGCTGGTCCCGCGCTGTTAGTCTAATAACCGAGGGGCCAGGGCTGCCAAGACGACAGGACAAGAACCTGGAAGCGACGATATAAATCGGAAAAAGGCGCGATATTGGCCTCAAGGTGAGAAATCCCTGCAGCAGGGGCTCGAAACAGTGTTGCGACGAGAATGCACTCAGTCCGAGGCACAGTTGTCTGCAAGTTTGCTCGCTTAGAGCCTCGTGGGCAACAGGCAAACGATGGTGGAGACTACTATAGACGTAGAGGTTCGCAGGCGGAGAAGGAGATCTCAAACTGTCGGGGTGGTGAGAAGATTCCCAAGGGTGTGTTGCAGTATCCAGCAGACTGGGTTTGGGATAACTTGGGAGCGATCAAACGCGCGTTCGACCTGTTGTTCGTGGAGTGTTCGCAGTGAGATGAAAAGAGTGAAGAGGCGAGAAGTCTCGAGAGAAGAGACGAGTGACCCCACTGATATGCGTAAAGAAAGCTAAGTAACGCGAAACAAGGAGTAAATAAAGCCTGTCAAGGTGGACGCTAGTGAGAGGTTGAACAATGTTTGCGCTTTAGAGAGACTAGGCTGGATATCGACGAGGAGAAATGTTCCCGTGGGGATGTAAGAGAGAAGTATGAGGCCGCAGGATCGAGACAGGTGAAAAAAAGATAATCAGCATCACCCCTGGACTATATCTGGGGTAAAAAGGGTTCTGTCCGAGTCTGTCATTCCTTATAAGAACTAAGGAAAAGAAAGCATGCGATGATCAAGGTAAAAGGGAACTACAAATGAGCACGATGCCAGGCGATTTACGCAGCAAAAGGTACTTTGCCAGCACCGTGCTACACAGTACGGGGGGCTTAAACATAGCACACACAGCTATATGAGTTACCAAGGGGGCGGGATGTGATGGGGTGGGCTGGCGCGAGGCACACGGCAGGACGGTTGGGATAGGCGCTAGCGAGCTAATCCGCCGAGCGGAACGCTTCTGATTATTTCAAATAACATGGTTTTGGGTTCGTGGCTGAATGCAAAGAATCACAGGACTGCATAAGTGCCGGCAAAAAAAATAGAACCAAAATAGCCCATCTTGTAAAACGATAGGCGACCCGGGAGAGCGGGAGCTAGCGGTAGCTAGCGGTAGCCTACCAAGAAGTGACGCCTGCACAGTGCTGCAAAAGCACGCCGGGATGGCATCTTACTGGGCTGGCGACCAGGGCCATCCGTAGATTTTCGGGTAGCACAAGTCGGTGCGGGCCTTTGTAATGGGTTATGTTTATTAAACCAAAAGAATGTGCGGTGCGCTGCGGGTTCGTGGCTGAGGACGGGAGGACGATCTGGCATCAGGTCGATGAGACGAGTGGTCGGTCGTTGCCCATACAAGCAGCAAGGGGGGGTCGAAGGGGATGGGGGTGAGGGGGGGGCTTCTGAGAGGGGCTTTCCAGCGGGATGGATGCTTAGCATGTGTGCTAAAGCTTCCAGGCTTGACGAACCCAAATGCCTGGATCCAGCGCATCGGGTTGACTGCATGCTTGTGCTGTACCGGGGAGCGCCTCCAAACGCCCCTGGCACGGCGGGGGGGATGGTCAAACGGCCGAGTCTAGTGGCAGATTAGAGAGACAGCCGGTATCTACACAAGCCGAAAAGGATGCCCGAAGATCTCCGGACAGCACGACTAAAAGGGTATCCAAAAGAAATGCGCTGGGAGCGCCGCGCTGTCATTTTGCGTCGGGTATCGCATACCGGACGGGGATGGCGGTGGGGACAGTTGGACGGTGGCCCAGCACAGCGGTAGGCTAACGCTGGGACAGGTACACGGCTTCTGTATGACGAGCACCGCACGCCGCGAGGTAGCCCCGTGGACGTTGTTGTCTCTTTTCGCGCCCCTGCCGCAACCAATAACAGCGCCTGGAGCGCCGCTAGATGGGCCAGCGACATATTTGTCTTGCTTTTTTTTATGCCGGGGGGAGGGGGGGGATGGCAAGCAGGGATAGAGAAACAGGGGAGTAGTCTGTATTAGGCGCTTTTGATTGCAATGAAATCTCGATAGACCAACCAGATGCCATGAAAATCATTCTACCCCCGGCGCATGGTGCTTCCTGAGCGGTGCTGAAAGCGTGGTGTTTGTGTTTGATTACTATTCTGCGGCGCACAGTTCTTGCCGATGTCCTGCTATGTATGTAGGCAAAAGGTAGGTAGTACTGTACTGTGCGATTTAGAAGGTATTATTCATTTATTTATTATTTATGTATTATTTATCTTAATAGTGTTAAAACGGGCAAAATGAAACCACGCTCACGGGTTTCACACCAACACAGGCAGAATCACCGGACGAGAGAGTTCAGGGCGCCAGAAACAGCGCTGGTTCACTGTTGCTGTGTCGCCACGAATCGTACAAATTTGACAGCTCACGGCTGACAGGCGGGCACTGGCACCAGCTGGCACCAGCTGGCTACCCAAAAGGAAAAGAGTGGGCGTTTTTAATCATCTGGCCCTCGCGCCAGCCAGCCACCACAAACATCACACTTACTCAGAGCACCACTGTAAACTGAGCATGCGTTGCTCGCTGTAGCTGGCTTAGCGTCCACGGCAAAAGCAAATAATCGTCCCACCACGGACAGGGAAGACGAAAAAGGGCTTTTCAGCAGCAGTAGAAGCAACCGCCGGGCGGATAAACGTTGGTCCCAACCAGGAAAAGAAACGACAGACGGCAACAGAGAATGGAGAAAGGGTTTTTGTTGGGGTTGGTGGGCGGCTCTCGCACCCTATTTTGATTTTGACCTGTGAATCAAATTCATTTTGCCACAGCACTCAATCTGCCTAAGCGGTTGTTGATCCTGCTGCCCGCTGCCGTTCAGCCCGCCCACACAACCAGCTTCCCCTCTTTCTCTCTTCCTCTCCCGCTCCTGGCTCGCGGCCCGTCCCCGGTCTCGTCTCCAGCACACACGCGCCCACTGCGCTTCAACAGCCTCTCTTTGCTTTGCATCCACCCTCTCTTCCATCGCATCTGGCGTCTACTAGGCCCCTTGGCTAACCGCATCCCTAATTGGAAACGCGCTGCCCGTGGATACAAATTCCCTTTGTTTTATTTTTCCTCCGCTGCCTTGCGCCCCATCAAACGGGCGCTCGCTCCACCCAAGCCGTCCGTCGCAACGGCTGCTCCCGCGCACTAGCTGCAAAACAGAGTTGCTTAGCCTCTCCACCTTTGATTTTGGTTGGTTGCGTTGCAGAGGCAAACTCAGGCAGCAATATCCCCCGTGCCCGCTAGCTTCCCCTCATACAGGTTCGTTCTCGTTGGTGGAGCTGGCCACAGTCCAACGGCCGTAGCGTTGCAAAAGTGGACATTCGCTGGAATCTCGCCGTTGAGAAAACTATCGCGAGACAACAGCACCACCGCCGCAGATCGGATCCTAGCTGCACGCTGCCTACTATACGCAGCACGCTATACTCACCAAGGCTTAGCACCTCTTTTATATTCCTGCTTTTTTCCCTAGCCCTTCTCCCTCCCCGCAGGCTTCTCCCAACGGGGTGCGACAACGCGCGCTTAACGCTGGCTCGTCCCAACGCACCCCTCCAAGCACAGGCGCGTGGAGGAAACATTGGCCCGCGGTGACGGAAATACACTCATTGACGGTGGCCAGCAAGGCGCCTAGGAGGTCCAAGTAGGCTAACGACGACTAAGTTGCGGCGTGGCCTCGCTCTGACGCAAGTCGGGGACTAGCGACGACGCATGGCCACGATTGAATCCCCTTTAAACTGCTAGTGACCATGTCGCTGCCTCCCGAGGCCGACCTGTTTGAGTCTGGCTTGGATACTTACAAGCCATCACTTGCTCTACAGGCTCTGCTTCGTCAATACTTGGAGGCTGCCAGGTCCGATATCAAAATGTCTGCCTCTTCCCCTCCTACTCCCCCTCCCGCTCCCATGTCCAGCTCAGAGTCTGCTGCCCTGCTCAATGAGCTCGGCGAGTATTTCACTCGCACGGCCAAAATGTGGTCTAGTCTCACTGAACAGCTCATGCGAGGCCCTCATATTGAAGTGGCTATGAATGAGGCTCTTGAGCATTCACATTCTCAAACAGCATTTTCCAATCTCAACGCCGCGGCGGCGATAGATCTCGAGATTGGCAGATTACGGTATGTTGACAAAAGAGGATCCCAGTTTCAAAAACGTCTCATAGACGCCTCCGACACAGTAAGAAAGGAAATCACTGACGCCACATTTTCATCGTCTTAGAAAAATTAGAGATCTGACAGCAAGATACTCACAAGATGTTCAGGCCGTATGGCGTCCTGGACGTCTACCTCCCATGCAGATGGTTGAGCATAGACCAAGTATCCCTATTTCACATCTAGTGCAGCCAGATCATCTGCCGCTGCGAAGTGGAATTGGCGCTTCTTTTCCTGATTTCAAAGCACCTAGACCACAGTTCAATGACCGTCCCTCTATAAGCTCGTCTCAGATGGAGGTTGATACACCACCCGCGCAGCTGGATGACAATGACTCCGGCAGCGACGATGAGGAGGGGTTATTTGACAGTATCGATATGGATGCGCTCAAACAGCGTGGCAAAGGAACTTACACATGTCCAAAAGGTTTGCGGTGTGAAAAGGGCGGCGTGGAAAATGGTATGGTCGTCATCTTTGACCGCAACTCGGCATATCTGTAAGTGGCCACATCCTCGACGTAACGGAGCTGCGGCCTCCGCTAACTTGTTCTGACAGTCAGCATCTAAATAAACATCGGAGGCCATGGCACTGTGATGTGCCGGGATGCCCAAATCCGCCAAATAAACGCAAATTTGCTAGGCGTGATGGGTTGGAACGGCACAAAAACTCGGTTAAACACTGCTAAGGAAAGGTGAACGGGTTCAGAGACGAGGCGAGTTTCTTATCACGTACAGGTAGGCCAGCCCAAATCCGGCTAGCGCAAGGCCACAAGAAACCTGTTCATGCATGTCTATTCCGGCATGCACGACATTTGGTGCGAGATGGAACATGATTTGCCAATCACAGGAAGACGGCGAGGTGCGCACCAACCAGCCTCATATGGCTTGGTTCCGTCCAAGAATGACGGGCTAACTAATCAGTAATGGCTTTCGGGGGTCATCCCTTAGGAAGGACGGGGGTCGGGCACGCCACACCCGCGCCGTCGGATTAGAGTGCCTTTTACGGCGGATGGTGGGCAGCTACCTATGTGCGGATGCTACCTCACAGACGGCGAGGTGCATGGCCAGCAACCGCTGCTTATACATAGACCGCGACTTTCGGTTTTAAAATAGCGCCTTAGAGGACTTATGTATGACAAATAAAACGCGGTTCCATATCAAGACTAGACCTTTGCTGGTCTGACATTCCGAAAGCCAGCATTTCGTTGTTGCTCGTTGGCATCCGTTTCACACCCACAACGTGGGAGGATCCCAACTTAACTTGCAAGTGGATCTGGGGTATGACATGGACGATAGCAAGGGGGGTCTCTGCGTCTTCTGTTGACGCGGGCTTTACACACTAACGAGAAACTCAACTGTGCAACTCAAGACAAAGCACCAAGATGATGGGCCCGATAGATTGGAATATGGGGGCAAGGGCAGACTCGATTCTGGGGTAAGACAACCAAGGGGACGACGCAGCAGCATCTTGTCCATCTCGTTCAAGAACAACAGGTTTCATTCATGTTGCAACAAATTGTAGTCAGATGAACGTTGCAATGCATGCGCTCTTGACTCGGGTTCGCTCTGCGGTAGTAATCAGTGCCGGCCAGTTATTCGTATGCACTCGTCTCAATAGGGAACGAGTCGACAGTGGAAACAGGGTTCCAAATCACACTGTACAAGAAGTACTGAGGGGCAAGGGAAGACGGCGCACCCTCCATGAACCCAGGTAGTTGGATGCCGGCGCACTATTCGTCCTGGGCTTCATGCATAAAAACGTTGACCCTGCAAGCCTCCAGCGCCAGCTCCTCCCGAGAACCTGGCAACAGCGGGAAAAAAGCCAAGCTGAGAGGGAAAGCGCGCAAGCTGATAATAGAAGCGGTGAATCTGGCGTTGCCAAATGATTCACTTTGCATGGGAAATAGGTGAATAGGCACCGTTTTTTATCGGCCGATCGACAATGCGGTGTTTTTGGTGGAATGTGGCAAGATGCGTGACGCAAAGTGACACCATCACCAAAAAGCAAGGGCGCGATTGGGCCTCAGTCAATGAGTCTACTTTGGTTCGCTTGCATTGACCTAGCAATTAATTAACGGCCCCCTGCTATTACACAACTCTGGACAGCATGGACAACACGTAGCATCGCGATTGTGCCTGCAAGATGGCTTCCTGCGCGCCAACTGGCAGAGACAGAGGCGAGAAAAAGCAAACAACGAAGACCCGGCCGGGTGGATGAGTATTTACGAAATTGGACATCGCTTAAAGTCCGAATATACGCGGGGGATATCACAGCATGCTTTGTTTCGTGTGTGCTGATCCGATCCTGGTGCGACAGGCGCCGTTAGGGTGGTGTGTGGGTGGTGCGATGAAATTGTTTACTATTCAACCAAGATTACTATCCTGGTTGGGCGCTACCGTACGCTTGGGGGAGAGAAAGGTGGAATGGCGTCGTCGAGGCCCGCCAAAATGCAAGAGAGACAACAAGCCCAAGATTTGGGGAAACAGCGCCAACCGATTCAAGTAGGCACTAGGAGACTAGCGCCAGACTTGTTTTGTCTTCCCGATACTGGAATTAGCGCAAGAAAAAAAGACCCCTGGAAAGAGCAGCGTCGGTCAGAAGCGGGCGGGTACGCCGACCCAGCTTCCTGGATTTTGTGACGGCAGGTTATCCGTAGTGCTGGGATGGCTGTTGGCCCCTGGTGCAGATGAACGAAAAGCCAACAGATGTCTCAATATGCCGGGTAGACCAGTCCCTTGGGTCGGTTCCAAATCGTCGGATTCCAGATAGCCTGCGTCATAGGCTCTCCAGGAGTGCCGAGCTTTGCGCAGATGTGCATCCAAGGCGCATTTGGCGGTGGATTCTATCCTCCAGAAGGAGAGCGTTCACGACTAATACAGGCTAATGATACGTACAAACATGGTCTGTGGCAATTTTCGGTATCTTTCCAGTCAGTTCGGGTCACTCTGGCCAGTCTGGAATGAAGAGGGGACCTTCTTTTGCTCAGGTGTCATTCGCTTGCTTGCTGGCATTGCTTCTCACCGCCAACTGGAGCGGTGGGAGTCGGCCGCCGCTGGCTCGCAATTCGAGGTCACCCGGGAGCAGCTACGTGTACATGACAAACAAGATTTCTATCTGCTTTTCTTTGGGTCTAGAAGTAGACAATTTCTGTGCGTGAGATGTTTAATTTGAACAGCAAAATCTTGACTCTGGAGTGTCACGGCGGCTGCATTATGTACCTACCCGGCAGCTTTTGTTAACAAGTGACAGGTTGGCCAGCATAGCTTGGTGTTGTTAAGTTGTGAACTATTTTGGGTATAAGAAAGCAAACAAAGACATGAATAAGGTGACCGGGTTCGAATTAGCTGAGAGTATCTAAACGGGTGCTGCTGAATGTGTGCGTATTGCTTCTTCTATCAGTGGCGCTGAGGCAGGGCGTTGTGAAAACAGGCTTCCCTCGACGTCGAGCGCATGAAACTTGGTGGCGCCAAAGTTTGAGGTGTGGATATTGGCCTGGCCTCTAAAACGGTGTCCTCCAAATGGAAAATGCACCTGCAAGCCATGTTTTTGACAGAATGGATGCGCTCTGTCTCGGGTCACGATGGCTAACAGTGTGGAAGAAGACCGGTGTGATGTGGCAGCAACAGCGGCGCCTGGTGCAAACACCAAATGGCAAAGACGTGGAAGCATCGCCGCCCAATGGCGCAAATTGCGACAATACTCGGAGGCCGTAATTATGTCACTGATAGCTGGCAGACAACAAAGTCATCATGACCAGGCATCACGAGATGTCCTGCATGCGTCGAGGGCTATGACATGGCAGTGTGAGTGCCAGGCGGGCAAAGAGTTAAGAGCCAAGAGCGAAGAGGATTGGGGAGACAAGGCTACGGGGCTGCAAGTATCCGGTCTTGAACATGGGTGGCTACGTTTGAGGACCGGTGAAGCAGTCGGCTCCAAGAGGAGGAAGACGCCAGCACCGAGCGGACGCCGGAGAAGAGCGGAAGCGGCGCTATTAGGCAAGGTATTGTCTGGGGCTTAAACGGGAATGCGCACGAAGGAGGGTACTCGCTGGCAATGCCACCACCATGATGGAGAGATGTCCGACAGGATGTCCATGTCTGGTCTCTTTCGCGAAGGCTGTCGTGGGTGGCTGTTAGCCGATGGCTGAGCACAGAGAGATGCTGCGGGGAGATTACGGATCGGGAAGCGCTCAGTTCCTGAAGTTTGAGATTGAGAGGCTGCAGAAAAAAAAAAGTAAAAATACAAAGTCCAGTCGGTTTGTGTCTTTGATATCCAGGAACAAGGGGGGTGTACATGCAAGACGAGTGGTGCATATAAAAGCAAAGAAAAAAAGCAAGCCAGCACCCAGAAAAAAGGAATCGAGGCGCGATAGCCCAGCATAGGAAGGTTTAGCGGCTCCGGCTTAGCGGTCACAGTGGAGTAGTGGAGCGCAAAGGGAAAGATTTAGCGGGCTGGATGGCTGGCTGGGCTGGCCCCAGCAGATTCAGGTGGGATGGTGATGGTTGGTGCAGGTGGGGGACGTCTTCAGTGCAAGAGGGGCGGCCGTTAAGCGGCGGCTTAGCGTCTGATGGAGCGAAGTTACGGTGGGCTACTACAGCGGGCTACTACAGTGGGCGTTGCCTCCCCCACAGCTACAATGGGGGGGAGGAGTTGTTGTCTCGTTCTGTGGTCTCTCTCGCCTCTTTTACTTTTCGCTTCCTGACACCCCATTTTTGGAGAACGCTTGTTGCGGGATTGTTCGGAAAAGGCGTGGCTTACTTTTCTTTTCTGGTTTTTTTTCGTCTTAATCCCACTCTGGCTCCTTCTAAACAGGGCCCTGCTGTGGCTTCTGATTCGCTGTTTGCGCAATGCAATGCAGACCGAAACCTGACTGCTGGGTCCTGCTGGTGCTCGATTTAGCGCTGTGTCTATGGGGAAGAGGGTGTGTCTGCAGTGCAAGATACGGCGTGTGTGCGCCAGGAGAGGTACTGGAATTACAGGGCAACCCCAGCAAGTAGGCAAGCAAACAGAGACTTACAGCACCGCAACAGCAGCATGTTAAATTTTACTTTTTGACAGCACCCAGCACCCACTAACAAGCGCCCTGTAATTTCGGCTGACTGCCTTTCTTGCATCGTTTTCCCACTTTGGCACTTGCCCGCAGCTCTTGCTGCCATTTTTGTCCCCCACCTTATTCCTGTGTGCTCTTGTTCCCCTCGCCTCTCTTCTCTTCTCCCCCTTGCCACTCCCCCCTCCATCACCACTAATCCACCACAACAGCAATCCCAGCAAATCGTTTCCCCTCCCCCGCCATTGTCACTTTGTACCCTGCGGTCTTGTCTTCGCTTTGCAGTATCCCAATTCCCATGTCGAAACACAAAAAACTAAAAAGACAAGGTGGCTTATTTCCCGTTCATTTGCCCATCGCGATGATGCCACCGCCAGAAAGGGGGGCGTGCGTCTAGCTGTACAGTACTGCTGTTTCTGCTATTACTAGTGGTAACTAACTAACTAATTGCATCTCAGTCCTCTCCGCCGCCGCCTGTCTTCTTCTCCGAAAAAAAATGCCACTTACTGTTGTGTTGGCTTGCGCTGTGAAGCCTGCTGCCCTTGGCCGCTGCGTCAAGAATGGCCCCCCCCCATCCAATCCACCACCACACACTCACACGCCCCCTTCTCCCCTCCTCGTCCCCAACACACCCCTTGATCTCTTCTCGCTTTTAGCGCTCTTGTTTCTTCTTAGCGTGCTACGGTAGCCCCAGCGCCTAACCCTCTTTGGGCGCGGTGCCTTCGCCTTACCCAGCGCAGGCCCGCCAAGTGCGCGAGACACCACCACACGTCCCCCTAGACAAGCATCCAGCAACAGCTTCAAACTATAAAGCTCCAGAGCCACCCTTGCCATCTTGCCCTTGTGGAATCTTGCTACTCTTCAATCAGCTTGAGAACAATTCATCTTGAACATCACCTTCTCTTTCTACATCAAGATATCTTCTTCTTCTACTCTACTCCCCTCATCCACTTATACACACCCTTGTTCTTCTTCTACCTGCCTCACCTCACCTCGCCAAACGACCAAAAAAGTAGACACCGCATCGCAAAGCCTCGTACAACAAACAATTGACCTCCCTGACCTTGCAATCTGGTGTCACCGGTAACACAGCATTGTCATCGGACACTCTCTCCAACAGAACCACGCGGCTTTCTTCTTTTCTCGTTGTCGCTTCCAGCCTGCTGCTGTAGCGCCTCGCTTGTTCTGTTGTCGCCGCACCAGCACAAACACCAAACCCACCACGAGATACCCAGCTCTTTCTTCAAAACTATAAATACAGCCCAAAATGGTTCTCCTTCGAAAGCCTCAGGAAATCTTCATCGACACACAGTCCACCATGCAGTCACCGCTTACCTCTTCGCCTGCTTCGCCCGCGCAGGTCTTCACTCCTCTCTCCTCCAGATCCTCATCCATTGACGAGGTCGACCTGGACCCTCTTCCATTTACCTCCGCCGTCATCATTGGCGCTGGAAACTTTGGTGCCGGAACGGCATTGAGCCTCGCCAGACAGGGCATTGAAGTCACCCTTGTGGACACCGCCCAGTTCCCTTCTCCCAGAGCCGCGTCGCATGACATTAACAAGATTGTGCGCGATGACTACCCCGATCTTCTCTACATGCGTATGATGGCCAAGGCTATGCCCCAATGGCGCAACAGCGAGCTCTTCAAGCAGTGGTACCACGAGACTGGTGTCTTGCGTGCCGATCCCTCCGACTTCCCTCAAAAGAGCATCGAAGCCTATAAGAAAATGGGCATTGAGAACGACTCTGAGATGCTCCCAGTGGAAGAGGTCCGCCGCCGCTGGAACGGCATCTTTGCGACTGCCAACTTTGACGGTGTCGACGAGGTGCTCTACAACCCCACTGTAGGCATTGCTGAAGCCGACAAGGCTCTCGCCGCTGTTGTCCAAGCCGGCATTGACGTTGGTGTGAACTACGTTGTTGGAAGCATGGACAAGCTCATCTTTGGTGCCCACGGACAGTGCACCGGAGTTTCTCTCGAGGACGGTACTGCCCTCATGGCTGACAAGGTGCTCCTCGCTACGGGTGCCCGGACTGGCATGCTGCTTGCCCAGAGCGCGCCAGACAACAAGGACCTGCACATTGGCAATCGTATGATTGCCACTGGAGCCATTAGCTTCTACGCTAAGCTGACTCCTGAGCTACACAAGAAATACTCTCAGATTCCTGTTCTCAAGAACTGTCTGAAGCAAGTCAAAGGTATGTGATGCAAAACAATTGGCCCTCGGGCCAGCGATTTGCCTAGATGGGACGGAATGCTAACTCTGGGTCCCTCCACAACAGGCGAGAGCATGTCTGTTCTACCAGACGGCACCATCAAGTTCAACTGCGACATGTGCTTTACCAACAATCTTGAGTTTGCGCCTACTGGTGAGGTGCTTTCTCAGCCCCCCTCGGATCCCAAGTACAACACTTGGACCGGTCCCGACTTTGTGCAATTCTTCAAGGAGCGCGCTGCCAAGACGTTCAAGGGCCTCTACGGCGACGTCGTGGCTGATATCCCCATTGAAAAGTACAGAATCTGCTGGTAAGTTGTCTTTTATACCATCTAGTCCTGGTATTTGGCCAGTGCTAACAAATCGTTACTAGGGACGCTTCCACACCCACCCACGACTTCCTCATCACTGAGCACCCGCACTGTGATGGCTTGTACGTGGCCACGGGTGGCTCGTTCCACGGCTGGAAATTTCTGCCCGTGATTGGTGACTACATCTCATCCATGATGCAGGGCAAGCTTGACCAGGAGTACGTCGACCGTTGGGCTTGGGACAAGCGTGGCGGCGACGGCCACTCTGCCAACCCAACCTACAACATTGTCGGCGACCTGCAAGACTGGATCTAAAATCGCCATGCATGATTCTCTTGTTCACCATGAAAAAATATCACAAAGCGGCTGGTTCCCCTTTTTTCCCTTTCCCCCCATACAAATGATTTTATACACGCATCAAGCATGAGCTTACTACACTACCCACCCACCACGTTTATCTACCTCTCCATGCACCTCACGGTCTTGGGAGGAGTCCTTTATAGAAGGAGGAGCGATGATGATGACGATGACGGCCACAAAGAATAGGCGACCTTTTATTTATTTATTTTACTCTTTTACAATTACCACGTTTAATGGATGCGTTTTTTTATTTATTGTTTAGCATATATCCACTCATAAAATAGAAATGAAAATGAAAACAATCTTCTCACTCATGTTCTCATCATGGTACTCATCCCACCCAGATACCTGGTAACTCACTCACCTATTAGCTGCGCGATGGATATAGCCTCGGCAGCAATAGCAGCAGCTGCAGGCAGATGAGTTGCCCCGCTGACCCGTTCAGTCGGTTTCTGTCTTGTTCTCTTTTTTTCTCATACATTTTCTTTTTTGCTTTTTTGTCTCTGACCCAAATATAATTGGGTATTAGTGACCCGGTGTGATGGCCTGCATACGGTGGCGCGGGGGACGGCAGCTCCGCGGTTGGTGTGGGCATTGTGGCTGTATACAGCTGGGCCCTGCTGCTTTGCTATCATGTGCCCGCCAAACTTCGGCTGCTTGCTTTTTTTGGTTGCTGCAGTTGATCGTTTGAGCGTCAGGGACAGAAATTTCAAGTTCCAGGGGCTGCTCGATGAAACAATACGGTGGCAGGCAGGCGGATAGGTCTGCCTGAGGCTGGGGCTGTTTACATGGTGATGGCGGTGGTGGTAGTATTCAATATGGCGGCGATGATATTCAATATTGGCAGTGTTGGATGGGTGGTCCGGACCAGGTAAGTGCACAGTGGGAATGAGAAACTGTTAACAATATCGACAATCAACTTGTCTATGGCCCAACAGTAAATATCATTGACTTCTGGAGGGCATGGATAAAGGATTTCTATGTCTTTATTGGTAAGAGGGCTAGAAACCGAAGTCGGCGAGATGGTGGTAGAGATGAGAGGATATAGCGAATCTTCAACATTACCGCACGCGGAGGATATTTGTATCTTACTTGATAACTTGAGATTGAAGGCAGTCAATCTTGGTATCGATACAAGCGGTTTTAATCAAGGTTAATATAGTAAACCAGTACTCATTATCTATTGTCAAGCATCGACTACATGTTTACCACAATCATAAATCTCCGCTATATCATCCGCAATCATTGGGGGAGCAAGTTGGGATAATGTTCTGCCGTACAAGGAATGTCACAACTCAAATAAACTCTCCAAAGATAACTTCATCCATCCCCAGTAGCGCTGTGGTTGATTTGCAAATCGAGGGTTTCTCCAATCTTCATATCTTTCCGCCTCATAATCTATCTCCACTGCTCGTATCCAGGGCATTTCACAATCAAGCTTTTCAAAAACTGTAGAATCCACGACTAGGAAAACTCGATGTCTGCCAGGAACTCCATGTATAGGATCATTCTTTTTCGTATCCAAGAAGATTTGTCGTAGCTGCTCATCGTCACAACCATCAAGGAGTACCGGATCCGATAGAGCGTCGAGATGAACAAGACATTTCAATTTTCGAGTAGCTTCGACTTCGCCATTAGTAATAATACCCTCATCTTCAAATCCAAAGGTCTCTTCAATGGATTCTTTCATCATCAGCTCCAGGTCTGCGATCAGCTTATCCCATAAGATATCTGTCTCTGGGCTGTAGTAGGTGCGGTAGACTGTATAGCCAAGGGGTCGATAGTATTGATCGTCGATTCCAGGGACATCATCGAGTGCTCGGTAGAGACGATCAAGCGCTTGTCTGGCAGCGTCGTAATACATTACAACAGTTGATTGTTATTCGCCTGTAGAGTGCGTTATTAAAGAGTATGGTTCGGTGGGCGGCGTGACGGGCTGTATGAAGAGGGTTGTAAAAACTCACGTACTTCAGTATGGTCGTATACGGTATGCAACATCTAAAATGCTACAGTAATATTTTATACACTGGAGCTATGAAAGCAGCTGAAGCTATTGAAATTTTGTATATTTTATATGAGCTTAACTTGTAAACTATACCAATCCAATCATTCTATAGAGATGCAATTTTTTCGTCATAATAGTAAGAAAATACGTAGCAGAAAAGCATTTAGTACACCTCCAGCACGTAGCGGCCCTCCTCCTTGAGCTTCTCAATCTCCTTCTTAGGGTCGACCTTCTTGCCCTTGGCCTTTGCGTCTACGGCAATAGCCTCCTGGAGCACAGCAGTGACATCAGGGACGGGCCATGTAGGACCGCAGAGGTAGAAGCTGCCTTCGTCCTTGATGTAAGACTGCACAATGCTGTCCAGAGTCTGGCGCATTCTGTCCTGAATGTAAATCTTCTGAGGCTGGTCTCGCGAGAAGGCACTGCCAATGAGCGTAACGACACCGGCGGCAAGGTATGCCTCCCACTCCTCACCGTACAGGTACTCCTCGCGCTGGTGACGAGAACCAAGGTACAGCAGGATAGAGCCAATCTCCTTGCCCTGGGCCTTTTGCATGGCACGGTACTGGACAAAGGCGCGGAAGGGAGCCAGACCAGTACCCAGACCAGCCATGATGAGAGGTGCGGTGTCCTTGACAGGCAGCTTCATGACGGAAGGTTTAACAGAGACAGTCACCTTGGCACCAGGGCGAAGACCGCTGAGGTAGCGAGTAGCATGACCGAGTCTGGTGCGGCCGCGCGTGTCGACCCAGTCGACAACGACAATCATGAGGGCGACAGAGTCGGGAGTCACGGCCTGGGCAGAGGCAATCGAGTACTCACGGCGCTTCAGAGGGCTGACAATCTTGACGAGGTCCTGGAAGCTGGGACGAGCAGACTTGAACTCTTCCAGAATGTCGACATAAGTGAGCATGTCGACTTCCGAGCGGCGCTTGAACTCTTCAGCACCGGCAGCGCTGCCGAGAGCCTCAAGCTTCTTCTTCTCAGCGTCGTCGGTGGCAAACTCGGCCAAGGTTTCGTAGAAGCGCTTGGGGGGCTTGCCCAGGATATCGACGTTCTGGATGAGGGCCTGGTGGACGGTGCGGACCTCGGTGGCATCGGCGTTGTCGCGAGCAGCAACCTGGACAAGCTCGGCAGGGTTGAGGCCGTAGAGCTCGATGAAGGCCTTGACCTCCTCCTCGTCGTTCTCAGCGTGGATACCGAGGGCCTCACCAATTTTGTAGGTGAGGCCGGTGGTGCCGAGGTCAAACTCAATGTGGAAGATGTTGCGGTCGTAGTCGAGGGGAGTCAGGCGGCGGTTCTCCTTGACAGTGATGGTGGTGGTCTTGACGGCGAGATCGGGGCGCAGGGCGCTGCGAGTCTCATAAGCCTCCTTGAAGACGAGACCCTTGGCAGCCTCCTGCCAGTCGCTGAGCTCGAAAGAAGCCTCAACCTCTTCCTTGTCAAAGGAAACGAAGCTGTTGGGCTGGAGAGTGGTGAGGAGAGCAGGGGCAGCAGCATCAATCTCGGCCTCGGCCCAGGCAGCGGGGACTTCCAGCTTGCGGACAGTCTGCTCGAGAGCATCAAAGGTCTCCTGGAGAGAGAGGGCACCAGAAGCAGTAAGACCGAGCTTGGTGATATCGGCAACGGAGAGCTCAGGGCGAGCAGCCTTGAGGAAGGCAACCTCGAGAAGAGTCTTGGTGGCGGCGGCATCGGCGTCAATGGCAGGTGAGGCAGCAGGGTCAACAATAAAGAGAGCAGCGCTGCGCTCCTGGAGGCCATTGCGGAAAGTAGCGGGGAGCTTCTTCTCAATATCCTCTTCCTTGAAGTTGGCGAGCTTGAGAACAACCTTACCCTCATTGGCGAGACCGTGGAGCACATCAACGGACTTGAGGACCTTGTCATCACCGACGACAATGACATCGGCATCGTTGATGTCGTAGGCAGCTTCAATGGCCTTGCTGGCGACGCGGATATCAGTGCGGACGAGGCCACCTTGGGTCAGGTTGTCGTAGGAGTCACGAACAAACACGTTGGACTTGGAGTCCTTGGCCAAAACCTTGCCGAGGGCAGCAGGAGAGGCTACGGCAGCAGAGGTGTCGACGTCCCAGAAAGTGTACTGTTCGGCGGCAACGAGAGAGGGAAGAGCCTTGGCTTCGCCGTCGTTGCCAAAGACCTTGTGAAGGGCGTTGACGAGACCCTGGGGAGTGAGGGTCTGGGAAGTGCCGTACTTGATATCGATGACCTCAGGCTCTTCCTCAAACTTGCCGCTGAAGGTGACGGCGGTCAGGACATCGCCGTAGAGAGCAGACTGGGTAGCCTCATCCTCACGACCGCTGTCGGCAACCTGGCCAAGAACAGTAATTGTTCTGGCAGAGGCGGGGTTAGCAGCAATGAAGGCCTCCTCGATGAAAGGGCGGTAGACACGGACGTTGACAACACCAACCTTGGCGCCCTCGCCAGCAATCTTGGTCAGGACCTGCTTGGCAACCTGGGTCTCAGCGCTGCCAAAGGCAACGAGGACAACATCGGGGGTCTCGTGGCCGTGGTATTCAAAGGGAGCGTAGACGGTACCGAGCTCATCGTTGAAGAGCTTGAAGAGCTCAAGGACCTTGCCGGCAGTATCAAGACGGGGGTTGAGCTTAGCAACCTCAGCAGACAACTTTGTGTAGATGTCGGCGACGGACTTCTCACCCAAGGCATCAACGACACGCAGGGTCTCGCGGCCAACGCGGACGCCATCGTAGATGTGAAGAGCGGGAGCGACAGAGGCAAGCAATGTGGCAAAGAGCGACATGTGCTGGGCTTCGTAGGTGGAGGAGCTGGAGATGAGGCTGAGGCCAACATCCTCGGCAAGTCTCAGGGCAACATCGTAGTCGGAGACGAGGCCATGGGTGACAGTGTAGTCGGCGGCGGCGATGTGAGCAACAACAGGGCTCGAGACGCTGTAGAGAAGCGAGACCTGGTCGAGAGTGGTACGCAGCTGCTGCAGGCTGCCGGAGGGAGCGAGCAGAGTCTGAGGGATATGGCGCTTGGTAACGTCAAAATCGGGAGAGAAGATGTAACCGAGGGCGAGGGCACCGGCACCGACTCTGGTCTGCAGAGGCAGGACAGAGGGAGCGTAGCCGTGGACGTTGTTATCGCCGTTAGCAGCCCACTCCTTGGCGGCAAGATCCAAGTCAAAGGTCTCGGGCGAGAAGGAGTAGACCTTATCGGACAGCTTATAGGCAATCTGCTGGACAAGCAACTGGGCGGTCACGTAGGTCGGGCCGGAGATGGAGGAGAGGGCGACGGACTCGCCAAAGGGCAGACTGGAGGAAGTCTTGCCAGGCATTGCCGTTGTAATGTTGCGTGGGGTCGGTCGAGAGAGGAGGGAAGAGGGGAGGTCGGTCAAAGGACACAACTGCGTCGAGAGAAAGATGCCCTTGAAGTAGAAGAGGAGCAAAAACCACACACAGTCAGGGCGTGTGTCTCACAGGGCGATAAGACGAAGCAACAGCCTTGTGAAAAGAAAAGTAGACTGACAGACCGCAACTGATGGCAAACAATGAGAGCAAAAGAGGAGAAGAAAGAAAGAAAAGATGCCGCACAAGTGAAATAGATTACAAATTGGCGCGCCCGATGGCCCGAACACTACTCGCGCCCATTCCCTGCGCGAAGAGCCGTTCCAGCGGCGGCGTGGGAAAATTGCTTATACTTTGGCACAATCACGCAATTGATCCCAGACCCAAAGCGGTTTAGCGCCAGATGATGCCACCGCGCGCTTCTCCGAACCGCCGGGAGGACCCGCTTTTTATCGGAAGCCTACGCCGGTGTCCGGGGTTGCATGTGCAAGTGAGATGAGAGACGACGAAAAATATAAAAAAGAAATAGTATTAAAATTCCTCTGGTACTGTGGTAAATTGTGCGTAGATTGATATGAAAAGGGATGAGCGTAGATATCGTGAAAATCCTTGGTTAAGGCGTTTTGTTTTGTTTTGTTTTTAAACGTGGAATAGGGAGGTTTGGTGCAAACCCCATCATAACTGCGTGACGCTTCATCTCTGCTGCTTCTGCTGTCCGTTTGGTTTATACTCTGACTTGATGTTGTTCTCTTTTTGTCGTATTTTCTTATTATTTTTGAAAGTCATGTTGTTGCTCTTTTTTCACTCAGGTATCACTCACTCTCACTCGTTAAACTTGGCTGTCGTGGCGTGGACGGTCGGTAATCTCAATCACATCGCCATCATCATCTTCAATACCCGTCTGCTTGTACACCACCATGGCGCCATAGAGATCACCAGAGACATTCAGTGCGGTGCGGAAGCGATCAAGCAGCCAGTCAATGGTAATCACAACGCCGAACATGCCTGTCACAGGAACGTTCACCATACCGGCAATCATGACAGCTAGCGCAAGAGATGCAGATGGAATCGGAGTAGCACCAATAGAAGTCAGAGTAGCGGTGAAGACGATAATCACATAGTCGACAGCTTGCAAAGTCATTCCCTGAGTTCTAGCAAGGAAAACAACGACCATGGGGAAGTAGATGGCGGTACTAGAGACCAAGAAATTAGCAGATACTTGAGCCTATCCAAGGCTAAAAATACATACCCATCCATATTGACGAGACATCCTAGAGGGATAGCAAACTGGCTGACAGTGTTGGAAATACCTCTGTCCCTAGCACACTTGAGAGTCACAGACAAAGTCGCGGCTGATGAGGCAGATCCCCAGGCTGTAACCCATGCACAGGAGTTCCTAATCCAGTACATATACGGGTTGATCTTGGTAAGGGAGAAAACGATAATAGGAAGCACCACAAATAGGTGGATGGCCATGGTCGATAGCGTACCGGCAACAAGAATACCCATGTTAATACCGGTTTCAGCCAGATCGAGCTTCAGGATGCTGGAGAGAATCAGTGAAAAGACGCCGACGGGAGCCCATTCAATAACGGTAGTGATGATGCGCGTGACGATCTTTTCCACCTCCACGACAGCACGGTAAATAGCAGAGTCCTCGGGGTCAATCAAATAGCCGACAACAATAGACGTCACTAGGACAGCGAGCAGCTCGTTTTGAACCAGTGCCTTAGCAATGTTATCAGGAATTAATGACTCAAACATCTGAACGACGACTAGGTGGATGGGGTTGCCTTCGGAGCCGGGGTACTTTTCCTTGGGATCCATTTCGCGATCTTGTTCGGACGCTACAGTAAACATAGGTCCCCAAACAACGGCAACCATGATGCAGCTCAGAACGATAGCCACGACCGTGGTAAGTACGTAGAATCCAATCGTCCATTTGGCCAGCTTGCTGCCACCGTTGGATACTTCCCTTAGCTTTTGGACAGCAAGAATCATGGAACAAATGATGAGAGGCAAGACTAAGCACAGAATTCACATTAGTTTTATCTCATTTCCCATAATTCTGTTGAACGATAACATACCGACTGCTTTGAGTGCACGCAACCACAGAACACCGACAATGCCCAGCAAAGGACTGACCTCTTTGGGAATATTATTGACTGTCAAGGCAACCGGTAGACCAATAGCGAGAGCAAGAAGGGCAGCAATGATAATTTGCGGCGCAGAGCCGCGCTTCTTGACAGCAGCCCACCATGGCTCCTTGATGGTGTGGACGCTAACGTTATCTCGTTCGTGGAAGGATGGCTGCCGGCCAGCAGCGACCGAGTCGTAAGCAACAGATTTCATTTCGCGTTTGCCTTTTTCTTCCATATTCTTTTTGTGACCATGAAGTCCGCAACTCGAGAAGATCAAGGCTCTAGAGGAAAGGAAGTTGCCGGCCACTGCGTAGCATATGTATGCCTGTGGCGCCAACGAAACAGTCCATTGCGTTAGCTCATTGTTTGCTGGAATAAAAGACTTGGCTTTAGACGGGCTCAAAGTCTTAGAATGACTATTCCCAAAGAAGCCTATACCAATTTTAACTGCCCCAACTAGCCGTTTAGTGTACTATAACTATAGATCGGGGCGAGATGCTCGGCCTCGTCGCGGATGTCACGGTCGTACGCGCTACCATCAGCGTCGCATGCTGGAAGACTTGGCCAGACAACTTTTGCACAAAGGTCTTCAGATAATGTGGGACAGTTTGCCAGTCAGTGCCGAAAAATAGGATTTTGTCGCAACTTTTTCTTTATTTATCTTGCGACCTAAATCCTTCTGCCACCGGTCCCTGGTAAAGGCTGTCCGTAGCGGCGAAGGCGATACAAAGTAAATGGTATAAATTGGGCGAGTTTGTTTGTCCAGTTTTTAAGCTCAATATTTCCTGTGTAGAAAACTTCATCGATATTATATTTGTATAGAGCGACCTTGGGCATTTATGGCGTGACATTGCTTGGCAGGTGGACATCATCAGGCTGGAGCAAGGTACTAGACGACATCTCGCAACATTTCGTAGAATATCTTCTAAACAATGGCCGAATCGAGGAGAACGTTTATCTAGAACGGATCATTAAGAAACATCGGCGACAGGTAGGATAAAAGTAGCATACAGCGGTTAAACCAGGCTATCACACAGCAGGTGGTTGCGATGCCGCGATTGGAAGCCCATGCAGCCGAGAAATGTAGCAACCAACTGCACTCATAGGTATACAAAGCAAAAGACTCTGTAATAACCATGGCTCCAGTTTCTAGGAAAGTGTTTAGTTGCTGTAGCTGTGCACTGAATCTGGTGCCAGCCTTTCCGCTTACAAGGGACCTCGCTGTTGCCCGCATATGGTAGGCCCGAATAGGCAAAACCCAGCGCTCTTAGACCAACTCCACCAACATAAGATTCGGAGACGCAAAATGCAGGCGCCTGGTATTTCCTAAAGAGGTGACAACCGATAGCCTTAAATTTAAGCGTTCTTTTAACATCAGGCTCTGATAGAATGCGCCGTCCTTCTAACCTGCTTGGGAGCTAATGTGGCGACAGGAAGCCGGGGTTCATCATTGTAAATCGATGTGCAAGGCACTGCTCGATCTTTATCCAGGTTTGCCAAGATATGAGTTCGCCATTGCATCGACGTGACAGTATATTCCCCTTCATCGTACATCGTACAACTCTGCTCGGAGAATTTCTGCCTTGGAGAGAGTAGAGTCATCCAGACTAGTCATCTTTATTGTAGCCGTTCCAAGGAAGCGGCTGGTACTTCCAAATTGAAGTTTCTGGTATTGTTGATTTCGGTATTTGCCCGTATAGGAAGTTGCTTTGCGTATAGAAGCCGTCAAAAATGTGTATAAAAGGATGAAGATGTCCGATCTAAAAGCCATTGATCATCACTCAACCAAGACAGTCATCTTTCCAAGGCTTCCAAAATCACACCATCACTCTCTTACTCGATCCATAATCTTCCAGACATCGCAAAATGAAGTTCTCTACTGTCCTTGCACTGGCCATGCCTGCCACCACTCTTGCGTGGCAGACCACGTTCGGTTACAACGAGAAGAAGGCATTTCTCGACATTGGTGAGGGCCTCTATAGCCCCTCTGAGATGGAGAAGCTGTTTGTCAAGGTCATTGATAATGCTTGCGATGTCAACGGGTGCTCCAACGCCCTGCAGCAGTGCGATAAGTTCTTCTGCATGACTGTCGATGCCAACCTTTACTCTGCCGGACAGTTTGAGGCTTTGATTCCCATGGCCTACGTCGTCAAACATGCTGTGGCTGTTGAGAAATATGATCGCCAGACCTGCAACCCCATGGGCAGCTGTGGCACCAGCCCCCATGTCAAGCTCACCTGGCCCCAAGAGGTGTCCATCAACCGCAAGTTTGACAACGAGACTGTCAGCTTCAGCATCAAGACGACCATCACCAAGAACACTCAGACCACGTCCTGCTCGGTCATTGTCGGTCTGCTCACGGGTGTGATTGGAGAGCTCGACGGCGGCTCAACTCTCGGCACTATTGCCCCTCTCATTTGCAACAAATAAATGGAACGAGGACACTGTTTTGAATATCGGCTGTCTACTTGAAGGGGTTTTTATATTTCGATTCTTTGTGGCGGGCTGTGCTTTGACAAGTTCTGGCAGTAGTTGGGACAGCTTTGAGGAGGCGTCGGGCGTGATTTAGCATTCATCGTTTATGTTGGCTGATATCTATCGGCTGTTTTTTGGTTGATGCTCTAGTAAATAGCGCTAGGATGCTTTGCAATAAAGGTTCATTTCTGCTGCATTCGTTGGCCTTCTTCCCATAAAGTTCGACGGCGAGCTTGGAATATTAAGCCGTGGTGGAATCTAGAGAGAAGTAGGAAAATTCCTTAGTAATGCTCCCCCTACAGCAGCTTCGGCCAACCGCAGTACGCAAGCCCCCCCACCCAACCCAGCGCTGATCTAAGCGGGTTTGTGGCGGATCGGCTTCAAGCAACCGTTGTTAGCGCCAAGTACCCAAGCTTATCAATCTGATCGCACGTCAATGTCACAACGCTTGAAATTGGCAGAAAACGCGCAGTACGCGTAGAAGAAGCTGGAAGCTTGTGGGAGACACATTTCAACACGTCATTTCGGCCAAATGCGAAATTGAGGTGTGTGGTGGTTGAAGCTGGTTGGACAACGTAGGTCTTGGAGGCGTTTGCGATATTTGTGCGGATTTTAGCGCCGTTTGGCACCATGCGCGTGCTCAGCCAGGGGGTGCTTGCGGTGTTTGTGCCGGTTTTCTGATGGCGTTGAAAAGGCGGGCGATGTGCACGCCCTCGCTGCTGGAAAACTCCTTTGATTGTTCTTCTCTATTATCTTCTTCTATTCAGCATCACTGTATTCTGAAAGATACATCACCACTTTCTCCCAACTATATTTTCCCGATTATAAAAATCGTCTAACTTACTGACACCCCAGGCACCACCAACCAGCAGCTCCACCACGCCCCCACTTCAGTGCCTGCTCACTGTAACCTCCCCATCGAGGCCCACTAACTTACGCACCGCCAGACCGACGAACCGGTCCCACTATAAACATGGCCCTCTCAGAAAAACACCAAAGCTTCTTCCCTTCCAACTTTTCGACCTCGTCACCTCTCTCCATCTCCCATATTCGCCGGTTCCGAGAGCGTAGACGCGCAAAGCACGTCCTCTCGTACGACATGGCTCCCCCATCTGCCGCAGTCACGTCCTTTGTCGTCGGCAACCTCCACTGCCCATCATGCGTTGCCACGATCCGGTCACTCATGTCCGAGACCTACGGCGAAAAGGTCCGCTGGGTATCCCCGAACCTGGTCACCTCGGTCGTCACAATTGAGCATGAGGATCCCACAGAGCATTTTGTCCGCGACATGGCTCGTACCCTCGAGGATGCCGGCTACGAGATATGCGGCGTCGACTCCACGATTGGCCCTATCGACGGACTTGCTGGTATAGATCTCGAAGAGAGTGGTTGGGCTGCCCAACCTATTTCCAGCAGCTTCCAGACCATCTCCAGACTGTGGTCTGGTCGCAGACGATCTACAACCACCGAAGATATCCAAGCTGCGCATCTCGACAACTGCGAATCTTGCCGCCTTACATCCAACGCCCAGCAACCCGGCCGCAGTGATGACGATGTCGGACGCCCTAGTGTGGAGTCCGTCGCCACTGGAGCTGAAGTTCCGCTGCCCAGCGGCCTCGAGCGTGTCACGGTAGACAATACTGAAGAACCCGGACCTTGGAGAGCTACTGTTTCTGTGGGTGGCATGACCTGTGCCGTCTGCACCAACACAATTACACAGGAGATGAAGAAGTTTCCTTGGGTATCCAACGTTGTTGTCAGCCTTGTTGGAAACAGCGCCACGGTCGAATTTACAGAAAAGAGCAAGGCCAGCGACATTGTCCAAAACATTGAGGATCTCGGTTACGATGCGGTGTTGGACAAGGTCGTTGATCTCAGCCACGAGAACCAGGAGCGCAGGGGACGTGAAGTGGAGGTCAAGATTGACGGCATCTTTTGCGGCCGCTGCCCTGATCGTGTCGTCTTGACGGTCCAAAGCTTTGGCAAAGAATACGTCGAAGTCTTGGAAGCCCCTACTGTTCAAAAGCCCATCATCAAGATCCGATATCTACCTGCCGCGCCCACATTCACCATCCGCCACCTCCTACACGCCATTGAGGCAACAGACGATAACCTCAAAGCTTCCATCTACCACCCACCTACTCTAGAAGAACGATCTAGACAGATTCGCGCTAAGCATCAGCGATCGCTGGCTATTCGCGCCACTGTCGCCCTTATTGTCGGTATTCCCACTTTTGTTCTTGGCATCGTCTACATGAGCTTGGTGCCGGATTCCGATCCTACCAAGCACTACCTGATGATGCCCTGGACCTCTGGTTTGAGCAGACTCGAAATCGCCCTCTTTATTCTTGCTACGCCGGTGTACTTTTTCGGAGCCGACATCTTCCACGTTCGTGCCATCAAGGAGCTCAAGTCCTTGTGGCGCAAGGGAAGCCGTATGCCTCTAGCTCAGCGATTCTACAAATTTGGCAGCATGAACCTTCTTATGTCTCTTGGAACCACCATTGCATACTTTTCATCGATTGCGCAAATGATTGCTGCTGCCGTTGATGGAGAGGCCGATATCCCTGAGGATCGCTTCTACTTTGACTCAGTCGTCTTCCTCACACTCTTCTTACTTGCCGGTAGACTCATTGAAGCGTACAGCAAGTCCAAGACTGGAAGTGCAGTCGAGGCTTTGGCCAAGCTCCGCCCCAGCACCGCTCTCCTCATCGAACAAGACAAGAACCGTGGTGACACGAAAACGACTTCTGTTGAAATCGACCAGTTGGAAGAGGGAGACTTGATCCGCGTCCCACACGGCTCATCCCCCGCAACAGACGGTATCATCATCACTGGTGAAAGCACCTTTGACGAGTCCAGTCTTACTGGTGAATCCCGACCTATCAAGAAGGGCGAGAACGAGCAGGTGTTTGCTGGTACTGTCAACAAGGGCTCTGCTGTCATCATTCGCGTCACTGGCACCAGCGGCAAGTCCATGCTGGACCAGATTGTCGAGGTTGTTCGCGAAGGTCAAACCAAGCGTGCTCCTGTCGAACAGATGGCCGATCTTCTTACGTCGTACTTTGTGCCTGTTGTCACTCTCATTGCTATTATTACTTGGATTACCTGGACGGTGCTCTCCTTGACCGACCAGGTCGACAATGAGGGTGCAGCGAATACTGGCGGCAAGATTGCCTTTGCCTTCCAGTTCGCCATTTCCGTCTTTGTCGTCGCCTGCCCCTGTGGTCTCGGCCTTGCTGCCCCTACAGCTATCTTTGTCGGCGGAGGCATCGCCGCAAAGCACGGCATCCTCGCTAAGGGCGGTGGTGAAGCCTTCGAAAAGGCCAGCAAGATTGACTGCGTTGTCTTTGACAAGACCGGAACCCTCACCGAAGGCGGCGAGCCCAAGATTACCGATTCGTCCATCCTGCCGGCTGGCGACGTCCAGGGCGTAGACAGAACCACCCTGCTCTCTGGACTCAAGGCAGTCGAAGAGAACAGCAGCCATCCCATCGCCAAGGCCATTGTCGACTTTTGCGGTGCCAGCACCTCGTCCGCCGAAATTACTGCCATTGACGAAATCCCCGGCCGCGGCATCAAGGCAACCTACTCTACACGCCCCATCGACATTGCCGTCGGCAATGAAGCTCTGATGCGCGATCTCGGTGTAACCCTGACTGGCGAGACAACCAACTTCCTGCAACAGTGGAAGACGGAAGCCAAGTCAGTTGCCCTTATTGCCCTCAAGTCGCACATCAAGGACACCTGGTCCTTTGCCGCTGCCCTGTCCATCTCCGACCCGATCCGCGAAGAAGCCGCCCCCGTCATCAAGGCCCTCCGCGCCCGCGGCACCCAAGTCTGGATGCTCTCTGGCGACAATGTCGTCACTGCGCAAGCCGTTGCCGCCAAAGTAGGCATCCCTCCCGACAACGTCCTCGCCGAGGTCCTCCCCTCTGAAAAGGCCGCCAAGATTAGCTACCTCCAGGCCAGCTTACACGCCGACTCTGCCGTTACCACATCCGCACCATCCGGCGCCCGTGCCATGGTGGCCATGGTCGGCGACGGCATCAACGACTCGCCCGCGCTCACAACTGCAGACGTCGGCATCGCCATTGGCTCAGGCAGCGACGTTGCCATCTCCAGCGCCGACTTTGTCCTTGCCACGTCGCGCCTCGCTGCCGTGCTCACCCTGCTCGATCTTAGCCGGGCCGTGCTGCGCCGCATCCGCGCCAACTTCCTCTGGGCTATTGTCTACAATGCCGTCGCCGTTCCCGTCGCCGCTGGCTGCCTGTACGCCATCAAGACCTCGGACGGCCGTCACGTCAAGCTCGATCCCGTCTGGGCCAGTCTGGCCATGGCGCTGTCCAGCATCAGCGTCGTGCTCAGCAGTCTGAGTCTGCGTAGCCGCGTTCCCGGTATCGGTTTCCGCGCCAAGGACATTGCTGTATAACTGATACCCCCATATATTTTATTCTGTATCGTCCTGTACATACATAGCTCTTCATGATCTAGCATTAGCGATCCCAATACGACCTTGCTTTTGTATACATCATCCGAATCAGTTGTGTTGCATGTGATTCTAGACTTTCTTTCGCTTACAACACAGCCCTACCCATATAGATACTTCGCGGCCATGTACTGTAGCTCCCCTCGTGTCTCGTCACCAGATACCTCACCCCCGTCGCAGGGGCGCAGCGCACACGGCAAAATCACAAGGCCGGCCTCCGCCTCACGTGCCGGGCCATCACCGTGAGCTCACGTACTACGTAAAACCCAGACATGCAGTAGCATTTTCGCCACAGCCGGGTCTTGCAGAATACTGCAGTCTAGAAAAACAAAGCCAGAAACAATGGAACCCAGGTCCTCGCCTAATTGACTTTCTCGTCCGGCGCTGTGCTTTCTTACCCACTCACACAGCGGGTAGGCAAACGTTACTGGTAGACTCGTTTGTAGTCAATCTTTCAAATAATCCTTTAAAAAATTTAAGATTATGCTTTTAATCATCCTTTGGGTAGAATATTATGTATGGTATAAATACCTTATATCCATCGAGTTTTTAGATGAATTTTCCATATAAAGTTTGTGTAAATACATGTTTGGAATGCGTTGGTTGAAATATGGACTACTTGTAACTTTTGCTGACCCACTGTGGCCCCCCTGTAAGTTCACTTTGTTTAGCGGCCCCAACCGCCCGCCCGCCTAAATTTAGTGGCCGACAGGGAAGCCTGCGGGCCGTTCGTTACGGGGCCAGATGTGACGATGCCGGCAGCCAAATTAGACAGTGTCTTCCGCTGACCTAGCGTAAAGGACGGTCTTGGGACATGGGTGTTTATGCAGCCAACGAGCATGGAAAAATTTGCAAGACACGCATGGAAAAATAAGAAGGTTCACACGAAAAATTAAGAACGGTGGTTTTAAAATGGTATAGAGAGCAAATATACTGCTCATTATATTGATCATGCCTTCTAGAGGCGCTGAGGAGAGGAAAAAGATAAAAGAAGGACTGTCGCCATCAAGGCGAGAGCCATGCCAAAAAAACACCAAAAGTAACGCCAAAAAGTGTCCTAGTCATCAAGAACCTTCATAGAGATCCGTCGACGTGATAATCATATATTCTTAAGAAAATGTCCCTTGAACAAAAGGAAAATAGCTCCGACGCAAGGAAATAAGGGTTTGTTGAATCAAGTTTGATAAGGCCGTGCTGGTCACTGCCTGGAGCAGCCCCCTGCTCGTCTGTCGAGGTGGTTTGTACACGAGAATAAAAGAGATGCAAACGCCGCGTGTCGAGGCGCATTAGGTGTAAATGAGGCGGGGTGGTTGACGAGACGAGACTGGGTATAGGGAGTTGACTCCAAAATGGCGGAGAGCATCGGCGTGTAAAGAGAGTATGAATGCGAAAAAGTCGTAGTGTTGGTTTGTGTCTCTCTAGACTGTGATGGTGTGATGATGCAAAAGTGCGGATGAAAATAATGAAAATCGACCTCCAAAGGGGGAAAAGAAGCAAAAAAAAACGCCAGGCTCAAATGGACATTAAGGTTTGCAACGGAAGAATCAAGCAACAACGCAGGGTCGTGTCCATGGGACCAGCTTATCGGACAGCGACAGATCCTCCGAGAAGGCGAGACCACATCCCACGGCGGACACGCTGCTTCTTAGCAACGTTGTCCTGAAGCTGTTGGTACTCTTCGGGAGAGATCTCGTAGGGGAGCATGCGCGAAGCAACCATGGCGGGCTTGGCGGGCAGGTCCTTGTCGTGGAGGACCACCTCAACAGGCGACTCGCAGAGGCTGTTCTGCGAGGGGGCCTCGTAGACGGTGGGCTCTGATTCGATCTCCAGGGGCGTTGTTGAGCGAGACTGCTGTCTGCTGGAAGCGACCGAGGAGGCATACGAGCTGGCAGAGCTGGAGTAGGTAAGACCAGGAGGGGTAGTCGAGCCACCACGCATGGCACGCATGTAGTCGGGGCTGGCGTTGCGAGAGCGGGAGACAGCACGGATAGGAGAGCTGGCGTAGCGGGCGGCGACGGCGGCAGCAGCGTAGAGCTCCTGTTGGCGACGCTTCTCCTCGCGGTGACGCATGCGCTTGGCGTGGTTGTGAGCAATCTTGTGGCGGAAAGGTTCAAGGAAGGAATCAAGCTCGCGGTACAGGTCGAACTCGGAGATTCTGAGGTCCCACTCAAGAAGGAAGAGCAGCTGCTTCTCCATGAGATTGACCTCGGTTCTGTTGAAGCCAAAGCTGTAAGACTCGGTGGTGATGTGGGTGTAGTTGGCCCAGTGCTTGTTCTTGGGTGAGCTGTCGTTGAGGTACTTGGCGGCAAGGATCAAGGCAGCAAGGAAGATGCGGTGGGTGGTGCATCGAAGGCCGCGAGCCATGGGCTGGAGCTTGGACTTGAGGCGGGTCAAGTAGACAAGCGTAGACATGAGAGTAGGGACCTGGACGTTGGAAGAGATAACGAGCTGGGTGATGAACTCCTCGACGGTGGGCAAGTCGCTGTCGGACTCGGGGCTTCTGGGTGGGGTGGGAGGCATGTCGCGGGATTCTGAAGGCATGGCCGTGGAGTCGCAAGAGATGACGTTGTGAGCGGCCTGGGCGAGGTAGGCAATCATGTCTCGGGAGACGGGCTGGTAGACAAACTGCTCGAGGGCAAGCTTGTTAAGCTCGTCCATGTTGAGCATGCGTGATACTGAAGTAGAGGCCATTGTGATTGCTGTGTGCGGTGGTGGTGATGAGATGATCGGGTGTCGGTAAAAGATAAAATAGAGCTGCTAAGTAATAAACCAAATCGACGGCGAGGAAAGTGTAAAAGAGAGACTGCCTGCTTAACCAAGCAGAACTATTCTCTTTTTTTTGCGGAGGAAGCGGTCGTCGATGATATATATGTGTCTTAGCGGCAGACGGCCAAAGAAGCAAACAAAGGGCGTATTATTTGCTTTGGATGGTCGGGCAGTACGTTGCAAGGGCACGCAAGTGCTTTGAGGTGCAGACAGCAATTTCCTTATGCGAACAGGAAAAAGGAAAAAGCAAAAACGAGCCGATTCCAGGAACCAAGGGAGGAAAAAGTAATAAGGGATCTGGCGGGGGAGAGAGCGGTCACTAGAAAATCAGAGACAGCGGACGCTCATGTGGCCTTGCACAAGAGGGAGGTATAGTGGTGATGACTAGGTCTTCCGGTGGGCGGAGGGCGGAAGCAGCAAGGGGACGGAGATGATGATAAAGGAAGTGTGGTGGTTTCCTTCTTTTTGTCTCTTTTTCCTGCTGATCTGGCAAAAGACACAAGAGAAAAAGCCGGCGAGACAGGCAGAACAGACAAAAGCTGGCGGCGGTGTCTGGGCGGCGACGGTACCTAGTGGTCAGGTACAGATGCAGCTAAGGTGGTATAAGACGGCGGACGCAACCCAGGAGGGCAGGCGGCGAGAGGCAGAGGGCGAAGGGGGGGCGGTGCGTGTGGTGCTCGTGCGCTGCTGCGTGTGAGCGTTAGCGGCCGAAAGGGGGTGGAGCAAGATGCGTGCTGCAGGGATGGACCAGTAGGCGGGTTTCAGCAGGCGGATTGGCCGAGACGACGCCTGAGCTGTGTCAGGTTGGTGGGCGGATCGTGCACTTTCTAGCGGGTGGCGTCCACTGAGAGAGCGCTGGAGCTTGACTGCTTGGGCTGGCTGTCAAGGCTGTGCGAGGCGGTGCGTGCGCAAAAAAAGAAAAGAACGGGCTTTTCTTTTTTGTGTGCGTTTTTTTGTTGAATAGCCAAAAATCTGTTGCAGAAAAAAAGCAAGCGACTGGTTAGCGACTGAAATTTTTTCCTCGTTTTAATTTTTTTTGTGTCTCTTTCTGCGTCGTCTCGTGTGCTTTCTGTGTTGACTTGCTGGCCTTTCGCTTGGCCTAGACGAGAAGAGGAAGTAAAGCCACTTGGCAAGTCTCGCTCTCTCGCAGAGGGCAGCTGGACGCCGCAAATGGCAGCAGGAACCCACCTGAAGCTGATGTGTGCGCGTGCACCGAACAGTGTGGATGCAGGATAAAAAGCAACAAATAAAAAAGAAGCAATACCGGCACAAAATGCTTTTTGGAGGGGGGGGGGATGTGGGGAAGAAAGACAGAAGCAGAGCGAGCAGTGGGTAGGGCAAATTCAATATATAAAAAGCGAGCTCTTTAAACAATTTCGGGTTTATGCCATGCTGTTATGCTCGGTGCCCTGCTCTTGGTGGTGCTGTCCAGTAGCAATACATTGTTGCTGGCTCAGTCTTATGCACCACGCGGCGATGAAACCACAGCCGACCAGAAAGCAACAGGGCACGGCGGACAAACGCAGAAAGAGGCGGGAAATAGAGAGCTTACCGTCGCGTCAGGACAAATAATTTACTGTGCGTAATGCCAGTGTGCTGGGTGGCCTATGCCTTGGAGCGTGGGGTGGTATCCGTGTGTCGCTGGGGTCGCGGGCGAATCGGGACTGGTGGCAGCTGGCGTATACAATCAAAGCGTTGCAGTAGCAGCGGGCGAGGTGAGCGTAGCGCAAAGTGAAAAAGGGCTTGCTGCGTGTTCTTGTCAGCGAAAGGCTCTATTACCACGTAAAAGGTGGAAATAGTAAGCAAAAAGCAAGAAAAAGAGAGAAAAGAGCTGGTTGCAGAGAGGAATAAGCTCAGAATGATAGAGACCAGAAAAAGAGGCGAGAGAGAGAGAGCCCAGAAATGTTATATACCAAGGCAACGCCCAATACACTGGTCGCCCAGCGCTGTCGATGAATGTCTCAAGGCCAGCTATGGCGACGACCACCATGGGCGGGGCCCGGGGTGGTTGGCCCCCTTCGCCGTCGACTGGACTGCAATTGCCTGTAAAATTGGGACAATGGCCGTCCGTCCTCCCTCTGCGCCGCACCATTGGCAGGTAGCCTAGCGTCCTCTGCAGCAGCCATGCCAGCGCCCTGGTGGGTTCACTGGCCACCAGCGAGCGAGACAAGCCACTTGGCCCATCGCTTGGGGGCCGGGGGCTTGCCTGGGGGGGTAACAGGACAGGGGAGTATCCGCTGTGGGGGGCTTGCTACAGCGGGCGTAGCGGCGCTGCTGTGCTGCTGGGAAAGTAACTTACTGGCTGTGGAATGCTCCAGGGAGAGACGCCGCCGACGACTGGTATGCAGATGTCTGAAACAGATGAAGAGTTTCCAGGGCAAAGCGAAAATTGGCGATATATTGTCCGTAAAATGCACAATGCCAATTTTTTTTTTCAAGTTGTCCTCTGCGGGCAAATGACGGACGGATATAAAAAAGTGATTTTCCACAAGGGGGGCTGGCCTGCTTGGCGCGCTAAGCAAGGCTCTCGTACGATCTGTAACGCTTCGTGTTAGATGAGGCCCGACGGCGTGGGAAATTGATCATAACAAATTGGACTTACACCGTAAAAAAGAAAATTGGCGTAAATAAAATCCAAATAAAAGAAAACTGCTCGTTCGACCAGCGAAAGAGAATCCCGAACAAAAAAGTGAACTAAGATACACGAGACAATCGCCCACTACAAAAAAGGGGTCTGGTCGTCAAGGGAGGTAGGTCGATAGCGGACTGACTGCCGAGTGCGGGGGAGGGCCGTCGAGAAAGGAGGATTAGGCGATAAAGGGATGTTGTAGACGAAATAAGAAAAAGACAAAGTCTAGCGTAAATTCCAGTTCGACAAAGGGCGGACAAAAGGGGCGTTCAACAGAAAAGGAAAAGGAAAAAAGGAAAAGATGTTGGACAAAGGAAATAAGGCCAGTATATCGAACAAGAGGGAGGGTAGCCGCAAAGGCATGCGGCCTGAATATATATCAATAACCAAATCCTTTTCTGTTACTTGCTCGATAGTTCTTTAGCCCCTCTTGTCTATTTCGTCCATTCATCGTGCTGCATTTAGACGCCCATCCTGCTTCATCCTTCCCGCGCTGCGAAACCGCCCCCGCCGGCCTCGACAAGGGCACAGCCTGGTTGCGCGGGCGGTTAGGTGATGGTCTGCCGGCGCGTAAAGAAGTGCTGCAGTACTACAGGCAGCTACCAACTAAGAGAACTGCAGTACTATGGGCTCCGCAGCAACATCAAGACGGGCGCTTGCGGTTAACCTGTCTGCCATGCAGTGCAGTTTCTGAAAATAGAAGAGATTAAGGGTCGGCCGTCTCCCATGGCCGCCTTGTGCATTTACATTGTTATGATTTTTCTGGTTCTCCATTGTTACTTGGTGCTTAGCAGCTTAGCGAGTTTTTCTCCTTCTAGCTCGTGTGTTTGAGAGCTACGGGGCGCATTGTTGTAAAGGCGATGGGGCAGCCGCCAAGTTTGGGAAGACAAGCCCTTGTCGAAGTCTCTGGCTCCGTACGCGAAATCCAACAATGGACAATGTCGTCATGGCCGCGTTTTCGCGTAAATTGCTTTTCTTGCTTTTTTTCTGGTTCTCAACGGCTAGCTGGGGGCCCAGCACAGCGCTGGTATGTTCTGCTGCGGCGATTGTCTCATGCTAATGACGAGCATCCACTCCCTCATGCTCGTCATCTATCCGGCTTAGCGAGAAAGCATCAGCAGGGCCAATAATCCAACTTCAAACACATAGTCGTTCTTTTCACCTTCACACTTTCGTAATTCATGCAAAGCCAGCTCATCCGCCCAATTCATTGGCTCTCCAGATACCTCCTGGAACTTGAAACAAGTGGGGCTCTCCACCGTTACCAGACAAGCCGGTGCCAGAGCCTCTCAGCCAATCATACTCGGCGGTTGTAAGCCCCTCTTGCCCGTTTCGGGCCTGTTACTGGAAAAAGGGCCCCTGAAGACGTACAGCAGCCCAGCGAGCGCCCAAGTTGGCTTGGTTGGCTGTTACCCGCCGACGCAACTTGCTTCCCCTCGGCGCTGGTAAGCGCCTCATTGTTGGGTTTGTTGCTGCGCTGGGCCAATCCTCTTGAGCATCACGGCGCCTACATTGCGGCTGTGTGTTGCTATTTTCAGGCCCTCCGGCTATTTCTTGCTCTCCACTGCCCTGGGCCGCCTGGCGAGGACGCGGCAAGTGATTTCATAGGTGCAGCAGTACTCGTCACTCATTTTTAGCCTCTTTGCCAGTAAATACCTAGCTTGTTTGCCTGGTTTCGTGGCCGCCTACTGCAGCGACCCCCGTCTAATCATAGATGTAGCGAGCGAGCGAGTGGCCATGCTTGCTTACCCTCGGAATCTAAATATGGCAGCACGTACCGTCCTCTACCGAAGCTGCCGGCCGGCCCGCCAATCTACCCTACGCTATCATAGCATTCGGGCCACGGCTGGCCTTGCCTTCCAGAATGTTACGTTGACCTTTGGAAAGCGTTATTTATTTACTTTGAGCCGATTTGCAGTCTCCGTTTTCTCGTATTTGACTCGGTCCGTTCGCGGTGCCAAGATGCAACCAATCCCTCACCGCACAGCCTGTTCTTTACTTGGAGCACTAGGCCCATTGGCTGCCACTGTTTGCATGTGGCGTGTCTGTGCGTGCGCCTTTGACTGCATGAGCGCAAAGGCAGGCCATGAGCATCCGAGCGAAAAGGCATTCATTCTGCCATCACGTGCAGGCAGGAGAGCCAGATTACGTGAGTTGAATGATTCGGGGCATAAATGCAACAACCCATCTCACAGCGTTGTCAAGATATCTGAGTCCTATAGACGGGAAGGAGGGAGCCTATCCGAGTTCTCTTACATATTCCACCGTGCGCTCCTCGAAGATCAAACCGGCCGCGCAATGCACCGCTAATCCTTACCATCTAATAACCCAGTGCCTGTGCTCCTTGTGGCAAGTTTCAGATCTGCTCACGCCCTGTTGGAGCTGGCTCAGCCAGCGCTGTCGAGAAGGCGGCCCGTATGCACAGCCTATCTGACTTGAAACCCCAAGCTAGTAAATCCTTGCATCCCCCTTCGGTGTCTTTTGCCTATCTAGTCCCATTCTTTAGGCCGAACCGGCCGTATAGATTATCCTGCCTTGCACGGAGTAGCACCTCAGACACAGCCCATCGATAGTGACTTGTCGTTCATCTCCGTCTTTTCTCGCCCTGAACCACTGGTTGCTGTTCCAGAAGCCTTGCATTGGTCTAGACGATTGCTCGCTAGCCACACTGACACATTACCCTTCGCCAACAGCATTCCAGCAACCGAGTCGCTGGGCCAGAGGCCCGATCGCCACCTCCCCGCATATTTCGCAGGTGAGACAGGCACAAGTTAAAAAAGCCGACGAAAAAGAAAAAAAGCAAAAAACGTTGAAAAAAGGGTACTTGCGGGATAAAGAAAAAAGAAGCTACGTAAGTAGTAAATTAGACTAGTGACTGCCTTGTACCGGGTCAATCAATAATGCCCTTCAGTGCAAAAGTTCACATCCTTTTCTTTTTTTCGTCGTTAATGCCGATGCTCTGCATGCCAGTTGTTTAGCACCATATTACGATGAGCCCCTTGAACTAGCCAGCATCTGAACCACTAGCTCCGAACGCCTCGGAAGGGTTATCCAAAAAGGAAATTGCCAGTTCTTTTGCTTCTACTTTTGTCGGGGATTTATCTGATGCTTGCAAATGTGAAGCTCGGATCTGACATATTTTGTGCCAGAAGAGCACTGGGGAGTTGGATCTCCCTGGTCAAGCTGTTTTTAGGTACAAGGTATCTCTGATTTTAAGATCCAACTCCTAGCGCTGTAACCATCCAATGGCTAGTAGGCCCGATCCAATACACAGGGGGGCATGTGTAATAGGTTGTACACTCCAGTAGGTAGACATAAGTCACAAGTAGACTCGTTTATCGTCAATATTTCAAATATTATATAATATATATTATAAAATTACTTTTTCTAATAATATTTTTACAATATCGTGTGTAGTTTAAATACTTTACATTTATCGACTTTTTAGATGACTATTATATATAACGTAGTTCACGGGTGAGCGGCCCACACGGGTGAGTGGCCCACCTTCCTCGACCTTACACTACGAAAATATATATAGCACAACCAAATAATAATTAAAATTTAAAATCTAAACTGAGCTATCTGAAGAAATGGTTTCTACTTCATTTTCACATGTTCTAGAATTATGGCCTATTTCGCCGCATTTTCCACAGCGTCTGCGCCGTGTTTCCACCCGCTTCCGTCGACCTGTACTTTCAACTTCGTCGCGTTCTCTTTTTACCCTAGAAGAGGTTTGAGCAGCTAGATTTTTGCCAGAATCTACTGTAAGTGTTCCTCCACTTTGTAATTGTCTTTTTGTAACGCGTTTCCGTCGTGAGAGGCGGTTATTAGCCTCTTCAAGCTCATCGATTCGATGCTGCATTAGGACCATCTTCCGCATAGCACTAGTTGTACACTTTGACATTTGATTAAGATTCTCAATTAAATCGGATGTTGAGCTGCTTCTATGATTTCGGATTCTTTTTTCAATATATTCTGTTTGCGATAGAGCTTCGGTTGGGTTGCTAGGTGTTTTGGGAAGCCAAGGTAGCTCGAGCTCATCCGATGATCCAGGAGGTGAAGGTGTCGAGAATTTCGTATCCAATTCTGAAATCACATATTCTGGATTAAATGGGGCAAGCCCAGCGCCTCTAAACCCTCCCAGTATATTTGATTCAGTCATAGCAGCCTTATGTGCTGCGTAAAGAGCTGGGAAGAATTCTTCCTTGGTAATATGGGTGACGTATGCGCGCATAAGATCACTAATTACATTATTATATGCTTGTTTTAGAGGTCCGAAACAGGCCACATCGAGCGGTTGAAGCTTATGTGACGTATGGGACGGCATACATAATGTAATTATATCGTTTTGCTGGCAATATAGCTGAAAATCCGTCGATTGGTGACTTTCGTGTCCATCAAGAATTAGAAGCCGATATTTGCCTTTTTTTTGCTTAATTGTATACTTTTGAAAATGATAGAGCCAATCTAAGCATCTCTCATTCGTATTCCAGCCATTTTCAGTAACGCCAATCGCCCAATTGCTGGGCAATGGGCTATTTTCGTACCAAGACGAGAGGTGGGTTTTGCCCGCGACAATGACGAAAGGTGGAATCACATAGCCACCTTCACTGATGCATTCAATCAAAGTCGCCCATTGTTTATTTCCTTGTTGTGCTTTGCTCCCCTTTTGAGATCTTTCTGTGCTCGTTACAACCATTTCCGATGAAATCACGCCCATTGCAAAGCCAGCCTCGTCAAAGTTGTAAATATCCGCTTCGTATATGCCATATTTCGCGATTGTGTTCTTTACAAGCTCAAACCAGGCTCGATATTTATCTGGATCTTCACATCGGACTCTTTTATAGTCGATTTGACGTGATAAACGCGTAACAACTTCGGGGTGTCGTCTAATAAAGCTTGCAACCCAGTTCCGTCCAACTGGAATGTCGTGACGCAGCTCCAATAAGCGATTCGCCATAGCTTCAACGTCACGGAGGCGAGGAGGCTGAGCTCGAGAATCTAGTTCGAGAATATATTGAATTATCGTATTTTCTTCTTCATTTGTAAATTTTCGGCTTTTTGAAGTCGTATCAGCTCGACAAGGGATTTTGTTGCGTCGACGGCGAAGTGTTGTTCGAGGCACGTTATAGATACGTGCAGCCTCTCGAACATTCAGTTTATTATCTCGTTTTAATGCTTCGATAGCAGATACGATGTCAGCTTCATTTGAGGTCTTTCCCATTATTATTGGTTGTGAAATTGTTGGTTGAAGGTAATCAATTAAATCATGACGCGAGGTGGGCCACTCACCCGTGTGGGCCGCTCACCCGTGAACTACGTTAAAGTTTGTGTAAATATATATTTGGAATGTGTTTGTTGAAATATGGGCTACTTGTAACTTTGCTTACCCACTGTAGGCTAGCCCAACGTCGGTCAACACTTCTAGGGATTATGCTAGCAAAGAAACCCTGTATCAAGCCGACTAAAGGGGGCCTAAGACCAAAGCTGTAAAGTAGAACTGGACCCTTCGCTTTGCAGCATCGGGACTGGTGTAGCTCTCGATGCCGGTATGAGGGTAGGTACCATTGGTGCCCCTTGCATTGTCACAACATCGCTGGCGGCCCAACGCAAGATAGCCAAAGGAGGGGTATCGAGGGGCACAGTTTAGTTTGGTTTACCATAATCATCATTGATATTTACCATTCTATAATCCAGAGTCCCTTGAAAAAAAGACAGAACCAACAAGAAAATGCTGCAAAACCTAACAAAGAAGAAACTGACAAAGGGAAGAACCAGCTTCACAATGGCCGGACTCTCTCCCGCACTGTAAATTCGCTGTGGCGGACAACCAGACGTTCCAATTTCCATCGACTTGCATCGATGAATATCTGGCATCTAGTTGATTTCCAAATCCGATCTGAGCCTGATCGTAAAATTTCATACCAACACCATACTGCCAAGCCATCTTGTATCACTACCACGTAGGATCCAGCATTAGAAAATCACCGCTTCCACTCCTAAGCAGGGGCTAGCGCAGTAGGGGCTGCCACTCGCTTCTAGTGGTGGTAGCCGTTACCGTTACCGCGCACCTCCTCAATGGGCAGATCCTCAAAGTACGGGTGGTTGCAAGAGGCCTTGGCTGAGATGCGGCCAGCAGGGTCGTACACCAGCATCATTTCCAAAAGCTCCAGGCCAGCATCATCCAGTGTGTTGACAAGAGTCTTGCTGTAATCTCTCTTCCACTTGGGGAACGATGCCTTGAAGTCGGGGTAAGATGTGACGCCGGGCCAAACGTCTTCGCCTGGCGTGCCGAGTGTGCTATATATCCCCCCAAACGTTAGCATCAAGTCACAGCATGTCAGTTATCATCGTCTAGAATACGTACCGGAAGATCTTGAAAATCTCGTCGATTTCAGAGTCACCAGGGAAGAGGGGCTTGCGGGTGCACATCTCAGCAAAGATGCAGCCGGCAGACCACATATCAACACCCGTCGAGTACTGTCGGCCACCAAGAAGAATTTCAGGCGCACGGTACCACAGCGTGACAACCTCATGGGTATATGTGCGCAGAGGGACACCAAAAGCACGAGCAAGACCAAAATCGGCCAGCTTCAGGTTTCCTTCCTTGGAAATGAGCAGGTTCTGGGGCTTCAAGTCACGGTGCAGAACACGATGCGAGTGGCAGTATCGGATACCCGCGCAGAGCTGCAGCATAAATTTCTTAACAACAGCCTCGCCGAGACCAAGCTGGGCCAAGTGAGGAGCCGAGCCCTCGGGAAGAGCCTTTCCACGGCCGCCGTCGCTAACGGGCAGGGCCTCCATGTACTTCTTCAAATCGAGGTCGAGGAATTCGCAGACAAGGTACAACTTATGTCCGTCGGCGTGGACAATGTTGAAGAGGCGGAGAATGTTGGGATCCTTCATTTCTTTGAGAAGCGAGATCTCACGGATGGCAGTGCTGGGAACGCCTTCATCTTCGGCTTCGAGGCGGATCTTCTTGAGGGCGACTATGCGGCCACCGTTGGCCAAGTCTCGGGCTTTGTAAACGACACCATATGTGCCTAGATGGGAGAAAATCATGCATATTAGAGAGAGAGATACAGGCAGGGAGGCTGCAGCGCGGGGGGAAAACTCACCTTCTCCAACCTTTTCCAGCTTTTGGTAATTATCCATTGTGGCGGTTCCTCCACTAGTGTTTCTACAGTCTTAAGCTGTGAGTTCCAAGCGGTCTTCTACGGGCAGACAGTCGAGGTCTGCGGTCGGACGAGGGTTGTCCGATGAGGGGTTGCTTGAAGATGCAAGGTACGCGCGGGGTGATGTCGTGGCGGTCTGTAGGGCAACGGTTTTTACGCTGCACACAAATGAGAGGACGGCGTAGATTTCGGTGGATGTTGGATGAAGAAGAGAAAAAGAAAGAAGGAATGGATTTTGGCCGGCAGCTGGAAAATAATCGGCGGCTGGAAGGTCAATAGTACAAGGGATCACAGAAAAAAGGAAATTTGTTGTTTGGTGGAGGTGAGTGGCATCCCTTTTGTTTGTGTCACTTTGTTTACTTTGGCGTCTAGGTGCAAAAACGGCCACCAACTTGTATGTATGCATTTTAATATTTTGCATTTAAAATACCACTAATATATAAATTCAGTATCGAATTGTATAATTTTATTATACTCAGATTTTTCATGTATTTATTGATGCTATCAAACTCGGATAAAAACTGCCCTCTACGTAATGGGGTGCTCCGTCAACCCCGCGCGTCGCGTCTCGTCGCGGAGGGGCGTATCGATAACGCCAACGGTCAGCTATGCCAGATGCCACAGTGACGATTCGATGCAGTGCACAAAGTCGGAACCTTCTTTTTTAGCTTCTTTGTATTATACTAATATGCTAATATAGGTATATATTGCCTATACCCTTGATGCAATGCCCCGCCGTGTTATATACAACCCATTCCGTCATGCATTCATTCGTTTGTTTCTTCATTCGTTCATAACCATGCTCAACTGACCGTCGCCACTCGCTACGGCTCAGCTTCTGTGCGTCTCAAATCCAATATCTTAGCCAACGGTAATGGTCCTTTGGCTCCCCAGCCTGACGGTCCTGATTCGACATCTGGACGCACGGCAACGTACCAGCTCCACGCTCTTCTATCCAGCTCCGTCTTTGTCAAAACGCCTTGCCAGCTTTCAAACAACAGCCGCAACGCTCCGAGCAGCTTCGCGAGGTTCTCCAGCTTTTCTTCATGCACGGCAGCGACTGTCTTCTTAGGCTCAACGCCGTCCACTGGGGCTGATGAAAACGAGCGAAGCAGATAGTTGCGGGCTCCTTCCGGCCTATGAATGGCCATTCCTACAGTTGACACCACTGGCTTATTATCCTCCGTGTCTAATCCCCATACAGGTTCTCCTCCAAGAGTCGATGTTCGAAGCATAGACGCCAGTGCGTCGTTCGCGCACTCGCGCATCAGGCGCCATCGGTCAGGGCCCAGCATGATGCCGCCGTACCATCTGGTAAGTACAATGAGTGTATTCGTCGTGTCCAGAGTGCGCATTAGATCAAGCAGAAACTTGCCACATCCAGATTCACCGTCATCGAACGATGCCTCCTGTACTAGCGGCGAGCCACCAAAGCTGGTTCTCACTGCCCACGCATTGTGGTCTGCTGTCATCAAATCTGGCTTCTCGCCCATGAGACCCTTGATGAGACTCGCACGCTGCGCAGCAGAATCCACTTTGATGGCATGCGCCACAAACGTAGATGCCTTTAACGTAATGGGTTGGCTTGCAGACCAAGTGTTTTGCGGCCGCGGCGACGTCGGAGAGGTCACCCGTTGAGGTGACTTTGACCCTGACCAAGTATATCCCGCTCGTTTCAAGACTGGGATCTCGCGGCCCATAACACGAACCTTTGGTTGGCCATCTGAAAGTGGTATTTCGGTTCCAGGAGCCTCGATACCCAGACTAATTGCCTTGGTTTTCGAGTTGGCGCTCACCACGGCTTGCGACAGGCTCAATCTGCTACTCGGTGGTTGTTCCGGCATCGTTATGCGAAGAAGCTCGGCCGAAAAGGCCAAGACTAGCGGCGCTCTATTTGTGATAATGGTTGTCGATCGTAGGAGGGTCTCATCTTTCTCCAGCGGCAGCGTAAGGGTGTCTTCCAACTCGTCCGGCGTCAGGGCGCTGTAGTCCAAGTTGAACTTGCTGACTTGGTATTTCTGCTTCTTCGGCGACGGTGACTCGGGCTCGTCTGCTGATCGCTTTTTCCCGGCCTTTCCATGAGATTTGCAAGCGCTATGGAAGCTCTTGGCGAGTTTGTCATCCTTGAGGGCATCCGCAATGTCGCTTAGCGGCGCGGCGGCAATCTGGTCGATGCTGCGCGTGGGATATCTGTCAGCTACTGGACACCAAAACCGTCCTTTAGATCCTGGGCTCTCACGTTTTCAGTTTAACCGCCTGGAGAGCTTTAATATGGCCCATGGCTCCCATCATGGACACCTTTCGCGAGGTGAACATGCGCAGCAGCTCTTGGAGGTCGCCGTGAGCAGCCATGACGGGTGAATGTCAATGTCGGTCGTGGAATCAGGTTTGCGCGAGTGAGGGAAATGTCGGCTTCGTTCCCATTCTAGTTTTATTGGAGAATCCGTCGCAGTCCGAAGCAGCGTAATTGCTTGTTTAAACGTTGAAATCGGCAAACGTTCAAAGGTCGGGCGAAGCCCACCACTTTGGAGGCGCGGCTGTGCCCCCACATGGCACGTAGGCTGCCTCCAGATTTCGCTCTAGCCGCCCCCAAACCAGCAGATTTCCGCCTTGTCGACATCTTGTGACCCAAACCGTGCTTTGCTGCATGAGGCAGTCTGCCCAACCACCGACCAAGCTTTGCATCAAGTTGCCACCCAGGCAGATGACTCACTGATGAATTCGTCTCTCTCCCGCGCTGTCTCCGGGGCGGCTCGGCCCTGCTTCCGCTGCCGCTACGCAAGCTCTTCGTCACGGGCCGCCAAACCACCCAAGGCTAAGCCTCAACCGCCCAGATCCAGCCCATCAAAGACATACAGACCGTAAGGAAGCCGCCCTTTGGTTGCCGGTGCCACCCACCCTCGTATCTAACCGTGCCGTCCTGTAGATCCTCACAAGCGAAAGCTCGCACCGCCGGCCCGACCCCCGAACCCGACCCTCAGACTCTCCTGACCCATTGGCGCCGTGGCTGGCTGCCGTTGACGGGAGCTGCTCTTGTTGCTGGCTTCCTAGGCTTTTATATCATCGGTACTGTCACCGCGTCCTTTCGAAAATGCCCGCGCTCCTCGACATGCGACGGTGAACACACGACGCCGACCGGGCGGCCTCCTGCCCTTAGCGGCGACAATGCAGAACAGTTTGACAAGGAGCTAAATCTGCCCGAATGGTGGATGGGCGTCACTAAGCTACGAAAGAAGCTTGCAGAACAATCGCACGGAGATGTGTTGGAGCTGGCTATGGGTGGTGGGCGAAATCTGGAATACTACGACTGGGCGCCACTGACGCGGTATGTCGAGCAAGTCAAGAGCGGGCAGCAAGGGAACCAGCCTGCTACCAAATCGCTTCGTGGCATTACCTCGTTTACAGGTCTCGATATATCCGTCGATATGTTAGACGTTGCTCGGCGCAAGCTTGTCCGCACCGTCCCGCCCATGGCATCGTCGGCGCCAGTTGTCAAGGCATCGTCCATGGCCGACAACACTGGCAGCCAACTATCGTTTCTGGACAATAGACTGCGTCTTATTCAGTCGGACGCACACCACGAGCTACCTCCTCCAGCCAAGACCACCAACACAAAAGGTGGTCAGTCCAAATACGACACCATTGTCCAGACCTTTGGCCTGTGCTCCGTCTCGGATCCTGTGGCGGTGGTTCAGAACTTGGCAACCGCTATAACACCCGACACGGGCAAGATTATTCTTTTGGAGCACGGTAAAGGCTGGTATGGCGTTGTGAACGGCTTGCTCGACAAGAACGCCAGCCAGCATTTCGACAAGTACGGGTGCTGGTGGAACAGAGACATTCAAGCTATCGTCGACGAGGCGGTAGCTAAGACTCCCGGCTTAGAAGTGGTGACTATCAAGCGGCCAAACGTTCTTCAAATGGGAACCTTGGTTTGGGTTGAGCTTAAGATGCGTAGCACCAAAAGTCTATCAGCGCAGCCATAAAGATTGCTGTACATCACATTGTAATAGTAAGGCATCAGTATTTGTTGCTTAATGAACCTGTATTTTTAAATTGCATCAAAAGCAATGAGTGGCATATAATATTTTGTGTATATCCGCTTGTCCAATGTATCAGTCCTGTAAACGCCGTGTAGATCAAAAGCAAAGTCCAGTTTTCCCTCGCCTCAAAGCCGTCAGTAAAGTCAAAAACAAAAAATCAACAACTAAAGTTGGGAATCGCATAAAAACAAAAAGGCCGGCCGTATTTCGCATCCTCTCGTACAATCTGAAAAATCCAATCTTGGTGAAGCCACCCCGTATGTACACTGTACTCCTACAAATTATCGACGTCGAAAGAAGTTGGCGCATGTTCCACATGCGTCCTTTTAAAAGGGTATAAATCGTTGGTTACTCCCAAGACTCTGCTTGTGGATTGGAAACGTGAATTATTTTTGGGGGCTCCCTAGCACACCCTTAGTACGAGTCGAGAAGGTACTCTAGCTCGTCGATCTCGATGCTCTCGGCACCACGATCCCATTCAATGACCTTGCTGAACTTGAGCCAGCTATCGGTCTCGTCTTCCTTACGCGACAGAGGGCCAGACATGGGCTTGATGGCAGGGCTGGAAAAGACGAGCGCAGAAGCCGAGGTACGGTTGTCGTTGAACCAGAGGTCATCGCGGAAGCCATACTCGACGGCCGGAATGCGCTCTTGGGTCTCGACAGGTGGCATGTCCTGGCTAAGTTTGCGCTTCAGGAGAACGGTGGCGGTTTGCGTAAACTCTTTTTCGTCCCCCTCCAGAGGTGGCGAGGCGCGGCGCAGATTGCGAACAGCGGGTGCGCGCTTGCTGGCCATGGATCCAATGGGGCTTCCGGGCACAACCATGTCGTCCTCATCACCCTCTTCGAATTCCGTAGGCGACAAATCCACTTCGGGGGAAGGGCTAAGCTCACGTCGGCGGCCTTCGACCTCATCCGAGACGGAGTCATCCGTCAAGGACACGGAAGGTGTGACAAGAGCGGGAGAGGGAGGCTGAGCGGCGTTGAAGTCGGGAAGAGGCTGGCGGGGATGTGTGGTAAGGAAGAAGTATGTGCGTCGAGGGTGGACTGTTTCCAGCTCCTTTGCCAAAGGGCAGAGCTCCTTGGCGGACCAGGTCGGGCGCTTGAGAAACGAAGCAAGGCGCGAAGAGATGATGGCGCAAGGGTTGGCGGATCTATTTAATTTTGGTTAGCTGAGGTTTGGGTAGCAAAGCGCTAGTGCTAGACGTACTGTTGAACTGACGTCAAGGACTGGCCGAGAACGGTGGCGAGTTCCTTGACAAGGTGAGGTCTGTTGGCTGTAGCCTGGAGCTGAACAATGACGGCTTCGACAATGTCGTCGTTGACACTGTCCAAGTCAATGGGTGTAGGCTCAGCCGCATCGGCCATCTCGACGCTGGGGATTGCCTTGGGCGAAGGTGGCGGTGTCTGCTCAAGAGCTTCCTCGGGGACAGCTCCGGGGTGGGAGCGCTTTAGGCGCTTGCTCGGGTGAGCGTCGAGAGAGTCGGAGGCATTCGAGGACATGGAAGATCTCGACTTTGCCGCAGCAGTTCGTTCGGCTTGTGTGATGGGGACATGAATGCCCAGGCTGGGGAGGGAGAGCGACTTGCGGCGCGTGTTGTAAGGCATTGTGAAGGGTGGCGCTGGTGCGGTTGGAGCGCTGGAGAGGAGAATAGGCGAAGAGTAAATCAAGAATGTGCTGTCGAGGGGAGTTGCGCTCGAATTATCACCAGTCCAAGGCGGGGGACTCGCGTGCGCAATCAATTGTATCTCTTAAACAAATTGGGGAATCGGGGGAGCTTTGCAGGGTCTACCACAATACGAGCTGTGTAAGAATCAGAGGTTACGAGAAACCAAGTCTACTACAAAGCAACACGATGTGGAATAACAAGTTCAATACAAAGCAGACCAAAAGGTTTACAAGAGATGGCAGTATAGAGGGAAGAGTAAAAGGAGCAGTGTGTATGAAGATGCAAGGTTGGAGGCGAGTAGCGGAGCGGTGATTGTTTTCACTGTTTTTCCCTCGGGCGCAGTCGGGGGGGGGCGATGGTCAAGAGTCAAGAGTCCCAAGGGAAGGGGATTAGAAGCACAGCAGAAACGGAAGGGGAGGGGAGAAAGTGGAGGAGGTGGGGAGAGGCGAGGCGAGAAGGCAGAAAAAAAAAAGAAAGGAAAAAAAAATAGATAGCTCCCCCAAAGAGTCAAGCAACCAGCGCCAGAGCAAAAAGAAAAAGGCAAGTGCACGAGAGCTCTGAAACTTTTTTTTCTTCTCCCCTGCTTCCCATTGGCCGATGGGCTGCGCTACCTGCATGCCGAAGTGGGTCTGCAGAACGTCAGTCGGTGGGGCGGCCAGGCTTTGCCGCTTTGAGACCCTTTTTTTTTAATCCCTGCTTGCGGTTGGCAGAAAAAAAAAACTGAGGCAGCTGGCAAAGCCGTCACCAGCTGGCACAGGCAGACACCAGCTGGGGCGAGGGTGTGAGGGACAAGTGAGGGGGAACTAGCACCTATGAGTAGTGCTACTACATTCCAGTTGGCTACGATGCGCTAAAAACACTACAAAACTGCCTGAGGGTATCCCCGTGAGACAAAACTCGCGCTGCAAGAGCCCTGCCTGCAATCTGTTCCTACAGCAGCCCTTGTGTTTGTTTGTCTCCTTTGGCTGCAGAAAGTGGACAAGCCATGCCTGTGATGTGCTACTTCTTTAGGAAGGTGGGAAAACTCGGCCTGGCAGGGAAGAAAAAAAAGTTGGGAACCACCAACACTCATCTCCTTACACCTCTGGCCCGCGGCAATAGAAGTTCGTTCGGTTTACTATCGCTCCACCGTTCGCTGAGCGGCTTTATTCGTCCATCGCATTGTGTCATGGGAAAGGCAAAGCTTACCGCCAGGCAGCAGATTGCAACCGACACACGTCAGGCCCTGGTCATGCCTTGTAATACTTTCCCTGTCTCCTCAGGTGCAGCTCGCCAATTACTCGCTCGCTCCCTCACTCCCTGGCTTTTTATACTTTCGGCTATCTAGATCATGTCTTCATTCTCTTGCCGGGCCCTCACCATGCAATGTATCGAGCCTATATATAACACGGGGAAGATGTAGTTGTTCAAATTCCAGACAGTTGAGTCTCCCAGCCACTGCGACATTGCTCTTCAACTACACAAGAGACACATGAAAGCAGGCGAGTCAATTCAATTAGTACTGTATACGACAACGGCCGCAGAATAGCAACTGCGCGGAAAGATGAGCGCCAATCAGTGATGAAGAGGCTCCATTCTTTGTAAGGGTCCAATAAGTTGGCCTCTAATTATCGCTGACCTTATGTTTTCGTCGAGTCCCTCTTTTTAATGCCCACCTTTTTCTTCTTGGATTTTTCTACATCGGCCAAGCCTTGCCTATTTTGGTGAGCTTTTTTTGGGTCTTGAATATTGAGGCAATTAAAAAAAAATACGAAAAAGAGACGGGGTCCGGCGATGGTCGATACCCAGAAAAAAACAATCCAAAATATGACAGGATCCAGTCTTTTCCTCTCTTCCACAGGGGCGGCCGACCAAGCGAGAAGGCAAGACGCCACCAACGGCTACTGTTGTGCAGGGCGCATGGATAGTAGCAGGCCCCATCTTCTTGTCAAACTTCCAATCCGGGTCCCATTGCTGCGGAAGCGTGAAAGTCAATTTTGGTCGTTCGATCCTTCGACTGTCACAGGCACTGTCTTTTGGCTGCAATTGGCAGTCTGTTCGTGAGTTTGTTCCTTGTTTTTGTCGCCCCTTGATGTCGCAGATCGGTGGCCAATCGTTGCCTTCCTAAGATCCTGTGAGGCTGGGAGACACTGGCGGTAAGGCCAGGCAGCGCAGTTGTGTTGCTCGACTGGTGAACATTTACCAGTTCCTCTCGCATAAATGGGTGCTACAAGTTTATCCGTGTCATCATTTATCTCCTCATCTCTTCTGCACCGTCAGCCTGTCTGGACCGGCGCCGCTGCGACCTATTTTCCCGTCTTGCCGCCGCTTCCTAGCTCCAATTACCAGTCAGACACCAGTCACCGTGCAATGTGCATTCGCGAGCGGGGTATTTTAGCTTTGGCACTACAGTCTAAGCATACCAAGCTCCTTATCTGACATATTGCATTCGTCGACAGCTTCGTCATTCTGGATTCGCTTGCGTTGATTTTCTTCTTGCTCTTTGAATCGGGGCCCGGAGATGCGAATCCACCAATTCCCCAACCTGCATGAAGCAATGCAGGAAAAAAAAAATGCTAGCTGCAGCCATCCATTTCCCAATTGGCTTAGCTGCAGCATGGCGCCCCAGAAGGCAAAACGCCCAGCTAATGCAGCCTACCACTTTAGCGGCGCCGTGGCTGGAGATGCGGCGTCAAAGCTACCGCGAGAGCCACACCGCCTTCGATTGTAGGTAGCTTCGCTCCAAAGTGGTGGTGGTGGTCGACCCCTAAAAACTTAGTCCGCAATCGGCTATTGCTACCCGGCACCAAAAGCTCGGTGAGCCGGACGGCCGGCATCTGACTAAATCTTGTACTAGTAAGGCTTTATTATCAATCTGACGGTGTGATGAATCGTAGCATCAATCTGTGTTATCAAGTTTATGTGTTTTCTCTCACATTCTAATATTGGACCTCTTTTCCACCAACTCCTCATGTGCGCGCCCTACGCTCTACATGGCGATTTTTACGACACGATAGCGGGGTTGGTTAGCAAAGACACTGGCGGTTAACCACCGGTAAATAGTCCGCCATAGCCAACAGTACTGTAAATTGTTACCAGCAACCTCTTTCACCAGGTAGCTCTCATCTAAGACTCCAGCCAAGGCGCTCGTAATAAAGGACTCCATTGTGGTCCTCTGCGGCAATATATAAAAACTATCTATCTACCAGTACTCCCTTTGTCAATTGGCAAAAACCTAAAATCCAAACAATATATACGCCGTCACAATGGAGCTTCCGTTTGAAACATACGACGTCTTCACCACCACGCGCTACCTCGGAAATGCGCTCGGCGTCGTCACCATCCCCGCCGATGCCGTAAAGCCGACGCAGGAGCAGAAACAAGCTATCGCCCGTGAATTCAACCTCTCCGAAACAATCTTTATCCACCAGGTAGCAGACCCCGCTACCAACAAGCAGCGCCAAATCGACATCTTCGTGACAGATGCTGAGCTGCCGTTTGCCGGACACCCCGTGATTGGCGCCGCCGTGTCTCTCCTCGACGAGGGCGTCGACACCATCATCACCAAGGCCGGGCCTATTCCCGTCCGCAAAACCGGCGACCAGTCCGCCCAGGCGGCCGTGCCGTTCAACACCCACTTGCATCAGAAGCGTCTACGCGATGCCGCCGTCGCCGCTGACCAGTTGAGCGATGTTGCTGTGATTCGCGATGCTGAGCTCCAAGCGCCACTGTTCAGTATCGTCAAAGGTATGAACTTTTACCTGACAGAGCTTCCCGACCTCAACACTTTGGGTCGAGTCACAGTTGGGAGCTTCAATCCTCCCCAAGAGCTGCTGGACGAGGAATGGCGCGTAGGCTTTGCCGGAATCTACTACTTTGTCCGCCTGGGCGACAGAGTTGGAGACGATGGTATCCCAGTTGTATCACTGAGAACTCGTATGGTTGCCGGCGTGCTCGGCATTGAAGACCCGGCGACAGGATCGGCAAGCTGCTGTCTGTGCAGCTATCTTAGCACCGTGGCTAGTGATCAAAAGGTGCCTTTCGTCAAGTACGAGATTACTCAGGGTGTTGAAATGGGCAAGGAGAGTTCCATTACAGTCGTGATTGGAGTAAAGGACGGCAAGTTGGACTCCGTTTCGTTGTCTGGAGCTGCTGTAAGGGTTATGAAGGGCGTTCTCACCATCTAAGAGACTGGTTGTCGAATCAATCACGAGGGAAATAGGTAGGCTGGCATCAGTCAAACTGCGAAATCATAACGCTGGTAATATTATTTCAATAATCATAAAAAAAACTACCTATAATACATTTGATACAAGGTGCCGTTATGGCGCTTACCAACAGACAACATACCACTTCAGCAGTCGCTGGCTGTCGTTGCGCCTTGCATGTTTTTCTTAACGTCTCGTCTATTTTCCATATGCAACATGCAGTGTTATCCTGGATCGTCTCATCTAGAGAACCACCATAGATAAAGCTCAAAAAATTTGTCATCTCATCTCCTCGACATTTCCTATGCGCGTTGGACGACAGAAGCAAATCTATCCGCAACCTGCATGACTGTTAGTTAACAACCCACTTGTTATGTGATTCGATATGATGCTTACCTCGGGTGTAGACTTGATAAAAGGCAACTCAAAGAACCGGTATTTCTCGTTCTTGACGAGCTCTACAATGGTTACCATGAGGCCCAGTGGCTGAGGCCAGAATCCTACAAGTCGCTCGAGCAGAATCCTTGTAATCTGCTGGCGGATCTCTGTTTCCTCAGGGTCATTCAGGTCTTTGCCAAAAATATGGAGGAGCAGCTGGCTAAAGAACTCTGTTTGACCATTGGGATATCGCAGCTGGTTGATAATGCTGGATAGGACGTAGTATCTGGCATCGGGAGCCACTTCCTGGACTAGGACCGACAGTGCCGCAACTTCGGGTTCATTTCCAGTGATGGTGGTTGAGTCACCTTGTTTGACAGCTAAACGGTCAGCAGCGTGACTTCCAATATAGACAATGACGGCGCCAATGATGTTGCCGTTCGCCGCGACGGGTACAGATCCGTATGTTGTTTCCTTGGGCTGCGTTTGAGTCATTGTATGGACAATCTGCGCCATCTTTTCCTCAGAGGGGCCGCTCTGTAGGACTTGGTCAACAACCTGCAAGAGTCCGCACTCGTTTAGAACCTCCTTGGCTCCGACAAGTAAGCCAGGGTAGATCTTGAGCTCTTCATGTCGATCTCCGCTAGTTGTATCCGAGTACCCATGCTGAGGGCTAGCAGACAGCACAGCGTTCAGTAGTTGGGTGCAATGAGGCGGGATACTGGTGCAGAGCTGCATGTGACTGGCTGCGACAAAGTCGGGGAAATCATGTTGGAGAACAACAAGCAACTTGAGCGTGGCGCGGTATATATCCTTGGCAATAGGCGAAACATTGAACGCCTTCAGTTGCATGCTGAGGCATTCCAGAGCCTGACAGACAAGCTTTAGGTAAGGTGACCAGCCGGCATTGTCAGGAAGCTGCAGGAGGACGGGGCAAAACGCGCGGTGTTGAAGCAGGGAGAACCACGCAAACGTGAAAGCAGGCTGATGGAGAGGACCGATGCTATCGAGCCGGGATGCAATCTTCAGCATGAGCGTAGCAGCCTCCTCCTCGGACATGTCTTCAGCAAGAAGTTGCACTTCATGAAGAATCATGGAGTATAAGCGGAAGAAGATTCGCGAGTCAAGGTGTTCGCCCCTCTTAGTGCTGTGATGATTCAAAACAAGCGAAATAATCACCATGACAGAGTCCAAGAAGTTTGTGCAGGAACTGGCCGAATCCGAGTATAGACTGACAAAGACTCCCACCAACTTTGCGAGAGCATCAATCATGATGAACGGATCAGCTGCCGCACCAGCATGCAAAAGCGCTTCATGGCGGTCAACAGAGACATCGATTGCCATTCGTATAAAGAGGAAGAAGTCTTCGCGGTCGCCAATCACTTCTCTAGCTCTCAGCTGTTGAACGAAATGAATGGTAGACTTCTTGGTTGCAGCATGGTTGTTGCACAGGTGAACCCATTCTTCGAAAATGTATTCAAGTTGGTCGCGGTGAGGGAACGAGCCAGGCTCAGCATTGGCAGCCTGTTTGTATGGCCCAGTTCCACCAAGCTTACTGTTGAGCCTCTGAGCAACCGCAGAGGCTCCGTCTTCATTTATCCAAGCCCAAGCAGCCTCGATAGTTTGAACAAAGTCAGCATAAAGGGCAATGGGACGATTGTTCAACAATGTGAGGTCCAACATCTTCTCCAAAAATTCAAGTGAACCTTCCTTTCGCGAAGCCAATGACTGGCTCATGGCGGTGTCGATATTTCTCCAGTCGAGTAGATCGGTTCGGATCAGTGCCGCCAAAACAGGCATACTTAAGAAGCTTGATCCAGGCTGAGAAGCAAACGATTGACGCACTCTGTTGTTGATCATTGGGTTTGCAATCTTGCGGAGGGCTTCCAAGACATGTACCAAACTTTCAACTGTGAGGTTATCCTCCACCTTTTGGAAGATCAAAGTGCTAATTTGTTCAGCAATGTACCAGGTGAGCTCATCAGAGCCTTGTGAGGTCTTGATAACAAGCTGCACAAGTGCGTCTACTACATCTAGAAGTTGGTGTGGGCGAGGCAACTCGGAGAAATGTTCCTCTCGAGCTTCACCAGCAGCCCGCAGCAGTTCTTGAAGGAGCTTGCTAATCCGGTCAGCAACGCCATGGATATCCATCTGGAAGTTGCCAGATCGGGCATTAGAAACATTGCCATTGTTTCCGTGGTTGGCCGCGTATGACGGCATCTGCGATGTCGACTGGGGCACATTGCTAGATTCACCCGGAGCAGTAAGTCCTGGTAAGCTAGAATAATTGTCTTGCAGCACCTCATTTGCAAGCGAGCGTGTCGCATCGGAAGCGGACGGCCCATGGTTGGTAATGTTAGAGGTTGTCGTCCGTGGTTGTCTTGCGAAGTCTTCATAAATGGCCATTTGTTCAGGGTTAAGGCCGGGCATATTCGGAGAGAGCTTGTACGGATTCGGAATCGTCATTGCCCAGCGGTTGATATTCGCAGGGAATGAGGACTCGCCAGGGTGCAGCTGGCGGTAGCGTCGTCGAGATTCAAAGTCTTCTGCTAGCATCTCCTCAATTTCAGGCACTGCACGCTCCTCTGCTTGTTTCTCGATGATGTTGCAGGCAAGGTCCAAGTTTGAGTTTACGCACATGATGATTGTACCCTCTGGCAATCCGGAAGGCAAATCATTTGACATTTGACGCATGTAGTTGGTGAAATTGGCTCTAAGTGGTTCCTTAGACGTGACCAGGGCCAAACTTCCAGCTGTCGATTTCACCATGTTGATTGCCGAAGTCCGGACCTTCGTGTCATCCAACTCTGCAGCAAAATCTTTGCGGATCATTTGCTGAGTGGATATCGCCGCAATAGTGATGGACCTATCCACAACAGGCTGAATGATATCTTGTAATGCTCGAGTAAGGGAGTTTCTCACAATATCGTGAAGGCGTGATGTGCTGACGACCATCTCGTTTGTTGGGGGAATCGTGATCATCGGTCCAAGATCAGGAACAGTTGGTGCTGGAGCCTGAGGTGAAAGTGCTGCGCCAGTACCGGTAGCCAATCCGCTTAGACCAATGTCGAAAGCATCCAGTTGTTCAGGAGCGAGAAGTTCGATAGACTCTTCGACCATTGGACGGTTGAGGATTTCACCTGATGGCTCAATGCTCTTATGGTCCAGATTCAAACCCTTGCAAAGAACCTCAATTTCAAATTTCAAATTGAGCTTCAGTTCGGCGTGATGGTACAGCTCAATAAGCAAGTAGATAATATCCATGAGCCATGGGTTTGGTGGTCGGAAGACTGCCGAAGTAGCGCCTTGAAGCAGAACTTTGCATACGAAAGGAATAACGACAATAAGTCGCTTCGTATCGTGAGCTTCCATCAGAAGCTGCTTGAAGGCAATGTTTTTGTGCTTGATCGGACGGTCTCGGGCAAGTGTGAGCAGTCCAAGCCAACCGCCAAGGTTTTTCAAATGAGTTCTCTCGGTCGAGTTCTGCATCGTCGCTTCCGAATTCAACATGCGTGAAACACTAATGTAGGTTTCACGGAGTATCTCTCTCCAAAGAGACTGATCTTCGAAGAATTTGACCAGTTCGAGATAAACATGATGATAATTGGGTTGCATCTTGGCGCGGCTTTCAACAAGATGACTGGCAAACCATTGCTGATGTTTGCGATCAACAAGGTCACGCAGCTCGACGCACATCGACTGGAGCGTATTCTCCGTAATATTGTTAAGAACAAATTGTATTTTGCCTTGTTCATCGTCATTGGGGTCTTCGAAATGCGCACCTGGAGCAATCGGATCGATGCCAAGGGAGGAGAAGGCCGGGATCGGTCTATCTCCGGAGGAAGGCTCATCACCGCCGCCGTTTGCGAAAGAATCTCCCGTGTATCCAAGCGGTTGCGTGGAACCACTGTTGGACCGGGCAAGCTCAGCTTCGTGCTCATGAACAATTTCTTCGGCCCTCTTGTATGTCTCCGTTCCATGGAGTCCTGGGATTTGCAAAAGTTGTTTACAGAAGCCGGGCCATTCTCTGAAACGAGCAAGCAACTGTAACAGAGCCTGCAAGCCGAATTTGTACATCGGTTCGTCTGGTCGATGGTCTCGGATCGCTTCAAGAATCATTCCCAATCCAATCTTTAGAGGTAAATCGGAGATGAGTTTGTGAGAAATAATGCCTCCAAAGAGAACTGCCGTAGTCGCGAGTGCCTCTAGCGGGTAATCGACATAGTGATTGTACTCGTCGAATAAACCATGGATCATACAGGCGAAAACATCCTGATCTAAAGGCTCGCGAGACCGCTTGTATCGATCAAGGATCTCCACAATAGTTCGTACTTGCATCTCATCTCCATACATTCTCTTATAATGCTCCTCCATTTTGCTGTTGGCAGCGGATGGTAGTGCGTTCCCGTCTTTGCCATTTGCGTCGATGACGTCGTCATATCCCTCGCCATAATTAATCAAGCGAGGATACGCTGTGATACAGTGACGCTGAACGACGATCATATCGTGGACGGGCGCCTTAGGAAGGAAGTCCTCCAGTATCTGTAATAATGCAGCAACTGTTCGGACTTGGAGGCTGGTGCTAGTTTTGATTGCTGGCTGACCATCTGGAGGACGCTGGAACTGCATCTCAAGGTTGGCCTTAATCATAAGAAACTGGAGAAGCGTCCGGGACATCTCATTTCGGCGATCGGCGTTGAATCTGGCCCAATCCGCCAAGTCAAGGTAGCCCTTCGCATGTGCATATGCTGTGAAATCCAAACCAAAGCCGTTTGGAATATAAACAAGCTCATCTAGCCAGTTGTGTTTCACAGCGTGTTCGAAGATGAGAGGCAGATCAACAGGTTTAACAGCGTGGGCATCAACAAGTCGCTGGACAACAAATTCTTTGTCCTTTCTCCAAAGGCTGTCCAGAACAAAGTCATATTCAGGTGATCTCTTGTAGAGAAAGTTCTCGAAGAGCGAACCTAGAGTATCGCCCGCCATATCAGCCCAGGAGTGGCGAGGGACATCGAGAGCGGATACGACAAATATGTCGAGGTTCGGAACGACTACTTCTTGGAATAAGCGTTTGGCCTCCACTGTCTGTGATGCGTGCACAGAGTTGAGCGCGGCGTTGAAGATCGCAGCTAATGCAACAACCGAAACCAGAGGATGTTTTACGGCCACGGCAGCTCTGTCCTTAACGTTTTGAGGTGACTTTGCGTAGTCTTCTAATGTGATGCTGCGTTGCAAACCAGGAATGGTGGTAGCGTCAAGCTGTTCCGGCGTTAGAGAGGCATACGCGCTAACGAACGAAAGCTGAGCATCTGCTTCTCGCCAAGTAGAACCCCACAGCCTCTGAATATCGAAGTTATATTTGGGGTTCTCGGCAACGGGTAAGAAAGCCTTGTAAAGACGAAGGAATTGGTCGGAAGAGATGCGGGCAGAAGGTTGGTCAAAGCCCTCAACCACTTGGGTCCAGTCGAATGACTTTGGAACCAGCCGCTGGAGGGCACGCACGAGCACTGCTGGGTCATGCTCAGGCGTTTGGGCAATCGCAGTGAAGGTGAGTGCACAAGAGATCTGTTCGGGACTGAGTTGGACAGTGCCTGGGCGATTTTGAAGAAAGGAGATGCACGTCTCTTCGTCGCGTGTAAACTCGCTGCCACTTCGTTGGATGTAGCGTGCAAGCCCGTTCTCTGGTCGGTCGTCCAGAACTCGGCCCAGATCCAGAGCAGCAAGCACTTCTGAAGGCGGCGCTTGGTCCAGCATAATGTATCGTTTTATGGCGGCATTGCACAACTCTCGCTTCAGGGCTCCATTGAAGCTAGGAGGGTGGAATTGTAAAAATCGGTCAACAATGAAGGCGATGAATCTGGGGGACAGGTCGGAATGGGCGTCGATATCAGGGCGGGAGAGGAGGTCAACGAAGGTTGAGAAATTGGTGGAGAGAATGGCGTCGGCTGTATTTTACATTAGCATTTGAATGAGGCTGGTGATGGACGGCAGTATTTACCTTTGGTCTTCAAGTCGGCACGAGAACCAAGTTTGAAGGCCAACGCGAGCAATGTTTTCTCGAGCGCATCAAGTTTGAAGTGCTCCATAAACGTGGAGAGATCGAAATCCCTGAAAATATCCTCTGTTCCGCTTTCAATGGACTCCGCGATCTTGGTAGCTTGGTTGGCATCGTGGGCAATTTTACGCATCTCTCCAACAAGGATATGGTAGTTGCCAGGGTTCGCAACAGGGCGATTCATCCCAGGGAATATTTGGGGCGCATTACCGGCAACAAGCCGAGTAAAGTACTTTGAGAAAACCTCCATACCGTGTTCATCGATAAGCTACAGCAGATTGTGATTAGCGATACGTTCGTCAACAGATGACAACGTCACAATTACCTTTCGAAGTTGATCAACTTGAATTTCAAACTTGGATCGATCTTTATCCTCCTTTATTGTGCTAAGGAGCAGATAAACCTGAGCGACAACAATCTTTGTGAGGGAGTTGGTCCCCGTCGGACTGCTGGTGCTAGGGCTTGCGCCAGCACTGAGGATACCAGCGTGAGATGGATGTGGGGAGTGATTGGACCCTGTTTGTAATGCCTGGGCTGGGTTTGGCGAAAATGATCCCGCTTTTGGTGGAGGGACCATGGGGGTTGTTGTTAATAGTCGGGGGAGGGTGGTGATGCGCCTGCAGGAAGGAGCAGGGGGAGGAGAGTGGGAGGCGAGGGATGGTGAATGTAGGATGTGATGCCTTGTCAACGATTCCTACATGTGGATGCCTCGCAATTAACGGAAGAATGTGGCAATGCTCGAGCTTGAAGGCGCCGATTCGGGATGATCAGGAGCGAGACGAGATGACAAGCGGCGTGGTCGATTCGTGGCCGATCTCAAGAAAAGCTTGATGGAAGCTGAACAAGAATGTGGTGGCAGTCGGGCGGTCGCGCAATGAATTGCTATAGCAGAGGATCCAAATATGTAAGCTACTAATGGTAGAAGATGGCCGCTGAATGCGAGTTTCAATGGGAAGTGGTGGACTGAGATTGTGTTCTGCGGTTCGAAGGGGGGTGATGGCTGGATGCGGGTTGAACGTGGTGAAGCACTAGAAAATGCACACACTCGTTGCGGCAGCTGGCACAAGCCCTTCCAAACACGTCGCCGCGAGGAGGTGTGGTCACGTGCGTGTCGTGGTTGTTGCTGTGCCAACGCCGATCTTGGCGCGTCCAAACAATGACCATACCGACAGGCCCCTCCACCGCCAGGCTTCCTATTTGCGATGTCACAACTGTAAATGAAAGATACTCTGGCAGCATCTCATTTAAGCACACGGTATAATCATCATCAATATTCCTATTTTGACGCGGCGCACTATCGCTTCGTTACCTCACTTCCCACAGCTTCTGTTATCTCCGCGACGCTTCGATAGAGCGGGCAATCATGCCTACCGCAACAGCTGAAGCTCCAGCGGTCGCCTTATCCTGTACGGTCACAATACTAGCCTCCAATCGAGTCTATAGTTACTAACATTAAGTCTAGTTGCAAACAACTTTTGGGGTAAGGACGATGCTGGAGTTGGACCTCTCCTAGACCGCATGCAAAATGCGAAACAAACCAATGACGAGCTCAAGGCCTTCTATGCTGGTAAGATCGCCATCACTTGACTATCAACTCGAAAGCTAATAAGATTATCGCACAGCTCGAGCATCTATCGAAGATGAATACTCCAAAAAGCTTCTAAACCTGTGCCGCAAAGGCCTGGGTTCTCAGGAAACAGGCACACTGAAAATGTCCATGGACACCGTTCGCGGTGAGGTGGAAGGCATGGCGAAACAACATCAGAGCATTGCTACACAGATGAAGACGGAGCTTGAAGAACCTCTTGCTGCGTTTGCAGGTGGTATGAAGGAACGCAGAAAGATTGTTCAAAGCACAATTGAAAAACTGCTGAAGACCAAGATGCAACAAACACATCAAGTCAATAAGGTACGTGCCGAGATTTTTGTTTTTCAAGAAGTTTATTCTAATATCTTCTTAGACTCGAGACAAGTATGAACAGGAGTGCCTGAAAATTAAAGGCTACCTCGCCCAAGGCCATATGGTCATGGGCCAGGAGGAGCGACGCAACAAGGCTAAGCTGGAGAAGACTCAAATCAGCCTGGCCACATCGAACAACGAATATGAAAGTGCTGTCAAGGTGCTTGAGGAAACAACAGTTCGCTGGAACAGAGAGTGGAAAGCCGCTGCCGATAAGTTCCAAGACCTCGAAGAAGAGCGTCTCGACTTTACCAAGAGCAGCTTGTGGACTTTTGCGAACATTGCCTCCACTGTGTGCGTCAGTGATGATGCTTCATGTGAAAAGATTCGTCTCTCTCTTGAAAACATGGAAGTGGAGAAAGATATCGCTACATTTATTAGCGAGAGGGGTACCGGGCAAGAAATCCCCGATGCGCCAAAGTATATCAATTTCTGCCGCGGCGACGTGAACGATACGCAGTCGGAGGTTTCTGAAGATGACCAGTATTCTGTGGCCCAATTCCCACGCAGCATTAATCCCGCTTTCCGATCAGCATCACCACAGCCCTCCATGTTTGAATCTCACAACGACCCTAACAATGGTAACATGGCGCCGCCATCCGAAAGAGATAACGTTCCCCAGCCACACAAAGCACCCATGCAAATGCGGCCATCAATGGATGAGCAGCAAAGAATGCACCCATTGCCTGGACAGTCACCGTACGATATGGTTCCAGGTGGTCGCGACCAGCATCGCATGCATCAGCCTCCTGCTGCATCTCCATACGATATGCTCTCCAACGCACCCTTGGCTGCAGTCCCCCATGACCCATATCCTATGGATGGCATGACTATGCTTTGCAGAACCGGCCCACCCTCTGATCGAAGCTCCCAGGTCACTTCGGCTCGTCCAGCAAGCCGTGATGACTTCCACAGCGACTACTCCAACCCAACATCCATGTCTAGTGTTGAGCACCCTGCTGGTAACACATCTCCAGTCAAACAAGAGCATGATATGGCAGGTTCTCCGGATAAGCGTGTGTTCAAGAAGAAGAGCGGCTTCTTCCAAAATCACAGCCCCTTCCGTCGAAAGAGCACCAAGGAGCTCAACAATCCCGTGGAGCCCAAGCGTAGCAACTGGCAACCTTCCCACAGCCGGGAATCAAGCAACTCTCCCAGAAAGCTGCAGCACTCGGGCCGCGGTGCTAGCCCTGAGCCTATCGATGCTAACGCAAGCCTTGCGCTGGGAGTTGGTCAAAACGTCTTGCCTGTTACTACTGGCGATGCCCATAGTCACCACAACCAAGGTGCCGATGAAAGCGATCCCATTGCTGCCGCCCTCGCCGAGTTGAAGGTTAGCAATATTGGAAAGCAGGCTTCTGTCCGTATGTCTGCCGATCGCTATCATGGGCTGGCTACACCTGCGCCTGGAAGCGCTGCTGGTGGTGCTGTTGTTCGAGGAACTCCTCCGCCCTACCAAAATGCGGCACCTGTATCTCGTCTAGGCGTACCTCCCCCAGCCGTGACTTCAAAGGCGATGAAACAGGCTACCAGCAAGGTAGCCCATAAGACTCGCAGCATCTTTGGAGAGGACGGCCGAGATGGAGGCATGCCTATCAATAGCCGCCCCAGCACAAGAGGATATGACATGCCACGCTCTGCCTCTCCCGCTCCGGCACGCTCTGTTTCGCCTCAACCTCCCATGGGTAATGATACTAGAGGCAGTTATCGATCTGCTTCTCCCAATCCTCATGCACAAGCCCGCCACGGTGCCCACCACCCTCGTAGCGGGTCAGATATGGGACATTACCGCCAGCCATCGCATGCATCTATGCGCGGAAGCTCACCAGCATCATACCGAGAATCGAGCCGCCCTCGCAGCAGTTATGGTGGAAACGGAAATGATATGGCTATACAGCTTGCCCCTGCTGGCGATGATATGTACGGCTCTCAACGTGGACGTGGAGGCTACGACAACTCATCTCGTCAACGTAGCAAGAGTGTTGTTGATCCCTCCAGACAGTACACACCTGATGGCAGGGTAGTTATTCATTTTGGTACGTAATTTTCATCAAGAAAAAACCGCGTGTATCATGAAATAGTCACTAACAAGCAATAGCCCGAGCCTTGTACATGTACCAAGCAGCCATTCCTGAGGAGCTCGGTTTCAACAAGGGAGACGTTTTGGCCGTTCTTCGCCACCAGGATGACGGATGGTGGGAGGCCGAAGTACACAACGGTAACGGAAAGATTGGGCTGGTTCCCAGCAACTATCTTCAGTCATGCTAAATGTGCTCTGCGAGTCACATTGTAATGTAAACGACGTTTAGAGATTTGGGACGGCAATCTTTCCATGGCTTGTATATGACACGGAGCTTGGTTATTTTTTTCTGCTAGAGAACGGATGGATTCATGTATTTTTTTCTCCTTTACCAACTGTTTTCTTTTTTTTGTCCGTCATAGTAACAAACAAATTTGCCTTTCAGTTGTATATGCCCTTCGGTGACCGCTCTACACTTTCCCACAATACATATAAATTTCAGAATAGTAAAATAGAAATCCGTACAAAATATATTAGGCTCTTTACTCCTTTTAGGACAGATACGTAATATTAATATGTCGATATGGGTGACCGTACTAAACTGTTGGTAGGCGTTAGTGGTGGTTGTCACATGTTCACTGCTGAACGTGCTTGTTTAATTTAAACACCTTGAGCTAGCGCCACTTCCAGTGACGTTCACCATCCATCATCCCCTTGCGACAGCAATTGTGCGCGACATGGTGAGAAAAACGCGCTCCGTTTGAAGATTTCTCTGAATAAAGCAGCTAACAGGCTATGTAGGAATCTATCAAAGACGCTGCGCGCGCAGCTACATCTAAGCCGGTCCAGAGAGCCGTGGTAAACAGTGTTCTGCTTGCCATTAGCGCAGCGACGCTCTTTGGATTTGCATCTATTGCGACCGCATTATTCTTCCAGAATTATCTGCCAGAGAAAGCAGTATCGTCTCCGTTGTACCTTCAATATGGGTTTGTTTCCGGCTGTGTACCTACCGACTAGCCCTTTCTAACCTGTATCTGTCTAGAATTACCCACGATCACCCATATGGCATTGCCACCCTCTCGTCGCCCCAGCTTAAAACAGAGCAGGAATACGACATCTCTGTAACGCTTTCCATGCCGAAATCACCAGTGAACATGGAGAGAGGCAATTTCATGGTACGCATGCTTTTGATTGGCGACAAAGGTAGTGGCGATCTAGCAGCGGAAGCGCTCGAGTACGCACGCTCTCGCAAACAGATTAGCGGCAAAAACGTTCTTTACAAAGTGCGTCGTCCGGCTCTGGCACCGTATTCGGATCCAATGGTTTCACTAGTCTCCCGGCTGCTCTGGTTGGGCTACCATGTCCTTTTCCCTGCATCGCAAGCTATGGAGATGTCTATCCAACTTGCAGAGCGCGTTTCCTTCGCTAAAGATGCTCTTGTACCTGCGTCTGCATATGTGGAAGTTGAAGCTGGCGGATCCATCCAGATCTACAAGGCAGCGGTCACGCTGACTGCTCAACTTCGCGGGCTTCGCTGGGCCATGCATCACTATCGCATTGTTACGTTCACCATCTTCACTGTTGCCTTTTGGCTCTGTGAGATATTGTTTATGAGCGCTGTCTTGCTTGTGTGGTTGTCTTTTACAGCAAATGAAGAGCCACTGGACGATGGCAAGTCTAGCCGTGGCCGAGGCCATGCCGGCAGTGACGACGACGACGATAGTGATGAAGACGATGGTCAACACTCAGAATATTCTCACAGATCCACACAACGGACCAAGAGCCCGAATGTCAAAGAGGACCCCGACATAAAGGAGGAGGAATCTCAACGCCAGCTTGCTGATATTCCTACCGCAGCTGGTGAAGGCGAAGCAGATGATGAAGACGACTTTGACGAGCCACTTAGCTCTGCCACCCAGACAGGCTATAAAGAGAAGGGCAAAGACGGTGTTCGCAAAAGGTCGTCAAAGGCTGATTTACAGTAATGGAGATATGATGGAATTTGCTATTGTTTATGTATATTCAGATACCCCGCCACGGATACCGAGCGCCACGACAGCTCGAGAGGCGATGAAACCCGCTGGAGTTTTCCTTAATCTTGTAGCTCTTGCTTCAATTCATTTTTTTGGTTTTCAAAAATGAATCCGAGTTATAACCTACAGTGCTCTTGGATCCTGCAAAGCATTCGGCGGCGTCTTACTGTACCAGCAGCTCCAGCCAAGTTAGCGCAGTAACATGCCCCTGTTTTGCAGTAACCGCCCACCACAGGCGGCCTGTCTCCACTAGGCCGGCCGCTGTTTCCTTGTTGATTCCAGCGGTGAGCGTCTAGCGGGGCGGATCAATGCGATAACCCGGCCCGGCGGGATGCCAGCCCCCCCAGCCTTCTGTATTGGGGCTACGGGCGCTAAAGAAGCTCACTGCTGGACATTGTTCCGGCTCCATCAGCGGCGCCCTGCAACTCGCACGACCTGCTACTTTTGCGTACGAGGGGAAAATTACCGCCATTTGCAAACTGTATCACCAAGCCTTCTGCGTGATTCACCACTACAACGACGCGGAGCTACTCGGAGCCAGCAGCATCCTAGTGTTGAAGCTTCAGAATCTTGCCAATCCACCACTCGCCGCTTCGTCTTCCAGCGTGTCAGCTGAGTGAAATGGCGTTGTGATTGCCAGACGAATCTTTGTGCTTGCGACCTTCACCATCCCCACCGCCCTTCATCAACGCGTACACGTTGCGACCGACTGACGACCTACTGCACTACTCACAACCATCGTAACCTGTTAGACGCAGCTTCTGGCATCTCTGCCGCCGCCGCAGTCGTCTCAACTATGCCCTGCTTCAAAGGTATCGCGGTAAGCGTCCATGCAAATGGTGCCCCGCTACCGGAACATGGCATGCAGAAGCAGTCTCGAATGTCCCGAATCAGCACCTATATTCCTGTTCCTCAACCAAAGCTTGAAGGCAATTCGACTAAGCCCGAGCCTGCCAAGTTTGCCATATCAATTACGCTTTTGACGCCTGGCCTGGCTATCCCCTACTCCGCTCCCAAAGCCACTGACACCAACCCGTACCCCAAGCCGCAGTTCGTTGGCGAACTGCATCCCAGCTCGCAGGGTGAGCGTGGCAAATATGCGGGCATGGTGACTCCTTATATTCCTATGACGAACTCCGAAAACGAAACAATTGCGGCGTACATCTACTTTGATGGCCGAGCAAAGGAAGAGGTCGCCACCCTTCTGCGACCGGGTGAGGAGACCTGGGTCAACAGCCGCTGGGTTCAGGTTCCAGATGCCGAAGGAGGTGGTCTTGCTGAACGTGAATTTTTATTCCGCGAAGTTGGCCTGGAACGATGGCTGAATGGTTTAGATCTGCAAGGCCAAGACGTTGCTGAGAAGCTGGAGAGGCGCAGACAAAAGTTCGAAAAGCGCCGCCAGCGACAAGGCAGTATAGCCGAAGGCACTGAATCCGAAGGCAAGGCCAGACAAGATACTATGAGGTATGGAGCCGAGGATGGGTCTCCTCTCGAAGCCGTCCTTGATTCTGACTCTCTATCATCCGATGACGACGAACCTCCCGAGGCCACAGGCCAAATCAAGGTGGCTATGTTCCGAGTGTTGGCTTCCGGTGAGATCAAGAAAGGAGAGTATTCTCCTCAGTTTGACGCACATGATGGCGATGAAGAAGGAACGGGAGGCACTGACGGGAATGGCATGACGGCAGACGTTGAGCACACGACCAGTTTTGCTAAGCCTAAGACACTCGACCCGAAAACAATTAGCACTCAGACCGTTACTGGAATAGACGGGCCTGATAAGCCATACGCTACTTTTACGTTTTTCTACCGTGGAGATCGTAAGTTGTTTGAACTTAACCGCTGTGATACGATTTTGTCTAACTCTAAGCAGGCCAGCTACAAAAGATCGGTGTCATACAAGGACCGAAGTCGTCTTCAGCGGCGCAGGCACACTCGAAGCGCCGGTCTGGTACTCTTGATTTCTCAAGCATTGCACCTCTCAAATCCGGTGGCACTGTTGGGTTTTCAGCATTCCGTGACAAAGAAGCGGAAGACGCAGCGCGACGCAATAAGGCCAGAAAGAAGAGCAACGGAAACATTGCTGACGACAGTGACGATGACGATGACGACGATATGGATAGCATGATCAAAATGGATGATGACAAGGATAATGACGGAAAAGTAGCACCAGAAGATGCCAAATCCGGTGGTGAGCTTGCCGATGGTGTCAATCGAATCCGAGTAAGTTAGAAACTAACGTAGTTTTGGGATATTGACGACGCTAACAACTTGACACAGCTTAAGCGAGCGCACTCTGCAGACCCCGAAGGCAGCGCAACACCTGAAGCGACGCAAACTGCGGTACCGGACGTAACCGCTACGCCACAGCGTGCAACTGGTGCATCAGTCAAGGAGACGGAAGCCACCCCAGCTGCACCCAAACCTCCAGGTGATACTCCTGCTGAGGCTGCTGTAGGAAGCCCCTTGAAAAGGGCACGTCCTAGTGTCGATTTGGGAAACCCAATGAACAAATTTTCGGCGACACAGAGCCTAAGCGCCGCACTAGGATCAGCAATGTCTGGAAGTACAAATGCATCAAGTCTGGGCACCAGCATCAAGATGGAAGAAGAAGAGGAATTATAAATGGGCGGTCAAGTAATGACGTCGTGTTACTCTATTGACTGGCCTCCTTGTTTGGCTATGCCGAGGATGATCAACGTTTGCGAGCGGCCTCATCGTTGGGAGCATTATTGGAAACGGTGAGCAGGTAGCTGTGGCAAGTAACGACGAAATTGCCTGTGCTCTCCTGCTGCCGACATATAGGACGGTTTCCAGCATTAAATTACAGGATTATAAAAAAGAGTCCCAGTCTGCGACTTTAGTACTATACAAGATTTCTTCCTTCAATTCATTGCATTGCACATTTTTCATCATATCTTTTTTCACGGTGTATAAAGGGTCAATAACAATACATGTCACTCCACAGTCGTCTCAAATTACTTGTTTCTTACCGAAGCACACTGGGATACCAATGGCACAGGGATGTAAGCTATAGCAGAAGCTAAAGGAGAAGATCCTAGTCCGTCGGAAGGCAAGACCTTGTGGAATAGCGTGCTTGCTGTTGGGTATTCGCTACAATCGATGCAATTGTTTGGGTATCTTGAGTAAGCCTGAACTGTTTTGTAATGGTTAGCTTCGGAACAAATATTCAATATAGCGAACGTAATGTTAAGACGTGATAGCAAGTTGTCAGACACAATTTTGGTGATATTTGATTCCACATTATGAAATTCAGTTGGCCGTTCTTAAGAGCACAAAGTGTATTCATCATAAAGAAAGCAAGGGCAATGATAACAATAGAGAAATGAATAACTAACCATTTGCAATTGGGATGCCTCGCGCAGCCCTAAATATTGGGCAGAGCACGAGGACTGCTGTGCAAGCCCAAGGAGCAAAAGCCCGGAGTTGCAAATTTGTAACTGGGTGACTGCATATGCAAAAGATGGGGCGCATGCACTAAACGGGTCACGCAAAGTGACCTCCAGCAAGGAGTACCAGCCATGACGGGGCGGCAAATAGGCACTGTGCCCCTCTCTGCCAACCCCCACTATCCACAGCTCCTAGGCGGACTGACTTTGCGACGACCTCTCTTCCCGCCTTTCTTGCTTCTCGAACCATCTTGCCTCCAAGACGCCACCACTTGGATTCCCCGACCCGATCCTTTTACATTCTTGAGTTTGTTTTAGAAGCTGCGAATCAGCAACAAATCAGTCAAAATGGCCGGTAGTACGTACACAAACGAGCAGAAATATGCCCCGCAGCATGGCGGACGCGATAATTTCAGTAGCTAACCTTGCCTCTGCGTAGACTTTGAAGAGGTTGCTAGTACGTTTATTCGATTCTATATCGTCCATTCTCCACCGATGGAATACTAAACAGGCTGCGTTATCACAGAGCAATTCATTGAGTTCTACTACAACACTTTCGACACTGATCGCAAGGCCCTCAACGCTCTTTACGTTCGTGCTGTTGCTTACCGGCCGTCGAAAGCTCCAATAAGCTAATGTTTTATATATAGCGTGAGCAATCTATGCTTACTTTCGAGTCTGCCTCTGTTCTTGGTGTCAACTCTATTGTTGAGAAGCTTACCGTACGTCCAACGTCTTATAATGGCATTCCTTTCCCCAGGTGCATATTCAGTACTAACAATCATGGATAGTCTCTTCCCTTCGAGAAGGTCAAGCACCAGGTCGAAACCCTCGATGCCCAGCCTACCATGGTTGATGGCGGTATCGTCATTCTTGTCACCGGCAAGCTCCTTGTACGTCATCTACTGATCCGTCTGCACACTGTATCACAGTGTTGATAACCTTTTACTAATGCGTGTTTTTCATTTGCAGGTTGATGAGGAGCAGCGCCCCATGAGCTACACTCAGGCTTTCCAGCTTGCCCGCGACCCTAGCGGCCAGTACTTCGTCTTCAACGACATCTTCAAGCTTATCTACGGTTAAGCGGTTCAAGGACCGGCGCTTAGACGGCAAACATAGTGAAGCTTGGCTATCATGCTGTTTTGTACAAACTCTAGAGGAAGCCCAATCTCTTGGTTCTCCACCCAGCATACTATAGCAGTTTCGGCCCAACGAAAACATATACCTTGAGCTCTTTAGGCAACAATGCCGCCCCGTGAATGTGTTCCGTCTATGTTTCCCCTTCTAAGAAGTATTGGCAATAAACCATGGTTCAAGTAGCCCTGCAAGTATAACAGTGACAATACATCAAACAGTCCATTGTTTTAAGCTTCATTGATACAAGGAGCAGCCATGCCTTGCTCTTTATAGTGTTTCACCTCATTTGGCGTCAGCGTTCTGTGGCGCACAGCGAGGGGCGCCCCTCTGAACGCGGGGCATTCGCTGTGGTGCACGCCAAAACAATGGCGCCAGGGTCTGCGCCAGCGCTTAAGCAGCAGTTGCCGGGGCAATTATGTCACAAACCGCCCGCCACTGCAAAGAAATCGTGAAGCACCCCTCCAACGTCGTGGATTTTTGAACAATCAAACAAAGCTTGCTAGAAATGAGCCAGCCGCGGCCGCACAAACCAGATGCTAGTTTTGCATTTAAACCCGCCAACAACCTCTCTTCACAAAAGTCACCAACCTTCAACACATTACCCAAAACCGATCCTGCCCGCCGCGTCTTTGCGAGCCTCAACGATAACGAGATGCACGAACAGACGCCTGCAGCGGCCGGTGATAATGCCGGACCGTTTGGAGCCAATAAACCGAAACCCAAGGCTGCTGATGATGATATCGATATCGACGAGCTGATCAGCGGCTTCGCATCGCTGAAACATGGTGTCCAAGTCCAAACCGCCAGCTCTATGAACAAGATTCTCAGTAAACATGGGCACGGAAGCCATCCAAAAATGATGTCGTCTCTTAAGCAGAAGGCGAACGTTTTTATCCAACAGAAGTCCCGACCGGAACACCATCTCCGGACTAAAATGAACGTCCCTCGAGCACCGACGTATCAGCATCGACTGCCACCGCCAATGCCTGTGTTTAGCTCGAACCAGGTACATGCCGAGCCTCTCCATGCGCGAGACGAGGTATTTTACACGGATCCCAATAAAGCCAGTGCAGATTTGAAGGCTCTATTGGAAGGCGGTATGGAAGAAGAGGAAGAGGAGGAGCCCGAAGCGGAACCAGAGCCAGAGAAAGAAGCTCCGCAAGTGGCTAAAGTAACGGGGGCACCAACTACAAAACCACAAGAGACAACCGAAGAAACGAAGACAGCTCTCCAGAAGAAGACTGTAAGAAGGAAAAAGATACCCAGGGACGGAAAGATCGACAACCTTGCCGTCCAGCTTTTGCCACACCAAGTGGTAGGTGTCGAATGGATGCGTGGACGTGAGCTTGGCCCTGTCAGGAAAGGCATAGTACCAAAAGGTGGCCTTTTGGCAGATGATATGGGTCTTGGAAAGACCTTGCAAACCATATCTCTCATATTGCTCAACCAAAAGCCCGCAAAGGATAGCGAAAGATGGACAAAAGACATGGAAAAGGTCGAGAAGACCACCCTGGTGGTGGCTCCCCTAGCCTTGATTCGCCAATGGGAACAGGAAATTAAGGACAAGGTCAGCAAGTTTAATGGACTTAAGGTCCTCGTCCACCACGGTCCTCAAAGAACGAAGCGTTTCCAAGACTTGGCAGAGTATGATGTGGTCATCACAACCTATCAGATCTTGGTTTCAGACCATGGTGCATCGTCAACCACCGATGATGGCAAGAAAACGGGCTGTTTTGGGCTACATTGGTGGCGTGTCGTTTTAGACGAAGCCCATACCATCAAGAATCGTCTTGCAAAGTCAACCAAGGCCTGCTACGATCTGCGCTCAGAGTACCGATGGTGTCTGTCTGGTACACCCATGCAGAACAATCTTGATGAGCTACAATCTTTGGTCAGATTCCTTCGAATCAAGCCATATGATGACATCCGCCAATGGAAGGATCACATTGACCGACCAATGAAAAATGGCAAAGGCCACATTGCTATTTCTCGATTGCACAGCATTCTGCGATGTTTTATGAAGCGACGCACCAAGGACATCTTGCGACTGGAGGGTGCCCTAATACCTGGTGGTAAGGATGCTTTGAAGGCAATGCCTGCTGGTGAAGAGGCACCGAAGCCTGCGTTCAAGCCAACAGAAAGAAAAGTTGTCACTATTTCTTGTGAGCTCTCTGCGGCGGAAAGACAGTTTTACGATCGCCTGGAGCATCGAACTGATCAGCGAGTCAAAGCTATGATGCAAGAGAAGATTAGCTACGCCAGCGCCTTTACCATGTTGTTGAGACTACGACAAGTGTGCGACCATCCGAAGCTTGTGGAGGGTAAATTGGAGAAGGACAAGGACGCCATGACAACCGATGCAAGCCAGAGTCAACAAAGCCAGGATACTGACGTAGATGCCATGGCGGATCTATTCAGTACCATGGGAATTGAGACCAAGAAATGCAATGTATGTTCCATGGAGCTCACAAAGGCCGACAGCGATAAGGGTCTTGATACCTGTCCTGAATGCACAGAGGATATGAAATTGTTCCAGGCCAATGGTACTTCAACAAAGAAATCAAAGAAGTCGAAGAAGTCTAAAAAGACGGCTGCACCAAAGCCTGTACGAAAGCAGAGGAATCGAAATGCCGTGGTGGACAGCGACGACGAAGATGACTCTGACGATTCGCTTGAGTCAATTTCAGCCCTGACACAGAAGATGGCAAGCCAAGCTCTATCGTCTCCCGGACAGAGCCGACGTCAAAGAAACCGACGTGTGGTGGACAGCTCAGAGGACGAATCAGATTCTGAGGATGATTCTGATTCTGATGATGATGATGATGAACTGCAGTATGGCGGCGCACCAATTGTTCCATCAGCCAAGATTCGAGAAATGGCACGCATTCTGCACGAAGAAGCCCACGAACACAAGTTCATCATCTTCTCGCAGTTTACATCGATGCTCGATCTGATTGAACCGTTCTTGCGCAAAGCTGGGTTCAAGTACACGCGCTACGACGGCAGCATGAAGAATGATGCTCGCGAAGAGAGCCTGCGTCAACTGCGCGAGAACAAATCCGTACGTGTGTTGCTCTGCAGCTTAAAGTGTGGTAGTCTCGGTCTCAACTTGACCGCAGCAACACGAGTCATCATTATAGAGCCCTTCTGGAACCCGTTTGTGGAAGAACAGGCCATTGATCGCGTACACCGTCTTACACAAACAGTAGACGTTGTCGTCTACAAGCTGACGGCCGCAAATACCGTCGAGGGTCGTATTATTGACCTGCAAGAGCGCAAGCGTCTGCTTGCTGAGCAAGCTATTGACGCTGGATCCAAGAAGGATGCTCTCAAGTTGGGTCTTGCAGAGCTTATTGATCTCTTCAAGCCCACTGCTCACGCACCGACTACCCAGTATCACTCTACTGCAAGTTATGACGACCCAGTTGCTGCCATGGAAGAAAGGGCGCATTCTGCGGTGCGCATGTTGGAAAGGAACTCGCCTGTCAAGAAGAAGGCTGAGAATGGACTCTACGGAAGGAGATGGTAGTAATGTCCTCATGATTTTCACTGTTGTATGATAGTTTTGTTATTTCCCGGCAGTATGACCGGGTCGAGTTAGAGATTTACGGGAACGCCCGCTATTAGACATGAAGTATGAATCGCTTTTTTATAGACATGCAAGGAATTGATTGTAACAAATTGATCAAATATTTCTCATTTCTCTCAAAAGGTCGACTGCGACAGGTAGCTTAAACATGAGGCGCTATTTCCAGGGGTTTCCCAACAGTGGTAAATACAACGTAAACATGGTTTTTGGAGCCCATCATCTCTTCTCTCACACATCAGTTCCGACTCAGTAGCCGCCTCCTTGGCGGTAATAATCTACAGGCGAAGGAGCACTGGGGACATCATGAGCTGCGCCGGGAGTGTACGGCTTGTACTGAGGCTCAGCTGGAGGTGCTGATGCTTGGCTAGGCAAGCCATGACGGGCGTCGTATGCATCGGCTTGTGGAGGAGGAGGGGCTTGGCCAGTTGGGATGGGAGGGGGGCCTTGTTCGGGAGCTGGTGGGGGATAGCTCTGGTATTGTTGCTGCTGCGGGTGGCCGTACGGCGTTGATGGGGCAGCAGAGGGCTTTGCTTCCTCCTGGGTATAAAAGTTGGGCGCTGCTGGGTTCTGAGGCGCAATAGGCGAGTCGTAGACGGACGTTGCGAGCTCTTGGGCGCCATATGTGCTCTGAGGTCGCTGCTGCTGTTGTTGTTGCTGCTGTGGTGGCAGGGTCTGTTGGCTATGGAGGCTGGCATTCTGCGCTGCCCCAGGCGAGTAGGGTGTGTATTGGTGGGCGGGAGCAGGTGATGTGCTAATGGGAGCTGGCTGTCGTCCACCAGATGGGACGCGGGGTGTCGAGTCCCGGCGGGGGTATTGTTGGGGATGGGATTGCGCTGCGTGGCTTGGGACTTCAGCTCCTCCAACGTAGAACGGAGCTCCGCCGGCTTGCTGTGGTTGCTGGGGAAAGTTTGGAGGAGGAGAGGTCGTGGAGTATGCTGGGCGATCACCTTGGGGTGCAGGTGTATAGAAGCGGTTTGGATCTTGTGGCTGTTGCTGTTGCTGTTGCTGTAGGGCTGGGTTGGGGTATCCGGGGCCTCCTGCTGGGTAGCCCTGGCCTTGGGCAGGTCGCATAGCATATTGGTGGTAGTTGTGCTGCGGAGGATGAGCCATGGATGACTCCAGCAACGCTTCGTAGTCTCGTCTTGCCTTGATGAACTTTTCGTTGAGCTGAGTAAAGTCATCCTTCTTCTGCGAGTACTTCTCAATCAACTTAATCAGCTTGGGGCGTATGGCGAGAGTTTGGTGGTACAGCTTTGAAATCTCCTCGTTATCTTCCTCCCTTGGCCCGGTGTTGGACGCACTGAGCAGAGTCAACAGCTTCTCCACGTTCTTGATCTCAGCAAACACTTCCGCCTCCATCTGTGCTTCCCGCTGAAGCTCATCTGGAGTAGGATCCGTAAGCTTCTCCACGTAATTCAGCGGGAAAATGCCAGTATTGCCCTTGAGCGAACCTCGCCACCAGTCCTTGTAGACAGACTCCAGAACAGCAATGACGTCGCCCTTTTTGAACTCAAGCTCTCCGGGCTCTGAGGGTACAAAGTCGAATAAAGCTCGGACACGGCTCACTGTCGCAGCAGTGGTACCAGCGGGTGCAGGTGCTTGCTCTTGTTGGCTGCTTGGGCCCGCCTGAGAGCTAGAGCCTGATGGAGCCGCCTTCTTGCGCTCTTCTTCTTGCAAACTAAGCTTGAGGGCCATTTGCAGCTCGTCTTCTTCCTTTTGTCGATCGGAATCGGTGAGGCCCTGCTTCTGGGGCGCACTCGGGGCTTGGAGCGTCGGATTGCTTCGCTTTAGGGTGTGGTAGGCTGAATCCATGATGCCCAGGTCGGCATCCTTGCTAAACATGTCGCTCCAATCCTTCATGCGCTCGAGAATCTTGGCCTTAACTTGGTGGTGTGTGTTGCGGTCGTTGGCGAGCTTCAGGAGCGACTCTGTAAATGCGCGGCTCGATACTTCGCGATGCATGGGTTTGCCGCAGTTTTGGCAAAGAGCATGAGCAAGCTGTGAGAAACGAGTATGGTTAGCTGAGCCTGGCTAAACAGAACAATACACAAGCAACAAACCTCAAGAGTATATAGCTGAACATTGGCATTTCGATGAGCAAGTCTGCGGATCAAGCTTTGCACAGCTTCTTTAGGGCCGTTCTGATCACCGAGGACTTTGTCGCAGACCTCCATGATGGCGGCCCAGTCCTCGGAGGTGAGGTTCTCGTTGGTTGCCTTGGCTGCAGAATTGTTAGGAAATGGCTGTGCATTAGCTTCGAGAGATGGTAAACGTACCGACAGCATCGTCGTAGGGCCCAGAGGCAGCCGCGCGGAACATTGTTAGCTTGTGAACTCTGGTCTGTTGCTGTTTGATGACGGAGGTGGTGATGTGAGCGCTGTGTTGATGTTTCTTTTTTCGTGCTGTTGTATAGACGACCGTCTGCAATATTAAATCGTTCTCTTCGGTATGCAAACAGCACAGCGAGGTGTTTGCAAAGCGCCTTTCTGCTGTTGCGAAGGTGAAGCAAGGACGGTCGTTGCAGCTGTGGCGTGAAGAGAAGGCTGGTCACTCGCAAGAACGGCCTTCGTCATCACGGGCCTTCCCAGCGGGGCTCGTGTGGCTTGCTTGCCACCTGCATTACGTGGTTGGCCGCGTTGGTGCGGGCCCAGTGCCGAACATCTTCCGATTTCAACAGACGTACCCTGCAAGCATCATTCTGCGTAATATTTTCTATAAAATGAAATAAAATGAAATATATAATAAAATTACAGGTGATAGTAATGAGAGAATAGATTTGCTTCTTGTAAGTATAGTGTATAGTTTCTGCCGTGATTTATGCGAATACACCAGATCTAGTAAGCTCAGTCGTAGACTTACACAACATAATACTGGCTGCGAAATTATGATATAAAAACGCCCAATACATCTCTCGTGAGAAACATTATGACTTTATATGCTCAAGTATGTTATGTAAACTCCAAGCCACCCGCTACGCCAATGCTTTGTACGTCATTCTACAGTAAACCGGACCAAACCAACAACCAAAGAGTACAACACAACAAAACAAAATACACAATTTATCACAGTCACTGCATCAAACATTTCATCCTTGCACATGCGGTTACCATCCACGACGTGTGGTACCGCGTACCTCAAAGGTGCTTCGATCAGAGCCTGCGATTCCGCCGCTAGCCCCTCGACTTTCCTCCAAACTGCGCCTGCCTTGCGCGTCCATCTCAGACAAATCAAACACGAGTGGCTCCTCATTAATAGACTCATCGTCAGCACGAGTAAGCCTACTGCTGGAACCAGTGAAGCTACCACGTGAGGATTGTGGGGGTGTGCGGCCCCGACCAGCACTATTCTGGGATGCAAAACCAGCATATCGCCGTCTAGGCACTGGGGAACTTGATTGCGTAGAAGAAAGGAAGCCTTCTGGAGGCGCATCCTCACCAGAAGTGCGACGCAATGCTCTAGGGGTCGCCCGCTCTGTGTTCTGTGAGGTTGGTTCACGACGATCATCGGAAGCCTCCCGGACGGTAGATTCCTCCTCCAGACGCAACTGGCGACCAAGAAGGGTACTCAGCGTTGGAGGGTCTCTTTCATCGGCACCCAAGCTAATGCTGCGGTTGGCGAATGCTAGATCAGGCTCGTCGTCATCGAGTGCCGCGCGCGTTTGCTGCGCCACTGAGCTGGAACGTCGCTGGTAGGAACCTAGCCTGGGAGAGAGAGGGATGTCAATAGCCGCCACACCGTCTGGCGTAAGAGTATTCTGCCGACTCGGTTCTGCAACAGGCGACATCGTAGTCCTTGCACTACGAGATGTTGTACGGCCATGGTCGCTACCATTGTCTACAATCGAGTTCTCGCTTAGACGCGACGGAATAGCGGGCGTATGTGGCGTATGTGGTGAGAGTGGCTTCCCAGGAGACGAAGATGCAGACATAGAAGCAGGAGCGACCATTCCAGGAACACTGGCTAGCTGACGACTTGACGAACTAGAAGATCGCTGCATTTGGAATGACGATGTCATCGAGTCTGTTAGAGCATTGTTTGACTCCTTCATCAGGTGGAATCGGGACAACTGCGCGACAGTCCGGTTTGTCGCCGCTTCTCCTCTCTTTGTTGGCTCAAAGCTTTTTAAAGTCTTCTTGCTGTCAAGCACTTTGAGAAACTCGGAGATATTGTCTGATTCAACTGGTAAGGAATCATCGCTGGTGCCGATCGGCTCTGCCAACAAACCGGAACCGGGTTGTGCAACTGACGAGGCTAGGCTTTGTTTGCCGCTGCTGTTCTGTTCTTCATCGCCAGGGCGACCCCCTCCTATAGATAGACGACCCCTTCTATGGGTAAAACTGCTGCTGTACCGACTGGCAGATGAGGGTCGAGGAGATCCAACAAGAGGAGATTCGGCGGAAGGGCCAGGTGGTCCACCACGCAGAGACGCTGGCATACCCGACGTCAGTGATGTGCGCTGTCTCGCAGGCATATTTGGCAGCGACGGACGGTTTAACGATGACGTCGCGCTGGGATCAAGCTCGGCTGGCCTAGGGATAGGAGAACCTGATAGGGACCCAGCTTTGAATGGCTGGAAAGAGATTGACGGGCGGCGAGCAGTCATGTCAGTACCACGGCCTCCTGGACGTGCGGATGACATTTGGCTGCTAACAGGGAGAGAATTAGGAGCTTCAAAGTCGTTGTTCGTAGGGAGAGATGCCGGAGGCGAACTTGTATCGGAGCCCGCTGGCTTGACAGCCCTCAACGCCGAAATCGGGCTTGTTCCTAGAGGTACATCACCATGGAAGGTGGACAGGCTACCATACGTTTGTATGTTTGTAAAGTTGCGCCGCGCCCGGGTATCTTGGAGGGAGCCGACAGGCACTGACGTCTGGTGTTGTAATGGTGCTCTCTGTGGCATCGAAGGCTTGAAGAAGTGTTCATCGACACCCATAAATCTAGACGATAACAGTGATTCTGCATCATCTATGCGAAAGTTGCACTCGTTTCGATAAGTAACGGAAGCACCAAGGCGGCCAACAGGAACCTCGAGGTCTCCAAAGAGATATTCCGTGACTGGATCAGGCCGCCCGTCAATCGGTGTCTTTAATAAATCCGCGGCTAGAGCATCAGGGTCGGAAGATAGGATGCGGCATCGTGGAATTAGCGCAGGATGGCATCCCTTCATGCCTTGGTTTGTGAATTTCCAAGCTGGTAAAAGCTTTGTGGTGACAAACAACGAACGGAAGAAGACGATGGCCTTTTTGTATATGGTGGGTAATATAGGACCAAAGTCATCGTTTGGGGTATTGCCGATTAATTGCAGCTCAACTCGCCATCGCTCCAAAACGACATCAGTAGCTCGCGGCGATGCCGTTGCCGCCGATGTGCTCTCCGTCGGCGACTGTGCAGCGTTCAGCTGAGCCATCACATCCCATCGTTTGCCGTCATCATCGACAACGACTAAACTCTGGCTTTCCTTTAAAGAAGATGTATCCAGGTAGACCTCGATGAACATGGGAGGGGGAGTGTTTTCTATACTGCCACATGTTTTCCATAATTTCAGCTCGTCTCGGAAGTCATCGACTTCTTCGGTTTCTATTTGGTACTATTCATCGTGTTAGCAATCAGTAGCCCTCTTGATAGTCGACATACATACCCATTTATTAATCTTTGGCGTGCCGTTGGCATTTTTTGCTGGCCTCGTCTTCATTCGCGCGGCGAGGATCAAGGCGGATGCTTTTGTATGGAAATTCTAAGAGAGGCGGGTTAGCGACCCGAGCAAGTTCGTAGGTTAACAGTGCGGCTAGCTTACTTGTACAATCTGGTCTAATTTGCGTACTGACTCAACAGGCAAGCCAGTCGTCTGCGGAGATTCCAACGTCGGCGAGGACACGGGCTGTCCGCTCGATACGTTGGAGCCAGCCCGCGGGCGAGCAGGCGCTGTTACTGATGGCTCGCGAAGGTTGGGTAGCCGTGTCTGATTTGTCGTCGGCGACGACGCCGCCGATGGAATCCTCGGCGTCATCCTCGCTTGTTGATGCATCGTAGGGGAAGTGAGGGGAGATGAACGATGCGGAGGCGGGGGATTCTATGGGGAAGAAGAGATAAGGTAGATTAGATCAATCGTAGGCGATGGCTTGCCCTTCCATTATCAACGCTGGCGGTTGTGACAAGTGAAGCGAAAGGCGGGCGCTGCGGGCTGTGGCAGCCAGTCGCGCAAAGCAACCGACAAGCAGCGTACTGGGTGTAGAATATCGACCGAGAGGCTTTTTCTTTGTTTCCTCTATTGTTTTCGTTCTGTCGCAGCTATCGTCACTGGAAGCAGCGAGGTTGGAGCTCGCTGTACGGGCGCCGGCGGCTCGGGGGACGCAGGGTAACCTCAGCCCGGAGCCGTCAAGGTTCTACTAGCGAGACTCGAAGCTGTCGAGTGCCGGAACGTGGTATGGTGATGATGAAGCAGATAGAAGGCGAAATAAAAAATGCCTCTATCTGAGGATTTAGTTTGATGCAGGCACGTCGAACGGTAGGGGGGGCGATCAGAAATGCAGGGTCAAGTCCGAGACCGGGTGATTGGCGGGTGGTAGCAACGGCGGCCTCGTGATGGTGATCCGCTGGACTTCTTTCGTCATCGGCTGGTTGAACAGCGCTAACCAAAGGCGATGGAGTTTGCACGAGGCGACAGAGTAACGCAAAGAGGAGGGCTCCAGGTGATGTTTCGGGAGAAGCAACGAGAAGGAGTGATGATGCCCTACGACGGGTCTTTGATGGGATTATGCACCGTGCGAAAAGTTATGTAGAGGAGAAAGGGAAGAAGAGGATGCAACAGAAGTGACAGCAAGAGGGCGGGAGGAGGCCATCAGGTGAAGCTGCCCACAAGCGGCGTTAGGTGCCCCCCACAGTGGAGCAATGCCTTGCCGGGAGCCCGCTACATTTACGCTGGCGGCGAGCTGCAGCAGCAGCACTGTGGTGTGTGCTGGAGGTACCGTACCTTAGTGGTCCCAGCGGGCACCCGATAGTGCATTTTAGCAGGTGCACGCCGGCTGCCCGCTGCTCTGCGTTGCGAACTAACGTAGCGGGTGGTGCGTGTCAGCTGGGGCGATGTGATTGCCTAGCCTGTTTAGCCTTGGGGGGCTCCACTGCGCCATCGGCTGGAGCCCCCGCCCTGTAAGTCAATCCATATAGCGCTAAGCTGCTTTTGGCGCAGACGCTGTGAGGCCGCTTTCGCAGTGACGGCGTCCACGGCGCAATTGTCTACATAAAGTTTAAACGCGTGAGGAAATCGCAGGAAAAAAAAACATTAGTTATTTTAAAAAGTAAACAAAAGTTGAATCATGATATTTCCCAGATACAACACAGTGCATCTATGCTTCAAACTGCAACCATGGCCCAGCCACCATTATGCAGCTGTCCTGGCACCCTTCGTCTAGCAGTGACTCAACCAGATGGATCTGCCATCTGCTACCCATCGCAGCCCTTTTATTGGACAGAATGACTCCCGTTCGTTTGCACTTTTACGCAGTCTGCCTGGCAACGTAGCTGGCCCCCTATGAAAAGATCATGGGTCTAGATGGTGGCCTGCGCGTCCACCGCCAGGCAACCTTATGCCAGCGTGAAAGTTTACAATAGTAGGGATCATCCATGACGCGGCTAGTGTAGTTCATGACCCGGTTAGCATACTGTGGCGTTGTATATCTCATAGTTTAATCATTAAGCTTGTCTAAAGTAGCAGACGTCTGTATATATAGAAGCTGTCCAATGCCGTGTATAGGCTGTGTATCATACCTGGTGCGCCGTAAAACCAAAGAATATAAAACAAGAACAAAATCAGACAAAAAGGCTCCTCAAAAATGATCCCAGCCATTGGATAGCAGCAATGACAGAAAGATGAACAAAAGAACGCGACACACTATCAACACACATGTCCAAACCCCACATCATTATACTTTAGGCGTCCAACTCTCATTTGCCGGTTCGGCCGCGGATAGCTCTTGGGTTGGAAGCCGTAGCAACCGCAGGGTTCGAGCCACCAGCAGCTGGTCCAGTATTCTCCTTGCCCTTGCCGGACTTGACACCTCTGTTACGGCGTCCACGCTTGTTGCCGTCTCCAGTGCCCTCTTTGCTCTGGCGTCCTTTTGTTGACGCTTCCTGAGCTTGTGCTCGCTGTGTCTCCTGATCCCACCATTCTTGGAAGGCTTGCTCTTGTTGGATTTCCTGCAGAGAGCGCTTGGCGACCGCTTCCTTGGCTAACTGCTGCTCATGCCGCTGTTGGCCAATAATATCGGCCATGCTCAAGCCCAGTACAGCCTCAGACTTCTTGGCTGGGGTAATGTAAGACTTGGAATGAGGCGTAACAGGAGCTTGCGCCTCTTTCTTGCCCGCAGCGCCACGCGATGCCCGTTGTCCCGAGAACTTGGTATCTGGTGATGCCGTACGCACCCTTGGGGATGCCTCTATCGCGACAAGAGGCTTCGAATTCGCGAGAATCGATCTACGTTGCTTCTCTGAGCTCATCATCTCCTTCAATGATGTCTTTGGTGCGGGAGACGCAGCTTTCCATGGTGGTGGAGTCTTAGATCCCACTGTCTCCCAAGGTTTGACGCTAGCTCTTTCATTGAGAGCAGCGGCTTGTGCCTCGGCCTGCTTCTGCATTTGCTTCTTTCTCTCCTTTTGGGACATTTTTGGTGTAGGGCGATTGGCAGAATCTTGTCGCCCTTGAAGGCCAGCAGTAAGCGCCGAAGAAGAGTTTGTTTCAGACATGATATCTTTGAGGTCAAACTTCTTAGCAGAAAGCAATGGCGATGCCCATGGGGCAGAGGCCCTATTCGGGGTTTGTGGGATTTTCGGGGTAGATAGAGGTGTTGCAGGGCTCATATCTCGAGAAGAGGACAAGTCAACCATCGCGCCGCCTTTGATAGGTTGCCATGCAGCAGGTAGCTGTGGGATGTTGTCAAGTTCCAAGTTGTCAAACTCTGGCCCAAGATCCGGTGATGTTGGCATAGACAAGGGAGATTTGGCGGCTTGGGGCTTTCCACTTTCGTCGTCCATGCTGAAGATCATGTCGGCGTGCGAGTCCTTAGGTCGTAGAGTAGGACTGAAAGGTTCGTTGCGACCAGATCTAGATTTGCGGCGTTGGAAGCCGTCTGGCGTCTGTGGCGACATGGCCATCTCATCCAAGCTACCAATGCGAGCTCTGTATGAAGAGGATAATTTGCGCTCCTCTTCCTTCTGTAAGTGCTTAAAGGCAAACTCACGCACCCGTCTGCGTCGCTCTTCTTCAATATCGAACATTAAATCAGGATAGGCCTCATGCAGAAGCAACTCGGCTCGCCCACTCCTAACAAACGGCAGTCTGGCGAGCTGGTTCTTTTGCACGACCGAGTCCAAGTCCAGTAGCACATCTTCATCGAGACCATCAAGCAGACAGTTTTCAAGCATATTCTCCAGCTGAAGGCAGATGTATTCCAGACCAACATCCTTGAATTCCGTAACTGAACAAGGGCTGATTTCATTCAACAGGTTGGAAATGTTGCGCGTTGTGACAAATTTACCAATCACGGCTTGGCAAGCTTGTGATAGTCGATCCAGCATCAGCTCGTTGGCAACGGCCATAACATCAAGTACGATTTCAGAAAACTCGTCCAAGTTGGCTGTGCTAATATCCTTGAACAGGTCATCTGCCACGTCGGCATAGAGATATTGTAGAACGAGCTGAAACGTGTCTGGGTTGATATGACTGAGGTCGACGTCAATTGGCTCGGCAACGTGATCATCTCCTCGGCGCTGCGCAAGCCACTCTCCGTCAGAACGGCCATGAAACATGCCCTCAAAGAAGGGGCAACGTTCGCACAGTAGCTGACCGTGCGCTAAAACTTGTTCACCATCAAGCTGGATCAAAACGTCACCATCGTTCAGGTAGTCTGGGTCAGCAATGGCCTCTTCAAAATTAGCGTCCAGCGAAGGTTCAACACTGCTCTGAAGACGCGCCGCTGTTTCCAATGCAGTCAATTCCAGATTAGAAGCAAATTTCATTACTTCAGTGCGAATGTGGCGGAACCGATGGGCGAAGGCAGGTGCCTCACGAGTATGTTTCCAGACAGGAATAAAGGCATCTTGGTATAAGAAGACAACAATGTTCAGAACCGTAAAAAGGTCGGCAGAATGTAGAGTCAGAGTTTTCTTGCCGTCCATAACTTCAAGTGAGAATACATCGTCACTGGTCTCACTGTCATCGAGCAGTGGCAGGTCCAACTGCTGAAGAGCGCGACGAATCGTAGGACTTCTTGCTGAAAACAGCCAGCTGTGCACTGGAATCTTGAGATCAGGCCAAAGCGAAGTTCGGATCTCCATATCCATGTGGTCGTACTGAAACTTATGAGTTGCAAGCCACTGGCCAAGCTCATTCTCGATATCAGCTGTGCCAAGAAGTTGGGCTTGGACAGACCCAGGCTTCTCACGATCAAGAGCTGCTTGCCATGTCTTTCCGTATGCCATGCCTGGTTGTTGGCTAGAGCTGGTATAATCATTTAAGCACAACAGCTTGGCCATGTCCGTCCAAATGGTCTTTTCGTCGATACTGATTTCGTTGGCCATTACATGGCTGTCCTTTCGAATGGCCGAGAAAGCTCCAAAGGTGGAGCTTCGGACTGTTACACAGTTGGTGATATAAGGCACTCGCTGGAATTTGAAGTCTTTGCGCTTTGCCGCCGACGTGTCTGTGAAGCCTGTCGTCTTTGCCTTTGATCGCTTTACCCTGGTCCATACCGAGCCAGATTCTGTGCAGATGATGACGGAGCCGTGCTCACCAACATCAACGGAGACGACACCCTCCTTGCGAGAATCCCAAATGCATTGAGGCTGAGATATGGCGCCCTTAATTTTGGCGGGGTTCGTTGTAGAGGTTGCCGATTGATGACTGTCAATCTTGTGGTTTACCTGCATAGTGTAAACATCTCCGCGAGATGTCAAAGCAGCAATGGTGTCGCCGCCAGATGAGATGTAGCGGATATCTCTGCGCTTCGAATCCTGGCGCGTTGTGAATGCACCAACGGCAAGGTTATGGTTGCTAAAAACATCTGGGATGGGGAATTTGACCAAGTTGTAGCCGTAGCTAGAGAAGACCCAAACAGTGCAGTTCGACAGCAGACAGCTAGTAGCCTTATCAATAGCTGATACCATCTCAATGGGTGCCGTCAAAAGAGAGGCGGCGACTTTGCGAGGTACCGCTTGCACATCCAAGGAGCGGGAATCGGCATCCATTAGCGCCAACTGTCCGATATTCTTACCCCAGCAGTAGAGCGAGGAACCAGTATGCGCGACGGAGTGAATAGCCGACGCCGCTACTCCGAGAATGGTCTCCTTTTTCAAAGGGCCAAAGACTTGTCGGGGGACGAGACTCATGGGCTCTTCATCTGCCCGCAAAGGCGGTGGCAGGGTGTATCCAAGTTGAGAGTCTGCATTTAGACCCCAGGTCCACAGCTCACCATGGCTGGTAACTGCCATGGAATGGTTTTGTCCAAGTGCAACGTTCTTGATCTTCTTATCAGCCAAGGGGCCTTGGACAGGGGTGAATTTGAACTGAGTGTTTTTTTTTTTAATGTTATGGCGACCACCTTGATCTACACCACAAATGTACAAGTTCGAAACAGGGTCGGTTGTCAAGACAGCAGTATGCAGTTTTGACATGATGACTTCTTGAATATGGAGCGGTCGACTTTTGACAAGAATGGGTATGTCATCAAGACTTTGGGAGAGATCATCCTCGTCGATGCCGGCTTCTTCGGCAAACGATTGATAAAAGTGATGATATAGGGATTCGGGTCGTTGCAGGTGAATTCGTTCGGGGTATTGTCTGTCGTCAGCGTCTCCAACACCAAGGGAAACATTTCTATTGCTTCCAAACATGAAGAGTTCATCGCCTTCGGCAGGTTGGCTTCGAATGTATCCGTGTTTTGTCGGGCTTGATGCTGGGTTAGTGTGTGCAGGGACTGGATATTCAGAGGCAAAAAGGCTTACTCATTGGCAACGTCGACATCATCCTCGCCGCTTTCCGAGTCGGAATCGTTCGTTTCTTGCACATATTCCTTCTTTAAAGAGCGGGTGGCGATTGTTGAATTATAAACATCAAAGGGACTGTTTCCCTCATGGTCCTTGGTTTTGATAAGCTGGCCAACTCGACTGCTCGTTGATGCTGCGCCAGACATCATGCGTTCTCGTTCCTTGCCGAGTATTATTCTGGCAATGGACACATTTCCAGCATATAGTGATCGATGGAGAGCGTTCCAGCCGCTTTCTGGGTCCTGGGCGTATATGTCTGTGCTGGGGTGTTCGACCAATGCCTGGACGAATTCAGCGGCTCGGGGATCGGTCGAAGCAGCCGCACGGAGCAGGATTGTCAGACCAGCATGATCTCGACTATTGATTTCGGAACGGCCTAAAGCGTAGCCTCCATCCTTGCCTTTACCTAATCCGAAACCTGAGGCCTTTCGACCTTTGGCTCCGAGTCTCGGCGACGACGGCAGCATGACCGGGCTGCTGCCCGATGCTCCTAAGCTGCCGGCACCGGGACTCTTGGGAAATCCCTGGGAGCTGGAGCTCGTGGAGCCCAGCAGACGCCGAAACTTGTCGACATCATTTTCCCAGTAGCACTTCCAGAGCAAGTGACTCATCGGCCGAGGTGTGCGAGGAAGAAGGCAGACGGCTGTGCCGGGCGCTCAAAAGGCACCTCGCTGTGATTCTCTGGGACCACGGCGTCTTTAAAGGTGCGATTAAAAGCGCCGCGAGACCAGAGTCGCCACAGCGCACCGTGTAGGTATGTTGAAATAGATCGAGAGAGCGTGGATGGGCGTGCAGCAGGGGGTTGTTGGATTGTTGGCGGGGGATGCGGGAGCCTTGGTGAAGATGTCGAAAAGACGGCGGGGCAGAGGAGAACGCAACGGGGCTGTACGGTATAATATAGAGAGTCTGGAGGGCGTGGCTTGGATCGCGAACCGGATGACGTTGTTTTGTCGATATAAGACTCGGGGTGGCAGTTGGAGGGTGGACAGAGATGGACCGCGACGCGTGTTTAATGAGATGATGATGCCGCTAGCCAGGCTTGGGGGGCCTTGGTGAAGCCTAGGCGTAGCCCTGGGTGCTAACCCTGGTGGTTCACAGGTGGTGGGGGCAGCATGTGGCGTGGCGAGGGCTCCCTGTAGTGGGGTAGTTGCGCGCCGAAGACCTCGGGGGGGTACCAGACAGTGGGCGCTAGAGCAGGCTGTGACAGCAGGTATCTGGCCGATTGAAGGCACCAACGGCTCAGCGGGCAAATTGGCGGGCCAATTGGCGGGCTCGTCGCAAAGGTGTGCTGGAGTCGAGCACCTGTAGGGCTTTGGCGCGATGCGAGGAATTATCGTGGCACATGGTCTACTGCTCCAACGTGGATGGGCGGATTAAGCCCCGCGTTTCTTTGTATAAACAATCTTTTGACGGATTTGGATGCGTCATGGAAGCCCGCGCCGCAGAGTTTGGAGGAATGCGCCGGCGCAACTTGGCGTGAAGTTATCACGATCACGAGGTATAGCGGATGGATAGCCACATGGGAGTTTTGGCGCGAATTACTGGAGTCGCAAAACTAGACACTCTAGGTTTGGCATGGGAAATTGTTTGATATTGATCCCCATCGCTTCCGGCCCCCGGCGCATCGCGTTTGCAACTCCGCACTCATTACAGGAACGCGGGGGTGCCGTGACGCAACGAATGGCCCAGAAGTCACTCATCTTGCTATCACTGAAGACCTGTAGCGTCCCATGTTCCGTTGGCCGGTTGTAGTTGTATGCAGGTCACTGCATGAATATGCACCGTGCCGTGAGATTTGCGATGGCCGGCTTAAGCAGGCAAGGACCTGTATGGTCCAGCCTACAGCGTAACTACTACAGAGGGTTTGGCCGCTATCACAAGCTAACTGACAGTAGTACGCGCGGTTCGTCCACAACACGTCTTGCCCACCACGGCAACAGGCGTAGGAGACATTTTCCCACGCAACTAAGCAACCAATATACGCCAACAATTTCTCTTGTATTTTTTCCAACATCACTTCTTCAGCCACTTTTACGTTGACGGCTCCGCGGCCAGCCGATGAGGTAAGCCCATGTCCATCCGCGCAGCGCTTCCCCGACCTGCTGTGGGCCGCCTTAGTAGTGCCGGCCCCACGCAGAATCGAAAATTCCCTCTTGGAACCATCGCGTGCCACCGATTTTCTCCAAAGCAACCTTTTGTAACAACCGTTGCCTGCCAGACCAACCGCCGCCATGTCTGACGAGAAGCCGCTCCCTTTCGTTTACCAATTCGCCGCCGGTGAGTCACTTCGAGTATTCTTATGCATATTTTTCGTCGCCAGTTTGGCAGCTAACGGCTTTTTTTCTCCAGGCGCTATTGCCGGTGTGTCTGAGGTTCGTCATCCGCCGCCAACCGACTTGCTCGCCATGGGCTGCCAATTAACCTTTGAGCCTGTTTTTTTATAGATTCTTGTCATGTAAGAATACGCTGTTTTGACTTCACTGTCTGTCACTCCCCGCTAACCTATAACCGCAGGTACCCATTGGATGTCGTCAAGACCCGAGTGTAAACGAAACCGCCGTCGACCGAAATCACCGACTCTTGCTAACATCAAGACAGCCAATTGCAGACAGCCCCGGCTGGCAGCGCTGATGCCTACAATGGTATGCTCGACTGCTTCCGAAAGATTATCAAGACCGAAGGGTTAGTGCTGTAAACGCTCGTTGTCCGCCGCTACAGGCTGCTTACAAGTTTTCCACAGCTTCTCCCGTCTCTACCGCGGTATCAGCGCCCCGATTCTCATGGAAGCTCCCAAGCGTGCTACCAAGTTTGCTGCCAACGACGAATGGGGCAAGATCTACCGCAGCTGGTTCGGCGTTACCAAGATGAACCAGTCCCTGTCCATCCTTACTGGTGCCTCTGCTGGTGCCACGGAATCCTTCGTTGTCGTGCCCTTTGAGCTCGTCAAGATCCGTCTTCAGGATAAGGCTTCCGCCGGCAAGTACAACGGCATGGTCGACTGTGTCGTCAAGACTGTCAGAAACGAGGGTATCCTGGCCATGTACCAGGGTCTGGAGAGCACCATGTGGCGCCACATCCTGTGGAACGCCGGTTACTTTGGTTGCATCTTCCAAGTGCGCCAAATGCTTCCCAAGGCTGAGACTAAGCAAGGCCAGATCACAAACGACATCATCTCCGGTAGCATTGGTGGAACCGTCGGTACCATCATCAACACACCCATGGATGTCGTCAAGAGCCGTATCCAAAACACTCCCCGTGTGCCTGGCCAGGTTCCCAAGTACAACTGGGCTTGGTCTTCTGTAGCCACCGTATTGCGCGAAGAGGGTGCTGGAGCACTCTACAAGGGCTTCCTCCCTAAGGTTAGTGCCCAATATCTTTTTGAATCGCAACCGCAAAATGCTGACCTCCATCGTCTAGGTTCTCCGACTCGGGTATGTTCATACCGCCTGCTGCACTGATACGATACTAACAATACAACAGCCCCGGAGGTGGTATTCTTCTCGTCGTCTACACCAACGTTATGGAAATGTTCCGCAGCTGGCAGAAATAGAAGCTAGGTGTATAAAGGCGGGCGCAAGATGTGGCGTTAGTGATTGGCAAAATGTACGATTCCATAGAATTAGAGATATACGAGCCGTCCAGTACATTAAAAAAGTATTATTCAATACCGCTTCCTCACGAGTAATGTTTCTATGTAAAACGGTACTGTGTACTTCTTTTCCAGAACTGGACAGTCTTTTGTCCTTGATCCACCAACAAATCTCTGTTCTTCTCCAAATTTGCGACAAGCGCCGGTGTTGCACTCGACCGTTACAGTACAACACCAGCATTCCTCTGAGTATAAATACCGGCCGAAGTACTTCCCATTTTCATCAACATCATCTCTCAATTCTCCAAAAGCACTTTACTTGGTAGCTAAACAAGGTAGCTGAACATGGAGGTCCAAAACCCAGACAATCATGAGGCAAACCCGGCGGGAGATATTGATATTCAAATGGAAGATGAATCGAATGCGACGGATCAAGTCCCTCCGCCATTTTTTAATAGGCCAAATACCTTGGCAAGCAGCATCGCAGATCTCGTAGACAGGCAACTCCCCGAAGACCACATTGTCAAGTTAGGTGCTATTCATCAGGGTGTCCTTCTTCTAGAGCGGGAAGTCAGTGCGCTGAGAATAAAATGTCACAAAAAAAATGATGATCTGCAAAAGACAAGAAAAGAAAATGCGACTCTGAAGGGAAAGCTTGCTAAGCTTGCTAAACGCACTCACACAGCAGTGGTACGAATTCTCGCGCCAAAAGTATTAGTCCACATTGCTGACTACATTTTTAGATGTGGCCGAAGAAGCTTGAAGAAGTCATTGCGAATAAAGACGGGTTAGGGTATAAATGCTTATTTCCAATAATTTGCCAAGAAAACAACATGTCAACATCGCTTCGAATCATTCATCCTGGTCTAGATCTCTCTGTCAACTTGGGAGTCGCGAGCAGGGCCATTGTTCAGAAGGCCACCAACTTGACTATGAATGGAGCTTCGGATCCGCCAGCCTGGATGCTGATACGGATACTGGACTCTATCTTAGTATTTGGTGACCGCTTCAGTTTTAGTAGAGCCAACGAGGACTCGCAAATGAACAATTATTCGCCTCGGTATATTGGAGATCGCTCTCTGAACCGTATTGTTCATTGCATCTCAAGATTAGACGAGGATATATTACCTGCAGAGGTCCCTCAAAATTGCAGTGGTAATATAAGCCTTCACCACTGCTTTCAAATTGGCGCCAACGCGGTAGACAAAAGAAAGACCGTTGGACCCCAGGTTCTCCTCTCTGTCTTGGGAGTCAGTCGCCGTTGGCACTTCTTCGGCTGCATAGCCTTTTATTCAAGAAACACGTTTGCCTTTTCCTCTCTCGGAGAATAGGATCGCTTCGCAAGAGGAATTGGTAAGAGACTGTGGCTTGTGAGGCATGTCGAGCTTCTCTTAACTGGCTCTCAGTTCCTGACGTACGGAAAGGCTTCCGATGATTGTAGAGTAAATGACCCAAAGACACAACCGCAAGGCAAACAACCATTAGTCAATCAACCACGAGAGAAGTTTGTGTCGCGAAGAACATGGCCCCTTGCAAAACTACTTGATATGAGGAGCCTAAAGACGTTGAGCATTTATTGCGACGAGTCAAGCCCCATGTATATGAGAAGGAGGCATGAACCACGCAAGCCAGCTAACTTGCTGAAGAAAGCAACCATGAATCATGCCAACTCCAGATCGTATCGCAGCCTTCGCACTATCCAAGGATTGGACTACATCACCGCATTGAGAGGGATGGGCCATATCGCCCTCTGGGATTTCGGAAAGTGGCTCGACTATAACCAAAAGGAAGTTGAGGTTCGCGACCGCGACTTTTGGGACTATATGAATCGTGTAGCTCGCAAGGCGAAACCTACTGAACAAGTGGAAGCCGAGACTCTCTCAGCCATTATGGGGTCGATAAGCAAGTATACGCCGAGAGGTACGATTGGTACAAGGAAGCCCGAAATTAATATCGCCTCTGGGGATCAGCAACAAAGCGATTTAGACCCGAAAACAAAGTTTCTACTAGTTGACAACGAGTGGGCTGTGGCAGAAGCTTACTATAATGCATTCTACCCAGTCGATAAAAGCAGCCTAAAGTTGGTACACAACATCACACTTAATTCACCAAGTTTAGAGCAGGATGACCTTCCGAACCCATCTGCAGAGGTTGTCTCGCATGATACGGGGCCCAGAGGGGGGAGAGACCTTGGAAGCGTTCAGCAAAGCAGGAACCGAAGGTTACCCGTGGATCATGGAAACCGGCGGTCAGGCGTATCTCACACGAATACCGGGCGTCTGAGCTCCAATATACCTTTTATTCGAGCTACTAGTCTTCCTCAGCAAGTTAATGTCGAAAACACTGGAGCCTCCTCGCGCGCATCTAGCGAGGCGGCCAGCGACTCATTGTTCGTCAGAGAACCTCGAAACAGATATCATGACCATGGGTCAAGGGTTCGCGACGTCATGAGAGAAGGTCGTAATGCGTACTTTGGTGAATCATTTAGCTGGAATTCAACAGTCAGTCGCTCTGTAACACCACCCTCTGAAGCTGGAGCAACTACCAACAATGATGATAAGCATAACCCTGATCTCTTCGTAGATCCTCAGACTGATACCAAAGATTCTCCTTCAAGCCAGCTTATAGCTTCCGACTTCAATGGTTACGATATCGCACTCGACTTCGATGTGGATACACTGAGTACGATTGATGAGACGGGAGAGGGTGAGCCTTTGCGCAACTCCATAGCTGCCGACACAGATGGCGACGATGAAATGCAAGACCAAGAGGACAACGATACAGACATCGATAGCGTTGAAGAGAGCGATATTGGATGTGATGCTGAAGATGAGGATGAGGATGACGAGAGCTCTGATGAAGAGGGTGGTGAAGGCGATGAGGATGAGGAGGACGAGAGCTCTAATATGGAGGGCGTCGATGGTGACCAAGATAATTCCGATACGGCGATGGATGAAGACTACGAATCCATGTCTGAGCTCATACCCATCGCTAGAGTCAAGTCCGAGGAACCTGCTCTAGAAGGCATGGACTTTGCATCTTGGCCAGACATGTCTAGTCACATGGTTCTGGATTAAACCTCTTCAGAGAGGCTCGACGTTCGACTGTTTTGGCTCCCGTCGATATTGGCAGCTACAAATTGCAACCAAAATTGAAAATAATACCTAGTGCATCTTTGACGAATATTGGTACCGTACGTATTGATTTTATTTTCCAAAAGTCACAGCAGCAGTAATCGCTTCAATTTCGCATTCCCAACGTCGTTGTACACCATATGGTAAAGAGTCCTGTTTGTCTAGTTCGTGGGTCGAATCAGGCTAAAGATTCCGCTTGACTAGAAGGCTAGGCCTCTTTCGATTCATGCAGTGGCCTTGGCGCAGGCTGTGAGAAGGCTGGGCACACAAAAGTTAGCAACGTAGAAGAATCAGGCATCATTATCAAGAGTAGCACATAGCAGAAACAGATATATCACGGGACGAGACTATACACCTCTGAATAATATTTAGAGTATTCGTAAACCAAAAATAAAAATATATTTCAATGGCGTCTTACAAGCGTCTCTCCTGATATTCAGCCCGCATAGTGTGTCAGTCCTTGCAGGTTGCCACGCTAGCAAGAGACCACGGCCGGTACTAGCGGTTCTTCAACCCCCCCACACGAGTCACGACCCCAAACCTGCCACCAGCCATCGACAACTTCGCCTACGCCATACAGACTCCGCCTTAGCCGCGTCACCTAATTCGCTCCAGCCTTGGCCACCAGCACCGCTCCAAATCCTCCTGCCAGGCAATCCATTCATCACTGCGCTCCTCTCGAGTTGCATCTACCGGCGGTCCGCATTCTCCAGCACCTGCCACTCGACGGCTTCGTCCATCCGCGCGACGTCACTCATCAAGCTCCTTTGTGCGGAGCAACGGCCGAGCCCGCCCAACGCCCTCCGAGGCCATCCCCGACATCTACATTTGTGAGCGCATTCGATATAATTAGCGTCTCTGAGAGAGCGCACCCCGTCTGCCCGCCATGTCCAAGGTTATGAGAGAGATCAAGAACGTGACCAAGGGTTACTCCAGCACCCAGATCAAGGTCCGCGAAGGTTGGTCTCGCACAGCTTCCGCTACATAACCCCTCGCCTGCTAATTCGGCCTGCAATAGCTACAAGCAACGATCCATGGGGTCCCACGGGAACACAGATGAGCGAGATTGCTCAAATGACCTTTAATACGTATGTTTACTGTCCTCGTCGGTAATCCCGCTTGGAATCCCGCTGATTGCGTCACAGTTCGACCGAATTTTACGACATCATGGATATGCTAGACAAAAGACTCAACGACAAGGGAAAGAACTGGAGACACGTTTTGAAGGCTCTCAAGGTCCTTGATTACTGTCTTCACGAGGGTTCCGAACTGGTTGTCACTTGGGCCCGTCAGAGCATTTACATCATCAAGACTCTGCGCGAGTTCCAATACGTTGACGAGGACGGCCGAGACGTTGGCCAGAATGGTGTGTGCTCTTTGTATTACTCTTTTCCAGTCTTGCTAATGATCCCCAGTGCGTGTGGCTGCCAAAGAAATCACTTCCTTGATTCTTGACGAGGAGAGACTCCGGGCAGAGCGAAGCGACCGAAAGTCCTGGAAATCCAGAGTTACCGGCTTGGAGGAGCACGGCCCGCCAGTTGGTGAACCATCCAATAGACGTCAACGCGAACGCAGACCAGCGAATGAGGAGGACGATGCTGAGTACAAGCTCGCCTTAGAGGCAAGCAAATACCAAGAAGAGGAAGATCGCAAAAAGCGAGAGGGTAGACAGACCGATGATAACGACGACGACCTTGCCAAGGCTATCAAACTGAGCCAAGAGGAAGAAGAGAGAAGGCGCAGGGAGCTCGAAGAGAGCAATGCCACCTCTCTGTTCGATTTGGAGCCAACTCAACCTACCCAGCCACAGCCCACCGGCTTCAACCAGGGCTATCAGCAGGGCAATCCTGTCGATTTCTTCGCCAACCCGATCGACCAGTCGCAGTTGCAGATGCAGCCGACAGGCTACGTGCAGCAGAACAACTTCCAGCAGCCGATGCAGACTGGATTCCAGACTGGTTACCAAGGATTCGGCATGCAACAGACCGGCATGGGTATGGATCCATATGCCCAGCAGCTTCAGCTTCAGCAGCAGCAGCAGCAACAGATGCAGGCCTTTCAACCGCAGCCTACGGGATATAACCCATACGCTCAACAGGCAATGCAGCAACAGCAACAACCATCCGAGCCATCGCCACAAGCTGGTAGTAACAATCCTTGGGGATCCAACCAGCAGCAACAGCAGCAGAGCATTAAGCCGATGGCTACCGGTTCAAACAACCCGTTTGCACAGAACCAGTTCCAGCGTCCCCAGCAACCTACCCACACCATGTCGTCCCTCACATCTATTCCTGAGCCCAAGACATTGTCGACCTTTACGCAACCCCAGACGCAGCCAACCTTTGCTCAGCAGCAGAATGCTTCACAGGCTCAGCAAATGCAGAACATGTCACGACGCGAGATGAACGAACACGAATCTAAGCTCAATGCTCTGCTCGCTACTGGTGACGGCCTGGATACCTTTGGCAACTCTGGCGAGCTCAGAATACCAGCCCAGCACACTGCCCCCGGTACCTTCATGAACAGCGCGGGCTCTGGTGTCCAACGTGTCACTGTAGACCAAACCGGCAGCAACCCCTTCTTGAGACAGCAGTTTACTGGCATGCCCACTGTTACATACGGCGGCCAGCAGCAACAAACCAACAACCCCTTTGGCGCTCAGCAGAAGCCCAACCAAGGCCAGGATCTTATCCAGTTTTAAACGGCGACTACATTAGCCAATGCCTTACACGATCACACAGCACAATTAGCGGTTGTCTGCGCCTCTAGTGGAGTTTGCTACTTTTTATCAACCCTTTACCGCCTTCTTTTCTTTGTTTGTTGCGTGCCTGAAAGATAGAACACCTTTTTTCAATATGTTTTTATCAAGATGATTCCAAATACCGAGACTTTGATTAAGTAGCCCTTTCTTTTTTTTTTTCTGTGCCTACAACTGCCACCCCTATTGGGACAGTTTTATTTGTTTATTTTACCACGAGACGATAGTTGAAGACAAAAGCCCGTATTCACAGAGTGTAAGCATACAGATGTGAAATTTCCAACGTGCGGGTATCATGCTAAGAGATATCCTATTGACAATGCTATTCGAGCAAAACTCCATATAAAAGAAACCGTTGTAATCCAGAAACTCCAAAGACACATCCACCCAAGTTCAAATGTTCAGTCGCCACCATCTTCCTAGCCCCTTTGCATCATGATTTATGGTATATGTACGAATTGTAGAGGGGTGAGAGGGCGTTTAACTAGCCTCTTCCATCATTTGAATAAACTCATCCAGGTTAACACCACCCTTGCCGTCGTGGTCTAGGTGGTCAATCATGCTCTGGATTTCCTCTTCGGATAAGGATCGGTCTTCCTTGATGTCTTCGGCCAAATGTCGCAGGTCGTCTACCGAGATGATACCGTCCTGGTCATAATCGAACATGTTAAACACCTTGGCGGCCTCCTCTCTTGGGTCTCGGCCCGCAACAAGCTTGGATGCGCACAATCGGAATTGGTCGAGGTATACCTGCAGGCGGTTGACGGGGCAGTTGTGCTGATCTTGCCAATCGGGCGGTACGGTTCCGTATGTCTCGAGCTCCTTGAATGATTCCGGCTTGGACATGTCGAAGCCAAGCGCCACCAGCGAGTGTCGGAATTCGTAGCTGTTGAGGTATCCCTTCTTCTTCATATCCATCAAGTCAAACTAAACGCCAGAATTCACACGTTAGTACCACCGACAAAAACAGAGTTTACCCCAGCAGCAACGCCTGGCGTGGGCCTGTCTGCACCTACCACTTCGTCAATGTGCTCGCGGTCTTCGTCTGAGATGCCGCCATATTCATCTGTTGTTGAGCTCTGCTGTAGGATTTGCGTCCTCTGTCTCTGCGCCGGAGCTGTTGCCGGAGCGCCTTGTAGTGACCGGTTTGGAAACGGCCGCGGTGTCTGGGAATTCATTGTCGGTAAAAGGGAAAAAGGGTGTAGTAGAGCTGTTTCGCGGGCAATGGCGTGATGCTTTGTTGGACTAAGGTTACGAGCGCAAGAGGGGTTTCGGCAGCAAAGCAACTATCGCATGTCCCACTTGCGTTTGTTTTAAGATGAGGTATCGTCAAGCTATACTGGGCAGGGAGGGTTGGCCAAGTTTCTATGAGTCCTACGCTGCTGGGTGCGCTGCAGCGGATCGCAAAAAAATACCAGTGGCTGCCAAACGCGACCCGGCGCAGCTCACGACGCGTAGCGAGCTCTTGGGGGAGTTAGCCTTGGGGGACAGAGCTGCTCGGGCTAGGGCGGGTCACGAGGTACCAGTGACTGTTGTACCGCCGCCAGGCACCCGCCAGGCACCAGTGACTTGTGCTGAAGTACAGCATTCCTGGCCTCCCATTGGCCCGCCTTTGTCAGCACACCAGCAGTCACCCAATCAGCGGCCCAAAAGTGTGGTCTGAGGCAGCAACCAGCTCCAGGCCCAGGAACTCCGTCGCGAAAAAAGCTTGGGCAACCTTGTTCGCCTTCTTGTACAAGAAGCTTTTAGCTCGGTAAGCAGCCATCGACCAGCTTGCAGAGTTAGATAAAGGGCGTGCCACCCAATCTTCCTCTTGACCGTCGGCTATCGCTGCATTTTATTCTCCCTCCTTTCTCGACGCTTTCTGGCAGCGCTCGCTCTTTTGCGCGCCAGAACCGCTGACCCCTTCTCAACACCATCTTGGTGATACGCGATTCCATCGACCCGAATCCGATTCGCTCGTGGCCATAGCATCCCGGCATTTATCAACAGGCCAATTGCATCTTGCTCAATGCCCTTTTGATTCAATTTGCTTCGCACCGCACACTCGCACTTTCGCGCCCGACGCACCTCCTAGGCAGGCCATCCTTTCCCGCCAACGAGACGCGCCACGTTCATCAAGAAACGAGGAGCATAAGGACCAGCGCTCGAAATTTGCCATTGAATAACCATCATGTCGTTTGGTGGTGGTGGTTTCGGCGGATTTGGTCAAAACAACAACCAGTCTTCCGGCTTCGGTGGATTTGGCTCCAACAATAATAACAACTCGACCGGTTTGTGGCTCTTCGACACCTGCCAACGCCAACAGGCACAGATTTAACTAACAATCTCACAGGTTTCGGCTCCAGCGCAAGCGGCGGCTTCGGTCAGAATAAACCAACTGGCGGTACCATGTTCGGTGCCAACAATAACACAGGTGGTGGCTTCGGCTCTACCACAGGTACGTAACGATGGCTCTGCTAATATTTTTCGCAGTTCGCAAAACTGACTCAGGATACAGGTGGTTTCGGTTCCAACACTTCTGGCGGCTTCGGAACTAACAACGCCAATACTTCATTCGGAGCATCCACATCAGGTGGTGGCCTCTTCGGTGGCAACAACAACACCACAACGAATACCTCTGGTGGCTTCGGAGGATTCGGCTCTAACAACACTACTACAGCTTCAACTGGTTTCGGAAGCACTGCTGCCAACAATTCTGGCGGTCTCTTTGGCGCGAAACCAGGCGGCTTCGGCTCTAGCACATCAGGTTCTCTCTTTGGAGGCGGCAACACCGCTACTGGTGGATTCGGCAGCAATGCCAGCACTGGCTTTGGCGCCAACAACAATGCCGTTAACGACCCTCCTGGTACTGCAGTGACTCCCTTCCAGGCATACACTGAGAAGGAACCGAATTCTACAAACACGCAGAATGCTTTCCAAAACATCCTGTTCCAGGATCCTTACAAGAAGTGGTCTGCTGATGAACTGCGACTTGTAGATTACGCGCAAGGCCGCCGACATGGAAATGCTAGCGGAGCTGGTGCTTTTGGCGTTGGCTCTGGCTTTGGCGGAGGCTTCGGCTCGTCAACGACAACCCCGGCAACTGGTGGCTTCGGTTCCAACACCAACACTCCTGCAAGCGGTGGTCTTTTCGGCTCAAACAACAACACATCCACAACAACAGGTTTCGGTCAATCAGCTTCTACCGGCTTTGGAGCGTCCACCACAAACTCCGGTGGATTATTCGGACAGAACAAGCCTGCTACCACTGGTGGCTTGTTCGGCAGCAACACAAACACAACTACCCAAAGTGGTGGCCTCTTTGGATCTGCATCGGGTGGCTTCGGTAGCAACACCAATACTACCGCAACTACGGGTGGCTTTGGTACAAGCGCCAGCGGTGGGTTGTTCGGCAACAACAATCAGGCCAAGCCCGCTGGAACCGGCTTCAGCTTTGGTAACACAGCTACGAACACTGCCACTACCACAGGTGGATTTGGTACAAGTGCAAGCACTGGTTTTGGTGCAGCCAACACTACCAACACTGGCGGCGGTCTCTTCGGCAACAACACAACCACTACCCCTGCTACAGGTGGTGGTCTTTTTGGTAACACGCAGACTCAGCAGAACACCACGAGCGCATTTGGCGGTGGCTTTGGTCAACAAAACCAGACTCAACAGACTGGTGGTGGCCTCTTCGGTGCCGCTGCAGCAAAGCCTGCAACTGGTGGCCTTTTCGGCGCCAGTACAACCACTCCTGCCGCTGGAGGTGGTCTATTTGGCAACACAGCTACTCAACCAGCCGCAGGAGGTGCATTCGGTGCCCAGAACACTGCTTCTGGAGGTCTATTCGGTGCTGCTAAACCTGCCACCGGTGGACTTTTTGGCAATGCTGGCGCTGCACAGCCCGCCGCAACTGGAGGCACTGGTCTTTTCGGTGCCGCCAATGCGGCACAACCAGCAACCGGTGGTGGTCTCTTTGGCTCCACCGCACAGGCTCAGAAGCCGGGTGGTCTATTTGGCGCGTCTACTCAAGCAACTGGTGGCGGTCTTTTCGGCCAATCCACTCAAAACCAGGGCTCGTCACTCTTTGGTGGTAGCACGCAGGCCGGTCAACAAGGCGGTGCTCTCGGCAACTCCTTGCTCGGTAACTCGCAACAATCACAGAACGCCCCTCAGGGTCTAACTGCCAACTTGAACGACGTTTCTGCTTATGGAACCCCAGCACTATTCGCCGGACTAGGAGGAAATGAAGTCGCAGATCCTGGACCTCTGGCAACACCGCTCAACGGTGGTTCTAAGCCGCGTAAGAGTGCCATTCTTCCCCTATACAAGCTTGCGCCAGCTTCAGCTTCCCGCTATGCGACACCACAGAAGCGTGGCTTCGGCTTCTCCTACAGCAGCTACGGTACCCCTGGAGGCAGCCCTGCTAGTATCTCCAGCACTCCTAATGGTGGTCTTGGTCGTAGCCTGCTTGGTTCTGGCTCCAGTGGCTCACTCAGCAAGAGCATGTCCACCAATAACCTCCGCCGCGCTTTCAATGCCGAAGATAGTATTCTTGCCCCTGGTGCCTTCTCATCCAGCAATGGCGCTAGATGGTACGGCAGCACCGGTTCCAAGAAGCTTGTCATCAACCGCGAAATTCGAAGCGATCTCTTCTCTACCCCTCAAAAGGATAAGCAGATCGAGGGTGGTAGCGCTAGAAAGCTAGCCAAGCGCGTCAGCTTCGACACTAGTAACGGAGAGGCGGACGAGACAACCCCCATTCGTGGTGCTCTCCCAGCACCTGAGGATGTCGCATCCGCCAAGGGCGATGAGACTCCTCGTCAAAACAAAACCACCGCTCCTGCCAACGTCACATCACCAGAGATGGAACAGGTCAAGGGCAACGAATTGGCCATTGTTCACGAGGAAGACAATGCTGCTACACCTGAGGGCCACCAAGGTAACGGTTTCGAGAACGCGCCCGGCCAGTACTGGATGCAACCTACTAGAGAAGAGCTGCAAGCAATGAACCGAATCCAGCGTCAAAAGGTCGATGGCTTCACCGTTGGACGTGATAACGTTGGTTACGTCAAGTTCAAGATTCCTGTGGATATTAGCGGCATTGACATGGACGAACTCTGCGGTGGAATTATTCAGTTGGAGCCACGCTCCGCCACCGTCTATCCCGTTGCAGCGAAGAAGCCTCCCGTTGGTAAGGGCCTGAACGTCCCCGCTACAATTGCCTTGGAGCAGTCATGGCCTCGTGGTGGCCGCGATAAGCGTGTTTCCAGCGATCCCAAGCGATTCAACAAGCATGTTGACCGCCTCAAGCGTATTCCCGACACGACCTTTGAGAGCTACGATAAGGATACTGGTGTTTGGATCTTCGGCGTCGAACACTTCACAACATACGGCTTGGACGACTCTGATGACGAAACTGATGCTGACGAGGTAACGGAGCCTACGCTGCCAACTCGCGAGGAAATCCCCGAGGCTATGGACCAGACACCGACCGCTCGGTTTCGAGGCAGCGATACACGCCAACATCGCGTGCTCCCAGGAGCGTTTGACGAACCGGAAGACTTCTTTGATGGAGATGTAAACTCTTTCAAGCAGTCTTTTTTAGGGGTTAGCTCCGCGGATTCTGCATTCAACGATGTCCACTTGTCACTAGAGGGTGACGAGATGGATATGGGTGGAGAATATGAACTGTCTGAGGACGAAGACCTGGCGAGGCCTTCGACCGGACAGCATCACGCCGCGGAGCTTGATGAAAACTCGCCAGAGGATACCCAGGTTGCCAAGCGTGGCACACCTGGCGGTATCCTTCGTGCAAGGATGCGAGCAGTGAAAGATTCTGCTGGTCCTGTCACGTTGGAAGTTGCTGATGGAGATGACTGGGCTGAAATGTTGCGCAAGACAGTGAGTCCTGTGAAGCGCGACAGACAGCTTCTTAGAGAACTGAATGACTCTCCAAGCAAGATGCTTATTGACTTTGGAGAATCGCCCGTGAAGGCTGGCTGGGGGAAGAAGGCCGCCAAGGACGGCAAACAAGATGGTTTCAGTGCGAACTTGGCTGGAGACAAGAACCGTGGATTCGCGACCAGTATCGACCTCATGAACTCGCTATTTGAGAAGCCTAAGCCTGCTCGCGAGAACTTGCGCGCATCAACAACCGGCAAAGGATTTCCCAAGGTCGGTACCCCCATCGCCCTTTGATCATGTTGAGCATTGTTTTGCTATTTCTGTTTATGACAGCATGTATCTACCTATTAACAACCTGAATAAATTTGCTAAATCATCTCTTTTTTAACTATAGTGGCCATATCAAAGACAAAACAAATCCATGGGCGTAGAAGACGACGAGAAAGCTTTCCACAACGTCCCCCGTCCAACATGGGGCCCCAACGAAACCTTGGTCGCAGCTAGACCCCTTGGCTCGCGACAATTCCGACATTCACTCCGCGATAACACCGATATCTTAGTCTTCCAACGATCCGGTATTCAAACAGATGGACAGGACCTTCGCCTTGCCAAGTTTGCTACTCAGTTGTCGAAAGTCTACCTCCGCTCACAAGACAAACTAACAAAGATTTCGCTGCTAGACAATGTCCCGTTTGCTGCGCTTCAGACAAAATCTATCAAGGAGATGTTCCATCACCAGGATATGAATGATCCTGCAAGCATCCATGAGAAGCGCGTCTGGGAACTAGCCAGTGTGCTTTTCGATCAAATCACCCCTCGATCAGATCCCGAGCACGTCAATCGCAAAGGCCAGCTCTCCGAATTTTGGACCGAGTTGGTTGAGCAAGCCTCGTCAACAGCGGTTGGGCTGGCTGGATCAAGTGAAGAAAAGGCGGTAGCATGTCTAGCGGGACACCGCATCACTGAGGCGTGCAAGCATCTCTTGGACGGCAAAAACTACCGCCTCGGTACTTTGGTGCCTCTCCTTGGTACTAGTGACTCAGCCAAGAAGGATATGAAGGATCAATTGAAGCAGTGGCAAGATTCCAAGATGCTGTCTGAATTCTCCGAAGCCATCCGCACCATCTGCGAGCTGCTCAGCGGCAACGTCTGTGCTTGCGAAGGGATGAAGAATGTTCCCATTGAAGATAGATTGGAGTCATTTGTCATCTCCAAGAAGTTTGGGCTTGATTGGCGCCAATCATTTGGTCTCCGCCTTTGGTATGCTCTTAACCAGGATGATGACGCACGAGAGGCTGTTCTCAAGTTCAAGGACGACATTACGCAAGATCGCGAGGATATCCCTTGCCCTTGGTATGTCGAACAGAATATTCAGCCGCTATGGAAGGATGCCGAGCTCGACAGCCGCGAGGACCTGCTTTGGGGTCTGCTTCAGCTTTATGCTGATCGCAACACAAACTTGGACGCCATCCTGCAACCTGAGAATTCGCAGCTTTCTCCCATGGACATTCGCGTGTGCTGGCAACTAGGCCAGGCGCTCTTGGCAACAGGAAAGGCAACGTACGGCGACGACAGTGATGCGAAGGCTGACGCCGTGACCATTGCCTATGCTGCGCAGTTGACCACTGCGGGCGAGTGGTTGGAGGCCGTTTTCGTTCTCCTTCACCTTCGCGATGCCACAGCCCGCAAGCAAGCTATCCAGGAACACTTGTGCCGCCACGCCGGCCTTATTGGCCCTGAGTCAGACTCCAGCTTCAGTATCTTGACTGAGAAGTTCTTGATTCCAGCCGAATGGGTTTGGGAAGCGCTTGCCCTCTATATGCGCAGTGTTAAGAAGGATGCTTCCTCCGAGGTCCAGTGCTTGTTGAAGGCTGGATCATTCTCCGAAGCCCATCGTGTGCTCGTCAACCAAGTTGCACCAGAAGCTATTGTGGAGCGCAACTATTCTTCGCTCTCGTCGCTCCTTGAGCAGTTTGAAGGAAGAGAAGACTCCATCGCAGAGTGGTCGCTTGGCGGTGAAATCTATGGCCACTTCTTGGGCCTGATCCAGCACCGCTCCAAGGACGAAAGCGTGCCATCAGCTCTCTTGGAACGCCTCCTTTCCGGTCTCAACGCCATGAACGAACAGGGCTCAGACACTGAGATTGTCCGGTATGCTGCCATTTCCGACATGGCTGACGAGACTGCGCGCGAGATTCTCAAGGTTGCGCAAAAGAAGCAAGACTCGGAACTGCGTACGCGAGTGCTGCACCTGCCGCTGACGCAGGACCGTCTGCTTGCCTACTCGGTAGATATCGGATTGGACCGCTTTAGGGAAGTCATGTCGCATTAAGCGCGGTGTGGACTTGAGATTGCATTAATAGTTGACGTTGAATTTGATTTTTGAGAAGGTACGGCCTTGGGCCGGAAGGGCATTATAAAAACTGCGTTTGGAAGCTATTGTAGGACACGGGACGATCTTTTTGTACAATTGCATTATATTAGATAGCTGAGAGGATGACAATAGTAGTACCTACGCCATTGCACTCACCAACTTTGCTGTCTCTCTAAATACGTGACGTGGGCTATTGGATGAGTCCCATCTGGATACCTACCGAATATAGTCGAAGCCTATTATTTTAATTAGTAATAGTTATAATTAACGTATACGATAATACTTACTGTAATGCACTTTTAGATACCATGTGTAAACAGGGCCGGAATTACAGGTAAGCTGCCGAACAGGCCAAAAGCCACTCGACAGGGATGTTCGCGCGGCTTTCCCAATTGGGAAGGGCACGCGAACATCCTGGACATTGCATTGTGTAAGTCGAGATTTGCATGAAACGACACAAACGACATCGAATATAAATAGGCCGTAAATTCTCTTCATTTTATAATCATCCATTCTATATCCATCATCACATTTATTCACACACATTCTACAACCATCACTCTACTCCCAAAACTCCTCTATCACATCACCGCCATGGATCACCCAACACCCAATGCCCTCCCCAACCCTCTTCTCGTGAGAACAACTCATGATAAAGATGGGAAGTCTGTATTCGTCCCCGATCAGACCTTGACCCCCTTCCGTCCTTTTGGTCCTCAGGCCAGCGGGTTCACCATCTTCGATGCCCGCGCTTCTGTACCAGTCAACAACATGGATGTAATCCCTTCTTTTGCTGAGCAACTTCCCCGCTGCCCTCCCAACGGCGCCATGTTCGCTATTAGCGACATCGCGCCAGGTACCAACGCCCCTTGCCATCGTACTGAGAGTATAGACTATGCATGTGTACTATCTGGCGAGATCGTTCTCAGACTTGACAGTGGCGAGGAGAGGACACTACGAGCGGGAGAATTTCTTGTGCAGCAAGGTACAAACCATTCATGGATCAACAACACGGAAAAGCCTTGCCGTATGGTTTTCGTCATGATGAGCGCAGAAAAGATTGTTATCATCGATGGAACCGTGTTGGAAGAGACGGTCTTCAAAGGTGTCCCCAAATAAGATCTCCCTTAATGTACTCGATAGTTAGATTATAGACAATGAACCCAGGTTTTCTTTCATTCCTGTGCACTCTCTTATCCTCTCAAATACTGCGTTTGAAGCGTCTTTTTGTGCTGACGTCGCGGCGCTGTTTGCACCCTTTATAATCTTAATAGGCCAGAGCAGAAAATAGCCACCAATTGCCTCAGATACCGACTTCACCATGGACATACGACCAGACGAATCCACGTCTCCAAATGACTGTGGAACTGTAGACAGAACCTGTTCTGATAGAGTCTGAATAATCGCAACTGAAGCAACACGCTGCCGCTTAAGCTCCAATATCGCCGTACCTTCTGCAATAGAGGCTGTCGCCTGATCGATACAGTGTATAAGCTGGTGGTGTAGAGTAATGCGGGCTGCTCGGTGGTAGTTCCATTCATACGCCATCCACAGATCTTGATGTATCTCCAACCTTTGTGGGAGCAGTGCAGCGAGCCCTGTATCTCCGAGGACGCTTTGTCGATCTATAGTCTGGAAAGACCATTCAGATTCTTCTCTCCAAGTAGTAGCCTCGTGATCCAGAGCGTTCATCCTTTGAATAAGCGGTACCAGTGACTGCACTTGAAGACTCATATCTCGAATTTGCTCAAGCAAGTCATTTGCTTCGCGGCATATATTGGAGATTTTGAGCGCGTTCTTTTCAGCGAGGCTGAACGAATCCGTGCCTGTATATGTTTCCAACCAAGTCGTTGATTCTTGGATTGGGCGCATGCCTTTTGCAAGCTGTTGCTTTTGCTGTTCATGAAGTTAGCAACAATGCATACGAGTAGAAATCTGTATCCTTCATACTATACGATGATGGGCCAGTCGAAACAAACTCCATCCTCTTGGGTCGTGAAACTGTTCATGGCCTCTCAGTCGCAGGATGTTAGCCATCCCTTGTACATGGGACCCTTGGGAAGGCATATCTAGCATAAACAGTGTCTACAAATAGAGGGTTAGTCTTTCCTAGAAGTCTATCTTTTCCAATTCATGTATTCTTACTTCAAATAGATCGAGTATAACAACAGTCATCAAATCGTGGTCGTCTGGTATTTTGCCCTTGATGCTTAACGACTTGCCCAACTCGGACAGGGCTCGACTGTATAGTTCCAGGGCCACTTTAGCTGCCACCTGAGATGTATCTCTGCTGTATATGTCAGCGTAGGCACATGCCTGGACAGCCCATCTGAGAGCTGATCTTCCTTGCACATTTGATTCTTTAAAGAGACATGGGAGGTGCTCGAGAAAGCCTGGGCTCGAAAGCTCGTTGCATGGAACAACGTATTTGTCAAAAAATAGCGAAACAGCGTCATCGGTATCTGCTGAATCTGTATTTTCATTCACAAAATCTCTGTTCCAGGAAAATGTCGAGTCGTTGGTCTCTGGTGACGTGGCTGGTGTGCTGACTGCATCTAGGCGAGAAAGAGACTGACTCCGAGATCGTGATGCGGTAGTTACAGAAACTTGTTCTGGCGAGGCTGCACTCTGTAGCAGTGCCTCTTGAGTCAATACAGAATTTCTTGCTAGAACTTTGGTGGTCTCATGTTGGAATATCAGGTCGGATTCATCCCGATATCCGACACACAGCTCGTTGCGGGTGATGCAGCGCATACAAGCCGGTTTGCCCTGGTCACACTGTCCAAGTCATTATTAGTAGTGTATTTTATTGAGCAGCTACCATTAATGCTTTGCATTACCTTTACACGACGCTGTCGACATCGCAAACAGCCGCGGCTGCGACGAGACATGCTGACGATTGATGATGTTTTGTGTAAGCCCAGGCGAAGCAAAGCTGCCTTTCTTAGCTGACAGCTGTTGGCAGTGCACAGTTGGCAGTTGACAGACACTCAACCGACGATATAGCGAATTACCACCACACAGCATAGAAAAAACGTTTACAAAGAAAAGGATTATTATATAAATAAATGAAAATTAAACTACAAATTATATCTTTCATTTGCATGCATTGCAGTATCGTCGATTCGTAAGTCGTAAAATCAACCCTCACACCGTCGTTCCATCAACAGTCTCATCTGCCTCTTCTTCTCCCGCCTGCTCTCGCCGTCTCTCTTCCCAGAATCCCTTTCCATAGCTAATCAGAATCTCTTCTCCTTTTCTTATTCCCGAATTCTTCTCTGCAGCTCCTTTCCCTTTCTGCTGTCGCCCGCTTATCGCCCACACCCCAACGCACAGTTCTCCCCAGCGCTGACACCACACAGGCCGGAACTCAGCGTTGGCCTTGGTACCGATACCTCTGTAATCATTGACAAATCGGGCTTCGTTTCCTTCTCTCGCCGCATCCACTGCAACGTCGGCGTCGCGGTCCAACCATAGATCATAGTCGCTTTTCGCCGATGCACTCGTAGGATCCGATGCTGCCAGGCTTCCAGAGTGCACCTTGCCTAGATACGCCATGATAAAGCTTCCAGGCTTGATATTCTGCGACGCAAACAGCCCATATTGACCGTTTGCTGGATGTGAAGCGTCTTTTATAGGCTGTATCTTGACTTTATCACACGGTGTAGACGTTGACGCTGCGTCAATGATGGGTATCGTTGAGCCGGCATCAGGACGGGCTCGCAACGCCTGTTTTTGCGCACTGGTGATTTCTTTCGCATGCAGTGGTGCCCGTAAGTACGGTAGTGTGTCTGGCCAATTTTTAGGCTTTGACATTTCCGATGTTGCGAATGTCTGAGCAGCTTGTAGTTCGTGAAAACAGCAGACCGGCTCAAAGAAAAACAGCCATGCTTGATGAACCTCATTGTGGGCCACGCATCATACAAAGTAGTCCATACATCAACCAACACATTCCAAATATATATTTAAACAAACTTTATATGTAATAGTCATCTAAAAACTCGATAAATGTAAAGAATTTACACCACATATGATATTCTAAAAAGATTGATAGAAAATATAATTTTATAATATTTATTAAAGAATATTTGAAAGGTTGATGATAAACGAGTTTACCAGTAACTTTTGCTTACCTACTGTATCCCTCCTAGGACAATATCAACAGACCCTATACGTATAGCATATACAACAGTCAGTCGCATAGAAATTGCAAAGTAACCAAATTTGGCTGTGTTAAAACGTGAAATTCCATCTCTGCGCGCTAATGTACCTAAATGCCCCGTACCCTATGATTACAGTCTTCCACCGAGACGCCTCTGAACCCAAAAGAAAACAAAAACCACTAAAAGAGACCCAAGAACCTAAGCGCCAATCGAAACTCCGCAGAAATTCTGCACAGGATATAGTCCCTCTTCTCCTATTCCTCCTCTCCAGACGCATCAACGTCATCGTCCTCTTCCTCTTCTTCTTCCTCTTCTTCCTCTTCTTCCTCATCATTATCCTCTTCTTCTCCGTCCTCGTCCTCATCGCCTTCCTCATCATCATCCTCGTCTTCTTCCCCTGACCCACTCTCCCTGTCTTCATCGTCCTCTTCTTCTTCATCCTCTTCCTCTTCGTCCTCCTCCTCATCCTCCTCCTCATCATCTTCTTCCTCTTCTTCCTCTTCTTCCTCTTCCTCCTCTTCCGATTCATCGTCGATAGCACCAGGCGGTACAGGAATCGGTACCCCGGTCATTCTAGGCAAGCCATTGAGCTCAGGTGGAACAGCCACCTGTGCAGTCGCATCAGTAGAGTAACCTGGTGTTTGGCTAGCATCGTAAACCCCTTCCATTGGGTCTCCTGGTTGCCAAGTAGGTGGCATTCCAGGACCGCTGTCAGCATTTCCATAGTCTGCCTTTTTGGTTCCCTTGGGCCAACGACCTGGTCCTCTACCAGTGCCTCCGCTCCTGCGTCTTGAAGTACTGCTGCGCGGTCGACCAGGTCCTGAGCGACGTCTCTTGGGCGTATTACCTGATCGAGACCCAGGCGGACGCCCAACAGGACGACCGCGATCACGTCTACTCCCGCTCACCGCAGGAAAGACCTCAAATCTGGAAGGAGGGATGTCCTTGTACGGCGCATCCCAGTTGTCGCCGTCAGCATCGACCATTGTATCATCCTTTGGAGGATCATCCTCCTTCTCATCTCCTTCATGGTTCTGGTTGGGCAACGCGTGACCAACGATTACCTCAGGCAGATCGCCATTGACCAACGAATCTGGTAGGACCCCGCCAGCCTCATCCACGGTGCTAATACCATTCGGGCCTTCGTCCACTTTCGCCTCGTCATCCTCACGAGAGGCAATAGCGTTGATGGGCCCAAGTTCAAAATTGACTGCATTGCTTTTGCCCATGACGTACGGCGTCCACACAAGGGCCGCCGGGTCCAGTTGAACGTAGCCTTTGGACTCCCATTTATCCCAGTACTGCCGGCAATACTCAAGATCAATGCGGAAGGCATACAGCTTAGTTTCTGGGTCGCGCACAAGAGCCCGCAGGCCTTCAAGAGCAGCGACAACATCATCTGCAGTTATACCAGTGTCGTCGGAGATCTTCTTGATGCTCAGTCCGTTTTCTCTATGTGCACCAGACTCCAGTGTATCGAGGAAGTACCGGCACATGCGGAGGCGCCAGTAATTTCGGTATGACACCAGGCCCATGTCGGAAAGTGGCTTCTCTGGCGAGCCCGTCTTTTCCTCTACACGGGTCAACAGATAAGAAAAGTCAATCAAGAGGTTTCCGTATCCTTTTCTCTGATGAATGGGCAAAGTGAGAATACAGGAAACATTGTTCTGACTGCTCGCTCGCTTCTCTTTTGAGAAATATCCCACGAAATGATAGCCATAGTCGTCGAACTCGCACAACACATAGAATAAGAAAGGCTCAACATCGTAATAGAGCGTTTTGGATCCCAAAAATAGTTTAGCCAGTAAGCAGAGGTTCTGGCAATATACTGGGTTCTTTCGACCATCGACCTCAAAGACAGAAATGGACCCGTTTCGGTAGATTTCATCTCCAGGAGGATGCTTAGTGCCGCATTTCAGCTTGTGTCTCCACGCAACATAGTCTGAGTTCATATACTTCAAACAGAATTCACAGATGTAGAGCACTCTGTTTATACTGTACTCAGCAGGATATGGTGCGGCATACCATGTGTCGATTTCCCATCCGCCAAATTCAATACATCGAATTTTGCTGGCATCGTCACCCGTTTTCCTGCTTTTTCGAACCGGTGCTTCCATGTTGGCTTCATTTTCCAGCTCTCTTATCTTCCATTCATCAATGACAATCTGTTTAGCATTGTCAAACTTGCGGCGGTCATCAGCCGTTGGCATGGTCTTGGACGTGTCAGCCTCAGCTTCGTTAAGAATGCCACCGTAGGGTTTGCCCTTAGCCTCGTCTGTATCCTTGTCGAAGAACGAGTAGAAGGGCTGTGAATATGATACAGCTCCAAATGGGGTAGGCAGAGCAGAAAATGGTACATCCAAAGCTGGTGTGGACGATGTGGTATTCTTCGGTGGTCGCCCCGGGCCAGCCGCAGCGCGTTTTCTGTCCCTATCACGTCTATCTCGCTTCTTCCTCGATAAAATCTCTTTCAGGTTGCCAGGTCGGACTTGGATTTTTACTACCAAGGAATCATCTGTCTTGGTCTCGATGGATACTGGAGGCGGTGGTCGTGTTGACTTCAACCGCATAGTTCGTGAGGTCTTATCGTTGGTCTGCTGATCGTCACCGGTATCTGCGGCTGACTCGAAGTCTAACAATGGATTTCGTCGTCGTTTTCGGATTGCTAGGGCATCGTCGTCGATCTCCATTGACGAGGACTTGCGCTTGCGGGGTCTTCCGCGCTTCCTCTTAATCACAACAGGCTCTGGCGCAATATCCTCCTCTTCTTCTTTAGCTTCATCCCAGTCTCCGGCGGATGCCACACTCTCGTTCCCTGCGCCATTCTCGGCACTGGAATCATCCTCTTCATCACTGTCCTCTGCCTCAGAGCGGCCAACTGGAGCTGCTGTTGGCGCGTTGGGCATGATCTCGTCTTCGCCCGAGGCATCCTCATCGAGTCCTACATCCTCCCCTGAGGCATCTTGGTCTGTTCCTTCGTCTCGCATTCTACTGTCGTTTGCGATCCCTGTGGATCTCTTAGGTCGCGCCGCGTCGTCACTCTGGTAGTCGCTTTCCCCCGAGACAACGACGCTCAGCTGGAGCTCTTCTTCCATTGACAAAGCGCTAGGCATTTTAGCCACTGGATTTCAATATGGTGGTGTGATTTCTATTTCGATTCTGTTGCATCTCGCTGTGTTGTGCAGATAGTCGCAAGAACGAGCCGTCGGATCGAGGAAGGCGAGCCTGTCCTGACAAAGTAAACAGTCTAGCTGCGGTAGCCTAACCAGGTTAATATCAAGTCGTACAAGAAACAGCGTGGGCGTGCATCTTACAGCCAATAACAAGCTTGCCCAGGAACAGGCCGACAGCAATGGTTGCTTTACAGAGACAAAAGGTTGTGTTGTCGCGTCCACTGAGCAAGTAGTCGCGGATCCTGGTACAGTGCGCGATCCCCAGAATGTCTCCAACAAGTGTGCGGGTCACCTCCAAAAATCGCACAGTGCCACTAACAAAACGCGCTAACTGTGCTGTCGCGCGAGTGCTCCAGGAGCTGTGTTTAGGCCTCAGGCACAAATTTTGTCTTTGCTAATCTGCTCGTTGGTCATGCTACGATCTGGTCAACGGACGACCTATCATCGCGACTTTGCAACCAGCGGCCCGTATCACGCCCGCACCCCTAAATCAACTAGTCAATTCCCTTTTTATAGTGTCGATTGAGTCCGTCCCGACGGCAACAGACGAAATATGCCTGTTCCTTTCGAGACTCTCCTGCCCTACGCCATCATGATCGGCGTACGTTGAATCCTCAGAGTGGTTAAAAAGCACGGCCAGGAACGATTGCTGACGGTTTAACAGATGTTTGGTGCAACTGGTGCTGGAATGACTGCTTTCAAGAAGTGGCAGAACGAGGGCCTCATGCCCCGTTACTCCCTGGATCAGTGGGATAGAGTATGTTTTTTGGCCAGCTCTCCGATGCATTGCTACAGTTTGCTAACATTTCAACAGCAAAGTATGATTACCTGCGACTCTCGACTCGATCGAAATACCCGTATACTAACATACCATCTCTTTTGTAGTGATGGAGCGTGATCGCCGATTGACGGGAACTTTCAGAGGTCAAACGGACAACCCTGTAGCACCACCTGGTTTCGAATTCAGCAATGGATGGAAGGTAAGAAAAGTCAATACTCATTTTGGTGGGAATTATGCTAACTTTGGCGCAGTTGGAAAAGAGATACACCTAAATATTTTGTTTTTCACTGGCGACACCGCATTATACGAGTCCTGCAACGCAGCACTCCATGTACATATACAAATTTAAAAGATTATTATTTTTTGACAACACGGCCAATTCGACGAATTTATTGTCGTATCTACAACGTGTCACAAAAGCATTGAGGAAGAGAGGGCATGTTTGTAAATCGTTGGCTACCTTTTGATTGTTGGTTGTTCATCATGTGTATCGTCTAAATCTCTATCTCAGGTCGGTTCTTGTTAAGCCTCTCGACCAGCGTGCATGCCTGACAAATGTCCTGACTTGACATGTATCCACAACGTATACATTTACCAAGTTTCTGTAATGGTGTTGGAGCTGCAGCGGCTTGCTCCTTTTGCCTCCTAGGACGTACAGGAAGCTTGACAGCTCCGTCGCTCGAACTCTGTCCGTTTGTCTTAATTTCAGTCTCCAAGGCCGCATGGTCATTAGTTTTCGACAGCTTAGCCTCAAGCTGCTCCATCTCGTTGGCTGTGCCGTTCGTGGTAGCACTTCCACAGCCGCCACTTCCTTCATCATCGCAAGCACATGCGTTCTCATTCTTATCGGGGGTTAAGCGAGCCATATCTTCACCACTCCGAACAATATCCAAGATGGCACTTGGTCGGACCTTTTCCAGATTCTTGATTAACGTGCGTGCTGTACCTCGGAATGCTTCGGGGCTGTATATGCATTCGGTACTGAAATAGTCGAGCTTCTTGTGATAGGCGTAGAGTACGATTTCCTTCTCGTACGCGTATTTGAGAGGCTTGCTTCGCTTAACATCGCTGGATGATCCTCCAGTAACAATATTCGTACTCCTTGATAATCTCGGCAAGTCTCCTCTCAGAAGATTCATGAGTACTGTTTCAGCGATATCGTCTGCGTTGTGACCGGTAACCACGTGCTTAATCTCAAGCATCTTTGCTCCTCGGTCCAGCGCTTGTCGTCTAAATACACCACAATAGGTGCAGTTTCCTTTCTTTCCTATCGTTTCAACAACCTGGTCCATGGTCCAACCGTAAAGCGTGTCATATCCAACAATCTTCAACGGCATTTCGTACTGTACCGCGTTCCTCTTAACAGTTTCCAACGAGTCATCTCTATATCCTTTGATTCCCTCGTCGACACTTAGCAGTACCAGATCTAACCCATAGTTGTGGCGTTCATTCAACGTTTTCATGACTGACGCAAGAACGGTAGAATCCTTGCCTCCAGACGCGCCGATGGCCACTCTTTCGCCTGGGAAGAATAATTTGGAAGAGATAATTGTGTGATGGACCTCATCTTCGAATACTGCCAGAAAACACTCGCGACAAAGTTTGTGATAATTCTTTGGTCTCTTGACAACTGCTCTCTGAGCATTGCATCTCATGCAGAGAGCAGGGGGCATATTGTCGTATGTAGAACCTCACCCAAGGCCGAAAAGTATTTGTGAAAATGGATAAATAAGAGTGATTATAAGTCTAAAATGACGGTAGACCTATGAAATTAAAAAATAACAAGGTCTTGATTCATTTATTTTGAAAAGGCGAACATATTCTGAGTATCAAAAAGTTCAGTACCGGGTAAGCCCGAAAAGAATGACGGTTCGGCACTAGCCACACCCAGCCCCACCACGAAATTATGCGCCACAGCTCTTTGCGAACAGAAGGCCCCACTTATTGTGGCTTTTTGCGCAAGCCCTAATTTTTCGCCCACCACAAATGTTCTTTCTCGTGGCCCCGTCCGTCTTTTCTCCGTCGACATCCAAGCAACTTTGCTCATCCAACCACAGAGCATCCGCCCAACGATCAAAATGGTGAGTGAATGAAAGAAACATTAAACTCTTACGGCCACAGTTCTCTGTGAGTCAACTGTGCATCAGCACAATTGAGCCTCTACGCAATCCCTCTCTCGACGGGAGAACCGTGTTGGCAATTCCGCCTCGAAACGATTTTCCATCCTCGACAGATGGAACCTCATATCGGGTGAAGACTTGGCTGGAGATGACGGGAGCGTTGCTGAAACATGCCGCTCCCGTATTCTCGTTAGAGTTTAAAGGAGATCAACTTGCTTCTGAGCATAGCGCTGATATCTTTTCTCAATGACAGCCCACCAAATCTACTGGCAAGAAGGTTGCCCCCGCCCCTTTCCCTCAGGGAAAGGCTGGCTCTAAGAAGGGTCCTAAGGTTCGTACCAAACTCCTTCTCGTCTTGCGAAATGCATCATCGTTGCTAACGTGCTCGTGAACCAGAACCCTCTCATCGAGCGCCGCCCCCGTAACTTCGGTATCGGCCAGGACATCCAGCCCAAGCGCAACATGTCCCGCATGGTCAAGTGGCCCGAGTACGTCCGCCTCCAGCGCCAGAAGAAGATCCTTCAGATGCGCCTGAAGGTCCCTCCCACGCTCGCCCAGTTCCAGACTGTTCTCGACAAGAACACCGCTGCCCAGGCTTTCAAGCTCCTCAACAAGTACCGCCCTGAGACCAAGGCCGAGAAGAAGGAGCGTCTCCTCCAGGAGGCTACCGCCGTCAAGGAGGGCAAGAAGAAGGAGGATGTCTCCAAGAAGCCCTACACCGTCAAGTACGGTCTCAACCACGTTGTCGGCCTCATCGAGAACAAGAAGGCTTCCCTCGTCCTCATCCCCAACGATGTCGACCCCATTGAGCTCGTTGTCTTCCTTCCCGCTCTCTGCAAGAAGATGGGTGTCCCCTACGCCATTGTCAAGGGCAAGGCCCGTCTCGGCACTGTCGTCCACAAGAAGACCGCCGCTGTCCTTGCCTTCACCGAGGTCCGCTCCGAGGACAAGACTGAGCTCTCCAAGCTCGTCTCTGCCATCAAGGACGGCTTCGTTGAGAAGCACGAGCAGTCCCGCCGCCAGTGGGGTGGTGGTATCATGGGCCCCAAGGCCCAGATGCGCATTGCCAAGAAGCAGAAGGCTTTCGAGGCTGCCACCAAGATCTAAGCAGCTCTTTAATACCCGTGATGGGCGTTGCGACTTTGATGCAAAACAAAATTTAGGGAATAACGGTGTTGCTAGGTTTTATGTCATGACCATTAAAAAATGAATAAAAATCGGAAACCAATTTTCTCTCATCAACTGATTGTGATATATATTTGCCATGTAAATGTTTGCTTCTACTTTTCTCAGTGAACTTCTTTTTGGTGTACCATGAAGCACCAGCAGCAAAATTTTGTGGCCCCACTTTTTGGTAGCGAGTCGTGCTGGGTTGGGCTGGGCTGGCTAACACCATGATGACCTCCGGCATGTGCTAACTGCCATGTTCGCTTGCGATTTTTCTCACTTGAAATTTTACAAGGACACAGATATTAAACGTAAAACCAATGTTATTAGATTTTAATATATAAAGAAAATTTGTAAAAAAAATATCAACGCCGTTTCCCAGATGTCGTGAAGGTGCACGCAAAGGGTGCCCAAGTATAGAACACTATAACAAATCGACCCGAAGGGTTTCGATTGTAGACCGAGTCTGACAAAGGAAAAGCGGTTGCTCGGTCATGTCTTTTGTAGCGCTAAAATTGCAAAAGTGCATGTAGACGATGATGCTTAGACAGCAGGACCAGCCTTGATGACATCCTCAGTGGCCTCGCTTTCGTACTTGGCGAAGTTCTCACGGAAGAGCTTGCCAAGCTTGACGACCTCGGCGTTGAAGCTCTCAGCACCGGCAGTCCAGGCGGTCTTGGGGTTGAGCATCTCGTCGGGGACGTTGGGGCAGGTCTTGGGGACCTGGAGGTTGAAGATGTCGTAGTTCTCGTACTCGACCTTGGCGAGCTCACCAGAGTGGATGGCGTCGAGGATAGCACGAGTGTACTTGAGGGGGCAGCGCTTGCCACCCTGGGCGAAACCGGCACCAACCCAGCCGGTGTTGAGGAGCCAGGCGTTGGCCTTGTGGTGCTCGATCTTGTCGGCAAGCATCTTGGCGTAGCGCATGGGGTGGAGGGCAAGGAAAGGCTGAGCGAAGCAGGCAGAGAAGGTAGCCTGGGGCTCGGTGACACCATCCTCGGTACCAGCCATCTTAGAGGTGTAACCGGAGATGAAGTGGAACATGGTCTGAGCGCTGTCAAGCTTGGAGATGGGGGGGAGGACACCGCGGGCATCGCAGGTCAGGAGAATAATGTTGGTGGGCATGTTCTCAGACAGGCAAGGAATCTTGGCGTTGGAGATGTACTCGATGGGGTAAGCGCAGCGAGTGTTCTCAGTGAGGGTGGAGTCATCGTAGTCGACGATACGGGTCTCGGGGTCGAAAACGACGTTCTCGAGGATAGAACCGTAGCGGATGGCGCCGTAAATATCGGGCTCCTTCTCAGCAGAGAGACCAATGGTCTTCGCGTAGCAGCCACCCTCGATGTTGAAGACACCGCGGTCAGACCAGCAGTGCTCGTCGTCACCAATGAGGGCACGGTTGGGGTCGGCAGAGAGGGTGGTCTTGCCAGTACCAGAAAGACCGAAGAAGAGGGTGACATCACCGTTCTTGCCCTCGTTGGCGGAGGAGTGGAGGGTGAGGACGTTGTGCTTGATGGGCATTTCATAGAAGAGGACGGTGAAGATACCTTTTTTCATTTCGCCTTGTCTCATGTTAGTATCGTTGTCCCATATTAAGTGGCCTTGTGGAGATGAGAGGCGGTGTTATGGGCTGTGGGATCCTTGGGGTACTCTTTCCCTGCTTCTTCGACCTTCCTCTTATGACGGGCTGTTTCATAGTGCTTCCTGAGCTGGTAAGCATCCTGTAAGCTCCGCTTGCAAGTATCGCAATAGAAGCGCTTTTCCGCTATGGCCTGTTGGCGGATCTGCTGTGTTTTAGGCCTGTGCTTGGGTTTTCACAAGTCTGAAGCTGAGGAAGGAGCGTCCATCCAGGACGAGGATTCATGAGGAAGGAGGGAAGGAGCGATTCTGAGGAAAAACACATAAGGAAGGAAGGACTTAGGCAAACGTACCAGCGTATTCAGTACCGAGGATAACCATCTCCTTGGCAGCAAAGTTGAGGGAGACGGAGGTGACGGAGGTCATACCGGCAGTGTAACGGTTGGCGGGGAAAGTACCAGCGTTGTAGATGGTGTAGTCGGGGTGGAAGTTCTCAAGCTCCTCACGAGGAGGGCGGATAAGCATGTTGCGCATGAAGAGAGCGTGGTAGGCGCGAGCGCAGATGACACGGACGCGGATACGGTACTTCTCATCCCAGCCGGCGTAACCGTCCACGACATAGATACGGTTACGGGTGTTGAGGTAATCGACGGCACGTTCGCGGTTGATCTTCCAGACCTGTTGAAATAATTTGTTAGCGGCATTTTTCTTGTTGAAACGAGTGTCGTCGAGTGTGAGTGTGAGTGTGGGTGAGAGTGCACATGAGCGAGCTCCGGGATCGTCGTATGACGTCCTGCCCAATCGGGTAGCTAGCTTTTGGATGCAAATAGCCATGTGTGCTATTGGCCCACAACTCAAAGTGTGCGTGCTGCACCCAAAAAATGGGCAAAGTGGGATCGCGATCGGGTCGAATCGGAGCACCACGCAGCGGGAGTCGCAGGAACCACAGCTGCACTCTTGGTTGCTACAGGGCCCGGCTAAGCTCGGTCCAGGGAGGCGTTACAGAGGAAAAAAATAGCGACACAATGCAGCCATTGCCAACTTTGCGGGGGAGCATCTCTACTAGCCGGCCAAGTTTGCGCACTAGCTGCATTCTGTCCTTGTTTTCTCACCATGCGACTGGCCACCCGAGGTGCATGGATTTTTTTCTTCAGCCGCCAAGTTTGCAGTGCTGTGGTTGCGTAGTGCAGCAGCAAAAGTCTCGGCTCACATTGCCGTGGGCATGCATAGGCGGGGGAGGGGGAGGACAGAGTGAGACGAAGGGTGACCTACCTCAGGGCTCATGGGCTTGTTGACGGGACCCCACCTGCAGGAATTGCGTTAGCCGAGTGATTCGCATTGCGGCTCTGCATGTGCGAGCTTGACTTACCAGATGTCGTTCTCAGACGAAGGCTCCTGGACAATACGCTTGTCACCGGGAGAGCGACCAGTCTTGGCGCCAGAGTAGGCAGTGAGAGCACCGCTGGAGGTGATGGCAGTGCCGGTCTCGTAGACGAGAGCATCTTCGTAGAGAGCAGCAACGGAGGGGTTAGGGATCTGGGAGGAGAACGTGTTAGCGGATGAGAGAGTACGATTGACAGTAAATAGGACCGTCTTACAATAGCGACACGGTCGTAGTCGATGTGAGCAGTCTCGTGAAGTTCCTCCTCGAGCTGAGTGTGTTCGGTGTGAGGCTGGACACCACCGGGGTGCAGCGAGGTCTTGTTGACGCTGTTGGAAATCACTGTGAGGCAGCCGGGGTTAGCAATGAGCGACACGGGAAGCCCAGACGGGCGGAAAGCGGCGGGAGGAGCAGGACGGAGACCCGAGGGCCAAGGTGAAGAGGATGATGAGCAAGTGAGGGGGAAGAAGGACAACGTACTTTTGGGCAAAACACCACGGGTAGACTGTTGCAAAGACTTGGGACCTTTGTGGTTGGGATCAGGATAGGGAGAGGCGGTTCTGAAGACGGGGTCCTTCATGGTTATATATAAAATATATCGGAAGAGTCTGGTACGAGAATGGCTTGATCGTCAGCTGCCTGGAATTTTTCTTTGTAGGTGACAGAGGGCCAGTCAATTCTGGGCCGGGGGTGGGGAGAGGATGGAGAAGGAGGCGGCGGGGAGGCCAAGTGGGGAGCAGCGGAAAGGGTGTGCGTATAGCGGGAGGGGATGGATGGGAAAGAAAATACGTGGTATTTATTTTTTTCGGGCAGGGAATATATGCGCAGTGAAAAAAAAAAGAATTGAATCGGGCCAGTTGCAACCGGTAGGGATGCAATGGCGCAGCGACAGGGCAGGAAAAAAACTAAGACAGGGCCGGAAGAGGGACGTGTAGTGGACGGGAACGGTGCCTGTGAGAGGGCCCGGCTGTCGTGTGTGTACGCTTTTGTAAGAGAACGACAGCCAGTTGTGACTGTAGCAAATCTGTTCAAGTCTCCTTCTTCTCCTTGGAGCCCATTCTTTCCATTCAAGCTTAAAAAAGCCAGAAATAAAAAAGAAAAGGTACCAAGTCTAGCCCATACGAAAAACCAAGTCTCGTGGCCAGCAGAAAAAATGTACCTTGACAGTGGCCAAAGCAGCACGACTCGGCGGTTGCAGGCAAAAAGCGGCTTAGCGCTGAAGAGGGACGCAGGCGGGGGAAAAAAGCCATAGGGGCGTGTGCGCTAGAGTCCAGGCTGGGCTGGGGCAGGGGGTAGTGCTCTTCACGAGGATATATCGGAACAAAACGTAAAGAACGTAAAAAAAATGGGAGTACCTACTGGTTGTTGCGTGACAGGTGCTATGGCCTTGACCAAACTGCTATTTGTTTGAAAAAAAAATCGAAATGTAAAATAACACAACGAGACAGGGGCGTATGCAGGAAGAGGATGCCGACGGGATCGGTATAAGCGACAGACTGTCACTGGAGAAGAGCCGGCGACAGGAGCTGAGTGAGAGCTGATATAAACGGTAGCGGTGCGATCAGATGAGGACGCCCCAAAGAAAAAAAGGTGGATTGAAAGGTGTTTAGGACGGAGCTGGTTGCCGTTACGTATTGCAAGTAGACGCGCGAGGCAGATCTTTCACTGTGGAGGAGCGAGCTGGATGCAAGATGGTGAAGCAAAGAGAAGCATTCGCAAGACGAGAAAGCGACGAATACAGCTTGTATAAATACTTTTTTTCCTCGGTTGATTGATGCTACGCTTACTCTTCTCACGATGACAACCCTTTTTCTTTTCGTCGCCCAACAAAAATCCGTAGCAAATGATGCTCATCCTCTGCTCATCGTGGTGTGCCAGCCAGCGCCGGCGCCCATTCCGACAGGCCTGGGCCCTCGCCCTCCGTTCCGGCTTGAATTCGTGCCGCAAGCCCGCTGGCCCGGGGTACCGTGTGCGACAAATTGGCGGCCGTCGCTGTGATCGCCTAGACACGACATGGTTATTCTGGTCCAGAACTTTGTGTATACTTTTGTTTCTATTTTATATTACTATTCTTTCTCATATCCTTGCCATGCGGATGAAACCGACAGTGACATTTCCCGAAGAAAAAAAAAATACACATCCGCGAGGAGAAACCCGGAAGCGTTGCCCGTACCTGAGACACGATCGCTTCAGTGGTTTTTGATTTTGCCGTTTACAGAAGCCGCGGGGAGGCGCTGGCGGGCCCTTTTTCCCCAGTGGAACCAACCAAGCGCCTCCAGCAGTGTTGCTCTATGTACAGCAACATACTGTAGGTTGAAATGCATATTTCGTATAAAATTTTGTAGATGATATATATCTAAGAAATAAATACATCATTATTATCCTATATGTTTAATACTGTAGACTAGAATTATATAAGAAAGTCATCGTATGATTAGCCTTTTGCTGCAGGCTGCTTTGTCTATGTACCCGTCGACATTGAACCATCGTTAATGGTGATGTAATCGATACAAAAAGCTGGAGACAAACCGTTTATATTCTGGGTTAAATAGTATTAACCAACAAATTCCCCTTTACTTCTTATTTGCTAGCCGATCTGTAGAAGTCGCCATCAATGGATCAAAGCTCAAAAAGTACGTATTATATCATTTGCCACTTCCATGAATACACTGGTACGCGGATGCCAACTCTTAAGCCGACGAGATGGGTGGTTGGATTTTTCATATAGGCGAACTACCGCAACCCTCACGATAGCTGCTAGCCTCAAGTGATGACGCCAAGCATGCTTGCTGCATGACGCCTAACCCAAGACGCCAATATCCCACCACCGTCGGCCGCTGGCAGCTCTAAGTGGGCGACTGCAGCATGCAATGTGATGAAAATGGCAAAGCTGGGCTCCCGGCTAAGTATATACTTGCTCAGAAGCCATGATGTTGCCGTTTTGGGGAGGGTACCCTTTAAAAACAACGAACGACACCCTACAACAACGCGGCTGTGGGAGCCCAGTATGCCTGGTGATTCATCACTGCATCATTCAGCACAGCAGCCACGGAAGATCTAGTCACTTGCTACGGCAAAATGTATGTTTACTACTCAGCTTTGAAGATATTGAAAGAATTCTGCCCCCACGTTCCAGCACAACAGGCTAGCAAGTGGCGCCGTTAACCTTGTTCAGTGGCTCTGGTAGTTGCGTCTCGGTCTGGTCTGGCGTCTACCATGTGGCCTGTTGATCCTGATTCCCACCAATACCAGTGTATCGTGGCAATGCAAGTGACTGCGCTTTGATATCAAAACACGTATCTACATGCAGACATATTAGACGGAGGAATGGGTGTATAGGGAACTTGCCGAGTGAGCCTGGTTGGTCCAGCTCAGGTTGCTACGGTTCACTTACACCGGAACAGAAGTACTAGTGCAGCTACCGTTTACTTCTCCCGTTCACCCAGCCCAGGACTAATCTCATAACAATTTATGCTGTAAAATGAAGCGTAAGCTTGAAACGCAAACTTTTCCATCCTGTTCCCGTCTATTTCTCATGATCCTGGCGTAGAATATTCCCTGTTGCCGGCCCTCGTGAGCACCTGAATTTGCAGCTATTCCCGGGCAGCCCATCCGAGCCTAGGCCCCCTGTAGTGGGCACTGCACTGTCGAGGCTCGCCTCCCTCCCGTTATGGTTGCCAGGCGAAAGGGGGGAGCCACCGTTTCATTAGCAGCCCGAAATTTTACCCCACGAAAATCTCTTTTTACAGAGCAGCTGACCTGCTATTAGCGGTAACCGGCCGCCGTGTAAAAGCCTTGTCTTGTCTTCTGGGCTGCCTCACGTATTTTACTCGTATATTTTTTTTTGCCTAGACTACGAATTCTTTTTCTTGGTTACATCTAGACACTGTGTACTACATACACTGAAACAATACGCACAAAAACAAGTAAAACACAAAAATACTACGTGCAACATCGTGTGGTATCCCAGCATGCCGCGTTTCCGTGCCTGGCCGGTACCTCAAATATTTTTGGCCCAGCGCTCCCCGCAAAGGAACCACCCCCCTGGAGTTGCGGGTGGCTTCTCCACTAAGCCCACTACAAAGTCCACTGTAGGGCAGCGACCAGGCCCTTGCTGAGCTTCCGAGTTTTCCCATGGCGCCCCAAGCTCAGCGTCACGGCCCCCAAGGCACACGCCCCCCTCGCAACTAAACTGCATGGGCTTCCCATTTCATGCTTCTCCAACGAGGCTATTATTAGCCATGCCTGTAGGCCTTTTTCTTCTCTGTCTTTGTTTTACACGCCCAGCAGCATGTGCCCTATGCGGCTCTAGCAAATCCACCTGCACCTGCAGCAGCATTGAATAGCGCTGCATGCTGCTCCTGTCTCCAATGAAAGGCACACCGCAAGAAAGCCCAGACTTACACAGCCTGTTGGCTAACATTATACCATCTCTCCTGTCTCTCTACGCAAAGAAACGCGCCAATTTCTTTTACAAGCATCTTTCTTAAGCAAGTTTATTTCCCCTTCTCTTTGATTTTTAAATGTCGCTTTTTCATAATTCATTAAAAAAGGAGACACTTCTCACGCCTACTCTCCAAAAAACCCATTTGCCTCCTCCAATTCCCCGCCGGCTCGTAGCGGGGCCTACTTCTGGGTGCCCAAGCCCACAATAAGACCACTTGCACCGCCCGCTTTGCACCCGACTTTCTCCGGCCACAGCGAACTCGTTTGCAAACAAGACACTTTGAAACATCGTGACGCTCGCTATACAGAAAACGTGCCCGATTATACGGATAGGAGTCGTATACCAGCTGTGGCAATGAATATACTGTGTAATTACAAGCCTTGCTCTCGCCACGTATACGAGAGACTTGCTATGGCTGCTTCAACAATCTCCTCCCACAACCCACCAGTACCGTTGTTAGATCGCAGTGTCAGTGAACCAATAAACCAACAGCAGCGTTTCCATGCATGGGATTAAGCCAGGATTAACACCAAAGGGAAAAGAATGACGACACGCCACGACTGCACGCAATGCCATGCAGTGTAGCATTCCCTTGGAACTGGCACCCGCATCCTGCACCCCCACGCCCATGCTTCTCTCGCCGTCAATTATAGCCAGGCCCGAACCGACAAATTGTCGCCTAACGCGATGGACTTAGGTGTCCAGCAGCACCGTTGGCGATCTTGGCCCTCCTCCGAGGCGTGGAGGGGCGGGAGGCAGAACCTGTGACGGAGCTTATCTTAACCACCGTATCTATCTATCGCCTTGTAAGTCTTCCGTCCAAGTCCTATCTCGATAATATAACGCGATGCTTTTCTTAACCGCCGGGCTGTACAGCTTTTCCCGTTGCCACAGCCGTGCAAGCAGTCCTTCCGACTTGTCTTCTGGCTCATCGGATGCCGCGGTTTCTGCCTCAATCCAACAGTGCCAATTACCCTTGCTACCCGTCCACATGCAAATGGAATCCAACATGCGACAGTAAAGACGAAGAAAAAACGCCTGGTAGCTCGGCACAAGCAGCCGCCTGACGTCTCACTGCTCCCGAACATGCATAGCAGGCGTCATGGCACGCCCCTCCAAAGCAATTGTTTCATTTTGCAGAAGACAGCAAAAACAGGCACTACACAATGAACCTAGTTACCGACGTTCTCGTCCTTTTTGCTTTTCCTTGTTCTGTCGAATCACGATCCACGCAATTTCGTACAGCACCATATAGTGCGCTAGAGCCATACCCCCCCCCCCCCCCCCCCCCCCCCCCCCCCCCCCCCCCCCCCCCCCCCCCCCCCCCCCCCCCCATTGTCCCACTCCGTCTCCAACGCCCCGCCCGTTGCGGCTCCGAGAGGCCAACGAACTGCACTACCGTCCCGCCGCCTCTAAGCAGCGACCACTTTGCTGTGCTTGTGCTTTGTGTTCCGATTCATTTTCGTCTCTACCAAAACCTGCCCCTTCCTCTTTGGGCCCGCAAACCTCTTCAGACTAAGTTAATCAAGCGCCGACGACAGGCGCCGTGACGCCGTTGGCTTCGGCTTGCGTAATTGAGCCGCGCTATTATGATATCACTGACATCTTGTATACTGCCGCAGGCAGATGGTGTAAAACTAAAAGAAATTGTTGTTATGTGTATAGACTTTTGCCTTCCTGCTTTCTAATTCCCATCCCATGCGATACTAATGGAGCCATCATATCATCATTTCCCAGCAAATTTAGATTTCTCATACTGAAGGCTTGGTGTGTTCCTGACACTGGCCCTTCTTATACGCGCCATCGCGTGGGCCACTTATCCAATGTGCCCGTTCAGCATTTAAGCGTCATCTTCGTTGGTAATAAGCTTCGTGATCTTGCCAATGGCAATGGTTTGTCCCTGTAATACTCTGTTAGCTTTGCCTACACGAACACGGGGAAACCGTAAAGGTTGTTAAATGCTTACCTGGTCACGCAGGGTGAAACGACCCATCTGAGGGTAGTCTTCGAATCGCTCAATGCAGACAGCACCAGCACCACCAATGACTTGCATGCGTGCAATAATGCTGTCGCCTCGCTTGGCGTGCGTAGGGGGCAGCTTGCTCTTGCGGTTGGTACCCTTCTGCAGCTTGTGAAGCAGAGCGGCGAATGTGACTTCTTCAATGGCAGAGTGAACGTGAAGAACACAGTTGAAGCCAGAAGAAAGAATGGTCTTGAGCTCCAAGATGCGAATCTGGGCCTCGAATTCAGAGACACAGTGAACAAGACGCTTAGGAGAGCACAAGACGAAACCAGGCAGAATGTCTTCCTCTTCGATACCACGCAGACGCATGCGCACCTGGTCACCACACTGAAGAATGGGGACTTCCTCTTCCTGCTCACCATACAGAGCAGAAGGCTCAACAGTCTGCTTGCGGGGCATCATAATGAGACTCATACCCTTCTTGACAACACCGGCTTCGATCTTGCCGTCAATCATGGTACCCATATCCTTGTACTTGGCAGCAACAGGCATCATGAAAGGAGCATTGAGCTTGCGCTCCACTGTCTGCATGCCGTCAAGGTACTCGAGCAGAGAAGGTCCATCGTACCAGGGAGCAGTGCCCTTAGGAAGGCGGTCCTTAATGTTAAGAGTGCTCTGGGCAGCAACAGGCATGAAGAAGACATCAGTCTTCAGGTTGTAACCGGTGCCCTTCAAGAATTGAGCCAGCTTGGTTGTGCATTCGAGGTAACGGTCGTGGGACCACTCGACAGTAGGGTCGTCCATCTTGTTGATGACGACAATAAGCTTGTTGACACCTTGGGTCTTTGCCAACATTGCGTGCTCTCTGGTCTGACCACCACGCTCGAAACCGGTTTCGTACTCGCCCTTGCGAGCAGAAATAACGAGAATACCAACATCAGCCTGAGAAGCACCACCAATCATGTTGGGGACATAGGTCTTGTGGCCAGGAGCATCCAAGATACTGTATCGACGCTTGTCGGTTTCGAAGAAACCACGGCCGACTTCGACGGTCTTACCCTTGGAGCGTTCCTCCTTGGTAAGATCCATGACCCATGAGAGGTACCAAGTCTCACGGCCAAGATCCTTAGCCTCCTTCTTGTACTTGTCCATGGTTCTGTCGTCGACCATGCCGGTGGCATACAGAATAGAGCCACCAAGAGTAGACTTGCCGGCATCGACGTGGCCAATGAAGATTACGTTAATGTGCTCCTTGCCGTAAATTTCCTTAAGTGTCTCCTCGTCAACATCAGCAGTTTGCTCCTTAGCAACAGCGTCAGCATCGCGCTGGACCTTCTTTTCAGTAGCAGCAGAGGGGCTGGAACGGCCAGAAGATGGGACGGGAGAGCTAGTTCCGCTAGCAGCTGGCTTCTCACCAGTCTTCTCAATAGCCTTGGCGGCAGCAACCTTTTGGCCTGCCTCAGGTGTTTCACTCTTAGCCTCATCCTTAGCGGGGGCGGGAGAGCCACCAATGGACAAAACCTTGGGCTTGGGAGCGTCCTCCTTGGGAGCGGCAGAGCCGCCAATAGAAAGCACCTTGGGCTTGGGGGCGTCACCTCCGATCGAAAGAACCTTGGCCTTGGGAGCTTCGCCTCCAATAGAAAGAACCTTGTTACCGATGTTGGCAGCAGCGGCTGCCGGCTTCGGGGCGGAGGAGTCGCCCCCAATGGAGAGCACCTTGTTGCCAATGTTAGTAGCGGCAGGCTTGGGCTGCTGCTGGCCTTGCTGACCATACTGGGAGTAGTTGGCATCTGTATATAGTTAGAAAACGGTGGTTCCGTCTGGTGTCTTGTGGAGCAGACTTACTGTAGCCTTGCTGCTGCTGGTTGTATCCTTGGCTGTAGCCACCGCCATAGCCCTGGTTGTACTGGTTATATCCCTGTCCCTGACCGTTGCCGCCCTGGCCACCGTACTGCTGGTAGTAGCCACCCTGCTGGTAGTACTGCTGCTGTTGATACTGAGCATTGTAGCCACCACCATACTGCTGTCCAGGTTGGAACGACTGAGCTGAGGGCTGGAAAGAGGCAACACCAGGACGGAAGCCACCCTGGCCACCCTGCTGAGCATTCACATTGAGCTGCTGCTGTGCCTGGCGAGCGAGGTTCTCGTCCTGAGCGGCGGGGTCGTCCTCCCAAGAGTTGAGGTTAGACATGGCGATTGTATTTGAAGCTTCGTTTCGATACTGTGCTTGTCGTGTGTCGTAGTTTGTGCCTCAAGTGTGGGCAAGCACCTTTGAAGATGCGGGGGATAAAATCCGGTGATATAGACTCCAGGAGATCGATCGAAGGGCCTCGATTTCGGTATGAGTAACTTGGAGCACCTGTAGCAGTCGTAGATGATGAAGCTCAAGCGACAAAGCCAATGTGATGAGACTGTCGGAGGGGCAAACTGGGCAGAGGTGAAAATTCGAGCCCCACCTGCTTCTTCTGCCTGCGCTAGTGGGAGGGATGAGTTTGTGGAGGGGCATTCGACGGGGTGCGAATTATTCCCGTCGCACGGTACACAAGATGAACGCATCTTGCACGTAAGAGCAATCATATGCTTCTTTTACAGGAAAAAAACACATTGTCAATGAAATTTATAGTAGGTCTGCATTATTTATGTACCATTAGATGATAATATACAAATTCGCGAAGGAAGGTTGGTAGACGCTCGCCACACTGAACCATAAAGCGCCAGACTGTGCGCCAGCTCGAGTGACGTATATTGGGACCACTACTGTCAGGCACCCACACCAGTTTTATCTAAACCACCAGTTTGCCGACGCGTTCAATAGGCCATCTGCTCCCACACTCTTGATAGTGTGCCACCACCCTTTTGGTATGAACAAGGCATCCCCGGGGTGTACATCAACGTCGTATATATGCTCCTGACCCTCCTGTGACTCCCAAACTGCCTGGTGCAACGCCTCTCGCTCAGCCCCTTGCATCATATCAGCTGTTCGAATATGGCTGTTGCCTTGCTGGCCGATTTTCGCCTGAACTCTATAGAACAGTGTTTGGCCCATTGACGGGTGCATGAGTTTTACCGATTTGGTACCGAACAACTGGCAAAACAGGTTCGGATTCGGATCACGGTGTAGTGGTGTATAGGTTGGTTGAGTTCCAAGCCAGATGGAAGAGCTGTAGATGTCACCGCGACCGGCGCGTAGAACAACTTCGGGAGCAATCAAATCACTCTGAAGCCTTTTTGGTAGCGCAGATAGAGAGGACTGAGCAATGTAGAGCTGTATGTGCTCACTTGTAGCATCCCCCTGCAAGCTATTGAACTTGATAGCGGCAACAAGCAGCCTCAGCGGCGCATCAAGCTGCGTGAACAAGTCTGGCAGTCCTGGCCCTTCCATGATTTGCATCAGTAATTCAGCGACGCTAATATCGATGTCATCACCAGTAGCTTTCAACCAGCCAATGAACAGACAAAAGTGCTCTCTCTGCCTTGGTGTCGCGATTACCAACTCGTATGGGAATAACCAATCCTTGAATTCCAGCACATGGCTAGTAAAAGGGAGCTTCGCCACGTCATTTGAGAACCACTTCGAGCAAGCTTGTAGCTGATTCGTCGGTGAATTTAGTCCAGAGCGTAGAATCGAAGGTTGGTCAACACTGAAAACATGGTCTCGAAAGCTAGCGACAGCTTCTGTAGTTGCGCTAGGGATAGGCGCTGAAGAAACTGAGATGTAGCGACACCCCCTGGAGCTAGGATGTAGGGATGATTTCCATAATGACGGCTTTCCGAGTCTCATAAACATGACACCGATTTTTTCATATTTAATCTACATCAGATAATGACTTCTTGTTGTTAATTGCTGGTGTCGATGCGAGCAAGTGTATGGAGCGCTACTGTTGTTTTTGAACTCGGAGCCCGGCAAAACCAACGGCCGACCTTAAGGCGGCGTGCCTCGACTCTGCCGCCGCCCTCACTCACCCCCACCGCCCGCCCGCCAAAACCTTTTGATAAACCTCATCGCGCGTTTAGCTTCCAACATTATTTAATACGGGCGACGCGAAAACGATTACATCGATATCGAAGCGGATTCGCCAGTAATATGCACACCACCTGACGACTGAATCTATATCCCGCCCTTCGTCTCTAACCCTCAACCAAGTTTGCGCCAGGACCCCGCCGTTATTCAATTTGCACATCAAACATCAAACGCTAGCTCCCCTCTAACGACACTTATTTCTACACGACACCATTTAATATCAAGATGATAGAGGACGATATGTCCACCCCCTCCGACGCCCAGGAGTCATGGATTGCCAGCTTCTGCGGCCTAATGGGTCATGAATATTTCGCCGAAGTCTCGGAAGACTTCATTGAAGATGACTTCAATCTAACCGGCCTCCAAGCCCATGTCCCCATGTACAAGGAAGCGCTGGAAGTGAGTATACATCCCAACGAATAGCGCGTAAATCAATCCATCCTTTACTAACACCACTATCAGATGATCTTGGATGTCGAGCCCGAAGATGACGAGGAAGAGGAAGAAGAGGAAGAGGACGACGACGATAACGAGTCTGCTCTCGGCGAGCACGGCCAGAAGCCCGTCGGCGAGAGAAGGCACCACAGCAGAATGGCTAGCGACCTCTCTGTTATAGAGTCCTCAGCTGAGCTGCTGTACGGGCTGATCCACCAACGCTTCATCTGCTCCCGCGTCGGCATCCAACAGATGAGTGAAAAGTTTGAGCTCGGCCACTTCGGCACCTGCCCCAGGACAAATTGCGAACAGTCGCGCACTCTCCCTATTGGCCTGTCTGACAACCCCGGCGAAGACACAGTGAAGCTGTTCTGCCCATCATGCCTAGATGTCTATGTCCCTCCCAACTCGCGCTTCCAGACCGTTGACGGCGCCTTCTTCGGCCGCACCTTTGGCGCTCTCTTCCTTATGACATTCCCCGAGTTTGACCTGACAAAGCGCGGCATCGAGGTCGTCACACACTCCAGCGCCAAGCTGTCTGCCGACGAGCCCGTCGTCAACGGCATGTACACCAAGAACATTGCCCCCGGCCTTGGCCCCAAGCACACATACAACCCGCGCATCTACGGCTTCAAGGTCTCAGAGCGAGCCCGCTCAGGCCCCAGGATGCGCTGGCTGCGCGACCGCCCCGATGACCTCAACGAGCTCAACGAGGCGCGCATCTACCACGAGCAGCACCCTGATTCAGATGACGACGACGCCGCGATGGCTTTGAGCGGACGCCTAGCCGTTCGCCGCCGCCCGCCTGGCAACGCGCGACTCCGACAACGCCAGGAGCAAAACGGTAGCCCTATGGCCATGTCCACAAACGGCGGCGAGGCGGAGCTGTAGGATGGCAGAAGCGGTAGCCTGAGTCTTGGTCGGATTCGGGAGCTCGAGTTACCACCACGTACACCACCAGAGCCTGTCCCGTTCCGTGGACGGCCCAGAAGCATTTCCATCAGAGGACCTGCGCGCAGAGAAGGACTTGTCAGGCATCCTCGGAGTCGAAGTAGACTACGGTGAATTTCGCTTGAGCTTTTGGTAATTGGGTGCGTGCTTTGGTGAACAGAGTTGGGTCAATGCATACATCGGCGTTTTGGGGAGGTTGGCAGACAGCAATTTTATTTCTTTTTCACGTATATGAGTGTTTACTTTCCTTTTTGTGAGTGTTGCTGTAGCGGGAAAATATGTCTTAATACTGTGAGTGTCTTGTGTGCTGTTTCTGGTGTAGAAGCAGCAGGTTAATATACGAAATGCGGCGATGCAGGCTACATATATACAAGTCACATAGTTCAAAGCGTGAAACAAAAATTAGAGTGCTATTGGAATAAAACTATCTACGGATTGTTGAAGCTACTGCTTGGGTGATCCCTTGCCTGGTGTCCAGCTTGCACCGCCCCCAAAGTTTGCTGGAGGGATGCCAGCTTTCGACACAGGTGTTGACGGCGTAGTCATAAGCTCATCAGTGGGTGTGGGTAGAGGTGGTGTTTCTACCTGAGCTATGCTCTGGTCTTCTTTGCGAGGAGGAGGTTTAAAGTTGCGCTCTCCTCCTTTACGGTATATATCTTGGAGCATGGTTTCGAGAATCCCAGCGTCTTCAAACTCGAGATACTTTCGATACAGCTTCAGTGCAGCTCGTGCATCTTCGATAGAGTCGTGGGTTTCAAGCTGAATCTCTTCGTTCAGTAGACACCAGGACAGGAAAGCCAGAGAGAGCTTGCGGAGTCGAGATGGGAGGAATAAGAGGTTGATTGTGTCGATTATTTGTGCCTTTGGGACATGGATATTGATGACTCGGAAATCTTGCGTGAGACCGTGGCCCAGAAACTTGCAGCCAAGGTTCAGTAAAACCCACAGCTTCTTGTAGACAAGCTTTAGTGGAAGGAGACTGCGTTTGGAAACTCTGGGATCCAAGTCATCTTTTGTAATGCCAGAGAACGAGGTCAAGTAGTCGACGATCGGTTCTTTGATAGCGACGTAGTCGTCGATGAAAGCTTGACCTTCATCCTGGCCCTGCCCTCTGACTACTGAGGCACGAGCCAGCGCGTACACTATGGGACGGATGGTCCTGTGCTCTCCATCAGAGTTCATTTCAATCTCAGGCTGTCGAATCGCCACAAACTCGGTGTCAAGGGCTATAATGGTATCGGGGCCTGGACGTTCCGTCTCGCTGTTCAATGTTTGATAGGTCTTTGTGGCAGGATCAAGGTTAGGCCTAACGCGACTGTAAGTTAGCAGATTGTTCATCTAGTGTGGGTTAATGAGAGTAACTCACGTAAGATCCTGGTAAAGTATAGAAGTGTCGATATTATCCACCCAGGAGTTGTCCACCCTGTTGTTCGCTTCCTTAATCTGAAAAGCAACAACAGATGGCACCTTCCAAGTCATATTGAAAGTCAGTGCCTCTTCTTTGCTCACTGGGCGGACTAAGAAATCATTAAATATATGCCATTGGCTTTGGCCAGGAGCGACAGGCTCTGCGTGGGCAACTGTGCAAAAGATTAGCTTGGAACGTTTCAACTGCACTTGAAAAAATACATACCATCCACCATCGCGACAAGATGTGACCCTTGCGGTTGGACATTCTCAATGTTTACGGCCATACCGACAAGAGAATAGACGGTGATTTTATGCGCGGCGCGTTGCAAATGCAGCCTGAGGTCTTCTCCCTCATAACAAAAGAATTGGCCTTGTTCCACTATGATACCAATTTCATCTGGTAGCCAGCCGGGTGTAGCCCAGAGAACGCGGATGTCTGGGTTGGTGATGGCTGTGTTGAACACCAGCACGGACGGGACACTGTGAATAGCCTTACGAGTTGCTATGTCGCGATACCGAGCACATTTCGAACACCAGCCTTTGGCAACAGTCTCCCTCTCGACGCTTCCCTTGAGCACTTGAGAAAAGGTTGTGCGCGGCACCTTACCCCTAATTTGGGGTTTCTGGGTTTCGGTTAGTATGATGCTTTCTCAGTTGCATGTGGAAAGTATTGATTTACCATTGACGGATACAGCAAGTCATTAACAAATACAGATCCGGGTCGCGTGTATTCGCTTCTACAGTGCATACACCTAATAGCTGTTGTTGCTGACGTTGCCAAGGTCTATTCCAGGATTAGCATAGCTCACGTCGAATAACAAAATAGCAATCTTACCCTATCCAGTTCTGTTGAAGTTGGTGACATGGACTTAAATTCACTCACTACTCGTTCCAGCAAGAATCGTGTCAATCCCTGAAGCATAACATTAACAGGCGCACCGTTGGATTCCTCTTCTAGAAGCCCAAGATTGCCAGCTAAAAAGTGATAATGTCAGCGTTTGATACAAGCACACGAATCAGAGTACGACTCACTCTGTGGATGGCTGCTAAGGGCCTTTAGCAGATTAGAGGCTTGGCAAATAGAGCCCTCTGCCTTTTGAAGCATGTCAAACAGAAAGCCGAGCTCGCATAGGAGACAGATTTCGCTCATACAAGCTGTTGCGGCGTGGTTGAGGGCCATGTTTCGGACGAGTGGGATGAAATGCATGATCTGTAGTAGAGAGTTGGCGTATGAGTTGGAAATGTGCGGTTCTAAACCAGAATACTTGGTTTTGTTGTAAAATCTGGTGTACATTAGCTTCAGCGTCGATTGAACGTGGTGATGGAACATACCCAAAATCGAAATCATCAACACCAAACCTGCTGTACTTGATCTCCACGTTTCTGTACATAACAGGCACCTCTGTGTGCCTGCTTCCAATCTCGTTGTCTTGATACGGGCCGGCAGTGTCTTCCATCTTGTCTGGTCTCGAGTCGAGTTTTGCCGATTCTCGAGCCTTTTCACTGAGAAACTTGGGAGCTTTCAGGCCATCCTTACCCAACTTTCGCGTGTCTTCGGCCTGGTTCCGTCGGAGGCCGCGGGTGTTGCGACCATATTGGCCGAAGTCTACACTCTTCAGCGTCGCCAGGAACTGTGCGTCGAACTTGACTGGTGGCGCGCCGACGTCAGATATCACCTCTGGCCAAGCAGAGGCTAAAACGTCTCGATAGTAAGGAAGACCCATGGAGTTAAGAGGACTAATACATGCAAAGTCAGCGAGGAAGTTTGTGAGGTAGGTAGAGATATGGGAAACTTACTGCTCAACAGACCAGTCCATTGGCGGCGCTGGTTCTTCTGCGGAAGCAAATTCTATCGGGGTAGCCAAGTCGACAAAGTGTAGCTTAGATGGTGAGCCCCAGAGGTGGATATAGTTATCAGTGTCTGCCAAAACCATGGCCTCTCCAGATGGAGCGATATCGAACTTGTTCAGAAAAGAGAGCACGTTGACCTGTCGAACGTTGCTAGTATTTGGATTCATAAGATCGACAATGTGCATTTGTCCGCTTTGTGAGAGAACAATGCTGGTCGTGGACATGCGCGGGTGCATTCGCACGTATGCAGCGCCGGCAGGGAAGGGAATCGGAGGCATAGAAGACATCGTTTTGATGTCAAAGACGTTGAGGAATGGGTCGAGCATGAGGTCCCGGCCTTGTCGGAGGGAGTAGCCACAGGTGACAACGAAATCGTGCTGGGCATCCATGTCGCTAACCTTGGCGGAGTGGGCGCTCCAAGTTTTGACAACTGCAAAGCTGACTGGGTCTATGAGATTAACGAGGCCTTGCGGGGTGGCTGCACAGATATACCTCCCGCGTCTCATGTGTTTGTAGTAGCGTTCGGCCGGAACCTGCCATGACGGTCAACATTATTGGTTTTGCTGTTGTTGGTGTTGGTTTTGAAACGCTGTCTTACCTGCTTGACAACTTCACCTTTAATGAGGTCGACTACAAGCATCGTATCCTGGAGTCCCGCCACTATAATTTCGGCCGTGCCCTTTGATGTAAAGCTCATACAGCGCAACTTCTTCATGCCGTGGTGTCTGACAGGTTGTTAGTCGCCATATCCAGCAGCAGCAACACAATACCAATATCTACCTGATATGCCACATAGGTGTGCCTCTACGGTGGGCCATATGAAGATCGTTCTCCCCAAGAACGATAATTCCTTTATCATTTACGAGAATCTGCCGAACACGGCCGTTATGCGCGATGAAGGACGAGTATCTTTGTAGGTCGCTGCCTACAAATGATGTTACACGACCCTAGTATCCATGTTAGAATCAATTATCGTTCGGTATGCATCGTCTGGATCGCATCGTACATTGTCATTTCCGATCCAAAGAAGCTCCTGGGATGTGTCGAACGTCATGGTGGTCACCTGGGGGGGGAGGCCATGGATCACCGGAAGGGGGAAGGGGAGGCGCGCGACCTATGTAGGTAGAGACTATTGGTTAGCAGAGTATTCTTTCCGAGGTCTCGAACCGCGATGGCCTCGTAAAGGAGCATGCGGCCGGGGGTGTCGAAAGGCGGCGCCGTACCTCATCCCAATCTCCGTCCATTGTCGCTGATTAGCAAGTCAAGTTGCAGTCATAACGGTACTAAACAATAGCGAGGATGGCGATGTATGTATAAATAAGCAATAGAGGCGCAGCACAGAGGCAAGCGTCAGGTTATTGCCGGCGAGCCTTGGATGCTTGTGGTCGCATGCACGATGTTTGTCGGGAGGATGCGTTGACTTTGTTCTGCGGGCGGCTTGTTGCATGAACGCGACACCTGCGCCCGTTGCACACAGCTGGCGAGCGGGGCAGGGGGGGGTGGGGGGGGAGAAGCTCGAGTCCAGCTTTTGGGTGGCCAGAGCGGGCTGCTGCCGGCTGCTACCCTGTCGTGCATCGAGCTATTGAATGCTGGGATGGAACTCTGGTTGGAAGGGGATGCCAGAAAGGGCAATGGGGATTACAAAAAAAGAATATGTCATGTCTGTATTGGTCATTATTCATTGGCTATCATTATAATTATACGACGGCGCCAGCGCCTATTTTTTTGGTCTCGCATCTGCCATTATGCCTGCATTTGATAAATGGCAAATTTCACAGGCACAGCGCCTTTGGTGTTTCCCCAGGGCGAAGCGTCTGCGTGGCCGTCTTGCTCCAGCTGAACCAGCCAGCGCGTGCCGGTCAACTCGCCGACTTCATCCCAAAGCTCTTGTAAAGTAGCTTCATTATGAAGAAACATTCCCGTGTGCTGCCGCGAGGAGGGAATAGTAGAATCTGTAGTGCCGGCTTGGCGGCCATAAATGAGCGCATTTTTTGTGCCCGGCTTCAGGAAGCTCACCAGGCGCTGGCCAATGTAGAGCTGCTGCGCGCGGGTGAAGAGATGGAAGAAGCTGCCCATGTGCACAATTGTTGCTGTACCGCAGAGCACGTCCAGACTACGGTCATCGGGATTGACTAGATCGCCCACGATGAACTTGGCCCCAAGTGTGTCAGCGTCGCGGAACAAGTCAAAGCCTGCGTCGATGAAGCGAGACTCAATGTCAGCGGCCAACAGGGCCTCTGGATGAACACCGTCGAAGCGAAGCTGTCGTAGGCTCTGTCCAAGGCCGCAGCCCAAGTCTAGGAAGATGTCTTCCGACTTGGGGAGCATGAGGCGAAAGCGGACTTGCTGGTAGCACGGATCTGCGTAGTCTTCGAGGCGGAGGAAGCGCCATCTGCCAATGAAGGGGCGATGTGAAATGCCCCATGCCTTTTCTCTCTATTGTAAAACGGTTAGCTTTTGCTCTAGCTAAATCAGATGACAAAGAACAAAGAAAAGGCAAACACACGATGCGGAGAAGATGGGCGTCAATGTCGGAGGGCGGGATGCTGCTGTAGTGCTGCAGCAGGTTGCGCATCGAGTCAATGTTGGAAGGGACAGCATCCTGAAAAGACCATTGTTGCGCCTGGAATACATCCAGAGCTACGCGGTAGCCGTTTATCGCCGTGCAGGCCATTTCAATGCGATGAGGATAGAATTGTCGGTGATGATGGTGTTTAGGCGAAACATCTCCTCGGAGAAGGGAACGCGCTTGTATAGTGGTGGTGTAAGTGAATCGGTGCTTGCTGCTCCCGGAAGGCCGCCCTTCACTTGGGGTAGAAGGCTTGGGCTGGGCTGGACTGGGCCGTGCGCCGCCGACGGGCGCTGTCAGTTCCCCCAAAAAGCCCCCGAAGGCGCTGGGGCTTCAGCGGGTGTTTGCATCTTGCAGCGGGCGGAGTGGCCCCCGGGAAAGTTGTGATGGGCCGCCTACAGTTGGGTATTCTCGCCCGGCCTGGTTTATTTAGCCAATGACGTTTGCTCGTTAAAAAAGCAACTTGACCGTGTGAAAGACAGCGCCACCGCAAGAAGAAAGGAAAAAGAAAAGCAAACCAAAATTCTAGATGAATGATCAGCACAGTCTAACAAAGAAAAAAAAAACAAGTCTTGCTAAAACCCAAAAGGACGGGCGCGCCATCCGTCGCATCATCAACTCATCGCACACGCCACACTGTAATTAGCCAGCCAAGGAAAAGCCCCAGCTCCAGCCTTATAGCGCTCTGAGTGGGTTTGGTGGTGGTACGTACTCCGTTGTGCAGTTTGCTACTGCACCAGCACCGAGTGCAGCGGGCGGATGCTCCGCGCAGCAAACAGCACTGGTAGGAACAGCACCAGAGCTGGCCGTGACACCCCTCCCCCAGTTTAGCCGGCAATGACCCGCCCACCTGCCTCGTCCTTGCCTTCGACGAAAAATTCTTCCACCTCCGAAGCCCAGATCTCGACAAACCAAGCAAGTTCACGGGGCCGAGTTCTTCCTCTTCCGTTGCGCGACGGGTCCCATACGCATCGCATTTATCATTACTCCGAAGAGCCAGAGCCCGTGTAAGTCAAGCAGCGTGCAACATTGGCCTCGAAGCAACATTTCCCTGCCGATTTGCTTTCCTGAATTTTGCCAATCGCGCCGTCGCGCTCGCCTCGGTCGGTGGATGCTAATAATGAAATTTTTAGCTATTTTTGTGGCCACCTGCTTTCTGCCCTGCTGTTAGCAGCACCCTTCAACACCACGCCCAAAGCGACTAACGGCGTATAAGTAAAAAGAGACTTTGTCCTTTTGTGTCGCATCACGAAATCCTTTATCGTCTTCCGATCAATTGCTTTTGCACAGGAGCGCGTTGCGCACGATTCCTCCCTTACCCCCTTTCCCAACCATGGGCCCTGATCGCGATCCCGACACGGACGGTGACGCCAACCTCAGCTATCCTTCTCCAGGCGCCGAAGCCCTCGATGCAGGCCCATTCTATAACGCTGGCGGACGAGATGGTGTAAGCGACCACCAAGACCACTCGGTGCACCACAACGGCGACGAGCTGCATGCTGGCGATGCGGACGCGAGCCACCTGCACGGCGAGCACGACTCGCAGCATGACCAGCGTCCTACCAACCTGGAAGAGCTGCAGCTGGCGGCGCAGCTTGGCCAAGGCCTGACGGGTGCTTCTATTCTGCCCGCAACAGACCCCAACATGAGCGTTGACGATTCCGGCATGCGCAGCATCATGCCTCACCCCGATGCCGACCCCCACCAGTCCTTTGTCCACGACACGCCGACATCTGACCACATGGTCCAGCATGCCATGTCGGTGCCGCCGCAGCTCACTCCCCAATACACGATGCCTGATGGTATTCCTCCTCGCAAGCGCTCCAAGGTATCGCGCGCGTGTGACGAATGCCGTCGCAAGAAGATCAAGTGTGACGCCCAGTCCGATACTGGCGAGGCGCCATGCTCCAGCTGCGCTCGCTCATCAATACGCTGTCTCTTCAGCCGAGTTCCTCAAAAGCGCGGTCCCAGCAAAGGGTAAGAGCACTAAAGACTATCCACAGTTTTGACCCAAACACTAACACAAATCTCTTCTAGTTATATCAAAGAATTGGCCGACCGAATCAACAGCATTGAAAACAAGCTTGAATCCGAAGGCAACCTTACACAAGACGAAATTGACAGACTCTTTGGCGCTGAGCGTCCGCGTGCCTCCAACGGCACTGCGGCAGTCGACGATTCGAGTCGCAAGCGTCCCTTCTCCAGCATCTCCGGCCCTGATTTCAGCACACCAGTCACAGCACGCCAAGCGCCTTGGGGCACCGATGGCCGATCAAGCCAAGTCGACAGCTTCTCAGCATTCGGCAACTCAGCGCTGGCTCCCGTGCCGTCCGCCATCCGGCCCGATGAGACCCCCTCCAAGACTGCGCCAGTCATTGACTCTGAGATGACCGATGACGAAGACCTCCCCGAGATTGACGAGGCGGAATTCAACGACGTCTTCCTCGCCATTCAACCAGTATATCCCATCCTGCCTAGCAGCAAAGAGAAGATGCAGCTGCTGCTAGCTCAATGCCCTGCACCAGTCAAGACAGCCTTTGTGCTTGCACTCCAGGCCGTCGGACAAACGACCCCAGGCGACGTTAAGCAAGCAAGCGCACTACTGAGCGAGTGGGAAAACAGCAACGAGCCTCGCAGCCGCGCCGCAGACATTGTCCACGCACAAACACTAGTCCTGCTAACCACGGACGCCGACTGGCGGGCTCTCCCGTCGCTGCCATTCCTGCTCTCGCGTGCCGTAGCGCTCGCCAACACCATGAAGCTGTGGCGCTTCACCCCCGTCGAGGAGCAGACCGACGTCGACTCGGAAGACATGCTGGCCGTCCGCATCTGGTGGTCCATTGTCCTCCTGGACCGCTGGAACGCGGCCGGCACCGGCAGCCCGGCGCACATCCCCGACAAGAGCGCCGTAGTACCCGCCGGCCTCGAGAACATTGTCGGCGAGATATGCTTCCACTACATCCGTAAGTTTTTGCCCCCCCCATCTCACACACACTCACACGCAGACGCTAACATTATACGCAGGTCTCTCTAAGCTTCTCAACCGCATTGCATATGTGATATCCACGCTGCCACAGGAAGCCACCACGGCCGACCCGGCCATGGTTGCCATCCTCACAGACTACATTGAAAACTACAGGGAAGACTTACCCGCACACGTCGACGCTGCCGCATACCCCCTAATCCACCTTGCCTACTGGCACTGCAAGCTCCTCATCACCATGCTGACCGACGGCGCCACGCCCGCCGAGCTGCTCTGGTCGACCAAGGAGCTGACCAACCTGCTCATTGCCAACGGCGACACGCGCAGCCCGTTGGCCAACCACTTTGCCGCGCTGGCGTACATGGCCCTGGGCCGTCTCACAAAGCCCGAAGGCACGCACGAGGACGCACTACAGCTCATCAAGGATGCCAGCGAGCCCACGTCCGGCGGCGTCTGGGACCCCTTCCGCGATAAGCTGGCGTCTATGCTCCGCCCCTCGTCGTCGGCAGAAGCCGCCAGCCAAGGGCTACAGCACCTAGCAGATCTGGCGACGGCCCACGCTCCCGCCGAGGGCGAGCCTGGCGCCGAAGGATCCCTGGCAACGGGCTATCTGGAGAACGCTGCTTGAAAGAGAGAGCGTCCACTTAGCCGCCGGCGGAAACTGAAGAGCCAGTGTGGGTGCTACACACTCACTCTGAGCAGTTTCATATTGGAAAAGCAAGGGGCGGAGCTGTACGCCGATGGCCCGTCCTTGTTTTTTTTCCCCTTGTACAACATGTATCAGCTTCTTTTTTTTCTCCCTTTTTTTAAAATTTTTTTTTGTTTTAATGTCTTTTTTATTTTATTGTTGGCGAGCGTACCCACGGTTCACCTGCATCGTTTACACCGCAGTGGATGCCATTTTGTGCGACAAGCGGTGACTTGGCTTGACCCGCTGCCTTTGGACCGTCGATACTCGACAATACCCGCGGGCGAGGCTGGATCGAAAGAGGGGAAACTGAGGAGACCACGAGGACAAGTGATGGTGAAGGAGGGGCCTCTTTAATTGGGGCTCTGCAAGGCGATGATGGTGTTAAAGAGGGGATGCACGGCATAAAACAAGAAGTGACAAATGGGCTGTGTATTTTTTTTATTGGGTGGTTTATTATCATGACTAGTAAGTAGTAGTGCCTCTGACGCAAATCTCTACTTGAACGGAAATACAAAAATGAAACTTGTTTTCTATTTCACATCTCCGTAATTAACCTGTGACAAACGCTTTGTACATCTACAGCACAGTGCTGGCTGCATCGCCTGTATTCGGCTAATACAGCACGTCAAAAGGGTACAAAGGAAAAAGCCTGACGCCACTTACAACGGGTTCCGTACAGTGCATGTTAGCCGCCAGCTTTTGACTACCGATGGGCGATGGAGGGGAGGGGCGGCGCCGTAGAAGAATAAAAAAAGGTGGCTTCGGGTACCGAACGCACAAGAAGCTAATAAAAAAGTACTTAATCGTAGACAAAATAAAAAAACGGTTGTGTAAATTTCCCATTCCGAATGGCGTTCCCCGTAGCCCTTGTTTCTCTTCGTCTGCTTCTGCTGCTGCTGCTACCAAGTAATAGAAAGCGGCTCAAGCTATGTGCGCTGTAACCAACCTGGCCATACACAAGGTCCCCCTGTACGTAATTGCCATTCAATCCCAGCCGGCGATGAATGTGGCATCTCTTACCTACCTAAAACTGATCGAGGGTTACATGGCATGCCTAATGCGATGGGCTTTCGCTAGCCGATGGCCCCGTAGCCTGTGGGCCGTATGTTCCCGGTGCTTCCCGGTATTCGGGCTTTTTGGCTTTTGCAGCTGAGAACGGAGCCCTCGCCTTGCCCTACAGAAACGGAAATGTCCATTTTTTTTTCTGGGTGAATGATTTTACAAACAGCCGCCGCCTTCCTTAATCAATCAATCGGCTAGCGTAGCCAGCTCGCTCAGAGTTGCAGGCATAGTGGCTCGCCCAGGGCTTCCCATGAACCAAAGCCGCAGTCGGGCGCCTGAGTCGTGCGAGCGCCGCGGCTTACAGGGCTTCTTGGCTTGACCTTCTGGAACACGGCGAAGGAAATCAAAAGGAAAATAGGCACAGGGTCCCCTCCGAAATTAAAGAGACCCAGGGCAAGCGTCACAGCAGGGCTGGCCAATCTCAACCGTGTCCTAGCACCCAAACCACCGTGACATCTGCTGCGACGGCGTTGGTTGCATGCGCATATGTGTTCAGTTCACCTCCGCTCGGAAAAGGAAAAAAGAATGCCTTGTTAAAATCACTGCCGGGATTGCGTCCCCAGTAGAATAGTAGCCATCATATATTTCATAAAACTGTAGAAAGCTGTACTGAAACGGATCCCAGGCCGGATCCAGCTATGCATCCTGTATGTGCGGCTGATGAGGTTGCTCTGCGTCTGTCCCCTTATGCTTGGCACATCGGAGAAACACATGCATACCAAACCATTATGAAGCAAGCAAAGAGTGAAAAAAGAAAGCAATAGAAAATATCCCTTGGATACTCGTTGTCTAAATGTGCAAGAAAAAAAAAGATATTGTTTCCCAATAAAAAGTCCACGCGCCAGCCTCTACTCCAATTGTAAAACTTCCCACAGCCAAGCCAGGGCATGCTCAAACAGTGCCCATCAAATAGTCTATAATCAACAAGAAAAAAAAAATAACAATAGAAAATAAGAAAAATCGTTCTGGTATAGTCTGGTAGAATAAACAGACAACGCACATTGGTTCGCAAAAAAGCTCCGTGCCGCCGCTGCTCTTCACATGCCCAGACCACCAGTCATCGGCTGCACGAGCCAATGGTCTATAATATCGATGCAAGTATGCTTATGCCTGAAAACGTTGACCCGTGACTAGCTTGCATAGCCGATCGAGAGCAAGGTAACTTTTGAGGTTGGAAAAGAAGATGGGCCAGAAAGCCCATCCCCCAAAATAGAATAATTGAATGCCATAACGCCAATCCGCTAAACAAAGCGAATTCTTCTCCCATCCAATTGCGAGGGTATAACGACCAAATTCAATGAGAATGAAAGGTTGTTCTCTTGGCACCGCCTGGAGATGCATGTGTTGAAAAAATAAAAGACGAGAAGCAAAAAAAAAAAACGAAGCGACGCTGGTTACATTTCCCAGAAGCTGTTAACATCAGCGGCGCCAAGGGCGTCCGAGGTCTCGTCTGCCGTTGTTCTGTTCTCATTATAATTGGGCATCCAGAAAGCCGGGTCTTCTTCGACCAGCGATCCGCCGCATCCAATCATGGTGTCTTGCTCAGCATTCTTGTAGAACCTGTCATAATCAATGCTGGAAAGATCCATGTTTTGGCGCAGGAAACCCTCAACGTCGCCATCAGCGCCAGACATGAAGTCCTCGGCTTCCGAGACGTCACCGGACGTCGACGTTGTGTTGGCAAGAGTAGGCAGCTGCTCGCTACCACTGCCAAACTCAAACATGCCATTGAAGCTCTGGGCTCCAGTCTGGCTGTAGCTTGACGGCGCAAAACTGCCCGTCTTGCTTTCGCTCAAGTCGTAGTGGCTCCAGTCCACTGATGCGGCGCTGAGACCAGCGCTAAAGATGGGGCCGTCATCACCCATACCCGCAGGGAAGAGGTCAAAGGATTTGTCGTTAGAGTACGAAGGGTAGTCAATTCGGGACAGGTCCAATGGGGGAAGGCCGTTGAGGTGGGCGAAGCTCGAGGCTGAGCTCGACAGCATGGGCGAAGCCGCTTCCGACTTGACTCGGCGCTGTTCCTTTGTTTCTGTCGATGGAAGAGCATCTTGCTCACCAAACATCATGTCCTCGCTGGAACCGAGACTACCGGCGCTGGTTACTGAGTTGACGCGGCTCAGGTAGGCGTCTGTCTTTTGGCCGCAACGGTTGTGCTTGGTAACCGGCTTGTGGTTGCCATTTTGGTCAAAGGTAAGTCCAGCTTCCGAGTGGACGGTGTTGGCTCGTCGTCTTCGCACGGGAGGTTTGGGTCGAGCGGCGGCATCGGCGGCCAGGGCTTCTCGTTCCGAGTCGGATTCGGGCACCGTGCCCAGGCTGGGCTCCTTCTTATGAGCGCAAGTGCAGCGTCCACCGTGGTTGCAGCAGCACGTTTCTGTAGCGGCAAGGCGCCCGTTAGACATACTCTGGGCGGTCTTGATCCTGGCATCGATGCCAAAGTGCAGCTTACCCGTGTGTCCCTCGACGGTGGGCTGCAAGTGAGCGCATTTACTCGTCTTCTCTCCACAGTCGCACTTGATGTGAGCGGCGCGCGACTTTCGCATCTGTCGGCAGTGATGGCATTGCGAAATAGGACGTCCCTTTTTGTTGATGTGCTGAAGGGGTCGGTCTATAGAATAGAATTGATTAGTTTTTGTTTTCATACTTTTGCATATACATGCGCTGGCGCAGGCGTCATTGGGCGAAAGGGCCCTTTGGTGTTGGGGTGCATCGCCGTGGCATGGCGCGGGTGGGCGGCTGGCTGGCTTCAGAGGCCGAATAACGTACCCGAGTGCTGGCAGTTGCTAACACGGTGACCGCGAACGCAGGCCTCGCAGGCGTACTTTTCACCGTTGATAATCATACTGAGCCGAGTCGGCAGCCTGCAGAGCAAAGCAGTAAAGAGAAAGCAAAAGAGTCGGGATTGGACAACGTTGGAGAAGAAGAATAGACGGGCAGGACAGGAAAGAGGGCTTTCGAACTGGGGCAGCGTGGGGAGAGGATTATAGATGAAGAGTAAGACAAGGTACGGGCGCTGGGTACACTGTGGTGCCAATGATACAGGTACCGCGACGAGTAGTCTCGGGTGGCAGGGTACCTCGACCTGGTTCCCTTTTGCGTGTGTCAGAAGAAGCTCGGCGGGTCTTGATGAGCCCCAAAAACGCTAAAGGTCCCGGTGTCCGGCAGAAGAAGCCAGCAGCGGAAGCCGTGGATGCATGGGGTGGTGGTTGGGTGGTTGGGTGGTTGGATGGATGGACGGATGGGTCTGCGACCACCGAAGGGGGAGGTACAAGCCGCTGCGTGTCCAAACAGCCAATGCACACGGTACCCTGAGTGTCCACGGTGGCGCTCCCCAAGCGTTACGAGAGCAATGTCGCAAGAAGGCCACTGACGATTCGGAGGTGTGGGTGGGTGGATAACCGGTTTGTCGTGACTTTTGCTGGCCGTCACCACGGTCTTGGTCCCTGGGGTGCCCTCAATGGCGATGTTTTGGTATCCTTTGACAGCCAAAGTCAATCCCATCTCAGGCCAATTTACCTTTTTTTTCTATGTGTTTTTATCATGTCTTTGCGTCGCACCGTGCTCCCAGAGCGCCCAGGCGAGGGGATCCGCAAACGAGCCGCAAGGTCTGTCTCCCAGCAAGCCCAGAAAAAAATTGTCCAACATGCCCACCGAAAAAAGTGGTTATCGCCTATCGTCCTCGTGCTTGGCTTCTGCAGCATCCCCAGCGCTACGGGGCGCCGTCCACTAAAATAGAGCCGTAATTTAGGGCCTTTGCTGCTGGCGTTAGGCCCGCCCTAGTCGCCTTTTTGGGTGCATGTCCCCTAGCGCTGGGGCGGGTATGGCGGTGTCTTGGGGACCTCTTGGGGACTTGTGGAGGGGGGATCGGGTGGTCGGTTCAAAGTCACAGCAAATGGTCGGCACAGTCCCCCAAGGCTCTCAAGGTGCCTCTGCCCGCGGGCACGCCATGCTAAACTGGTGCAGCACCTGAACAATAAAGCCCATGACGATGGAGCGGAGCCCACGAGGCTCTGTCCGCCCCAAGGACAAAGTTCACACAATGACGAGCTGTGGATTTCGTAGGCGACTGAGACTGTAACTCTACTATTGGCAACGTGCGCGCACCTCTGCCCTGCCCAGCCCAGCTTGGAAAGGAGACCGGCGGTTGGTGTTGTGGACAGCATTGGCGAGGAACTGAACAGGTGAGCCCACGCATGCACAGCAAGCACGGGCAAGCCGCCGCCAGCCAGCCAACAGTCGCACCCGTTTACTTGTGAAATTCGCCGTGGCTCTCGCTGCAAGCACAGGCCCCAGGCGTTGGGCGCTGGCACAAACGAAAAGGAACAGGGTACCAATGGCGTCGACATGGCGCCCCGATTGGAATAGCGCCAGTACCTCGCCGTACAGTGTGGCATGCGCGATGATGCAGTTGTCTGACCAAGGTACCTTTCCATTTGGCCCACTGTAATTCCAGCACTTGCACGTACTTCTGTTAGAGCTTCAATCGTACACTTTGAGAGCTCTCCAGGGCTCAAGAGCTGCAATTCAAAGCAGTACTCAAACCACGCAGTTGTGAAGGAGGATATCGCAATGAAGTGCTGGGTCATAGCCGGCAACACAAGGCAGCCAGCCACCTGGTGAACTGGGCGGCCTCCCCTCGAGCTGAAAGGAGTGCCCATGTACTTGGAATCAAACATACACGGACTCCAGTGCAGGCAGCTTGGGTCACCGGGCCATGGATGTGCCCTGTTTCACACGGCGCCAGGTGCGGGTGCGGATTGTGCGTTGGATGGCAGAGTATGCCACAATGACGAGAGGGGCGCGCTGTGTTGGCCGCTGTTACGTTTGGTCCCAGAGTGCTGCAGCCATTGCTCCGCGGGGCACGTTGCGGCTGGGCTGTAGAAACGTATGAGAAAGCCGTGTAAAGCTACAACATTCTGACTTTCCCTTCCGCTGCAAGCTGCATGTCCCATCATCGCGGCGCGTGCCTCATTTTCGTCGATCGCTCGCAGTCGCATTCTGATGACCACGACTCAAATCGCATGATAAAATATCGAAGCAGGCGCCAAGAGGCTGCAGGCGCGGCTGCTCCGGAAACGTGCCGCTAGCAGTTCAGGTGTCTTTCGTTGGCCCTCCAAGCACGATTAGACTGCAATGGCGCAGCCCATGAAGCTTCACTGTTTGGCCGTCTTGCGTGAAGTCGTCTTCGACGGGGGCATGACCTCACGCACGCAATAATGCCCTTGGCGCCTCATCGTCCAGCTGCAACGCAGTGGATCACTGTAATTCTATCCCGCAACATGCAGGGTTCCAATTATGATGTATGCAGCCACTCCAGAAGACTTGGGACCTCCACACAATCGCTCCGCTGGCCCCAGCGGCTTATTGACCCGTTGTAGTGGCAGCCCTCCACTGGCCAGCAACCATGATCCTGCTGTTGGGTGGAAACATTGGCAATTTACCTCTCTATTGGCCGATATCATTGGCATCAATGAGTTCTTGTCTATACGACTCTCCGCGAGTTGACGAGGCAAGATTCACGCTGATAGAGGGTGATTGCTCAAGGTGTCCGGTTGGATCAAGCACACCTGGTCAGCGCTCATTTAGCTACTGGAGCCGCTGACTTTCCCATCTTGGCGGCTGACGTTAAAAGCATGACAGCGATTGTCACTATTAGCATCCGTATTACCCCCAATGGCGCTAAGCCTAGTGATATACCTTGTCTGAACTTTAAACCTGGACTCTAACCAGACATAGCTCATCGCTCCCTGACCATCTATTCTGATAATGGGAATGTCAAAGTAGGAGAACCCAAAGCTGAAATGCCCTCGTGGTAGCGCTGCAGGTCAAGCCGTAGCCGACTGTTCTGCCAGCGCTAAAGCAAGAGCCTTGTACCGTTATCGCTGTCTTATCTTGGTTCTTGGTATACCTTGTATGATCAAGGAAAGTTGTCAGTCTCCGGAGCTGCACCGGTACTCTATCAATGTAGAATCTTCTTCTCCGCTGACACTTGAGCATATGAGAGCGGTATGCCAGCTGCGTTGGCCTGATCTCTACTATTCTCGATAAAATCCTACATGCGCCTGCGGCATGGACTTTCTTTGCTGAGCTCCCTAATAGGGAAGGCTGATGCCAGGGCCGGCTGGTGCGTCCCTGTAGCCGGCATTTGCCGCTGGAGGCTGGCCTGGATGCCCGCAGTCCAAGACCTGGATTCCAAAGGCATGGCCTAGTGACGCTGCACGGAGTATTGTGTATGGAAGTGAGCGTAAAACCGTTGGTGAGGGAACCCTTGCTCGAGAGGCTAGACACGCTTAGCCTCGTTGCTCTGTGTTTTCTAAGTCTATTTCTGTGTAACGTTTAGCAAGTCGATGTCCCACTGGCACATGTGCACTGTAATTCAAGATCAGCTTGTGTTTATGAATTAAGGTGTCGTGTGTGGCTCCCGGTAAGGGCCTTTTGCATTGGTGGTCTGCGGCCGTTTTAACAATGAGTTTGTACCGATCGTGCCGACCCGAGGCTGGGTGGCAATGGGCTTCTGGATGAACCTTCCTAGCACACCCACAGCCTCCTCCAGCTATCCCATGTCGTCACTCATAGCCACTCTCTGTACACATGTACCGACTGTGGCCGTCCGCTTGCAAAGATGAGTTCAAATTCTACTCTGGTTTTTTTCCCAGCAGGCCTGTACATCGTAAGTCTCAATGCTGAACTGTCGTCGGTCCGAGGCATCAATCCAAGCCGCAGATAAGGTAACACAGAGGATCAAACTTTTCGAGCTATCGGCATCGGTGTACCCCATAGTGAGGCGCTGAAGAGGGGATGGGGAATATTGTCTTCTGACCGTGGTAGAGTACTGCTGCAAGCGACCTGTCTCTTTTCACACTGTAGGCCAGGTCACTCGAAAATGGATCGGAACGACCTGCCACACTACTTGGACACAATTTTCATTGGTCGCATTGCATTCCTGATCGAACGTTGTGGGGAATACTGGCCCGATCTTCTAGAAGCCCAAGCCCTCCACTGCTGTCTCTGTCCATGAATTAAGAGCATATAAGCCAGAGTATCTGGTAGTAAGAGAGCCGATGATAAAGGCCGTTTCTTCAAACGTGGAGCTTGAGAAGCAGATGGCTTATGCTCTAGCTGGGAAGGAGTCTTTGTACAGCCGGCGACTCGCCCAAAAAAGCCATTGCCCCTCCTTTTGGCACTCGCTTGGGGTGGCGTAGTATTGCCGATCGGGTAAAAAAAACGAGAAAAGCCAAACAGCCATAGTATTCGCCTAAACCGGCTCCAGAAGTGTTGTTGAGAAAGAAGTCTGCTTTAGAGGCACTTCCAAACTGCTTGGATTCTCCAGCCATGAATCAATCAATACCAGTGGTCATTAGAATCGTGAGCAAACAGCAACATCCTGAGGCTCCAAACCAGGCCAACAAACGCCTACAGGTTGCTGCATCATCGGTAATGGTGCATGCATGTTGGGTGGGCTGGGCGGGCCACGGCCGGACTTCTAAGCGGAAGGTTTTAAGATGACAGACAGTTTCTCGCAGCGGAGGTTTGTTAGCCGTGTCTTGCTATCCGATAAGAGCAGAACTGAGACACCTTGTAGAAATTCGTCGGGCCGTTTATGTAGGGGCTGCTCGATAACCGTAATCGTGAGTGCCAACATGACGGGTCAGACGCACGCTCAGGCCAGTTCTTGGCTGTTACGGAAATCATCCTAAGTCGCTGATGTACTCATATTACTTTCGATAGTCTCAAATCCGAAATGTCAGATTTACTGTAACCAGTCCCTTTCAGGCTGATATTATCACAGGACAAGGTTAGGTCGGAGCTGGAGTAAGATTTCCACCGACCTGACAGCTGGCAGAGGACCTGGCGAATTGCCAGTTGCCCACTCTGCTGGCCAGCTAAGCTCCCCTGTTGGCCAGCGAGCAAATCGATAAGGCGCCCACAAATTTCTAACTCGCGCCCTTATCAGCTCCTTTTCTTAGCTCCTCCCAACATTTTTTTTTCTCCTCTTAGCACCAACTCAAAACTCGATTTGCTCACAGACCTGCGACTTCGGCATGACGCCAGCCGCATGGTTTGGCCACTGAGCCATTGACGCCCGTGACGCTTTTCGCTGTCCAGCGCGGCAATCGATACTATCGATGCAATAACCAGAACGAATGATCTGGTGCTCTGCCATTAGATGAATCGGGATGAGCGCATGGCTTGGCCAAGGTGTACCAAAACCTGTGTACCGTCTAGCATCTATGCCAGGAAGCAAATTCAGTCGGGGTCATTTGTACTGACTGAGCCAATGTTTCACTGACTAGACTAGATTTTCTCGTGACTGTACGTGAATGTATCGCGTTCGCTTGTTGAACGCTGTGTTTTGCCAGTTAATGTTTTGGATTCTGTCCAATTCATTATCGACATTCTCTGCCAGTTTCTCCATTGGCTTGGATGTTTTCGCACTGGCATAGACTAAATTTCAAACTCGTTGCTGGGCACCTGGCTCTGAGATGTCGTCTTGACTTGTCTTGGAGGAGCCGGGAATCAGCTGTAGCTACAAACCACCATGTTGAGATGCTGCTTTTTGCGTCCATTACTGACAACCTTTTGCACCTGTAATCACTATTTGTGTGCTTTTGCCACATCCGAGCATTATTACCAGCACAACTATGGCTTTGGTTATGGCGGTCCTGTAGAGTTGCAGTGCTATAAATTGAACAAAGTCAAATGGCTGTGGCTATTTGGCTGTACCAAATCCACCGTACTGTAATATATCAAGATGGGTTTGAAGTGTACCAGTTATGGGCTGTTATTTGCGTAAAAGACTGGTCAGCTTTAAACCAGCAAGAAGGACATATGGGCTATCAATCTCTATTGTAATATCCCTACAGGAGTACCTAAATATATGATTTGTTAATGTTTGCTATACAAGTGTTTGCTCTGTCAGCTTATCTCCAGTCACCATTATGCGCATGGGAAGCAAACAAACGTTAGCAACTCAAGCTCACTATAGGACCGGAGCACAACTCCGGTGGCGCTCGCAAGGACGAAAGCAGTGGGGTTCGTCTGAGAACGATGTGCCAAACATGGCCCTGTTGGTGCAATTAGGAGAGGTATAATAATATTAAAAGAATATAAGTTAATACATCGCGAATCGAAAGCGCGTTGTCGAAGTAACATGCCGTTTCGCCCTTCCAGGTGTGTATAGCAGTCTACTTTTGCTACGTCGATCGCCGTTTTGGTTGGTGATCGTAGAATGGGCATATATGGGGGCCTGGGTGTGGTGGTTTAGTGATCAGAAGGCTACTCTTGTTGTAAGGGATTGCGTATAAACCGACAATTAAAAATACAAAGATATATTCTCAAATCTTCTTTGCTTTAAATGAATAGTCCTAGATTGCTATTGCAGAATTCAATCGACGCGGGATGGCGCACATACGGTTGTCACCCCGCGTCGACTTGCCTGTTACCAATGGTTTCCCGCAGGCAGCTGGCTAGCTTGCCCCCACCTCAAACTTTGTATTGCCTTTGCTCTTCTTGCTCTGCGTTAAACATTGCCACTCTATCTACTCAGATAACCGCGAATAGGAAACTGCTTGACTGATATCTGAACCTTGTCACTACTGTTTGCATAGCTCCTTCAACGTCGTTGCCCCCAAGATCAGGAATGACAACAAGCAGCACGTCCACGCCAACTCGTCACTCGCCCCGCGCGAGCTGCTAAGCTTGACAATCTTGCCCAGAAGATTGATCGCTGTTTGGTCCCAGAGCGCACTACCCACAGACTTTCAGGTCAGATGCTTGCGTGAATATGGAAAACCAATCAAGCGATAGCAAGCCTGCTGAAAGCAGCTTGCCTGATAGCCGTCGACAGCAGCCGCCTTCAAACATCGACTTGGCACAGATCCCCCCGCCGACTCCGACCTCTCGCTTCTCTGGAGGTATCTACTCGCCATTATCCGAGGGAATGGGTCATACCTCTGCCGCCTCAGATATCTCCGGGGATGCAGTCTTCCCCATACGATCTGTTATCAGCGTCGACCCATCCAATCAAGCACCAGCGACTATTGATTCTAATAATGACCGATTCCGACACTCGCGCCGTAATACAATCGCATCAAGTGGAATCACTGGATCTACAGGTGCAGAGCTTCGCGAAACAGCTTCCGTAACTCCGAAATCTACTCAGCGGGCACGTCAAGGCGGCGTCTCAAGAATACAAGCTGATGCTGATCGTCATGGATCTGCAGCTCCTATTGAGCTTGACATTGGCGTTGAAGATGAAAAGGACGCGGAAGAGGCGGAACCAACATCAAAACCTGGAGTGTCAGGTGTTGGGCAGACTGAAATAGCATCGTCCACTGCTGATGGTATCACTGGGCACGTCGCTACTCGATTTAAGCACGTGGAAACGGCCGATGGCCATTCGGTAATTACCGGACGCGATGGTACTCTGCAGCGATGCGAAGATGAACCGATTCACACTCCTGGAGCTGTCCAAGCTTTTGGTGTCCTGCTGGCGATGCAGGAGGATACAGATGGACGCTTTGCTGTCCGGTATGTCAGCGAGAATTCTGAGCGTCTACTTGGATATCGCCCGGCTCAACTGTTCAATCTTGGAAATTTTCTTGATATTTTATCCGAGGAGCAACAGGACAACCTTCTCGACCATATCGACTTTATTCGTGATGAGGATGCCGATCCGGTTAGCAATGGCCCTGAAATCCTTAGCTTGTCTATTAGACACCCCAGGGCGGTTAAGTCTGTGAAGCTTTGGTGTGCCATTCATATTAATCCGGTCCACCCGAACTTGATTATTTGCGAGTTCGAATTGGACGATGATCAAGAGTTTCCACTACGCCCGCCGGATGAAACGATATTAGATGCCCCTGTGGACACACTCGACAGCAATCCAACACGGGAGGAGATCGAAGAGAGCACCGAAATGCTTAGCAAGCCACTCCGGATTTTACGAAGTGCTAGAAAACGACGCGGAGAACAAGGGGCAATGCAAGTATTTGATATTATGTCGCAAGTCCAAGAACAACTGGCTACTGCGCATAATCTCGAGCGATTTCTCAAAGTCCTGGTAGGCATTGTCAAAGAACTAACAGGGTTCCATCGCGTCATGATTTACCAGTTTGACTCATCCTTTAATGGTAAAGTCGTTACGGAGCTCGTAGATACAGTCCAGACGAAAGACTTGTACAAGGGCCTGAACTTTCCGGCTTCCGATATCCCTGCACAAGCACGAGAGCTATACAAGATCAACAAGGTTCGTCTCTTGTATGACCGGGATCAGGAAACGGCTCGTATTGTTTGCCGCACGAAGGAAGATCTCGCCATTCCACTAGACATGACACACGCATACCTGCGAGCAATGTCACCTATCCACCTGAAGTATCTTGGTCATATGGGAGTACGATCGTCCATGTCCATCTCTATTGATGCTTTCAATGACCTTTGGGGCCTAATCTCATGCCACTCATATGGAGGGCATGGAATGCGAGTTTCCTTTCCGATTCGGAAAATGTGCAGAGTAGTTGGAGAGACTGCGTCGCGCAACATTGAACGTCTTACGTACACAGCTAGACTGGAAGCTCGTAAGCTCATCAATACGTCGCCGACAGATAAGAATCCGTCGGGATACATTGTTGCTTCGTCAGACGATCTTTTGACACTATTTGATGCCGACTTCGGTCTATTGTCCATCTCCGACGAAACTAAGATTTTGGGTCGCATGCAACACTCGCAAGAAGCACTTGCGCTTCTTGAATACTTAAGAATGCGGAAATTTACTTCTGTAACTGCCTCCCAAGATGTCAAAGTTGACTTTCGAGATCTTCGGTATGCCCCAGGATTCCAAGGAATTGCAGGATTGCTTTATGTGCCACTGAGCGTTACCGGTAATGACTTCATCGTCTTTTTCCGCAAAGGCCAAGTTGAAGAAGTGAGATGGGCCGGCAATCCGTACGAGAAACAGATTCGCGAGGGTACTGCTTCTTATTTGGAGCCTAGATCAAGTTTCAAATGTTGGAAAGAACTTGTGATGGGCAAGTGCCGTGATTGGAAAGAGGAACAGGTGGAGACCGCAGCAGTGCTGTGTATTGTATATGGTTAGTTGACTTCAATTTCTTTTATTTGGTGATCGGTGCGATTGGCTAACACTTTGATAGGCAAGTTCATTGAGATCTGGCGACAAAAAGAAGCAGCGCTTGAAAACAGCAAGCTCACGAAGCTGCTATTAGCAAACTCTGCTCATGAAGTACGAACCCCTTTGAACGCCATCATTAATTACCTAGAGATTGCGTTAGAGGGGCATTTGGATGACGAGACACGTGAAAGCCTGTCCAAATCCCACTCAGCCTCGAAGTCGCTGGTTTATGTAATCAACGATCTCTTGGACTTGACCAAGGCAGAGGAGGGTCAAAATCTTATTACGGATGATGTGTTCCAACTCTCAAAGTGCATTAAAGAAGCTACCGAACCGTTTCATGACGACGCAAAGAGAAAGGGAATTGCCTATGAAGTTGTGATCCACCCCGATCTACCCGACCTTGTCAGTGGTGATGGCAGACGTGTTAGGCAGGCCATCTCCAATGTCGCCGCTAATGCAATTGCTTATACGGAGAGCGGCTTTGTCAAGATTGAAGTCTCCCCAATTGACATCACGCCGGAATATGCAACATTGGAATTCGTCTTCACCGACAGTGGCATTGGCATGGATTCGAACCAGATCGACGGCTTATTCAGAGATCTAGAACAAGTGTCTGCTCCTAATTCGGACGTCAACCTTGGAGAATCGCAGACTCTTGGTCTCGGTCTTGCGCTGGTTGGGCGAGTTGTACGAACGATGGACGGGCAGCTCAGGGTAAAGTCCGAGCGCGGCAACGGGTCCAGGTTTGTAATACAGTTACCGTTCCATCTACCTCAAAAGGAGCCTTCAACATCCGCTGAAGCTTCCCATGAAAGTCTTGCGCCGATACGACCCTCAGTACCGCGACAGCAGCACTCTACAGGCGAAGTCATGCTTGTTACCCGTAGCAGTGCAGATGTTGTGCGTCCGGCTGTGCGAGACGCTAGCATTGGCAGTGGGAGCAGACGAAGCGGTAGCCAAGGTAGCCAGGACAGCAAGCGAAGTGACGCAGATCGTTTGATTGACGCTATTTCAACGCCACTATCCCGCCGTGAAAGCCGCACATTACGCAGAACGTCTCTGGACAATGTGTCCCACGCAACAACAGGTGAAGTGCCAGCTGAAGATATACAGCCCGGTGAGGAGCCGCAAAAAGCGAAAACTGTGGACGAAGAGGACAAATCAAGGCCCGCAGCAAACGTTCCAGGAACCACAAAACTTGTTCAAGAATACCAGGGAACGACATCGCCCGCAGTCAAAGAACCTAAGTTGGTCGAGCTACCAGCTGGTGCGAGGGTAAGCATCGGATCAGAGGCTGGCGCAAACAATGTCAAGCCACTCAGAGTACTCATCGCAGAAGATGATCCCGTCAACATGAGGATTCTGAAGACTAGGCTGGAGCGAGCCGGACATCAAGTTTACGAGACAGTCAACGGCCAAGACTGCGCCTCGTTCTTCGAATCAAACAGCAGTCAAGTAGACATTGTCCTCATGGACATGCAGGTAAGTGCATGCATATGCTTTATGAACATGTAGCAGACCGTTGCTAACTTGATCCACTTCTAGATGCCTATTGTCGATGGTCTCACGAGTACAAAGCTCATCCGTGAGCTGGAAGCCAAGCCGACTATTAGTGGCTCACCGATCTCTAAACAATGCGGACGCGTACCCATTTTTGCCGTATCTGCTTCGCTCGAGGAATCCAAAATGACAGTCTATACAACGGCAGGATTTGACGGGTGGATCTTGAAACCAGTCGACTTCAAGAGACTCAGTACGCTGATGACAGGAGCTCATCAGGAGGAAACACGCAAGGAATCCGCGTACGTCCCAGGAAACTGGGAACGCGGAGGATGGTTTTGTAGCAGTGAAATAGTCCTGGATCCCGAGGCTTGAAGTGTATACAAGAAGAAAAGAACCACTGGTTGGTTTGATGGGCAGTTGAGCGAGATTATTTTGGGTTTGCATTTTCAGTTTTGGTCATTACGAAGCATCAGGAACTCGGCGTATACGAAACGACTTTCATGATTTGATTTTTGATTTTTCTGTATTGATTTACTTGTTGGGAATATACGGCGCGTTGTGGCAAAACAAGGTTTAAAATATACGAATTAGACCAGGGTGTAGAAAAAGAGCAGCGAGTGCATATATGTGCTATGAGATACACTTGATAGATATACAACAAGAACATGCTTTGTGTTGGGCTATCCACTCTCTCTCAACAAGGATTTCCAGAAAATAGTACTCAGAAGACACCAGGACTAATACGCTTATGTGTATTTGGTTTGTATTTGGTGACGTTATGGGGACAATCCGTCTAGGTAACGACGCTATATAGCACATATATACTAAGAAATACATTTTGATAGGTGAGAGGGCTGATTAACCAATACAGCACGTTCGCTTCCACGCGCTACGTCGCTTCTCTTCATAATTTTCTTCTCGAACATTATGCTGGCCGACAATCGTCAAAAAGACCTGATCCAGTGTTGTTGGGCTGACACTGAAGTGGCTGATGCCGAGTTCTTGCTTGTGCTCCTCCAACAGAACAACAAGCTGTCCAAGGGCACTCTGAGTTTCTCTGGTATTATTCACATCTGCATCATCCTCAGATCCCAGACTCTTCTCAGAAACCTCGCGACCAGAGAGCGCGAGGATATCGGCTGCTCGCACGGAGAATCGGGTTTGGCCGTGGTAGCTTTTGTCTTCAACAGTGGCTGAGGGAAGTTTTGCTTGAACCCAACGCATGATTCTTTCCATCTCGGCATCCGACGTTCGAGGTGCTGTGTTTGATACAAGATGGACGTGAAGATCATCACCAAAGCGTCGGCGGAGGTTATCCGGCGTGCCAAGTGCGAGCATTCGGCGTGCAATAATACCAGCTCGGCCGGCAAGAGCATCAGCTTCCTCCATACTATGAGTCGTAAGAAGGATGGATCGTCCAGGTACTGTGGCCTCCAAAGTCTTCCACATAATTCGCTTAGATGCTGCGTCGAGACCAGAGGAAGGCTCATCCAGGAGCACGACAGCGGGATTACCCATGAGAGCAATACCGAGACTGAGCTTTCTCTTGTTGCCACCAGACAGAGCAAAAGCCATGCGAGTTTCAAATGCTGTGAGACCAACAGCTTCCATGATTGCCGTGACATTGTGTTGAATGTCTGCAATACCACGAATCTTGGCATAAAATTCCAGGTGCTCACGAACTGTCATTTGATCCATGGCATCAATCTGAGGGCAGACACCTAGATTCTGGCGAGCGGCAGCAATATTTCTAATAACAGATTTATCTTCAACAAAGATGTCGCCGCCATTGTGGCTAGGCTTCAGGTCTCCACGGATGAGCGAGATAGTTGTGGACTTTCCAGCGCCGTTGGGGCCTAGCAATGCAAAGACTTCACCGCGTTTGATGCCAAAGGTAACATTATCGACAGCTGTGTTCTTGCCGAAAGATTTGGTCAGGTTCATGACTCGGAGACCGTCATGAGTTCCAGCGTCGCTGTTGACACGTGCCAATTCGTTTGCAATCTCCTCATCATTGTCGTTCTCTGTTGCATTGTCGTGGTGACGTTCGAAAAGACTGCGGATTGATGACCCAGGGGATCCACCATCAAGCCAGATGAGCAGGCCGAAGAGTATAACAGCTTGGACAACAAGATAAAGAATAGGACCACCATACGCCAGCAAGCCCCCAGGATTGCTTGATAACTCGTTGCCATCACAAGCTGTAGAGAACAGGTTGGTTACCAGGAAGACAGCTCTCATAGCAGAGCCTATGGGAGCAACGGCAGAGATAACGAAGTGGGCGATGTGAATGGCGGAATCCATCTTGCGAACAGAAACATATGTCAAAATGCAGACGTATGCAATGAGATAGATGAGGAAGCAAACGCATTGGCCAACGGCAGCCCAGGCAAAGGTAGCCAGCTGAGATTTGGCATAGAGGGAGATGATATAAGACAGGAGCGTTGAAGTCAACCCGTATAGGAAAAAGACGATAAAGATGTACTCGATGTGATACCAAATGCCAGAAAGTCCACTCCAGAGGGCGGTAACGATTGCCGAGCTCAGTAGCACAATGATAAAGTCAAAGAGCAGATACGAAACCCACAAAGGGAACGGGTGAACGCCGTTGGAGTATTGGAGGGCGCGGACAAAACGTCGTCGTTCGTTGCTAGGATACAAGGCAAAGAAGGCAGGATAGATGGAGAGGGCGAGGCCAATGTAGATGGCAAGGTTCAAGGCGTCTCCAATTCCAGGGTTGAAAGGAACATCAAATGATGACCAGGTAGTGGCGATGGAAGTGTTGGTGCGAATAACATCCATGAATTGCTGTGCGCTGAGAGAGCTGGTAAGATAAAGGTTGCCGACCCAAGCAAAGGTTGGATCCACGCCGTCACCTCCGAGCCATAGGCCAGTTGTCACATTCTTGCGATTGTTTTTGATAAAATCATCGAATAAGGCATAGCTGTCAACGATTTTCAGGTTTTTGAGAGCAGCACCTGCGGCAATACTACTAACGCCCTTGATGCCGCCTAAGATGGGCTTGAAAAGCTGCAGAAGGTTGTTCTGGGAGATGGCAGAAGAGGGACCCGCAACGAACATGATGACCTTGTCTGATTTAACCTGACTAAAGGCATCTTGTGTGCTGGATTGAGAAACTTGGTCGAGAGGCGAACAACCAGTCTGAGGCTTGCCCTTGACATAGAGTGAAGTGAGTGCTGCAGCGATGATAGGCAAGATGAACGCAACGAAATACAGGATCCAATTTCGCTTGAGAATGATTAGACGCTTCGCAAAGAGGATCCTTGCCTGTTTGAAATAGCCAATGCGTTGACCATCCACGAGGGTTATTCCCTGACGTTGAGATGCGCTTCGTTGTGACTTCGCATCGTCTGGCGTCTTTTCAGATGCTCCGACAGCCTTTTCACTACCACGCATGATTTCTTCGTCCCTGATTTCTTCCGCCAATTGAAGGAACACATCTTCAATGGTAGGGCCAGAAAATCGGTAATCGTGGATACCGACCGCTTCAAGCTCTTTGATAACATTTGCGGCCAACGCGGAGGCAGGTGCCGTGTAGGTGACCATGTCAAAAGCATCGACCTTTTTGACTTGAGGGACAGAAGGCATAGTCTTTTGACCAGAGGATTTGTACGCATGGACACGGTATCCACCACCAAGAGTATCCTTGAGCTCAACCGATGAACCGGCCGCACGCAGCGTACCCTTGGAAAGAATGGCGAGATGGTCTGCGAGAAGGTCGGCCTCGTCGAGGAAATGGGTCGTGAGAATCAAAGTACGCTTGCCACGCTCGGCGAGAAGGATATCCCAAATCTTGCGACGAGAGAGTGGGTCGAGGCCGCTGCTAACTTCGTCAATACAGCAGACGGCACTACCACCAGTCAACATCATGCCTAGTTGAAGCTTACGCTTCTGTCCACCAGATAAAGTCTTTGATAGAGCCTTTCGCTTGGTCCACAGGTCGATAGCCTTGATGAGAGCGTGTATTTCCTCCGTAGTCGCTCTGGTATTGGGGGACTTGAGGCGGTTGAAGATGCGGAGATGTTCTTCAACGTTCAAATCGTCCCACAGCACATTCTTTTGAGGGGCAATGCCGAGACCACCAGTTCCATCAATGGTGATAGAACCGCTTGTCAACTTATGGAGGCCAGCAATAGCATCAAGAGTTGTACTCTTACCACTGCCGTTGGCTCCTAGGAGACAAATGATTTGCCCACGGCCAGCCTGGAAGCTTAGCTTATCGACCGCAACTACCGGCTCTGAGGCCTGGCCAAAAGCAAAGAGTCTTGTGAAGAAACCAGGCTTATATACCTTTGTGAAATTTTCAAGCACAACGGCATTGTCACCCATGGCCTGTTCTCCAGATGAACCAGTTACCAGTTTGCGTCCTTTAGTGGAGGTTCCGTAAAAGCCGCGCTCGACAAATGCACCAATGAGGGGGTAAACGATAATTTGGATAATCATCAGAATCCAAAACACAATACCTGTAAGCTGCCAAGACGAGCCTTTGGGGATAGTGGTGAGGTTAGCGCCCATATCACGCTTTTCGAACCGGGCCATGTGGATGATGAAGAAGACATAGTTGCAAGGCGCAAAGATGGCTGATAAGATGGCTACTGGAACAGTTCCAGGTCGGGTAAGTGCTTGAGCGAGAATTCCCAGCAGAAGCGTTGATAGGGTTGCGGTGATACCACTGAGTTGGGCCTTTTTGAAGAAGGAAGCAAACAGAATCGACATGGACGCAAACGACGCGCCGGCGAGGATCTGATAAATCAGAACAATGGCGATGCTAGTGTTGGGAAAGAGACCGTAGCGGATAATCAGAGATCCAATCACCCATGCTGGAAGGTAGATGAGAGAGAAGGATAGGTGGTGGGAGATGAATCGTGCTGCTTGGCCGAGGAAGGCCCATCGGACTGGCATCATGGCGTCAATCAGCTGAGACATGCCACTTTCCCTCTCTGAGGCAATGATTCCCGTCAAATGGTACGTAATCCATATAACGTTGGCGATGAATGCCACACCCATAAAGTTAATGACTGCATTGTGGAAGAGCTCTCGAACCTTGGTGTCGCGCTCTTCACTGGTGAGACTAGTGAATGGGTATTCCTTGATGTTATCCAGCGCGGTCTTGCTACCGGGGTTTGCATCTTGTCCAATAATAGCGTCAATGGTGCGCTGGATTGGCAGCAGATAGACTTGTTCGACATTGTCGTTTTTGTTGATATTGATCGTAACAGCGCTGGTATAAAAGGCGGCGTCGGTTCTAATGGTGTAGTTCCAGATTCCTCCTGGGCCTTCATTTGGTGAAGATCGCATAACAACGGCACCAAAGCAACGCGTAACACCACGAAGAGTGCTTCGGCATTCAAGAGGTAGGTTGGTTTCGTTACTTAGGTGCACAATGTCCACGGCGGAGTTGGCATCTTTAATGGCGGTCTCAACTTCATTAAGAACACGATCAATGTTTCCTCCGGTAAATCCATTGTTTATTAGAACGATCTTGTTGCGATCTTGCCGTACGCCAATACGCAAAGCGTCTCCGATGCTCATAACGGGATAGGGCTGCGATATACCATACTTGGCGGGAGGGGCGAAGAGATTTTTGGCAAAGCTGAAAAATGAGGCGAGGATAAGAGGAACCAAGAAGGCCATGAATATGCAGAGCGTCAAGTGACGGAAGAGCATGGTGCGCAAGTTTTTGGACATGAGCGTCCAGACCTGCCTGAAGAAGGCCATGATGGCGGGAGCGTTCTCGGGACGCGGGCCGATAGCAGTATGTTTAGTTTCGTATGTTTGAAATATACTTGATAGAGAGTAATATCCGGGCTACCCGATGGTAAACAGAGTAAGGGCGAGAGCGGTGGTTGGAAGAATGAGGCGTTCGTAGTAACGAATGGTGATGTCGATGACAACCAGGGATACTTTGTTGCAGATTGGTTGTGAATTGCACGGCGTGTAGGTTTATAAAGGTAAAAATAAAGCCCTAAACATCAGGACCACAGATGAAGCGAGATAAACATAAAAATAAAGAATAATCAACAAAAAGAGCGCGGAGAGTTAAAGTTTAGAGGTGCAGAGTTGAAAGCACGCAGCCGCAACACAGCGCCGACAACGCGTGCAGGGGGGATCTGGCGACGAACAACGTTTAAAAGAGGAAAAAAAAAGAGAGAAGGAGCATCGTCCGTCGAACGACTCAAGCACCGAGTGGCCGCTATGACAGCACCTCCGTCGGCCCATAAAACTCGAATCTACAGCGGTGCCAGCACTCATCCGGAGGCGGGCCACAGCGGGTCCGGCGCCAAGTTTCGCTGTTGCTGGCTGTGCGAGACCGAGGGCGCGGCGCAGACAAACACCTACGGTGCAGTACAATAGCGCTGTGGGCACGCTGTTGCAGGGGGGGGCTGACCACTGATAGAATGCTGCCAAGCACCCCAACCCACGGCCTGACGTTCCGCGTATTGTCCACAGGAAGTGATGACGCAAGCCGCGTCGCTGCGGAGTTTGCAAATGCTGGGCTGACTCTGAACGAGCAAAAAAAAAAAAAAAAGGAGAACTGCCACTATTGGACTGGACTGCGATTTGCTGCGCCGCAACGAGCTGTACCATGTTTTTTTTATTACAACATGACGTGCTCGTGTAGATTGAGTAGCTAAGACTGCTGAAGAGATAAAGTTTCGTCTGATGGCTGTGTTCTGGCCAAGACAGCTTGGCAGAGTAAGTTAAGTTACTATACTGGAATAAATCTAAGATTGTTACTTCTGTAATACTGTGCTTCTTCGTCGTCTGCTTCTTATTTGGTGGTTTCCATACATCCCATGCTATCTGATACGTGCTGATGTGTACACCACTGCATAACAAAGACATTGATCCTCGCATGGATCTCCCTTTCGGCTTCGGATCCGGGACCCAGTTTGCGCCGACAGTCCGACTGCACCAATCAGACACCAGACATCAACCACACCAACGTACGCTTTGAAAAATAAAAAGGATTGTATTGTAATATTGCTATAAATATACAACAGGCGGCGGCTAAATAAATCACAAATACGGACTCAATCCGCCCGCTTCATTCTACAAGGAAGCCGCCGCCTGCATCGCTGTCGTCGCCGTCCATCATATCAAACTCCTCCGTCGCATCGCTCGGAGCGTCTTCCATGGCAGCATCCAGCGCATCTTCAGCTTCAGCCTCCTTGTCTGCCGCGTGTCTTTCCTCAGCGCTGACACCGCTCCAGATCCTCTCTCGTATCCGGAGACCCATCATGAATCTGCGCCACATCTTGAGCGCGGCCAGTGTTCTACGTTCCTCTTCCATCTGTGCTTCCAAGTCGCCCAAGCCGTCGACAATGGCATAGATAGCTTCTGCAAACTCTGAAGCAACAACAATACCGCTAAGCACCGCCGTTCCTTGTCGACCCTTGAAATCAAACCCAGTAAGTGCTGGGGCGTGGTCGATACCCGCGAGGAAGGCTGCTCTCCGAGCCTGTTCATGGACAATGTGCACGCCGCCCTTGGGCACCATGCTGGGAACGTAGACCTCGATATTGCCAAACTTGTTCTTTGGCACCCTTCCGTTCCGTACAGGAGGCGGTTCGTATAATTCTGTTTGATCTTCTGTGTAAATGGGTACCCCGCCTCCTAGGTTATCGTTGTCGTCGTCGTCATCGTCGTCCCCAAATCGATTGGGTTTACGACGCACCTTTTTTGGTAGCCATTTGGCCGGGATTTCGTTGGGTTTTACCTCCCGACCGAGGCGATACCATTTGTCTACCGTCTTGGCCACACGTACATCCCGGCGCCGGTAGATCTTCTCCAAAGCACCTCGCGGTCCAGAGTTGATAGTCCCTGATGGAGTTGCGTCAGGGGTCAATACTTCATGACGTCGCATGTGCCTTTCCAGTGCAAATACAGGATGGCCCTTAAAGTCCTGTACATTACGGGGCATGGGCTCACGCATCTCAATACCAGCCAGTTCATTGGTCTCAATTTGATCAAGGTCTTTGGTCCATCTGGGGCGATAGAGCTTCATAACCCGACGCCACCATTCACTGTCATCGCCTTCAACAGCATCGACTCGAAGCTTTCTAGTCTTAGCGGCATATGCTTTGGCGTAGCGGACAGTCACATCCCTGGCAGAGCCGTCTGCGTCAAATGCCACCACATAGCTCATGCTATTTTCCTTGTCGGTAATTGGAGGCTCGAGACTTTTCGGCTTCCAGAATGTATGCGTGACGACGGGGTCGGCAGGTTGCCACTTCTGATGGCCTGTATCAAGCACCTCAACCCAATACACCGGGTATAGTGATTCGCGTATTTTCCGTGGCTGACTGTGCGAGGGTGTGGCTTTGACAGGCGATCTTGAAGGTTCAAAGTTGTACGCCGCAGCGTTCGGGTGCCCTAGGCGTCGTTTCGCGCTCAAGCCGGTTGCTAGATGATTGTTCTCTGAAGCCACCGCCGCCTTTTGTTTCGCAATTTGCGCCAGAATTGCATCAGTCTTTTTCGCTTTTTCTGAAACCTTGCTGGGTTTAGGCTTTGGTAGAGTTGGTGCGCCAGACCCAAAAGCTAGTGGTTGCAAGGAACACACAAGCCTGGCTCGCACACCTACGCTTCGGAGGAGCGCGCAGTACAGTTGAGCTCCTACATCTCGGGAGCCTTGTAATAAAGTGGCCGCTTCTCTGAATGCTTCTCTGTCCATGCAGGAGTCAAGGTCATCTGCCACAGTGTAGTGGTCGAGTTGCTCCGGATCCTCCGCCCAAAGTGCTCGTCGCATGCCACGTTCCGTAATTTCAAAATTCAACCTCCAAACTTCTGCAGCTTGTTTTAGTCCAGTTTTCAGACTTTCCATCTGCCCAAATTGAGGTAGATGTGAAGCCGGGGTGAGATATTTTGCCGTCTTCTCGGAGAGATGCTTCCTTAACGAAGCTTGCACTTTCGCGTCGTTGCACCAGTGATTGCGCCGCGCAACATGTGACAGTAAACACAAAATGTGCGTCTTATGGATATGAGTGCGTTTCTCTCTTTCTTCTTTCGAAATTGGCCTCCGTCGTTCAGCAGCATTCTTTGCCGGCGCCAGCGCCGCCTTCTGGGCTGTCAAGTTGAGCTCTAGGTCTGCTCCCAGTGCATTCTGTGACTTTGGTGCTTCGGCAATGTTGATTCCTATGTCCTCAAAGTCTGCATCCTCATCGGAATCGTCGTCATCTTCCGAGTCCATCTCCATAGTCTGCACATTGATTTCTGGGAGCGCGACGTCCTCAAACTCCATGTCTTCGTCACTTTCGGCTTCCGATGGCTCCTCTTGTGGTTGCTTGCCTTCGTGAGTAGACGATTTCGTATCTGATGCGACCACGGTAGCGTTCTTATCCCGTCTCATGCGCTTAATTGGCCGCTGAGGCATGGAGGAGCCCTGGCCAGCCGCGACACCAGCCTCAGCGAGCATCTGGGTATATATGTCACCCTGAGTCTCATTTGGTGTCAATTTGTTGCTTGCGCCTCCTCGGCCTCTTAGGGCACGCTTTCTTCCTGTCATCTTTCCAAGCGTATCATTTTCAGCTTGGAAACTCAACTAGCGTGTGGTGTTCGATGAGAAGAAGATTGTTGATAGTGGTATCAACTGAGAGCCACCGTGAATCACGGTTCAATGTACAATCACGTGACGATCGTTAACACCAATATCGTGTTTGCCTTTCTCAAATATTCTGGGATTATTGTATAGTAGAGGGATTTATTTTCAATTGGAGTGGTCTAGATCTTAGAGATAATTGATTTACGAATTATTTACAAACCTAGCGAGGGGTGATGTTTTTCTAGCCCAGTCGGCCACGAACGGTGCAAGCGCTGCGGATTGAGGCGTGTAAGAGATAAGTCATATATATTTAACAATGTTTCGAGCATATATTCTGCATTTCCTCGACAAGGTATAATGAAAGTTGGAGGAATAGGACAACTTAAACAAAGGAAATCGCCTGCCATAAAAACTAAACTCAACCGAGACTCCCAAAGATAACCCGAAAACAAAAGGCTACCCTACTGCAGCTTATTTCGTCAACCAACCCAAATAGTCGGCAACAATAAGAGTGACCATTCTAAATAGCTTGTCAGTATACCTTCATAGATTAGAGTAGATGATAGAAAGAACTTACGCATGAGGAGCAATGCGAACATAGTATGTACCAAAGCCGCGGTAGAATCGGAGGACGCCTTCCTTTCTAGCAACCGTGGTGAAGCAGTCGACCATGCCCTTGTAAGGGAGCTTGCCGTCTGGGCCGCGTTGTTGCTTCTGCAGACGAGTCTTGACAAAGTCGAAAGGCAAGCTGAAGAAGGAGGCAAAGAAACCAGCAATGGCGCTGGCACTGAGTGTCTGGAGACGCGGGTTAAGGTCGGTGTTTTGCTTGAGCTGGGCCTTGGCTTCGCTGAAGAAGGCGAGCTGACCAAAGTTGAGGGCCATGGCACGGGCAACAGTAGGGGCAGCGCCCGCCCAGAGAGCACCAATACCTTCGCTCTTGGCAATGGATGAGAGAGCGTCGATGACGGACTTGTAGTTCTTTCGTTCGGCGAGAGGCTTGAGACCATCACTCTGCATTCTGATCAATGCCAGATCAGCAGGGTTGCCAATCATGGCGGCAATACCACCTGCGGTAAGACCAGCAGTAGCACGCTCCTTGAATCCAATCTGGCGTCCCTGCTCATTAGCTCGGGCAGTGAGGGAGCCCATGAATGTGTCGAAGAAACCGAGACGAGCAGTGGTGTAAACAGCCTGACGCAAGAGACCAGCGCTAAGGCCAGTGTAAAGATCCATGACCTTGCCACTGGCAACAATCTGGCGAGCGACGGCAAAAGGGCTGGTCTTGGGCCCTCCAGCAGTACCTTCGCCGGCAAGCTGGATGCGGACCTTGACCATGTCGACGGGTTGAACAACAGTAGTTGCCACCATACCAGCTAAGCCACCATTGATGAAGGGCAGAGCTGCTCGCATATAAGGTGTGTGAATGAAATCGGCAACCTGCTTGCCAGTCTCACTGCGTCGAACAGCTCCCATGACTTCTGAGCCCTTGGATCTGGCAGACTCAGCTGCTTGCTTCAAGGTTCCTGTAGTCATTTTGTCTAAGGTCGAAGGGAAAGACGGTTTATAAACGGGGGATAATGCTCGAATATATACGACGGGCGATCTATGGGTGCAGCTGCTCAACACAACAGAATGTTAGCGGAAGTTGTCATTTTACCAATAGCCAAGGCCACGCCCACGCCCTCAGCCCAATGATACTGCTCCTGTTGAGAGGCGTGCATTTGCATAGCCGTCCGCCATCCGGCGTCGGAAGCGGTGATATCACACCATCGCCGATAGGCCGCGTAGAAGCGAGGACTGGACGAAGAGCCGCACTGCGCTGTGGCGTTGACAGGGCTCATCCGATGGGCCAAAGACAGGGCCCCGTTGAGGCTCGTTGTGGGCTCCCACCCAGCGTACAGTGGGCTCTGCAGTGGATATCGTGCTGCACCAGGATGGGCCCGCGATGTGCAAAGAGGGTCTGGCACTTACCAAAGAAAGCAAGTATACGTGCTATGCGGGCCAAAAAAAGACAAGGGAGGCTTCTTTCTGTTCGGGAGGCGCCAATCGATATGTTCTCGGGGCCAAGAATGTATTTCCGACACACCTGCGTTTGCTCCGTTAGTGATTTGCTCGGCGGGAGTCGGACGGCGAAGCAGCTGGTGGCCACTGAAGCGGGGGTGATGGGAGACGGGCGGGGGTGGATGTCCACAGGCAGAGCAGAACGGCAGTCACTCACAAGATACAAGCGAGAACAACAGCAAGCGATGCTGATTGCTGAAAGGACCAAGAAATGAATTGGAAGAAGAGTAAACAGGCTGGGTTGGAAGATGATCCTTTTGTGTGCGTATCCTTTTTTCTAGCGCGGTTTCGAGCAGCAGCTGGCTGAAAACGAATCGGGGCGTGAACCACGAAGCCTAAAGTCTAAATGAGACGAGAGCGACTGAGACGCAACGGTCGAGTATTGGAAATCACAGAAGAAAGCAACAAAGACCCTTTTTTTATTTTCTCGAAAAAGAAGCAAAAGAGGATGAAGATGTTAAATCATCAGGGGAAAAGGAGGCCCAAAATCATACTATTTAACGGGCGGCGTTTCTGTTTTGGAGAAGCGGCGCGCAAAGTCACCCTCCATCTTGCCCAAGTTGGCCTCATGACGCCCATCAACAGGCGGCTCAGCCAGTAGGCGAGCTTGCTTTCCGTGTTTACAACGCCAGTTGGTGTATACAGTATGCATCCCCCAAAGCTCACACGCACTTGACCATCCCGCCCGCCACTATTGGCCTCTTCAGCTGCGGGGTAACAAGACTGCGAATGAGCCATGGTGCCCTTGCTATTGTTTGATCAACTAACTTTATACAGTGCAAGTCCGTATCCCGAGATGCCGTGATTGTTCCGCCTGTTTTACGCCGCGTTGTTCGTGGCGCTCGTCATGTTGCCTGTTGTCTTGCAACTCGAGAGCGGACAACCGGATTCCCCATTGCTTAACTTAATCGCAGGACCATAATTGGTGCCTATATGCGCTCAACTGTATCGCCTCTGCTATTGCATATTCCCAACATGATAGCACCAACAAGAATCCATTTTTCGGGAGGAAACGGAGGCTCGTAGCAGCCACAGCGCGCCCCGGCAAGTCGACATCGGCATTGATGGCCGCTACAACTGCTTGGTTAGCGCTACCGGCCAGAGAGGTGTGCCCACCACTCGCGTGGAATTGCGGGGGGCTCCCCTTGCGTTCCAGTTGCTGCAGATCCGTCAACCCGACCCCATTGGGGCGGACGACGGCTATGCTTTCGCTTCGTTGGATGGGTATTCCGGTGAAACGGGTGAGGCTCAAGCGCAGGACCTCACCATTTGTCCGACGACCTTGATGAAGGACCTGGTGGTTAAGGAGGCTTAACGGATGGAATACCAGCCGGTTTCTGTGATCAACCGTCGCTTGCACAGTGTGATGGCTTGGGGAAATATCCTTTAAAATTGATTTCTGACTCCTAACTGTTACGTCTCGCATGCTGCTGCGCGGAGACATGGCCACTTCCGCGGGTATACAGCCACAAGGTTCGATCACCGGCAGCCTAGAACGCTTCCTGATGGCTGAGAGCCAACAAGCTCTTGAGTAAATCTAACCTGACCCATGACAGCCAATACCAGCCGCTAAATGGATAATTTCCGGGCCCATCAGCGATATCGCAATTGGGAGTCCCACCGGCGTCGTGGTGGTCGGTTGGTCGGTGAATCACGGCTACACGCGCCCTAGTAAAGGAGGCATCACGGCTGAGTAGCAACGGCACGGAATCATTACGAAATAACATGATGGTTCTAATACAAGAGTGGAGAGGAGTTGAAAATGACGGCCCTGGAAAAGAAGAGAAAGGGAAGAGAAAAGAAACCAGAACTGATGCCAATGCACCACAGGTCACGGCTTACGCCAGAACCCTCTAACCACACAAGATGGCACTTGGATACAGCAGAACAACAGGCAAGATTTTTTCTGTCTTAAGAGTGACTACATTGCAACGCCTTCCAACATTGACTTTAATGCCACGACTCGAACCATTTCATCCGAAGAGACATGGATAACATCGCCTGGCCCGCCGCTGTCTAAGCCCAGTGTCTACCAATCGGGAAGGTGTTTCGCTCCTAATGGCAGGCTCAAGAAACCCAGCTATAATCGCTTAATATGCAAATCTATCCAAATATAGATTTCTTTAAAGGTTATCATGGATTTTCTGACCCTGGTGACAAGACATGGTCTGAATAAACGGACAATAGCTGCACCCCGAGGTACGAGGTTGGTGACTCCCACTACAAAATGGTTTGCAGATTACCAACATCGCAAAGCGGCTACCGCGAGTTGGAAAAACGAAATTTTCGATTTTGGTATATGAAGTGATTACCAAAATTCGAGCCTAGCTAAATATCCTATGCTACAAAAGGAAGCCTATAATAGATATTTGCTATTGCCCGCCGGGCCCGCCGTTGCGATTCCCGATTTGGAAGCCATGGCGCCGCGGGAAACTTTTTTTGGGCGGCAGAAAAAAAATTAGAGGCAACGGAACGTCATTCTTAGCAAAACACCACAACGCGAGACACAGAAATGCCGGTGCCGAAGCGAAAGAGAGAAAGGGAGCCTTCGCTCAAGCAGCGAATCGAGAAGCTACAGGAAGAGGTCTTTAGAGCTCTCAAGGCCGCCAAAGGTTTCGAGCGACAGCGACTCAGCAAGCGACAGCGGGATGCCGACGTTGCTCCCGAGAAGCAACAGAGACTGGAACGGGAGATCGCCGTATTAAAGGTATGTCTGATGTCTATGGTTTCTTTATAGACAGATTGAGTCAATCCACAGCACGTTGACTAACCCTCGATTGCGTTACAGTCTCTCGACTTGCATCAGACAGCACGCGCCCACCTCTTCTCGTCGCTCCTCAAAGTCAAAACAATTGCAGCCTCCCCCGATTTGCCCGAAGAAATTCGAACAGGTGTTCCAAAGCCCGAGCTTTCAGAAGAGGAGAAAACATCACTACACAATGTCACTAGCGGTCTCTATAGCAGGCAGCCAGTGAAGCAGGCGGTTGATAAAGCCGTGCAGGCCGTCTGCATGGCCCTCAACGTAGACATGCCAGCAAAGGGCAAACGCATACGAAAGGATAAACGGGGTGAGGAGGACGCTGCTGCAGAAGAAGCCACACCTGCAAAAACATCCAAAAGCGGCAAGGATGTGACACCTGCAGGACGCAATGATGCTGCCGACGATACAGACATTACAGATTTTGAGGGCTTTGAATCAGACGACGATCCTGTTACGCCGGCAGTTCAACTCGACAGCGATGACGAGGCAGACGAAGAAGCCGGGTTCTCAAAATATAATCACTTGCTCGGCAGCTCATCTGACGAAGACGACGAGGGCGATAACGACGATGAGGAAGACAGATACGCCCATATTCGAGGACTGGAAAAGGCCAACTTGGACGATATTTCCGTATCAGGCTCTGCATCTGAGGCTGACTCGGACAATGAAGGAGATGCAGCTCAACCCTCACCGTCGTTGTCACCTGAGCCCGAGAGGAAAAAGGCCAAAAAGTCGGAGTCGAGACCAGCCAAATCTGCAGCCGCCCCAACAGGATCGACTTTCCTGCCATCATTAATGGGTGGTTACGTATCAGGATCCGAGTCGGCATCTGATGTGGACGTTGCGCCACAAAAGAAACGCCGAGGACAACGAGCGAGACGAGCCATTTGGGAAAAGAAGTACGGCGCGGGTGCAAAGCACCTGCAGGAAGCTGCCCAATCCGGTGACCAAGGGCGTGATTCGGGCTGGGATATGCGGAGAGGCGCTGTCGGTCCTGGCGATGGCGGGCGTCGCACACCTTGGAAGCAGGGCGTGAGCAACCCCTTTGATAAGAACAACAACAACAATCATGCGGGCAGCGGTAGATGGAACGGCAGAGAGTCATCGAGAAATAGCCACGGCTATAACAACAACAATGCAAGAGCCGAGGCTCCCCCGCGTCCGCCCCCCAAGAAGGACAACGAAGGGCCTCTACACCCCAGTTGGGAAGCCCGAAAGAAGGCTAAGGATTCGCAAAAGGGTGCGGCGTTCGCTGGCGCTAAAATCACATTTGACTAGAATGCGGCTCCTCGCAACTAATACTAAACGTAAAACCTTCCATATCGTGTGCGCAGCCTTCTTTCCCCCCCGTGTACCGAAATGTGATGGCGTGCACGCCAGACAACGCACACTAACGCTACTGCATGAAAACGCCCTGCAAGACAACTACGCAGACGCATGTTGTACCTACGACACCCACTCAGACTTCTAGCGCTCCCGTTGCTGCACATGTGCGGCCCCCATATGGCACTAAGGTCGAATACTACGCTGAGTGAGAGTCAAGCTGGAACCTATGCGACGCAGCCACCACCACCACGGATCGTCGCCAGACAGTCATGACGACGTTGCCTCTTCTCCTGTCTTAGCCGAACTACGCTGGTAGAGTTCTCTTGGCCATACGCTAACCATCGGGCCTTAGGAGCACCCCGAGAACTGTGGTATGTAGCGTGTCGGCCAACTTGGAAATGCCACAATGTATAAGACCCGTGGGCATTCTCCCGTTCGCCTCCAAGGAAGCTCCTTTCTTTCTAAAGGGCTTTCTGGAGTAGCCTATACCCTTCAAAGCTTGATCTTCATCAATTGTCTTTGAACGCCTTGCCGCTGTTTTGTGAAACAATCGGATCTGGTGGCGGATCTCCCAACACCATTCCATTCCTTTGCTATTCATACAATAGCTCCGGTTTCCCGACACACTCTTCTTCACAGCTGCCTATTCTTTCCTTCCACCTTTTATTCTCCCTCTCCCACTTACAACCCCCACGTCCCTTTTGGGTTCACATCATCAACCCAGATGCCGCGTATCGTCCAGGGCTGGGCACTAGCGCTATGGGCAACTTCTGCGCTAAGCTCAGCTTTCGCGGCGCCTGCCACGGCTAACGAGCCTCACGTCGCTAGGACATCCCAGACAGGAAATCCGTTTACTGGCGCCTTTGACAAGTACGCGGCACAGTTCCTCGAGGACTGGCACTGCGCGGGCATGGCGATTGGCATCGTTGACGGCGACAACGTGTTCACCAAGGTACGTATTTTTTGACGTCTGGTCGTTGTGTGTGTGTTTTTTTTTTGTGTCGTGTTGTCCAGAGTTCGCGCTCACAGGCGAGGAATGTTGCTGTACCATCCACTAACACGGGTTACCAGGGCTTTGGGTTTGCGACGCTACCTGACCACCCGGCTACGGCGGATACGCTCTGGTACGGAGCATCAACTACAAAGGCGCAATTGGCTGCAACCCTGGCGCACCTGATCGATGACAAGGTCTACCCCGCGATAAGCCCGCTGGGGTGGGAGACCCCGATTTCCAGCATTCTCAGGGACGATTTTGTCATGCAAGATGCCTGGGCCACTGCGCATGTCACCCTCAACGACGCAGCTAGCCACAGCAGCGGGTTTGGCATGCACGATGGCTCGCTGATGCATGAAAAGGACGGCAAGGCTCTGACTGCTCGCGACATTGTGCGGAATATCAGAAACTTGCGCCCGGCCACGGACCCGCGAACCAGCTTCATCTACAGCAATCACATGTATATCGTGCTGTCGCATGTTGTCGAAACCTTGACCGGCAGCGGAGTGGGCCAGACTATTCGCAAGTATCTCTGGGATCCTCTTGGCATGAGCTCAACATACTTTGGGTTGCAAGAAGCTGTGGATTCAGGAAAGCCAATTGCCCAAGGATACTACTGGGACAACAGCACGAGCGAGCATGTGGCCATCCCGTATGCGCATCTCGACGAGATTAGCGGCGCCGGCGCCGTGCTCTCCAGCGTCACCGACTACACGAAATGGATATCATGTCTGTTAAAGCAAAGCGCGCCTCTATCTGCCGCTGTTCATCAAGACATCAAGACGCCGCGTTTCGTTTCGGTCCCAGAGCCCCAGCTTGGCTTGGACATAACGCTGTACTCGCTAGGGTGGTGGCGGACAATGTTCCAAGGGCAAACTCTGTTCGAGCACTCGGGTAATACTCCGTCCCACGGCGCCCTCGTTTGGTGGTTGCCCGACATGCAATATGGCGTAGTCGTCTTTACCAACACGCCCAACTTCTCGCGCGAGATCATCATGCGCAAGATTGTCGAGGACAAGATGAACATTGACGCCAAGCGCCGCTACGATCTAGCCGGAGCCGTGGCCGTTCTGCAAAAGCAGATGGACGATGCCATGGCACACGCCGACGACCTTTTGTATCCCAATCGCACGGATTCCGCGCCACCGACGGGTAATATAGCCGACTTGGCCGGGTCATACCACAACGACGGCTATGGCGAGATCGAGATGCGTGTCGAGAACAAGGACGGCAAGGACGTGCTTGTCATTGAGCGGCCAAATATGACGTTTCCACAGCTCTTCATGATTCATCACGTTACAGGCGACTCTTGGACTGCCATGCTGTACCCACTGCACGCTTCGGCGACACCCCAAGGTTTTGGAGGCGTCAAGTTCACCTTTGACAAGAAGCATCGACCAACGGGGTTTGTGCTGACCATGCAGGGCGAAGAGATGGTGACGTATACGAAGGCCAAGTGACAATCGGATGCTCCACGTTTCATAGACGTTTTTTCCTATGTTGTAAATATGGTGTTGGGTGGCAGTCTACACATATACATGTATCCATGGTAAAGGTTATATACAAAGGTGGATTTCTTTTGCACGATAGTTCCAATGAGACATGTACATTTTATTCATATTTCTAAATTTTACTGTATTGGTGCATATACCATGACTTGAAAACAATAAAGCAAATATGTTCATTACGCCTTTGATGCTCGTGCCTTGTTGTCACGGTGTCGCTTCTCCTTGGCTGCCGTCTTGCGCCTCGTCATCCACGATCGGTTGAGGTCGCCTCTGTTTTCCCAGAACCACTTTTGGAAATCACTTGTTGCTGACGTAGCAGCACCTGTAGCTTCTTCCTCGTCTTCTTCTTGGACATCCTCCATCATCTCATCCTCCTGATCTTGCGCCCAGAATGGCTGTTTACGGCTGGGATGGACGCTGTCAGGCGTCGGGGCAGCACTGCGAACATTGCGCCACTCAAAGTCTTGTCGAGTAAACGGCGTCATGGGGACATTAGCTGCAGCATCTGTGCCGTCTTCGCCCTCTTCCTCAATGTCGGCGCCAAAGAAGCTGAAACCACCGGCGTCGCCAGAGTCAGTCGTCGTGGCTGCCTCGTCCTTGTTGCGTTTGTAGAGTGCTTCCAGAGGGTGTACTGCTTTAGGGGTCGTTGGAGGTGGTGGAATATCAATGGTTAGAGATTTAGCGGGACTGGATTTCTCGGGTTTGGCTTCGGCCTCGTCATCCGAGTCGGAAGATGAATCGCTGTCCGAATCACTGGAGTCGCTGTCTGACGAGTCGTCGTCTTTTGCTTCTGTGGGCTTTTCGGGCGCCTTGGGAACCCTGGCGTCATTTGATCCATTGATCTTTTCCTTAGTCTCGGCCTTCTCAGCCTGTTCCTCCTCGTCTGAATCGGAGTCGGAGTCGGACTCATCGTCTGATGATGAGCTTCCGCTGCTGCTGGTGTCATCCGAGTCCTCAGATTCTTCCACAACCTTGACGGGAGGCTTCTTATTTTTCTTTTCCGGCTTTGGGATAACCTTTTCTTTGACTTGTTCAACAACGGTGCCGTCCTCGTCTACCCATCCCTTGCCATTAACAAAGTCCGTCGCATCCTTTCCAGTCTTGTCTGGTACTGCCATCTTGAGAAAGCTGGGGAATTTGGTCGTCTTTTCGAATTCATGTACAATAACTTCTCTTGATTTGCCCTTCTTTTTCTTCTTGCGCTTGGTCTCCTCGTCGGCTTGCGGTAAGTTGGCAGTAGCGTTTGGTGGCACCCTCGTCTTGAAGAGGCACTCTGGTGTATCTGTGTACTTGGATTTGGGCTGTTTTCTTGGGGCTTCTTTTGTCTTTCCGTCTTTGTCCTTCTTGGGCTTCTTTTTATATTCGAGCGGATCTGTCCATCCCCTCACCACTTTGCGGTCACCCAAAGTGACGCCCTCGACCACGCCATTCTCTCTCTTGCGCTTCTTGGGCGCTTCATCGCTCTTTTCCGACTTGTCTTTTCGCTTCGATTTTGATTTTGGCTGATCATCCTCTACTGGCTCTCGAGACTTCTCGGGACGGGCCTTTTCAATCTTCATCTTGGAGCCCTTCAGAGTTGCACCGTTGAGCTTCTTTTTGATCTTGTCGGCGTCTGCTTGTGGAAGTTCGACAAATCCGTATCGTTTCTCCGGGAAAGTCTCGATCGTATGATATGATATATTTCGGGCTTGAGGGGCGACAGCACTGGGAACGACAATGTTGAACAAGCTTGCGTCGAACGGCGTGATGTGCAGGCGAACGTATCCGTCGTCTCCTCCAGCAGTAGCGTTGTTGATCGTTTTTTCGGAGCTTTCTATCGTCATTTCCAACAATTGACGAATTTGCGGCCACACATCAGAGTCGTGAAAGCCAGTAAAACGGCAGGGCGTCACGAGGTTGCGAAAGGTTGAAGATAAATTTCGGCAGGCGTCCAAACTTTTCAGTGGAGCCGCTGTCGCAAGCCCGGCGCTTCGCCTTACCCAGCAGCAGATATATCGTGCCCAATCATTTGCAAAGTGAAAGAGGAAAATAAAAGGAAATAATATTATTTGTTTTGATTTTGAGAATATAAGGGCAACAATATTGTCATGGAAACTATTGTCTTTTAGAGGAACAAACTTCAAATATCCTGCCTCCACTGTGTTTATATCTAGTCATTGTCTCTGTCACACGACGCTGCTCTTGAACGAATAATTGTGTTGAATATTTGTTAAATCTCTAATCATTAAATATGTCTTACAGCGTCCGCTCGTGACTATAATTACAAAAATGGTATGCTTTTAAAAGAGGGGATGGGTGTGGTGTCGTCGTATGTATCAGTTGCGAATACCGGCATTGACATGCCATTAGCCAAAAGGCTTGGGGTTGTTGAAGCGGAAGAACGGCTGGGGATCCTGCTCTCGCTTGTCGCCGCCGATTGCCTTCCACCACACATCTGTGCTCCATCGGATAATACGCTCAGCAGAGCCCTGTGGTGTCGCTGCTGGTCGGACGTCCAGCACAAAGGTGGGCTCTCCGTCAGCCTCGGGCTCGCCAGAATAGTAGTCAATGACATAGCGGATCTCTTTGCGCTGTCCATTGACCTCACGGGACACATACCAGTCGTGGCGATCGAAAGGTGGCTCGGTTCTAAAGGGGTTGTTAGCAAGTCGCGTCGAAATTTGCGACAATTCAATACGTACTCAAACTGGGAAGGGTAAATCCAGCTCAGAACCTGGAGCATTGCAGCTCTGGGTGTCATTTCCTTAGGTCTTCCCTGGAAGCGGATGAGTGAAGGCTCGACCTCTACACCATCCCAGGTACGGTCAAGTTCCTCCTGCACATGCCCCTCGCCTCGTCTGCACACCTTCCAGCCGTTGTAGAGACCCTTGGCGAAACGCTTCTCCCAACCGACAATCTCATCCCAGGCACCTTCATTTAGGAAGTTGTGAACGGAAACCATGGATTCGACAGCGGTAACATCGGTATCGGTATAACCCTTGCGCAGCAGAGCGTTGTACATTTGCTGGGGAGATGGGTACTCCCAGGTGCCGTCGCCAGAGCCCTTGGGGATAGTCGACTCCTCTCGCGTGGTGGGCAGCGCAAACTTTTGGTTCGGGGCGCGCTTCTGAGATAGATCAGGGAACATGTAGTTGAGAGGGTTGAGCTGGGACATGATGGATTTGGATTGCTCGGGTGCTTTGTCGTCGGATCGCATCGGGCACGAGGACGGAGGCGCCGGAGCGGCGGGCGGCGGCGTATCTTTGACGGCAAGTTTGTTTGCTGATTCCTGGTGCATCGGACATCCGGGCTACTATTTGTTAGAAAGACTGTTGCATACGGAAAGTGTCTGCCTTGATCAAAGTGGACGAACAGGAGGAGCCATGCCAGCTTTGAATTGGGGGTGGCCAGCAGGAGGCTGCGCTGCCACCGGGACAGGGTCTGCCCAGAACCAGCCCATATTGTCCGTAAATAAGAGAACCGGTAATACGGGTTATGCGTTGAAGAGAGTTGGAAACGCAGAAGCGCAAACGTTGACAGTTTGGTTGGAGGCGAGAAAAAAAGTCAGGAACGCGACGTCAGGGTCGACAAAATATTTAGGTGGACTCAGCCAGTTTGCAACAGGGGGCGACTGGTACCAGCTACACGCTAATGCATGTGTAATATATGTAGGTAAAGGGTGCCCGGTACCTGACGCAGTTTCTTGGTGACCGGCGCTGGACCCGGGCGGCCCCGGCGAGCCCGTTGGTTTTCCTTATCAAGCAACTGGCTGCAGCGATGAAAACCATAAAGCTAGAGGTGCTGTAGCTGGGAATAAGGGCCAATTAGCGAAGAGCCTAAAGTGAGGATTGCTTATTTGGGTGCGTTTTGTAAGAATTGGTGGTCTGGCTGTATATCCTTCCTCACGGCATTTGCAAATTGTTATTGGGGTTGATGACCCAAGTTGGCTATATAATACTTCTGTTTATTTGTAGACATTAATTTGTAAATTATACCGGTAACGTTATATAATTCGTTCTCAGCTTGCTGTCAATATGCTCCCTGGCTCGTTATCACTGCCTTCCATCACATGCATTCTCTTGTTTAAGCTCCACTACAAACCCGCTGTAATTGTCCAGCGAAACCTCCCTACAGCGCCCGTTGCAGCGCCTGTAAATTTACTTGGCGCCGCACTCACGTCCACTACGTCACTGGCAAGGCCCGCTTTGGCTGCCCGTCCACTTCCGAGGCGCCCCCAAAAGCAAGGAAGCCTTCTAACGACATCCTCTAAACGCTGCCCCTCGCGCTTTTTTTTGCAGCTCAAGCGACAATTGGCCATGAACCGACCGGTCTTTGCATTCAGTTCCGAATAGATTCGATATAAACGACACGCACCATGAGGTGCTACGCCCACTTCGGCCGCTTCATCTACCGTTCCTCTCTAACACAAGCTTTCGCCTCGACACGTTCGGCTGGCTTTGGCCGCGCACAGTTTCGGCTGATTCATACAGCAAAGGCACAATGGAAGCGGGGTGCTAGGGGCAAGATACTGCTGACGGCATCTGCCGGCGCTGCCGCTGCAGGTACATCGGCGTTCGTCGAGCTCTCGCGCAAGGGCAATGGCGGCGATCCGACAGAGACGGGCGAGCATCGCATGCTTGAGCTATCGCGGCAGGAGATCCAGAAAAAGGTTGCCGACGATGATAGAGGAGCGTCGCGCGTGGTCCACAAGATCATGCTCTTTATCGACCTCTGGATCTGGGAGCCGATATGCACGGGTGCCAGGTTTCTCCAGCTAGTCGTCATCTTTGTTCCCGTCATCATCTGTGTGCCCGCCATCTGGGTTGGCAGCCGGAATCCCGATAGAGATAACGAGCGATCCGGTACGCTGTGGTGGTACAACTTCTTGGTCAAGGCCATGGAGCTTTCAGGACCAGCATTCATTAAGCTGGGCCAGTGGGCAGCATCCAGATCCGACATCTTCCCAACCGAAATGTGCGACACAATGTCCAAGCTTCACTCCAACGCACCGGCTCATTCGATGCGCGTCACTCGCAAAACAGTGGAAGCCGCTTTCAACGGTCTGCCGTTTGAGGAGATCTTTGAGGAGTTTGACGAGAAGCCCCTAGGCGTTGGAGCCATTGCCCAAGTGTACAAAGCTAAGCTGCGCCCGAACGTAGCCGCTCCTGCGGATGGAGACATACAGACAGAACCCAAAGATCTAGCGCAGAACGTGGCTCATAACGTTCACACAGTTCTGAAGAGCACGCCGGTACGCGTACCCTCGACCTACGTCGCGATCAAGGTCCTACATCCCCACGTCGAACGGACCGTGCGGAGAGACTTGAAGATTATGGGCTTCTTTGCTTCGCTGCTTAATGCTATCCCAACAATAGAGTGGCTTTCGTTACCGGACGAGGTCGAGCAATTTGGTGAAATGATGAAGCTACAGCTGGATCTGCGCATCGAAGCAGCCAATCTGGCCAACTTTCGACAAAATTTCAAGGACCGATCTACTGCCTGGTTCCCTTACCCTTATACCGACTTCACCACTAGAAACGTCTTGATTGAGGAGTTTGCTCAAGGTATTCCTTTGGCAGACTTCATCGAGAACGGAGGCGGTGTTTTCCAGCATGAAATTGCCAACGAAGGACTTGACGCATTCCTTCGCATGCTTTTGCTCGACAACTTTGTGCATGCTGATCTCCACCCTGGCAATATCATGGTTCGCTTCTACCAGTCCGCTAAGCCCGAAATCCCTCTCACCAGGTCTGTCGATGCACCACCAACAAAGGATCCATCAGACGTTACTGAACAAGTTTTGGAACGCCTCCGGCCCTACAGACACCGCAAAGACTTGAAGGCGTGGGAAGATGAGCTGCGCAAGATTGATGACGAAGGCTTCCGACCACAGCTCGTCTTTATTGACACTGGACTTGTTACCGAACTCAATGCTACCAATCGTGAAAACTTCCTCGCCTTGTTCCGCGCTGTGGCAGAGTTTGACGGCTACAAGGCTGGTAACCTTATGTGCGAGAGGTGCCGTCAGCCAGATGCCGTGATTGACCAGGAAGTCTTTGCTCTCAAGATGCAGCACCTCGTTCTCAGTGTGAAGAGCCGCACCCTGGCTCTCGGAAACATCAAGATTGGCGATATTCTGCAGCAAGTTCTGGCCATGGTTCGCAATCACCACGTCCGAATGGAGGGCGACTTTGTCAATGTCGTCATTAGCATTCTACTGCTCGAAGGCATCGGCAGAAGTCTGAACCCAGACGTCGACCTGCTAAGCAGCTCGCTTCCCATTCTAAGACAACTGGGTGCCCAGAGTGGCGGGCAGCTAGCAAATGGTGACTTTTTCTTTTTTACAGTCTGGGTTGGTCTGGAAGCACGTCGCTTCCTCCAAGCAAGTATCCAAGACGTAAGTCAACAACAACAATCGCAGTCATATGAATTCGACGACTAACATACATATAGGTTGAGAGATGTGTTAAATATGATCTCCTATCACCGAACGTATAAACATACAGGTATATACAGATAGATGGCAGTTTAAAGCATTTGGAAGGTCTAGAGTAGATATTTTGGATCGGCGCATATTACTGGGTAAAGGTGCATGGCGTACTGAATTAGGGTTATTTTCTTCAACAGTTAATATTGAAAGCTAAAGTCTCCATTCAATTATATTTGCTCATCGAAAGCAGCGTATAGACTGGTATTATCGCTTCTATGTTCGTCACTGGACGCTATGTACGCTGTGCTAGAGTCTCTTTGACTGGTAGGAAATGCGCTATGTCATAAATATGTATATGTACAGGATGGAATAATAAAAGAAACCATGTAAACCGAAAAAAGAGAGGTCGTTTCAAGACAAGTCTCAAGAGAAGAATGGGTATGATAACTACTCGGCGCTGTTGCTCAACTCGACTGGGCGATCCCACAAGCTGCGCAAGTTTAGAGATATGTCACTCTCCTCTTCGCCTGTCAAACTGGCATCGCTGAGACGCTCACTCAGACGAGACATATCGTCGCCATCAAAGCTGGAGCCTGCGCCATCGGCACGGATAGTGGCAACACGTCGCGACTGCGCTGTTTGGCGAGGGTCTGGCATGCTAACGTTGCGTGCATGACGCGTGGTGCTGTCCACCGGGCGTTTGCCGTTGACAATAACGTTGTTACCAAGCGGAATCTTTTGATTCTTCTTGATGCTAGGCAAGCGGCCTAGACGATTTAGAGAACGGGAGATTGGGTTTTGGTATCGGCGGACGACCAGGTACTCCATTCCCGTCTTTTCTAGTAGTCGTCCAACCCTGGGATCACGGCTGGTGCCGCCATCAAAACCAGGTCCGCCGACACCAATCCACGGGCTGGTACCTACAGCACCGCTACCGCCATTGACGGATTGGCCTGGCTCAATGACCGAGCTCGCGCGCTGAAGGTTTAGCTTCTGCTGTGTGCGCGATGTTTCGGCTGGGGGCGCGGAGGGGCGGGATGCTGACCGTGGCACAAGAGCGCTGTTATCCAGGCGCGGCGTCGAGTCTCCGTTTCGCTCTCTCCTTAGCGAGCCAGCAATGCCATTGCTAGAATGTATTCTTCTTGCATCAATCTCATCGGAGCGGGAAAACTCATTGGTGTGATGGTAGAAGGAGCCTTCATTTGATAGACCAGGCGTAGAGGTTTCAACAAATCTCGACGTCAGGCCATCATGAGGGCCTTTAGAAGTGATGGACTCATCGCGATCTGTCAGATCTGGTGATTGGTGCGGTGGAGTCGCCTTTGCAATTTCCGCGGTCATCTTGGGCGGCGCCCCGTACGAGGCTGTTCGTTTGAGTAACCTGGATGTCAAGTATGCCTGGTGCTGTGTGCGTTCGCGATCCTCAGCGCTTGGCTCTACTAGCGTCTGCGATTCACTGCTTGTAGTGCTTGTGGTTTCGCGGACCTCGTTGGGCGTTTCTGGCCGTGAGTTGGCAGCGCTAGAGAAACCAGGGCGAAGAGAGTTTTGACCGCTGCTATTGATGGAGCCCTTGCGTGAGAGATATGGCGAGTTGGAACCACTAGCATCTACCCATTCGTCTTCGTCAGCGTCGTCAACGCCCAAATCAAAGTGAACCTGGCCCTTGGCCGCCTTTTGAGTTGAAGAGCTGGGACGGTTAATAGCTGTGCCACTGGATGCTCGTTTTAACTTGTCGGAAGATTTATTGCGCTTATTGACCTCGACTGAGGAGCGGTGACGTTTAAGATTGGTATGCGATGTGTTTTTGAACAGATTGCTTGCGGAGCTGTCGCGCGATAATTTCAGCTCCGTCGTTGCACGGCGCTCTGCAGCGGGGCGTTGCTGAGCGTCGCGATCTGAGGGGGACGTTGCTCGTTTGTTGAGGCGGGTGGTGCTCTGGGACTGCTGATGAGACTTTAAAAGTAGCTTTGAGGACGGGACTCTGTGGTGGTGACGTCCAACGTGGTGCTGTTTCTGGTGCTTTGGGCGATGCTGGGCAGCCGATGAGTCGGTCTGGAGCGCATGGGCGAGAAGTTTTGATTGGCCGTCCGAGGATGCGGATGCGCTGTCAATGTCCCTGTCGCGAGCCATGGCGTCGAAGCGGCAGATGCAGGGCGGAATTCGGGTGATTGGTAAACGGGGATTTTAGTGTTGCAATGGGGATTTGACGGGATGCAGGCTCAGATGTGCCTGGCCTGCTGCGAATTGATGTGTTTGCAGCGAACCAAGCTCAGCGGGCACGACTATGGACGAGGGGGTATTCGAGTTGCAGCAGCGACGCGGCAGTTTAGGCTTGCCTTGCTTTTGCAGCGATGCACGGCGTTGAGGGTGGTGTGGCGTTGGGTGGTGTGTGGTGGTGAAAGGTGTGCGTCGATGGTTGGACGGTTGGGGGATAAGGGTGGTCTGCCACGTTTTTACCGAGCAAGCGGGCGTCTGAGGGGCGATGTTTTGCTGCGGCAGAGGGTGCAGCGGTGTCAGACGGCGGCCAATTGCGACGATGTTTGTTGGAAGAGGATGAGGTGACGATGAGGAAGAGAGAAAGTGAAAGTGACGGGAGCAGGACTCGTAGTGCTGGAAGCCAAAAAGGCTACGGCGGCAAATGAGCTGAGGCCCCAGTTGTTGCTGCGCCCGCTGTAGCTCGCTCCGGACCACTAGAAGACTCCCCTAAGCCTTTTTAGCGTGTGGGGTGGCATGCTTTCGGCAGGGCTTAGAGGTGGTAATGTAGCTGTAGCCCCTGTACACTGGATTCTTTTGGGGGCAACCAGGTACCAGAGAACTGGAAATGGACGGGATGTCTTGGTTGTGCTCTCAAACAGGATAGGGAGATGAGACACCATATAGAAGCAATAAGAGAAAAAAAACAAATAAGCGATGAGAATTAGAAAGCCAGTGAGCTATCTCGCTAAATTTCAATCTACTTCCTTCAATGCAGCCTATCCAGAGTTTTACAGGCGGGCAACACCAACTGATAGCGCTGATTGTCACTGTACATTTTACTGGGCGCCACGCTGCAAACAACAACGCGCTGTTCCGATGTCCCACGGCGTTCCGCGCTGTCGGGACCTGGGTCCTTGGCCGCCAACGGAAGCTGCCTGGAAGCTAGTCACGTGCCCACTGTCACTGCGATTTTCGGCTTTCGCATCCCACTATACTTGCACTACAGCAAACAAACACGGAACCAAATCATCCGCCTTCCAAACGTTGGGAACTCGCGCCATCTGACTACTAAGCCTAAAAAGTAACAACGAAATTGTCCCAAATACTTCATATTATATACCAGCCCTTCAGCTCATATAGCCACCATGTCGTCTGTAGCAGAAATCGAGGAAGAAAAGAAGATCTACCAGGAGCAGGTGAGTTCATGCTCTATGAATACCGTCGCACCACTTCCTATGCTAACTAGTACCTTTTATTCTAGCTTGACCTTGTTCTCGGTCAACTGCGCGATGATCCCGGTAATGACGAACTAAAGGGCCTTCAGACCGAGCTGTCAAATGTTATCGATATGCTGAACGAAAACATCGCTGAACTCCAACCGAAGAAAGCACCAAAGGAACCATCACCTGCTCCAGAACCCGAAAAGTGGTCGCGCGAAAACCACCCAGTGTTTAAAAAAGCTGCACCGGCTACTGAAGAGAAGGACGAAGGCCCAGTATCATATCAAGTAAACGACACCGTCTTAGCTAAGTGGGCGTCGGGAGACAAGGGCTTTTATCCTGCTCGCATCACTGCCATTACTGGCTCCGCAACGGCACCTGTTTATCTTGTTAAATTCAAGAGTTACGATAGTACCGAGACCCTACGATCCAAGGACATTCGACCGATATCCAACAAGAGAAAGGCAGATGGTCCGCCACCCCCACCAAGCGCCCCGATGCCCTCGGCTCCATCAGCACCTGGCGTCGTTAGCTCTGCTGGCGCGACCGTTTATCCCGAAGCGAAGAATTTAGCAGATGCCGAGAGTGCCGCCGCTAAGCCACCAAAGCCCAAGAAGATCAAGGCTAAGAAGGAGCTAGAGGCTGGCAAGAACAAGTGGCAAGAATTCAATGCGAAGTCAAAGTTCGGAAAGAGTAACAAGAAAGAAAGCATGTTCAGAACTCCACAAGGAGTGAACGGAAGAGGTATGTGTCGCAAATTGGTTGTCATCAAAGTCCATTGCTAATCACATCTATAGTTGGTTTTACTGGTTCTGGCCAAGAAATGCGCAAGGACCCAACGAGAAGCCGACATATCTACCAAATGAATGACGATCTAGACTAATATGTCGTGTTTCATGATTAGGATTTCACACTCACCGGCGTTTTACTATTTTACACGGCGTTTAACACGGCTTTGCAGTTTGGAGTTTGGTTTTGCCATTGTTTTGTCACGGTAACCCGTCTTCCGCCACATATATGGAAGCTAACATTATGTTTCATATGATAGATCTTCGGTCCTAACATGGCACCGAGGAACTGGACCGATCCATGCTATCCCACGAAGCCGATTGCATAGCTCTTGTAACCCATCCATTGACAAAAACAATTAGAATATATTACATTATTTTACAGATTTGTACATGAGCTTATATGCTCTCTATGAAAGTGAACGCTCTTCCAGTCCCACCTTCTTCGCAATACCCTTGGCAATATCCAAAAATGCGGTTGCTCGCTCACTCTCTGGTTCTGAAACAACAGTCGGTTTGCCCCTGTCACCGTCGTCTCCAATATTGGGATGTAGTGGTATATCGCCCAGGAAGTCAATGGCATGATCATTGCACATCTTGTACACGCGCTCATTAGACCCAAAGACATGTGTTGATTCGTGGCAATGCGGGCAGTTGAACAGTGACATGTTCTGTACTAGGCCGAGGATATTGATGTTGACGGTTTTGAACATGTTAATACCTTTGACGGCATCTTTTGTAGCAAGAGTATGCGGTGTTGTAACGATAACAGCACCTTGAGATATGTTAGTAGTGCTCCTTTAAGAACGTGGTCGTGCACATACCGTCAAGGATTACTTGTTGTGTAATGGTAAGCTGTGTATCGCCAGTGCCAGGTGGTAAATCAAGAACTAGAACATCTAGGCCGCCCCAGTGTACCTCATGGAGTAATTGTTGGACGGCCTTCATAACCATTGGGCCTCGCCAGACTACGGGTGCATCCTCACCAACCAAGTAGCCCATAGACATGGTCTTGACGCCATAGTTGGTAAGTGGGATGAGCTGGTTGTCTGTTGTGTTGTTAGATAAGCCATAACGGATCGAAAGTCTTGGGAATTGCTTACGCTCTGATAATCGAGGCTCACCAGAGAGGTCGAATAATGTCGGGACTGAGGGACCAAAGATGTCGGCATCAAGGATTCCAGACTTATAACCAAGTCTGGCAAAAGCTAATGATAAGTTTGCTAACAACAAAAGATATACATGTTAGCTCTGTATGGTTAAAGGTCTACTGTTTTGAAGTTGCTCACCTGCCACGGTGCTTTTCCCAACGCCACCTTTGGCTGACGAAACAGCAATGACTTTTGCCACACTTGGGATGTTCCTTCGTTGAGGCTTTTTGGGCCAATGAGGTGCAGTACCTGATCTAGGCAAGCCCTATTTTTTTAAATTAGATAACAGAACTGGGTTGAATCGTGCCGGACACTCACCAAAGGGTTCTCATGTTGGAGGCGACGGCATGCCTTGAACAGGTGCCGCGCACTTGGTCTCATGATGAAACTAGAATTAATGACACAAAGTGGAATTGGGTATCGAGGTAAAAGGGGAATCTAAGTGATGTTAATTTTCTTATTTATTTCCTGAACTTTATACGATTGGGGTGATGTTGACAGAGGTGTAAACGGTCCGCTAGAGCTCCCTGGGCGCCCCAGGTCCACAGTTGAGTTGCGCCGCAATTTTGCCATGCGCCACCGCCTAAAAGTTGCAGAGGCAGAAAATTGCTATTACCAGAAGCTGCAAAGTTTCATTCAATCTTCGTGCTAGTGTAATTGCATGATTCCACAACGATGGGGAAATCAACAGAGAGAGCGAAACTTTTTCGCCAATTTGACGAACACATTGAAAAAGGTATGGATTACTATTTAAGAAATGCACAAGTAAGTTTTTCGTCGCTAATCAGAATGTAGACTACGACCCAGAAGCCCCAGATGTTCACCAGGACGACGGTAGCGATGAGAGCGGCGATGATAACTTGGGAACCGAGCATTACGAACAAGTTGGCAAAAGCAACTTGAGACAAAAGGGAAACAACACCTTAGGACCACAGTACCGAGGCGCTCGTGTCAGTCGTGATGCCCTGGAACAAGAGAGCGAAGATGACGACGATGAAGACGACGACGAGGAGGATGAATTCGATGATCCCGAAGAGGCCGATCTGATTGCCGACACTGCAGAGGCCGACGAGGATTCTGAAATTAGCTCTGATAATGCTCTGGGCGAGTCTGACGACGAACATCTCGAAAAATTCGTCTTTCGCGGAAGCTCTAAGCCAAAGAAGGCAATTGGCAAAGGCCGCGCAACTGCTGCCGATTTCATGTCCGGATCCGAAGACGACGATGAAGACGCCGCCGATTTTGAGGATGAGGAGGACGACGAAGATGAGGACGAGGACGAAGACATGGACGATGGACTCGACGACTTGATCAACGGTGGTGGTACCTCTGACGAAGAAGAAGAGGACGACGAGGACGATGATGATGATGACGACGAAGAAGGGGATGAAGACGAAGAACAAAAGTCAACAGCCAAGCCATCGATGGTACCACTTTCTACACGAGATGTCGAAAAGGGCAAAGCTATTCAGCAACAAAGAAAGGCTTATGATGGCCTTCTCAACCTCCGAATCCGTCTTCAAAAAGCCCTGGTTTCAGCAAACACATTTGACATTTTGGAAGACAGCGACGAGACCGACGCCGAACCTTACGAAGCTGCAGAGGAGGCGGCTATTAAGCTGTTAAACACCATTAGTGGACTGCGTGACAACCTTGCGCCATCTACAGTAACTGGAAAGCGCAAGCGAGACTTTGATGCTTCCACCTCCAACGAGGACATCTGGGCGCAACTTTGCAGCGAGCACGAAGCATCTGTTTCCTTCCGAGAGGATCGCCTGGAGAAGTGGTCCCGCAAGGTACAAAGCGTGAATGTGGCTACTACGAAATCACTATCATCACGGACGACACCACTTGTCACAGCACTCCGCGACCAACTAAACGCCCCCGGTGAGCGATTGGTGAAGCGCACCAAGGTACCACGATCCTGCGCGCCGGCACAGGCCGCCAAGAAGGTGGCCGAGGATGAGACTATCTTCGATGATGCCGATTTCTACCAGATGCTTCTTAAAGAGCTCGTTGACCAGCGCACTGTTGACGGTGCTTCGTCTGGCGCCACAGCGGTTCCATCGGTTGTGTTGACCGCAGCGCGCGACTCTAAGCCCCGAAAGGTTGTCGACAGAAAAGCCAGCAAGGGCCGCAAGATGCGTTTCACCGTTCACGAGAAGCTCCAGAACTTTATGGCACCAGAAGACAGACGCTCATGGGAACAAGGCGCCATTGACAGATTCTTCAGCACGCTGTTTGGCAGAAAACTTGAGCTTGCTGAAGAGGAGAGCGACGATGAAGCAGAAGATGCGGTTGTTGTGGAGAGCGATTTCCGACTGTTTGGAAATTAGAGGAGATAGAATTGATTCATATGCATACTAGAACCATTGTATACAAAATTTCTGGAAATTTAAAAACAGCATTCTTTAGTCGTTTCGTCATAAACAGGTAACTTACCGTGTAGTTGTACCGTGCTGCTGCTTAACCCGCCGTGCTCCACAGCCAACGAGGGGCGGCTTTCGTCGGGCGTGGCACCCCGCCGGAAAACTGGTAGCGGGGTCGGAACAGTTCCGTCATAGCTTTCCTTTGCCCGCTTACAATGGTGCTCAACGCTCAGGACGAAAACTGAGCTTTCCTGTTTCTTGTTCCTTCATTGACGAATTCCCTCATTCTCTTCTCTTCTTCTTCCTTTCTTCATCTACACGCACAATATGTCTCTCGACGCCTCAGTCAAGTCTTGGGTTGCCGCCGACGCCCGCGGTGACTTCTCCATCCACAACCTGCCCTTTGGCATCTTCTCCACTGGATCTGGCGATGCCCGCGCTGGTGTTAGAATCGGTGACCACGTTGTTGATCTCCAGGCTCTCGCCTCCGATGCTGCCTCGCAGCCTCTTACCAACATCCACGCCAATGCCGCTCTCTTTGGCAAGTCGACCTTGAACGAGTTTGCTGAGCTTGGCCGCGCCGTCCACCGTGGTGTTCGCACTGAGCTGCAGAGCATCCTTGCCGCCAACACCACCCACGGAGCCATCCTCCGCGACAACGATGCCCTGAAGCAAAAGGTCTTGATCCCGGCCGACAAGGTTACGATGCACCTCCCCATGCAGATTGGCGACTATACCGACTTCTACGCTGGCTACCACCACGCCTTCAAGGTTGGTGTTCTGTTCCGTGGCCCAGAGAACGCTCTCCAGCCCAACTACACGCACCTCCCTGTTGGGTACCACGGCCGATCCTCCAGCATTGTCGTCTCTGGTACTCCTATTCGCCGTCCCAAGGGTCAGATTCTGACCAACCCTACTGCCCCTGTCAAGGAGCCCGTCACCAGCGCTTGCAAGAGACTCGACTACGAGGTTGAGCTTGGTTGCTTCATCAGCCGCTCCACCAAGATGGGCGACTCTGTCGATGTCAACGAGGCCGAGAACTACGTCTTTGGCTACGTCCTGCTCAACGACTGGAGTGCTCGTGATATCCAGGCATGGGAGTACGTTCCTCTTGGCCCCTTCAATGGCAAGAACTTTGGCTCTACCATCAGCCCTTGGATTGTTACCCCCGACGCTCTTGAGCCTTTCCGCACAGAATCTCTCGAGAACACTACCCCTATTCAGCCCTACCTTCAGGAGACTCAGAAGAAGAACGTCTTTGACATCCAGCTTGAGGTTGGCATCAACGGTAAGAATAATCAACAATCAGTGTAGTTGTAAGAGAAGCTCAAGCTAACATGGAAACACAGCCGAGGGAATTAACAACGCCGTTCTCGCTCAAACGACCGGAAAGAACCTTCTCTGGTCTTTCTCTCAGATGATTGCCCACCACACTCTTGGTGGCTGCCCTCTCCGCGCCGGTGACATGATGGGCTCTGGTACCATCAGTGGCACTGAGATCCGCCAGCGCGGTAGCTTGCTTGAGATGACCGAAGGTGGCAAGCAAGACATTGAAGTTGGTGAGGGCAAGGTCCGCCGCTTCATTGAGGATGGCGACAGCGTCTTCATGCGTGGTTGGTGCGAGAAGGACGGTGTTCGCATTGGCTTTGGTGACTGCGAAGGCACTATTCAGCCCGCTAACTAAAGCGCCTATTGCAAAGAAAACGAAGAAAGGAAATAGATATATGAACCCAGATCAAAAAATAGGCATAGAAACTAGTAATGAATTAACGTGCATTTAACCCAAAAAAGAATTTGCAATCCATAATTGGCGTTGTTTCATTTCTAGCACCAAAATTACTGCCGGTGTAAAACATCCATGCTGTATCCAGCATAAGCTACAGCGCTCCAGCCACTTAGGTTAGAGGTAAAGAGGCGCTGTAATTCTGACCAGTGTGCCCCGGCCAGCTTCCGACAGCAGTCACGTGTATCCACTGTTGGCCGCCCGGCTTCTGGTGACGGCTTCAGCTGAATCGCGATGGGCAAAAACTCTCCAAGGAAATAACACGCGCCGGTCGCAAGCGCTGAATTTGTGTCTGGGCGCCTTGAAAATGGAACACCTCGAGACACAAGCCTCCGATCTGCGCTTTCTCACGCAAGCGCCCGTTCCAATAAGCGATGCAGGTAGCGTCTCATACGACACGCCTCGACCTGGACAACATGGCAGTCCTCGTTCCGCATCTTACGGAGACAATTCCGCGCCAGCCGCCGACTCAAGCAACAGCAAGCGAAGGTCGACAGATGATGCAGGAGCCGGGGGGAAACAGACACGGAGTAAACGCAATCGGGTAAGTTATCTTATTTGATCGAGCGATGATGTGTTGGCGCTGTCGGGCAGATGGTGCCTGGGCGCCGGATCAAGCGGCAAATATAAGATTGGGAGAGTATATCAGCTAACAGCCTCATAGTATATTTCAATAGCTTGGTAGGCTTACCTGTCCCGTTTAGTCCTTATCTAGTATCAGATGCACGGACTGTAGATGGACTATGTATACTGACATTGTACACAGTAATGAATGTAAACGACGAAAAATCAAATGCAATGGCGAAACACCTTGTCACCGCTGCGGCAACCTCAACCTCGCCTGTCTCTACACGCCAAATTGCTGCTCAAACAGCTTCAAAGACTCTGAAGAATACAAGACGCTGTCAGGCCAGCTAGGTCGTCTTCAAGATGAGGTTGCATGGCTGTCGCAGAGCATGCGCGCCATTCAGAGTGATGGACCCCGCGCCATCGGCCAAGCAGATAGAGCTGTCGCTGGTTCAGGACCTGCACTATCAAATTCCGAATCTCTAAGCGCATTGTCTGGTCATCAACGCCATGAGTTGAACAAGTCAACTGGCTTCCGCGGACCAACAAGCACAGCTTTCATGCTTGATGTTGCCAATGCCACCATCTCCAACATGGGATACCAGAGCATCAACGCTGCAGATGACCAGGATAACATGTTCAATGATGCGCCACCACCTGTTAAAGAATCGACACACGACCCGCTGTTGGACTTTAGCGGCGACGAAATGATCCGACTTTGCCAGCTGCACGAAGAGGAAGTCGGCATCATGTATCCAGTCTTGGATATCCAAACCGTCATCACACACGCCAAGAACATATCAACATACTTTGACACAATACGACATCAGCAACCACGACATGCGTTCAATGATGAAAAGACTCTGCAATTAAAAATGGTCATGTGTTGTGCGTTAATTGTTGAAGAGCATGGCCACAGTGAAAAGTGCCAGCAACTCTATGACAGTATGGAGGCCGTGGTGAATCGAAAGCTCATGTCAGATCCCAGTGACGTCTCGAGTCTACCGCTTCTTGCTCTCTTGGCTGGTTACAGATTCCTGGCCAACGATGAGATTTTAGCCTGGCGTGTAATTGGCCAGGTAAATAGGCTGTGTCTGGAGCTTGGCATCCATCAAAAGGACGGACTCTTTGCTATCAAGGACGAATCGGAAAGGAAGAATGCGCTCAATAGTTTCTGGTCTGCCTACGTTCTGGACAGACGATGGGCTTTCGGAACCGGTTTGCCATTTACAGTGCAGGACGATGACGTCGACCCTGATCTACCCCTACCAGTAAGTCATATGGGAAACCACTATCTACAGTTACAATGCTAATATATCATATAGGAGGAGTTTCCATATCTGGTTGCAATGGTAACGTATTCACGTATTGGTGCGAAAGTCTGGCGTCAAGTGTCGCATTCAGGACCTGTTCTAGCACGAGAAACCAAAACCGAAGGTATCAACCAGCTCGACAAGGAGATTCTCAACTGGTACGAAACAGTCCCAGAAGAAGTCAAGGTCCGCAACTGGGATGAGCTGCAGTTGACATCCCCGCCGTCGTACAATCTGCAGCGCTTGCGAATCTGGACGTATCTACGCTTCCATCAGATTCGTATTTGGCTGTACACACCGATTCTGCACAGCGCTACAAGTATTATGGAGAACCCAGCGCATGCTCAAAAGGTGGTGGAGCTTGCCAAGAGTACTATCCAGTTCCTCACAAACTTGAACAACAGTACAGATCTGTATCGCCGCGTACAAGTCTTCTACCACCAGTTTCTTGCTTCAGCCATTGCTGTCGTGTTTCTGGCATCTGTTCACGCGCCGGTACGCTTCAGTGCTGTCTGTCGTGAGGAGTTTTATATGGCATTGGAGCTGGTTCGGGACTTGTCGGCCAAAAGCTGGGTTTCCAAACGGCTTTGGCGCACAATTAAGTCACTAAAGGATGTGGCGCCACGGTTCGGCCTGAACCCTGACGATGATGCGCACTCGTCAGCGGCGCTTGGCATGATTGGGCTTGCGAGAGGGCATTCGTCGGCCCCTGTTATGGGTCAAAACGAGTTTGGGGCCGGCACATCACAAATGACACCGACGGCAACAGGTATGGAGAATGGAGAAGGGCAGAACGGTGCCAAGATCCAGACAGAATTGTCTCGAATCTTTGAAGGCTATGTCGGGTTGAACGGCTTCCATTTCAACTCTGTTGACGCCCATGGCCAGGCTATGGCTTCAGCGGGTGGCCAACAGCCGGGGCCCATGTATAGCGCTAACGGAACCGTCTACCCCCAGCTGAGGGAAATGTTTTAATAGTGGAAAAGATGACGTTGTATACTGTAAATAGTGGATGCTTCTTCCGCAAGGATAGGAGCATAATTACCAATTTTGTCCATCTCTGGAGTTAATAGGGTGACATTTTCTCCACTGGCTTGCCCACTTGGCAACTAAAGCCGGCGCTGCGAGCTACCAAGTACATCTTCTTGACGAGGGCAAGGGCAAGAGTACGAAGAGCAAAGCGCCAGGCCCAGAGGACAATATACTAGCCCCCACCGAACCCGTGAACGCGATCATTGCACACGCGGCCGCTAATACTGGAACGAAGACTAAAAAGGGTACAAAGAGAAAGGCGCCAGTGTCAAAGGGCAACAAGCCGTCCGCCGCTCAAGACGCCCCCGCCCCCCGCGAAGAAGACCAAGATTATACTTACGACGAAAACGTCCTTCAAGATCGATACCAAGGCACCGTACAAGCTGCCAAACAATTTCTTTGACGAGATCGAAGACTTGCAGAAGATATTCGATATAGCCGTCCCGTACATCCACAAACGCTCAAACGGTCTCGATTACGATCTTATCAAAAGGCGGGCCTGGCAAAGCGTCAACTTTAAGATCACTAAACGCGCACAACGTGCAATTGCTACCACTGTTGCAGTATGTAGTCTATGTCTTGTGGGAACAGTGTGTGGATTGTATGGTTCTAGCTATTGTATCTCCTGTGGAGATCCTATGGTTATGGTCCATGTCACATATGTGTGCGCCGCAGGGTACACCCGCTGACACTACCGCCGCCGAAAATGTCGACGTCCTCGTTGACTATAACTAATGTGCTCCTGTATTCCCGCTTTGTCCCATCCGTATATAGCCATGTGTATCGCCATGTTCCCATTCGTGCATCTGCTCTCTGTGGTCATCAATTTCTCCTTGTATCCCGTGTAGCTACGTTGGTGTATCGCAACCCTTGAGACGACCGGCCGGCACGCCACTTTTTGTCTGACAGAAGATAAGAGGCTTTAATGAAGCTTATGCTGATACGTGGGGGAACTTACTGTGACAAGGTGGGAGAGGGGCACGCGACAACTTGTCTATTTGGGAAGAGCGACACACACACACACGCACACAAACACGCATACACACAAGGGACGTGGCTGAAAAGATTAATTTACGGGCAACGCCAGGCTCCCAAGTTAGAAATGCGCTTCTCCCGCAAACTTTTGAAACGTCATGTTCTGCACAAGAAGGGTCACGAGAGTCCAGACTTGACGGCTGTGTTTGGGTGTTCACAGCGTCCATTAAGGTTAACTTTTTCCTCACTATTGTGTAGGTCTTCACTCATGTCAATAGCGCACAGCGAATAAGAAGACGCGCAGACAGCACACGGTGCCCCAGAATGGGCACCAGCACGATCAGCCCCGAGAGGCGACCGAGACACCGAATCATGCTTGGTGCAGGTCCACGTCCATACGGTGGAGAAGTTCGCCGGCAGAAGGCGTCTTTAGCGTCGAGGCGCCCTGTAGCTCCGGCAGATGATGCGCGTGCGGGTAAGACGATGGGGGCGCAGGGGCAGGTTTCTGAATGTGGTGATGTTGCAAAAGTATCCATCGAGAATTGCACCGAGGCCGGTCCCTCGCCACTATTCCAGCTTGTGCCTCCCGTCGGCTGAATCGGCATTGGAACCTGACCCTTTTACCTTATTCCTTCCGCTCAGCTGCTGTCGATCTGCATAATACGCAAGATGGACACGCAAATCCCACTCCAGACTTAGCGTCCGATGTAGGATGGGCCCTGGCGGGCCACCCACACAGCGCCTACAGGCAATGGCGACGGCCTGTCATCCCACGTGTTGGGCGACATGCTTCCCTCTTCAAGTCACCGAGCCAGCCCCCAAATACAACGCAGAACGAGAAAAAAAAGCTAGGACTGCCTGCGATCCGGGGCTAAGCTTAGACCTGGGGCAACTCAAAAGGTGCCGTGAACGCTATATAACACGGGCCACCCACCCAGCAACCTACTTCCAATCTATAACCAACATCCCAAAACCCTCACAATGAAGTTCCTCAACGTCCTCGCTCTCGCTACCGCTGCCGCTGCGGCCAAGCCCACCGTCTACCTCATCCGCCATGGCGAGAAGCCTGCTGATGACAACGAGCACGGCTTGAGCGCTGCTGGTGTGAAGCGTTCCCAGTGCCTGCGCAATGTCTTCGGCGCCAAGTCCAGCTACAACATTGGCCACATCATGGCTCAGACCCCCCAGGATGGTGAGTAGCCTCCGTCACTGCCTCTAGCGCCTCCTTGCCTGCTAACCGCTTTGAATCGTGTAGATGGCAGCCGTGGCCGTCCCCGTGACACCGTCGCTCCCCTTGCTGCTGATCTCGGTCTGACCACCGATCTCAGCTGTGACCGCGATGACGCCGACTGCGTCGCCGATGTTGTCAAGAACTACACCGGCAAGGGCAACATCCTCATCTGGTAAGCAAAGCCACATCGCTCTTGTCATAAGCCTCGTTTTGGTACAAAACGACAATTACTAACATGCAACTAGCTGGGAGCACAAGAAGCTCAACAACCTTGCCAAGGCCATTGGTGCCAAGGACCAAGGAAACTACCCTGGCGACCATTTCGACATCATCTGGGTCCAGCCTTCTCCCTACAAGAAGATCACCGACCAGTACGAGAACTGCCCTGGTCTGGACAACTAAGTTTAGTCGATGTGTTCATGATTCAATGATGTAAAAGAAAATAAAAGGAACGAAAGACGATGGGGGAAAGTCCCCATACTCGGTGTATCATAGAGTATATACAATTAGTTGTGTTAGAAAAAAATGCATACTCTTTCTTGAATCTTGACATCCCAGCTCTCTAATCTTGCGTGTGTATAAACAGAACGTAACTAGCCCCATTGTTCCTCTACGTGGTCTTTCTGTCAATTTTTTTTTAAATTCTATAGTCTTCTAGATCGCTGTCGTTCGATCAATGTCATGACAAAGGGCGCATTGTGGAGCGGTCGGCAAAATCTAGTGGGTTCTACACGCTACCGAATCATTGGTCTCGATTTTCTATAAATACAAACAAAACAGCCGCTGACTGGACGCTCTGTATATAGGAAAAGCGGTATAGAAAATGGAGCAGGTGAAGACCCCGTGGATCGAGACGCCGTTGGTGCGCTCAGCAACGCTCTCTAAGACAGCGGGCTGGTGAGTAAAGGCAGCAAACAGACGCACTTCAACAAGCACTAACTTGGAATATAGCAATGTCTTTTTGAAACTGGAAAACACACAGCCCTCTGGGTCCTTCAAATCTCGCGGCGTCGGCTACTACATGGTTAGCAAACTTGTTGCGCTGCGCAAAGAGACTGGCGACAACTCAGCAAAGCCGCACTTCTACAGCTCGTCTGGGGGCAATGCTGGCCTTGGCTGTGTCCGTGGTGCTGTGACGCTAGAGTGCAAGGCAACGGTAGTTGTCCCTCTCTCTACGACCCCTTTCATGATTGGAAAGCTGCGAGATGCGGGTGCGACAGAAGTCATCCAGCAGGGTGCATCGTGGCAAGAGGCTGACGAGTATCTGCGAGAGACCCTTATGGCAGAAGCCGCTGCAAAGGGTGAATCTCCTGTATACGTCCCTCCCTTTGATGCACCTGAGATTTGGCAAGGCAATTCAGGCGTGACGCGAGAGATTGTCAAGCAACTTCCCGAGGCAATGAAACACTATCCCGTCGCAACTGCGGACGGCAAGACGCCCGTTATTGATGCCGTAGTGTGCAGTGTTGGCGGTGGTGGTCTTTTTTGCGGTATCATGCAGGGAGTAGAAGAGCTGGCACTCGCAACGAAGGTCATTGCTGTTGAGACACACGGCGCGGACTCGCTATCACAGGCTGTAGCCAAAAAGGAGCTGATTACACTGCCGGCCATCACTAGTCTTGCGACCAGCTTGGGAGCCAGACGGGTAGCGAAACGAGCTTTTGAATATGGCCTGCAAGACAACGTTTCGACGGTGGTGGTATCGGATGCCGATGCCATCCGTGCCTGCAAGCGATTTGCCGACGAGGAACACTATTTGGTGGAAATGGCTTGCGGTGTGTGCCCAGCCATTTGCTACAATGGTCAGCTGAAGACGCTAGTGCCAGGATTTAATGAAAACAGTGTGGTTGTGCTTGTTGTATGCGGTGGAAGCAACATGTCCTTTGATATCATGGAGGACTACATGGCCAAGTTGACGTAGACTCGATATTCGCATAGATTACTAGAAATAGAATAGAACTGCAATGCATGAAGCGACAGGCCGGTAAAGTGAAATCAAAATGCCGACCGTACCGGCGCTTTGTTAGTACAGGCTGTGCCAAGGGTATGGTTTGCAATGAGGTGAGGCTGTTGTATAACCCATCCCAATGCGCAGTAAAAAGATGAAGACGGGATAATGGTTGAGGCTATTGGTTCATTTGCATGTCCCTGTTGATGCTTTATATCCCTAAATCGAGTCTCACACCCTCGGAGCTAACCTTCTGGACGAATCATAGGCTACAGACGCCATCCCCGGTAGGCCGAGAGATACGCACAAAGGTTCCATTGGCACCGGACTGTGCACAGAACGTGTAAGTGCGGCGACCGTTTGCTGTCTCAATCTTCGACGGCATTGGTGTTTGATTGGTCCCTGCATGTCGTCGGGCGACATAGCCGGCGCGATGCAGGTGGCAGGTGAGCACATCTCAGCGCGGGCTGTCGCAAGGTCTTCCAAAAAAAAGATATATATCATGCTCATAGACTACCAGGTTGTCAATGACACCCGTATAAGGGTCCCTATACATGGGTATGAGGCCGGCTCTGATAATATTCAAATGTCGCTATGTCTTCAAAAGGTGCCATATTTTATTCCGCACAGGACACTACGGATGCAGTGGTTGCTGCCCGTGGAGTGAGAATATCCTTGCCCCAACACTATCTTTCCATCGCAGCCATATGTTACCCATGGGTGTTAAACGAAGCAGAGCCACAAGTTGCGCTGGACATGGTTCATATGCAATGCATTCACCTGACGCTTGAGCTGTTTTAGAGACGGCAAAGTTGTAGCCAATTTGGTCTTTCAAGCTGGTCAGAGTAGAGGTTGCGTTGTCTGTCTGCAAAAAGCTGGCTAGTGTGCGTACGTATATAAACAGTCAAAGTCATCCATACTGCCTCTGAACTTGTTTCCAAATCAGACCAACCGTTCCAACAAGTTCACTTCCTATCTTTCCATCAATACTCACCAATCTTTTTTCATAATGAAGACTTTCACCGCTATTCTTTCCATCGCCATCGCGGTTGCTGCTGTCGACGCCACGGATGTTGTGCGAGAGGCCAAAGAAGTTCATGTTGCAAACGGCCCTGGAGGAGTTGCTGGCCTACAAAGCGCGGTAGACACCAGTTTACACCTAGTTGATGTCATGGTAGAGACATACAGCAATGCAGAGTGCTGCAACCAAACACCTTGTTTCATTGGGTGCCCTGTTCAGGGCGTCCCCCGTGTAGGCTTTATACTTTCCATGCGGGAGAAGCCTGACTCGCTAACATCTTTATCCTAGTTCTGCTGCTGATTCGGTATACTTGGAAGGACAGGTGGTATGTTTTGGTCGTTGTATGGAGTTCTCCAATTCCATGGAGTTTAAGCTCGGCCGGCCATGACAGGGATAACCTTTTCTATTAACACCGTACTCCCGTATGAAAATAAAACAAATTTATGTTTTACAGATAGATACTGCATCCGCGTGTAGCGATTTCTTGATCATTCACAGACTACGACATGTTGCATGTGGCTACCAGAGTAGCCGACGGTGTGATTCTGCTATAAACGGGCAGCGATTCGGACAAGCATGTGAGGCAGGCAAGGCGAAACGCCACCACGATCGGGATTCGGAAGCTGAGAGCACTTTAGCAGGTGGTCTTGCTGGCATAAGCGGCAGCGTCACAGCCAAACAGACAATGTAAGCGAAGACTGGGGCACTGCTGCTGCAGCTGGCCAAGGAAGCGTACGATTCTGGGATTCTGGAACAGAAATAGCGTAAGCAATAGAATCATGTAATGCTACCCAATTACTCTGGCAATGGGGCGCGGCACTCGCTTCCCGATGCAGACGATGATGAAGTGGGAGGAGGCTTGGCAGTTTTTGTGTTGTTTGTAGAGGAGAAGAGGGAAGCAGATAGAAGACAGCACGCACTGTGGACGGTACAGTGCACAACAGTGGTGCGGTGTAGGGCTGATGATGGCGCCTGCTGCGACCGTCAAGACGCGTCACGGCTGCTGGCGCAGTCTGCTGCACTGCCGATTGCGCTGTAGCAATGACGCCCTGTCAAGGTGAGCGGCCCCTCCAAGCGTCTCTTAATAGCGCCATTGTTAGTGGACGAATGGCCAACTGGGCGGCCGCCCACATGGCAAAACTGCACTCTGCCAAACCTGCAGCAAGCAGACAGCGACCGGATTTGCGCGAATTACAAAAAGAAAATATTGTCCTAAGAATCCTTCAAAAGACTATCCAGTGCCACTATTTGTTCACCACAATGCCTGGCACAGGCTGCGCAAAAGCTCACTAAGCAAGCAGGTTCTTGGCTTTGCCCCAGCGGCTGTCGCTAGCACGAGGCTGGGCTCATTGTTGGCTGGCTCCCCCACCGAAATTCGCTAATCCCGAGAGACATCTTCACTGTTGCGCTCCGCCGTTGCACCTCACTCTTTGTTCTTTTCACCAGCCCACCGGCTTCCGCAGAGGCTGATACTCCATCATCAATATCCAGACGCTATACATTAACGCTTCCGACAGCCAACCTCAATTTGAAATACGCCCTCGCCTCGCCTGCTATTCGCAGCGTCCAGTCGTCGACGTCATGGCTGCCGAAAAAGCCCCAATGCCGCCCATGGAATACTCCAACCCTACTGCCCCCTCGTCAGAAATCCCACCAGAGGCGTATCCGGCGGATGATACAGAGAGATACCGACCTACGAACGACACACTATCACCCTATAACACAGGTGCATCCGTCACCACTGCCACCTCAAGCAAAGCTGCCGAAGCTGCTGCCGAAGCAGTTCCGTTTCATCCTGTTCTCTCTGCCGACTCCATCCCAGCAGAAGCATATCCTACTTCCGATGCCACTGCACGTGCGACCTATGGATCTCCAGTAGATTCAAAAGGGCTGGAGCCAGTAGCATCTCATTCTCGGCTTCCTACATCGCACTCCTCCAACTCCATACCCTCCGCCGCATACCCATCCTACCACGGCGGCGCTGCTCCTGCCGCTATACCGACAGTAGCAGATCCCTTCAATTTCCCAGAGACAGAAGCTCTGCCCGCATACTCACCCCCTCAGCCGGCAGAGAGCACCGAACCTCAACCGCCTCGACCGCGCGGACGACTTATTGCTATTCCGCAAGCCCACGCCAATGCCTCTGCCCCGTTCCTCGACGCATATCCTGAGTGTCTACTAGCACGAGGTATCACGGAAGAGACATGGCGGTCATTTATGAAAGCAATGTCAGCGTTCTTGACTGCAAAGGTCTCTGATCGAGCGATAAGCCATGCGGGCGATATGGCCAAAAGTTTGGGCGAAGGGCCTCGACGGCTGGGAAAAGATATTGCATCTCAATCCAAATCTCTGGGCAAGCAAATTGCCCGACATGCCAAAAAGGGCAACGTCATCGGCGTTGCCGCAGCCGCCATCGTTGGTGTTGTAACCATTCCCATCTTCACAGCCATCGGTGCGGCAGGGACCGTTGCCAGTTTACCAAACGCGGCTGTTGCGGCCTTGTCCAAGAAGCCAAAAACACCCGAATCCCGGGCATTTGCTTATGCTACGGTAGCAAACGATAAATGGCTGCATCCTCGCAACTTACACGCCCAGCTCGCTGACTCGAATCTGCTGGCGCAGATGCTATGCATGCCGACAGCTCAGTTTCTACAAATTGCAAAGAGCGGGAAGCAAAATAGTGCCATTGGCCAACTTGAAGCGCTGGAAGTACATCTAGAACCACTCAAACTGCTTGAAAACACATCTCTCGATTTGGTCGATAACACGCTGTGGCTACTTGTCTTACAAGATGTAACTTCTGATCAAAGCGAGTGAACTTTGGACTTTATGGCACGATCGAAATTTATTTAAGGCGGGCGTTTGCATTCCAATATTCCTTCTTTCATGTTTGGATAGAATTATTATACCTCTTGTTCGTTCATCCCACAATTGCATGTGGAAGTTGCTAATTGTATGCTCCATTTTCACATGCTTTTTGGATCTCACAAAAAATACAAATGGAACTATAATCTAATATTTCTCCATCAAAATCTCGACTCTGAAGAAGGAAATAAAAAAAAGCTTTTGTAAACCAGGGTATTTGGCACGCCACTCGTTCACATGCTAACTGCAGCTGCAGCACTAGCCACGCAATTCGCCGCTTCCACGAACCCTGCTCAGCCACTGCTTGTCTCTTTTAGCTTGCCCATGACGTTGCAAACCTGGCCCCGCACCGTCTGATTTCCCTGCTCCTCACCATCCTGCCACTAGCCTTTTGCCCATACTCCTATAAAGTCCAAAAGGGTCCCTGTTAAATTTTAGTGCCTTATTTGGAATCCATTTCTTTGCATCTCCCTTCTTATTGCAAACATATCATATACCCTAAGAAACGCAAACATCTCTTACAATGGCTACCATTCACGTCAAGAACATTGCTGCGTCCACCAGTGACGATGAGGTCAAGGACTTCTTTAGCTTCTGGTGAGCAAATAATCCGCAAAAACTTCTTAATCACATGTTACTAACAAGTATACCAGTGGCAAGATTGCCGACATCAAGCTCACCACTGAGGGCGAGACCAAGAGCGCCGACGTTACCTTTGAGAAGGAGACTGCCATGAAGACTGCTCTGTTGCTCAACAACACTCAGCTTGGCCCCAACCACATCGCCGTCTCCAGCCCCCATGCCGACAAGGAGGTTGCCAGCAGTGGTACCCCCAACCCTGAGCGCGAGTCGGACGACATTACACAAGAAGAGAAGCCCCGTACCCGTATCCTGGCTGAGTACCTCGCTCACGGCTACGTTGTTGGCGATGCCGCCATCGAGCATGCCATCGAGCTCGACACCAAGCACAATGTCTCTACCCGCTTCCTGAGCACCATCCAGAACTTGGACCAGAAGTACCACGCTACCGACCGTGCTCGCGCCACTGACGAGAGCTACGGCCTCACCAACCGCGCCAACCACTTCTTCACTGGCCTCAACTCGTACTTTGAGAAGGCTAGCACCACCAACACTGGCCGTAAGATTGTCAAGTTCTACACTGAGGGCTCTCGCCAGGTCCAGGACATTCACGCCGAGGCCCGCAGACTGGCCGATATCAAGAAGGAGGAGCACGGCGGCAGTGCTTACAAGGCCGCCGGTCTGCAAAGAATCTTTGGCGAGAAGCCCAAGCCCGAGGCTGGTGCTGCCCCTGCCGCTGCTCCTGCTGCGGGTGATGCTACTGCTGCCGCACCTGCGCCTTCTGCTCCTGCTGCTGCTCCCGCTGCTGCTGCCCCTACCGACAGCAAGACGGGCTAAGCGGTGCTATGAAGGACAACCAGACTGACAAGCGGGGTAGCGTGTTGATGCTGTTGGTCGTGTGAGTTTGTGTGTGTTTTTTTCTTGCTACGAGGCTACGACTATTGAGACCACTACCCTAATAAAGGTGGAAAAAAGATAACCATATGTTAATATTGAGTTTTCCAATCTGCTGTCTATTGTACCTTTGAATGTGAAAGTTTGCGCAGCCAGTGACGTCCATGACATCGTTGGTTAATCTCCGTTAAAGTTATTGTTCAGTGGTCCGCTGCAGTGCTACCGTCAGTGTACAATTGAATTGTGCCGCTACAATACTGGGCGGCGGGTGGCCCCCGCCAGGAAGCGATGCGGCTGGGGCTAAGGCCAAGATTAGCGGCTCCATCCGCCTACAATGGGTAGGGAGAGCCCACTGTAAATCCACCGCAAGCCCACTGTGACTTTCCCGCCCCAACTTGCGGCTTAAGACAGTTTTACGTCCGTCTTTTGCAGCGTTATCGACACCGTCTCCGCCCTGAGACCCCATCCTGCCGTCACACCTCTTCTTGCACGCCTTTTTTCTCCCTTTCTTTTCTCCCCCATCTTTCCCCCTCATGCAATAACTTTTACTTGAAATAGCCAGCGATTCTCAATTAACCCGCTCAGAGAAGGGATTCTCTCTTTTTTTTCTACAGCTTCCGGGAAAGTCGTGCCTGTAGCCCGCTTAAGCTCTCACCAGACAAGATGCCTGACCTCAACACCGTCCCAGCTTCCCCCCACGGGCTTGCTGGATCTCGTCGTGGATCAACGCATGTCCCAGCAAATTCGGAGAATATCTTGCCATCGAACCAATCTGCAGTCCATCCGGCAAATGACACCACTGCAGTATCTTCCTCGTTGCCATCCCCTCAGCTGCCCGCAGCACAGCCCGTTCAGCAGGTCGCTGATTCTGGGCCAGGTCCACTGAGACACCCCAGGCCACTCACAGCGTCTGAATTACATATGCAGCTCGAGAAGGAGCAGGAAGCTGTGGTAAGTTCGCCCAAAGCCTCTATAGACTTAAAAGATAGCTAACATTACTCCCAAGGTAAACCGCTTGACGAGAGAATTGTCCCTTCTACGGGCTGCGCACAACGCCTCTGTTGCATCCAACGCCTCTTCGACATCCGCCAGTACCTCGACACATGACCCCGCCGCCGACAGCTCGCTACTCTCTGGTACGGCCTTTACAATTCCCAGCGGCCGACGACACAATCGAACGCCATCCACCGCCTCCCAGACACACTCTGCTCAGCTAGGCACTTCGTACGAGAGCAGGGTCGGTCGTCTGGAAGCTGCGGCGCACCGTAGCGCCCAAGGCCATGTCCCGCCCAGCATTGATCCGTCGAGCTATTTCCATCAACAGAGAGTCCCACCATCTGCAAGCTCCGTCGTGGCCACTCCGAGCGTGGGAGATCAGCTAAGCCCAGGTCTGATGCCCGCAACAGTCCGCTATGAAGAGACGGCGCACTATAGAAGCGAACTGGAGACTGCCAAGCGCGAAAATGAAGCTCTGAAGCGCCGAATCCGTGAGCTGGAGCTGATGGTGAGAAGCAAGAGCCGCGACAATAGTAGAGCTCGAAGTGACAGTGTGAGCACCACGGCTAGTGCAAGCGTAGCAGCAGGCGGTGGTTCAAGCATCGCTGGTCCGCGAGATCCGTCTGTTAGAGGTGATAGAGGCCGAAACCTCGCTCGGCAGAGCATTGCGAGTGTGGGTGTTGGCGTCCCCGATGAAGAGCTCAACGTTGGCGAAAGTGCCGCCAGTGCTGGGTTGAAGACGGAAGAATGAGTTTCTCTAAACTTTTGCTGCTATACAAAAGCATTGTTTTATTTAGGAGTTTGTTATGAAGGAGTCCGAATTGCAGCGCGTGATTGGGCTTCGAGTTAATTTGCTAGGTTTGGCGTTTGCAGCGAATGGGCCATATTGCTTTGCTATTTAATACAACACTGATTGCTCATCACACTTTCCACATGCTAGTTTGCATCTTCCACATATTTGCCACTACTTTCATAGCTTATCAGCTAAGCAAACCACACTTATCCCGTACAGCTGTACTACCACTTATAATAGACCCATTCCGGGACAACGTATCTCTTTCGAGACTGTCTATCCAACGCGGCCAGCCTCTCGCGCCAGCTAGGCTCTTCTGCATTATCGAGGTGGCTAATTCCGGCCATGACCTCTTCCAAAGATCTTGTGTCCTCCTCTTTTTTGTATTCAGTTGTATCGATATATAGATTGCGCAACTCTATTGATCCTGCAGGTCGTTTTCGCTTTCTTGGCTCGGCGTCGGTGTCTTTACCAATATTGTCCTCAGTATTGAACTCTTTAGTATTCAAAATTCTCGAGATGCTCACTCTTACTGCTGTAGAAGGGGTGGTGCTGTCTCGGGGTAGACGGGTCAAAGTGCAGCGTTCGCGAGTAACAGCGATTAACCGATTATAGGATGTTTGATCGCTCAGTGCTGGAAGCAGCATAAATGCTGCGGCACTGGCCGTTTCGTATACTTTTCTTTCAAATCTCTCAGCGGCCAATTGATCTAATGATCTTGACAACAGCTGAGCCAGGCGATCTTGCTCACGCACATGTAAAAGGTTAATTCTCGCTAGTCGATCTTCCAATTCATTCTCTAATTCGTCAAACTTCGCTTTTTCTGCTTGTAATTGCTCCTCAGAGGCTAACAATCGAAGTTCAAGATTTGCCCTGGCAGCAGCAGAGCTTTGTTCTCGCGCGATGGCTTCGAAGCGGTCTGCCTCTAACAGGCAGATGGTCCGTATCTTTTCGGCTACATTATGATTGTGACGACCTACAAGCTGATGTAAAGCTTCGTTTTCATTTTGGAGAGTCCTTATTTGGTCTTGAAGATGTTCGATCTCGTCGAGGGGTCGGTTGTGATCAGCATGGCCGAGGATGCTTTGAGGCGGTGTCTGTCTCTCATAGTAGGAATCAATAGGTCGCAACCAGGCGAATGCTTGAGTAAAGTCTCGTGTCATGGTATTCGTAAAGCTATTATGACAAAAACAACTTGACAATAGAGTCAGCTAGAACAGGGCGACTGAAGGTGAACTGACATTAACAAGACCTGCGGTGACTATGACAAGTCCCCGTGATCCCAGTTCACTTTCACTTGACTGTACTAGCTAGCCATTACATCATTAACTCTACTCAGCAGCAATTCTGCAGACCAGGAATTTCTGTTTAATATTTCGATTAACCAATACATCACATTAGTTTCCCCTCTGTATCACTTACACCTTACAGTGGACCAGGGCCGCCCGCTAACTTACAGCTCCACCCACAATCCAGCCCCCGAGCTCCCCCACACAGTGAGCAGGCTGTTAGCTTTTAACGGCGGCCAACTCTGTTTTTACACTTAACACCAACTAAACAAGGATCCCGCCAACTCGTTTTTTACCAGAGAAGTCACACTGGCAGCATAATTCATCCATCATGGAGAAACTCCAACATGTTCCCCGCACACGGGTTAGACGCTCGCCCAGATACGAATTCGTTATCGGATCAATTGTAGCTCTCTTCTGGCTCTTTGGCATCTCGTCGCTCGGCCGCGAAGCTTCCATTAGCCTTTTTGCTTCCGACGACATCGACGCAATGAAGACATGCGCCATTCGCAACTTGGAAGCCGATTTAACATTTCTCGATTCTGCAAAGCCAATCTCCAAAAATGAGTTCCTCGCCAGACGAGACAAACTGGCCCAAGCAATCGCTCAGAGTGGCGCCGACGCTTTCGTCGTAGAACCTGGACCTGCGTTTCAGTAAGGCTACGATATACCACGAAAATAAAAGCAACCGACATCAATTCTAACGTAGTCTATAGATACTATGCCAATGTTTCCGGGTCTGCATGGGGCCTCTCAGAGCGCCCGTTTCTCATGATTGTTCGACCCGACACCTCCGATGACGGCAAGGTGACCGCCAAAACAGCATTCCTTGTCCCGCACTTTGAGCAAGGCAGAGCCCTCCTCCTACCGATCCCTTCGAGCCAGAAGGACCTCGATATTATTATTTGGGAAGAATCATGGAGTCCCTACGAGACGCTTCACAACTCGACCTTCTTTGAGGACATCTCCAAGCCAACAGTCATGATTGACGAAGACATGCGCGACTTCATCGTCCGTGGGCTGCAGTCCGCCTCCTTCAAAACAGTCGGCCTAGCACCAGAAGTCGAACTGATTCGCCAGCAAAAGAGCGAAAGCGAGATCGAAATCCTCCGTGCCGTCAACACAGGCACCGCATCCGCCGTGCGGGCTATGCGACCCTGTCTCAAGCCCGATCTGACAGAGGCTGACGTTGGCGACATCCTCAACGCTGCTCTGGAATCAGTCGGCTTCAAGCCAGCATTCGCACTTGTTCTATTCGACGAGCACGCAGCCAACCCTCATGGCGGCACTGCTAATCCTAATAAAAAGCTCACCCGCGATACCATGGTCTTAATTGACGTTGGTGCGGTCTATCTCGGGTACGAGTCTGATTGTACGCGCAGCTTCTTAATTGAACAAGGCAAGAAGAAGTCTTCAGACCCTCTGCGTCAGGAGAAGCACACTGTATGGCAGATTGTGCACGAGGCGCAGACAGTCGCTGCCATGACCATGAAGCCCAATGTGACAGCTGCAGAGGTCGATCTGGCTGCACGTACAGTCATTGAGCATGCGGGCTACGGCTACGCATTTACCCACCGCCTCGGCCACAGCATCGGCATCCGCGGCCACGAATCGCCCTATCTCAACATGGGCAACCGCGACACTTATCTAAAGCCAGGGATGGTCTTTACAAATGAGCCGGGTATCTATCTTGAACAGCGTTTCGGCATTCGACACGAGGATGTGTATGTGATTCGTGAGAACGGCGAAGCAGAGCTCCTTACTGGCAAGAGAGCTACAAATATGTTTGAACCATAAGTTTTGATTGTTTTTGCTCAGATTCGTGTATATTTGGGATATCTTTACAAACGTAAATAGTGTATATACAGTACAGAACAGCCCCGTCTGCTAATTAAAATCCCTCCAAAAAAAAAAAGATACCTGTGTCCAAATAAGATGAACGAACGCCTCCCAGTTTTTCGTGACCAATTACAAAAGATGATATATTGTGTTGCGCCAGTGATGCTAAAAAAGGTTGAAAAATGAAAATGGGTTGAAAAAGGAATGTATGTGATATGGGTGTAAAAGCGTTATTGTAGTCGTTGATGATTCTGATGATGTTGCTGTTGCTGTTGAGCCAAAGCGGCGAGTGAGTCAAACCCTTCGAGAGGGAAGCCCCGTGCAATCGCTGCCCCTCGGAACTGCTCAAGCCAGGGTTTATTGTCGTTTTCTGAGAGGGGTTCGTGATTCAGGCTACAGTTCACGTAGACTGAGTCGTCTTGGTAGGTCCAGTCTGCGACGTGGACTGCGCATTCGGAGAGTGTATTGGGGAAGGGAGAGGAGCTGAGGGTTGCGCACATCCATGACATTTGCTGGAATATTTCAATCATGGTGTGAGTCCAGGCGGAGATGCTAATTCTGATGGCGTTGTCTTCAACTTCCAAGTGAATCAGTCGAAGCCCGGCGCAGTAGGCTGTGTCTTCGTCCGAGCTGTCCCAGACAGAAAATCCTAGGCTGGGTTCACCCGGTTGGTGGGAAGCCGATGCGTTCATGACGGCAGCCTCGAGACACTTGAGCACAATGCGGCCGCATTTTGGCCATCGCTTATCGATGTAGTCTGCGACTGTTGTGTAGACACAGTCGCCAGAGCTACCAGTGAGCGCGGGTAATGAGCCAATGTTGACCAACTGAGGATCCCCAATTCCATCGAGAGGCCCAAAAAGTTGGCAGGAGAATTTAAATTGCATCAGCTGGTATCCATCACGCGGCGGGCGGAAGGTTCGTTTGCGAATAATTTCCCAGACTGTTGATTCAGCCATGTGAACTTGCACGTAGTTTGGCGATAACAAAAGGCGACGTATCTGGGACACCAGCTTTTGAGCTGCCTGGCCGCTGAGAATCAGCGAGTGAAGTGTTCGAGCAATCTGTTCCGGACACCCTCCAGGCGATTGCTCTGGGTATTCTCGGTGCCAGAAGCCACAGACTAGCTGTAATGCAAGAGGCAGGCTGACGCCGTTGGCAGTTGCTGACCAAGTGACCGGCCGTTGGGATAGACCAGGAGCGATAATGTCGAGAATACATTTCGATGTCTCTGGTCCATTGAGGATCAGAATCAGTTGGCTAATAGGACCTTCGAAGAGGCGGACGACTTGTGCGGATGGGGCGCTTTCGGCGTTGTGATAAAATGTATAGAGTTCATCCCAGATTTCACGACAGAAATCGGCGATTAGTCGGTCGATAACTCTGTCGAGGTTGACTTTTACTTTGCCTTCGAGGTAGTAGTGTGTAAGAAGTTCGTTGTCGAGACCGTCAGCAAGCGCTCTTGCAAAGGCGGCGACAAAGGACCCCGAAATGATCGGTGCTAAATGTACTTCGGTTTCTTTCGAGTGTTTATCGATGCGGGACGGAAGGGTTGGCAGGGGCGGCTTGTGTGTGATGAGTTCTTCATTGTCATAGAAGGCCCGCGTTCTCCTGCCGATGTCACGGGAGCGCAGAGGGAGAGACATTGCTTCGCATGGCGATGTCGACGATGGATCGATGCTCGGGTGATGTGAAGCGCAGCGAGTGTAAAATTGAGTCGAATTCGAGTCGAGTCTCGTTGGTCGAGGTGGTGAAGGAGGCGGTGCACAGGGCGAAGCCAAGCCTGGGGGGATGCAAGAGTATATCGATGTGCGTCCGGGGGTAAGTCGGGGAAGCCGACTAGGCGCGGGTCAGCGTGGCCGTTTAGGATAAAAGTCGAGAAAACTCTGCGGAAGAGTGATGTAGCAGTGGGAAAAAGAAGGTTGAGATCGTTTGAGGAGGCGAGATTAAGACAGCAGACTAGTCTGTTTGTGTCAAAGGACGGGTAAAGACGATATTTGGGGGGGTTTAATTTTTTCCCATTGACACAGCAAACAGCCGGGCGCCAAAAGGGAAGGAGGGAAGCGTGGTGGTGCTGTGCAGGGAACATGGGAGGGGTGACGTTTTGCGTGGGCCAGGCATTGCGCGTCCCCTGTCGAGCGCTGAAGCATGTAATTGGTAGGCATTCTATGGGCTTCTGTTTCGCCTGGCAGAATCCGCGCCAGCCTGAGGAACAGGCTGTGGCGTGCGTGCAGCGCTGAGAATAGCCGTCCTGGTGCAAAGGGGCCAACAAGTTTGGGCGGGGCCCGACTCAGACGACAGGCTCGCAAGGCGGATAAATGCACAGCGACTGACTCTTTCCGTCCACTAGCTGCGCAAAGGGGGGCTCTTCAAGGTGCTCTGAGTCTGATTCTGTTATTTCCCATTTTATCCGCCACAGGCCCAGTCTATCCAGTCGCGGTAACGCTATTCTACCTTCGTTTATCTGGGCCCGCGTGCTGACGGCGTGGCGGCAATAGCCTCAGCAGCTTATTTAAATATTGAGAATCCGCCGTTGCTGTCCTGGCTTCAGCCGTTGGTCTCGGCCATCGCTGCTGGCGGAGATCATTCTGAGGATCATTCTGGCTATTTTTTGGTCATTGTTTGTCAGGTGTCACCAGAGAAGAAGAAAACACCCAGCTCTAGCGTCTCTAGTCCTGTGTTTGTCCCGAGCTTTTGCCTAAATCCACAGACTGCCAGCACCAAATCGGTCGCGACGGTGGATGGCAGCCTTTTGTAAACCTATCGCCTCAATTCTAGTATGGTTAAAGTGCCTGCAAAATATCTCGGCTGTCGCTGCTCATCATTAGCCTATATTTGGCCTAGGAGCACATGCAGCAGTTTGGTGGCGTCGTCGATGTACGAGCCGTGGCGCTTCTACGTGCTCATACCCGTGTTTCGGTTTCGGAGTTTCTTTATTATTCATGCCACCCTCTCCATAGGTAACGTATGATGCGCTATTGTTCCCGCAGCGATGGCAGTTTCAGCTACTCCAATAGCAGGCTTTTTTCCAGCTATCAGCTGCAAATTTAGGGCTGGCCTGTCCCTGAGGACAGGGACCGGGTGAAATTAAGCATACAGGGTAGGCGTTCGTACACAGCCACGAAGCTTAAACTTAACCGTTATATGCCAGCTACTTCCAGAAATGGGCTTGTGAGACATATAATATTAAACAAAACTATTAAGACAAGAAGTGAGCAAGCCGCAAAATCATATCTAACAGTGACACATGATGGCGGTCTGTGATCATAGTCCTCTCTACCTTTGCTAGCGACAGGGCTGCTGATTGTCTCCAATCAGGCTAATCGCAACGGGCTCGGTAATTTAGTACGATCGATGGTAAAATTGCCCAAGTACCTGATCTGATGGAATTTTCGGATCATTAACCACCATTTTGGCTCAAATTGAGCTATCGATCACCCAATGTGTCGATATGCTAGAAGCTGAAGTTTTAGATCGCATCCGCTTGGAGGCTGGGCCTTGTTAGAGCGACCGTGGCAAGCTACCCAGTGGCTTCACCCCACTACAGCTCGCCTTAAATCGATTGACAAACTGGCTTGCCTCCCTTGCACATGTCGCCTTTAATAACACCCGTTTAAGTAATAAACTGACACCAAGCCGTTATTTCTTCAATTGTAAGAGTGTTCGCTTCTCCAGGCAAGATCAACTCCCAATGCACTTCGTAGCACCGCCGAAATCGCTCCCCTTCGTGTCGAGCAGCCTGGTTGGGGGTTCCACTGAGCAGGCCGTCAGGTGCCATTTAGGCCCACATTTCGCTACGACTGTCCTGGCGCTCGATAAGCTGCTAATGACGTTTGCGTCTACCAGGCACAGACATCATCTTCACCTCGGTGAACTTGGTGATTGAGGCCATCAAGCAAACAGGCGCGACAGAGCAACTTAGAGGGGGGTAAGGATGCAGTCAATACCAGAAAAGGTTAATCAAGGGGAAGCAGCCAAACAGAGGGCTGGTGGCGCGGTTGGCGGTGCAAAGCTGTCAAGTGCTGCGTCATGAGGGACAGGGTCGCCCCCAAACGCGGGCTAGTGAAATTGAGTCCCCCAACGCAAGCGTCACCCCAATACTTGAATAGCTTTCTAGCGCACCGTCTTACCACTGTGAGGCCCCTCTTTCACCGTGCGTCATTCATTGTCTGCTAGCTCGGCAAGCTGATCATTGGAGCAAGAGGAGGAGCATTGGTCCAGAAAGTGCATTGCCGTGCAGGCAACTGGCCAATGATGCCCGGAAGCGGCTATGAGTCAGGGATGTTGGGTTGCAGCTCAATTGCATCCCGTCTGCTCATCCAAATGCAATGACGGGTCCAGGTCCAGCTATTGCTGCGGCCACAGCGCAAACGCTGGTGCACCACACCCCCCTCAATCGTCTCCAAGGCAAGCAGGCGAGCCGCACTGTGCAAGCTGCGTCTCGGACTATCCGGGTTCGACTAAGGATGGGTGGCTGAGGTTCCAGGTTTTGAGTTTACGCATACTGTGCGGCCCCCCCTCTCTGTTGCCATGCGCTGCTCCTCACCATTTTGGCTTGCATTCCCCCTCCTGACCTGCGCGCGCCCCCTCCCCTCCCCCCTCCCGCTATCAGTTCCTTGGAGACGAGGCGAGGCGCGGCACACAAAAGTTTAGTTGCTCCTCCCACAAAAACGCTATTTTGGTCGTTGAAATTCAATGGCTCTCTTCCTCGCTGCTTTCCATTGCTTTCCCATTGCTCTCGTGCTCTTGACGCCTTCTGTCGCCACGTTCGGCACTGCAGCAAATCGATTCCACAGTGGGTCGAGTGACTAGCTTCCCCAGATTTTAAACCCCAGAAATCGCTGAGGGATGGGTACTGGGACATGCGCTAGCCCAAAAATAGCCCCGTTTCTGCCTGCAGGTCGATGTACCCGTACAAAGTCACGCGATCGAGCCTGCCTGTTGCTCCTCCTAATCAGAACAGTGCGCAAGTATGTTTGCCAGCCCGTCTCTCATGCCAGGGCAACAAGCTTCCGCATCGGCGGCGCAAGCGCTGGAACCTACCCCGCCCCGAAGCTGTTGTAAGCCTGAGGGTGCAACATTGGCAGCTGGCCACCAGCTGGTCTTCCCTCTCATAAGAACCAAGCTTCCCCTCTTCTCCCCTCTCGCCCCCTCTTCTTCCTCTGCTTCCCACATCATCATTTGAACCCAATTTACTCTCAGCATCCAACATCTTGCCTGTTGCATCAGTTTGCACACGCATCAACCAGAACGGTTAGTCCCCCCCCATTTCCACCGGCCCGACTCTTCCGGTCGATTTATCGCGCTCGTGCTCGAGCTGACGCGGTTGTATTTCATTACAGAATACTGTATTTGAAGTCTTGTACTTGAAATTCACACATAAACCCACCCCCAGTCCCAACCATGGAACCACTTCAGAAGGTCGACTCCGCCGTCCAAGGCTTGTCGTCATCCCCCCCTAAGGAGAAGGTCAGAAGACAAAGCTCCGCAGCTGCCGCTGGTGTCATGAACATCAACGATCTCGGTAAGTCACCATCCAATTCCTGCGCACGGTGCCAGGACGTAATTCTTTTCAAAAAATTGTGCTGCACTGTCTGATAGAACGTATCTGACCTGGGTTTAGAGCGTGATGGCGTTGAGATTGAAATCGCCATTGAAACACAAAAGACAGGGTGGTACGTAAAACAATGTAATCTGATAACACCAAACACTTTTGCCTTCTAACGCTTGGCCCAGGAAAATTAACAAGAGCCCGAACTCAGTCGAGGACCCTGCTGTCCTCAAGGTCCTGCTGACAAAACCTCCGGTCAAGAAGATTGACTTGCACTTCCCGTTAGGAATGGAAGTAACAGCAAGAAACCTCAAGGGTGTCACGATTAAGGACGCCATGGATGCCATCTACAAGGCTTACAAGAAGCGCGTAAGTAATATCATATGTCAGCTGATGGGCTGATGGCGTGCGACAGAATCACAGTGCTAACAAATTGGCCTAGTCGGACGATGAGCTTGACAAGCCCTACCTCGCTGGTTTCGAGTGGGACAAGGAGGAGTGCTGGACACGGTTCATTGTCCACCTGCAGAAGGAGCCTGGCACGACAATGGCGGCCGGCGGCGGTGGCAAGAAGAAGAAGAAGGCCAAGGACGAAGAGTAAATGCCTTACCGGCAACCGCCTCATCTGTTCCAATAGTTCCTTCAAATGTGTTTGTTTGGCTTCGCTGAGTTCTTGCGAGTCGGCGCTTGGGATATTGCGATTAAGATACTCTTTGGCCGGGTTTGCTCAGCGATTGCGTTGTATTAGCGTATCGCGATTATTCTGTATCTTTGTTACGACAGATTCAATGATATATGACGGAGAGGGATTCAGTATGGCTGTGCCATGACTGCTAATTCATAAGATTCCGCTTCAACTCTACGTGTTTGATAAAATTTGCCTGTGACTTGTTGAAGCCGTTGGTGAGCTGTCGTTTGGGCGTCTGTGAGCGAACTGCATTCAGAGCCGTTGGGGGCGCGCAACCCCGCTTTGGTGCGCGAGCCTGCGTGTCCATGGTGACATCGGCTACGATGGCCGACGGCCGTGTGGCCGATGCGACTTGGGTGTGGGAAGGGGGATGGATGAAAATAGCATCCGATGTATCGGCCCTGTATAGTGAATGGCATGAAAATAAATTAAAAAAAAAAAGAAACAGCCCATTTTTGCATTGTTTGCCTGCCGAACACACCGGGCCCTCAAACACACATGGTGCATTTTCCGTGACTAACAAGTGTGCACTTGAGCCGTGTACTAATGCCGAGCACTGAGGGGCTCCAAATCGCGGAACGGCGGACGGAAATGGCTGCGGCTACTTTCGGCGCGGCTCACCACAGAAAAACGTCATCCCCACGGCGGAATGCACGGAACCCGGAGAGCTCTTTGGGCGACGGAAACAGGGCCTAGCCGAAAAAGAAGGAAAAAGTCATAAGAAAGAGACAGATCAGCGGGCGCCGTTGTGAAACTCTGACGGAAGCACCAACTTCAGCTGGCTTTTGAATATATAAGCATAAGCTGCCTTTGCAGATAGCTCTCTCCTTGCGAAAAGCCTCCCCATCCATCACCATCACCACAATAACCACAAAGCTTGCGCAACAATGCCTGTGACACAGTTTGCGATCAAGGAAAAGTACCGCTACCAGAACGGCTTCGGATGCCACTTTGAGTGAGTATTTTACTATTTTCTTTTTGCGTTTTTGCTTTCTTTAGTTGTCTGCTGTTCTGCTTCGAGCTGCTGTCTCTTTTTTCCCCAAGTTGAAGCTGTCGAATGCGCTCGCCCTGTGCCACTAGGAAACATCACCTCGCTGACATTTTCCTCTTCTCTCTCTGCTCAACAGATCCGAAGCTGTCGATGGTGCGCTGCCCATCGGCCACAACAACCCGCAAAAGCCCCCCTATGGGCTCTACGCCGAGAAGCTCTCCGGCACTGCCTTTACGGCGCCTAGACACGAAAACAAGCAGACCTGGCTGTACCGCATCCTGCCATCGTGCGCGCATCTTCCTTACAAGCCCTCCAGCACGCCTCCTCTGACTCTCGGCGACGAAGGCAATGGCAAGCTCCATTACATCCCTAACCAGCTGCGCTGGGACCCTTTCGACCACGACACCAAGCTCGACTTTGTCGATGGCCTCAGACTCGTAGCTGGCGCTGGTAATCCTTCGCTCAAGGAGGGTCTTGGCATGTACATCTACTCTGCTGGCAAGAGCATGGACGAACACTCTGCCTTTTACTCTGCTGATGGTGACCTTTTGATTGTCGCTCAAGAAGGCGAGCTCGATATCCGCACCGAGATGGGCTGGCTTTTGGTCCGCCCTATGGAGATCTGCGTGATCCCCCGTGGCGTCAAATACCAAGTCCACTTACCCTCTGGTGACGCTAGAGGTTACGCCCTCGAGCTCTTCCAGGGCCACTTCAACCTCCCCGAGCTTGGCCCTATCGGCTCCAACGGTCTGGCCAACGCCCGCGACTTCCAGGCCCCCGTTGCATCCTTCAGCGAGGAGTTTGGTGCGACGGCTTCCGAGGGTGACAAGACCTTCAATATCACAGTCAAGTTCAACAACACATTATTCACGACAACCCAGCAGCACACCCCCTTCGATGTTGTCGGCTGGCAGGGAAACTACTACCCCTACAAGTACGACCTCGGTCGATTCAACGCTATCGGCACCATCACCTTCGACCACCCCGACCCCTCCATCTTCACCGTCCTCTCCGCTCCTTCATCCGTTCCTGGTACCGCCGTAGCCGACTTTGTCATCTTCCCTCCCCGATGGCTCGTTGGTGAGGATACCTTCCGTCCTCCATGGTACCACCGCAACACCATGAGTGAATTCATGGGTCTTATTTGCGGAGGATACGACGCGAAGAAGGGCGGTGCTGGCGGCTTTGTCCCTGGCGGTGCTAGCTTGCACAACGTCATGAGCGGCCACGGCCCCGACGCTGACAGCCACGAGGGTGCCCGCAATTCGGATCTGGCCCCTGCCAAGGTTGGAGAGGGCAGCTGCGCATTCATGTTTGAAAGCTGCTTCATGGTTGGTGTTACCGAATGGGGTCTGAGGACTTGCCAGAAGGTCCAGGAGGGCTACAACGAGGAGAGCTGGGGTGGAGTTGTCACCCACTGGAAGATGCCTGAAGGAAAGACGGTGCGAAGCAACCTTGTGTCTGAATAAGAGCAAGGGTGGATGCGATGCGGGTTTGGGGTTTAAAGGTCACAAAAGATTGACGCTTCTCACGAGCGCTGTTTGATTGAGTGATGACAGTTTGGCCGTGAATGATGCGATGCACGAGTTAAAAGACATAATGTACACTTCTTTTTTACAATGATCAATAATGACAACTTTTTTGTTTGATATCTCTTAAAGATTAGTGCTTTACCTCTAACGTTCACCAGTAGGCATGTCGTTTAATTTGGATGTATAACTTGCCTCGGTCCGTCCTCCCGTTTGATACCCTGGTCACAAGTACCGCATATATGAAAGCTTAACCTCTTAAGCTAGCAGTGTACGACTATAATTGATGTTTTGAGGCTGAAAACAAAAGTTCTCCGGAAGACTACCAAAAGGGTGATCAGCATCAGTCTAGCCTATGGTTAGGACTTTGCCAAGCATGTTACGAGCACATGGGATCACTTCCCGTTTAGGGACAACCGACTGATACTACCGGATGAGCGTCCGTAATGGGGCTATAGGAGGATGATTGTGCTTCATGTGCAAGTGTGGAGGCCGCCATAATCGACAAGTGTCGCGTGCTTTGCTGGCGCCATGTTGTATTGGAAAAGGCTGGAGCTACTTCCGCCATGTGGCAGCAAACGGTTACTAATTCATGCTCATTGCTAGAAATATTGACACAAAAAGTTGTGCCAAGAAGCCAAGAGTTGAGGATGAGGGTTTGGATGTCTGCGAGGCGGGTATGACAGTCCTTTGTGCTGATTGGACTAAAATGGTCAGCCAGCCAAGCTTTTCTATGGCGTTTTTAACGTCTCGACCGTTCGTGGGGGAGGCAGTATGAATGAAAGGTGTAACATGGCTCATATGGACGGTATAGAGCAGACAGAGTGCTGTAGAGCGAGGCGCAAGTTTCAAATCTGCCGAGCCGGGTGGCTCTGAAGATGAAGAGATGACGGCGTAGAAGCCCTCACGAGAAACCGCCTTGCAGGAAGAATAGACATGCGGTAAAATAAGCCCATTAAAGACGAAGTAAGCGGCTTTGAATCGTATCTATCAAACCTGAGAGTCTCGATTGAGACGTGGAGAAGGCGAATCTTGGAACGAGAAACAAGGCGAAGGGGTCCAAACGAGGCCGCCGTGCTCGACTCGCACCCCCACCGGCTCCGTGCTTGGTGATTTACATAATAGAATGAAATTCTGGCGACAGATTGACATTTTGATGCGACTGGGCCATGCCGCCACGAGGGAGCCTTCCTCGCCTCAGGCCACTTGCACAAGACATCTGCTTCGCTGTGGCTTGGGTGTGGGCCAATGACCAGCAGGACGGATTGTCATGGTAGCGGAAGTTCAGGGATGTGCCGCTGCCAGGATGAGGAAGGTGATGAGCGAGTTGAGCCAAGCAATTCAGAGCTTACAAAATTCCCCAGCGTGGCTTACCAGCCGTTCGAGGCAGTGGTGGTGTTGCTGGTCGGGTAGAGGCGTTGAGTGGTGCAGCTGGCCTGTGCGCAGCGCCAAGATCGATGGCTTTGGACGCTAAGCAATGGCGCGCAAGGTTCTGGAAGCCAGGTGGCACAGCTGGCAGATGGCAGTGGTGCGCTCTTTTGAGTGACCAGCGCGGGGGCCCTCCTCTCTTTGCTCTCACACACTACACGAGAATGCCCAGCAAAAGCCAAGAAAAGCTACTTAATCGTCGCTCTTAAGCACGCAAATGGACGGTCATGCTCTAGAATATCGGCTGCTTGGCAACCAAGACGCCATGAAATACAAAGGTTCCATCTTCGCTGGTCTAGCCAGAGTGTGTGAGTTTAGGTCTACTGCTATGCGCTCGTTCTGTCGCTGAGGATGGACGATCGAAACATATTGAGCCTCGCTAAAGACAAGATAGACAATCCACCAGACAAAAGTAGCCGCATCTACAGTAGCGGTAAGGCTCTCTACACTTAAAAAAAAGGATCCCCCAATTTATCAGTCCTAGTTTGGGTTACAGGGGACTTTTCGAGTCAGGTGCATTGTGGGCGGGTGTCCACAGCCCCCTCCCCCTCCCTATCGTCTCAGAGAAACAGGCCTCTAGCGCCTAAATCAGTGGCGCCGTTGCACCCCAAAGGCTAACCTTAATCTTGTCCCCGGCCCTGTTTGGGCCGATTGGGGGCGGCGAGTTGCACTTTTGTTCGCCGCCGCCACTGTAACAAGGACCTCAGGGAACGCCATGTGGCCGGCGTTTGTTGCTTCTATTGGAAAGACGGCCCGTTGATTCTACCCTCCGGTACATCTGCAAATTCAGCTCTAGCTGTTGTCTATCTAGTTCGGCAAGTTTGGATGACAGTGAGCGTTGCGCTGCGCAGGGTTGCAATGAACGAGGTGTTCATCAATCACTGCACCATGATGAAGACAAATTATAGTTTATCTCGTGTTATAGGAGATTTGATGGCCTTCTGTAGCGGCCAGCCACTTTTCTTGTCTCCTTCTGCATTCGGCCTTGCTACCGACAAGCAACGCTACAGCCCCGTCAGGAGAAACTACAGGTCAATGTAAGTCGTGGCGGCCACTACCAGAAAGGCTCTGGCGAGTGCTGCAACCCACTCTGAAATGGGCTCCTTGTCCTATCTCTTGGCAGCATTAGCCACTAAGCCAGTATTAGCAACAAAAATCAACTTGTGGAAAGGTTCCCCAGGATTTGCGGGGAGTTAGCCTTGGACAATGGGAGGGGAACGCTTGCTTGACTAGCAATGTGCCCCCCAATGCCAATGGCCCAGGGCCCGATGGTGAGCTTCTTAAATCATGCGCAATTCCCACCTTCAATCGACTTCTTGCTCTTTCGTCTCTGTAATCAAACATCACCTTTTCAATAGCCGTTCTTCTCAGCTCCGTCATTGAGAAAGCTCGCTACTATGGAGAAGACTCGACGTGACGATGCCTCGCCTGGCAGAGATGCGCCAGTGCTCGATGAGAAGCATGTGCCAGAGAAGGATGATACCTTTGTTCAAGTTGTAAGTGAAACTTCTACTGGAAATCCAGAAAATGAATCGCAACGTCTAACATACAAACACAAGGCGTCTGCTACCGACTCTGAAGGACAGGTCATGCGAACGCATACCTTGGAAGGGTACGTTTTACCATGCACTACTTGTATAAGCGCCACTAACAAGTTGCACAGACACTTGAACGCTACAGAAGACGATATTCTGGAGGCCAGAGAGCTTGCTGCGTCTTTCAGCTTGGAACAAGTTCAGGCTGTATGTACTTTGTTTCCACCCACGCCGGATGTCTGCTTACAGTACTGCAGATGATGAAGAACGTTTTGGCAATTCACGATGGTGATCCCAACTTCCCCTTCATTACCCTCCAGAAAATCAAAGAATTTCTGTCAAACCCCAACATTGCCGACAACCCTGAGAAGCATGAAGACATCATTCAGGAGATGAAGCTTGAGGCGGCTCTCATTACCAACAACAGTCCCTACGCTGAAGTCCGCGCTGTCGTGGACAACCGCGACGACCCTAATACCCCGGTTTCTACCATCCGTGCCTGGACTATTGGTATCATCTTTTCCGTCTTCCTCGCTTTTGTGAACCAACTCTTCAGTATCCGTCAACCAAGTATCCGTTTTGATACCAATGTTGCCCAGTTGCTCGCTTTCCCACTCGGCAAGGCCTGGGAAAAGTTCATGCCCAACGCCGATATACCTCTCCCCTTCACCAACATCAAGATACCTCTCAACCCCGGACGTTTCAACAGAAAAGAGCATATGCTCATTGCCATCATGGCCAACACGTCCAGGAGTGCACCGTACACCAATTACATCATCTGGACTCAAGTTCTCCCCTTCATGTTCAACCAACAGTATGCTCGAAGCTTCGGCTACATGTTCCTTAATGCCTTTGGTACCAACTTCATTGGTTACGGCCTTGCTGGTCTAACCCGAAAGTTTCTCGTTTACCCATCCTACTGTGTCTGGCCGACATCCCTAGTCACGATTGCCCTGAACACTGCCCTCCACAACGAAGAGAACCACAGCGTCATTGGCCCCTTTAAACAAGTTTGGCACATGTCCCGCTACAAATTCTTCTTGGTTACCTTTGCTGCCATGTTCTGCTACTTCTGGTTCCCCAACTACCTTTTCGAGGTTCTCTCCTACTTCAGCTGGATGACCTGGATTGCGCCCAAGAACATGCATCTCGACATCCTCACTGGCTTCAAGAATGGACTTGGTTTGTTCAACCCCGTCCCCACATTTGACTGGAACATTGTCTGCTTCACCTATGATCCTCTGATGGTGCCTGCTTTCTCCAGCTTCAACGCTTCTGGTGGCATGTTCATCACTGGCTTCCTCATTCTTGCTGTTTGGTACACAAACACCTGGAACACCGCCTATCTGCCCATCAACACGAACCGTACCTATGATCACTTTGGCAAGACGTACAATGTCTCGCGTACCATTGATGCCCGTGGTATGTACGATGAGACCAAGTACAGAGCGTACTCTGCCCCGTACATGAGTGCCGCCCAGAGTCTCTGCTATGGTTTTTTCTTTGCTGTCTACGCTGCCATTGTTACCCACGTCTTGCTGTACCACCGTTACGAGCTTGTCATGGGCTTCCGAAACCTCTGGGAGGGCTTCAAGTGGAAGAAGAACAAGAAGAATGGCGAGGGCAACGCTGATGCTGATGGCACCGTCCGTGCCAACGCTGGTGAATACAAGGATGTCCATAACCGTCTCATGGCCGCCTATCCTGAGGTATCTGAATGGTGGTACATGGGTGTCCTACTAATCTCTGTGGCCTTTGGTATTGTTGGTATTACTTGCTGGCCAACCTACACGTCCCCTGCCGTCGTATTCTACGGTATTTGGCTCTGCTTGATCTTCGTCATCCCCGTCGGTATCGTCTATGCCATGACTGGTATTGAAGTTACCCTCAACGTCCTGGCTGAATTCATTGGTGGTATGATTGTTGAGGGTAACGCGCTGGCCATGAACTTCTTCAAGTCCTATGGCTACGTCACCTGCGCTCACGCACTGTCCTTTGCAAACGATTTGAAGATTGCCCACTACGTCAAGATCCCCCCTCGAGTCACTTTTGCTGGCCAGATTATCGCTACCCTCATCTCCACCATTGTCTGCACTGGTGTCATGAAGTTTCAGATCGACATCAAGGATGTCTGCACAGCCAGCGCCTCCATGCGATTCTTGTGCCCTGGTCCTAACACCTTCTTCACAGCCTCTATCCTCTGGGGTACCATTGGCCCTATCAAGGTGTTCGGCAAGGACGGACAGTATGCATGGTTGCTCATGGGCTTCCCTATTGGCATCCTGATCGTTACCGGCGCCTGGGGTCTCAAGAAGCTGTACCCCAACTCTTCTGCCCTCCGCCAGATCCATGTCGTCGCTGCTCTCGCTGGTAGTCTTCAGTGGGCTCCTTACAGCTACTCTTACTCGTTCCCTGCCGTCCCTGTTGCTTGGTTCTCCTGGATCTACATCCGCAAGCGCTACCTCGCTTTCTGGTCCAAGTACAACTTTGTGCTCTCGGCATCTTTCTCCTCTGCCATCGCCATCTCGGCTATCGTCATGCTCTTCTCCGTCCAGTGGGTTGGTATTGAGATTCCATGGTGGGGTAATGAGCAGGCAAGCGTAGGTTGTGAGGCCAAGGCTTGCACTCTGAAGCAGCTCAGCACTGGCGAGCGCTTCTACCCCTGGTGGGACGGAACGAAGGTTCCTGCCCCCTAAGGCACTGCGATCTAAAGTTGAAAATCTGATTTGAATGTATATGTTAGCGGATGAGAGAAATGTTGTTACGAGTTGCATAGCGTTCTTAATCTGTTTGGAACGATTTGCCGTTAAGTTTTGGTTATTTCATAGTTCAATAATATGATGATATCATGTTGTTTCTTTAAACATTATGCTTCTTAAGACACTTGTGCACTTTGCAAATCATATACATGTTTTAGAGAGGAAGGACAATCTACTTTGGAGTCTGAGAAAATATTTTGCATTCGCTTAAGACTAATTGAACAAGACCCCTCATCATAATACAGTTCATCATTGTAACGACACCATTAAATTTACTCCTTCTTCTTGGCCTCCAATTCTTCCGTCTCCTCATCAACAGCTGCCCAGTCGCGGAAGCCCTCGCCACGGAACCAGCTTACACCCTTGCGGAACGATGATTCTTGAATGGCCTTGGCATCATGCTCGTATACAACACCAGTGATGGCGAGTGCCAGGACAAAGACCCAGACATCGCCACCCTTCATGGAACGCCACCAGCGGCGCTTGACACCGACCTTCCACAGACTGTCGACGCTGGTACGGGCGCTGTAGAGGAAGACGCTGCGGCCGTGGCGACGCTCAACCCAGGCCCAGAGACCGGCGACGAAGCCGCCAAGGAAAAAGCGCTGGGTGGCGAGGACGTGGCGAGGAAGGTACTGCTGGAAGAAGCAGATGGATGCCCAGGCGGTGGAGATGGCGCCGGTAGCAAAGGTTGAGGTGCGGAGAGCGCGGGAGAGGATGCGCTGCAGGGCGACGACGGGGTTGTTGTAGAAGGACTTGAAGCGGGGGAGAATGCCCATGGCAGAGTAGAAGAGCAGGAAGAAACGGGCCATTGGGGGGAACGAGCCGAGCCAAAAGGTGAGGTATGTGCGCAGACACGACGGGTCCGTAGGGTGCAGCGTCGCGCATGAGAGAGATGTGATGAGAGGATGCGCCTGCGATGAGAGCGGCGAGACGGCGGCCAGCGTGGGCGGGAGAACCTGCTTCTTGTTGGGGAACATGGTGGGGGAGATGTACGCGCTGCAAGAAGAAGAAATGTGTTAGTAAACAGTGTTTAAGCTGAAGATGGATTCAACACTTACGGCCAGTTGAGGCGGGCCATTTCACCCAAGTTATCAACGATTTCATATGTTTGAGGCCACTTGAGATTGGTGGGATAGTCCGCGGGGCGCTTGTGGAGGTAGGCAGACGAATTGTTGAAGATGAACTTTCCATATGACTCTGGGAAGCAATCGCGGTCAAAGACAACGGCGTGAAGCAGCTGGCCAAAGGCAAAGGGCTGGATGAGCCAGCTGCCAAACCACCAAGGACGCTCCCTCTTACGGCCATTCTTAGTTCCCCAGATAAGGCCCTCACCTTCGCATGAGTTCCAGCCAAACTCCAGTGCACGGAACAGCGCCCAGATGGCGACAGTGACGCGCATCTGCTGGGCAGGGTAGATGCCGAGCGCAAGACCAGCGAGCGAAGCACCAATGGCAGGCGTCAGCGGCGACGTCAGGGCCTTTGTAGTTCTAGGATTGCGGCGTCGGAAAGGCTCAACCTGGGGATCTAGCAGGTGTGCTCGCAGGCGGCTGAGGAAGCGGAACAGAAATCTGTAGAGGAAGAGAATGCCGGACAAGGACACTGCGAGTCGCAGGGCTGGGGACTTGTAAAAGGGCTGCTTCTTCGAGGCAAGGGCTCTGTTGCACGCAAACGTTAGCATACGAAATCAATCAATCATCAGTTGTAGCCGAAACAAAACATACTCTGGACTGCCCATTCTGCGCAGGACAACATCCCAGCCCTTCATGCCAACCCAGGTCGTGACAAAGACGCGCAGGGCATGTCGAATCGTCTTGACATTGTAGTCGTCAGCACCGGCGCTATTGTCCTTGGGCTGGAGGGCCTTTTCGACAGCAGCCGGGCTGGGCGTCGCCTTGCGCAGCGTCTTGGAGCGCGAGATGATGTATTTGTGAAGCGTGGCGTATTCTCGCGCGGAGATGGTGTAGCGCAGCGCATTGCGCATGATGGGATCGCAGGTGCTGCTTGCTGAGCCGCGACGCCCGGCGCCGCCGGCTTCTTGCGACGGCGACGATGCGGACATTGTTTTGTGTTTTGGCGATGGCCTCGTTGTTGACGAAGGTCTTGGTTGGTGTGTCAAGGTAGTAGGTAGGGTTGCCGAGGGACGCGTCGGATGAGACGATATCGGCGGATTGGTGGAAAAGGAAGCAGATGATGAATATGTCGTCCCTTTTTTCAATTAACGCGCCACGCCGCGTGGATTTAAACAAGTTGTCTCAGATAAGACGGTGCGGTGGCTGTCTTAAAAGAGGAGGGGTGGTGGTGGTGATGATTGGGGAGAGGAATGCAGGGCAAAAGGCGAGGAGAAAAAGGACCAAGCTTCAAGAGCCTCGGCTTCGGCGCAGTGTCCGACTTGGGAAGAAAATGGCATGTGTGGGGGAGAGCAGCCCATTAGCGGGCGGTTTAGCGGGTGGACCCACCTGAGCTGCAAGCTCCCACAGGCTTGTCAGCCACTGTAAGCAGAAACCACCACAGACGAATGCACGCAGCAGTCAGCATAATACTGTGCAATTTACAAAAAGAAAAAAAAAGGTAAGATTGACGTATTTCATTTGCATGTATCAATTCATACAGTTTTTTGGAAGAAAATATAATGATGGTAATGCTATGCTATATACAAATCATGTCGTCCCTCTTGTTCAGCCATCTTGTGCTGTGCCCCAATGCAACCAATCAAAATGTCTTGTGCCCTTTCGTCTTGCCCGTGATATCAGGTATAGGCTGCCGTCAAGCGGATTCTTCTTCGAGAACCCGCTTCTTCGTCTCTGCTAGGACGATCCGCATGCTCCTTGTCATCCCCAGTTGCAAGCTGCAGTGACCCTGGATATGGAGCCACTGACCTGCTCCTGGTGCGGTTAATATCAGCCGCTGGATGAGGAGCACCGTAAATGGTATGATGCGTAACCAGATCGGGGTATTTCCCACGCTGGTAGACAGCCTATGTTAGGAGACCTAGCTGGCTTCGCCGAATCCCCAATTGCTTTACTCTAACCCTGCCAAACATTGGTCAGCGTGGAGCGTCAGCCGAGGAGGGCTAGAAGCCGCCTGTCTCGATAATTCCTAGCGCATCGGGCCTTTCAAAATCGTAAAATCAGTCCAATGTAGCGCTTCATCATGGGTAATCAGCCACTGGATATCCTGACCCGGCGTTTTGGCCCCCGGAAACAGGAACCCACTTGCGTCCCAGTGATGGGCCATCCATGTTTCCGTACGGCAACATTTCCTCTACCCAGCCCAGCACACTCCACTCATCACCGGCTTGGGGCTCCGGAGAACGGAGCTTGCTGACGATGACGCCCGAGTTGGGCACTTTGCCATCAAGCACAGTCTGCAAAGCGCGGTGGCGCAGCGATTCGCGCTCCTCAATGGCGCTCTTGACAATCTTGTACCGAGCTTCGGTGTTGGCCCATCCGCGGACGTTGCCGGAGCCCGAGGATTCCATAATCATCTTGAGATGAGTAAACGGGATGTTGAGAAGAATACGAGAGAGGATTGCGTGGGATACCGGCTGCGCTTGCTTCGAGGCTCGTGGGGTTTCGGATTCGCTACCGGGTTTGGGCTCAGACACGGCCAAGTCGCCAAACTGAATGTTGGTAATCTTCTGCGAGCGTTTGCCTCTACCAAACTGGACAGGAGATGTTGCATCGTCGCTAGCAGGCTTTTCTTCTTCGATGACGGGGCGGGGAACAGCCGGGAGTCGAACAGGCAGGCGGGCAAACTGGATGGGCTCTGCTACAAAGGCGTCAAGCTCAAAGGTAGGCGGGAAGTTGTGCACAATAAAGATGGCAACAGCGTCGAGGAGAAGCTTGGAGCCAATGCCATACTGGTAATTGTCGTGCAGACCATGGTCAACGAATTTCTCTAGCGCGAACTCGAGCACACGCTCAATGGTTTGCCAATTGATGAGATCTGCAGCAACCTCACAGCCTCGCCTCAAAACAGCCTCGGATTGCAGCAAGTGACCAGCGGCAGCATAGGCGAGAGCAAAGTCTAGCTTGTCACCGTTCGTTCCTGCATCAGACAGTTGTTCGGCCTCGGAAGCCTTGAAGCGAGGGAGAATCGGAAGCCCGTAGAGGTGCTGTGCGGCCATGTAGAACGAATCGGACCGGATCCATTTGCTGTCGGTTTCGAGGAGGAGTGTTTGGGTTGTTGTACCATTCGGGCTCGGTGGAAGGGTCTGCGAGTGAATAAGGGCTGCCAGTCGGGGGTTTCTGCTAAAGATTATGCGGTGGCCGGGGATTCTGACTGGCACAGCGCGGTCGTCGAGATATCGTAGTTCGAGGGTGCAGTCGGCAAACTGCGGGTTGCCAAACTGCATGCTGATATAGTTGGCGAGCTCCATGGCATTGTCTTGCTCGCCTGGCTGTCGCATGACGCCATCGTTGCGAGCCATGCCGGGGAAGCCAAACATTGTACCGTTGCCGTTGGATGCGCGAGCGTCTTCTGGGTTGCTGCCAGGGCCGGCGGGTGGAGGTCCTCGAGGGAAGTGGTTGTACATGGCCATATCTTCAGCGTTGGATGACTGTGAGCCGTGGAAGCTATGCGGTCCCGATGGACCGAAACCGCCTCGGTATGGAGGGTACGAGTCCATGGGTGGGAAGCCGACTGAGGGCCTACCAAAGTTATCAAAGCCAGGAACGGGCATCATATCTCCACCGAATGGCATAACGGGAGGGAACCCGTTGGGGCCGGGTCCCATGTAAGGCTGATGACCGTCTGGCATACCAATGCCAGGAGGAGGTGCTACGCTGCCACCGGACAGCGGGGCCGGAGACGACGTCTGCGATCCGTGAAAGGTACCAAAGTGAACACTACTATTGCTAAGGTGAGGCTGATGGCCATGTCGATGTCCGTTGTGCATTGGCTCGGGAGGGCCGCGTGGGATATCGCCATTGTTGTGGAAGTGTGGAGGCCGGTTCGCCGGATGAAAGGGTGGCGGCATTTGGTATCGAACGGGAGACATAGAGGATCGTGGCTTTGGTCGAGCAGAGTTGTCTTTTGCTAAAAGAATTCATTAGTATACAGTGTGATGGGATATTACCGTAACAGCAGAGGAGTGCACAAACCTTGCGTCTTTTCCACAGGTTTCGTCTCGACAGCGACGGCGGCGTGGTTCTTTGGCGTTTGGTTGTTAGCCGCAGCGTCAGCCCCAACGACTTGAGGAGCGGGATGGTCTTCGTCCTTTGAAGCTTGCTTGACTGTGGGAACAATTAATACAGGATGCAATGCAGCAAAGTGTGGCCAGATTTCTCACCTGCAGGAGATGTAGTCTCAGTGGCGGCCTTGCGGTGCTGGGTTGTTGGCGCCGGGGTAGTCTTTGCTGGGGCAGCGGCAGCGGCAGCCTCGCGCGAGCTGTTGCTGCTGGCTGGCTTTTCCGACTTCTTTACCGACTCATTCTGGCCATCGTGCTTCTTGGGCTGGTCGGCAGGAGGAGCGTCATCGGCGGCAGGTTGAGATTTGCGCTTGGCGTAGGAGAGCGGAAGCGCTGGGACAACAGGCTTTGTCGATGCCGGCTTGGGCTGCTGGGCAGGCTTTGCTTGGGACGGCTGCGCCTTGCGAGATTTAGAAGAGCCGTTTGCTGGGGCCATGGCGCAAAGGCAGAGAGGCCCGCGGGAGCTTGGACGGGGAAAAGGTGAATTGCGGCCTGGCTCTCCAGATGGGCGCGCAAGTGAAGGACCGTGATGGCGGAGGAGGAGGAGGGGAGAGCGGACAAAGGAGTGAAAAGGGCAAACGGGGAAAAGAAGCGCAGAGAAGAAGATGGTAAGCGGCGGCGGAATCTCCAATGGGGGAATCTGGTAGGCGGCCTGCAGCGGGGGAAGGGCTTTTTGATTGTGGGGTGAATGGCACTGTAACTGCACTGTAGGTACGGTAAGGTGGGCAGCCGCTGTGCGTTCTTTTTTTTTTTTTTTGGCGAGCAGTGGGTAACCAACACCCGCTAAAGCACGACACATCCACCACCATGTAGCTGGCAGGGAAAAGGCCGCTAGGGATATGGCTGTATATCAATTGAAGCCTACACACTTTCTTAATTGCTATTATATATTCAGTTCTGGAAATATCTTGGTCCCTTTAATCGATTTTACTCATTTTTCTTTTTATTTCTAGTCTGCAATCCAATCCCTCCAGCTCACCACCTCAACACCTGCTGCTGCAGCACCAGCCACAGCCCCCCAAAACGCACCGCACCGCACTGCACTGAACCCACAGGCGTTGCTGCTGGCCCACTTTCTGCGGGTGACGTCGCCCAAGATCCAAGAACGGCCAGAATACAACATTGGCGCAGCTGGCAAAATCCACCGCAGCTTCACCCGCATAAACCACCACCGCCAACCTCCTTCTCGTCTCGTCTCTCCCTTTGCAACACCTCCTATTCCCCTCCTATCCGACGACACAGCACCCAGAGCAATCCAACAAACCCTAAGAGAGCCCGCCAACTTCTACAACGCCCACCCCCGCCGCAGCAGACCTGCTTGCTGCCTCATCTCTCGACCAACTAACCACCTTGCAATGTCGCTCCAAAACACAGCAACACCGCTCCTCCTAACGAAGCGCCTCACGGCCTTCCTCCACGCCAACCAGTCGCCGCAGCTCCCAACACTACTGCTCACCACCAGCCAGGGCAAGCTCCTCGCCCACGCCAGCCCGAACCCCGTCTCCGTGCTGCGCACCCACGCCACTGTCGCCGGCTCCCTGCTTGCCATACACACCTCCTCGTCGGCCGTCCTGCCCAGTGCTCTCCCCGGCGCAGACACCCCCGAGCCTCGAGCCAGCCCGCCTCCCGAGGACGACGACGAGGACGACGCAGCCTACAGCCACGACGACGACGAGGGCCGTCTGCCGACCCGCAGCAGCAAGACGAGAGGACGGACCGGCCTGGCGCCTGCAAACTCCATCAAGCCCGTCACAATCACCGTCCAGCTTACGCAGGGCACCGTCATCATCCGCCGCCTCAAGTGCGGGCTTCTCTTTGTCTGCATTGGCCCGTCTGCTGCCGATGCTGCCCCAGCCGACTTGACCGCTGACCCGCGCGGCGTGGACGTCTCGTATGCAGATGCAACAATCACAACGTCTGGAGGAAGCCCTAGCGATGTGGAAAGCCTTGCGAGTGCTGGGGCGCACACGACGACGAGCTTGGACAGCACGACGGCAACGTCAGTCGTAGCCATGCGCAGACACGCTGCGGAGCTTGCACGCTGGCTGGACGATCGTCTCAGCACTCTCAAGGTGCCTGAGGAAAGTGTGGCTCTGGAGTAAATGCAATGCGTGTGGTGTTGCAGTGTACGTTTTGTGCTTTTCGTTTTGCTTTCACTTTTAGCATAGCTAGGCGTTTGGGACAGTACGAGGAACTTGTCCATGGTATTTTTATTTCTGGTCTGATATAGATCTATACTCTTTTAATTACGCTATGTATTATTTCCTAAGAAAGATGAAAAAAAGAATCAAATGTGCAAAAATGAAATGGAAGCCCGTGACTCCAAGCTCAAACAGCTGTAAAAGCAAAGATGGTCAATGTATCAGTCGCTAAATCAAATTGAGCGGGTCCTACTATGGCAAACACAGTAGGAGGGGGTTATAAGTACAGATGTTGCGCTAGCAGTGTTTTATTCAATGCTCATACGCATAATGCCATCGTTGGTGTCGCCCATGCCTTGAACGCCAACACGGCCCTTGGCACCAGGCTTGCTGCCGGAGGTTGCTGGTGTGCCGCTTCCAGAATCACTCGGTGCACTGCTAGTGGCGGCCTTCTCGCCTGCTACTGGTCCAGTGACGCTACCTGGGCGAGACGAGGTTCCCCATGGCAGAGCGTCTCGTTGCATTGGACTCTGCACAATGGGCGAATTGTGGACGCTTAGCCCTGGACTGACGGCGCGGCGCTTGAAGCTAGTCGGGTCAAAGTCGTCGTCTCGCCGACGCTTTGTATTGATGCGTCGGGTTATTTCTGCAGCAGTAGGAGGCATAGGCCCAACGGCACTGGCTTGGGAATGTCCTTGGCTATACGCGCCACCAGTAGTAAAGGGCGAATCAGTGCCTGCGTCTTCACTGATGCCAGAGGATGAGTCGCGGGGTAAAAAGGGGGCTGGAGGAGGTGAAGCTCTGCTGCCCCCAACGCTGCTGCATTCCGAAAAGGTGTCCCAGAATGCTTTGCCTTTAGAGTTTCTCATGGCTTGTTGCTTGAAGCTGCTCGGGAACGCCATGGACATGTCGCCCATCAGGTCATCCTCCAGTGGTTCTTCTGCATCTAGAGTCGTCAAATTTGGAGACGACAATGCTGCCGTCACGGATGCCAAGTCCAGATTGGTTGATGTCAGTCTGCTTTCGGTGCTGTCGCTATCGCGAACCTGCTTGACAACCTCGGCCTCTCGTTTTGTTTCGGCATCAGCCGGCGCGCCCTCTTCCATAAGCGCTGCTCTAATGCGTGCGAATCCTTTTGTTTTGGGCTATAAAGTGTTAGCAAGATACAAGGACTATGAAGATACATCTAAAACGTACCAAAAGATTGCCACGTCTGGCGGTAACACGGCGGACTTGGGCCTCAGTAGGGTTCCCATCCGCATCGCTGAGCGATCTGGATGTATCATCGCCCTCTGCCGCTGACAGGTTTAGCTGGTTTGCTTGCCAAGTAATGCTCTCTCGTCGAGCACGGGGGTTTTGAGCAGGAGGGGACCTTGAAAGGGACGCTGACGCAATATTAAACCCTAAGCCAAGAGGGCCGCGGGGTTTCTTCTTTATTGTTTTACGCGGCCGTTGTCTTTGCTGAAAGCTGGCTGGGCTTCCCATGGCTGGCGATCCAAAGGGGTTTCCAAAGACGCCAGCGCCAGGTAGGCCTGTTTTGTAGACCTGGGGAGTAGTGATGTAGGATTCGTCGGCATCCTCATCCATGAGGTCGTCGTCAGAGGAGCTAGACGTATCAGAGCCCATGGCTTGGGTGCTACCCAGCGAGCTGCTGACAGTCATGCGTTCCTGGGTTCCCACGACGGACCAGAGGGACGACGACGTCTGCTCTGTTCCGCTGTAACCACCTCGACGGCCTGGTATATTGATTCCTCGACCACCAACAGTGCCCGAAGACTCTAGTGATGGCTGCTCGGCTAATGTAGAGTGATGTAAGCTCGTAGCCGCGCGGGAGAAGTCGAGGCCGCGTGATCGTCTCGGTAGCAGGTTCGTCGGGGACGCATACATCTGGGCATGTTCGGCTCTAGGCGATGGCGGTGCTTGTCGTATTTGTGTATTCGGTGTCGTCATTGTACTCTGAGGGGGTGGCGTGTTCTGTCTTGCGGCGTCGAGGGCATCAGACAGCTGTCCCCGGATGATCGAGCGGCGTGGAGTTGCTGGCGGCGGCGTGTCCTTGATGCCAATGTCGTCCTGGGAGGCATTCTTTGAGGACTGGGCAATATACTGTGACGGCGAGAGTTTAGTAGCGGTAGCCTCGCCGTCGGACATGGATCTTGACTTGCTCGCAGACGGTGGCCCGTCAGGCAGAGCAAAAGGCTGTTGCGTGTCGGACTGCATGTCCTCATCCATGACGAAGGTTGCCATTGCGCAGCAGAGGCGGTCGTCCGTACTTTGACAACAGCGAGAGGGTCTTTAGACTTGATTTCAGGGCGAGTGAAGTGTTTCAGTAAGCGTTCGGAAGTCAACTAGCAGCCGTCGCGGCAAGGCGACGTTCCCAGCGCTTATAGCCTGATCGTCGTCATACAGGTGCGTTGTGCGGTGTTTTGTTGGGTAGAAGCAGTGTTGTATGTGTCGGTGGTGTGCTCCGTGTGCTTCTGCAGCTAGCGGTCGTGGTTAAAGAGGAGATCGGAGAGCAGGAATATGTTACAAAGTTATAGAGTTTAGGAAAAGAAACAGCCCATGCCACATTGGCTTTGGGGGCTCCCTGTGGTCGCGACGTGACGCTTGCGGGTTTCAGCGGATGGCTAAAGGAAAGCCCCATGCCGGCTGGTGCCACTTTTTTATTGGGTTGCTAAGTTTGGCTGGCTGGCGGTAGTGCCATGCGCTGGGAGAGTGTGCCACAGGGGACAATGGGGCGCAATTAGTGGACAACAGTCCGCTGTGCTTGGCGGCTAGTGGGCCCGGACCTGGCCTGAAGCCAAAAGGTGGGGTTGGGTAGTTGGCGGGGGTCAATTGACATCACCAATATTTTGCGCGGCTCCGCGAGGCAATCTTTCCGTCCTTCCGCCATCAAAGCATCTCCTCTGATGAACTATCTTCGAGCTTCACAGAGAATTACCCACATTCAATCGCTTCTACATCGCCCTATTTCTGCAACTACCAGTCTCCCTTTAAGTAAGAAAAGACCCTCGTCGTCACAAAACATATGCTTACCAATACAAAACAGACCAAGTCGCAACCATGGCTACCACTACTGACACCAGCAAATACAAATTCAATCATTCCATGTAAGATTCTAGCAATGGCCGGAATAATTCAAGCAATGGCTTTTACTAACACCTCGTAAAGGATTCGAGTCAAGGATCCCAAGGCATCCGGCAAGTAGACCTCTGCCCCTCAGCCAAAGACACCAATGCTAACGAATTCCCTCCAGTCAAGTTTTATGAGTTCCTTGGAATGTCCATCGTTCGTAAGCTCGAGTTCCCAGAGGCCAAATTTGATCTCTACTTCATGGCCTATGACAGCCCCAAGGCCCTGTCCCACGGCAACAAGGTCCTCGACCGCGAGGGCATCATTGAGCTGACGCACAACTACGGCACCGAGGAGGACCCCGAGTACACCATCAACAACGGTAACAAGGAGCCTCACCGCGGCTTTGGCCACACTTGCATCAGCGTCGATAACCTCCAGGCCGCTTGCAAGCGCATTGAAGATGCCGGATACAAGTTCCAGAAGAAGCTATCCGATGGCCGCATGAGAAACATTGCTTTCGCTTTGGATCCCGATGGCTACTGGGTTGAGATTATCGGCCAGAAACCTCTCGAGGAGACGGAAAATGCCACCACCACCGACGTCGGCACCTATCGAATGGTAAGCACGTCAGACACCGGACGAGAAATTGTCGAGGCTAATGTTGGCAGAACCACACCATGCTGCGCGTCAAGGACATTGAAAAGTCCCTCAAGTTTTACCGCGACGTCCTCGGTATGAGCCAGATCCGCATGGTGGAAGCCGAAGCTGCCGGCTTCAACCTCTACTTCCTATGCTACAACGCCGACGACGGCGTCGCGACTCCTCTGCGCGAAGGCCTCCTCGAGCTCACCTGGAACTATGGCACCGAGAAGGACGATGCCTTCCAGTACCACAACGGCAACGACCAGCCCCAGGGTTTCGGCCACATTTGTAAGTTTTTCATGCGTTCATTGTAGCTGCTTGTGCTAATGAGGCCCGTAGGCGTTTCCGTGGACGATCTCGATGCCGCATGTGCCCGCTTCGACTCGCTCGGCTGCACGTGGAAGAAGCGCCTCACCGATGGCCGTATGAGGCATGTCGCATTCCTTCTTGACCCTGACAACTACTGGGTTGAGGTTGTCCAGAATGACAAGTACCCAAGCAAGTATAACGGCATGTAAGCTGTTAAGCCTATGTTTAATGAATGAATTGGGCGGCGCATATATAGTGGCGGCCAAGGAGCGGGCCGACTGTGTAGAGTTTACTGAATATAACGAAGTTGTTTAAATCAGGTTTAGACCAAGCTGAAATGCACGTTTGAGTTAAATGACTAAAAGCTCCAGCATGACTGACCTTGATGGCCTCGGGCTGCTTGCGCGTGCCCTCTTTTAGGCAGATCGGTAGTTCAACATTATCTGATGATTGGTCAAGGACAGGAAAGTTGAGCGGCAGCTTTTTAGGTTTTGGGTCTAGACACATGGTCTCGACTGCTTCATAGGTACCGGTATTGAATTGATCTACCTGTCCTCTCGGAATCCGTAGGTTTAATTCGCCCGCAATCAATTCGTCGGCGCATTAAGCATATTTTACTACTCGGGGCTTGGCTGCGGGGAATGCGGGGATGTGATAGTTTAATTTCTACAGAATCGAGCAATTTACGATAAAACTTGCTCAACCCAATATATAGTTTCGCTAAAGCGTAGCTGCGGATGGTACCCAAACTTTCGCTACCAGGCTTGAAGGAAAGAGCAAACACATCACCCGGTTGCAAGTTGTTTGCTCGGATGCAACGGTAGAGGGGTAGTGCGAAAGATACTGCACGATCGCCACAGCGACTTGTTTAGGAGATGCACGCTCCGGCGTAACTTCTCTTCTCTTTGCCGCCCCGGCGATACTATGCTAGAGAGGGGTGCATATCGTAGCTGAATTGAAGCACCAATGGCGTTGCAGTGTCGGCCTGCAGACACCACCACCATCTTTCATCAGCGCCGAGTAGATAGACTTGTCTCTTTTTTTTGGAGGGGCGCCGTCGGACGGGATGTTCATCTTCCACTGATTAGGCCACGGCACTGTATTTAACCATGACGTGCCCTTCACGCACTGCGCCGCCACAGCCGTGTCTCTTATCTTTTGTCTCTTGTGCTTTTTCAGACTCCTTTTTTTGAAGTCAACGTCTTCTTTGACATTGTTCGCTATCATTTCCGGTCTCCCACCAAATTGCTTTCTGGTGCTCTTTATCTCATCTTATCTGACGGTTCTCCGCACACCTTGCCCATGACTCCCCACGCGATGAGCGAGCCACTCCAGTTTGAATCGACGCGGCCCCGCATCCTGATTCCCGAAAAGGTTTCCCCGGACGGACTTGCACTCTTGCAGCCTCACTACGATGTCGACATCAAACTAAGCCTGAGTGCCGAGGATCTTGTTTCTATCATTCCTGCGTACCAGGGGCTGATTGTGCGATCAGAGACAAAAGTTACAGCCGAAGTGTTGCAGGCTGGACGCAAGTTGAAAGTCGTTGCCCGCGCCGGTGTAGGTGTCGACAACATTGATGTGCCTGCAGCCACAGCCCAGGGTATTATTGTTGTGAATTCGCCATCGGGAAATATTCTCGCTGCTGCAGAGCACACTATCACACTCTTGCTAGCCACGGCTCGAAATATTGGTCGTGCAGATGGCACTGTCAAACAAGGACTGTGGGAACGCAGTAAATTGGTCGGTGTCGAAGTTGGGCACAAGAAACTAGGGATTGTCGGGCTAGGCAAGGTTGGCCTCAACGTTGCGAGAATGGCCAAGGGTTTGGGCATGACTGTCATTGCTGTTGACCCTTATGCAAACCCAGACATGGCTCGCCAGGCTGGCGTAGAGCTTGCTACTAACCTAAAAGAAATACTTCCTGTAATTGACTTCTTGACAATTCACACGCCGCTATTGGCCACCACCATGGATTTAATTAGCAAGGATGAGCTGCGCATGATGAAGCCCACGGCTCGCGTTCTCAATGTCGCACGAGGTGGCGTGTACAACGAAGCAGCTCTGCTTGAGGCGCTTGATGAAGGTTATATTGCGGGTGCTGGCTTGGATGTCTTTACCTCGGAGCCACCAGCAGCGGACTCGGTTGCTCACACGCTAGCCAGTCACCCGAAAGTCGTGGCTACCCCTCATCTCGGAGCATCTACCGTCGAAGCCCAAGAAAACGTTTCGGTCGATGTATGCACACAGGTCGTGGCGATTTTGCGTGGTGGTCTTCCTACCAGCGCAGTCAATGCACCCATCATTCTACCAGAGGAGTACAACAAGCTGCAGCCAGCGGTGCTACTAGTGGAAAAGATGGGATCGTTGTACACGCAGCACTTTGCCCGAAATAAAGACCGCATGGTGGGTGGTCGCAAATTCGAGCTCGTGTACCACGGCGACTTGGCTGGCATGCCCAACACGAAACCACTGCTGGCAGCGCTCATCAAGGGTCTTGTTTCCAGCTTTAGCGAAACATACGTCAACATTGTCAATGCAACACTGATAGCCAAGGAAAAGGGCATCACCATCAGCGAGACGCATGATCACGACTCTAAGAACCAGACCTACTCCAACGCAGTCACACTTCGGTCCTATCCAACACCCACAGGCAGCGGCATCCAGGCGCAAGTGATTGAAGGCTATGCGGCGGACAGGCGTCTGTATATTTCAAAACTGGACCGTTTCCATGCTGCATTCAGACCAGAGGGCACCATGATTATTTTGCACAACTATGACGAGCCTGGCAAAATTGGAGGCGTCGGCACTGTACTCGGGTCCCACGGTATCAACATTCGGTTTATGCAGGTGGCCAGTCTAGACCTGGCGTCGGGTAGAAACACACCGCTAACGAGTGAGCAAGCCGACCGCGAGGCTCTGATGATTTTGGGTGTCGATGGTGACGTGACAGAGCCAGTGATGGAGGGGTTGCGTGCTTCTGAAGGTGTGCTGGATGTCAGCTTGGTTACCCTGTAAATAGAGCCATGGTGCGTCCGATGTGGCTGCCTCTAGAATTGATGCAAGGAGCGCCACCTACTAGCACCGAGTAACAAATATAAGCTCTGTAGTGCATGAATAGTGTGCATTGATTTTCAATTTGGCTGCATATGCCCGATTCAGGTGGTGATGCGAATAGTTTGAGACGGGTGGTTTGGCCGCTAGGCGGGGGGCTGGTGTTAGCGTCTCAAGGGTCCTATAGGTACCCGCAAATACACAAACCCGAGATGATTGACTGATGATCACAAACAATGGGCGCCTTGTTTCACTTACCCCGCGCTAGCTAGTAGCCGTCTGATGAATAATTAACGAAGTTTAAAAAAAAAAAACAGAGTTAGAGGACACTAGACGGAAAAAGAAACGTAATCGATATGCAACCCACGATAACAACTCGCAAGCAACCAACCCCCCGAAAAGCATATGCCACCAGCAGACGTCTTTGAGCTGAGCCCGTCCCCCGAAGTAAGTAAGCCTGCATATGCGCTGGCGCTGTCAGTGGCAGGATGAAGGATTCACCGGCAGACACACCCGATTGTCGTGCAGCCGCAGGCGATCCTTCGCCAGTGGAATGCGCTAGAAAAAAACCCTTGTTCAGGTGCCTCTTGCGGGCGGTTGCAGCGGCCGCGCCACCAAAGCTCTACGCGCCACCAACAGTGACCACCAGCCCAAAGGCCAGCCGGGTTCCGGTGGTGCCAAGGTTTACGGATGCGGCCAATCAGCGACGCCTGTTCGAGGTCCAGCGCCCCACGCTATGTGCGTCATTGCGAACTCGGCTGCGATGGGGCTGCTAGCGGGCTTCCATGCGCTACAACCAAAGACCTACTGTAACTAAACACTCTGTCCCGTGTCCGCAGGAGAGTAGACGCGGACAGAGCTCGGTATTACGGTATTAGTCGTCCGTCTCATCTGCGTCTGTCAGCAATGTCCGCTCCGAGACCTGCGTCTAAAACCCGTTGTTTCTAGCGAGCGAGCGAGGTCGGTAATATCGGCTGTAGTAGTAACCGTGGCGTATGGATTATATCCAGCCGAGCGTTGTAAAACCTGGCGCGTTCGCAACCCTGGCCTGTGCCGATTCCTCCCATGCCGCTTACAGCGTCGCCGCAACGATCCATCCCGTCCACCGTCTTATCCTTCTGGGGCATTCCATTACCCATAGCGAAGACCGGAACAGTCTCTGTCTGTGTTTTATGTATCACATCAAACACGTCTTCACTTCCAGTACCGTGCACATTTTTTGCAGAAAAATAAAACACACGCAAGCCGCGCATTTTTACGAATTTCCCTCGTCTCGTTATCTGCTCTGACGGCTTCCCTGCTGCACGCAATCTGTTGTCGCGTGCCCTGTAGCTCACACGTTTTCGGTCGCCCACACCCTGTTGGCTGCTGCCCTGTTTCCCACCCGGAACCACTGCCACCACATTTTTTTTCCTGCGCAGCAACTAACGGGCGCCACTGTCCCCATCCGGCTGCCCCCAGTGGCCCCAATTCTAGCGGGCTGCCGAAAATCATCTCACCTTTCTCTCTTCTTCTTCTTCTTCCTTTCTTTTCCACAAACTCCACCATACTCGTCACATCGCCAATTTCTTCAGGCACTAACGCATCGCCTCCCTCGCGGCCCCCGAATCACCCCCTCGTAACTGTTGGATCGAAATGCGGAATGCGGGAGCTCATGGTGGTCTGACAAGCCTCCGGCCTGCCGTCCTCGGCATGGCCAGAGTAATCGGACTTGGTTTGTCTCATGCCGCCGCCGCTCCATTGGAAAAGCGCACCGGACATCATGGCGACGATCTCGAAACGGCACCACTATGGCTGCTGTGCACCTTTTCCATGGCTCTCGTCCTTTTGGGCGGAGCTTTTGCCGGCTTGACCATTGCGTGAGTATTTCCCGCGCTGCCACCGTACGATGGCGCCATTGCTAACCATTTCCCTTTTTTGTAGCTTGATGGGTCAAGATAGCATCTATCTTCAGGTTCTAGCAGGCGATCCTACTGAACCTCAACATAAAAACGCAAAGCGAGTGCTAGACTTGCTCTCCCGAGGCAAGCATTGGGTGCTTGTCACCCTCCTACTTGCCAATGTCATCGTCAACGAATCTCTCCCCGTCGTCCTCGACCGAACCCTGGGCGGTGGTATTGCTGCCGTTGTTGGCAGCACGGTTCTCATCGGTAAGAAAGTTCGAAATCCACCTGCATTAACATGCTACTAACTATCCCAATAGTCATTTTCGGTGAAATCGTCCCCCAGTCCATCTGCGTCCGACACGGCCTCCCTATCGGCGGATACATGTCGAAACCCGTCATTGCTCTCATGTACATCCTTAGCCCCGTTGCTTGGCCCACTGCCAAGCTTCTCGACTGGATTCTTGGAGAAGACCATGGCACTGTCTACAAGAAGAGTGGTCTCAAGACCCTCGTTACCCTTCACAAGTCGCTTGGAGATCTCTCGGAGCGATTGAACCAGGATGAAGTCACCATCATCACAGCCGTGCTTGATCTCAAGGAAAAGGCCGTGTCTGATGTCATGACTCCTATGGAAGACGTCTACACGCTCTCCGAGGACCACATTTTGGACGAAAAGACCATGGACAACATTCTTGTCTCTGGATACTCCCGTATTCCTATTTACCGATCTGGATGCCCGACCGACTTTGTTGGTATGCTTCTTGTCAAGACGCTAATCACCTATGACCCCGAAGACCGCATCCCAGTCAAGGATGTTCCTCTTGGTGCCATTGTCGAAACCAGACCTGAGACCAGCTGTCTTGACATCATCAACTTCTTCCAGGAAGGCAAGTCGCATCTGGTGCTTGTGTCAAATGATCCTGGATCCAACCAGGGTGCCCTAGGTGTTGTCACGCTTGAAGACGTCATTGAGGAGCTCATTGGCGAGTAAGTTGACCCATCCTACCTGAACCACATTATCAGTGAAACTAACAACTTCATAGGGAAATCGTCGACGAATCGGACGTTTATGTCGATGTGCACAAGGCTATTCGACGCCTCACACCCGCCCCCAGAGCCAGAAGAAGTCACCACATGGATGTTGCTACCGCTGCTGGAATGGCTGGAACTGCTATCGCTGCTAAGAAGACTGCCGATGGCACTGCCTTTGTAGATGTTGGAGAAGACGCCCAAGGACAACCCATGGTTGTTGGTTCGCTTGGCGCTCTGAGTGATACATCCGGCGACAGCCAAGAATCTCAGTTGGCAGTCTTTATGAAGCGCAGAAGCTCGGTTGGCCCCGACGGCAAGCCTGATACAAGCGTCTTCCCCGTCAAGGCTTCGTTACGAGAAGTCAAGGCTCACCTTCGCCTCGGCCCAGCCAACCGTGCTGCCAACCCTCTGAGCAACACGCGTGGTGCGGTCTTCAAGATCAAACAGGGTCTAACGACGGTCAACAGCCGCGAGCAGATTCCATCAGCCCTCACCAGCCCGAATATTGCTCCCATGGAGTCGACACCTTTATTAGGTGCCAGTAAAGGTCCCAATGGCCATGACGCCGACTATGGTGCCCACGGTAGCGAAGTCGTATCAAAACGGAAGCAAAATGGACACGGCAAGAAGTCATGACGACTTGCCAATAGAAAGCTCGTATGAGTAGTGTGAATTGGGCGTCTATGTGCAAACAGAGATGGCCCTGGTCTGCATGTTATCCTTTGCTTGATTGCTTGGGGCTGGTGTTGTTTGCTTACGGTGTTTTTGTTTTTTGTCTTTGATCCAACGAAGTGGGAGTACGTACTCAAGCTAGTTTCTAGTGCAAGATTTACTCCTATGCCGTCACATAGGAATTGATATATCTTTTTTTTTATTAAACTGGCTCATCTAATGCTTTCGTAATGCTGTTTGTAAAACTATTTATTTAGTTATTCTATTCAATCATACCAAATGGCGTTCATGCCAAAGCCCGGCTCTGGTACCCGTACTCTAGCCACCCTCGCTAGAAACTCATCCTGCCATCTGTAAATCTCTAACCAGCCCTCTTGATCGTCAGTGATGGCGACCCAATCATCACACCAGTCAGATGGAGATACAGCATTGCTGTGACCGCCACTAGTAGGTGTTGGGTTGAGGCAGATTTGGCGCTCAATGAAGCCCTCTGGCGCAAGCTTAAACGCCGCGACGTACCCTGTCAAATCGAAGCTATTGGCCCGTGACGAAGCAAACATATAGTTGCCAGACTGTGACAGTACACAGACGTCGGCGCGATACTGTGTCCAGCGGTCAGGAATACCTGGTGGGATAAGCGGGAAATGGCGATGTGTGTAGACTGGCAGATGAGTAGCCGGATCAATGAGATATTCACAGATTCTGTTTCCCTTTTCCATCAGCGCATATAGATATTTGCCTGTCGGATGCATTGCTACCCATCGCGGGTGGTCGCGCTCGTCGTCGCAGTCGACCGATCCGACAAGTTCTACCTCGGGTGCGTCGAGATTTGGGCGGCGATGCACCCAGAGCTTGTTTGCAGTCAAGTCGGCTGAGTAGAGGTACTCTTCTGTCGGGTCAAAGACCATGCCGTGGATACCAGTGTTGGGTTGATATTCGTAGTTTTGCACATTTGTCTTGAGGGCGCCTGTTTGTGAGTCTGGCGCAAAGACGGCGCCGTGGCCGGCGTGCTTGTAGAACGGGTTGCAGTAGATGCCATGTGGAGGTTTCTTGGCCGCAAGGAGGAAGATGGCGCGGGTGTTTGTTGTGGATAGCGAAGCAGAAGCTATGTTGACAGGTTAGCAGATGTAATGTAAGGGAATTGTGATGGCCGTACGGTCGTGTAGCATGTCGTGGGAGACTTGGTGCGTGATGTCGGTGGGGGAGTTAACGGCGTAGCTGGCCCATTTCTTGGATGCGGCGCCGTAGAGGGCCTTTTTGTCGTGCTGAGATGCCCGGTTAGTCTTAGAAAGAAGAATGTGTGCTTGGATGGGAGGACTTGCGCTAAATGTCATCCATGAGATGGCTTCGTCGTGGGGGATTTCGGTGCGCTTGACGAGCTCGAGCGTCAGCGCTTCATCGTCAAAGGCGAATGTGAAGATGGCTCCTGGCGGCGTCCAAGTGCCGACCATGAGATGGTGGACAGGCATCTTTGTGTGTTTGCAAGGTCTGTGACCTTGGCCGCGATGCTCAATTTGTTACAGTGCCTTTGTGATATGGTGTTGCTGTTGAAGAGTCGCCTGCCAGGTGCCGTCTGCTGTACCCGGGCCTCCGCCGACGGCACCGGGGGTTTTCCGGGCGGCGGAGGCGTTTGGTGCATGTGCGCTGTAATGGCCGCTAACAGGAAAAAAGTAAAAGAACCTTGGAGGGGTCGTAGTGGGGAAAAAGGCGAAGGCGGGAGCGCTGCGGGGTCCCAGTCGGGAGATGGCGACGGTAGATGGGCGAATGGCGGCCGGGGCATTAGCCGTGGTTGTGGCCCGAGATTTTGGAGGCGTGCTGCATTTTTGGGTTGTGATGAGATGAGGCGTTTGATTTTTTTTTTTTTTTATTTTTTATTTTGGCAATTCGGCGTTTCGGGGGACGAAGTTCACGATTACCGGATATGCTCTTTTCCGGGTATAGTTAACGGTGTTACTTGCGAGGCTTACAGGGCACACGGCTGCAAGTATACTCGGTGCAGTTCTCTAGACAGCACAGGCGACTGCCTTCAATGGCTGCCAACTCAGCCATGCTGTTATTTTGCTTTTTATTCAAGCAAATATAAAATATAAAATGAATGCTTCTAAATTTCCCCTTGTTCCATCTCATATGCACCTGCAAAACCCTCCGGCCGTCCCGGCCACTCTTCCGTATTATCAATCGCACTTCAGCCTGTGGACCGATGCTCGTCATTCCTCCAGACGCCTCTTTCGGCTTTGTGCCCCGGCAAGTGTTCTCTTTTTCTGCCCTACACCACGCTACTTAAGCACAGCGCATCCCCAACTCATCTTTGGCTTGTTTCCATCTCTATTCCCTTTTCCAATCTCCATCATCGCGCGCATCTTTCTTCTCCTCTTCTCTTTTCCACCAGCCCGCATTACCAGCTGCGTCTCAAAGCGACAACCCCGCGCCATCCATCTACACCAAACGCTACACCAAAACGAAACCGACGTCATGGCCACAAACGGCACCAATGGCACCACGAATGGCGCACATGGCCCTAACGGCCAGGCGAACCGCTTTGATCCAAACTTCACACAGCATGTCATCGACAACATGGGCCCCAACATGACAGATCGAAACAGAGTCATCTTTTCCAGCATGATCCGCCACATGCACGACTTCATTCGCGAGGTTGAGCTTACCCATGAAGAGTGGCTTGCCGGTGTCAACTATGTCAACCTCGTTGGCCAGGCCTTCACCAGCACTCGCAACGAGTCGCATAGAGTGTGCAACATTCTTGGTATTGAATCGTGAGTTTTTACACCGCCATAATGAACCTTTCGCAATCGTGACTTATACTTCTATAGGCTTGTCGATGAAGTTGCCAACAAGATTATTGCCGAGGGTGACTTAGATCCTACATCGACATCCATCCTCGGTCCCTTCTGGTCTCCCGATGCTCCGTTCCGCGAGAACGGCGGCACCACAATCCAAGATCCTACACCAAACGGCCAAGTGTGCAAGATGCATGGCACCATTAGCGACGTCCTCACAGGCAAGCCCATTCCCGGCGCTGTCTTTGATATCTGGCAAGCTAGCGCCAATGGCAAATACGACTTCCAAGACCCTGAGAACCAAACACCAAACAACCTCCGTGGCAAATTTAGAGCGGACGAGAACGGCAAGTTCTGGTTCTACTGCCTGCACCCCACCGCATACTCTCTTCCCACCGATGGCCCGGCATATGATATGCTCCAGCTCATGGATCGCCATCCCATGAGACCAGCCCACATTCATATCATGGTAAGCTTTGCATTCATTGCGCAATTTCAACAAACCAAATTTCCCAACTAACCCTTGCTCTAGGTATCGCACGAAAAGTACAGAGGATGCACAACGCAGCTATACCCCAAGGGCGACCCTTACCTGGCGTCGGATTCCGTCTTTGCCGTCAAGGACGACCTCGTGGTGGACTTTAAGCCTCTCAAGGGAGACCCCAAGGCCACGCTTGAGCTTGAGTACAACGTTGTGCTCGCTCCCGAAGGTTACAAGGGCCTCTATGTTTGAGGCGTGTACGACGGGGTTGCCTTGTCAAAGAGCAAAGCAACCAAAAGATGATGACGCGAAAATGAAATCCATACATTCCTGGTCAAGGCTAGCAGGGATGTACCGGCGCGGAACGCTAATGGCGTGCACGGTTCGGTTGCCGCTGCCAATCAATATAAACAAGGTTACATGGGACACGACACATGGCAGACTTCGGTTCATGGGGTTTGGGGGCATCTACAAGCAGCAACAGCGGGTTATATTTTTAGATTGACAGGCGAGAGTATCTTGGGGACGCCACCGTGTATATTTTTATAAATACATATTGTTCTTCCTGGAAACAATGAATTCTGTAGTTTACGCCGTGTCTCTGATTCATTAAGCCATACCAGCAGTCTGGATTGGGCGTAAAGTAGCGATCCAGCCGACCCTTTGAAATGACTGTGGGGGAATATACGCAAAAGAGACACGGTATGACCAGACACAGCGACAGAAGCACCCAACAATGCGACTGGCTAAAAGCGAATCATACGCAGCCATTGAGTAATTATTTTTCTACTGGGTCTTAATATTGGGCTGCATGCAAGTAAAGCAAGCCTATGCATCCCTTACATGCACGACATGGAGACGCGGCGCAGCTGCTGTCGTGCCCGTTGTCACAGCAACAATCGACCAAAACATGGCCTGCCCAACTTGCTCAACGGCCATTCACGCCATCGTCAAGGGTCGTCTCTTTTGTATTTCATCGGCAGTGTGCCATTGTTCGCGACTATATTCTTTGGATGCATCGCCATCTTTTAGCTTTTTTCTTTCTTTTCTTTTTTTCGTCACGTATAGAGCATAGCACGTTTTGGTTTGCGTCTTGTCTCAGCAAGCCGGAAGCTTAACTGACTAGCTTTCAGCTGTACCGACGAATACATCGTACACAAGAAACCGTTGGCCATAAGTTTATTTATATTCAAGTGACGACGACTTGGATATGGCTCCGTCTCAAGTCAGTCCTCGCAAGGCAGTTGCTGCGCTCGGAGAGATTCACGGCAACGGGCAAGATCATGCCTCTCGCTCACCATTAAAGAGTACCGATGTATCCTACGCCGACAACCGTGGGCGCTCACGATCACCAACAAAGAATGCGTTTCCGTCTCTTGGATTTCGAGGCAAGGCGTCCCCAACCAAGGAGGACCCCAAGTCACGAGATGCCTCGCCAAAGAAGCCCAAGAAGATGAAGTCTGGCCCAAACCTGGCTGCACTGCTTTCTAGACCAAAGTCGTTCAAGAACTTGAGGAAACAGGCTGACAATGACGCTGATATTGGAATGAATAAGGAAAACACGGCTCCCTCGACGGGGTACGAGGCACCTACACCGATTTGGGCACAGTTTGCGTCCACCGGGTCGCTGACTAGCGAGGACAAGCAATCGCCTTCAATATCAAGGCCAGTGTCGTACCAGGCGTCGACGCCATTAACGACTCCAGCCAAGCCAGACTATTCTGCTTCATCCAGTAAGCAGCACACTCGTGGGAGGTCAATTGCCTCCGCCTTCAAGAGCGGCCATGGAAGATCCAAGTCGGTGGCTGCCACACCAAAGGCGCCAAACCAGCCAGAAATCGAGGCCAAGGACATCAACAAACATCTAGAAGCCCTTCTTGACCGTCGAAACATCCCAGAAAACCAGAGATACAAGATGAGAAACCTGACCGATACGATCAAGATGGAGTTCATTCGCCAGGACTGGGCCGAGATGCAAGCCGCCAAGACCAAGGATTCGCCAGCAGACGACAATGGCGTCGATTCAGAGGGCGAGGAAGAGCAGCCGCGCCGCGGGCGTGGTCGTAGCTTTACATTTTCACGAAGCCGAAAGAACTCTGCATCACCCACCAAACGTGACCGTCGAGATGCCTCCGTCGGGCGCCATCTCCGCAGCAAGTCGACTGACAATGTTGCGTTGGACCGCCCCGTCTCTTCTGGAGCCAGTACCGGTGGCGTCTCAAGCGTGTTGTCCATGATTAAGCCTCAACAAGGGCCATCTGATTATGTCTCGTATCTGCGCAAGGTGACCAAGCCCGAGGCGATTGAGGTTGGCAAGATCCACAAGCTGCGTCTCTTGCTGCGAAACGAGACGGTGGCTTGGATCGAAAGCTTCATTGAGCAAGGTGGCATGGAGGAGATTGTCAGCCAGCTCAACCGTATCATGGAAGTCGAATGGAGGTAAGAAGAAAACTGATGTTGTCATCACATGAGTCCAGACAGTATGCTAACAAGTTTGTATAGAGCGGACCACGAAGATGCTCTCTTGCACGAAAACCTGCTCTGCCTTAAAGCGTTGGCCACCACTGCCCGCGCAATGGAGTACTTGAAGGCTCATCATACCGAGCTGTTTCCTAAGCTACTCCATCTCATCTTCGACCCTGAGAAGAAGGGCCCTAGCGAATTCACCACCCGCAACATCATCACATCGATTCTCATCATGTACATATCATCAGCATCGCCAGCCGAGCGCATCATCCGCGCCAAACAAGTTTTGAAGCACCTGCGCGACCCAGAACCAAAAGAAGCAGACCAGCCGCTGCCATGGGTCCTCGAGATGAGACAGGAGCGCCCGTATCGTGTCTGGAGCAAAGAAGCCGTCAGCGTCACCAAGGAAGTATTCTGGATCTTCTTGCACAACATGAACGTCATCGCCCTCCCACCCGGCGCCAACGCTCGCGAAGAAGACCCCTTTGACACCAGCAACAACGAACCGTATGCCTATATGAACCGCCACTTCCCTCACGAGCGTCCGCCTGTCCCTGCAGCCCCGTATGTTGGCGGCGTCGAATGGGACGCGACCAACTACCTGGCCTCTCATCTCGATCTGATGAACGCACTGATTGCATGCACTGCTACACAGGACGCACGCAATGAGATTCGCGGCCTTCTGCGCATTTCCGGCTGGGAGCGATGCATGGGTGGCTCGCTGCGCATGTGCAAGGAGAAGTTCTACGGGTGCGTCCACGAGGCACTGCGCACTTGGGTCGCCGCGGCGGCAGAAGACGGGTGGAAAGTTGAAGATGTCCGCTTCGGCCCTGTTGCTGCAGACATTTCTAGAGGTCATAGCCCCATTAAGGGCAAGGATGTGGAGGATGCGCCGAAGCTGGAGATGCCGCGATTTGATCTCGGTTCTGACAATGACCAGAAAAATGACGCTTGGCTCTGAATGTCTGCTTCTTCTGCTGTCAAGTTTTCTTGTTTACATCATTTGCATATTGCATTGCGTTTGCTTTTTTTGTCGGGTTTTATTTCTTTTTACGTTTGTTATGCGCTGCTGACGACGGAGTACATTCATGGACCAAGTTGACGCCTTTTTTTTCATGTCACTTGACAACTTTTTGCTGTAAATCTCTACTTTATCAACCTTTTGTATTAGGGTTATCCTTCCTTTGGTATACATACGACCGCACTGTAATGAATTTATGAAAGTTGCATCTATCCCTCTTCTTTCTTGCTTGTTGCTCCAGCAGTGATTCAACCTCTATGACGTTTAAATGCCTCCTTGACGGAGACGCCCTCGGCTACATCAGCCTTGGCCTTGTCGTCTGCACTCGTAAGCTTGGGAAGCAGCTCCAGTAGTTGGTTGACTTTATCCTGAGGGATAATCACCACGCCGTTGGTGGGATCGTGGACTGCAAGGTCGCCGGGGTTCACTGTCACGCCGTTGATTTCAACGGGTACTTGTGTAGCCCAAGGCACTGAGCTTCCTCCGGAGCCAACTGTGGATGTTCCAGTTGCCCAAATCTACATATTCAAACGTTAGGGACATGATTAAGAGCCAACATTAATGTGATACTTACCGGAAGCTCGGTGCTGCGCAGCTCAACCAGGTCACGGACACGGCCGGCGACGACAATTCCCTTAACTCCGAGTAGCTTCATGCGTAATGCCATTATACCTCCACATACAGCGTTTTTCTGTCCTAGTGGCTGTTTCAGAACAGCAAAGGTTCCGGGTACGGCCAAGTCTACCCAGTGGGCGTCTTTGGGAACATTGGCGGCGGGTCGACCTGTCTCAGGGGCGCTTTCATCCTTAGGTGTAAAGAGAACAGTAGATACGGGGTGAACTGTAACAGGAGCCTGTTCGTTTACAGTGGCGGGCTGTGTGAGAGCAAGAGGACTGTATAGGTTTAGATCAGCCACGAAGCCGGCCCCAGGCACTTTCAGCTTGAGGAGTGCATCTGAAACATCACAGGCTGTGTATTTCTGTAGCTCCTCCAGTTTAGTTGTCGGAATAGAAACTGTGGTAGACATGGTTCTGGCGTGGCGGGTGTACAGGAACTGCTGGGCAAAGATGCGTGGTTTGTTAGTGTGATGGCGTAGCACGATGCGCGGAGCCGGAGCGATGCGCGGGGTGCAGCGGGAGATGACGGGCCGGAGGGTCGGGTTCATGGTCCGGCAGACAGATGCTGCTATGACTGAGCACGGTGGCCTGAGTGGTCCGTGGAAATGTATTATTCGAGAGCGCGGTCAATGGCAGAGGATTGAACAAGCACGACCGCAATCTGACGCTCTGGCCTGGAAAATGCCATGCAAGGAAGTGGGATGCGCAATCCGCATGCCGGCAGTTTCGGGTTAGCTTTGTAGTGGCACCTCCAGCAGCCAATGCTGCACAGTGAACAACACTAAGGGACGGCGACAACGCCCCGCCTTGTCAACAGAAGCAGCGAAACCATAATGCAAGATTGCTCTTGACGCTGGTCAATATTGTCTCCTCTAGCCCATCCGTCTGATTCCAAACAATTGCCGTCAGCAGAACATACGTGAGCCCCCCACATCTAAGGCGCACTGGGAGCCCTGGGGGCACGGTGCATCAATTGGCTGCCTTAGCTGCTCTTCCAAATATATCAAGGTGGGTGTGTACTTGGTCGCCGAGCTATGTAACCTCTGACAGGCTAGCTCCCGTCTTGCATTAGTCTCTCCGACATATCCAGCATGTTTTGGCAGACAATCGGAGAAAAAAGGCATCCAAATGCACGTAGCGATTGGCGCGCGGAATTCCCAATAGTTTCCTTCGGGGAATGGCCGACACGGTGATACAGCGAAGGGGTGGCACAAGCACATGCTTCTTGCAGCATCGCTCACAGGCATGGTGTTGTACTTCTTCTAAATGTCACTGCCAGCCACCAGCGTTGGCGAGTTACCAGAGGGCCAGGAAATAACTGGCGGAAGTACGACACTGGTGCGAGCACGTGGTCCTGCCTACACTGCAAGCATACAGGAACGCCTCGCTGTGTATACCGAACGGGTTCCAAGAATCAATGGGTAATCGCTGGGGCTGATATGACAGCCTGGCGCCGCGGAAACATTCGGTCCTCCGCCTATTGCCGCATCCAAGGGTCGCCGACTGCAAGATTTTATAAACTCCTCCAGAATCGGCCTTTCTGATTGACATTGGTCTCGTCCTTGGCCATACCCCTGCAGAGTGCTTGCTTCACGCTGCAGCCTACTCACGCGGACCTCCGTGCGGAAACAGACTAATTACCCTTTCCAGTGATGACTGAACAAAGTTGCTCATCGGCTAGAATAGGCTAGCTTCTCTAGGACAGACGGCTTACAGATGCACAGATGTGCCGATTATCGTCCCCATTTCTAACGTCTCAAAGCTTTAGGGCTTGAGTTGCGAACTGACAGCGGTATTATGCAAGGTCTAGGCGTAATCGACGGTGTTCCATTGCTTGCAGGCTGCTGCAGTCGGTAGTGAGCAAACAGCAAGGATGCGGCAGAGTTATGTACCAAAGCTTCGGGACGGCGAGTACCTCAACAGCCGCACAGTTGAGGCGTTTGGTTGGCGATAGGCTAGTTGCAGTAGTCTAGTGTTGGCAGACTAGAGAGCGGAGCAGGCCCCGGCCATGTCCAGGATTAGCTGCAGTGGCGAGGGCCTTGGCCGGAGAATCTGGCTAGATCAAAACTAGGACGTGCAGTAGCTGGCCATTTGTTTGGTGCAGAAATCATCTTGTTCCCCGTCATTCGTCGGCGATTTCCAGTCTTGGGGACGACGGTGTTTGAGAACCGGAAGTTGATTCGCACAATAGAACAAACAAGCGCAATTGGTATACACGGCTGCGTTGGCCAACAAAGCAAAGGGACAATATCAAGCAATGTAATATGCGGTGTACGATTCATCCAGACGGTGCTGCAAGCCCTGCGTCACGTTTTTCGTGCTCAGATTTTGTCTTGCCTCATCTGCGTGTCGTGGCAGCATGTTGGCAGCTGGCCAGCAAAAGAAACGTGATTGTGCGCCTGGCGACGACAGTGTCCGTGCTGTAAGCGGAAGGCGCATCCACCAGCCGGGGAGCCTGCAGTGACCCTTTCAGGGCAAGCCTAGCGGCCATAAGCAACGGACCGCCTAGAGACCCCGCTGTACCCGCCTTGGGCCGCGCCTGGTCGGTGCTGTGGGGACCGGGCCATCTCTATCCGCTGTACTTTAGCGGCAAAGTAGCATGTGTTTAGTTGGGACCAACTAATAATTTAGAGAGGACGCACCAACAGCCACTAAGTTATGGGGGAAAGAAAACGGCACAGGAGCAGGCTAGCGCTGGACGAGACTGCGATGGCAAGCAGAACTCATGACATGAAAAAAAATTTGCATGGACCAGCCCTCGTTCTAGGTACACAGCCAAGGAGGAGTCTGGATAGTGGGTTCGGGTGGATTTGAGTGGTCAACCTTAGCTGATATTACATACCGGTTGACAGCAACTGACGGTACAAAGACAGCAGGTCAGTGATGCTGACTTGTTTCTGGTGCCCTGGGTAGTTCATTGATGTAAGAGACCTTTGGGCTATGGACCAGGTCGCGATTATCAGGCTTCGTTGGCAGCGTTGACGATCTTCAGGGCTCGCTTATTGGGAATGCTTCCGGCAGTCACCGCCGCCACTGGGCAGAGATGCACAACTTGTACGATATTCTTTGTGTTAGAGGCTTAAATAAAATAAATGGCATATTGCCGTTTTGTTGACAATTTGTTAAAATTTATCAACGCTTCCATTACAACTCAAAAAATCCATAATCCGCCAGCTCTCCATCTTGAGTTTTTTGTAAGAACCCATTGTTAAGAATATCCGCTTTGGCCGGCCCGGGTCCCTAGGCGAACATACGTCACAACCACACCAGCGTCTTTTTTGCCGGCTGCAGTCTGGTGTGGTTGGGAAAATAATTACCTCTGTTTTTAACCAGCACTATGTTGCTTGCTTTTAGAGAATCAAAACAATACCCGTTTTATGTTTCATTCTTATCATTCCCTTTTGTCACTGCCAAAAAAGATCTTTCCCGTAGCAGTGAACAGTGCATCAAAACTTTTGCCCGCTGGCGGCCACGCAACGCCGCCCCTGCCCCACCGTGGGCAAACTCTCCCCCATCCATATAGCTTTGTTCCCCTTGTAGGTGTAGACATAGGCGTACGTTGGCTGCGCATACACCCTCCCCATCCGCACTTCTCCCCATCAAACGCCTCACAACCCAGACCTCCCACGCCCAGCTCGCCCTTTCTCTCTGCGACGCTAACCTCGACTCTCGCTTGGCCTGCCGCTTCCTCTGATAACCGTTTTCTCTCCTGGACAGATCGAACCCGCACACACCCTGGCCGGCCGGGCCCTCTCCACACACGGCTCCCTGCTCGTTCCAGAAACGCAAACTTCCTCTTGCGCCAGCCATGTCCATAAAGTAAGCGCCTCTCCTTCATCCCGCCCATCCCTCCATCCCGCCCGACCTCACTCTCTTTTGCTTTGATTCGTTGTTGTCCTGTGCTGCCATTACTCGTGGCCTGCCGCTTCAGCAACTCACCCGTTCCTCACCAGCCCGACTCCCTTCAATCTCCCAATCTATTTCTTCACCACACTACGCCCCTTGTGCAAGTCAACGTCCACAATAATGCAGCCATGTGTTTCGGTTGCAGGCTTACATCATGAATAACCCCCACGACTACCTTCTCACGTCGAATACCATCCCGCGGCGTCCATCAGATCCTGACAATGTATCTAGCTGGGTTATGCTCAACGAGAGCGGCTTTGTAAAGCTTGCCAACGAGCGCATCCTTTTGAAACTTGACTCGCGTATATCATGCGAGCTCTCTGTTCCACAGGTACTTCGAGCATCTTGCTCGGCGTTCCAGCGCCGAAGCGATAGAGGCACCTTGTTCTTGACAAGCAAGCGTGTAAGTGGCCCTCGTCTAGGCGCCGTTAGGTTACCGTACCAGACTGACCTCTACCTAGGTTATATACTTGCCCATGCAGCCGACTCAAGTGCCCAAATTCGAATCTTTTAGCGCTCCTATTCTCAAGCTTCAGGACTCCAGCACATCATCCTCCATGTGGTGGGGTTGGGTCTGGAAATCAGACTGTATTCCTGTCTCTGGTGGCGGTATCCCAGCAGATCTTCCTCGCATAGAAGTCAAATTCACTTTTTCTGACGGCGGTATGAACGACTTCAATGAAGCGTATGTTCGACTCCGCGAGAGATTATACCAACTGCAAGAGGTCCGCCAAGAGATGGGCGCCGGGGCAGATCTCCCAGACGAGCCGTTGCCCGCATATGAAGCCGAAACCAACACGACGCCACCACAGGCAGCTCCAACTACAACACTGAGCGTTCCTCGCCCCAATCGCTCGGATAGCACGGAGAGCCGTCGATCACCAAATGAACCACCGCCCGGTTATGACGAGGCACAGGCGCAACAAATTAGTATTCGTCTTGAGGACCACATTAGGGATGAAGTAAATCGGGGAGAATATGAGGCATGACGTATAGCAACTTTGTACAGACTAACTCTGGAGTTATCGGGAATGTTTTGACCTTTTTATTGTATTTTGCTTCCCTAGCGATGGCGGTTTTTTTTGAATTCTACTCAAATGCTCTTTACATAGCTTACACGGGAAAGGGTGGCGCTATCTCTTTTCAAACGACGTCAACGACGGATGATTTCTCAAATTTAAACTTATTGCTTCCACAATATATTGCAATTACTCCATTGGGAAAATAAAAAACAAAATACATCCACATTATTACCGAGAATCTGACGCCTGAAGCACAAGTAAGCCATGATATAAGCCAAACGGTCACGTGATAATCCACATGACCACGCCTTGGGCAGTGACCAATCAAAATGCCGCAATTGGGGATCAGTTTTCGTTTTCGCGACATTTGGCCGACAGCTCCCGACCTGCCCTACGCAAAGCAACGCTTCAAGCACCTTTCCTTTCGCACCAAACCATACACAACAGCCATTAGCCATTGTGCATTATCCAGCAATCACGATGGGTATCTGGGAAACTTTCTCCGAAATTGTGGACGCCGTTGCGCCCTGGAGCGTTGTAGAGGCCGAAGCCCCTGCCGAGGAAACTCAGGTGAGCAAAATTGATGACCCAACGCAGTTTCTCGTTAGCCGCGAGCCACAAAGCCAGCGACGCACTCCAAGTGCATAGAATGCGATCGAATACCCTCTAGAAACAAATAACGGACCAATTGAGTGCTAACAGCGATTGGTTGCAGCCCGCCGTCGAGGCCGAGACCAAGGAGGAAGAGCCCGTTGAGGAGGCTGCCGAGGAGACCGAGGAGGCTGAAGAGGCCGCTGAGGAGGAAGAGGAAGAGGAGGAAGAGGAGGACGAGGACGAGATTGTCGACCCCAAGGACGTCATTGAGGAAGGTTAGTTGCCCACCGTGAAGTGCCGTCGACACCCGACTTTGTCGCGCATCGATATCTTGTCAACTGCCAGAGTGCACCAACAAGGAGCATTGCTAACCAACATCTTTGATAAACAGAGTGCAAGAACTCCGCCCAGTGCGCCCCCGCCAAGCACCACTTCGATCACTGCGTCGAGCGCGTCCAGGAGCAGGAGAGCCAGGGTGAAGTCAAGGAGGACTGTGTCGAGGAGTGTACGTATATGCCAAAAACCCATCTGCCGCTATGACATTCTGTTATGCCACTACGCAGACAGTCACTTGCGGAACGCTAACCAAGCTGAAATTATAGTCTTCCACCTCGCCCACTGCGCTACCGCCTGCGCCGCCCCCAAGCTCTGGGCCAAGTTGAAATAAACACCATATTCCCCCCCTTTTTACCAACGAAAAAAAGCCTACGAAATCCACGATAAGAAGGAGTATGGCAGATCTGGGCTCGATGTTGGTGTATTCGGCAAGTGGATATACTGGGCGATGCTTCACTTCGAGAACCGCAGCTGTAGGAGCATGAGGAGAGCCGGGAACAAAAAGAGAGGGTTTGATGGGTGGATTGTGTAACAAGTCTCTTGTACGCCCTCTTGCATAGAAGGGCGCGTGGAGGGTCCCGTTTTGAGTGGCTGCCATTTGCATACAGCCTCTGCTGGACGAGGGCCCTCGGGTGTAGCTCATTTTCCCTTTGTACCATACGCGTCAGCGCCTTTTACAATAGAAGTCATCATTTTTGTTCATTATATGGACTCTTTGTCTGCTGAAATATGTGCTCTCTAAACTGCGGTGCGATATATTGGCTCTTTCAAATAAACACAGCTCAATCTTACTGTGATTGATCATGATGAAGAGGTGCTGCTCGTGTCTTATATAGCGAATTCGGGATGATTCAGACATTACATGGTGGCCACCTCTATGGTATTACAGGATATCACTTTACTCCAATAACACTGTTGGTGTCAATAGCAGTAGTCCGTTGGGTGGTATAACCCAAGTCAAAGGTAATGTTGGACAGCTTTCTCAAAGGGGTCGCTGTACCCGTCAGGTGAGCGTCGGAGTGATACCGTAGGTACATCGGCTGTTTATGTAGATGCATCGGGCTAATTCAATCTTGATCCTTGTCCTAAGATATGGTTACCCAAGATACCGAACTAGTAAAAGCTATTAGGCTTTGGGATGTTCCATATTCTACTCTATATGCCCCTTCATCCTGGACAACCTACTCTCCAAGATTCGTAGACTTCATCGTAGATTGTTCCGCCCGCAGGTATTGCACACCTGGCTCGATGTCCCAAAACTACAAAGTCACAGCCCGAGTAATGTCTTACCACGGTATAGCCCACCATATGGCTATGCAGAGACGTGGTTGGCTGGACGCTGCGAGATGCGACGTTGCGGCGAGCCGCCCCAAAGAGGAAGCAGCGCCCGTTTTGTCGGGCCGCTGTAGCGCCGAATGAGACAGCGGACGGGCCTGAAAGTCAATTGGACACAAGCGAGGAAGAGAAAACAGAGTGCTGGGTAGGGTGGCGTGAATATTTTGTCTCTTAACGTTGTTTGTATTTTTTTGCCCCTGTCTTTTTCTTCTCTTCTTTTTTGGTGGTCTTTTCGTTGCTTGCTTTCAAAAATAGAAATATGTCTCTGAGCTGCTGCTGAGGCTGCCCGTCAGTAACACAGTGGGCACCTCCCCAGCACATCCCCCGCCTAAAATTTCCCTTCCAGTGGTTTAATTTACGGCTCCATGCAATCACAAGCCTCGTTCTGTAGCGCGCAAGCCACAGCGGTCACAGGCCCCCCCTGCAGCACACCCTCCACTAGAAAACCACTAAACCCAATCCCGCCCCAGCAAAGGACCGTCAGCGCCACGTGTGGGGGAGCTACGCCAGGCTCTTTTGTAGCACTCTACTTCGCTGTAAGCCGCTGTAACAACGTGCCAGGGGCGGGGGTAGTCGCCGGTTCTAGCATGGGCTCCAGCCTCGGCGTGGGCGAAGACAGGTGCAAAGTGGCTTTGTGATTGGTCCCGTGCTAGGAAAAGAGCTTCTGCTCGCTCGTGTCCTGTTGCTTAGTTGGTTGCGACGCCAGGCCCTCGCCGAACGCCTTCGCTCTAGTCTGCTGCTCCTTTCTTCTGTCTTTTCCATCTTCTTCTTCTTGATTGTTTTGCTTCATCGGTTTCTGCGTCCACTGCAGGAGGAGCTCAACATACTTTACGGATGCTGTAGATATTCTACCCAACAAGTCGGCTACATACAAAACCTTGGTTTCAGAACACCTGCTAAGGTCTACCAGCTCTGACTTTTTGCTTTGCTTCTGTCAATATTGCAACGACTAGTATATATACCATGAATCACGATTAACATACGCCTCTACGAATCACTATACTTTTGACGCCTACTTCTACTGATAACCTCACCCCGCCGGAACACGGATCATCGGTAACATCCGATTCCAACACTTCTCGCCTATTATGACGGTTTCCGAGAAGCTCAGCGGCCGACTCTGGCCCACGAAAAAGACGAAATCCAACGATTTAAGCCTCAACGACGCAAATGGCGACGAGTCTGTCGCTGCTGGCGATGCGCCCATTCAGTACCGCACATACAAGCGCCGCTGGTTCGGCCTCTTCCAGTTGGTGTTGATGAACATTGTAGTCTCCTGGGATGTAAGCACCTATCCACCATTATACAACTCTTACCACCCTCAAGGACTTTGCTAATATGCTCTAGTGGTTAACCTATGCCCCGGTTCCAGAGCAGGCCGCCTCATATTACGGCGTCAGCACCTCCGCCATCAATTGGATTTCGACAGCCTTCTTCCTCTCCTTTGTGGCAGTCTTCCCATTAGCCATTGCAGCGCTACACCGCGGTCCTAAGCTCTCCTTCATGATATCCGCCGTTCTTCTCCTTATTGGCAACTGGATCCGATATGCAGGTTCAACTAGCAGCGAAGGCGGCCACTTTGCCTACGCCATGGCTGGAGAAATCCTCATTGGTTTCGCTCAGCCATTCATCCTCGCAGCACCAACCCGATACTCTGATCTCTGGTTCACAACCCGCGGACGAGTAGCTGCCACTGCCCTTACAAGCTTGGCTAACCCGCTTGGAGCGGCGTTAGGCCAACTGATTAACCCGCTCTGGTGCTCCCATCCCAGCGACGTCTCCAACATGGTGCTCTACGTCTCCATTATAGTTCGTACTGTAAATCCCGGTATCATATCGTCACCCATGCTAATAAATCATTGTAGTCTACTGTTGCTAGCGTCCCGGCATTCCTTATTCCCAGCAAACCTCCCACGCCTGCCGCTGCCGCTGCCGAGACGCCTAAGCTTCGCCTGCGCGAATCTCTATCCGCCCTCACTAGCTCTCCTGAACTCTGGATGGTTCTCGTACCGTTCTTTATTTACGTCGGCCTCTTCAACTGTATCTCGTCTCTGCTCAACCAAATGATGGTCCCTTATGGCTTCTCAGACGACCAGGCTGGAATTGGCGGCGCTGTTCTCATTGTCGTCGGCCTTGTTACGGCTGCCATCACATCACCCATCCTTGATCGAACCAAGAAATTCGTTCTGGCGCTCAAGATATTTGTGCCTATACTAGGAGTTGCTTTCTTGGTGTTTATCTGGATGCCCGAAACCCGAGACATCGCCGGGCCTTATGTGATTCTTGCCATCATTGGTGCCTCTGCTTTTGCTCTAGTCCCAGTTGCCCTGGAGCTTCTTACAGAGCTTAGCCATCCACTTAGCCCAGAAGTGACTGCAACAGTGGGCTGGGCCGGTGGTCAACTCTTTGGTGCCATCTTCGTTATTGTGTGTGACGCACTTCCAGCCGCAGCAGACGGACCAGAGAAGAACATGAAGTGGGCTCTTGTCTTCCAAGCAGTCTTTGCCATGCTATGTACTCCAGTTCCTTTGTTCCTGGGCCTCTTTGGCCGACAGGACAAGATTGTGCTGCGACGACTTCGATCAGACCAGAGGGGAACTCACGGAACGACTGTCGTCAGCACAGTATGAATCAACTGTTGCTTTTTTGCCTTTTACAAATCATCTAGCGGGATTCAGGATACCAATGGTTGTAAATGCCTTATCTTTAGTTATTAGTATAGTTAAGTATATATATATTATGATCCACCTCTCTCGACGTCTTCGTTACGAGCTGTCCTCGGCAAGAATATCTTCCCAGCGCAGACGCAAGCTCTCCATTTCACGCCAGCACTGCGCGCCTAGCGCCTCAAATTCTACCAATTCTTCGCTCGTGACGTCCTTTGCGGTATATCGACGTCCAACTGTCTGACACATTGCTCCCTTTGACGGCTCATTCTTGACTTTGGTCACTGTGCCGTCAAAGCCCCAGCCTTCGACTTCAGTTGGTTTTGCAAGTGACTCGTCCTTGGAGTTTACCGCACTGCCCCATTTAATATCCTGTGCATCGTCGTTATCAAGAGCATCTTGTTCCTGCATAATGATCCACGCTGCAGACTTGCCACCCTTGTAGCCGTCAGTGACGTGCCAAGGCGAGCCCATCCATTTTCCAATGAGAAGGGCTAGTTCGTAGGCCCAGAAAATGAACCATGGGAGCGGGAATAACGTGCTAGCAACAATACCAGGGTGTGTCAAATACATGTTCGGCGGTATCGTGTCAGCGTCTGCCTTTTCAGATTCTTCACCCATAGTCAAAAAGGCGGACGAGTAAGGCGTCGAACCAGGCTTTCTGTAGGTAAGGAGGAGTATATCTGTCAGTCTTTTCGATGATTCATATGCAGTAGGGCTCGTAAAAGACTGTAAATCGCCGATGGAGAACGTTGGCGCGTGTGCCTCCACGCTGCTGGTCCAAATCACTCTGCCTGGGGGAACTGTTTCTGTGCGGCTTCGAGAAAGGACAGGGAGAAGCTGGTGTGTCAGAACATAGTGGCCGAATACACAGGCGGTAAAGACCTCCGCAAGTAGGGGCTTGTCGGGCTATATGCTAATTAGTGGATGTATTTCTCCCGTCGTCGCATGTTAACTTACATAGTTATAGCGCGCGTCCTCATTCAGAATCCTTGTAGGCTCTGCCGTCTTGAAGGTAGGGTATGTAATCGTCTCCATAAATCCTTTGCTGAGTATCGACCAGATGGCTCCAAAGTAGCTGAGGCCGCTCCAACCGCCATAGGCAGCGTTGAAGACCACACTGTCCAACCGGGGGATTCGGACGTTGGTCAGGTACTCCCCTTCCAAGCCGGCAGGGTTGCTGACGGTGCCGTAGCAGATCTTATCAGCAATGGCGTATATCTCTTGCAGGTCGCAGAGGTCGAGAGGAAGACTGAGGATATGGACACGGGCAACAGTGTCCTGCCATTTGTAGCTGTCGCCGCCAGCTCGGGCACGGAGGGCCTGTGAGGTTTGCGCTGCATTCACAACATACTCACGCAGTGTACGGACGCACTCTAGGGATTTCGTAGCGCTTCTTGTCGTAGGGATGATGCAGATGTGAGCTGTAAGGGATCGCGTCGCAAGAAATTCGTCTACTAGGCGCTGGCAAACACCGAGACCAATGCCACTGCAAAAACAGGCGGTTAGTAAAGAAACAAGATGATAGAGAGTACGCATGCTCAAAGAACACAGAAGAGTTTTCTCTCGAGCAGCACAGCTTACCTGTTTGCGCCGGTAATCATAGCAAACAGCTGCTCATTGGCGGGGACAGACTCCCAGGGAGCTGCTTGGGGAATTGGGGCGGCAGACACCATGTTTACAGAAAAATAAAGCTGAAGAATGCTCTATCTGCGAGACCGAAAGCGAAACGCAGTTCGAGATGCAAACGCAGGAAGGGAAAAGGCGTAATTCTGCTTGCGAAAAAAAACCAAGAGAAGCAATGCACCGCTGTCGTGGGGTCGGGCCGTTCCAATTCCAGCCGCTGCAGGAGCCCCTTGTATCCCGAGTACGAAAAAGAAAGAGGTGGTGGGGGCGCTATCGGAAGGATCTCTGGCTTCGATCCCGGCGCTGGCGTAGCCGCACGTGAACTTCACTACAATCATATACACAATGGAAGAATACAGACCTTATAAATGAGGAAGAAATATATTTAAAGAAAAAATTGGTTGAACTTGTATAATTTTCTATCATCATGCAGTATTTATTTTTATATTAAAATTTGCAACACCCGCCAGCGCTTAGCTATACTGACGGTATTTTCTTGTTTTAAAGAGGCTCAGTTTGGCTCAATATGCTAGTACACCAACCTTTAGCCATAGAAGATGCTCTTCCGTTCAGGATTGTCATTCTAAATCAGCACACCATCACGGACAGCCTCCAAAATAAGAACCTTAGCCTTCTCAACGCCGGCCTCGCTACCGATAATCTCAATAGCCTCGTCCTTGGCCTGGTCGCGGGGAACCTGGATCTTACATCCGCTCTGTTGACGAATGAAGTTGACCTTGGATCCGTTGGGACCAATGACATAACGGTAGGTGCGGGGATCAGGCAAGACAAGGTAGCCAGTAGCATCATTGTCCTTGGCCTGGTCCAAAGCCTTGTTAATGAGAGCCTTGGCCTTGGCTACGTTCTCGGGGGTACCACGAAGGACCCAAGGGATATCACCCTCCTCACCGGCCGTCATCTTAACCACGTTCCACGAGTGGGCGTCAGCCGCGGTTTCGTCGTCGTCGGTGATCAAAGGCAGGGCACCACCAGCTGCTCGGGATGCCTCGGGCTTGCGAGGCAGGGTGTGACCCGCGTGGTCAACAGTGACCTGATGGTTGTTGCGGAGCTGGCGGAAGAACTGGCCGCCATTGGCAACAGCATGGTGAGCCTTGCGAGGAACCTGGATTGTCTCGCCCTGCTGTTGCTTGATAAGTCCTTCGATGTGCTCCTTGGCTTGCGCAACGTTGTCGGGACGTCCAATCAGCTTCACGCCAGTCTTGCCATCGCCCTGGCGGGGAATCTCAATAGAGACAGTAAACTTGCTCTCGAGCTGACGCTTCGCCTCGCCGCCGCGACCAATCAAAGTGCGATGCTGGTCGACGGGAACATCAACAACCTCGGTGACCTGGTTCTCGCGCTCGGCAACAATCTCCTGAATGCGCTTGATGATGTTGGCGACAACAGTGGTGCGGCCTTCAACCTTGATGCTGTTGCCTTCAGACTCTTGCTTAGGCAACTGAATAGCTCTGGCGAGAGCTCGGCGGTCATCAGCGCCGCCGGCGCCAACAACAATCTCCCGAAGGGTGGAACCACCAGGACCAATGAGGGCACGGTGGTGCTTCTTTTCGACCTCAATTGTTTCGATAACAGTGTCATCAAACACGCTTCGCTTCTCTTCGAGTAGCTTCTTGGCCTTGGCAACTTGAGAAGCAGTGCCCTTGATGGAGATTTCGATTGTCTCGGACTCGCGATCACCAGGGACGTCAATACGGGCACCTGTCAACTGTCTTAACTCGTCCAACGATGCACCTCCTTGGCCAATAAGGGAGCCAATCTGCTTCTGCTGAACAGCGACGGTGGCAGTAACAGAGTTCTCCTCCAAGTATTTATGCAGGGAGAAGATTTCGTCGCGTGCTTCATCAGCACCTCTCTTGGGACCGCGGATAATAACCTCGTCAACACCTTGCTGACGACGGCCCTTGCCAGCGTCGCTGGCAGCATCGGCGTTGGACTGGTCATCAGCCACGTTCTTGGAGGAGCGGGGGAAGAAGATAAGGACGTTGTATCGGGTCTGAAGGCGGTTGATTTGAGCACCTTGGGCACCAATCAGCTCCCGGTGGAACTTGGGGTCGATCTTAAGGGTGTGTGTCGTTTCATCCGCCAAGGTGCGGCCAACACTCAAGATGTGAGCCTTGGCAGCTTCTGCCTTGGCCTTGGGTCCCTTCAGCTCCACGTTGCCATCTTGAACTTGAATCTCGACATCGAAGCGGTCACGAAGCTCCTTTATGTTGCTTCCACCCTTACCAATGAGGTGGTTCGCAAACTTCTGGGGGAAGTCAAAGGTCAAAACAAAGCCACGCTCCTTCTCGTCTTCCTTCTCTTGAGCAATGAAGGCCAATGCCTTAGCTTCGAGCGACTTCACAGCTGAAGCAGGACCACGCAGAGTGACAGTTGTACCGACTTTGGTGACTCTGATGGGAATCTGGTCAGCAGATCTGTTCTCCTGTTCCTTCTTGATAAATCGTCGGAGTCTCTCATGGTATTTGGTGGGGACATCGATGGAGGTGCTGGAAAGAGCTTCCTGCTTGCTGATAAGCTCGAGAATATGCTTCTGGGCATCTTCCAAGCCTTGTTGGAAAGCCTTGACTTCCTCATCAGTAGGCTTCAGACGGGGAACAGCATAAGCGCCGTCGGCAGGCTGAGCACCTTCGTAAACGAGAAGAACAGGGACATCTCCATCAATAGCCTCAGGCACAACAATGTGGACACCATAGTTCTTCTGCACTCTAGGGGTAACGTCGGCGCGAAGATGCTGGTGGAAGAACGGATCAACCGCGACAGTGCGCATACGAGTAGGGGGGTGTCCATTGATAATGCCTGTGATCTCGGACTGAGCGCGGATGGCATTCTTGCCCTCGCGAGAATACAACTCCCATGGCAGAGCGCCATCCTGAGAGAGAGGTGTGTTAATGTGAGTGTTGTAGCTTGCTTCCAATCGCTCAATCTCCTTTCTCTGACGGAGATATCTGGTGACATTAGCGGCATGGATAGCGGCGCCACCGGGGGCCGTGCGGTGGAATCGGCCCAAATCAATGTTGGACATCTGCATACCCATGGCTAAGTCCATGGCTCGTTCGACACCGGCCTGGATGCGGTTAGATGGGCCCACGACTGTGACCAAGTCATCTTCTTCATCAGATGGGAGGAGAATGGTGCAGCCTGTCTCTTCGAAGAAAACATCACAAGGGACACCTCGGCTACCGATGATGAATTGGTGACGACCGCGCTGAATAGAGAGCTGCTCAAGTTCTAGCTGGGTGTGAAGCTCAGCAACCTGTCGTTCAATCTCGGCACGCAGCCTCTGCACACTATCGCGATCACCTCCAAGCTGAATGTGCTCGCCATCGACAGCGGCGGGGTGGAAGACCGGTCGCTGTCCAGGGTTGACCACAACGGGCGAAGGGCCAGAAACAAAAGGCTGGTGGGTAGGCACACGGAGCTGAACGTCGTTCTGTTCTTCAAGAGCTTGGGCCAAGGCACCACCAATGAAGGGGTAGAATACAGAAGGAATACCCTTGACCTTGGTCTGAGTGTTGCCGGAGCGCTCGCCAGCAATTCGGAGGATTTCGTTGCGAGCGGAAGCAGCAGACAATGCGTTGCCCTCCACAACTACGTCAATTATAGCTTCATCATCGTCTTCGAGATGCTGAGTCTCCTCCATCTTGGGCAGTTGGATTCTAGCACCAGACTTCTCTTGGATAGTCTTGATCATAGAACCCCCCTTTCCAATGATGTGAGAGCGGGCCGAGTAAGGGATTGGGACCTTGATAGTAGTTCTAACACCAATTTGTTGAACAAGGTCCTTGAGGGCCTGTTGAGCGACATCTTGAGGGCCGGTAGCATCAAATTTGAGACGGCCGTTAGTGGCGGTGGCCATGGTGATGGTGGCTCGCGACTTGCGGTTGATGTCCTTGAGAATGTCGGGAATAGGACGCTTTAGCTGGTTGCGAGGCATGATGAACTGGGGCTCGAGGGTCACTGATTCGACGTTACGGCCAGGAATAGACATGGCGGGTGTAGGTCCTTGGGTAGAAGCAGGGGTGGAGGAACGAGATGCGCCGTTGGATCCTGCGCCATTGGACTTGTCGTTGGTATTGTTCTTTGCGCCCCAGATAGGTGCGACATTGGCATTCTTGCCTTTGGGTCCACCAAGCTCAGGGAAGACTTCGTGAGATTGTGTGTCAAGTCCCTTCTTAGGAGGAGCAGGTGCCTTTCCGTTGCTGGTGGCGGCGGCAGGGGCAGCGGTGGCGGGCTTGGGGAGGTCGACGTCAGGCACATCTTCAACGCTGACGGCGTGAGGTTCAGCATGCTTCTGCATGAGCTGCTGGGCAGCAGAAGGCACTTCGCCTCCATTGTTCAAGTTGGAACTCATGTTTGATATTGACTATCGTGGTTGGATGGGGAATCGAGGCGGTTTAGTGTGATGAATGCTACATCAGGAGAATTAGCGGGCCGCAAGAATATAATGCAGCTATGAGTAATTGGAGGATATTGCATTGACTTACAGCTTTTACCGAGGATAACGGATACCAGGGATCTTCCTTTGCGGGGGGATAGCCTGAGAAACAGTTGACTTGTATCTCAGGGGACAGTGAAATGCGATTTGTGGGAGTTGTCGGTGGCGTCTAGAACATTGTGCAAGACTCCAGCAGACAAAGCAGATACCGGTAACCAGGAGGAAAAAACCCGAGGACGAGGACGAAAACCGTAATGGTCGAGGGGGGAATTGGATCGTGGGTGAAGGGGAGTTGATGAAAGTGGTTGTGTGGTCAAAACGCAAGGTGGAAGTTTCTCCAGCTTTCTCCACGAAGACTAGCGTTGCAGGATCCGCCACCTGTTGGGTGTTGGCTGTCCTCGCTGGGGGAGCCGCCAACAGCAGAGGACTTCCCGCCAGTGGATATGCCAAGTGGGCCGCGACTCGCCTCAGACCGAGAGACAAACGAGAGTGCAGATCATGTGACCTGGCCATTGCAGACGTCTAGAATCAGCCCAGTTCTGGGCATTCTACAGAATGGAGGACGTAGAAGTAGGGTGGCTATTTATGTGGCGATATTGCCAATCATAGCTAGCGTATGGTGCCATTGTAGTTTGGGACGGCAAGTTGATGCGTATTGGTCGCTAGTCGCATATCTCATTGTCTATAGGTGCGCAGTCGCTAAAGATTACAACTTAATAGGTGGATTCCCATTGGCCACGAGAATCCTAAGGGAATGGATTGGTGTGCAACCGGGGAGCACTAAAATCCCTCGACAGTACTGTATATTTGATACTATCCAAAGGATGATGGAAAGCTACAAGGAGCTTCCCGGGGACCAATGGCTGGGTTACCCTACATTATCCAAATTACAATGCGGGCACAGCGACTCTTACTCAATTGTCAGGTCATACGAGAAATAATTATATCTATTCATATCCGGAATTCCGCAGCTCATTGGTTTATTATGAGACCAAATTAAAGGTACGGCGATATTCTAGGTCTGGGCCCCGGCGTCACGCAATGGCAAGGCTCGTGCCATTTCTGTTAGCACCCGTGGAGGTGGACAGCCGTGGCCAGGCCAAAAATATAGGCAGTGACACTGAGTATTGGCTGATAGTGATTCCTTCCCTGCTCCTATAACATCGGTCATGTATAGCATTCAGCCTAGCAGCCTCAATGCTCCAGTGAAGCAGTGGTGGAAATTAGTTTGGCTGCTGAGACGGCAACAACACGATGATGATACACCAAACCGTTGGAAACATGCAGCCACAGTACATCAATAATGATAGCCGCCGACAACGGGACCACTGTCCAGTGGGTTATCTCCAACCTATTGCAGTAGCCGGGTTATCAGCAAAGAGTTGACAATATTCCCCTCTGTTCCCGCTTTGCCGCCAGATGTCTAGCTGGGGTTATGTCTCTCCGCATCATAGATGTTGTCTACGTATCCATTGAGGTCCAAGGACACGACGCGGCAACTCTTGTTTCGCATTGATTACGAGCCAATATTGGCCGGGTTATGCAGCTTCGGAAATTAGCCTCGAGAGCCAGGACGATAACCCGGACACGATCAGAAACGTTTTGCAGAAGACAGCCACAGCCTAGATCGACTGCCTGTGCACCTCTCCGCCTGGGCCACAGGCAGGTTTTGGCGGCAGAAGGATCGGCCACTTGGCACCAATGCTGTCTGGCAGCAGCCTGAGAAAAAGAAAAAACCAGGTACCCGCAGTGTGGTGGCTGTCAAACACATCTAATGCAGGTATCACTTGCAGGACAATTTTGATCTTTGGAAACAACATACAAACATCACAAATTGCTGTTTTTCTCGCTTGCCCGCGTTCCCTTACTCGGAACAGAAACCTGTCACCCAACATCTGACAGGCCGTCGCTTTCCCCTCTGTTTTGCGTCTCGAGCCGCCAGCTGTCCATCTCCAAAAAGCGACCCACTGTATTATGGGGGGCCTTAGCGGCTATTTACAGGGGAGCGAACCTGCTAGCGCCCTGGCTACAGGCACTGCGCGCCCTGGAAAACAAGTGGGCAGGCCTGTAGCTAGTGTGGTTTTTGGGGCGCTCTTAGCCCACTCTTCTTTTGGTGGGTAACCCCTCCTTGCCCAAAGCCGGCGGTCGCTTGGGGCCTCACGATTCGTGCAGCGGGCAAAACTGAGCGCGGAGGGCGACGGCCAGCGTACGGAGCATGTAGCATCCCAGGCCACTCGTCTTGGGTTCGTCTGGTTTTGATTGTATCGCTGTAACAATCCCACTGGTGAGCCGGGGTGGGCCTGGCAGTTGCATTCTCTCGGTGTCCAAGTTCACGCGTAGAACAATTCTCCTCACTTTCTCCTTCTTTCGCTCTGATCGGGTTGTTTTGAGATTTCTCCTGCACCACCACAACAGCTTCCCACGCTGACAGCTACAGCACAGGCTGCACACCACAGCAGTACTGTACGGTACCTACAGCCTGTCCGGCCCCAAAAACAACGCCACCAAACGCACAGCGACGGAGCCCACTAGAAAGCCAGCTGCTGCAGAGAGCCAAACGGCAGCGCCCACCTCCACCACACTCAAACGCCAACTATTCGCTGTGCCACTGTGTCTCGCATCGCCCCCTCCTTGCGTCCTTGCTCAGCGCTAGCGAATAGAAACGCAGCAGCGGCACACCAAGAACGTGCTACTTCTCTCTCGCCCTGAGAGGCGTCTTGATTATGGACCAAGCATCGCAGCCCTCGTCCGGCAGCTCCCAACGGCACAAGCTCATCAAGAAGCTCTCGCATCGCTACTCGCGATCATCGTCAGGCTTTGACGCCGCCCACGACTCCCACGTCACCAGCGACAGCCGCAGCTCCCAACAGAGTTTGCGTCGCACTCCAAGCGCCCCTCCGGTCCGCACAAGCACCAGGTTCTCTCCCCGGAATCCTCACGTCTCACAGTGGCCCAGCGTCTCGCCACTCCCCGCCCCGAGCGAGTTTGCTATGTCATCTCCTGGTCCTAACCAGTACACCTTGCCTCACCGATCGAGTCCTAATCCCGCCTACAACTCCAACGCAAGCGCCATCGCCAGCACAAGCACAACCCGCCGTCCCAGCTGCGAGGTCGCCGACGACCTCCTCGGCGCGCCTTTTGACGGAGCATCCATCCTAAACACATTGGACTCGCCTAAACTCTCCAACCATCCATCGCTACGTGGGCAGCCGCCTTCTCTCCAACGAAACAACGTTCCTCCTTCTCTCGCGCGATCTGTCACTGATGCAAAAAATCGTCCGGGCTTGCGCATATCTCGTAGCTTCAACACCATGGACTCCTCCTTAATGAACAACACGGCCGGCCGACCAATGGAGACGGGGTTGATGAGCCCCAAGCGCCATTCTGGCGAGGCACAGCCATCCAAGCCGCCCATTCTGCGAAAGAAGTCGGGCTTTACAGACTTTGTCACAAAAGTGGTTGGTGTGCAACGGAAACCCACCATCTCGGCTCCAGAAAACCCTGTGCACGTTACTCACGTCGGCTATGATAGCTCAACAGGTGTCTTTACGGTTCGTTCATTCATGACCACCAGTGTCGCATATTCGATATCGCTTTACTAACTCGTCATTTTCCGACAGGGCTTACCGAAAGAATGGCAGCGCCTAATCACGGACAGTGGCATCCCCGAAAAAGAACGACAAGAGAACCCCCAGACAATGGTGGATATTTTAACCTTCTACAAGGAGACTGCTGAAAGACCACGAGAAGACCAAGTCTTTGATAAGTTCTCTCGCATCGGTTCCAGAGACGGCAGGCCACACGCCTCTTCAAACGCGTCCATGCCCGGATCGCCAACGATATACCCCCCCGGTAGCCAAATGGGTATGCAACCTGTTTGTTCATCACCAATAAATGTCCAAGCACTAACGTGAACCGCAAATAGGCAGCTTTGAGAACCCCCGAGCCGCACCGCCAGTTCCCCCCACCAAACATTCTGCAGAACGATCTGTCGACCTAACACCTACCCGACCAGCCCCGCGCCCGCCCGTTAGCTACAACAACCGACCCGCGCCACCCACCTATACAACACCCCAAGATTCTGGCATTGGTATTATTCAACCTGGAGATGATGGTTCTACACCAACATTCTTCTCTCATGAAAAGATGCTACCGGAAGAGCATCGTTCTCGATCCAACTCACGGGCATCCCCCGCAGCACCATACACGCCTACGTTTTCGCCCAATTCCCAGAAGCCTGGTTATGTCAACTCACCGCCAACATCCCAGGAACGCACCCCGCAGGATGCTGAAGCCGCCCGATCGGCGCACATGTTGCGCTCGCCAAGCAACAAAGGCCAAACGGCTGATTCTGCGCACCAGTATCGCAGCCCTACCGGATACACTACTCGAGTACCTGCCCCGATTGCCGGCCAAGCAAAGGATGCGCAGCCAGCCAATCCCCAAGCACGACCACGACCTCGTCAACGGCAGAGCACAGCAATCGACGTGACTGCTGAGTTGAAGAGAATATGCGCCGAGGGTGACCCTCGGCAAATCTTTAGAGGCTTCACAAAGATTGGACAGGGTGCTTCTGGCGGCGTTTATACTGGTTACCAGCGAGGCAGCAACCGACTTGTCGCCATTAAGCAGATGAACCTGGAGCAACAGCCTAAGAAGGACCTGATTATTAACGAAATTCTGGTTATGAAGGAGAGTTCGCATCCCAACATTGTCAACTTTATTGACAGCTATCTGAGTGGCGGCGAGCTCTGGGTTGTCATGGAGTACATGGAGGGAGGCAGTTTGACTGACGTTGTAACGTTTAACATTATGACGGAGGGTCAAATTGCGTCTGTTTGTCGCGAGGTTCTGAAAGGACTGCAACATCTCCACTCCAAGGGCGTTATTCACAGAGACATCAAGTCGGACAACATTTTGCTATCCAACGAAGGAAACATCAAGCTGAGTATGTGCCCTACATTATCCGCCATTGCTTATCACAGTCTAACTAATTTGCCTTGTAGCTGATTTCGGTTTCTGTGCAACGATTAACGAGGCCCAAAATAAGCGAACGACAATGGTCGGTACGCCGTACTGGATGGCGCCGGAAGTGGTTACTCGCAAAGAGTATGGCCGCAAGGTCGATATCTGGTCTCTGGGCATCATGTCCATCGAGATGATCGAGGGAGAGCCACCTTACCTAACCGAATCGCCGCTCCGAGCACTGTGGCTGATTGCCACCAACGGAACCCCGAAGATTAAGAACGAAGAAGAACTGTCACCTGTTTTCCGCGATTTCCTTCAGTTTGCTCTCAAGGTAGACCCTGAGATGAGAGCTAGCGCGCAGGACCTGCTACGAGTAAGCATTACCATTGCCCCATGAACGACCCTCTGAAAGCAAGGATATTAACGCAATCTATAGCATGAATTTATGAAACAATGCGTCGATTTAACCCAACTTTCGCCACTGGTCAAGGCGGCGAGAGAGCAACGAGCCCAGGAGAAGGCTCGCAAAGGCAACTAAACAAAAGGAGCCAGGGCCTCCTGGGAAACCAAAAAATATTTAGAGCGTCAAAAAGTAGAAACCATCTCGATTGTACATGACGTCCGCATCTCGGTATTTTGCTGCTCCAGTTGAAGCGGCATCATAATATATTCTCGTTTTTGAAACATCGTTCGGGCAACAGACCTGTGCTGTAGTGCTTGTGCTGGCAGCTATGCACTATGTATATTCAGAAGCAAGCATAAGAACAGACCAGTAGATCGTGTTAAGGCTCGAGATGAGGCGCGGCAGATGTCTACGGTGGCTTTTTTTTCTATAGCTCGTGACACGCCAATCTGTCAGCATGAACCACTGCTCCCAAGCTTATTGATTTTGCCCCTGCTCTGCTCGTGACAGGATGGTCCTGCAGTGGCGTTGGTGACGGAGGGATGCCGTTGCCGTGGACGCATCGGGCCGGAGTTTATGTGTACGGATGGCCGGGTCTGTCGTCCAAGGTAATAATAGTGCGACAATTACTACTATATTTAAAAAAACCACTTGATTGAAGACAATGAACAGCATTGTGTGCGCCATGAAGCTACCTAGCTACCTCCACCGCAAATCTGTCTTCTCCAGCTTTTCCACGGCGCTTTGCTTCTGACAGTCTCCGATTCGAATTCCCCGTGTCTGGAGTTTGGAGGGTGCAGTGCGGGCAATGCATGTGAAAAGGCCCCACAAAACCGAAAGAAAGAGGAACATTCCCCGTCGTACGGTGCCAGGCACAGCCAGCTGGCGCAGCTGCGGGCAGGTGTGTGTCCCCCGCCAGGTGCCCGCCAGGTGGTGCCCCATGCCTGAACCCAGCCGCTAGCGGCGTCCCGTCGCAGGTTTTGGGGTCGCCGTCGCCGTGCTTTCTTTTTTTCCCCACACGGCCAGGCTTTTGGCTTGTGCCTCGGTCGGCCGCGCGCAGAACAAGAGCTACTGACATCAGCGCTCCCCAAAGACCCGAGGCAAACGGCCCGTGGCCTGTCTCTCTTTATATCTGGCCCGCCTTCTCCGGAAACCGTCCATTTGCTTTGATCTCTCTTCTTCTCATTCTCCCCGCATTCTACGTTTTCCATCTCCAAAACACCCCGTCTTCTTCATACCCTTTTCACATTCCCACACACATATTCACAATGGGTGGTACGTTTTTGTTCGGGTCCCCCGGGTCCTCGTTTGCAGCTTTGCTAACTTCTACAATAGCTCTCGACAGAATTTCTCAGATTGGTGGCCAGATCTCTGGCAACCCTACCGCCGGCGGTAAGGAGAGAATCCTCCAGAAGCGTCCTGACGATGTAAGTGTAGCCCATTTGACATAGCAGCAGCTGTTGGCACAAAAGTCTAATCTCCCCGCGCGCGCACAGGTCGTCATCACCGCTGCTTGCCGCTCTGCCTTCACCCGTGGTGGCAAGGGCGCCTTCAAGGACACCCAGGCTGCCGACCTCATGGCTGGTATCCTCAAGGCCGTCATCGACCGATCCAAGATCAACCCCGCCCTCGTTGAGGACATCTGCGTCGGCACTGTCCTCGCCCCCGGCGGTGGTGCCACCGAGATGCGCGCTGCCAGTTTGTTCGCCGGCTTCCCCGAGTCCACTGCCGTCCGCACCCTCAACCGTCAGTGCTCTTCTGGTCTCCAGGCCTGCATCGACATTGCCAACCAGATCAAGACTGGCATGATTGACATTGGTATCGGCGCCGGTGTCGAGAGCATGAGCTTGCAGTACGGCCCCAACGCCGTCACCGAGTTCTCCGAGACCATGGAGACCAACCAGGAGTCTGCCAACTGCAAGGTACCCATGGGCAAGCTCTCCGAGGACATGGCCCAGGACCTCAAGATCTCCCGTGCCGAGCAGGATGCTTTCGCCGCCTCCTCTTACCAGAAGGCCCTCAAGGCCCAGCAGGAGGGTCTCTTCGACGCCGAGATTGCCCCCCTCAAGGTCAAGTACGAGGACCTCAAGACCGGTGAGGTCAAGGAGGTTGTTGTCAGCAAGGACGAGGGTGTCCGCGCCGGCATCACCGCCGAGTCTCTCGGCAAGATCCGCCCTGCCTTTGCTGCTGACGGCTCCATCCACGCCGGTAACGCTAGTCAGATCTCCGACGGTGCTGCCGCCGTCCTCCTCATGCGCCGTGATGTTGCCGAGAAGCTCGGCCAGCAGATCATTGGCAAGTACGTCTGCGGCGCCGTCGTTGGTGTCAAGCCCCTCCTCATGGGCCAGGGTCCCTGGAAGGCTATCCCCAAGGCCCTTGACCTCGCCGGCATCCACCGCGACGACGTCGACATCTACGAGATCAACGAGGCCTTTGCCAGCCAGTGCCTCTGGTCCGCCAACGAGCTTGGCATCCCCCACGAGAAGATCAACCCCAAGGGTGGTGCCATTGCCCTCGGCCACCCTCTCGGCTGCACTGGTGCCCGCCAGATCTCTACTCTCCTCTACGAGCTTAAGCGCACTGGCAAGCAGATTGGCAGCACCTCCATGTGTGTCGGTACCGGCATGGGTATGGCCTCTATCATTGTCGCCGAGTAAAGCTCAGCTGTTAGGCTATGACGATGAAGAGTGATAGTTTTTTTTTTCCTTTGTTTAGAGTACCGGGAAACGAGCTTGATATACCAAAATGCGACCCTAACGGATGGATAGAACGGGGTCCTGTACGACTACGCATATATATACACAATTTTATGTTATGACAAATCAAAAAATAATTTTGATACAAGTGCTGTTGATATTGATCTGCTAAAGCTAATGGCTATGTTAGAAGTCAATATGCGGAGAATGATGAAAAAATTGGGCAACGCGACCTCTCATCTATGAATCTCAGCCAGCAGGAATCCATTCTTAATGTTTATACAACGTAAAGCGTTTTCGATTACGGGCAAAGAATCTCATTGACACTACAATACTTTCCAATTTAGATCCTTCCTTGGGTCAGGTAGCTCTTTAGGTTTAGTTTTCGTCTCGGAACCTATCACAAGAAAGATTCCTATTGTAACAAGATTATCCTCCCCGGCAGAGTCGCTCGCAGACTGACCTATCCCTCCTCGTAATACAAATCCTCGAATTGCATGCTTGTAACAACTTTCCCCAGGCATGTTCGAGGTGACCTTGGCGTCCATCGTAACAACGAAGTGGATCTTAAATTCTCTGGAACTCACCCATTTGTACATCTCGAATGGCTTTAGACCGTCAGTTTGATGCTTGTCACCGCACTCTCGAGCTCTCAAGTTGTCGGTATTTTCCAAGGCGCTTGGCATGAAACCCAATTACTTGGCATTGTACATCTTCCTCCAATACCTGCGGAATACCTTGCAGTTGACTGGAAGCTAAAACGCAGGCCTCTTTTATAGAGACGGTACCGTCTTCCTTGACCTTCCACGATTCAAGGGAGGCATGGGTGACCCACGGCAATTCTGACAACTCGGGCCATGCATCCGCATATTTGTGTCCTGTGGAGTGGAAGGGTATTAACGAGCCTCGGATGTCGTTGAAAGCCAAATAGACCCCGGCTTTATCTTGTCCGTCCTCAGTGCAGAAATCCCATCCCGAAATTTGGAAGGCGTCTCCATCGTCACTCCAGAAGCTTTTCCAGTATCGTGAGAAAAAGCTCGCTTGGTCGATATCGCGTACTTCTCGAACAAATTCTGGTGGATACTTTCCTAGAACCAGGCCATTGGGAACAATAGCAGGATTTTTGAGCTCAGGGCCAGTTTTGTACCACTTTGTAGCCCCGATGGCAGACATTATGGCTTCGGCCCTGTTGCTTGTACACTGCCGTCTATTGCCGAGCATGAGAATATCTGTTCTGGACAGCTCCAGTAGGCTCATAAAGCCCGTGGACATGGCCCAACGCTTCAACTCTTCGTACAGCCGCGATATTTGCTCAGGTAAGTCTTCGATTGAACAATGGCGGTCAAACATGAGGTAAGTACTGATTAACCCGATTAGTGGGATAAAAGTGTCTTTGGACACAAGATGTTCGGAAAGGGCAGTTTCTTCTTGGGCTTGATTCCCGTTGGCTGGCTGAATAGCAAGAATATTGCACGCGGCCGACGCGAAAAGCATATCTGGCCGTAAACAAGACTCCTTTAAAGTCCACAAGGAAGTGAACCAAGGATTTGCAGGCTTATACTTGTTACCTCCCTTCATCATCGCAACCACTATTGGTTTCGGAGGGGGTCGTAACTTATTCATTTCTTGTTGTTCCTCGTCTGAAAGAAGAAAAATGGGCTCCTTGCTGGCAATAGCAGCAGCCAACGTGACTTTGAGTTCGGGAATCTCGGCTTTCATTTGTCTTGATTTTTCGTGCGGCTCTAGCAAAGATAGAGAGCCATGAAAGAGAAGAAGTGGCCAATCGGAGATATATCGCTACGATCATGCAGCCACGCGACTGCATGCCGTGCATTGCGAAAGATCTCTGCTTGTCGGGCAATTTTATTGGACTACATTTGTTGATCTTCTTTAGTGAGTTCTTTAAACTCCTCTCCCTTGCCCTGTGGAATGCAAACGAGGTCAAACCAAACATGTTTGACTTGTAACTGGTCTGCCAACTTTTTCAAGCTCGATTCAAGAGACTTGACCTCCCACTTGGAGTTTTTAGGAATCTTCCATCGACACCCGGGAATCTCTATTCTCTCCTTGGTCCTCCATCTACCCCCAGTATGGCTGACTGCGATGTAATCTGGTCGGTTGCCACGCATAGTGTAAGTGTTTGTTTGCTACCCTTTGTCAACGTTCCATAATACACTCGGCCACCTCGTATAGTCTTTAGAAGTAGCCATGGATGTTTGGTAATTCGATTCATTGAGCCATGGGCAGATTTCGATTCTAGGCCCTGCTTCAAAAGACGTTTTGGGCTTGTAGCTCCCCAAATCTTCTTGCGCGCTACCATGGAGCTTCTGATTATCAGTAAAGGGGAGGCTTGGAGCTGCATTCTTGCTATAAACCAGCCAGCCAGCAGACTGAGTGTATGCCTGGAGTGCGGCGTCCTTGCGTGTTTGTTTCAATTGGAAACCCAGCCCTTGGTCAATATACGTATCCAAGTGATTGAATTCGAGTATCCATAGTTTTGAAAGCGTTGTGGTGTATATGTATTTTTTCTTTGATGGATCACTATTCGATTCCGGACTATTGTCGTCAAGTCTTCCGTCTCCAGGCTCTCTTTGTAGAATGCGTAGATGTTTAGAGAGGCAGCTCAATAGCTTCACCATCTCACTGGGGCGTAGTCCTTCAGAGTCTTTGGCCTACCATCCTTTTAAGATTTCCTGACATTAGGAAAAAAAGTTGTAGATATGAGCTGGATTTGAATATGCGGCCGTAGACCACTCTTTGAGTAGAATGAAAGAGTGTTGCATTTCTCTTGGCAAAATACCTAATCCACGAGTGTGTACAAGATGCCAACGCCGATAAAAATTGGCCAGAGCTCTTGAGACATCCTTTGCCTCGTCTCGCGCCTCATCTGTTGTGAGTATCTCCCTCGGCTGATTTGTGCCTCCTTTGTAGCAATGCTCGATGAAGCTTCCAAGTGTGCCATACGTATGCTTTTTCGAATCAAATAAAGGGTCAAACTCGATCTCAAAGATGGAAGATTTTGAATCAGACAAATCATCAAAAAGCTCTTGAAAAATGGACCGTTCCGAGTCAAATGCGTTCGTGGAGTCTGGAATATCCTCGCTGCTCGAGCCTTGGGAAGTCATCTTTTTTTCTTCGACTAAGTAAAGAGTAGCCAATCTTTGATGAGCAATGTAAGTTTTAGTTACAACTCAATGCAGATAGCTAATGATGGTTAAATACTAGCCAGACTTGTCTGCTGACAGGATGACTGTAGCCAGTCACAGCGTGGCGGCAACAGCTAGCTACCAACCAGGTCAAGTAGGCAATACTACCTGCCGGTAATTTTCCTTCGTTAAGCTACCATCAACGGATACAATATTAAATATGTACTCGTCTGCCTGGAAAATTACTGTAAAATCGAGCGTGTTGCGATGTGCATATGCATGCACGTCAATGCAGCCTCACCGGGCGGGACTTGTATATTAGGCCTAACCCTGCTTCTTGTGGGAATAAGCGGCAGTAACATTGAAGATGGCATGGGAAATACCGGACAACACATCTGGCTGCAACAGCCTTGGGCTCTAATACCGCGACAAAGTCTGTACAAACAATAGCAGGCTATGCATTTGGGGTCGCACAAAGTACGTGTCCAAGCACGACAACTGTCCGTGTCTCATCTTTTTGTGGAAAATTTTGCCTCTTCTCTCAAATGACTTGTCTCTTTTGAAAACAAAAGGTGGCTGCGAAGCTCTGTGTGGGTGTATGGAACGTATACGGCTTTCAGACGAGCTAGGCGTATCCATGCTTCTTTCATCGCCCAGTAACTATATGCCGAGAATGATATACGTGGAATGAAATCTACACATTGTTTATGAGCTGTTGAATCATTCCTTGGACCGCATTTGCCCGATACTTAACTAAGTTAGAACATTAGTGGGATTTATTATTCGTTATGTTAGAATTCGCAGTATCGTCATAAATCGTACTATCATGGTGCTTATATTATGCACCGTAGCTAGTAAAGCTTTCATTTTAACAGCGCCTCAATATTAGCTGCTGCCACAGTTTGGCTGGCGTCCAGTCATCAAGTTGGTGGTGGAGCTTCAAACATCCACCCGCACCGCACCGGAGAGCAGCCTCCGATGTGCGGGCAATGCGCTGACTTGCCAGTTTCAACCTCTTTCTTATTGGCAAAAGGCTGCATCCGACGAAACAACTCGAATAAAAACCCGACATCATGACGCTCACTGTGCTCTCCGACACGCAGGTGGCCGACATCTTGGAGACGCTCAACCTCGACGAGCTCGAAGAGTTCCGCCACGTTCTCGCCTCTGGCCTTCACGAATTCTCGACAAATGCGCAGGCTGACCAAGATGGCGCATTCCAGCAGCCTCATCGAATAACTACTTGCCATCCAGGCACCAAGGCTACGACTCTCTACATGCCATCTTGTGGCCCCGACGGCATGGGATGCAAAGGCAAGATGTAGCGTACATGCGCGCTATAGATACAGAACTAACATTCTGCAAACAGTTGTTTCTCTAACGACATCCAAAGATACCCAGGATCCCTCAGTCAAACCAATCAGCCCCACTGGCGTCGTCAACCTCTTTTCACCAGATGGCTCGCCTCTTGGCCTCGTCCACGCAAGCACCTTGACGGCGTTCCGCACGGCTCTCGGCTCGGCCTGTTTACTGTCGAGAAGAAACCATGTCAAGACAATCACTGTATTCGGCAGTGGTATGCAGGCGTACTGGCATGTGCGCCTTGCCCTGATGATGCGCGGCAGTTCCATTAAGAACGTCCATATTATCAACCACCGCTTCTCGGACAGCGCTGGTGAGATTATGAAGAAGTTTACAATCATCCCTGCGGACGTCAAGAAACGCGAAGGCTGGTTCGGCACTAAGTTTGCCATCCTGACACCGTCGTTTCACGAGTACGACCGCTTGTTGAAGGAACACCTCCGTGCGTCGGATGTGATTTACTGCTGCACGCCGTCTAGACAGGATCTCTTTGACGGGTCTATTCTGACAAACACCGAGGGTAGAAAGAAGGGCCGTCTTATTGTGGCAGTTGGTAGCTTCACACCAGAGATGCGAGAGCTTCCAGAGGGTCTTCTTCTGCAGGCAGTCAAGCGCCATGACAAAAGCCATCGCCATTTCCACAAGCATGCTGAAGAAGGTGGTGCCATCATTGTTGATACACTGGAAGGTGTATTACAAGAGGCTGGTGAGATTATTACTGCCAAGATCCCTGCTACAAGTCTTGTTGAGTAAGTGTTATGAGAGGCGTGAGCTGTGACGGTCTACTAATGCGCTGTATAGATTGGGCGAACTTGTAATGCTTCGTCGCCTTGCGATTGAGGAATCCGAAACAGAGTCGATTGCAGAGTCCGAGTCCGAGCAGCTTTCAATCAAGGACGGTGCTTCTTCCATGTCCAGTGTCTACGGAAGCTCCGGCCACCCGTCTCGCCCGTCCAGTCCGTCAGGCTCCCACACCTCTTCAGGGCACAAGTCTAGCTTCCACCTACCTTTCCGCTCTAGCTCACACACATCATCGGAACAAAGTGATAAAAAGTCACATGAGGATACACTGTGTCGCTGGCTGCGCGACGGTAACGTTATCTACAAGAGTGTCGGTCTCGGACTGATGGATCTGGTGGTCGGCATGCATCTCGTCAAGGTGGCTAGAGAGAAGAACATGGGAACGCAAGTCCCCGACTTTTAGAACAGTAATCAAAAGTTTTCATGTAATTGGCAATGTATTATTTACTTTCTAGCAAATTCTAAATGCTTTTCTCTACGATGAAGCAGCTCTAACAAGATCTCCAAATCTACTGTCGTCCTGGGCTGCCAATGCAAGAGGGTTGCCAACTTCGACGATGCTACCCTTGTCCATGACGACAACTCTATCGAAATCCATAATCATGTCTAGTCTATGACTGACAGATACGACTGTGTATCCCTTAAAGTCGGTTCTGATGATTTCTTGCATCAAGGTCTCGGTGTGTCGGTCCACACTGGAACTGACCTCATCAAGCAGAAGAATGCCGCCTTCGGTCAAAGACTCAGCAGCCATTTCTCGAGACCTAACTTTGCGGCGGAGCATAACACGGCCAAGGGATATCAGCTGCTTCTGTCCTGCGCTCAATGTGGAAGGAGTCATGTCTGACGAGAGACCGCCGCGCTCCGTAACAAAGTCCCAGAGCCCGATGGCTTTCAAGACAGTTTCGCATTCGCTGGCAGTGGCGACACCGAAAGGATCCAAGTTGGTTTGGAAGCTAACACCGGGAATGAAAACTGCCTCCTGTGGCACTGCCAAGATGCGCTGTCGAAGAGCCGATCGCTCAATGCGATCCAGAGGCAGCCCATCGATTGTCGTAGCTTCTCTTGAACTCTGGAGAGGGTCGAGCAGCTTCAGGATGAGGGCAATGAGACTTGACTTGCCACTACCAGTACGCCCACAAATGGCGATCTTCTCACCAGACGCAATTGTTAAGTCGATATTGTTAAGAGCCAACTTCGCCTGCTTTTCATTTTCAACTTGTCTGTACGGTGTCAGTAGTGATTCCTCGTTAGTGATATGGCGTATTGAGACTTACTCGTAACTAGCAGAGGCTCCTTTGAACGTTATAACGCCTTGTTGAGGCCACTGTGTGGGGGGAACGTTGTCCTCGTGGGGCTGATCCTCTGGCTGGACAGTCTCACTGAACGATTTAAGTCTCGCGATGGCGCCGATAGAAGTCTCCAAACGGGTATAGAAGATGACGATGCCACCCAAAGTTTGTCCAAAAGACATCAAGGTCACCAGTGAAGCTCCGGTGAAGGCAGCGTCAGAGTGTACGCGAACAGCTAGAGTCGTCAGGATACCAACTAGAACCATTACGAGTAGATCCAGGACAAGGTTAAGCCATTGCTGCGTCATCATCAGAAGATAGGCTGGACGCTGACTCAGGTTGAGCAAGCCAATGCTTTTGTCCATTTCATCAGAAAGGAAGCCTATTTACAATTAGCTTCTGTGTGAAAACAAAATGTAGGGGTAAAGGTACTGACCAAATGCTCGCAAGGTGGCGATACCCTTGATGCTATCGAGGAAATGCGAGCTAATTGTATGTGTTAGCGGCAAACAATTTGCAAAATGTTTGGACGGTCAATGACGCACTAAAGAGGGCTCTTTGCTTCTAGGTCGAGAAGTCGGAGTTGTCTTGAAGTTCGCAGATAGAACATTTGAACCAGATATAGAAATGCTGCGAGAAAAGGGTATGTGATTCCCAGATATGGCGATGCGGTTAGCATGACGGCTGCTTGTCCCAGGACCTCGAATACCTAATATTGACTGTTAGTGCTCTGCTGGTTGTATAGAATATTGTGTACAACATACTGCTGAAATAGTGTTCAGGAAAGAGTTGGGGAGCTCCGTATCAATGAGATTCAAATCTTGCGAGAACAAGTTTGTGACAGCACCGGTGTCTGTTGAGGTGAAAAAGCTTAGGGGGGCGTGAATAACAGTCTTCAGTGCGTTGCTGTGAATGCTGGAGCCAGTTCGCTTTATAGCAACGATGAAAATAGCAATAGCCAGTAAAAGAAGCGACACTAAAGCGCAGATCTGAAGCAGTGCATATATACCGGCATAGTAGGCGAAGCTGTGAGACGGGGACCGTGAAGCGTTGTCCTCGGTCCAGTATTTCAACCCTGTAAACTACATGTTAGCACCGTGGTTATAAACAGTGTGTGTCAACCAAACTTACAAATAGTTGGGAAGTTTACAAAAAAGCCCCAAAGAGCGGCAAAGATGAGACAGCTGGAAGCGGTTAAAGCACCCATACTCTTAAAGTATCTTTTGTAAATGGTCATATCTCCCACTTGTCTCTTGGCTTCGTTCTCTTGGCTGTCAGGTAAATCAACTTCTCTCGTGTGAGGAGCAAACAACATATTTGAGTCATGGCTGCCATCCTCACTCTGACCAGGCGAGGGGCTGCGATCTTTCAATTTGAGGCCCAGTCCAGAAACATATCCACCTTTCTCGATAAGCTCAGAAAATTGGCCCTGTTCAGCAATGGTACCGTCTCCGAGAGCAATAATCTGGTCCGCGAAAACGAGATGCTTGAAGCTATGCGTACAGAGAACAACTGAAGTTCCGCGTTGACGAAGAAGACCATCTTCACCAAAGGTGCGCGAGAAGACTTGCTCTTCTGTATCAGCATCGAGGCCACTGAACACGTCATCTAGGACTAGCAAATCGGCATCCAAGTAGAGGGCTCTTGCGAGAGAAACGCGCTGCTTCTGTCCTCCGGAGAGAGTAATACCGTCGGATCCGATGTTTGTCTTGTCTCCATCTGGAAGCGTGGTCAAGTCGAAGGAAAGCGCTGTTGCGTGAATAACGCTGGCGTATCTCTCTGAATCAAATGCTGAGAAACCAATAATATTTTCTCGGATAGTGCCGTTGAATAGGAAAGCAGTCTGGTCACAGAAGCCGACATGCGAAGTAGGCTTTGCAAGCATCACCGTGCCCTCGTTGTACGACACTTCACCCAACAACGATCTGCATAGAGTAGACTTGCCGGAACCTACGGGCCCTACCACAATGGTGAGCGATGCATTTGGTACTTGCATATTGATGTTTTGCAAAACCATCTTGCCTGCCTCCCAGCCGAACGCTCCATCTCGGATCGTTAAAACGTTGGATTCGCGTGGTTGTGAGTCTGATAGATCTCCTGAAGTCTTTTCGCTCTTGTTATCCGCTGAGTCTGGTGCAGATGCAACTTGGCGGTAATCTAGACGGTCTTCCCTCTCGAGATAAGCCTGGATTCTTCCCAAACACGCGACCGCAGACATGAGCTGTGGGGTAAACTGGAAGATTTGGGATAGGGGCATGGCTAAGAGGAGCATAAGAGAAAGACTTGTGAAGATCTTTGACGCATCTAGGTCTCGCTCTGCCAATGCAAATGTCAGTGGCGGTCCGATAAACATGGGAGTGAAGCCGAGAAGTGCAGCTAGAATACTGATGGTACGGAAGTTGATACCAGCCGCAAGTTCATCCACGCGAAATCGTTGCACATGGTCGTAAATGGTGGATGAGAGCCCTGACATTTTCAAATTTTTCATGTTTGATATGACAGTGGCTGTCAACCCAACACGGCTCTGTACCTTGGCCATCCATGTTCTTTGCGAACCGCCAGTGTACCTCATGAGGATCATTAATCCAGCAAAGCAGGCGATACACATTCCGATAGAAGCCAAGAAGACAAGGCCGAGTAGTCTGTAGAGCATCCATGATGAAATGGCGACCTGGATGATGCAGGCCCAGAAGTCATGGAGAGAAAGGAGTCCATTGTTGATGCGTTCCATGTCGCTACTCATGAGGGTCACTGCAGAACTCTCATTGCTGTTATCGCCCTTGATGGTCAAAGTCTTTTTGTATATTTCCACCACAAGCGCTCCACGGATCATTGTCAAAGTTCTTCGATGCAAGTACCAGCAGAGAGAGGTGGAAAGACTGATGCCTGCGTAAATAAGGACTGAAGCACCAATGAAGCCATAGCCAGTATTGTCATCAATATGCTTTTGTGCCAAATGTTTGAGAAGTTCTTCAACGAAGAGAGGTTGGCAGAAGGTGAAGCCGAGAAGTGCAAGTCGTGGGATTACGGGCATGAGGAGATTGGCCTTGAAAGTGCGAACCAAGGCTTTCACGAGACCAAACTTATCACCGTTAAGTCTGTTGTAATCCAGTTTAAGCTCGAGCTTTTGTTGCATGCGTCTGCTTTCTAGTGCGCTATCAAGGGGATAAAGATCCTTGATTGCAAGAATCTTCTTGTAGCCTGTCAGAAAGAGGTTGTTGAGCCAAAAGAAAACGCCGAGGGAGAAGATACTGCTAGTTTCTTCAGGGCTATGTTCCTTGACGTCCCAAGAAAAGAAGCCGGATTTCGACTGGCTTTCGAGGAATAGGATGACCAATTTGAGTCCCAATGACGCTGTAAACACCCCGCTATAAGCGATGGCGTTGTCTTGCTGGTCAGTTAAGAAGCTAGTACGGGTCTGAACAGCATCAAATAGCACGAGTAGCGCAAGATATCCTGGGAGAAGTAGAGAAGGACGGACACTCTTGGAGTGGTCTATCAGGCTGACTGAAATCATCAAGAGCGAGGCAACGAATTTGAGTGCAGACGATGCCACTAGGGTGCTGGTTGTCTCAACGGTGAATCCAGTAGAACTCAAAACAAGGAGAACCAGTTCTAAACCAGCGTGTAGCACAAGGGGAGCCTAGAGGACTAAGAGTTAGCTGATGTTGGCGTCAATTGGGAGAAATAGTGGCTTACAAATTTCATGTACTTGGACACCGGAGCGTGCAAGACAGTAGGCTTGCGAAATTGTGCCCATGTTGACCAAGCAGCAAGCACAATGAATATCGCGGATGGGAGGATTGACAGGAAGACCTGTTCAAATTGAGGATTGAAATCGAAGAGGGCGTTGTTATGGTCGAACATTGACCGGCGGTGCTGCGAAGGCACCTGCATCGTTGACGTATTCATATTGCAGTCAGCAGATAAAGCGAATCACAGCAGGATTTGCAGTTATTGTCTGTTTATTTCCTCCTGGTCGCCAACATCCCCAGCCTACGGGGACTACCGTCTGTACTTATCCTTTCGGCGCGATGACTCCTAAGCTTTTTGTGGCGTTGAGCTTGCCCACAAATGGTAAGGTTGTCGTCGCTCACTGCGTCACGACAGACGCGGCTTCCCCCGCTAAAAGACGCCCTAGAGCCTTATTCGGACCACCATGGCTCGGGCTGTTGTTTGACTGCGAGGCTGTCCCCATAGTGGGTAACAGAAAGACCAGTACGTGTGGAGTAACGCTTTAATTTTTTTTTTCCTTGGTGGATGCAGCTCGGGGGCTCGGAGTCGAAGTCTCCCCCGCCAGCTGACGCGGAGGTTGTCCGTATTAGTGAGTTGACATGCGAAGATTGGAAATCCACCAGTCTAAACAATGGGCCCCAATTCGGCTTGACAGCTGGCGACAGCTGGCGACGGCCAATGCGCACCTCTTCGTGTTACGTCAATTGAAAAAACAAACAAACAGGGTCTGCAATATTGGTATCGCGCAATGTGTGCATAACATTAAGATTATACAATTCGTTGTTGATGAGTACGGTAAGTTTGTTTGTTGAAAGTAGAAAAAAAGAAAGAATCCGTAAGCCCCAAACTCCATGCTTTTGTTGCAACTCGTCGCTTCCTTCGCAAAATTACCAGCAGTGGTATCCACCTGCAATATCCAGTTAGCCATGTATTCAATGCTTTTTTGTATCAGCCTTGGTAACTTACCATCAATCAAAATATCAGAACCCGTTACAAAAGAGGATGCATCCGATGCAAGGAACACGCAAAGACCGTTGAGCTCGTCAACATTGCCGAGGCGGTTCTGGGGAGTCATGGAACGCCAAATCTTCTTCTGGGCCTCGAGAGCTGGCACACGGTTCAGAGCGGTGTCCATGTAGCCAGGAGAAATGGTGTTGACACGGATGCCATACTTGGCCCACTCAGCAGCGATGGACTTGCCAAACTGAATGACACCAGCCTTGGAGGCGTTGTAGCACGACTGCTCCTGGGGGTAGTTGACAATGGAGCCGGACATGGAGGCGACAAGAATCAGCGAGCCACCCTTGCCTGCTGCCATCATGGCTCGACCAACAGCCTGAGACATGAGAAAGGTGCCGGTCAAGTTGATATCGATGAGGCGGCGGAACATGGCAGGGTCGTATGTCTCGGCCTTAATGTTAGAGTCTGCGATACCTGCCGAGTTGACGAGAACATCTGGTGCGCCGTAAAGCTCAACAACGGAATCCACAGCCGCGTTAATAGCAGCGCCGTCACGCACATCGACCTTGAAGAAGGAGACTGGCAAGCCAGACTTCTCGTGAAGTTCGGCGGCAGCCTCATCGCCAAGCTCTTGGTTAGCGTCAAAGATGATGATGTTCTTGGCGCCAGCCTCAGCACAGGCCCGTGCCATGTGGTTACCCAGGCCGCGCGCTCCACCTGTGATAATAATTGTCTTGCCGTGAACGGTCATATTCCTCATTGTGTGAGGCATAGAGTCGTAGACCTTCTTAGACAGCGGTTGGACCGCATCGTTTTCGGGGGCTGGGACAGGGCTCTCTGAAGGCACCTTGCCAGCGCTCTCGGGAACACTGACAGTGTGCTTGTCACCTTGGCCGGGGCCGTCGTAAATGGTGACTGGGATTTCTTTTTCGCGAATTACGCTCTTCTTGTTGACTGTTTCCTGGACTCTGCTGATTCTGGTAGCGGAAAAGAGTCGAGCGGAGTGCAACGAGCTCACGCGGGGCGTCACTCTAGAGATGCGCGCAGCTGTGCGACGAGCAAACATTGTGTAGGAAAGTAACTGTACGTGCGGAGAAGGGAAAGTGTAAATGCTCGAATGACTTTCTGAGGGAAAAGAGTCGGAGTCAATTGACAAACACAAGTGTAAAAAGCTTTACGTAGAATGGGCACAATGGTCGGAAAGGTATAAGCCAGCAAGGTGAGGAGGAAGTCGATATTTAACCCTTTCTCCAGAGGAAGGGTGTGTGGGAAACTGAGGAAACACAGCCCCAGATGTAATCCAACGGTGTGAGGTGTGCCTAGCAAGCAGGAAGCTCTCGAAGCTCTTGTTCCGTCCCAATGCCGGCGGCACGGCGCAAAAAAGATGGGATTTCGATTGTGACGCTTCCGTAGAGGGGGAAAGCTGGGCCTTGTGGAGGTGGTGTGGACAGGGGCCGTGCTAGCGCCTAAAGGTCCCTGTTTAGAGCGTCCAGGGCTGCGGATTAGCGTCCGGACCCTTCTACGGACGCAAGATGGTGTGCTGTAGCTGGGTGTCCGGCAGCGGAGCTATCAGCCACTGGCACACACCCACCAGTGTAGAAATAGTAAAAAGCTTCTTTTTCAGACCGTGTTGCATCCTTTAGACTGAAAGAGGTGTCCCAGAGGAAATACTGGGGAATGAATACGACTGGACCGAGTTTTTAACCGAAGCCTGTCAGCACCAGCGCCGGCCAAGAAGAAGCGAAGAGCGAACGCCTATGTAGCCCTCTATAGACGACTTGATAGATGTTGTGAATTTGCCGACTTTGTTGATGCTTGACCTGGTGTTAAAGTATGCAGCTTAATAGAACCCGTCAGTCTTCGACTTTGCTTCCCTTGTGAATGTATGCATAACTCACAAACGTGTCTTGACGGGGATAGCAAGCCTACTGCACTGGCCAGCTTCACTTTCCCCAGTCCAACCCGGCATTTCTAGCACCAATTTTTCTTCTCATTTCTGTTCATTCAGTTACCAATTTGTCCTTCTCTTGGCCCAACCGGCTTCCTCTCCGATGTCCGGGAACTGCATGTGGACCAGTTTGTGCAGCAGCCAAGGAAGCCAGAGGCGTGCAGAAGATGGTGGGGTGGCGATCTGACGTAGCGCCGGTGTGGGCTGTAGGCCCTGTTTGCTCACTAGGAAGCCCTGCACGGAAGTGAGGATAGAGCAGCCGGTCACCTCGAGTCGACGGGGCTGCTCATGGCGGTGGTCATATTTTTCTTCGGATAATTGTAATAGAGACACGTCGTAAACACAAGAGCCCCTGAATAGTGGCCCTCTGCGTCCTTGGCTGAGCACACTGATATTGAAAGCTCCGGAGAACTTGGAGAATGCGCAATGCTGGCGTAGGATACTCGCTGATCCTGCCGCCAGGCAGCCGGGTCGACAGAAATCTAGAACAAGCCTCTGGTCGCTCAGCTCATAATCCAAGCCATTAAAAAATTTCTTCACCGACTGCCGGTACAATGTCGAAAAGGGAGGGGATCAATTTGTGAAAGTAGCAGTCGCTTTTTGCTCTTCTCAGAGTTGACATGTGGCGTAGACCCCAGCTCGGCTAGCGCTGTAGTTCCCCCAGAGCGGCGAAAAAAATCGTGGACATCGTGAGATCTGTTAAGGTACGCCCCAGACAGAAAAAAAGCCTGTCCACTCCGCCCAAACGGCCGGGCGGACCCATCGTGAACGGTGCTTGACTAGACTGCGACTACAGATCAGATCTCGCTTGTTAGCCGCAGCGTCACGATGTCAATCCGTCGCCCGCAACAACAGATGGTTCATTTTTTTTTATGGTGTAGTGTCTGAGGGGGTTAGGTGTAGCATCATTTTAGACGGTTTTTCTGTTTCTGTTGAGTTTCTGATTTGCTCTGCCTGCTTTGTTGCAACATGGTACCCAATGAACATACAGAGCCGTAGTAAACAAGATCAGCGCTCTCGTTTGTAACCGGACAATCCCACTCAAGGAATTAAATGGATTCAAACTTCATTTGTCGGTAAACACACATCTAGAGTTGGAAACTCAGCAGAGGTAAGGATCAACTTCGCTTTACGCGGGTTGTCTGGTCGGGGAACGTGTGCATGCGCAAGCGGTGGCTGCATACACAGCCTATAATTACTACCCGAGTGCATAATTTGCAAACTTACCTTACCTACCAAGCATGGCGCTAACCTAGCTGGTCATTGGAGGACACCAGTTTTTTTTTCGTTTTCGAGAGGGGGAGAGCGGTCTAGGTCCTTGGGTTTATCCTTGGTGTAGTTGTAGAGGGTGTGTACCAAGCCAGCCTGGCGTTTGGCATTTTAGGCACCGACATTTCCTGCCTCTGCTCACATCATTAAAACCAACCTGTTAGTGGATAATGATCCACTAGATGACAGGCCTGGTTATGTGTCAATGGATAAGGAATTCTTTTCTCCGATAACCGGAGATGATAACGTCTGGGCCGTATGTCTGAATTCACAGTTGGTCCTCTGTCTGGGCGCCTTCAAATTGTTGAAGCCGCGCTGACAGGCAAATTGCTACGTAGGACTGCAAATAGCATGTGTTAACTGAGTCAATGGACAAAGGAATATATTAATTACTCAAAATCACGCAATAATTGTAAAAGTACAAGCTTCAATCGCATTACTACTATTTTCACCTAAAAAAACATCTAGTTTCGTTTTGGCTTCTCAAAACCACCCACTGCAGACGCCTACAATTAACATAGCAGGCAAACTTTCTCAAGAAAAAAACAGTAAAAAATATGTTCCGCATTCTAACGCCATTTAACCGTTTTCCCACATGATACATCAACTCCGTAGGCCCTCCAGCTCGCTACAGAGTGAGCCCAGCTCTTGCCATTTAACTAGTCGGAGTCGGAGTCGTCTACTTCGACAGCGATGAGCTCCAGAAGCGAAGCAATGTATTGACTCTATTTTGCTCATGGTTAGCATCATACATAGTTGTAAATCTTCGGAGGAGCGTGCAACTTACCATTGGTCTGTTCTCGGCTAGAATCTCAAATAGACGAGGTTGATAGGCTCGGAACAGCTTCTCGTTCCAGCCACCCTTTTTTCCGTTGCTCTTTTGTTGCTTAAGGAGCTCTTCTTCGGATTCCGTCTTGACAATGTTGCGGGCAATATTGCGCAGCACTAGAACAGCGCTGAGCGGAATGCCGGCTGCCTGAGGAGGCAGACGAGGGTTTCGTTCGTCCAACATAGTCATGGTCTCTTCAAAGGTTACCGTCATTGTCTTTGCTGGAATCAGCCACGCTTGCTTCTTGGGCGATTCCGTGGATAGGACTGCTGAGATATGAGACATGACGTGTCTGGCAAAGTCTTGCAGGTGCATACGGGTCGGCTCACTGTATCGAGAACAATCGCCCCATGTGCACAGGAAGTCTTGCTCGACATTCTGGTATTGGCCCTCTTCGTTCTTCTGTGCGCCCAGATGCTCATCAACGACGTGGTTCCACATCTGCTCAGCCGTCAGGCAAAATCGACCGCACTTGGCATTCTTCTTTGCCGGATCCGATGCCCACAAGCAGCGTCCATATTCCTTTCCAGTCAGGCTCATGGGACGCGCGCGTGCACGAATGCCGTGGATAATGAACTTTTGTTGACCGTCGCCTTGCTCACGAAGGACCTGGGCATTGGAGCCGGGGTACACCGACGTACTATTTCTAATAAAGTCGGCCGGAGTGATCATAGTCTGGCCAATAGCCTTGAGAGGCCCAACAAAGGCGTTCTGGTATGCCTGCCAGGCTGCAAGCTGTGTCACAAAAGACTCGCCATCCTCTTCAAAGAAGCACTTAACCCATTGATGCACACGGTCTGGCTCTTCCAGCTTAAGCATTTCAGTGAGAAGATCGGCAGGCATCGGGGCAACTTCATTTCGTGAGGGCAAACGCTGCTCCGGGGTAATGATGAAGTCGTGCTGTACTTTGCGGGCACCGTGGGCAAGTAGGCGTACGAGCTGGTCCACAAGCGCTTCCGGTTGGATGGCGTGAATCATGTGTTCAACATTCGGCACAACGGCAGTGTACTGGTAAAGGAAGTCTAGGCATGCATCGGTCAACTCGTCATCGTTGAGCAGAAGCCAGCTCAGTATGCGCTGGATAATCTCTTCCGGTACGTTATCGAGTCTGTTTGTGGCTTCCAAGTTGACGGATATGCGGCCCAGGGCACGCAGGGCAGTGAGAATGGTTCCTCTGTCTTCAGAAATCATTTGTCCCAGAAGAGTGAGGTATAGAGGGTCGTCTGAGCCAAGAACCATGAATGGCGTGATCTGCTCAGCAATGTCCAAAGCTAGGTGCTTCAGTTCAACCAGGGAGTCCCTGGAAGGAAGGTGAAGAACAATGCAAACCAAATCCTTGATCGGTGGGAACTCGGACATGTTGTAGGCGTTCTCGGGCAATGTCACCATGTTTCTAATGGTGAGCATGGCTTCAGCGATAAGCGTCATCTGATCGAAAAAAGACTCTGTCTGGAGCGCGTCAGGGATATCTCGCTCGATGAGGCCACCAATTCTGTCGAGGATGTCTGGTGTTCCCTGATTACCATTCAGGCATCCAATTTCCGAGTCGTCTGCCTCGACTTCCCAGGAAACTCGCCATGTAATATGGTAAAACAGGTGTCCGACTTCAAGCACCTTGTCAACCAACCCTTCGGCAAGTCCAGGGAAGGAGTCGAACTTGTATTTATCGCCTCGCTCGAAGGAAATCTTAACTAAATGATTAAGCGCAAAAGCCTGTTCTTCGGGAATTCGGGATCGCAGAGCATTCAGACATCTCGTATAGATATTCGGACCTTCGAAACCAGCTAAAAAAAAAAGCTATTAGTCTTATCCAAGGTTAAATGGGCGTGAAAAGATGATGACTTACTTCCAGGAAGCATAGGCGGTCGGTTTGCTAGTTGTGCAAGTCGATGCGGCAGGCGAGTGTGAATGAATTCAGTGGGCGCATTGCTTGGGGTGGGAACAGCGCGCAACTGCAATGGCTTCATGTGACGAGGCTGGTAGGCTGTGACAATTGTCGACGTATTCTCCCCACGTTCGGGATGATGCATAATGGAAGGACCTCTCGCGTTATGTGTGCTTTGAGGCATGGGCGGCATACCGTTGTGCGGGATTGGAACCTGAGATTGAGTTACGCCAGAAGCAAGAGCGTTGGCAGCGTGTTGGCTGGCTTGTCTAGTCGAGCGGCTCGATCCAGTATCCGGTTGAAATATGACACGCTGTGCTGGTGCTTCTCGAAGACCGCGCGACGCTCTACCGCTAGATGAAACGTCGGTAGGTGGTGGTCGTTCGCGAGCTGGTGTACCGTCATCTCCAGACGCAGCAGAGTCGTTGCCGCCAATATTGCTCTCTCGCTTTCCTCGGAAGTTATCGATAGTTCTTGATAGAAGATTTGCTCCCTTGGCAGTTACATCTTCAAGAATCTCTTTTGGTGGAGGCTCCTTTCCATGGACCGTCTTGATCTCGAAGGCAGCAAGATTCTTGTAGAACTTCTCCTTCAACGCAAATGCGGTTGAAGCTTCATTGTTCGAGAAAAGACCCAATTCGGCCGCCATACGTCGCCATGCCAACTTTTCTTCTGAGACTTTGTCATAGCCGCCGCTTGCGACAATATGGTTAAAGACTTTGTAGAGATCGATGTGCGTCAAGCCGACCTTGGGCTCTGGGTCTAGTAGGGTGCCACGTTCGTTGTGATAGTCTTGCAGACGTTTCATAAAGTCCTCATATTCGGGGGTTCGGTCGATGGCATGAGGCTCAACCTCTTGCGCAGGCGCCATGATCGCAGGCGATTGGAGCGCTGACGGCGCGAGCGAGATGGTGATGGACGAGGAGCGCGGGTCTGTCGCTTGTACTGTCAGAGCACGGGGGCGCGTTGATTCGTGCTATCAATCCAATTAGGATGATGGAAATAAGTAGTGGTTTGGCAAACTATCGAGTCTCTTGGCAGGTGCTGGCGCTGCGATGGCCTGAAGGGATGTCGAGTTGCGCTTGAGCTGGTAACGAGGGAGACGTGTTTGGCGCGACTCGCAGAAAAGCTCCAGTTGGCCAACCGTTGCACGTGACCCCACTCAAAAGTACCTGGACCACCCACCCCTACTACTACTGTCCCCTGATCAACTTCCCCGTCCACAAATTGTTGGCAATTAACAAATCGAGATAAATATTTGATTGCACATATACCGAAGACGTTTCGAGGATAAATGTATTCCACACCACCTTCGAGGAGATCTCTGCGAGCTCTCCCAAAGACAGCGTTGTCCGAGGTGGAGTTTTGCACTAATGGCGTAACAAAGACTTACACATCAACCGGCGTACGAGACGATGGCCTGGTATTAGAAGTAGAGAGTCATCAGTCCTCGAATATAGAGAAAGGTCCATTGACATTAGTTTTTCTATCTGATGCCGAAGTGATAGTAAGAATTGCGATTAGGTCGGTTCTTACCACACAACTAACTAGACAAAGACGAAGATCAATGTGAATGAAATCCAACAATTTTCTGTGTCTTCGGTCCCACTGCTGGTTTGCTCCAAGGCGAAAAAGATGGATATAAGATTATCCTCCTCAGAAACGAAAGTGATATTTACCACAGCCCGGGGATTTAATGTAACGGTCGCCTTACTGAAACGAGTTGGCGTGATGGTAGCCGAAAGAAGTCAAACTCGATCTAATGTTCCAGTGTCCTATGAGCCAACATCATCCTCGTGGAATACCAGACAACCTAGATTGTCAGTGATTCCCGCTTCATACAATTTCATAAATAGTCCATCTGGTGCCAGTGAGACACAATGGGATTCTCCTCATTCTACGTACGAAGTCCCGGGCTCACAGTACCAATCGCCACGGCTCAGCAAAGATAGAATACCGCATTGGCCGGATTCACCACGGCCTCGGTTGATAAGAACTGGTTCGTTGCCTACGCAGGCTTACGGGCTGGATACAAATCCATATCATGTGTTCCTTGGAAAGAACCATTTCAGCAACTTTGCTCCGCCGGTAGGGTCACCGCTGGCAAATCCTCCAAAAGAATACACACCCTATCCGGACAATTGTTCGAATAATTTCATGAGCACGCAAGCTACAAGTAATTCAGCTCCAATCTTGATTGCCACACCTCCTAACGAGGCATCAGCGAGGGAGGCAGAGGTTGGCTTGTTGCCAGCCCTCCCAAAGCGGCGCAAGCTTCCCTTCAAAGACTATTTGCCGGATTCGGGTCCTAGGCAATGGAATAACGGTGTCAATAAAGTAGGTGAGATTCCGCCTGAATTGGATAGAAATCTTCCAGAGGCTCGCTTTGAGTCTCAGCAAAGGTCATTAAAGCGGACAGCCACCGAGGGACACGATGCGCAGAGGCAACACATTGGGGTATTGGGGTGCCTTTCAAAGCCCATATCCCCTGGCGCTCTTGGCTCTGGCGAGGACACGCCTCAAAAAGACGTTGTAACCTTGACTGTTTCTAGTGAAGGATTTCCAGCATCCCCGGACACCAATGTAGCATCTGGTGTAGGTCCCGCTTCGGCTATTGAATCCCAGTCGTCAGTAGGAAGATCGCCAACGGAAATCGTCCGAAGTACAGATGACTCGGGCAATCAGGTGGAAGATTATAGCTACCGCGGTCAGCAGAGGCAAGATGTACGAGGATTACTCAATCTGCTAAAGAATGATGATACTTTGTGGAGAGTTTTGAAGAAGCGGGACTCATACATCTTGGAGCAGTACGAGATCGACCGTGCCAAGGCTGGTGATTCCCAAAATCTCGCCATGTTTTACTTGAAGCGTCTACAAGATATGCGAGCCACAGTCTTATGCGATTATATTGCAACGAATTCTTCTACGAGTATTTCTCATTGATTGTTTTTCAACGCGAAACAACATTGACTACACAAGGGCGGGTATTCAACGAGACGTAACACTGCCTTGTTAGGAATTAGCTCCTGTCCACAATTGACTACCGTTATGCTTATTTGCCGTGTTTACGATCGACATTAAACTGAGTCATGATATTAAAGAGAATGCTAGAGAGAAACAAAGGTTCCAGCTTCGATCTGTGCATGGTATCCAAATGGGGCTGTACTTCGCTTACGATTCATGTCGTCAACCTGCGCCGCGGAAGTGATTCTTGGGTGGATTGAACGCTAAAAGTTGGAATCTACACGGAACGGATTCGCGGAATCCATTTCCGAGCAATGTGGCTCCCAATCACCCCATCTGCACTTCCAAGCGAATGCAATGTAACGTCATATATGCAATCGCACGTTGTTCATAGGTCGAAAGAAAGGCTGCAACATTAATAGATGAAGAGTGTCGGTAAATTGCGTCTTGGTAGCAATACTACCGAACCAATGACACGTTTTCCTTACTAATTGACAATATATAACCTCATGTTCCCTTAATCAAAGTAGTTAAGACAATACCTTCTATTCTTACTACTGCTACTACTACTACTACTACTACTACTACTACTACTACTACTACTACTACTACTACTACTTTTCAAGGTACACAATTCAACTTCACCATGTTTTGGTCCTCAGCTGTATCCCTCTTGGCAGTCCATGCAAGTCTTGTGGCTGGTCACCCAGGTGGGAATCATGAACATGAACTGGCTGTTCGTCGTGAGCACCTGCAGAACAGTCGAAGCAACCTTTCTCACTGTGCAAAATCACTCGAAGCCCGCGGCATAACTAAGCGGTCTATTGAACGCCGAGTCGCTGTCGCCCGCTCCCTCGAAGGAGAGGTAAGCGCCAATGTCTACCCTAACCAGCACGCGGTTGATATTTCGGCTTTTGCCTCAAATGCTTCTTGTGCCTTGTCCCCCGAAGAAATCCTGGGCCCTTACTGTAAGTGGCATTATCTCACATCAATCAAAACTCCTTCTATCCTTTAGTCTAACAAGAAGTTGTAAGATGTTGCTGGAGAATACGTTCGCGAAGATGTCCGAGAGCATCAAGTAGGCGTCCCTCTTACCTTGGATATCCAATTCATTGATTCGTCTACCTGCGAGCCTGTCGCTGGAAAATACATTGAGCTCTGGGGTATGTCTTTATTTATGTTGCTGTTCAGGCACCGTTTAACTAACAACACACGTGCAGGTGCCAATTCCACTGGCGTCTATGGTGGTGTGGTGGCGCCGGAAAACGGCAATGGCAACGGGGATCCGGGCAACCTTAAGAATAGTTGGCTGCGTGGAGTCCAAAAGAGCGACGAGGATGGCGTCGTGCAGTTCCGGACCATCTTCCCTGGTCACTACATTGGGCGAACAAACCACTTACACGTGCTAGTTCATCCAGACGCCAAGCCCTTTCCCAACGGAACTATTCTATCCACCACAGCCTCGTTTGTTGGCCAGCTATACTTCCCCCAAGAGTTGGCTAACCGTGTGGAGAAGAGGGCCCCATACAACACCAACAAGCAGCCTGTGACGAGCAACAGCAAGGACGAGTTCTTGCAGGGGGACCTCGCGCAGGGTGGTAATCCCATCATTGACTACAAGCTGGTCACCAACGACATCTCAGGTGGTGTTATTGGCTGGCTAGCTTATGGTATCGACGTGGAAAAGGAAGAAACGGTGCAGCCAATCCACACATTCAATGCCAGAGAGGCCGAAGAGACACAAGCCTACTAGTCCTACTGAGTCGTTCAGTCCCATCAGCTGTCACAGTATGCATGGCCGATGCTCGTGGCCGATGACAAGGCCAGGCGGGAGGTTAATCGAGTAATCAAGCACCAGGGCTTTCCTTGCACGCGACTGTGGGCTGAGGAGAGGTGTTTCTGCGACAGCCGGAATAAGGTGAAGGGATAAATGGATAGGGCTCGTCGGCCGTTTCACGTGTGAAGGAGAAGACAATGCGCAACCAGGCCGGTGCTAGCGTCCCGATTACCCCGCCTCCGTCGCCGAACGCTCTGATAGTACGTCGTCCGTTGCGGCGTTTTTGCAGTTGCCACTGAATCGTAAAAATTGTAGTAAATTTGCAGATAATTTCAGCTGATGTGATAGTTTCCCCATGAAAATTTTAATCGCGTGCTAAGCCTTCTCCTGGCCTTCCGAGGCTGCCCCCTCATTTTCCCCTCTTCCTGCCCCGAGGCCCGCGCCCTCCCGCCCGCCCGCCTACTTTACGCTACAGCGCTCTTCAGCGCTCCTGGACCACCCGGCTGGCCTGTGGCCTTGCCCCACTCCTCCCCGAAGCTCCCTGAGGCGCTCACAAACAAAGGTGACGACGTCGCCGCTTGCTCCTTGTCAACCCAGGAAACTTTTCCGTTGCCCAAACACCACGCTTCCTTCTACAGCATCAGCGCGTTATAGAGAACCTCTCACACCATAAACAACGGAATTTCACTCACCATCAGCCTGCTAGCTACGCCCATTTTGCTCTTGGCTCGCTTGAATCAAAGTGACATGCCCGTGAGCTGAAAAAGCCACGCAAACAACCGCGTCTCTCTGCCAGCGTTGAATTCTTTCAATCTTCTGAAAAGAACAGCCCTCAACATGGCCGGGATAGAAAAAATCGAGGTTCACAGCAAGGTTAGACACAACATTATGGAACACCACTCGCGTTAAGCTCGTTAACCCGCCATCTCTCACAGTCCTATATCGTCCGATGGGTCCGAGTCGATGAGGGCAACACGCTGTCATGGAGCGTCCAGCCTCACAAGAAGTCCATGTAAACAATAGCTTCCACCACTAGCCACAATTGCCTTTTCCTAACACCCTTGCAGTTACTTTGGAATTGTTAAGCATCCCGGTAGCGGCGCAACGATCCTAGCCTCATCCCCTGACGACGATGCGACAACCCCAGACACCCAAGGTGTCGATGATCGGAAATCTAGCCGAATGTCCAAGAAGGAAATCACAGCCAAAGACCTTCTCGTCAATAAGGGCTTTCTCCCTGTCAAATGGTGCGGCAAATACGAAGCCGATAAGGTGTCCATGGACACATACGATGTCACACCGGGCGGCACTGGCATGTACGGTCTTGTCTTTGACAATACATTTTCCAAACAAACCTCCAAAATGGCTACTTTCGTTGCTCTAACATATCCAACCGGATCCGCTCCGCAGAGCACAAATAACCTTCGCAATCTGCAAGCCAAGGCTGGCGAGAGCCAGTCTAGTCTCGGTAAGGTGCCACAGATTGGTACTGAAGGCGATGCAGCAGCGTCTGTGGACAGCTTCAATAGCAACCCGCGTATTAGAGCAGTCTCTCTCTCCAACCGCAGCGATGGAACGTCGTCTTTGAGCACTCATGTTGGCTCGCTCTCGAAACGGCGACGTAAGAAGGGCCAAGGCTACGCACGACGCTTCTTCTCTCTCGATTACAATTCTTGCACCCTTTCATACTACTACAACAGAAATTCTTCAGCGCTCCGAGGAGCCATTCCTCTCAGCTTAGCCGCCATTGCCGCCGATGAGCGACGCCGCGAAATCAGCATTGACTCTGGCGCTGAGGTTTGGCATCTGCGTGCGCCAAATGCGAAGGAATTCCAGGAATGGGCTCGGGCCCTGGAGAAGGCAAGCCGTATTGCGAGAGGACTCGAAGTCATTCCTGCTACAACAACAACAAAGACGGCTGCCAAACGCGTCAGTCGTATTCCTGGTCCTGTTGCCGCTGCATCTCAAGATGAAGCAGCTGAATGGCAACAGGTCGAGACCCTTGTGAGTCGAGTTGTCGGAACACGAGATGCCCTTCGACGTTTGACCAAGGAGGTTGCTGCGCTACCAAGACCACCATCTTCGTCTACGCATTTGTCGCCCGGCTCAGCTTCGCACAATGAAGACAGCGATGGGTACTTCCCCGCGCCGGAGAAGAAGTCGTTCTGGAGACGAAAGTCTAGCGCCCCAACGCTGACGCCTTCAGCATTACAGCAATCGGCAGTTTCAGCTTTGGCTGTACCCTCGCCTGGATCTGCGACAGCCACTGCATCACAATCTAACGGCACTAGTATCGCTGCTAAGCGACGATCACGCGGTATTGTACAAGAAGAAAGCTCGCTTCATGATCACTGTCAAGCCTTGCTGTCCGATCTCGACTCTGTGCTTGCTGAATTCTCGACGCTCATTGGCACAAGCAAACGCCGTCGTCTGCCTGCTCCCGTCTCAGGTGGCGCTGACCTGTCGAGACTAAGCATTGACTCAGCATCCAGTGTGGATGAGTTCTTCGACGCTGAAGATGCGCAGTCTAGAGTCGTCCGTATTGGCGCAAGTGATGATGAATCAGATGCCTCGGATCACGATGACGCTGTGTCCATTGGCAACTCATCCATCTCGTCTCTTGGCTCGGAAGATGCAGTCGGTCCCGACGGAACAAACCATTTGTTCCCAGTTAAGGCTAAGAATCTGGCTCCTCTTCCGATTCCAGGTTCTGTACGCCGTCGCAAAACCATTCCTCCAGCAACAGTCATGCCACCTAGTCTAATCGCCTTTGTGCGGAAGAACGTTGGCAAAGACTTGAGCACGATTAGCATGCCGGTATCTGCTAATGAGCCGTCCTCGTTCCTTCAGAAGGTAGCAGAACAAATGGAGTATGCACAATTACTCGGCGAGGCTGCCAAGAAAACGTCGGTGGTGGAGAGACTACTGTACGTCACTGCATTTGCAGTTTCACAGTTCAGCAGCAATCGAGCTAAAGAACGTGCTATCCGCAAACCTTTCAACCCACTTCTTGGAGAGACCTTTGAGCTAGTTCGTTCGGAGGATGAGACGCCAGGTGGATTCCGCCTTTTGGTCGAAAAGGTACAGCATCGGCCGGTTAAGCTGGCTCTTCATGCGGAAGCAGAGTCATGGACTCTTGCGCAAAGCCCAGCACCGGGCCAAAAGTTTTGGGGCAAGAGTGCTGAAATCACCACTGACGGGCGAGTGCGCGTTGTACTACGACTTCCCGAGGGACGTGACGAACTCTACTCTTGGAACATTGCTACCATGTTTCTCCGCAATGTCGTTATGGGAGAAAAGTATGTTGAACCTGTTGGTACCATGAACATCATCAATGATAGCACAGGCCACAAGGCGTCAGTAGAGTTTCGGGCTAAAGGCATGTTTGGCGGGCGATCTGAGGAAGTTCATGTAGAAACGTATGGCTCGGACGGTATTGATACCGGCAGTGGTATGACAGGTACATGGACAGGCAGCCTCAAGGCAACAGGCAAGGCTGGTAGCTCGACAATCTGGAAAGCTGGTTCCCTTGTCGATAACGCAGCGACAACCTACGGCATGACTACCTTTGCTGCAGGACTGAATGAAATCACAGAGGCTGAGAAGGGTAAACTCCCTTGCACCGATAGCCGCTTGCGCCCCGATCAACGTATGGCAGAGAATGGCAAGCTGGATGATGCCGAAGCTTGGAAACATAAGTTGGAAGAGGCCCAGCGTGCCCGCCGCCGGCAGTTGGAAGAGAGTGGTGGCGAGCATGTCCCGCGCTGGTTTACCAAGATCGATGACTCCCCCGATGGCGACGAGGTTTGGAAAATCAAGACTGGCAAGGATAGTTACTGGGAAGAACGCAGTCGTGGCGCATGGACGGGATTGATCGACATTTTCGAAGCCAACGCCTAATTCCAACAGGACTGGCTGATATCACTAGACACTACTTGCTCGGATCACCCATACTCAAGTTAGCGCAAATATCAAATTGAAACGGTTCAACAGTTTGCGGGAACAGTTCACGTGAACTTGTCAAACGACCTGGGCTCGTCTCAACCCAAACGATGCTCTCGGGACTTGACTACTCAGAGACATATTGTGTAGCACTAACACATAGCACATAGCCCAAACTAACGAGCTCGCCCAATTTTGTCGGTTTCATTCCTAGTGGGGCATACGATTCGCGAACCGATGAAGACAACACTATCACTTATACACCGAACAGGAAGGTTATGTGAAGACAATTTTATTCATATCAACTAACTAAAAGGCAACCCCACAATGCAAAGCAACAAGGACAGGAAGCAAGACCCAATATGTGTGAAAAATGGACAACCAAAACTCCGTGGAAAACGTGCTATTCAGCTCAAACTATCATGTTGAATCGCTTAAAGGGCAAGGCCAAGAAGAGCGACGATAGCAGAGAGAGACATGGCAGAGATCTGCTGGGAAGCGCCGCTGACGACGGGAGGGCACCAGGGACCACCAGGGCAAGTACCGTTGTTGCCAGTGCCGGGAACACCAGGAGTACCGGGCTGGCCGGGCATACCAGGCTGACCAGGCTGACCGGGCTGGCCGGGCTGGCCGGGCTGGCCACCGTTACCGCCATTGCCTCCGTTACCACCGTTGCCGCCATTGCCACCAGAGCCGCCGTTACCACCATTGCCACCGTTGCCGCCAGAGCCACCGTTGCCACCAGAGCCGCCGTTTCCACTGTTTCCACCGTTACCTCCGTTGCCGCCGTTGCCGCCGTTACCACCGTTACCACCGTTACCTCCATTGCCGCCGTTACCACCGTTGCCTCCGTTTCCTCCATTGCCGCCGTTACCACCGTTGCCTCCGTTTCCTCCATTGCCTCCGTTACCACCGTTGCCTCCGTTTCCTCCATTGCCTCCGTTACCACCATTGCCTCCGTTGCCGCCCTTGTGCCACTCCTCGCACTTCTTGCAGCCAACGGTGACGGTGTGTGTAGGGACAGTGACAGTGGTGGTGATGACGGGAGCTGAGGTGATGGAAGAAGGGCAAGGCTTGCCAGCGTCGACCTCAACAGCATCGACAGAGTCGACAGCCTGGGCGACAGCGGCGTCCTGAGCCATAACCTGCTCGGCGATGACAGCGCCGGCGAGGACAGGGATGAAAGCGATAGCAGAACGCATTTTGAAATGAATGACTTGGTTAAAAGAGTGTGGGTTGAATGAGTGTAATTGCCTAATAAGGAAGGAGTGTGGGTTGGTTGGAAAAAGAAGGAGAGATGAGTTGAAGGGATCCGGGAGACTACTTTATAGACTTCGCGACGTGCCTCGGGATCACGGCAGAATCGACCAGCTCTCGTTTAAACCCGTGTCTTTGGCGCGAGCCATTTGCCCAGCGAAAACCCGCCTGGCTGGCCATTCAGAGAAGAGTATACCGTGGGTTTGCGGCGTGGAGGTATGTGGCAGCAGCGACAAGGCACGAGCTGGAATGCTGGCATCGGCCCAGGCACGCGTGTCTTTGCACCAGTAGAAGCGCTGCATTGCCAGCCCGCGTTTTTTCTGCAGCTGTTTGAGACACGTCAATTGCGCACACGAGCAGATTTTGCTGTGGTTTTGTGCCGGGCCACGCCTTGTTGAGGCATGACGGCGGCTTCTAGACCGTTGGGGTGCTGGAACGTGGACGGGTGATGTTAGTGGTGAAGTCGCGGCACGGGAGAGAAGTGCCTCCGGCTACCCTGTAGATGGGGATGGTTAGTTTATACTCAAAGGACAGGCAGCAAATACGTTTAAATTGTATGTATTTTATTGTTATGAGTATTTTTATTATTTCTCTATGATAATTGGACCTATCTATTCCAAAATTATAACGCATTGGTTAACGTAGTGGTTGATGGCCATAATCCTTCTTCTTGTCCAAGTCCTCTTTCAACCTGCAGTAAACAACGTACGCGTCATTCAAATCCCTTACGAATTCCATCTGAACATATTGATAGTCGCGAGCTTTGCAACAATGAAAGCTTGATAATTAAATGGAATCTATTTAACGAAAAAAGTATACATTGAGTTACAAAGATCAGCAGCTGTATTACTACAACCAGGCAGTACCATGGTAGTCTATACCATAGTATGCCATTCTATCAAAGGATACTCTTTTACATCAACATCGCCGGGATCGCATTGCGGCATGCGCATCTCGTAAACATCAGCCACGATAACTCAGCTAGAAATTTATCAGTCATCGCCCTTGTATGTCTTAATCCTATTATCCAGCCCCGGCCGTTAAGCTGCCAGATTTCAGGTGACCTTGCGGCCGAAAGAGCCGACGAGAGCGCGTCTCCACACGCGCAAGATTGAAGTGAAACATGGTAATCAAACTTTCTGCAAAGGGCTGAGCTTTCCTTTGACGTTTTCTCAAACAGAGTTACGAGCCCTTGGAGAGATGTTGAAAAAGGGTTGCAGATTGTTGGGGTTCTAACGCGTCTTGCAGGCGGAAACTCCGTCCTGCCGCTTGTGTAATTAGAGGGCGTCGAATCAAGGGTCGAGTCATCTGATGCGGAAATAAACATTCAACTTGGGCGTGTGTATGTATTTTGTCTATATGTGATTAAACAATTTATAATCTGGGGTCGCGTCTACACAACTGACTGATTGGGTCGTATCCCTCCACAGTCCTACTTTGCTCCACGCCGGTTCCCAACATCTACATGATTGACCCTTACTTTAACTAGGTGGAGACTACTTTGCTGATCTGTAGATTTTACTCACCAACGGTGTCTCATAAGACAGCGAACTTATTCGTGTGAGCGGTGATCTTTTCTAACTGCTTGTTTAGGACTACAGTCACGTTGGGGAGGCCTCACCAAAAGCGTGAACAATATATCATAAATGTACATTCTCAAGTGCGTTTATTACAGTAGTTCTACATCATCGCTATCTGCTCTAGTCTTTCGTCTCTCTCATTCATCATCTCTCATCACTACACAAAAAATCAACTAATATCATATAACAACAGTTTCTATGCCTTGCTCTCCTTGGCCACGGGCTTGTCGTCGGCGGAGAAGTTCAAGCTAACACTGTTGACGCAGTGTCGCTCATCCGTAGGTGTATCGAAGCCTTCGCCCTTGAAAACATGACCGAGGTGACCGCCGCAGTTGGAGCATACAATTTCTGTACGCAACATGCCGAGCGTGCGATCCTCGTGTCGGGTAACAGCTCCAGGGATACTGTCAAAGTAGGCGGGCCAACCGCATCCAGACTTGAACTTATGGTTTGCCTTGTAGAGAGGGGCCGCACAACCTGCACAAGTGTAGACTCCCTCGGAAGGGTAGTGCTTGTCAAAGGTTCCGGAGCCAGGGGCCTCAGTGCCCTGCTTGCGTAATACACGGAATTGCTCTGTTGATGGATGTTAGCATGGACATGTTTAGGGTAGGAGGGAGGGATAGAGCTAATACAAACCTTTGTTGAGGACTGCGCGCCATTCGTCGTCGGTGCGTTGATCGGGATACGTCATGTTGGATGAAGACTTGGACGATGATGAACCGAATAAGGCGCCGATAAAGGGGATGCCTGACATGGACCTCAGTGGGAGAGGACGGAGCGTGGCAAAGTGTGTCGATGTTGGAGCTCTGAAACGGCCGAGGTTGGAGACGGAGTAGAAAAGCGTGCGGAAGATGGGTGACAATCGCATGGGGGAGAGATGGTAAACGTGGAGATTAACGATGTAAAAGGAAAATGGAAAGAAAAGAAGCAAGTGTCTGTGGCTACTATTTTATAGCTGAGGCGATCAGACCGTTGACGTTGACGTAGTGGGTGAGAATTAGATAAAAAGCTTGAATTGACGTCGGTTGAAGGGGCTGTGACAAATCATTCAGCGCTGGAATCAATTTGGCTGGCGGCTGCCATCGCTGTAGATGACAGATATTATAGCGGGGTAGTTTGGGAGCTGGTGGCGGGGCAAGCGAAGTGTAGTGTAAGTATTAGGAATAGTGTGCTGTATTTGATGCCAGTGCCCGCTGTAAGTTTATAGTGAGGGGAAACTGTATGAAGCGAATGGGTTAACCAATAGTTGACGATAGCCGTGTCTATTGATACACCAAGTTGGTCTGATGCACTGTAAAACATAAAAGTGATTGAATTGATATTTTACATTTTTCCCTCCATTTTTTTCATACTCATTTAACGCTTTTTCGGTAACGAATGTCTACAGCTTATACGGCTGCCTGGATTCCAGCACCCACCGCCCACTGTGCCGCTGTAGAAACAGGCTTCCCCCCGACCGCCCAACAAAGCGGACCCGCCAGGTCGTCAGCCCACCTTGTCCTTTGTGTGCCTTTTCCCTCCCACAGAAAACCCCCCCTTTGGAATCGCGTCACCGAGTATTTGCATTCGCCAACATCGACCACCATCGATACCCCCAAAGACCATGTCTAGACGACCGCCAAACCCCGCTGCTGAGCGGGCGGCCCAGAACACAGCAACCATCAAGAACCTGCTCAAGATGGAATCCAACAAAGTCTGCGCCGATTGCAAGAGAAACAAGCGTAAGTGTCCGCCACCGAGGGAGTGCACACGAGACCGCCTCTTCTCGAACAATCCGGACAATTCTACAGCCAACTAACTCGTCATCCCATTATCTAGATCCTCGATGGGCCAGCTGGAACCTCGGTGTCTTCATCTGCATCCGCTGCTCCGGTATTCACCGTGGCATGGGCACCCACATCAGCAGGGTCAAGTCTGTCGATCTCGACTCGTGGACCGACGAACAATTACAGAGCGTCGTCAACTGGGGCAATGCGCGCGCCAACAAGTACTGGGAGGCCAAGCTTGCCGAGGGCCATGCGCCGTCCGAAGCCAAGATCGAAAACTTCATCCGCACAAAGTACGACCTCAAGCGGTGGGCGATGGACGGACCTATCCCCGACCCCGCCACTCTAGGCGACGATGCCGCTGCACCGGTAGCCGCCGCACCGACGAGACAGCCCGTCGAGAGACAACAGCAAGCACCAGCAGCGCAACCCGCCGCCCAGATTGACCTCTTTGGGGGCCCTGATCCTGCTCCCGCTCGTCAGACCTCGTCTGGACCACCCTCAGCCAAGGCAGCCCCAGCACCACCCAAAGCCACTGCTGCAAAGGACTCGCTACTTGGCCTAGACTTCCTCGGCGAGCCTGCTGCCCCTCCCCGACCTGCCAGTACGCCGGGTACCGCCGCCGCTGCAGCCCAATCTCGCCCCGATCTGAAGCAGTCTATTCTATCCCTCTACGCCTCCGCCCCCAAGGCGCCCGTTCAGCAGCAAAACTCGTTTGGAGGGATGGCATCTCCTACGCAACCGGCAACTGGCGGATTCAACGATGCCTTTGGCGGACTCAGCATCTCCAACAACAACAACGCCCCCAAGCCTGTCGCCTCCGATCCTTTTGCCAGCTTCGGAAACGCATCGTCCATGAGCCAGCCTGCGCCTCAACAAACCAGCAATGCATTCGGAGGACTGAGCGGCGGCAGCTTCTTTGATACCAAGCCAGCACAGCCTGCTGCTCCCGTGCACCAACCCAAGCCATCCAACTCTGGCTTTGGTGACTTTGGCGGCTTCGCTTCAGCCACTCCTGCAGCGCAAGCCAAACCTGCCCAGCCTGCTTCATCGACCATGGGCGATCTCTTCGACTTATCCGCACCCGTCTCACAGGCCTCGCCTCCTCTTGCTAAAGCAACCTCTCCCCCTAGCTCCTCCGTTTTCAACCTAAGCCAGCCGAAGCCATCCCCAGCGCCTGCTCCCACTGTAGCCGCCGCCGCCGTGGCCTCTGGCGCCGATGTTTGGGGTGACAATGCTTGGGCAACACCATCCGCACCTGCACCCGCCCCCGCGCCAGTTCACAAGAGCCCCGAGATTTCGAAGCCTGCCCCAGCCGGCGATTTCGGATGGGGAACAGCCGGTGGATTGTCACAGACCCCTATTGTCCCCGGTGCCACTGGTGGCTTTTCGCAGACACCTATTGTTCCTGGCGCTGGTGGTGGCTTCAGCCCTGCCCCCAAGGTTGCTGCGGATGAAGAGTTCGGTGGTTGGTCCTCCAGCACAGGTACCACAAACGCTGCATCTGGTGGCCAACAGGGAGGCAAGCAGGGTGGATTTGGCGGTGATGACGATCTATTCTCCAACGTATGGCAATAAATATGAAAACACTCTAGTGCATGAGCCTATAATTCGGAAGCTCTTTATAGAATGGGAAGATGGTTTCAAGTGTGGGTATCAAAAAGTTGGCGCAGGGCAGGGGAGCATGTTATGATGAAAAAAGGCACATGCGGGTTGTCACGGGAGGTTGGTTTTCGATAGAATAAAATGATGATAATTAGCATTAAAACAAGCTTATTTCTCCCAAAACGCCTTATGTATGCCAAGGGTATTGCTCCAAAACAATCCATCAGAAACAAGATATACGCCAAAAACCATATCTACCTGAACACTCAACATAGTGCAGCCGTTCGCCGCTTTGATCCTTCAAAACGCTCTCCCCGTCTGCATCATCGTTCGTCGTTGGTTGTTATGTTTTAAAATATAGCCTTGGTGGCGTAGTATATGAAGAAGAAGGCGGCGATGATAATTCCGGCTAGCTTGAGAATTGCGACTCTGTTTCCCGAGGCTGCCATTCGAGTGAGGCGAGACGCTGAGCCGCGCATTTGGGTTGTCATGGAAGAAAACGTCTCGGACTAGAGTAGTTGTCATGTTAGTATATAGTGTGATCCTGTCAAGGAACCGTCTGGTTGGAGGCGTACCGTATTGTCAATGACGTCTTGGGCGCGTGCGTTGTCGTAAATGTTCATCGTGACGCCTCGCAGCGCAGAGACCTTGGAGGACAGCTCCTCCAGGCGCGAGTTGTTCTGGCTCTCTCTCTCGTATGCTTCCGACATGATGGCGGCGTAGTGAGGTGCTGTGTGTGGGAAGAAGGGTGTCGGAGAAGACGGGAGTTGAAGATGGTCGTGGTTGGCGTTGACAGCTGACTGGTACAGTGTTACGCCGAGGAAGGGGATAAATTCGGAGTTGTAAAAAATCGGGATATCTTCTTTCGTCTGAGGATGTACCCGCGCTGCAGGCTGGATGATGTGCTGGGTATCGAGACGTTTGTTGGGGAAAAAGGAGAAGGGGGAGTTTGGTCGACGGTGATGCAGACTTCTACTCTAGCGCTGGCTGGTAGCGGAAACGCAGTGGTGGCCCTAGCGCTGTGGGTTGATTTGTCGCCTCCGTGGCTCTGGCGGATGAACTAGGTCATCCCGTTTCAGCGCCTAGTTGCACCGCCACACACGCCACGCGGCCGCCTCAACATAGGCTGCAGTGGGCGCTGCCTTGTGCTTTTGCAGCCGCCGTTTGGTCATACTTTTGGGCAATATTTCCAGCATATGCGCCTTTCTGCCTTAAAACTTGACACTGACACTTCCTCAACATTCACGCTTTTAGCCAAACTACCTACACATCACCTGTCTTCAGCACTCAGCACCATCCAGCCTCCTTACCAGCACAGCAAGCACAGCCTCGCCAAAAGCACTCAGCAGCCCGCCGTTAGATTCGTCACCACCCCGCCTTTGAGCTATCCACCTCGTAATACCAAGGCTCGCACTTTGCGGCCACGGGCTTCCTTCTCTCACCTTCACCACCAGCATCACTTTCTGTCGTTTTTCCCGCCGTCAGCTTCTATTCTTTTCGCCCAAAATGGGACTTCACAATCCTCTTCCCTCTTCCATGTCGTGTAAGTTGCTGCAAACCATTTCTCGCACCCCGCCACGGTCCCGCCGGGCCTTGCTAACGGCCAACAGCGGAATGTAAAAAGTGCGGCAAAATTCTGGCTTCCTTTATCAACCCTCGACAGGCCTTTGGTCCCGATAAGGTTATCCCACCGTCCGTCCTCGCCAATGCCAAGGGTTTGGCTATTATCACGGTCCTCAAGGCTGGCTTCCTGGGCTCTGGCCGCTTTGGCAGTGGTCTCGTCGTTGCCAAGCTGCCTGATGGCTCCTGGAGTGCCCCCAGCGCTATCGCTACGGCTGGTGCTGGTTTCGGCGGCCAGATTGGATTCGAATTGACCGACTTTGTCTTCATCCTCAATGACACAAGCGCCGTTAAGACTTTCGCGCAGGCCGGATCGCTCACGCTGGGTGGAAACGTTTCCCTCGCCGCCGGCCCCGTTGGTCGCAATGCCGAAGCTGCTGGTGCTGCCTCACTCAAGGGTGTAGCAGGTATTTTCAGCTACTCGAAAACAAAGGGTCTTTTTGCCGGTGTGTCTCTTGAGGGCTCGGCCATTATTGAACGTCGCGATGCAAACGAAAAGCTCTACGGTACTAGATTCACGGCCCAGCAGCTGCTCACAGGCGCCGTTTCGCCCCCTCCCCAAGCAGGACCGCTTATGGATATCCTCAACTCGCGCGTCTTTAGCGGCGGTAGAAGCTCTGCCGGTGACGACATGTATAACGACATCCCTACCTACGATGACCGACGCGAATCCCAGAGCCATGACCAGAGATTCGGTGGCCCCAACAGATCCAGCACTTGGCAGGATGATGTCTACGACCGTCCGGCCGGTGGCTTCGATTCACCATCTCGTAGTAACACACACGACTCTGGAAGAGCTGGCCCAGGCCGGCCCGCCGCACCAAAGCCCAACTTCACAAGTAACAAGACGGCCAACTTGAATAAGAATGAGGCTATTGCCATGTTCAACTTTGACGCAGACCAGCCCGGTGATCTTGCATTCAAGAAGGGAGAGGTTATTACAGTGCTGAAGAAGACTGATAGCGACAATGATTGGTGGTAAGTGTAGACGAAAACACAATATGTAATGCGAGAGCTAACACATTGGCAGGACCGGCATGATTGGCACCCGCCACGGCATCTTCCCGAGTAATTATGTCAAGATGAAGGAGTAATGCTCATTCGATATTTTTTTTCGTTTTGAGTATGTTCGGCTGTCAAACCTTATTTTGTGTTTTTTTTGTTATAACGAATCCTTTATATACCAAGACGGGTCAGCAAGCTTTGTGCACGATATTCAGTCATGGCCATGAGCAGGAAGCCACGAAGAGCCAGATATCTTAGGCAGATTGAGAAAGAAAAGAGACAACTTCGAAATCATTACAGAGACTGGACGCGATAACGCAACGTATTTACCTAGAATCGCAATCAAACATTTTCAGCAGCAAATTGATGTTCCTTTCGAACACGGCATTTTTAGCTTCCTGCATGGACCATGTTTGCGAACGGCCTCTGCCAGTGCCGAGCCTTGCATCCGTATGCCGAAATTAAGACATGCCAATATATCGCCGATTGAATGCATCATCCTTCTGCTCTAAACGCGTCATGTCAACATCGGCAGTGTGGGTTGGGGCCTAGTGTAAGTGGGTAGGGGCCAGCGTTTGCTGTCTATGCCAAGGCCAATATGTCCTAATCCTACACGGCCACTGCCTTGGTTTGACAGGCCAAGACTAAAACTGCCGAGCAAATGGTGGGAAAAAGACCAAATGGCAGGGCACGCGCTTATTCTTTGCGAGCCAGTCTGACGGGACACGTCGAAGAAGGGGACCGCGTTAATTGATTCGGGGGCCTGGCCTCTTTATACTAATTGGCAATCACGACAATCAGGCTGATCTATTATCATCGTGAGCCGTCTTCTAATTTGGAGTCCATTTCTACGCTCAGAATGACAATAAACATGACACGCGTGTAGGGCAGCGTGAACGCGGTATAGCCTCGTGGGGATTTTCACAGATTGGACCAATTTGGGTAGAGAAATCTATAAACCCCTGAGGAGTCGATAGCGATCACAGCGGATAATGTCCGCATGGGCGGTGTTGTCTCAGCCTCGAAGCCCTGGCGATGGCAAACGTTGGTGTCCAGACCCAGCTATCCCGACTGGCGGAATGCAAAGCAGACTCCGCCTCAGCGGTCCATCTAGGGGCTAAATCGAATCAAGATGCCGCTAAATTACCTACTGGAGGTTCCTTGGAAAGATCAGGTCCACGGAGCCGGGCCCCATCAAAATCTAAGACAACCCGGCTGCCCAGCATGCCTCCCAGCACTCTCAACACGTCCCGTGTTGTTCTCCAGCCACGCTACAAATTTGCTGGCAGTGTACACGCCGTTTACCGCGTCGGAGCACCGGCCGGCAAGGTACACGGACCGGCGCCGTGGGCCCGGGATCGCACACACACGCACCATTCCAGAAGGCACTAGGTGTGAGTCGTGTTAGCCATGCGAAATATCACAACACTTTCTTAGTTCCAGAGAGTGGTTTTGCAGCAAATTTTGCTGTCAACGCGGTGGTTGGTTTTGAAATATGCAAACAAACGCCCGTTTTGGATCTCGACGTGAAAATATATAATACTGATCTGCACCGTCTCGATTAGGTTCCTTTTGGAGAAATCATCAGGCTTCACGTCCCGTTCCATCCTCTCCCTTCAGTTTCAAATCTTCAGCTCTACTTCCCTTTGTGGCGGTTTAGCTTTTCCTCTGGGTTTCCCAACTTACTTGCCTATCCGGTCTATATTTGCAAGGGGAGACGTCTTCGACAAACCCTTCGTCCTTTCATTTTTCATATACACATCTCTATCAAAATGGTTGCCTACTCGTATTTGGCGGCCGCCGCCGCCCTCGTACAGGGCTCTGTCGCTGCTCATGGACATGGACATGCTCGCATGCACATCCGCCGTGACCCCAGCACATGCCCCAAGGGCACTACCACCATCCAGCTTCAGCCCGTCATTGTTGAAGTTCTCACGCCTATTCTCATTACTGGCCATGCTCCTGGACCTACTCATGTTACAATCGCTGGTACCGTTGTTGAGATCCCCGACTGTTCTGGCGATATCTCGCAGGTTATCATACAGACTGGCTATGATACCACCACTCTTACAAGCACCATTGTACCCACCACATTTACTGGTCCCTACACGACTATTCCCGGCAGTTACGGAGGCTCTGATACCATTACCGTAACTCTTCCCCCCAAGGGCGGCGATTCTACTGGAACCGTCATTGTTCACACTCCCGAGTCCAGCGTGACTCCCATTTCTCAGATTGGCGACTGCACCACTACTGTTCCTGGAAATGGAGGCTCTACCACAGTTCCTGGTAACGGCGGTTCTACTTCCTCCGTCCCTGGCTGGGGTGGTTCTACCAGCAGCGTTCCTGGTAACGGTGGCTCTACTTCTTCGGTTCCCGGATGGGGTGGCTCAACCTCCAGCGTTCCCGGTAACGGTGGTTCGACCAGCTCTGTCTCTGGCTGGGGTAGCTCTTCGTCCACAACCCCTGGTGGCGGCTCTAGCAGCAGCACTGCAGCCAGCTCTAGCTCTACTCCTTGCACAACTTCCAGCACTGCCAGCTCGACTTCTACTCCCTGCACCACCTCTAGCACTGCCAGCTCTACCTCCAAGACCTCTAGCTCTTCTGTCGCCAGCTCTACTTCTACTCCTTGCACCACCTCCAAGATCTCTAGCTCTTCGGTTGCCAGCTCTACTTCCACCTCTTGCACAAAGTCCAAGACTTCTTCTACATCCACTCGTTGCACGTCTTCTTCTAAGACGACTTCCACGCCTTGCACTACCTCGCACAAGCCTACACCCACTCCTTGCACCAAGTGCGCTCACAAGACACAGCCTGCTCAGCCTCCCAAGGCTTGCGTGACCACATTGCCCAAGGCTTGCCAGAAGCTCAACCAGCTCGATGGTCTCGCTCTTGTTCCCGCTGCTCCCATCTGCCTGCTCTCGCTTGGCCTCTACGGAGTTGGTAACGCTGCCGGCTGCTTGAGCCGTGATTTGATGTCGCTCAACTCTCGTGGTTCTCACATGGTTGATTGCTTGATGGTCGCCATGCGTGACTCTTGCATTACCTCGCTCCCAAACGCTTGCTCTAAGCTTTCCCAGCACAACGGTATGGCCCTTGTTCCCGAGATGGCCAAGTGTGCTCTTGAGCTCGGCCCTCTAGCTGGGGGCGGCGCTGGCAACTGTCTCTCTCACTCCAACATCTCGCCCAGCACCCGTGGTACTGGTCTCGTGGCGTGCTTGCAGAGCAACTTGCTTGGTGATGGATCTGCTGGCTTCTAAGCAGTCATCCACACCCATCGAAGCTTGGGGATGCAAAAGTAAAACATTGTCAATTTCTTCTAGCCCATAGTGGCACTTATATTCATTCCTCGTAAGTGGAGGAGCCTGGCGTCTTTCGTTTCTGGTTTGGCTTGGTGCCAGTACATACTTTGGATTTTTCATCACACTGCACAGGCGTCTTCGGCTTTGCTGTTCTTTTCTTCTTCTTTTTGCCCCCAGATTATTCTTAGATTGGCAACATTTTCAGTGCATGACATTATTTCTTATTGGATCGGTAGAATTTCATATTTTCAATTGAAAACTTCTAACAATCAGCGCTTCTCTATACTCTTATTAGTAGTAAAATGTGTTGTTAGTACAAGCATACTGCCCCATCAGAAGATGCCTAGCAAGCCAAGCGATTCCCGCCAGGGGTAATGTGACCCTGTGGCCCACTAAGAGAAGCAATATCCCAGCGCCTGCAGCGGGGTGGTGGCGGTACCTGGAAATAGCGAATCGTGGGGTGAATTGATGAAGCGGGGAGACACGCCAGTTGAGTGATGATGGGTGTAATTTAGCTTGAGGCCATAACCAAAATGTGAATAGTTCTTTTTGTTGATTGTAGCTTTTGCTTGCTTAACCTGGTTGAGCACCTTTCTGAAACCACGCTGGATGCGCAATGCACATGATCGGCTCCAGAAAGGGGCTTGGGAGATTGAGTTTGGGCACTACCGCCATCACGTGAAACAGATCGCCTCGTTACAGGTGGGCTGGCGTCAGACCTGCACAGACGAAACGCATTGAAGAGGTCATGGCAGAGTGGAAAAAGAGCCTTTTTTTAGTAAAAGGAAAAAAGGATTTGTCGAATTGAATGGAAATATAAAATACAAGTGCAATCCGCTTTGTTTCTTTTGTGCAGGGTCATCCTATATAACTAGCCCCCTTTTGTACCTATATTGCAACAAACACCAGGCCACGACAGCACGCAGACTTGTACAGAATATCGAACGAGTAAACCCGCCCTCTTTACAACTCCTTTATCAATTTTCTTCTCGTTTCGTACAGATCGCCAGCGTTTTAAACGGAGATTTTTTTTTCGCCACTTCGTTCTTCGTCCTCTGCTCTCATTGGACGGGTTGGAATAAAAAAAAAAAAGAGCGCGCGCCAGCTCGTGTTCCTGACGCACTCCCTGCCAATCGCCTTAGCGCCATTCCAAGGGGCCCCATCCACTATCCCCTGCGCCACTGCTGCGACTTCTCGTGTCGTAGCCTCCCTCCGTCGGCTCTTCTCCCCTTCCTTCTTCAACTCCCCACGTCGCTGTTTCTTTTCACAGTCTCTCTTTACCATCATTTCTTTCTTCTTTCTATTCCAACGCCGGTTTGCTCTTGTCCTTTCAGCAGAGCAATTCGTCTTCCACACTCGCTCCTTCGCCTTTTGCGCAAGCACGTCTTCCGTGACACGCAGCACAATCTCTAGCAACCAATTTGCGCTCGACATCATTTAATTTTGTACACTTTCTTCCAGTTCCATCGTCTAGGATCACCATACTACATCATGCAGACCGCTATTCTTTCTCTCTTGGCCGCAGCTGGCCTTGTCTCTGCCTCGCCAGCCGCCAGCAGCCTGTCTGTTCGCGGCGACATTCCCTCCATCACCGTCAAGGGCAATGGTTCGTAGCGTGACAATGCTGTGCCACTCATCCTCTACTCTGTTGCTAATACGTTCTTATAGCTTTCTACGCCAACGACAAGCGCTTCTTCCTTCGCGGTATTGACTACCAGCCCGGTGGCAACTCCAAGGCCGTCGACCCTCTCGCCGACACCAGCATTTGCAAGCGTGACATCAAGAACTTCAAGGATCTTGGTATCAACACTATCCGTGTCTACATTGTCGACAACTCCAAGGACCACAAGGAGTGCATGCAAGCTCTTGCTGATGCTGGCATCTACTTGGTTCTCGATGTCAACAACTCCAAGTACGCTCTGAACAGAGCTGCCACTGACGTCCACAAGACCTACAACGTCGACTACATCCAGAACGTCTTGGCTACCGTCACCGAGTTTGCCAAGTACCCCAACACCCTTGCCTTCATTTCCGGCAACGAAGTCGTCAACGACGAGAAGGGCACTGACAAGGCCGCTCCCTACGTCAAGGCCATCACCCGCGACATCAAGACTTTTATCTCCAACCAGAAGGGCATGCGCAAGATCCCTGTTGGCTATGCCGCTGCCGATGTCTCTACAAACCGCATGCAGATCGCTCAGTACCTCAACTGTGGTGCTGATGACGCCCGAGTGGACTTCTTCGCCTTCAATGACTACTCCTGGTGCAATAGCAACTTCCAGGAATCTGGTTGGGACCAAAAGGTTAAGAACTTCACCGACTACGGCCTTCCCATCTTGTACGTATTCCCCGTTTGTATATCTGTGGTACACCACTTGCTAACGTATTGTTTAATAGCCTTTCTGAGTGGGGTTGCATTGAAAGCCCTCCCCGCAAGTTTGAGGAGCTCGGTGCTCTCATGTCCGACCAGATGACCTCTGTCTACTCTGGTGGCCTCCTTTACGAGTACACCTATGAGGAGAACCACTACGGTATTGTCGATGTTGATGGTAACGATGTCAAGCCCCGCCCTGAGTACAAGGTCTTCAAGGCTGCCCTCGCCAAGTACCCTGCGCCCTCTGGTGATGCCGGCGCCAGCTCCAAGGGCCACTCCAGCACTTGCCCTGCCCAGAGCCCGGGTTGGGAGGTTGACTCCAAGGTACTCCCCACCATCCCCTCACAAGCTGCCAAGTTCATCTCCGGTGGTGCTGGAAAAGGCCCTGGTCTGGACGGACCCGGCTCAATGGACGGCAAGAGCCAGACATCCGATACCAACAGTGATGCCAACAAGCCCTCAACCGGCGATAACTCGTCTAACTCGAAGAATGCTGCTGTCAGCGTCTTTGGTGGCATTCCCGCTGCCACTGCCACCATCGGCTTCCTTGTCGCTGCTTTGAACGCTTTGGCCTTGTAAGGAATTGTCACGCGCTTCTTCTCTCGTCTCATACGGGCAGGAAGACCACATTCTTTGCTTTTTGTACTTTTTATGTCAATGAGCTGGTTTCTCGTTCACGCCGGAAGCTGTATGTGAACAGGGCCGCTGTACAGTTTTGGCTCTGTTCTGTGCAAATTCATGCCTTGATGTTGTCCCAACGATGGCGTAAAGGTCTTTTTAATACATAGCAATCACAGTTTGTTTATCAATCAAAGTTAGTTTGTAATTCATCAAGACTCGCTATCGCTGTGAATAAATATCATTTGGGTTTCCTATCGTGATGGCTTGACGGGCCTTTGTATTTTACACTGTCCCAAAGAAGCCGCTGCCACGTGCGTATTTGGGTTTCCAGAAGAGTTCTAATGGAAATTGGGTCCAGAAACGCCCATTGTAGAAGGTGGCCAACTATGTAACCAGAGGAGCGCGTTCCCCAGTTATGCAAGGGTGCCTGTAGGCTCGCTGGGGATGTAGAGAATGGTGGGGTGGCATGGTCTTGGGTGAGTGGCGCTCAGGTGATGCGTTGTCATCCTGCGCGTGGGTTGATGGGAACAAGAAAAAAAAGAGGGCTGCAGGCAGAAACGATCGTAAAAAGAAGGGGATCGACTCATTGGAAGCGCACCGTGCAATTGGCAGACTTATCAAGGTTGACTGGCGGCCGCTTAAGTTGAGGGACATGAGAACCTCAACGGCTACACTGGCGCAGCTATCATTAAACAACAGGCAGCGTGTCACTGACTGGTTGTCTGCGGTCAGAAGGCGACCGTGCCAGATGCTTCAGGCCCACGACCCATTGCTGTTGTCTTCAAGAGGACCTCCGTGTACGAAGGCAGAGACGCATTGTCGCATTACCATTGGGCCGGGCCTCTGCACAGTATGGTTCAGTCGAAGAAATAGCCGTTGGAGCCGGCCTCCCAAAAGGAAACGAATTTACATGGTTGATTGACATGGGGCTCAGTTTTCTTCTTTTGCAATTAAACGCGGAATTAGGAAGCATGTCATGCCGTATGTCGGACTAGTCTGTCTCTGTTCCTAGCCAAGCACCATGTATTATTGGATGGCGTCCGTTTAATTGGATGCAGAGAACAGCGGGCCGTCATCTGCGAGACAGGTATTGGTTCCCGCAGGAGAATCAGAGACTCCAGCTGCTTTGTACTGTGCTGTCTGTGTCTGTCTTTCGATGCGAAGTGATTTATGAAATTCATTGTTTGGAACAATGGGCGTTAGTCATGACGCAGATGTATCGCATGCCGCAGTATGGATGCATGTCATCGCCATGAGTTGGACCCCACGTCATTGATGGTTTGACTGCACAGCGATCGGCCAGGCTTTTGTCTCGGGGTTTCCTTGATACACGCAAGCACTGTATATGCCGTAGCCTCAAGCCAGCAGGAAAAGGGCTGCAGCTACGGTAGCTACAGTAGTGTGTGTGCCCATCCACCCCCCTCTCGACGTAACACAACTTTCTGGCAAATGACGGCAAAGCAAAAGACTAATTGGCTGAAGCGAGGACGCTAGAGCAGAAGCGTAGCGAATGGCTGGCGCGATAAATAGCGAATCCACCACTGGGGGACAAGTGCCTGAAAGTGCATGGTCCGAGCGACAAGCAAGTTTGGTCATCTGCCCTCAAACATCTTGTTTTTAGCAATGTACAGTACTTTGTTGCTGCACCAGGCTGCATCGGCAAACGAGGGACGGGACGACGTGGTACAAACACACTGCGGCCGTCTCTTTTATTTGCGAGCTTTTGCAATCGAAACAGATGAAATCTGTGTGTGTGTGTTTGGAGCTTGTCTGTTGTGCCACTGCAGAACAGGGAAATGGCAACACAGCGCAAGCGGCACATCTCGGGGACGCCAAACCAAACCCTGAAGAAGGGGATCGCCCGATGTTTCTTGCATTTTGTTGCGGAAGGGCGTTGCCGCCACGGAAATTGCAACACGACGAAGCAGCCAGCCATGCGCCAAGCCCAATGGCGTACTGTGCAGCCGAGAACCTGAGAGCACTGTGTTTTGTTCGGAAGCTGGGCTGGCTTTATGGCAGTGTAGCGTCGCGTTCGCTGATTCTGGCGAAGATGAAAATGGGCTTTTTGTCTTTGTACAGTACATGGAGAAGCGGCATTTCGGTAGCTCGATAAGTTACCTACAGTTCAGTAGGCAGCCGAAACAGGAGGCCAGGCAAACGCGGGCAACAGAAACATAGAATACATAATCTGCGACATGGCGATGAATCTGGCTCTGTATAGTGGCACTTGTTTCTCATGTCGCCCGCCAGAGCTACAACAATGTCGAAAGCACATGCTAGAAAAAAACGACGAAAAATGCAAAAGGCGCTTCTGCATAACCCAGCATGTAGGCAGGCAACCTCATTTGCAGACTATTGGCTTGACCTGAGAAATCGTTGAGCGACTTGCACGTTGCAGCGGAAGCCACTGAAACGCCGTGGCCCGCTGTGACTTGGCCTGCCCAGTGCTAGCAAACGGGTGCTGCAGCAGTGTGGTATCCCGCTACCGGTGCAGACACAGTGCGTTGGCTGGCGGAGGGGCGTGTCATGCTCCCCGCTGGCGCGCCGAGTGCGCTGTAGAAACAAGCGTAAAGGTAATAATTAGCGGCACCCTCCACTTTTTTAGGGGGGCGCCTCGGCCTCGCCTCCTTTACAACCCACGCGTTGGGTGCTGGAGCCGGGAGCTGGGGCCGGGGTTTCGGGCCTAAACGGTTAATTTTTCTTTTTTTCTTTGGGGGTCCGTTAGTGAGAGGTGTTGAAGAATAGATGGACAGTAGTCGGTCGGAGAAATTGTTGAAAGTATAGGTGCATTGTGTGATAGAGTGATGGGATACAGTTTGATATCTTGTTATAATTTTGAAATATTTCTTTTTAGCGTTTGTTTTCCTTTTGTGTTTTGCGCCGTTTGCTCCTGCCTCGTTCTTTCCTTCCTTGTCAAAGTCATTTTGGGGCTCGCACAGTGGTCAGCTCTGGCACCCAGCACCTGGCAAGCCCACTATCCCACCCACTCTTTGGGGAGGAGGAACCCACCAGTTGAAAAAAGTTGGCTTTTCGGGGGGGCATGTTGCCATTTTCTCCTTTGTCCCGGCCGTCATTGCGCATTTGTCTGTACAAAAGCCAAAGAATATCAAAAAAAGAATATCAAAAACAGACACAAGAAAAGAATCAAAAAGAAGCGGATTCTGAGTCGAGCCTTGTTTCTGCCATTTTCAATACGCACTGTTCCAACAGCACTACGTGGAAAACACAGACACGCTGCTGCAGCGCAACGTTTGAAAGCCCGCACAGCGCTCTCTTGGTACACTACACACAACCAGCCCTATTACGTGTTTGGTCGCTTACTTGTCCTGCGCAGGCCGCAGCGCTCCTTTTTTTCTCCTCCTTGCACCGTACAACCACTCAGTGCTTTTGCTAAAGCCCGGCGCATTTCTTTGTCCTTTTTTGTTGGCAGAGAAAAGAAAGAAAAAAGAATCCCAGTCTTTTGCTGCAACCCAGAAAAGGTATTTCCAACTCCCGCTCCTGAGCACAGCCCGCTGCGGCGCAGAGTCGATGGTGCGTGTCTGCCGCTGCGTTGGCCATGATGTGCATCGCCATTGGCGGCTTCCATCGTCCATCGCGCCAATTATTCGTCTCGCCGCCACCGCTTTCCAGCTCGATGGATGAATCCTAGTACTGGATTCGTCGATGAATACGCTGCTGCCCAGCCTGAATTTGCTCTGCTCCTCCCCTCCCCAAAAACCTTGTCCGCTGACGCCGTTTCTCTTTCTCTAGACAATCCATCTTTTTTCTCGATTGGCGCTATTTGGACGAAACATATCCTTCGGCTTATCTTCCCCGCCGCTTCAACATCATGTCCTACTACGAGAACGCCAACGTCAACAACCAGTGGCCGGTTCCTACCCCAACTACTACTGGTTGGGACAACGGGGCTGCCACTCCCGTCCGTACCGGTATGAAATGACCCTCTCGGAACTTTGACCCGACAAACTTCTTTGACGAGCGATAAACTAACGATGGCATCTACAGGCGCTAGCGCACCTCAACCGCAAGACGACTATGCTTTTTCATACCAGTTTGATGGTATGTTTGAATTATACATCCGAATATAATATCCGCCTTTGCGCTAACTATTGCACCACAGAGGTCGATCGCGCTCATGAGAATGTTCAAAAGTCTGGCAAGGGTTACGGCATGAATGGCCGTGGTAGCCGTGGCCACTCCCAGGCTGGCTCTCGCCCTCACTCTGTGAGCAACTTGGATGATCCTCGCGCTCCTCCTGGCGGAAACCTCCACAACTTTTACGCCAACCAGCGACACCAGCCCTCTCGCAACTCCAATGACCCTGAGCAGATAATGCAGACCAAGAGACGCCTTGCCGCCCAGCGGGAGCGCGAACTGCGCAACCTTCATACCGAGCAGCAGTATCAGCGAAGTAAGTCGACAACATCCTCATTTGGCAGCCCGTATAGGCTGCAGTCATCCACCTAGGCTCGCAAACTAACAAATCTCAACTTCAGATGTCCTGGCCGATGTCCCTCATACTAACAAGCATATGTCTGAGGAAGAGACTCGTGAGCTGATTGCCCGCCAGCGCAGTGCCCTTTACGGTGAAGGCCCTTTTGCTGATAAGAGCGGTTACGTTGATGAGAATGGTAACGTCCGCACCGGCGCCCCTGGCCCCAGCGGTCCTTCCAGCATCCGCGGACACTCGCCCCTGGCCTTTGATAACCTCCACCGCGGTCCTCCTGGCGCCGACTCCAACACCCCCGGTTCTGCCGACAACAACGGTTCTGACCCTAGCCCACGCCCTCAGAGCACCACCAGCCCCCAGACCGGTGCTGGCCCCTCAAACAAGGTCTTTGACTCTGCCATTGGCCCTCAAAGCCGCACGAGCGCTTCCAGCCCAACTGGAGGTTCGCCGCCCCGCGACCTTGCTCCCGGCTCCAAGCCCGGCCAGCCTTCCAACACTGTTGCGCCCATCGGAACTCGCCCTGCTGGCACCCCTGGCAGCGGCACTCAGTCGGCCAAACGATCTACAACTCCCCTTGCCCCTGGTTGGGGACGCGGCGGAAGCGGCGTTTGGGGACAGAGCTCTTCTGGTCTCGGTACGCAAGCTAGTGTCTGGGGTTAGTTGACCGGACGTCGCTTTGGACGAGATGTGGAGAGTGTTGTGTAAATGGGCACCCATGATATTGGAGAAAAGAACCGGGTGTTTTGTTTTTTTTATCATTGGACTGGCGGATTGCATTGGCATTTTCATTTAGGCGCAGGAAATCGGAGCCTGGGAGTGGCATTTGGGAGATTTATTAGGGTGTTCTGTTTGCACATTGCACAAGGGGCACGGTGGGCAGCTTGCCGTGTTTGGTCGACTTTGTATCGACACATTCCTGTTTTGGTCCTTTAGGTTTTACGCGCGTGGTGTTTTCATTTTCAAACGGCAAGGCACCCAATAGGCATATTGGAAGAGACAGGATTTGCAGAGGAGGCTAAAGATTGTTACATACCAACGGAAGGGTCTGATTCGGAGAAGGGAATTCGCCGCTGCGGCCTGGCACATTGTTTATGGAAGCACATTTTCATCATTTACAACTACGGAGTTGACTGCTTTTTGGGGCGCGGGTTCTACATTGGCAAGGGAAGCGGAATATCCTTGATATCACGGCGCAATTCGTGTGTGTTTTTTGGACACAGATTTTATTGTGAGGCAAGCAAGAGGATGAAGACGAAGAAGACGAAGAAGAAGACGGTGCAATGTGGGTTCCGTCAAAAAGAGGACGACAATTGCGACGTATCTTGGCACAAGAGCAACGCTTGATTACAGCTAATCCCCATCTCATGGTTAGCAATCAGCCGGAGCTCGGTGCAAAGACGACAACAGGGGACGACGAACGACTCGCAGCATATATCGGCGAGCAACTTCGGTAATACGAATCACATGAGGTGTGATTTGGCAAAACATAGTACAAAAGGACAAAAAAAACATACCAAGGTCATTTGTGTTTCACACCGGGACTGGGGAACTGGGAAACGGGAGTTTTGTTTTTATGTGTTTTATCCGGGTCTCGAACCAGGCGGAAGTTGGCGCGAATCACATATCCTTATTTTCCTTGACGGATTTTTGCAGGTTTTGTCATCTTTCGGAGCAGGACATTGGTAAATTACGGCGAGCATGGCAAGGGCAAGTGAATTCGCAAGACTGTGTTTATATGGAACAGACAGCAGGGTTCGGTTTAGGTTTTTTCAGGGAGTTTGTCATTTTATTCGGTATCTTTGCTTACGGGCACAAGTTGTTAATATCTGGTTACGCTTCACATATCTACCAAAAATACACGTATATGAGGCACATTCGGGACAATACGCTGTGACCGTAGACTGGCTCTGTGAAGATTCCACTGTAGCCAGATTATTTGAAAACGACAGGGAAGTGCTTCTTTTGTTCGTTACCTAAATAGGCAAGTAGACGACAGGTGCCTTTGTAAAATGATCCTTGTTTTGAGACACTCGGCTACCAGCTTAGCGGGATGCAATGCGACGCTGGCGGTCAACGGGCATGCCACACCCCCTCTCTCTATTTATGGTTTGACCGTCTTTTCCGCCGAGATGCAAGCAGTGGCTACGGCTGATACTCATATTGGTATGTATAGTTCTAGGTAGGCAGTAATGAACCTGTGGTCGAAAAAGGAATCAGTCGATATCTTACATAGCTTAGGATTGCACTGCGACTATTATGACAATAGCTGAGAAAATACGTTATACATTATCTAAAGAACTACTACTATACGTATTGACAAACATTTACAGACGCGCTTTTCCGAAGCTTCACCATTCTACTGCTTGAGCCCCTGGAGGATAACATCCGCCGCCTTCTCAGCAACCATGTACGTGGACACGGCGGTAAAGGTACCAGGAATACGGGGGTAGACGGAAGCGTCGACGACACGGAGACCCGAAACGCCACGGACGCGGAAGCTCGAGTCCAAAACGGCCATGGGGTCGTCGTCGGTGCCAATGGGACATGTGCAGGAGGCATGGTGGCCCCAGGCGGTGTTCTTGGCGTAGTTCTGGATGTCCTCGGTGCTTTGGATGTCTTCTCCAGGAAGGACTTCGTCAATAGGCACGAGCTGATTCTTGAACGCGCTTCTGGCGACACCGACAGCCTCAGTCAGAGCCTGGAGATCTTTGCCGTAGTCGCCGGTACCATCGTCAAAGTAGTGGAAGTTGATTTCGGGGGCATCAAGAGGGTCGCTGGACTTGAGCAGGACTGAACCGGCATTGTTGCGGGGGTGAGCCTTGAGAATGGCCCATGTGTAGACGTTGTGGCTGAAATAGACAGGTTAGTATACATGACTGATGGTGATGATGTCGCAATGGGGGACATACTTTTGAGTGATGTTGACACTGTAGCCGGTAAAGTAGCCGCGGAAGTTGACGGGACCTGAGCAAAGTGTTAGTGTTGGGGCTTGGGATAATGGATTAGGTAGACATACCGCCAAAGATGAAGGCGTCGTACTCGCCACGCTCAGTAGCAGTGCTCTTGTGGAAGATGGTAACACCGAGACCGCCAGAAGTATAGGTGCCCTTATCACCGAGGAAGGGGTGCTTCCACTTCTCCAGGCACGGGTCGGCTTGGCCATTGAAGCCAAAGGTGCAGCCATCGAGGGCGATGAAGTCGGTAGGGGCAGTGCCCTGCACAGCAATCTCGTAGTGGTCCTGCAGGTTGGTGCCTACACCGGGGAGGTCGGCAACGACGGGGATATTGAACTTTTCGAGTTCAGCGCGGGGGCCAACACCGCTGAGCTTGAGGATTTGGGGCGAGTTGTAGGCACCACCGGCGAGGATGACCTCGCGGGATGCCTCAGCCGAGCCAGCAACACCAGCTTTGGCGTTGTGAGAATGGGGGCTGGCGCGATAGAGGTACTGGCCATCGAGGAACTCGACGCCGGTTGCGCGGGGCTTGTCTCCAGACTTGTCAAAGGTAACCTTAGTAACATGGCAGTTCAGACGCACGTCAAGGGGGTACTTCTTGGAGCCGTCGCGGTTCTTGGCGTCGCGGACAGCAACAACAAATTCGCGAGAGCCGACGCGAGCATGGTCCTTGGTCGAGATGGGCACCTGGTAGTAGCCGTTGGATGTGTCGCGGGCCTTGGAATCAGCGTTGGCATCACCGAGGAGCAGGTTCAGAAGATCCGTCACGCCATGGACAATGTTTCCCGAGGCGAGAGCACCGCCGATGAAGAGGCTGAGCAGCTGGGGATCCTTGATGGGGATGGTGATGGGCGCATACTCGGTATCAAACCAGCCGTCGTATCCGTGGCCCTTGGCACCGGGTAAGAGATAGTGGTTGCGCTCCAGGCGGGCAAAGTACTTGCGCATGTTGTCGTGGGACCAAGAGTCGTCGCCGGTCAGCGCAGCAATGCGATCAAAGTCCGACTGGTGAGGGTAGACGGCAATGAGAGCATTGTGAGCAGTGCAGCCGCCCAGTGTGTTTGTGCGAGGGTACAGAATGCCTTTCATCTTGGAGCCGGCGGGAGGGTTGAGGCCAATGTATCGGCCGCCGTCGGGGGTGATGTATTCCGTCTTGTAGTCGAGAGCTTGGCGCGCATCGGACGAGTAGTGCTTGACGAAGAAGTTCCAGGACAAGGCGGGATCTTCAGACGCGAGGGCAGAGTACGCAGGGACCGTGTAGTTGTCATTGCTTCCCTGGTCATCTCCGGCCTCAATGAGCAGCGTCTTGTGGCCGGCCATGGCAAGGCGAGCAGCCAATGGGCCACCGCCGGCGCCAGATCCTACGACAATGTATTCATAGCCAGTAAGCGTGACGGCCTGGACGAGTCCCGTCGACGCGGCTAGGAGCGCGATAGCCTTTGCTAGGAAGACCATTGTTGCAACAGAAAGACTGAGATGGTTACTGATGCAGTGTAGCAATGTACGACGACAATGGATCGACCGGCGCGCCGGTATATTTATTGAATCCAAGACACCTCTAGGGTCCCCCGCAAACCAAGTCGCCTCCTGGCTACCCTCGCGTACAGTAGCGTCTCATCTGGTATGGGGGCCAGCACCCAAAATGGCGTAGGCCGCGAAAGGTATGCGCCAACCTCCACCTTCAGTCTGGGCAAATAAAAAGTGGTTAGCGTCACTGGCCATTGGAAGCTCGGCGCAAATTCATGTCCGGCTGTAAGGACGCGACCAGAGTTCCTCTTCGTGCGCCGGCAGTTGACGGCGTTGGGCTTGCATCTTCCCTGTGCAGCCGAGGCTCGCAACCCTTGATCGTCCGCATCGGCGAAGCTGGCGCCGTCTTTTGCGCGTTTTTATATTGCATATTTCAATAGCGGCCGGGATCGATGCACCACGGTCATGACGAATCCGCAAAATATATGAATCCGCCACCGTTATACTTCCAAAGAAGCCCGCTGGGTCCGCCGGATTGTGCGCCACGCGCCAAGCTAGTCCTGCAGCGTTACATTGATCAGCGACGCCCAATTAACTGTCCCCCGATATACACCGGTATGAGAGCCGAGCTTCGAGAAGACGGCTAAAACGGTCGAGTGACATGAAGGTAAAAAAGGCAAAAAGCAAGCAAACTAGATTTGGTATAAAATGTGCTATATATGCAAAGAGTGTGGGGCGTACATCGCCCATATCAGAAAAGAAACCCAAAAAAGAAACAAGATTATGAGACCAGGAATGCAAATTAACAAGATTTCGTCACAAGCACCGCAGAACAAATAAGGTGTGCCTTTGCTACGCAAGCGGACTAGCAGCTTGGCTAGGTAGCGTCTAGTGAAAGAGAGTCAAGGAGAGAGACAATTGTCATAGCGTGAATGGTCGTCCAATACTCAGTGTTCACCAGTTATGGTATACTAGTAGCCGTTGCCTTGGTAGCGGTTCTGCTGCTGTGGCGGTTGTTCCTGGCCACCAGCGTAGTTGGCACCTGGAGCACCGCGAGGTCCAGGGCTTTGCATTCGCTGCACTCCATACTGCTGATCTGGTCTCATGGCGCCGGGGCTGGCCATACGCTGGATGTTATAGGCAACATCAGGGCGGACGGGTGACGGGCTGTACATTGGCTGTGCTGATGCTGAGCGCTGAGGAGGCGACATGGGACCTGGGCTTTGCATTCTCTGTTGGCCATAGCCTTGCTGAGGGCCTTGGGGAGCTGGTCTCCCATAGCCACCATCGGTGGTAGCGGATCGCATCGGCCCACGGGGGTATCCGCCCTGTGCCATTGGCGGGCCTTGGGGACGCATCTGACCGGGAGAGGAGGGCGCGGGAGACGACGGGCCGTTGCGGTTGTTGTTGGCACCAGCGGTAGCAGCAGCGGGAGGAGGGGGGACACCGAAATCAAATTGTTGGACAGGGCTGACATTCTCAGTCTGGCGGCCTTGAGCACGAGGAGGAGAGCCACGGGGTGGTGATCTGGGCGACGCATTAAGAGCAGCGGCTCCAACAGCGGCACCAGCACCGACACCGGCCATTTTGGCGTTGTGAGCAGCCCAAGCGTCTTGCTTCTCCTGGGCGACGGTGTCGAAGCTTTCACCTCCAGAGGTTCCAGGGGGTCCATATTCTTGGCCATGCTCAGTGAAGGAGTCGGGGTTGACACCGCGGCGTTCGAATTGGGCCATCTCCTCACGTTCGCGAGCAGCATCTTCTTCGGCCTTCTTGGCTTCAGCAGCACCAATACGACGTTGGCGGATGTAGTACCAGATGAGCGTGCCGAGAGCAAGAGCGCCAACACCACCAGCTGCGCCATAGATACCCATCTTGGCTCCAGGAGACAGAGCTTCCCATCCTGAGGGGCCGCCGGGTCCTGAATTCTTGATAGCCTCGACCGCTGTGGAGTTGCCTTCGACAACCTTGATGCTTTGCATGGAACCAGATTTATCACCCCAAACGTACTCCTTGCTGCCCTTGGTAAAGTCTTCGACGAAAACAGACTTGACGTGCATGGTGTATGGGCCCTTGCTGTAGTCAGTGTCACCACCAGCCCACTCACGGGTGCCTTTGGGCATACGAGGATCGCCAGCAGCCCAGACGCCGATACTGATTAACATTGGTGTCTGGGGGTAGTTGACCGTATTGTTGGCATCCTTGGCATTCAGAGTACGGATATTGACTCCATCAATGAACCATTCAAGCTTCTCCTTAGTCCAGACAGTAGTGTAGTTGCGATAGGCGTCCTGCGTCGTTCCGCTGGTGAAGTTGTAAATACCACCGTTTTTAAAGTTTTCGATACCACGACTGAAGTAGTTGGTAGTCGCTTGGTTGGGGTAGGGGCCGAGCATTTCCCAGTCGATTTCATCCTTATCGTCGCTCTGCAACATGATGGCGCTCACAATGCCGTTACCGGGAGCTGCCTTCATAATGACTTCTGTGCGTCCGAAGAAGAAGTAGAATTTGCTTCGCAATTTGGGCGAGTCGCCCTGTTTGATAAGGTTCAAGGCAGCTCCATTGTTGATGTCGTATTTGATATTGCCATCAATCTGTTCCCACAAATCAAACGAGGGTGAAACGGTCATGTTGAACTGCTGAGCGGTACCAAAAGCCGGGTTTGGAGGGCATGATTCCTTTGTTGGATCGCACTTTGTGAACGTCTGCGCAGAGACGATGCCCACAAGGGCGGCTCCGGCGATAGCGTGATGCCAGAACATTGTTTTTATTTCTTTTGCTGACGAGATTTCTTCCGATTGTCTATGTTATTTTCGACCTGCAAATAAACCATAGATATCTTTGTTGGGGTTCCGATCGTGCGGTTGAAATTGGGCAACGCTGAAGGGATAATGAGCGAGGGTTGTGAAAATCGAGCAACACTGGCAAAAGAGAGCGATCCAGCGATGTCAAAATTCTATAAACAAGACACGATATAAAAGAATGACAGCCCGATACAACGGACGATTGGAACAAGTTGTAGAAGAGAAAGTACAAGAGAGGAGAGAAAACGCGGAAGCGCCGCAGGGCGAAGACAATGGGCCTGACGGGCGGCAATACTACGTGCAACACAGTACGGGTCTGGCACAGTGCTGCAAGATACGAGACCAGGGTCTCCGTGACTAGCGGCCAAAAACCAAGGCCCAAGCACTAACAGATAGGACCAAGGCCAAATTGGGACGCTGGGCGGTCGCGCAATCTCGCCAGGGGTAAAAGGCACTGTTTGTGCTGCACGCTGTCCGTACTGTGCGCTAGCCAGCAGCTGACGGCTGCTGGTTTAGCCATGAAACGCCCCCAAAATGCAGCCAGCCCACAGTAGGAATCTGCCGCCCTGTTGGTTTTAGCGGGTTCTCAGGGGCTGTTTAGCGCTGTCCACCACTCACATCGTTGCTTTCCAGTGGAGCCCCCGTCCTTCGAACGGCCAGTGCCGTACTGCCGTGCGTTGGGACCTGGCGCTAGCGAAACCTTTTGCGCCCATAGAGCAGCAGCTCTCCACGCACAGAGGATGATCTACAAATACGAAACTGAAGGGACGAAAAACAAAATAGCACAGGGCTGCAGTAGAGACTTTGAAATAATACTGTTAGTAGCGGTATTCGTATTGCATGCTGTTTGTTCGTACAGCGTTTTCTTGGCTTGAGAACAAATAACCTCCGACCAGGTTAAATGGCCACTATAACCAGTCCCCCATGACACTGTTCTGGTTCATTGTCTCATTGCCCTGGTATCAAATACAATTAAATACATACTTTTTTTTCGGTACCACGCTCATGAGTACAGCCGGACTGTTCTTACAGAACCAGCTCTCTGGGCTTGGCGCTAATTCTTAACGGCGTTTGTAATGACGTAACTTGAAAACGCAACGCCTCCCTATCATTCCATTCTTCGTAGGTAGACGTACTGCTTAATATGGCCCATTTAGTGGCCCGACAGTAATTAGCCCCAGAACAACGGCTGAACTAGCTGAGTCTTGGTTATCTGCTGTATGTTGGCCAGTACAGGACCGTGTAGTTTCAGAGTGGCAGGAACCGCGACTAGGTCGCCTCACAATATCACAGCCTTGGGTTTTTTAGATTAGCTTCTCGGTTGATGTCTTCTATGCGGGTATAACACTATGCTGGGCTTACACATTGCCTCTTACAGTGATTAGTGCGAATATTCAACCGCTCGCCTAATCAGCCTCCGCGGTGTGTGCTGACGACATGAGCTCCGGGGATATTTGGATGCATCTAGTGCAACAATTTAATCTAGTTGAATGTAAAATTGGTCAATCTCGATCCAATTTATGTCGGCATCACGTAGAATCGCATATACTATTTGCAAGGTTCGTTGGAGAAGTCGTGTTTTAATTATTTGCCAAATAAATCATCCAAATCAGGCTAGAATAAGCACAAGAAACAAGCATCGGCTATCAAGTTGTTCTTCTTTGTCCCTGAGTATTAGCAGATGTCCCCAGCAAGGCATCTATTCGGAAGCGTCTCAGGAGCCGCTCTAGAAAGCTTTCAGGGCCACCATGTGCGTACAACTATATACAACAAATGAAATGGTGCAGAGTATAAGGGTGTAAACGGTAGGAATGTATGGGTAAAGGCGCTCTAAAGTCAAAGTCAGGTAGGATTGGCGAGATGTACGCCCATGTTTTGGTTGGAATTTTGTTGACGCGGGATATTGTCGACGGCGAGAGTAATGAGCTTGTTCGGCCATTTACATGATGACGCACTTACTGTCATCACGATCCTTCCTGACGCTCAAGGCAACGCGGGCAGCCTCGGTGAAAGCCTCATTGACACCTCGATTTCGCATAGCAGAGCACTCCAGGTATCTTGAGGCGCCTATTCTGCGCGCAACCTCCAAGCCTTGCTCGTAGGTAATGAGGGGCTTCTTCTCGCGCTGCTCTCCAGGGACGCCGCTGGGCTGGGCCGCAGAGGCCTCATCTTGCTCATCTTCTTCTGTGCGTTCTCTCAAATCGCACTTGAGGGCGACCAGGACTAGCTTGACACCGGAACAGTTGTCGGCAATCTCGCCCACCCATTTTGACTCGACGTTTTCGAGCGAATCCTTGCTGTCGACTGAGTAGCAAAGCATAATAAGATCGGTGTCGTCTATTTGTATCCCAATTAGTATGCTGCTACTGCCATATTTGCATAACACATACCGTAAGAGAGAGATCTGAGTCGGTCGAATTCTTCCTGGCCTGCGGTATCCCACAACGAAAGCTCAATGTGAACGCTATCGACGAAGATGTCTATCGCTCAGTTAATATTTCCAATTGTAACAACCTGATCAATCCAAGACTTCGTACCGTGGACATAGTTTTCGAAAACAGTCGGTTCGTAGACGGTGGGAAAGTAACTGTGACTTGTGTTAACTTCTCTCTCCCTTTGAACGTCGGAAGCCATGCTAAACAGCAAAGAGGTCGCAACATACCCTCGGGTAAAGACGTTTAGAAGAGACGTTTTACCGCAAGCACCATCGCCGCTAGAGTATTGAGCAAAGTTAGTCGGGTCCACGCGCGGGGAAGACGGCGTCGCAGTCGATGGATTGAACGCACAGCAGCACCAGCTTGCGCTGGACATTCTTGGATCCGCCGCAGAGGGGCATTTTTGCTAGGCCGCAAGTATAGGACTTTATTCGAGAGAATGGGTCGTGATCGAGCCGTGGCGAATTGAGCTTCAATCGGCGCTGCGAGCAAAAGAGGGCGCGTTGTTAGGAACAGGCTGCGCGAGCCACGTCGAAGGCGGTGCAGGTGGCAGTGGTAAAGGACGCACGAGGAGGGCGAATGAAGAGGCTGCCGTCCTTTGGAACGTGTAGAATGCTGAGCAGCGACCGGGTCGGGCAGTGCGGCGGAGAGACGGGTCGGTTTTGTGTATTGGTGCAAAGGTTACCAGAGATCACGGCGATGGAGTGGGAGTGAGATCAGCGCTTCATTTTACAGACAGCGAACCATAACCCGGGCAGGGGGGAAGCCTCCAACACTCCACCTGCGGCTTCTGGATCTGCTTGCTCTAGCGCTTCACAAGTGGCGCTGCTAGCAATGCAACCACCTGTAAGGTCCCCACTGCGGCGCTCCGACTCGGCGTCCACAGGTAATCAAACCTCCGGGGCCCCATTAACGAACGTACCATGGACATGAATGAGCAAAAGCAATGCTGCGTTTTCTACTTGACATAGCAATTGTAAAGATGAAAATCTATGCAAAAAAAGCGTTCAATCCGAGCATTAGGGAAGCTATGATTGCAAAAGCCCTTGTATCGTCGGTCCCATCCTGACTCGGACTGTGCGTCCCGCATACACGGCGGAGGCTGGTTTGCCTGTCTGAAACCAAACAGCACCCAAGTGGTGGTGTCATCGCATTGCCTCACTTGTCAGTATGCAGCATAGGCGCATAAATGTCTTGCTTTGTGTTTTTTTGGCTCTTGCTTACGCCTATTTTTATCATACAGAAAGTCGGAGAAAATAATATCCGCGCACTTAGAGTTCTCATACACTGGAAAATAAGTTCTATTGTACAATAAGCTATGTTAGTCGTCATCCCGTTGATATGCCTGCTTGTTTCTGCCCATGCGCGCTCCGAGATCCAGCTTTTCTGTTTGACGATGCAGTCCATTAATAAATCCGCGCTCTCCGTCTCTTTCTCTGGCCCGGTTGTCGGCTTCTCGGGCTGTTCTCTCTTGCTCTTCAATCGCCGCCAGTCGTTTTCCACGGTCGTCGTCAAGTTCGGAAGCCGCTGATTGCATTGCGGCGAGCTTCTTGGCACGCTCCTCTTCCTGATTGGAGTCATTCGCTCGAGAGTTGTAGCCATTATTTCTGTCGTGACCATTGTGTCGCGGTCCGTCTCTTGATCGCCTGTCGTCGTATCGGCGTCTCTCTGGTCTTCGACTATCATCATTGTAACGATCTTTACGATCATAGTCCCTTCGACGTTGGTCTGGACGCTCCTCCGATATGCTCCTTTGGCGCGCCCGTTCTCGTGGAGGGCTGTCCGCAGACTGTCTGTCACTCTTGTGGTCGTCTGTTTCACGACGTCTGTCTCGAGAGTCGCTTCTCTTTCTTCCTGAATGTCTATCTCGAGAATCATCGCGGTGTTTATGTCTGCTGCCCTCGCGATCATCGTCTGAGCTACGGCGGCGGCGGGGGCTTCTTGACCGGGATCTTCGCCGACGGTGCCGTCTGTCGCTATCTCGCTCTCGGCTGTGGCTGCGGTGTCGGTGACGACGTTTATGATGTCTGTCATGAGATTTCTCTTTTGAGCTGTCGTTCCCCATGGCTGCAAGAAGTTGGCGACGCCTAACTGGATCATTCATCATAGCTTCGTACGCGGCTTGTTCTTGACGCTTGATGGCTAGCAAAGGGTCGTCGCGAATCTTAGCTGCGGTGTCTCGCGCCGAGTTGGCATTCTGCAGCGCCATGAAGCTTTCCGCACCCGCGCTCTTTTCCAACTTCTTATGTTCATTTCCTTTGATCAGATTGTCGATTCGTCTTTTGCCCAGCAAGTAGGCCTCTGTTTCTTCGCTCGTGCCAGTTTGTCCATCGGTCGGGCCTTGATACATCCAGTCGACTCTGTCGACCCTCTTTTTGCCACCAGCTGCTTCTAGTTGTCTCTGGAGCTCCTCCTTGGCTCGTTCTTCCTTGATTTCATCGATGCGTTGTTGTGTTCGCTTTCGCTCCGACAGCGCTTTCTGTTCCTCATCGTAGACGGCTGCCTGGTTGCGCCTCAGCGCAGGGTGGAAAGACTTTTTTAAGTTAAGATCGCCTGCACCCATCTTGATTTAATGTCCGAGATGATGGGGAACTGGGAGCCAGTGTTGGTAGTTTGTCGCAATGAAAAGGTGAGGTTGAGGTAGGTGGCGACATCATTTCTATGCCGAGGCCCACTAAATTTTCGATCTCGTCGCCTACCCGGAAGTCTGCATACTGACTTCACAAGGTACAAATGCGTCACTTCTCGGAAGCTAATATTCATAATTATATTCAGCGGTGAGATAAGATGTATATGCGTGTCATTACGCTATCTATTTTAACATTAATTGGCTAAGTCGACATGGAGTGAGCCACATGTACATACTCGCGCAGTGGTTACTGGTACAGCATCTATGTGAGCGCCAAATTTTCAGTATTATTTTCGTATAACATAGGTAGAAAGAGCGGCTAATGACAAACGCTAATGTACATATATATTTTACAATCACGAACCATGCTTTATATACCATCTACCAACTAGCAATCTTAACACCAGGTAAGTTGCCTGCGATTGCCTCTCGACGGAATACGAACTAGGAGGGTTAGCTGTGACTGCACGTAATAATTTCATTCATACATGATACTAACTCGGTTCAATTTGAAGGCTCGGAAAATACCACGTCCACGGCCTCCCATTATACATCTGTTGCGGATCTGTGTAGGTCTCGTGTAGCTGTGCATCTGCGTCAACTGAAGTTGCGCTTCGGCTCGGGCACGCGGTGGTAGTGAGGTATTGCGAATCATATATCTGAGAGCTTGTCTAAAAACGAAATTGAGATTAGCTTGTACTCCTCTAAACGGCTTCACTGAGATGCAATTGGGACAGATGTCCGCGGATCTGAATCCCCTGGCGCTGGCGGAAACATACCTTTCGGGCTCGTGTTGCTCAAAAACTTTGCGCTTTGTGTGGTCTCTGATCGTTCGGATCTTGGTGAAGCACCCAAGATCCAGCTTTTTCGCACGGAACATAGACATTTTCGGCTACGTTGGTATTTGGTTATGGCAATTGGAGATGGAAGCGGGATGCTCTGTCTCCCAAACTTCTGGCGCAGAGAACTTGCAAAAGTTGTTTAGCCGACAATCATCCGACGACGCCCAGCAAGTTGCCGCACCTGTCGCCTTGCAGCCCCCGACTTGGAAATTGAAATCACAATAATATTTCTTTTCTTTTCTTTATATTCACAATTTTCGGTTGTTTTTACCAGCTAGCGTTGATCAAACTATTGCTCATGTTTGAATTATAGCTTTAGTCCGCTCGCATATACTACTCATAGCTTCGTCACCAAAGCACCCAAGCAGCTTGTTCCCACTCGATAGCGCAGAGCACCGCAAGCATGAGCAGAGAAGAAAGCGTCCCCCTCTATCAGAGTCATCGCTACGACAGCGATGATGGCAATTCGGATGACTCCGACTTTGAACTGGAAGAGCTACGCGGTGATGCTGCGGCCGCACCATTGACTGGCGTCAAAGTGTCTACTCACTCAGAGGAACAACAAGACCTCGATGATGCTAATTCTCCATGGACGGTTCCGTGGTGGCAAACACGCCGGACTATGATGGCTACACTTCTTGTAGTTGTGATTCTTATTATTCTGAGCGGCTTTGGTTGGCACAAGTACAGGGAAGAGCCCGTAGATGGCTTATCACCACCCTGGTATCCCACACCGCGGGGCGGAACATCCAAAAAATGGGAAGAAAGCTATAGAAAGGCGGCAGATATGGTTTCCAAGATGACCTTAGCCGAAAAAGTTAACATCACCACCGGCACGGGCTGGAGAATGGGCTTGTCTGTCGGCAATACTGGCCCTGCCATCAAAGTTGGATTCCCATCACTTGCCCTGCAAGACGGGCCCCTAGGCCTGCGTTTTGCCGATAATGCGACGGCATTTCCAGCGGGAGTTACTGTTGGTGCCACATGGAATAAACAGCTTATGTATGATCGTGGTAGCGCGCACGGAGAAGAAGCGCGCCGCAAAGGTATCAACGTCCTACTCGGGCCCTCAGTTGGCCCTCTGGGTCGAGCACCTGCTGGAGGTAGAAACTGGGAAGGATTTGGCGCCGATCCATATCTTCAAGGAGTCGCTGCTGCGCAGACCATCAAAGGTATACAGGATCAGCATGTTATGGCTACAATCAAGCACTACATTGGCAATGAACAAGAGCATTTCCGACAGCCCTGGGCATGGGGCCTCCCGCATGCCATTTCGTCCAATATTGACGACAGGACCTTACATGAACTCTATGCTTGGCCTTTCATGGACGCTGTAAAGGCTGGTGTGGCAAGTGTCATGTGTTCGTATAACATGGTCAATAATTCCTATGCCTGCGGCAATTCTAAGCTTATGAACGGCATTCTCAAAGATGAGTTGGGCTTTCAAGGCTTTGTAATGTCTGATTGGCTTGCGCAGCGCTCCGGGGTAGCCAGTGCACTAGCCGGGTTGGATATGTCAATGCCTGGTGATGGCCTAGGCTGGGAAGACGGAGACTCCCTCTGGGGCCCTCATCTCTCACGAGCCGTTTTGAACGGATCATTACCTCTGAGCAGACTTAATGACATGACTGTTCGCATTGTTGCATCTTGGTACCAGCTGGGACAAGATGACCTGAAAAGATTTGACAGAAAGGGGCCAAACTTTTCCTCGTGGACTTTTGACACAGTTGGATCTATCAGCCCGGGCAGCCCGTCTGACCAACAGCAGGTAACGGTAAATAGGTTTGTCGATGTCCAAATGAACCACTCTATTTTGGCACGCGATATTGCGGCAGAAGGGACTGTGCTTCTGAAAAACGACGGCTTCTTGCCATTGAATCGCAAGGGTAGATCCCTAACAAGTGAAGATCGACGCTCTTCAACAGTTCATATTGGCATCTTTGGAGAAGATGCCGGGCCTGGGAACGGACCGAATCAGTGCGAGGATCGTGGCTGCAACCAAGGAACTCTCGGCTCTGGATGGGGCAGTGGCGCTGTCGACTTTCCGTACTTAATTCCGCCGGCCAAAGGGATTATTGATGCTATTGACGCAAGACACGTTGAAGTCAAGACATATCTCACCAATGATATACCGAGAAAGCATTCAGCATTAGCTGACCTTGACATATGCTTTGTATTCGCAAATTCCGACGGTGGTGAAGGATTCCTGACGTGGAACTCTATTGCCGGGGACAGAAACGATCTGTACCTACAACTTTCCGGCGACGATCTTATCCTCTATGTAGCTAAGAATTGCGGAAACGGAAAGGGCAAAACGGTTGTTGTCATACATTCTGTTGGGCCGGTTATTGTTGAAAAATGGGTCGACATGCCCAATGTCAGCGCTGTCATCTTTGCCAATCTTCCTGGACAAGAGAGCGGTAATGCCATTGCCAGTATCATCTTTGGGGATGTCAACCCTAGCGGTAAGCTGCCTTACACAGTCGGAAGATCGCTTGCAGACTATGGCGATGGTGGTCAGGTGCTCTACAAGCCCAACAGTGTTGTACCCCAACAAGACTTTGACGAGCGGTTATACATTGATTACCGTCACTTTGACAAGTTCAATATCCAACCTCGTTTCGAGTTCGGGTTTGGTCTGTCTTACACTACCTTTAACCTCACTAATCTTCGCGTTAAGGAGGTGCGTTCAAAATCCGCACTTCCGGCGCTTCGGCCCGTGCAGGCGATCAAGCCGCCGACTTTTGATGACCAGATTCCCAACGTCAGTGAGGTGTTGTTTCCCAAGTCAATTAGGAAACTGAAGAAGTACATCTACCCGTACATTGCTTCGGCGTCTGACATTCAGCATGGGCCGTATTCTTACCCCGCAGGCTATGACATCGAACAGCCGCTATCCCAGGCTGGTGGAGAGCAGGGAGGCAACCCGGCACTTTGGGAGACATACGCCACTGTTACTGTGGATGTAGGGAATTCTGGAAAGATGGGCGGAAAGGCAGTTATCCAGCTATACGTGTCATTTCCAGAAACGCCAAACGTAGATTTCCCGGTACGAGCCCTGCGCGGCTTCGATAAGGTTTATCTTGCCGAAGGGGAAACAGCGACGTTGACATTTCACCTGACAAGACGAGATCTCAGCTATTGGAGTACAACCCAGCAGAATTGGGTTATGCCAGAAGGATCATTTACGATTACAGTCGGCCAAAGTTCCCGAGATTTGCAACTGAGCGCCACGTGGTAACTAAATGGGGGTTCGCCGACAAAAAATCTCGCCGAAAAGTACACGAGATCATCAGCAAAACAAATTGAAAGGAAACTTGTCGTAGAACATGCCTAAAAAAAAGAACCTGGCTCATATGTGTACTGTATGGGGGCAAGCTTGGTTAACGGATAGGCTACTGGCGGCGTGCCCGGACCCTATTGTCATTTCGTCCAGTCTGACATAAGACCACTCAACGACCGCGTCAAACGAAGGGGCTCTCTGAACAATCTCCAAACGGCGCCAAGCTAAGGTAGCGCTAAATATTACTGCAGCTGAAAAACAGCAGGGGCTTGTTGATTTAGCTACCTCCACCAAAAATGAGGCTGGGGAGCTTCTAGAAAACATGAATGCCACGAGACAAGGATCGGGAGATTAACAGATGCCGTACTTGTACATATCCCAACAACTCATTCGCTTTCCATGCTACCAGTCGACAGATAGCCTTTTTTGTGAAACAAAAAAAAGGCGGCACGGCTCACTATTCGCCTCTTGCGACATGTGTTTAGCAATGCGGGTGAAAAGGCCGTGGGCATGACGCATGGCCAAGGTGTAGTCTCATTGCAACGGACTTAGCAGTTAAGGTGTCTGCCCTTGTTACTTCTTACGGCGCTTGGGCCAACAAGCCGTTTAGTGACTCCAACCTAATTTCTTGGTTGGTCTCCTGGAATCCGCGTAGACGTCCACGGACCATTGTTACGTCGGCGTCTGTGTCGGGGATGACGCCAAACCTCGTCTCGTTGACCCATCAAGTTCTCCGTCGACCCCTGGAAAATGTCGATAAGCTGAAAGCCTTGGCAATGTCAAAACTCCACTGCCATGTTTGCGGAGCCGGCAACTCTTGCTAGGGCTGTGATGGCGCATCTTTGGGCTCGTGCCAATTCGCCCGATTACCAATGTCCGTCGTGTGCCTCGCCACTCCGAACGGGTAGGGCAAGGATACGGCTTGCAAGTTGCAATATACGACGAGATGATCATCTAATGTGCCCCCACCGGGGAAGACAATGACCTGTCTTCCGCGCCGAACTATACGGCTCAGAAGACGTAGTCCTGGGGCGGTGTCCGGAGATGTTCAGCAAAACATCATTCTCAACGGCACCGTGGGTCTTCTTATGCTTATATATGGTGGTTGTACCTAGTACCATGGTAGTTTAAGCAGTTGAAACTACAAATTCTGGGCTCCCGCCACTTACGCAGAGTGAGATCATCCTCACAACAGTTTCAAAACTTTTGCGTAATCGCCGTATTACCCAACATTCCGCCGTGTCTACATCCAACAGCCCTTTAATACCCGACACAGCCTGACCATTACCAAAACGGCCAGCATTACACCACTGAGATAGAAAAACACACACAGCTTTATCAATTTCCACGATATCCTTTTGGCACAATGGCAGCCCAAACAGCCAGATCAGGCTCTATATCATACTCTCAATATTCACTACCCTCCCCGCAAAGCCCCGGGAAGTCGGACAGTGAAATATTCGATTTAATTTCAATCCCGTCACCAGTTATGAGCCGCGCCAACATCCCCCGCTCCTACACAAAACGACACAGCTTTGCAGCGGAAGCTTCAAATCCTGAACTGTCGATTACAGAGCTTCTCGACCGCCTATCAAATCGAAGCATGAACACCCTCACAGAGCTCTGCAGACTGGAGAGAATAGCTATGAGCTATGGTATTCGACAGCATTCTACTACATTACAGAAACCACTAGCTCTTGCTTGGATTCACCACGTCACGAGCAACCAACTGCTGTCGGAGCTGCGTGGCCTTACGACAAAGTACCCCTTTAGCGCCGATCTTCTGCACGAGGCCCATCTTCGTGTCCGCGCCGATTCCAATAACAGCAGCAGTTGGAACCTTGCTTGGCTATGCCTTACAAATATACGGGACCATGGTCTTGTGTCCATGTATGCTGCATTGGAAGCTCGGCGCCCAGAGATGTGGGCTGGCTTCCGACCCTCTGCAGACGAAGTCGCCCAACTGAAAGCTTGCTTTGAGGTAGAGTGGAATATGGCCCTGGATGTGATGTTGAAGCATTGGCAGTATCCGCCAACATGGTACTGAAGCCTACCGTCGATTTTGGCTTTACAATTATTAGCAATGAGCAGCTCCAAAAGCAGGATCTAAGGGGCTCTTGTTGAAACACAGATACATTTATTCATTTTTTTATTAGAGCAAGGCGCCGGGTATGCATTTGTATATTAGTAACATTTGTATATGGTCAATAATGGCTATGTAAAGAAATACGAAACAATTTCTTTGAGTATGACGTCCGCATTCACTCTTCTTCATGCGCCTGTATCGCTATCATGATCATGTCCCCCTTGTCTATGCTCTGCTTGCCAGTCATCACTTTCCAAATTATCTGCGCGAATAAAAAACGAGCCCAGCCATCCTAGCAAGGCGAGGCCACCAAAGAGAGTCCACGCTAGAAGCTCACCCCGTGGTTTGATCCCCATGGAGAGGGTGAAGAGGCCGCCTGAGATGAACGGCCCTATGCTGCGGCCGAGTGCTGACAAAGTTTGTGCCACTCCGTTAAGCGTGCCTAAGCTTGAGTGCGACGGCGCGGAGTTGGTAATCTGTGTTTCATGTTAATATAATTGACAGAAGCGTTCAAGTAGTACTTACCAGTAACATTACGCTGGATAGACCGCCAACAGCGCACACGTTTTTGATAATCAGGATGACGGATAATTCAATGTAGAGCCACAGCTTGCCGCTGCCAACCCCAAAGAGCGGAGTACCGTCTAGTTGTCCAATCCACGGCATTGCTATCATGCTAAGGGCTAGGCCAAGCAAGGCAACTCTGTACATGCCCATATTACCGACCTGCAGTTTGATTGGGTGAAAAAAGAATGCCTGGAAGACAATGGTGGCAAAACCTGCAACACTTAGGCTAAGGCCAATAATGTCCGGCTTCATGCCACGACCCGTTGGTGGAGGGCTAGAAGCAAAGATCGGATACAAGCTGTTGAAGCTAACGTTTGAGAGTTGGAAGATGAGATATGTGGTCAGGAGAAGTACAGTGGTATGGTTAAGCAGCATACGCCACGATGGTGCGCCGACTGCATCTGTTTTTGGTTGATCATCTGGTGTAGCCTCAAGCGTAGTCTCGTCGCCCTCCGCTGACGAGTCTGATGAACCAGAGGAAAGCAGGGCTTGCGACGATCCGATGCTGTTGCGACGGGGCCAGCGTGTGCTCCAAGAATGGCGCCTTGAAGCAGCCTCTTCTCCAACGTTGAGCCAAGATAGGGTTTTCTTAAGCCAGGCAGGCTTATTAGGCCCTGGCTCGTCATGGTCGAGTGTTTCTTCAAACCACCATAAAATGACGAACACGCCACTGGCCAGGACGGCAGCGCCAATGATATTCGGGGCAAAGTATGGGAATTGATCTGGCAGAATCTTGCGCACCAAGATACCTCCTAAGGCGGGCCCTGTGATGCCGCCTATAGAATAAATGATGGGCAGATAGGTAAAGGCACGGCTCTGGTTGGACCTGTCGGTAACCTCGCCAAGCACAGTGGGCACGCATGCTGCATTTCCGTTAAGAAGGCCCATCAATACGTGAACAAGAACCATCTGCCAGTACTGGGTGCACAGTCCGAATAAGCAGAAGCAGCACATAAGGAAGAATGTCCCTGCCAGCAACACCGGCTTGCGTCCAATGAGATCTGATGTGTACCCCCAAAGGAAGTTTGTGGAAAGTTGGGCCAAAGCAAACGAGCTGGCTAGAATGCCGACGTAAACACCGGCTTTTCCGTGTGGGATGCCCGGCATTGAAGCAACCATTTCGGGAAGATATGGCGATATGGAGTTTAGCGCTGTCTGCTCACAGAGCGACAGATACGCCAACAGAAGCAATTGCCGTAGAGGAAGCGGCGTTTCGGGATCAAGTTCTTCTGAAGATGTCGGGGATGATGGCAAAGAGTTTATGGAATTCGTTTCGGAGCTCGATGGTCGATCTATGGGAGTTTTCGGAGGCTGAGTGGGAAATGTTTGGTATCGGTGCGTTGAGCCTCGACGCATGATGGGTGTCGCGTCACCAGCGCGCAAAGAGCCATCTAGGACCTGGTGAGTTGAAATCGTCGGCCGCTGGGCTGCTTTACCTCGCGCTTGAGCCATGTCTGCGACGTTTGGCGACCGTCGTGAGGCTTGTCTTTGCTGCCGGCAATCTCAGCTCGCAGAGGCGGTCTGACGGTCACGACGCCCCAGGTGATCGGCAGTGACCTGGTGAACCTTGTAAAGGGTATCGCAGCGCCGACGCGTAACCGAGTATACAGGGACAAATTGGTATCAGCTCAGGCAGTATGTGTAGCGAAGTCGTCACAGCAAGCGGTTGCGGGCAAGAAAAAAGGGCAGACGTCACCTTGGCTGGGTCGCGACATGCCGCTAGCGCTAACCACTTGGGTGCTGAAATCGCCGAGCTAGGAAGCAGGCGGAGCTAGCCACCCCGATTTGGACAACGCCATTGCGGGAGGTCCCTTGGGTGGAGGACGAAATAAATTCTTGTGAAAATGGTTTATGAGTGTCTGCTAAAGAACCAGCGCTGAATTTCGACAAATGCTGATGGTATTGCAGGAAATCTGCGGCAGACCTTCTTCTTCCCTCATGACGGTGCTAGGCATGACACAATGGAATACAGCGCTTATCGTTCGGAACGGCAGATGTCGTCCCGATCTAGTTGGGGATGGCACGACGATCACGTTATTGCTGATGCCATTCTTTTCTTCACGGACAACTACTCAAGGCGCAAGAGAGGTGTCTGAGTGTGTAGAAGTAGACGTGATACTACTAAGCGTCATATAGGCTCTGTGGTTGTGGCGTGGCAGCATCACCGTGCGTTGCTGTGAATTTACACGTGCAAACTTTACCGTTTCGTTTGAGTCCAAACAAACTGTGTATTTCGTTGCTTGGTAACGCTACCCATTGCTCACCCAGCTTCTCGGTTGTCAAGCAGCATCTGCTTTTCTCAGTAGTACAAGCTGAGATGTAACTTGGCGTGGTGCCGGTCTAGCAAATCATGAAATTGAGCTGCTAATAGGAGGAAATTAGCCATCTTGTTGCAGGGCATGGTTATTGGTGGGATACCCTGCGCAGTGGTTTAGTTAGGGGCAAAATGGCGCTACCATATGACGAGGGCCTTTATGTGTGAGTGGCGACCAAAAATTCGGTGAATGATGAGACAGACAGAGACGGGCTGGTAGGGAGAATACGCGCTTCGTATAGGATGCAGCATCGTGATGGCTCAGTTGCTTGATGGAACCACTCAGCACTGGAACAAGCCTTGTCTGAGCCTCGCCGATGACATTCTTCCGCCGCCCGTATTATAATTGCACACACTGTAGCATTTCGAACGTATATTTACCGCCCTCTAAAGGGGGCTCAGCGCGCGCTAAATCAAAAAGCCACCTCCGCGCAAAGTCGTATCCTGTGAAGCCGTTTCTGGTCCCGTCCCGACGCAACTGTGCATAATGCTCACACGCTACTGCAGTATGGGAAATGCATGGCTTGGGTGAGTCAGTTGGGCGAGACAGACAGCACTTTGGTGACCAGCCTTGGACACTTGAAACGAAAAGCTCCAAGACGCTCCAACGGACAGGACAGACTTGCCTTGTGATCGCAGACTAGAGTTTACGGTGTCGACACAGTATAAAGGATCTTGTTTTCCCTCGGTGTTTGCTTATTCAAGGACAGTGGTAATTGCAAAACAAAACGCACTGTATCATGTTCGTGTGTCAGTGGGGCGGACACCTGGCTGGTACCTGCCTTGCCCACTGACGGACCGCAATAGTGGACACCACCCTTTCTTTCCACATGCCCTTGCCCACTGTAAATCGTAGGGCAAGCGCGCTACAGCATCCCCCAGGACTCCTTCTAGATGCTGCCAACAGCACCCTCTCGCCTTTCGCCTGGCACTGTAGCCTTCGGGACCTGCCCCGCTTCTTGCCCCAGCGCCCGCTCACTGAGAACCCAATTTCCGCACTGTACGCTCAAATGCCACAGCGCCTGTCTCCGACTGCTACGCTGGCTGGCAATTGGCCCTCGTTAGATTGGATCCGCCACACCCAGCTACCAGGACGCCGCACAACCACCGGGTCTCGACTGGCATCCCCGATCTCCATTCGCGCAGGACGGCTACTTGACGACCATTTCCTCTCCTTGTCACATTCGCCGGCTCTGCCCCTTCTACCAAGATCGACACCAGCCATCGTTTCCTGCTCCGTTGACTCAGTGGCTGCTGATTTGCCATCACTGTCTCGAGCAGGCGTCGACGTCCCGCTTCGTCCCCCTGATTGAACCAGAACCAGAACCTCCAACCTCCCGGTTTGCTCTGAGCAGGACTCCCGACAGCCATTCTTAACTAGGTTGGCGTAGACAACGCACGAAACCATCCACTTCGACCAGACTAGTCTGACAATTCGCCGCATACCTCTACCGTTGCATTCTCAATAGGCCATCCTCCCCGACAGCCTCTCCAACGATCGAGCTCATATCGCCATCTGGTCACATGGTCTAACAAAAACTGCAAAGACTGACCATCGCATTTCTCATAACATTGTATCAAAGCTATTCTGAAAACAACCCGTCGAGCACTCGCATAGCTCCCCTAGTGAGCCATCTAGTCGAACCGGCCGTCAACGATCCGGACGCTGCTTGGCGAGCCCTCGTACTTGGCGGCATCAGTACGCCTTCACGGCATCCATCAAGACTCAAGAATTGTGCCCCTTCATGGACGCCACGACATCTACTCCCGAATCAAAACATCCTTATTCACCCAAAGCCTGGCCACCTGCAACTGGTGCTGCATCGAATAGCAAGCCCCCGCAGCAGAACAAGCACCAAGACCAGCAACCGACATCACCCACCGTCCCCTTCCCGACGCACCTGGATTTTCTCCCTTTATGGTTTCCACAGCAGTCCAACATCTTCCAAGCCCAACTGCTACACTACAACACTCTCATATCGCCGACCAGGGGCGGTGGGTTGCAGGCAGCGCCGTTGCCACCCGTCGTGTCCGCTTCAAACGCCCAGGCTTCGCCACGCTCAAGAACATCGAGTAAGGCTGCGCAGCGAGACACAACATCAAGCGGCAAGGGAAATACAACAGGAGGAAATGGTAGTCGATCACGCCAGAACTCTGACAAGAACCGAACCGGTATGACGAATAAAGAGACTTCCGCCAAGATGCCGCCACCGCCGGCACCAAAGACGGTCGCCGATTCGACAAAGCCTACGCCGCTCCGACAGCCAACAATATCTTCCTCTCCCAAAAACCAATCCTATGCCAGCTCCGTTCCATCAACACCGCACCAACACGCAAGGAAATTTTCGTTCGAATCTCGAGACCCCTCTCCAAACGCTGCCACGAACCATTCTCCCCGGTCGGTCTACTCAGAAACAAACAGCGCTTTGCCATCATTACGACCCTTACCACCGAGATTAGGAGGATGTAAATATGAAACGGCACAAATCAATTCTCGTAGGAGAATACCTTACTCGGTCGGAAGCGACCGATTAGAGAAACTTGATTTGCGGACCGTAAAGAATAAATTATCTGCCAAGGACGAAGACAAGCTTGGCAAGGAAATGCGTGACATTTACAACAAGCTGTTACCAACAGATGAAATTGAGAACAATCGAAAAGCTTTGGTAGAGAAGCTGGAAAAGATATTCAACGACGAGTGGCCTGGCCACGATATCAAGGTTCATCTGTTTGGTTCATCAGGCAACTTGCTTTGCTCAGATGACTCTGATGGTTAGTTTTTATCCCCCCAATACTCTACCCCAACCCCATTGCAAAGCTAACATTTGGTAGTTGATATATGTATAACCACCCCCTGGCAGGAGCTGGAGGGTGTCTGTATGATCGCCGATTTATTAGCACGACGTAAGTATACAGCTATGGTTACCAAGCGACCGATATGCTAACATAAGCTAGGTGGTATGGAAAAGGTTGTTTGTATCTCTGCTGCCAAGGTACCTATTGTCAAGATGTGGGATCCAGAGTTGAGTCTTGCATGCGATATGAACGTCAACAACACTTTAGCTCTGGAAAACACTCGAATGGTCCGAACATATGTCGAGGCAGATCCTCGCGTGAGACAACTGGCGATGACGATCAAGCATTGGACAAAGCGTCGTATCGTGAACGATGCCGGTAAGTATAATACGTTTTAAACCCACTCTGAGTGAGATGCGCTAACGATTGGTCAGCTTTCGGAGGCACATTGAGCTCATATACTTGGATCTGCTTGATTGTTGCGTTTCTTCAGCTTCGAAGCCCCCCAGTCCTCCCAGCCCTGCATCAACTACCTTACAAAATTCCCAAAGCGGATGGTACAGTTGGTGATTTTGCAGACAATCTGAAAAAGATTGAGGGATACGGTGCCAAGAATAAGTCATCAGAGGCTGATTTGCTGTTCCAATTCTTTCGTTTCTATGCCCACGAATTTGACTACGATAAGCACGTGTTGTCAGTTCGTGGGGGTAAGCTAATGACTAAAGCAGAAAAAAAATGGAACTATGCTCTGAACAACCAGCTTTGCGTGGAAGAGCCTTTCAACGTTTCGAGGAATCTGGGTAATACGGCCGACGAATACTCGTTCCGCGGCCTTCATCTCGAACTGCGCCGGGCGTTTGATTTGATATCCCAAGCGAAGCTGGAGGAAGCATGTGAACAGTTTGTCTTCCCCAAGGAAGAAGAGCGTGTATGGTCTCGCCCCGCACCTCAACCACGACCAGTGTTATTAAGGAGCTCGTCTCAATCGCATTCAGGCCGAGGAGGGCGTGGTAATCACCGTGGCGGGCGTCACAACAACAACTACCGTGGAGGCGGAAACGGTGGTGGCAACGGCAACTCGAATCGACGATCCTCATCGAGTGTGCCTGCCTACGACGCCAACATGTTTATGCAACCCGTCAACATGGCACAAGATATGATGTGGTACCAATCGCCTCAAATCCAATTCCAATACGCACAACAAGATCTTATGACGCAGATGGCATATCAAGAGAGCCTCCGTCAATTTTATGCACAATCTCCAGCGTTTGCAATGCATCAGAACGTGGGACAACAGAGGGTGTCGACAAGCTCTAGTTCTGGTCAGCAGTCAACAGATCGATCAAGGACAAACTCGTTCGATACCGCGCCTACCTCAGCCCCTCTGCGCCCTGATCTATATGCAGTTTATAGCATGAGCCTTGGTCACGGCTTTTATCCTCCGAGCAATACAGGCTACGGAACCTACCCCTCGTCACCTATTGCTGGCGCTGGGTCTAGCCAAGACTTCCGTCGGTCGCTACAGAGGTCAGGTGCAGGTTCGGATGCTGGCGGTCAGACACCCAGCAGCTCAATGCGATCCCAGTCACAGCCAGCCTCTAGATCCGTGTCTGCAGCACAGCTACCTGGAATGTACCCGCTTGGTATTCAACAAGTCCAACCGCCATTCCTAGTAAATAAGAGCTCGAATGGCACACATATACCCAGCTTCATATCTGACGATATGGATTTCGATGAGACGCCGAAGGCAAGTGCTGACTCACCTGCATCGGAGGATAATAAGTCTCAAAGCTTCTTCCCCCCACGCAGCGCAAGCCCTGTTAAATCAAGCAACACAGGCGTAGCCGCATCGGGTAACATTGCGTTTGGTGATATTACCAGTCACGCCACCAATACTTCGTCATCAGGACGCCCACTTGGCGAGCAGACCTCCCAGGCTACGCTTGATAAACGGACGAGAAAGTCGTCTCGGTCTCCTTCACCTTTGGGCCACAGCCGTGCATTTTCTGTAGGCACAGCATCGGCACCACTGCCTTCAGCGCCATTCAGCGGGAGTCAAAGCCGAACAATGAACCGACCATTGGTTGTGAATGGCTCCGGATTGAAGCCAGCGGTCACCAGTGAGAATTCTAATGTTCATACCACTGAGACTTTTACTTCCCACGAAGCTTCTCTCCCTATGATGATGAATGGGCTGAATATTCAGACTCCCTATTTCACTCAGAAGCCCCAAGCTACTGTCAATGGAAGCCAAGACACAGCCAAGTCAGATGTGCAAGCTAAAGGACAACGTAACGGCAGCCATCCTGCACCTGTGCCAGGTCCCAGAACTGGCCCACGCCCTGTTACAGAGGACGCATCTTTCCGCGATCGTATCGCTATGATGAATGCGCCGTACTATGCTACTGTGGCAGGACAGAGACACGACTCATCTAACGGAGAGAAACCGCCACAGCTATCAACTCAGCAGCGTCTTGCGAATAGACAGCAACAGGGCGGCATAATCGCCCCTCTAGATCTTGCTGGGACAGAAAGCAAACCCAAAGGGTTGGATATGGCCCATCTCTCTCCTGTGCTTGAAACACGGACACCATCACCGGCAAAGAATAGAAGTGCGGTTGAAAGTTTCAAGTTGAACGGCAAGAAACTCGGGGACCGACGCGACGAAACCAAGACCGACGGCCACCAGCTCCCTAAAGCTCAAAAAGGCCAGACTAGTGGTTCACCATTCAGTACAACTCCACGAGGCAACGGCCACATCCGTGCAGCCAAGAGCGAGGGCGATGGTGGATGGCAGAAAGCCGGCAAAGGGAAAAAGAAGAGCCAGGTCCAACCAGCCCTGGCCGAACAACCGCCAAAATATGGATCAGAACGCAAAGGCGGGTAATGGCGAGAGGAAACGACGATATCTTGGATAGGCGATCTGTCCCCATCTGCAGTGAAAGGTAGGCGCCGCGTCAAAAGTGCGCTCATACACTGAGAAGCGGGAGTATGGGAAACCAAAAAAAATGTGGGAAACTTGAAAGATCTTTACGATGTGACAGACAACCGGGGGAAGAATTAGAAACGGCGGACTCTCAAAGACACGGTTCATGTCGGTATATGGCGGTCTACTCTTTGTTCTTTTTTGTTTTATTTTTTCATTTCGACTATTTTCAGGGCCTTTGGGGTTTTTCGGCGTTTGAAATATTACAGCAGAGAGCATAGTCACTCAGAAGGATCCCAAGATCGGGTTGACAGCATATAGCGCTTTTGTCGGATGTAGCATGTAGATACAAATACTAAGCATTTATTTATTTACTCTATTTTTTCAATTGAATTGTGAATCATATTGGTGAGTATATCGTGCGCCTATAGTAATAGCCATTGCTCGGACGAGAGCAGTTAGTTACATTGGCTGGCCAGGGACTCATTAACGGCATCAAATGCTGCATACGACGCTGGTGTGGTTGCCCAAGTTGAGCAGCTGTGGGGTAAACTTGGAGGAGCTGCTCGCACAATGCGGAGCGGACCGCTAAATTTAGGGATCCAGCAGTGCGGGCAGTGGCCGCATGCTACAGTGCAACGGAAACTGGCCGTGGGGGCAAAGGCAAGGGCTTGTTGGGTGCAGAGGGATATCACCTTGCAGACCTTGCAGAAGAAGGCTAGCTATTGGTCCTGCAGCTGTGATGGAAGCGAGGTACCGGTTTTGTGTCTATAGTACTAACTTAGTGTGCATGTATGTGAGTAGTGGTAGTGTTGCAACGCTGCACATGGGCACGTGGACGTCTGAAGAAGGGCAACCAAAGGAGGGGAGAAAGGCAGCCCTGTCTGAATGCTGAGGTGTGGAGAGACTGAGACTTTACATTTTGAGACAACTGTGCTGCCAGCCTCTTTTCTTTTACTTCCCGTGAGACCGGGGGGTTTAGGCCGGGAGGGCGTTTTCTTGCAGTAGATTTCGGATTGGATGCATCGACATGGCGCTGGTTGCCAGCACGGACAGGGCCGATTAGTAGGGGAGGGGGCTTGATGATGGTTGGCTCGGAGCAGACGACGATGAGGCTGCAGGAAAGAAGAGGGGCGGCTTGCAGCAGGAAAAGCAGTAGCGATACTGTGATTATAATGTTTGTTTGTATTTGGTGTATGAAATTGGGAAGAAGGGTTGATTTGTAAACGGCGAGTGTAGTTGCCAGGTGCCATAAAACAGCTGCCATAGAACTGCCAGACTGTCCGCCAGCCGGCGGTATTTCTTTCTCTCCTCCTCCATCATCATCATCATCATCATCATCATCATTAGAGTCATAATCATAATCGTAACCATCACTCAAACTATCGACACCCAACAAACAACCCGTCTAAAACACCAGCCTCCCCCTCCTTCCCCTCCGCAGCTCTCTCGTCTTCTCACCAATCACCTTTTGCGAGCCGTGCCGTTCCCCTCGGAGATGGTCTAGGCCTTGTCCCCTTCGACATCGCGGTAGGGGGCAATCCCGCTAAACAAAGTCTCTGCACAGGCGTGGGCCAGGGACCCCACCCGGCTGGCTCTCCCCGCAATCTAGTCTCCGCTGCATTTCACAAGCTGAAAGCCTGCGGTGCATCGTCCGACGCAAGCCAACCCGGCGACAGCGAATCGGGCCTGTTGACGAAGAAAATTTTCAAGCTGCTTCAGGATTCGTCATGGCTTTCACTCGATAGCTTTTACCCATCTGTTATCTGCGCTGCTATAGCTTGTCTCTTCTGCCTGAAGTCTGCACACCGAAACATCCTTCAATCTCGGCCTCGCCGTCTGCACCTCTATCTTTCGTCGCTTGCGTGCTTCAAACTGAACTGGTTGGAGGGTTTCCGTCCTGAGTCTCTTTTCAACGCCTTGCCGATCCTCCTGCCAGCAAAGCGCTAAAAACAGCACCCATCGTTTTGCTGCTCGCCAGCTACGCTACCAACGGCTAGCGCAGCTCACACAGCGCACATCTTCACTAGCGAACCCCCCCCCCCGCTCTACGAGCAGCCCCAGCCCAGCCGCAACCTAAATTGCTGCTCATCCCCCACGCCTGGTCCTTGCTCGTGGTCACTACATGCGACGACCAGAAAAGTTAATTCAAGTCGAAACAGCTTATCAGAGCGTTTGATAACTCCTATATCTTGTTTTACCCCTTCAGCGCTTTGTATGTGTGCATGAGCGCACGCCAGATTTGAAACCCTGGGGCTTAGGCTGGCGCCGTTCGCACCACCAAGACCTTTTCCCTTTGCCACCGCTTGGCAATCAACACAGACGACTCGACTGCGCTCATCTCGGTGCGCCTTTTCTACTCTACAACAAACTATCGATTTTCCCCGACGGATCGGCCATGTTACTGCTTTTTACCCGCTCCATACCATCGAGTTCAGCTGCTAGCCGCTATGGAATGACGTCGATCTCTCGATAGACGATAACGCACATATACGGCCACGACATAACAAAAGCCCGGCCAATCACCATGGATGTTGTAAACGGTGATAGCGGTGGCTCGTCGCATGGGTCGAGCTCCAAAAGCTGGTTCAGGGCACTACGAAAACGGCCAAGCCGGAAGTTTCGAGACGACCAGTCTTGGAACGTACGTTATCTGCGGTCGACTTTGATCACCCTCAGCTAACTGTTCGTCTACAGCATAGATCAAGCCCAGCCTCGAACGATAATACCTTCCATGAGCTCCCCGCTCTCAACACCGTCGACTCCCGCGCATATTCCGACCATGGCGACTCCAGCGCTCGACAGCTCTACCAGCTTGTGCAGAAGATACGATCCGCTCCCTCCGGACCTAGCAACGTCGACGCCGCTTATAAAGAAGCCTCAAAGCACTTTGAAAAAGCTGCTGCCTTGTGTGTAGCGGTTCTATCAGAGGAGCTTAAGCCCATGGCGCAAATCACAAGCACTGCGGATGGCCCTCCGAGAGATTCGTCAGCAGATCCTCCCAAGAGTCCTGCCGTTCTGCTTGACAGCCGTAGCTCGTTTAGCGGCCGCAGTCTTGGTGAGGCCATGTCAGGAAGCGGCGGTACACGCACTCTTCCGTTTGCCAGTGATACCTGGCTTTCACCGATTCGAGATTGGAAGACGTGCCTGGATTCGCTGTCCGACGCATTCCGTACTAGCCTTGCTGAAACGTACAAGAGCTACGAAAGAGATGCCACACCGGAAATGATTGAGAGTCTTTTCACGAGCAAAAAGTTTCGCCGCGAAGCTGTCCATAGAATGCGCAACGCCAGCGTTACCCGAGTGCTCTCGGCTGATCCCCAATTTGTAAGCCATCCAATCTCCATTCAATGGTTAAATCACGTCTAACATATATCGTAGTTTCCCAGATATGAAATCCGATTCAGAAATTACGAGAAACTACGAACCGAACTCGGAAATGTTCGTCAAATATTACAAAAAGGTGAATCAGGCATCTCACCGAGCCGTACAATTGTAGAGTTTCCGATATCCCCCCGAGGAGATGCGGTGCTCGAGTTTGCCAATTTAAATCCAGATGGAACAAGCGAAGACCCTGTCCTTCGATTCCGAATCTCTCCCCATGTTCTGGCAGAAACATCACCAATCTTTGCTCGCATGTTCTCTGGTCATGGATACAGTCTGCATCACCACGACGCTGAGGACATTACACCACACCTCCCAGCACCACCGACTAAATTCTACTGCGCTGATGGCTCGGAAGTCTGGCTCTATAGGATGCCTCAGTACGAATCTAATCAGTATCAAGCGATGGAGATTATGATGCATGCAGCACATATGCATAATGCGCATGTACCGCGAGATGTCTCGTTCGAGCAATTTGTTGCTATTGCAGAATGCTCAATAAAGTATAAGACTACCTCACCGCTTGAGCTTATAGTTGAGCACCGCTGGTTGCCGCAATGGATGCATAAAGGTGCTGATGATATGCCAGATGGTTTGCTCATTATTAGCTACGCGTTTGGCTCTAGGGGCCTCTTTACTCGCATGTCCAAGAGTGCTGTCTTGAACTTGAAGGACGAAAACGACTTGAACAGCAAACCATGGCCCCAAAAGATTAAAGACAAAGTCTGGGCTGTTAGAAATGCAAAGGTAGCGCAGCTGTACGAATGCTGTACGGCCACGCTACAAGAATATCTACAGCCCCCAACTTGCGAACCCGTCGTGGAGCCCGAATTTGATGCTACAGCGGGTTCGAGGAGTGGGCTTTATGGGCCGTCGACTACACCAAGGACAACGATGCCAATCACTACAACGCCCCGTTGCCCAAAAGGGAGTCATTGGTGCGATGCCGCTAATCTTGGATGGCTGATGCTGGTCTTTAACAATATGGGAGTCACTTCATCGATTTTGCACTCCAATGCACTGGCTTCAAACCCTCACCCACCGTTTCGATCAAAGAGTCTTGTTCAGATAGTTGACATGCTTCGGTCTATTCCGTCTCCGACGACACCAGTTCATCGCGGCGGTGTTTGCGACCCGATCCCTTCCTTTAGGACATTGGTTGCTGATATTTACAACACTGTAAACGGTCTCACCCTGCGTGATGTCAGTGGCAAGAGCCACGGCTGGGCCCTATCAAAGAACTTGACGTCGGAACCCCAAATCGACGAGGCTACGCGGCTTGACCGTATGGCGGCTGCTAATGACAACTACACTGTGGCAACAGAGTTTCCAGAGAAGGTCCTGCTGCAGATCCTTGGCGAAATTGCAAGCTTGGGAGACTTGCATGCAACTGCACGTGTCAATCGAGCCTTTTACGAGACTTACAAGACTCATGAACTGCATCTGATGAAGAACATATTGCGAGTAGGCAGAGTCCGCAGCGGATCACAAGTTCCCCTGCTGCCGAAAAGTTCAAGCAACGCGGAAGACAAGAGTCTCAGCTCTGAGGTGCAGCAGCTGGCGGACAGAAGCCCAGAGCGCCGAAGAGGTTCCACAGCTGCCCGCAGCGACCAAGACGACAGCGACGACTCTAGCACAGACGATGATTCTAGTGACGATGAGCTTCACATTGATACGACTGGTTTGGATGCTGATACTCAGCAACCGCCAGAGTACCAGACAGTCAACAGCTCTCCTGTCAGATCTATTCCTACGCGCCAGATATCCATACGATCCTCGTCTACTGCTACCGAAGAGGACGCTTCTGATGCCGAGGTCTCAAGCCGAGGTCGTGGACAGGTCCGATTCCATCCTCTAGAAACTTCACACTATGTAGAGGAGGAGGAGCCAATGACTGAAGAAGAGGCCGCTCGTATACTTTGGCCTGACTCTTACGACCAGCCCACGCTGACGCCAAACACACCAACATCTGTTCCTGAGGGCCTCCGCGAGAAATTTCGAGTTAATGATCAGTCTTTTTCAGAAGGCTCTGAGAACAAAACTCTACTCACAAGCGAAAGCCGAGAACTCCGCCAGCAAGCGATGATGCCAGGAAAGAAACTAGTGTCTGCTGGGCCGAGCAACAGTCGCTCCTAGTGGAGCAGCAGCACATATATCCTCTGTACCTATATATTGGTCTTTACTACCTTGACATGGTTTATTAAATTCATCGATGCCACCGCATATACCCCCATTGCTATATCTGTTTACGAAGAAGGGCTGTGGACGCTTCCAAGTCTGTCAGACTACTTTTGAGCACCTCACAGTTACTTTATGATGAAGGTGCATATACTTTGCTTCTTTTATTTTCATGTTTTCTATATTTTGGCATAGTCTAGCGAATAGTTTTCAAAACAGTGCATCCGATGTGGAATATACATTCTTTATTCAAAATGAACATTATGCTGTGCGGCCGTGATTTTGTGTCGTTTACTTGGAGGCAGAGGGGAACAGACGCTGTCTCATCTGTCCAAGAAGACTCGAAGCGGGGGCAGGGGTGCTACCGTTACGTGGACCATCGCCGCTTTCAACATCCCCACGAGCGTTGCGAGCCTCGTTGATGGCTCTGAGTTTGGCCGTTCCGAGGCCAGCAAAGCCCTGTTCCTGGTTCTCGCCGAGCCAAGGCTTCTTTGAGTCACCAAGGAAGCTACCAAAGAGCGAGTAGAGGAGAATACCAATAATGATCATAACAAAGGCAGCCGGGTAGCGAGTAGTGTCCATGCTCTTGTGGAACACATATACACCAATGACGGCGATCCAGAAGTTGGCAGTCAGGAGTGAGATGTCGAAGAATGCGGCACTGCCCATACGCAGCATCAGCGGAGCCAAGGAATAGAAGAGGGTCAAGCAGATAGTGTAGCCTGTTAGCCAGCCACCAACCTGGCTATTCCAAGTAGCCTCTTGGAACGACTCGCGGTCGAAGATGGCGGCCTGGACACCGTTGATGATCATTCCGAAGCCGCCAATAAAGGTCAGCACATGGTACATGCTTGCCCTGGAGACGAGGAACTCCTCCAAGACGTTGCTGGTTCCGTAGAGAGTAGCACCGAGCAGGGCAAAGAGATCGCCGCGGAGCTTGTTTCTGGGGCCAGGGTCGTTGGGGTCGGCGGGTGTCTCGTGGCTGGTGATGTAGTCGGATGCGATGAGCAGGCCCATGCCGCCGCAGCAAACCAGGATGCCGAAGATCTGGACCCATCGGTAGCGAACCTTGAGGAAGACGAAGGAGATGATGACGACGCAAACGATGGACCAGAAGTTGATGAGCTGCGTAGAGAGAAGGTCAGTGTCGGCAAAGGCGCGGACGGTGAAGTAGTTGCCCTCGACGTCTAGGAACGACATAATCAGGTATCGCCACCAGTCCTTGCGGAGGGCTCGCCAGAATCCAGCGAAACCCTCGCGCGTAATGAAGACGGTGAAGTAGATGATGAAGATCAAAATGTAGTTGAAGACGGTCTGGAAGGCAGGGACGTTGTTGCCAGCGTCGGCGAGGTACGTGGTGAACGTGGTGGTTGCCGTGATGCAGAGCGACAGGACTTGGCCGAGGACGACGAGGATCCAAAAGTTGACGTCCTTGAGGCAGTCGTACCAGTGCGTAGACTTGGCCTCGAGGATATGAATGCCGCGGGAGACTTCGTCCTCAGTCGCCTCTGAGGAGTCGTTGCGGTCCAGGCTGTTTACGTAGACGGGTGTCTTTGCGTCGGCAGCACCAGCAGCAGCATGCGGCTGTTGGTGCTGGTCGTCAACCACGGGGGTTGCAGAAGCGTCGTGCGTCATGGTTTCTTGTTCCAAGTCGTCGACTTCTTCGCTGGGAACACGGGCGTATCCGGATGGTCGCAAAAAGTTGGTGATGTGCGCGACAGAGGCGGCGAGGGTCATGCAACTATCTTTGGCCCATGTTAGTGGCATTCTGGGCGCAGGAAGCATGAGAAAGAAGAAGAAGAAAAACTTACAATGCAAGGCTTGGGCAGAAAAGCACAGAAGACACTGTCTCAGCCGTGGGATCGCGCTAATGCAAGAAGAGGGAGCTGTCGCCACAACTTGGGACGGCAGGTTTGATTGATGGGGGTTGGGTTGTGTTTACACAGTAACTGGCAAGTCTTTCTTCGTCTCCGAATTAGATAGCAGCAAGCGCAAAGACTTTCAAGTCGCTTGCTGGGGTTCCTATGGGAAGCCGGGGCACATGCGGCGATGCGCAGGTGCAGTGGTGGTGAGGGGGTTGGCGGCGCTGGCGAGAGAGGCGTGCATGAATGGGGTTTTGTTTTGGACGCAGAAGAGAGAAAAGAAAAAGAAAAAGAAGCAGCGGATGGCGGCGTCTCTTTGAATTTCTCAATGCAAAGCTGGTGTTGTTGCGAGAATTAGAAAAAATATGCTTGCAGCGAGTCGTTGGTTGTTGGTTAGCGCCTTCACAAAGGGAAAAAAAAAATGAAATGGGGTGCTGGCAGCTTTGGGACGGCGGGGCCGAAGACAGACGCAGGGGGGCTGTCGAACGGTTTTCGGGGGACTAGAACCTCCACCGAAGCCCTGTAAGTGGGTAAATGGAACAAGTCAGGGTTGGAGAAATTGGGCATCCATGCTGTGAGCATATTGACTGTACTGAGAGAACAGAGAAGAGTTGCTGTATAACAATCTATTAGGTTCCTTCGTATGTGCATTTCCTTTCTCGCATTTTTCTACTATACAGAAATCAACCCAAACCCGCCCCAAAGAAGAGAAAGAAAAACACCAGCGCCAACCTCCAAGAGTTTCTGGGACTTGCGTCGTCCACTTCTTTTTTCATCATATCCTCATTTCGTTACCAGTCATGCCTGCTACAAAATTCAGCCGCCAGTAGCCTGACGTGCCAACGTGCATTCACGCACGCACGCCTCTTGTGCTGCTGGGCAGGGCGAATACCGCAGCGTTGCGTCGTGCCCCGATTCGTCACTCTTAGTCCTCAGCCCTGGCGAATGTCGGCTATCGCTGCTCGAATCGTCCTCGTAATCATGGCATTTGTCGAGCTGACCGCTCCGCTACCCGGCGGCGGTACTGGCACCTAGTTAGCAGACACGAAGAAAAGACGTACGCAGCTACATTCTCTGCCTTTGGCTGGCTTACCCATTGGTGTGTTGCTCTTGGTATCTTGGGTGACTTCTGTGCTGGTGGGCGGCACCTCTCTGTCCGGTACCACACTTAATTCTTTGGCCAGCAAGTCAAAGCAGTGATCTGAGCCTGCGTGATTTGCAGGCGGGGCGAGACTCTGAGGGTTGGTGGTGTTTTTTTTGTTATCTGTAGACAGGCAAAAACGGCCCGTGTTAAAAATCTAGTTGCGCTGGGGGAGCGTGAACGGCGGAAGACACCTACTCGGACGAGATGACATTGCATTATGTGTCGGCCGAATCGCCCAGAACATCCCTAACAGATCGTCTTGCTGCTGTCCCTGCTGCGGAAAATTCATCGGCTCTACTGTGCTGCGTTATCTCTGGAACAGAATTGGTCCTTGGCATATTAGGGGAGGATAGTCGACTAGTTTTAAGCTCCGGGGCTGGTCGTTGGTAATCCACCATGACACTCCTCCATTTACAGCATCCTCCACCCTGCGCAGCTTCAGCCGCAGCATCATCGCGCCCTCCACCCGTTCCCTGTAAATCTGACCAAGCCAGCGTTATGTCCAGCTCGGTGGGGTCGACACACGCGTGCACCGTATTTCGTTCCGCCCTTTTTCGACCACGACACCTGGGGCCCTGCGCCGCCTCTGACGATACCATGTTAACGCGTCCGCATGGAACACTTGCCTTGTAACCCCACGAGGTGGCGTCCAAAACGAATACTTAGGACGGACCAGTCGGGCCATAGATGATACCCGATGAATGCGATGAATGCGAAGCATACGAATCCTTTCCCATTGGTAACCAGTATCTCGGAGCAAACTAGTTCGAGATCGCCATGGCTGCTGAACAACGCCCTCGGTTTTCTTTGCCGGCAGAGCGGTAAATCATTCAACAGCCGTAAGACATGGTTGGCTCTTGCATATCTCTGCCTCGGCAAGTAGGACATGCCTACGGTAGAGAAAAGCAAAAAGACTTTGACGTGGGAATAAGCACTGGCGAAAGTTCATCCGATTGGCATTAGGCTAGCGCTACTAGCTGATGAGCTGAAAAGAGGGGGCCAACAACTACCGCCCGGGGCCCGATTAGGACAAATAGTTGTAGGCGAGCAGGGTGTTCCTGCATGACAGCCTCAGTGGGAGGGCTAACTGGGGCCGCCAACGCTAATATAGTGTTCAATAAGTAGTCTCGTGATTTATATTGCATGTTTCTCGGAATAAGCTTCATTTCTTGCCAGCTGCACGCCAGTTGGCGACTGTTGCTCAATAGCTGGCACACCTGCCTGTAGGCAAATGCCTTCTACCGCTGGAGCTCCTCACGCACCTGTCGGCGGTCTGTGGTGCTGCCCTTGAAGCGCTGCTGCAGTGAACCAGCGTCCCCACAGGCAGCGTTGCTCTGCGTGCACCCGTCAGGCGACCGACCAGTCACTGGACACAAGTGACTAACCGCCGGATCACACCTTGAGAGATTCCACCGCGTCTCGGCAACTTTCCTTCACCACCACCGACCGAGCCCAAAGACACACGGTTTAACTCAGTGTTTTGGAACTCAAATTTTGGGCTGCAAAAATGATGACCGCTTCTCTTCCAGCGCTGCTCGCTACTCTGTGGGCAGCAGCTGCTAAAGCGTCTCAGCCTGGAGCTGTACCGCCAGTTGCCGCGCCGCTACGAGACCTGACTTGGGGACAGCTCAACTTCCTCCATTCTACCGATACACATGGCTGGCTAGGTGGTCATTTGTTAGAGTAAGTCTCCCAAGATCTTCCGTGATAGCGCTAATACTGACACCTTTACAGAGCGCAATACTCAGCCGACTGGGGAGACTACATCTCGTTTGCCGAGCACCTGCGAGCCCGAGCCGACAAAGAAGGAGTCGATCTACTCCTAGTTGACACAGGCGATCGAATCGAAGGAAACGGTCTTTACGACTCGTCGACTCCCAAGGGCCTCTTCTATTATGATATTTACCGCGAGCAGAGCGTCGACATCATCACTATTGGCAACCACGAGCTCTACCAGTCCTATGCTGCTGATCGTGAACTAAACACCACGGTTCCCAACTACAAGTCCAAGTACATCGCTTCGAATCTCGATGTTATCGACCGAAATACTGGCGAGCGCGTCCCACTAGCGCAACGTTACCGAAAGTTTACGACCAAGAACCAAGGAATCGAGATTGTCGCTTTTGGCTTCCTCTTCGACTTTACCGGCAACGCCAACAATTCGTTTGTCCAGAAGGCAGAGGATACCGTCAAGGAGGCTTGGTTCCAAGAAGCCATACGCGAGAACCCAGACGTATTCGTGGTTGCTGGCCACGTTGGCGTCCGCATGCCAGAATACAAAACCATCTTCAACGCCATCCGCAAACAGAACCCAAGCACGCCCATCGTTTTCTTTGGCGGCCACGTCCATGTTCGCGATGCAACTCAATATGACTCCAGATCGTTTGCTATGGCATCTGGGCGCTATTTCGAAACGCTTGGTTGGATGTCTGTCGACGGCATCAAGGGTGCCGCACAAGGCTTCTTTTCTTCATTGCCAAAGTTCACCCGCAAATATATCGATACCAACCTGTATGGCATGCATTACCACAGCGGTACAAACGAGACAACCTTTCCCACTGCACTTGGCACCCGTGTCAGTGCCATGATTGCTAGGGCTAGAAAAGCGCTTGATCTCGACTACCAATTTGGCTGTGCCCCAAAGAACTTGTGGACCAGCCGTGTGAGCTACCCAGACAAGGACAGTATTTTCTCATGGCTTCAGGATGAGGTCTTCCCCGAAACTGTCATCAACAAAGACCGCCACGAGAAGCCACGCCTCGTCATTATGAACACTGGTGGTGTGCGCTTCGATGTGTTCAAGGGTCCCTTTACTCGCGACAGCACATATCTCATCAGCCCGTTTACCAGCGGCTTCAAATATGTTCCAGATGTACCATACAGTATTGCCAAGAAGGTGCTGCCTCTCCTAAACAGTGCTGGCAAGATCTTTTCGTCCGACGCTCTCGATACTAGCCAACTTGCCATCCCGGAGCACCACTTCGCAGCATTTGCGACGCAGGATAAGCAGGCCGAGGCCGAGCTGGAGCTTCGCAGCCTCCATGGTGATCGTTCTAGCCGCGGCGATATTCCGCTCACCAGCGGATACACTACCAGAGATGATCTAGGTAACGATGGTGATGACACTATTCATGAGCCCATCAAATTCTTCAGCGTGCCCAATTGCGTCCAATCGGAAATCGCATTCCCAGAGGGTGAAGAGCCCACGACTGTCGACCTCGTCTTTATTGACTTCATCCAGCCGTGGATCATTCCTGCTCTTCAATTATCTGGCGGCCACTTTACCAATGATGACATCAAAGTCTATATGGAGGGTACAATGGCGTCCAAGATGGCGGAATGGATCAGCAAGAACTGGCAGGAACATTGTTAGATTAGCCACAGTCTTTTGGATATTTAGAATCACATATATATAGAATCTAAGACAAATATAACCAATACTCCATCACACGTTCCGTAGTGTTTACTTGCTGCTCTTTTCCAATATAAATGCATTATGCTATATCAAGTAATTGCGCGTCTATCACATTACACACTTTTTTATTCTTAACAAAAATTCCGTTTTCTATACATCAACCGCTCTCCTTGTCCTCCCATTTGTTTTTAAAAGAAAATGACGTTCAAATGAAAGCCTCCCAGGTTCTCTTAATCTGCTTGCTTCGCACCATAGGGCCAAGGCACACTACACCAACAAAGAGTGCAATAACGGTGGCAGTTACTGTCAGCTTGCTGAATCCCTTGCCAAGAGTATCAAAGGGTCCGCTGGGGACAATGCGGGTGCCAAAGATATCGATGCCAAATGCAACAAACAGACTGGTGCTTTCGACGACCGCCGGGGTCGATGCAAAGCCAATAACGCCAATAACTTCACGCTCGTGGCTGACGAAAGCGCGCGAGTCGAGCTCGATGGCCGGCGAGTATCTGGGCAGACCCTCGGCCTCCATTTCCGCGGCAGAAGGATCACGGCCAATAGCACGGCGAGGATCGATCCACAAGCGAGGGAGCGAGAGGATGGAGTTGGCCTCTGGCAGGTAAGCCAGAAGGTTCTTGCTAGAGATGCCCTGGCGAGTCTGTGTGGACGCCAGTTGACCCAACGGCTGCGATATGACGAAAGACTGGGAAATGGCGTGTGGCAGGGGAGGCTGTGTGGGGTGGTCAACGGGCTCGAGGGATGATGCCTTGTCGTCATCCTCAAGAGGGCCACGGTCGTTGGGGTTCGGCGACTCGTAGAGGTCAGTGCTGACCACCTGATAACCCTTGATGGACTGGTTCGAGCCGTCGTCGAGGAGGTAGTCGCCAAAGAAGGAGCACGCGTACCAGTTCTCGATGATCGTGCAAGAGATTTCCTTGTCGAGGTCGACTCCAGTGTATCTCTGCGAGACCAAAATCTGGCCGGAAACGGTGTCAATGAGCTGGATTGTAACAATAGAAGAGGCCTTCTCAGCAAGGACAATGACGGCGGTGTTGGGGTTCAGGTACTTGTAGCTGACGCGGCGATCACCAAGCACGCGGCCAATAGAGGCAATAGGCTGGAAGGCAGGAGGCGTGGCAACTTCGATAATCTCTTGGCCAAAGAGAGCCTTGACTTGCCAGATCTCTTGCTTCTCGATCTTCTTTCCATTTTGCACAAGCTTGATACCCTTGATGGTCTGGTCATCGCGGATAATGATGGTATCGTCGCCAAGAGAGCCACCGAGCTGTTCATCGGCGGGCAGACCATCAGGACCCAGGGCAAGAAGCCATGTACGTGAGTCCTCCGTAATAGTGGCGACGCTAGCAATGGGCTTTCCTGTAGCTTCGGCATGGATGATGCGGCCATCAGTAGAGCTGATGAGAACGGACTCGCCCTTGGAGCCTCGCATGAGGACGAGACCTTCATCGTCCTGAACAGTCAAACCCTTAACAACCAAGCTCTCGCCATCGGCCTGGGGGAGAACATGCTGAGACCAGACGATCTTGCCGTGGTTACCAGTGCTAAGACCGTAGAAGCGGCCGCGGCGGGTAACGACAACAATGATCTTGTTGAAACCAAAGCTATCAGGAATCAGAGCACCAGTGCTTCCAGAATCGGGGCTGATAATGGAGTTGACAATGTTGCCTGGGAGGGCAATAAGATACTCAGGAAGGTGCTTAAGATCAGCCAGGTGTCTGTTGACTCGGTGAATGTAAGCAGAAATCGGGTTGGTGTGTGCCTCTTCGGCCAAAACCTTGGCTAGGTTTTCAGCTTCGGGAAGTTCTGCCCAGACAGCTGCAACAGCACCGGTGAGGCCTTCATGTCTGGTCCAGTCACTCTGACCGTTGCGGATCAGCACCCAGTCCTCGTCCTGGGTAACAACGGCGGAGCGAACAGCAAATTCCTTGCCACCGGGCTTAGGAATGACCTCGGATGCGGAGCTGACAGACTTGAGGCCACCCTTGACGGTCAGTGGCCACTTGGCAAGGATTCCATGAGATTCGGAAGATACAATGGTAACTTCATCCTCCGAAATACGGGTGAAGTAGACGTTGGCGTTGTCGCTGCTGACTGAGAAGGCGCCGTGGCCGGCGAGATGAGGAAGCTCGTACGCCTTGGTAATCTGGCTCTTCTTCAGCTCGACGTGGAAGACCTCAGCCTTGTTTCCAGTCTTGGTAACGGCATGAACAAGGAAGTGCGGGGAGGTCTGGAGTTGGTGAGGAGCATGGACATGGACTTCGGTCGTGTCTGCGGGTAGCGCGAACTCCTGCTTGGACTTGGATCCAAGAACCTGGACATTGAGCTTTGTCTTATCGGCATTGGTCCATGCGACAACAGGCGCAGCTGAGTTGGCGCCAACAAACATGACATCCTTAGCATCCTGAACCTCATTCTTAGCTCCTACGGTCCACTGGTCAACTCGCAAGCCAGTTGCGGGGTTGAGGCTCGTGGTCTTGATGCTGTAGGATGAAGGCGATCCATGGAGACTGATGACGAAAATGCTCGCAATGTTGTTGGAAACCTGAAGAGCAACATCCTTGCTCGTCTCACGGAACTCCCACACCACAGTACCTTTGTCGCCATTGAGGCGGCGCAGGACGGTTGTGCCATCTTCGTCAAAGAGGGCGAGGACATCCTTCCTAGCACCCTCCATCAATTCAATTGTTTCAATATCTCTAGCCTCTCCCTCAAACTTGGTATGCCACACACTTCGACCGGTCATTGCGTCCCAGGCCGTAACTCGTCGACCGTGGGCAGCCACCAGCCAGTTCTGGCCCTCGGGGGCTCTGAGGAAGCTGGTGCTTTCTGTAACATCGTCCGAAATATGTTGGCGCCAAACTACTTCTCCATTGGAGGGATTAATGGCACCAATGACGCCAACATCGCTCAGAGTGTAAAGCAGACTGGCCTTGTCGTCTGGTCTGGGCCGGTGGAAGAAGGTGGTGTCGCTCTGGGGGATGCCAACCAACTTGTGGTGGAAGTCGATATCGCCGACCTCATCTTTGTAAATGGCGGCCGTGAGCGTCGACAGACCCAGCAGCAGCGAAGCGTAGATCTGGGACCGCATTTCGAAGCACGATTCGGAGGGGTGTGGTGCGTCCTAGGCTTGGATTGGCGCGATGCTGCGATAGAGGCAGCTTGGGTTGGTCTACGTATAGCTTTCCCCTACTAAGGTCCGCTTTGCTGCGGCGGAATTCTGCTTAGTCATGATTCCGCTGTAGGGTAGCGGTTTACAGCGACCAGAACGCAGCCGGATAGGAAGTGCGAGGTAATAATTCATATTGATTTTTGACGCACGTCTTTTATAATCGTCTAGTTTTAAGAACGCCTTTTCTCTTTTTTGTTTATTAATATCTCATTGTGGTGCAGCTCAGCGTGGACAAGTAAACGTTACGCGCAGCATCGTCGCTGAGGTGGCAGCCCGCCGTAGAGAGCTCTTACAACATCCTTCAAACTCACAAACGGGGGTGCCATACTAGTTTTGAATAGACTTTGCTTTATCACCATCTGAAATCACAGCGTACCCTGGCCAGCGGAGTGCAGATCACGAGGGCAACGGTCGCCATAGGCTAACACATCGCCAGAAACCTCAACTAAGACAGCGCGATGTGGCCCAAGATCTACCGTTCACGTCAGGCCGGCTGAAACGGCATCATATATCTCATCTGACGGTGGTAGGAGAGTCATCCCTGGCTTTCCGAAACAATGAACGGGTCATCCCTCAACCTGCCGAAGCCTAACAACCCTCCACCCAAGTAAACTTTCTTTGCGATCGCACTAAAACCGTTGGCGTGATTGGCCCGGACAAGCCCCCCGTGATGGACTTTTAGCTTTCGATGCAACCCTACGATCCGCCTCGCACGTGAACCCTGGTGCCTGTAAGTCATTGTCGCAGGCCAGCAGCGGTGCACGATGCCAACACGTCCAGCAACAAAAGGCACACAGGTCGCATTGTCAGGCAGCATAGCCCAAAAACTCTATTTAAGTTTTTTGCTCTCTAGAACCCCTGGAATAGTCGACAAAAATAGCGTCTTTTGACTCATCGGATGTCCATTTAACAACATGTTCATCGCCGCATGCTCTCGAATAAGACTTACACGATCTGACGAGGCCTACAAGTAAACTCATACACGCTAATCTCAAGAACAACATATCCCAAGCTTATACGCTATTCCATGCGCCAATGAAGATGTCAGAGGACAGCCTTTTAGACACAATCCACAAAACTCTCCTAGAAGGGTGGTCATCTACTCCGATACCAGCATTGTCACTCTCAGCTGGCGGTCTTCTTGCTCTGGCCGATCTGCACACTATTGCACAACGCACTGTCATCACAGGCGGATCTTCATGGTGGGATGCGCTTGTTCTAGCACCCGGCCTGCACTACCAACAAGCCGCGGATTCTCTCGACCGCGATGCGGCCCACGGCCATGCAAACAACCTGGGCCTTACAGCTTCAATCGAGACAAGTGACGGCAAGGAGCTCCAACGGCACACCATCAGCAATGCTGCGCTAGCTAGTTTTCTCAAGCGAATCTGGGCTAATGGCCCAAACGAAGGCACAGTTACTCTCAATGTCGGCGCTGCCAAGGAAGGCGAAGAGCTTTATGTTCTTGCTCGAAAGTTCGCCGCCATGATGAACCGACAGGTTAAAAGGCCCTTTCCCACAGATCAGCAAACACAACTGGATTGGCTCAGTCACGTTTTATACTTGATGAGCCCATTTCTCACTGTGTCATCGTCCACAGTGATGGCCCTGCTTGGCGACTGGTGGGGTGTCGCTTTCATCATGGCTTTAATGGCATCTCGTCTTATCAACATTTGGATCATAAAACAGCGATCAAGGCCGTTATCTATACCACCCAAGTCCGAGCCCTCGACTTCTTCTTCAGATTCAGATGAACCAAAGGCTGAAGACAACCCAACAGAATACCTAGTCGACCTCGGCAACGACCGCCGAGTAATTCTTCGTGGACTTGATGATGACCTCAAGGCGATGATGACTCAACCATTTCTACGAAACAAGACAAGCATGGATGGGTACCTTGAAGCGGCCGCAAAGCTCATTGTCTATTTGGTTGCATCTTGTAGCGGTAACCTAACACAATCTGGCGCAATGGTCCTGATGGGTCTGTTGCTTGCCAGCGCGGGCCTTCTCGGACTGAGCAATGCCCACATTCGCCGTTTACAAATGAACGGCCGTGTGGCTCTTCCAGATGCAAAGTCGCAGTCGTTATTAGACGAGGAAAGCGGTTGGAGAAACGGGTTCCCTGTTGAGAGCCTCCGCGCACGACGTTCCAGAACAGCTTGAGACCGACCACCTAGGACCTCTTGTGTTTGTGTTTGCGTTTGCTCTTGGGCGCAGGTGGCGTTTATTCTTATTTTGCTATCGTATTTGTCCAGTATAAAGCCAGGCGTTTAACAGTCATTTAAATTTTATGAAATTCGATTTATTTATACATGACGATTCTTGAGATACGACTCCCAAGATCAAAGATTTAACCGAGCCTCAAAAACTGACGCTTCACATAGCCCACTAATATAGTTAAGCCAGGGTTTCAAATAACAGATAAACACATACCCCATTCGCCATCCTGTTTAGAAATACACAACAGGTAGAACACCAAAAACGAGAACACCATATTTTGATAGCCCAGATCAAGCTTATTCCTTTGCCTCTTCCGTCTTTTCCTGACTCTCAGTAGCATCGGCCTTCACCGGCTCTTCAGCTGGCTCTGTTGTCGATGACGCTTCTGTCTTTTCCTTTTCTTCAGGTTCCTCGGGCTTGGGAGCTTCTTCCTCCTTTGCGACGGTGGGCGTAGCAGTTGGTGTAGCAGTTTCCGAGGTCAAGAGATCCGCGACAGAAACAGGTACTGAATGGGCGGGTTCGTCCTTGGCTTCGGGCTCGGGTGCAGGCTCAGGAACATCCTCTGTATCCTTCTTCTCCTCTGTCTCTTGAGGTACAACTGCATCGGCAGGGGGCTGCTCCTCGACTCCAGGGAGAGGAGCCGTCTTAGCTAGCTCGGCGACAGCTGCAGGGCTGGCTACCTGTGCCACTGTGCTGCCAGGTCCAGACGGATTACTAGGCTCGGGTTTGAGGTCCTCGGTCTGCGCTACGATAGTGGCAAGTGGGACTGGAGCTGGAGGTTTGGCATCGACATCCATGTCGGACGCTGGCGGCTTCTCCTCCTCAGCGACGGATGCAGGTGCCACTGGATCACCACCGCCGTTGACGGAGCCGGTGTCAACTTCGGATGGTGCACCGGACTCTGTACGGGGGAAGCCGACAGAGGCTGAATCCTCAGGCTTGATGGTATCCTCTGTCATAATGGTATCTTGATGCGACAGCACCTTGTCTTGTAATGCTGCCTCATCTTGCTGAGAGTCCTTTGCCTTGTCTTCTATGTCAGAACCTCGGTCTGCGCTGTCATCTGCCTTTGGCGTCGCAATGTTGCCAACCTGCTCTGGCGGTGGGGGGAGAAGCGCTTCCTCTTCAGATGCTTTAAGCGTTGGTACATCGCCCTCCGCGGCACGTTCTGATTCTTCGCCGACCATGGATGATGGTGGTTCGGCAATGTTGGAGTTGACTTCAGCAGCGTTAGATTCGGCAGTCGCTGGTGCGAGCGTTACGTTCTTGAGCGGGCTTCCTTCTGGCTTCGGCGAGCCTGTCGCAAGACCACCTAAAGGCGGTGCGATTGCTGTCGAAGGTGCTACAGCGTCTGATGCATCACCAGAGGCTGATGTGGTTGTTGGTACATCGCTCATGTTGACATCAGTTGTTGTGTCTCCGATATCCTGAGTTATCTCAACAGTACTGTTTTCTGGCAGCTCGGAGTCGTCGCCCTCGTCACCGTCATGGGCGTCATCGTCATCATCGTCGTCGTCATCATCGCCGTCGGCCATTTCGCTGTCTTGGTTCGCATTACCGTTGGATTCAACGTTTGGGGTCTGTGCTGGTTAGCTCGCCTGATTATTACTACTCCAGTAGAGACACTCACCTCATTGCCAGTTGGCTGCGCCTGAGCGGCATCTGCTCCCTGACCAACGGGGGCTGCTTCCGTAGCTTGTGCCTGGCCAGGAATTGGATCTCTATTCTTCTTCTTGCCACGTCCAGGGCCAGCCTTTGCCTTCCGCTTAGGTGGCGGGGCTCGCTTCTTCAGTGGTGGGAGGTGTGTGGTCAGGGCTGGGTTGGGAATTTGGACCGCCTCAACTCTGGTCGAAATAATCTCGCCATCGACTGCTTGGCCTTCAATAAGGGTGACCTCTTCTGTGTAAGGGTTTCCTGCTGCATCGGTACGGCGGACAGTAGCTCTGGTGACGGTTGGACCCTGAATTCTTTCCTCAACGGTTTTACTCGCAATGGTCACAACATTTCTTCGTCGCTTGGCGAGATGAGAAAGCTCCGAGCCCTCCACATTGCGTGGGACTTGTTTCCAAATTTTGATAGGGAATCCCTTTTGAGCAGGCTCTTCTTCTTTCTTTTCAGCTTTTTCAGGCACGTTTGCTTCCATGTCACCGTCGTCGTCATCGTTGGGTGCTGATCTCTTGTATAATTGTCCGGATCTCGCTGCGCGAAGGAGCTCCTGGCTATGGGGGGCAAGGAGATTTGAATCTTTGGGCATGCCATGGATCAATTCAACACCCCAAAAGTCGTTTGGCTGCTGTTGTTCTTGTTCGACGGGTGGCGCGACGTTGACCCATTCGTGTCGCCATTGGCGTACCGGCAGACCTAGATAAAGTTAGTCGATAATGTTTTAAAGAGAAGCTACTCGGATCTGCCCAGTACCGTCAAAATCATCATGCTCAGCATAGCCGCTTCGGTTTGCGCGTCGGGTCTATCAATTGTTAGTAGGGATTTGCGACCGTGGTCGGGCGTTACCATCGACATACTCCTGGAGCCATTGTGGTAGTGAATTCAGCGACCAGCTGACTGTTCGCAAGAAATTCGACACAAAACACTATCAATATATCGCGGTTCGATGCCGTTGCGATGCTGGCCGGTTGATTGCTGTGGGTTGCAGGATACAGCTGCGAGACACGGTTGCTAGCGTCGCGAGTGGCTGGCGTGCGCAATGCGAACCGCCATACAGACAGACCTGAAAATCTTACATAAGCATCGCATCCGGCGCAACATATCAATCATTATGAAATTGCCTGTATCTCTGTTTCCAAGGCCAAACAAATACTAAAAAAAAAGATAACGAAAATTATCCCCTGAATTTTAATCAATTGGTTAGATATCTTCATGTACCATCTTGTTCAGTGAGCTCCTTATGACCTTGTCGCACCAACACTATACAAGTACGCGGGTTATTTGAACTGGGCTGTGCAAATGTGCATAATGGATAGAGTTTTAATGTTATTATTTTTACATTTGAAGTAGGTGTAGACAACTGTAAGGATAGCATCTCCCCCAAAATCAGAGGTTCAACCCAGTCTTTAGTCTTACTTGAAGCCCAGGGACGCCACATAACTATAATACAAATCGGGAGGTGTCGCATTCGCTTTATCGTTTCGTAACTTTCTTTTCGTTGTTCTTCAACAAGTGAGTTCCGTACTGGATGACTGAGAGGTCACCAATCAGAGCGTTACTAGAATCATCTTGCTGCTTCGCCGGTGCTACCAGATTGTTTGCCCTTTGAATGAAATATTAGAATCCTAGTATTGATATTGGATGTCATGCCATTGATTAGCACGAAACCAATTCACTTACCGAGCTAGCACTCTCGACAACTAATCTGTCGATTTGGTAAAACTGGCCGATGACTGTTTGACGCTGTAGAACCAGTTAGCTTGAGGACCCCCTCCCCCCTTAATAAACACTCCGTAGCGAATCCACGGGACTTACCTTAAGAAGTTGAAGATCCTTAAGACCCTGCTGGACAAGCTCTTGTACTCTGCGCGGCTCCTGCTCCGTCATGTTCGCTCTGAAGGCGTCTCTCGTTCGGCGCTTGGCGTACTCGCGGAAGTTGTATGCGGTAAACTGGTTGCTCTGGCGGATAAGTTGGCGATACTGAGCGTAAATTTGAAGTTAGCAAACAAAAGCTGCACACTATAAATGCATTGAAGATGCCGTGGACGCCTTCGCATCCCCGGTGAGACTCCTGAGGGGCGTTGAAAAAGGCGCCGCAAATTGCTCCCGAGCGGAGTCGGATGGTTCGGAAACTAACCAGAGATCGAATCTGTTGAGGCGATTGGCCTCTTACTGTCGCGACGGCTGACATTTCTGCGATTTTGATGGGGTTTCACGAGAGGTAGTTGTGATGATGGTTGGAGGGCGCGCGTGAGTTGAAGTGCGTAGTCTTTTTTGGGCTCCGTAAATTTCGGGCTCGGTCTTAGTCGGACCGGCGGCCTTTGCCAGCCAACGCCAACCACAGACGATGACGCCAACTACATCACGACTCTTACAAAGGCGCTATAGACTGAATAAGGTAACATATTTATATAATAAGGATTGAACGCCATAATAACAATGGGGTATCATTAAGCATTATTTACAAGAGTGCTAGTGACCCGATTCTTCTGGCAGATCATCGGCTTGCTAAAGTAGCCTTTTGAAGCTCTTTTTGCTCCTTAATAATTTCCTTTAATTCTTCATTCTCCCGTTGCAGGTCAGCTAGTGCGCTGTTGTTTGACACAATTTCACCATCAGATACAGTAGAGGCAGCTTTTGCGATTGCCTCGGCTGGGAAGCCTTGACTGGCCATGAGCAAGTCAAATCTTGACGGTTCTTGGGCACTATTACCCAGCTGCTTCTGGATAGTATACTGACGTTGGTTGGGGTTGGGTTTGACAACGGTGGCAGTTTTGTGATTGCCGTCTGTCTTTAGAAGAGGTACGAATGTGAGGTTTGTGATGGAGGCGTTGAGATTTGCCAGCTCCGTAGGATGGCTGCTATCAGCCAGTGTCCAACGCAGCATTCTACCCTTGGTGTGTCCCGTAAGAAGCAGAGTGCCGTCATAGTTGACTGCTAGACAAGTGGCTGGGCCTGCCTCAGCATCTGCAACTCCAAGTGGCGAGTCCACTTGAACAACTAACGATGAAACCTCAGCACTGCGTGAACCGACGAGAGCCTTGCCGCCAAAAAGTTCCACCATGTAGAGTGATCCATCTTCACAAGAGACGTAGAGCGAGCGGCCGCAGGGGTCGAGAGTGGTGCAGAGAGGAATAGAGGCGAAGAGCAGTGTGCGAAGTACCTGACCATTTCTAAAGTTCCAGAGAATGCATGTCTTGTCCTTGCTAGACGACACACAGAGGCTTGTCTCTGGGTTTTCACCGGGGGCTGCCACGAGTGAAGTGATGGCGGATCGGTGGTTGGATAGTGTCAGATCTGGCTCAAAGCCTGGATCGGCACCCAACTCAAGGAGTCGTGCCAACGACCAGACGTTGATGTTGGAGTCTTCTGAAGCCGTCAGGACATGATTGGACGTCACAGCTAGGCAGCAAATGGCCTGCACGTGGCAAGGGGGTGTAATGATCTGCCTTCCTGTGCAAGTCTATATTGATCCAAGTCAGTAATTGATCGCAGGTCTCAGGTCGTTGTCCATCTGTCGATCCCCCGTTGAGTGAGGGAGCGCAAAGGACAATTGGGACAACGTACCTCCCATAAGATGAGTCTTCCTTCGGCAGTTCCCAGGATTAAAACATCGCCTGCCAGTGCGACGCTTCTAATTCTTTCCTGGAACGAAACAAATGTTTCTTGGTTGCCCCGCGTACGGGAATAGACGTGAACATGCGACTTTTGATCCTGCGCTGTGAAGATATGCGAATTGCTCACTGCCATGCAATTATTGGGAGTTGAACTCTTCTTGAAGGTCGACTTAATACCCCAAGATGGCGTGAGAGTGTGCGAATAGATACCAACATCTTTGGGGACAGCTGTGTTTGCGCCAATGGGTGGCCCAGAAACAGCCGAGATGATTTCTTCTGTGAGCATGATAGAGACCGCGGTGTATTCCTTTTTTTTCGTATTTTTTTCTTTGTCTCTAAACTGCCAGGCTGTAGAGCAACAAAAAAGCTAGCGGCAATAGTTAAACAGCCTGAAGATGCACTAGCAATGGTGTGGTTGGTATGCAGAAGCGAAGGAAGTCAAGAAAAAGCAAAGCGTCGAGCAGGAAAAGAAAAAAGTTTCCTCGGACGACGATGCTGAAAGATTTGGTGGAGCTGGAGCTTAGCCTGGTCCAGTAGAGAAAGCATGTTGCCGGCTTGCGTTTAGCGTACTCTACAGTGGGACGACGCTGCTAACGGGTGCTGTATTTTCAGGGGTTTCAGCGCTCTCCCAGTGGCAACGTAGGCCCTTGCTGCAACAGTCAACACCTGGTACAGCTGGCGGCGTAAACTGCAGTTGTTTCTTCTTCTGCTCGCCCCTCTCACTCTTTTGCCTTCCCCACGCTTGTCCGTCGTGGGTTGCAATGGCCCGTCGTGTCTTGTGGTCATTTCTTTTCTTTTTTTCCCGTGAAATTTGAGTTATCGCTTTTCTTCTCCCTGGCTATCATGCATCATTTCGATGGCTTGATGCAAGAAAGCGCAATAACGGCCTCATTGCATTGCGCTAGTCGATGAAGTTCTGCGGCCGAGGCATTGGCGTGAACGGGAAAGACTGGACTTCCTTCAATCATCTCAAAACAGAGTTACCGATATCGTATGGAAGATAACTAGGCTGCGTCTTAAACATTGCTTCTCATTTCCAAACAAGTCGTTGGTTTCGCGTGGTGGCAAACAGATCGAGCAGCAAGTCTCAGCCACAGCAGCGAGAGGCATTCGCCGAAGGCAGAAAAGGGAAAAAAGGAAAAACTACAGGAGACGAGCTGCAGCATGGAGCAACGGTTGTGAGTTGACAAACTTGCCGTCCCAATAAAATGGTAGGCTAGGTCGGCTCGTGTACCAAGCCGATTGTGAGGGCACAGGGGTCCCCTTGCGGGTGGCTGCTGGCGGCGTCTGCTATGTAGCTTGACGTTCTCGTCTTGCGCCATGTGCTTGGTACCACTGTACTTTATCTGAAGCGACTCGTTCTCCTTGAGCAACTCTGCAAAACCCGATAAGAAGCTCTTTGATGCTCTGTGCCGCCTTCTGGATGTATCTTACACGACTCTTCTTGGACGACCCAGCCAGCCCTGCTCTTAGGTTCGGCTACTGAACTAATTTAAGCAGGCCTTCTTTACTGGCTGCTGACACACTTTGTCAGGTTAATATTAGCCTCAGGTGCGCTATAGCCAGCGTCCAAGAGTATCGAGCGTTGCTTTTTCGTCCGAGCACCGCCGTTTTTTTGCTTCTGTGATGGCGCCCCCACTGCACGTCCGTACAGGGCCAACATGCGCTTGGCCGTCTACGCCTGCCTGGAATTGGTGGAACTCGTTCAGAATAGAAGCCAAGGCCCAACCGGAAGGGCGATCGAAATGAATACTTGAACAACACGGCGCCCGTTTGTCTGTGAATCAACGTCTGTCCCTGATTCCAGACGGCAACAGTATACATTGCCACAAACCCTCCCTGACGCCATCACTTACACGCCGCACCCCTTGTCAGTGTCTCTCAACGTCCCCATCACTTGTCTCGCATCCAAGGTATAAGCCGCCGTTGACTTTGGGCCACCCTGCAACCTGTTTTCTCGTTGTATTTTTTCTTTGTTGTCCCCCCATCCCGCGTCACTTTGACTTCGTATAATAGACGCCGACTCCAGTCTTGAAACGGCTCCAGTCCCTGTGTCGTGTCACACTTGATGCCATCACCCGCCTTTGACCCAGCCTCCAACCCCCTGGACGGCTTGAGGATTATAACAAGTCCTTTTCAATATCACGAAACAGATTCCGAATCATCTATCGACTCTCTGAGCAAAAGATCATCCCCTTCTCTTGGCAGAAGACGGTCCGTATCGCGCATGACCGGTTTGATGCCGCTTACACTCATCTCTTCGTATCCCTCATCTACAACAAGTCTCCACCTAGCCGACATGATGGAGGAGAAAGCGGATGACTGCTTCCCCGAGAGGCTGGCTCGCGATTTGGAGCTTCGTACCGACGTGTTCATGGCTCAGAAAATGACAGCGGGGGCGCCGGCTTCCGCCATCACTGCAGAGTACATGTTCCGTCAAAAGACGGCCAGAGCGCTCGCCTCTCGACCACGAGCATCATCTCCATACTACACTGCCTCAGCTAGAATACGGTCTCTAGGTGCTATCGAAGAGCGAGACCCGTCCTTGCTTATTACACAAGACCCTACTGCCATGGTTGACACTGCTTCTGAGGTGGACAGCACTGTCGGAAGTGAAGCATCAGGAGGCATGCCACCACCTTCCTTTCGCTACAGGAACCAGTCTATTGCCACAGCAGCGACTTCTTTGGACTCATCAACCTGGAAGCCATCGCCACCGAGCTCACCTGAACCGACTCCTGCCGCCATTGAGTCGAGTTGGATCAACTGTGACTCAGATGATGATGACGAACCAGAAACCATGAGGCGCCAACAAGCAACCGATCTATTCCCCGATGGTCGATCTCAAGCCTCCCTTCGATCACTCACTGTCCCTCAACAATTTAAACCCATAGTCCGAAAATCGCTTCCCATCACTGCAAGCTGTGCCGACACAGGCCGCTCTCCTTTCGTACACAAAAAGTCCCATTCCGTTAGTGGAGGCTCGCCTATGGGAATCCCCAGACGGAGTCTCTCATGCGCATCAGCGCAAGCACCTCGGGGCTCAGCAGCTCAATACCGTCGAGCTCAAACCCCTGATATCGTCAGCCCCATCGAGACACGCGCACGAGCATCATCTCCTGCTTTACGGCGCTATGAAGCTCATGAAGATGATCTGATGGATTCCGCAGCTCAGGTTTATGACCGAATGCAGTCAACAGCATACCGACCTGTACCACCCAGACCACTGGCTATTCAAACGAATGTTGCGCCTGAAGTCACCCATCTCGACGACGGATATCTTTCTGATTTGGAGGCTATGTCTACTGCTGAGCAAGGCGTCCTTCCTCTAAGTCATCAGAACCTTCATGCCCGACCATCCATTTCCCCTTCGCATGCCCCCAGTGTCCAATCCTGGTTGAACAGCAGTGTTCAAGGCTGTCCTATATCGACCAACAACGGTGATGATATGGCCAAGATTGTTCCTCTACCCCCTGATGTTGTTGAAACTCTTCGGGTCTCGACAACCTGCTTCCCTGAAACCATGCTACTTTCCTCGAGTCTTACCATCGAAACCATTCGTTCATATGCGAAAAAGGTTCGGCACCCGGTTATGAAGCCACTCGATATCACACCTCCAACTTCACCAACTTATGTCGAAAAGAAGTCTCTTTGGCGAAAGGTAGTTTCACACCGCCGTGGCGACAGCGCTAGTATTTCTAGCAAGCCTACATTGACTTCTGCAAGTATGCTTTCTGTTGAAGCTATCAAGCCTTGGGCTTCTTTGCGAAATGTATTCAACCATTGCTCCGATTACATTTGTGACGCCATGTATGCGCATATTGTGGCCTACAACTATATATCTGCTTTGGCGGCTAAACTGCCCCAAAATGACACACCATCCATTAGACGCAATGGAAGCATTTTGCGCAATGAATCACAGCAAGAAGATATACCAAAGAAGGCTGCCTCTCTTCTTGGATTAGGAGGGGGCGGTGACCAACTTCATAACAAAGTCGGTCGTCTAACTAAGAAGATTAGTTCTCAGATGACTCCGTGGATGAGAGAAGATATTTCGATTCCCTCCAACATGAATCCCAGTCAGGAGAGTTCTATTCGCAATATTCAAGCAGACTTATTCAAGTGTATTGCTCAGCTCGTTGCCACGGCAAAGCTGGCAGGTACCAGTAATGCTACAGACGATGTAATCGTTGAAGTGGCAGTTGAGGACGCAGACACATTCTTGATTCGCAGTCTTTGCGAGATTGTTCGCATGGCTGAGGATGCCAACTAGACTGCAGCATATAAGCCAAATGATGTGTTGCGGCTATGCTATTGTTTACCTGTAGATTTGCCCCGGTGGTGAATCTATTCATTGTATTTGCTTCAGTTTTTGATTTTTGTTGATACTACGGGAGCCGGCGAGCCGCTCATGGAATACCCCAATCAGTATGATGCTATTTGTTTGAACTTTTGGCTGACGCCTTTATTTATTTTATCTTTGAAAATTTCATAAGCACATATATCAAAATGATTTAATAATTATTTTACATATGAATTATTGTTTTTAATGGCCAAGTGTGATTCTTGTAGCACGTAGGATTTGAAGAACAATGGTTGCGTGATACTTCAACGACGAACAACGACGACGATCCCCGCTCTGTCCACCAAGAAACACATTACTTGGAGCCGCAAGCATCTGTTTACCAACCAACTATAGCGACAGCTCTCTCATAAACAATTATCAGGCCGCAATGGGAACCCCAGCTCTGCATCTTCCACCTGCAATCTCCGCATCTGCTATCCAGCAACTGTTGTCTGAAATTGGGCTTCCGGAGGCAGCAGCCATTGAGCCACTAAACGTGACAGCTGCCTTTCACTCCATCTACCTACTGCAATTTACAGAATCAGAATCATCTAGTAAACTGCCGTCAAGCAGCACTACCGGAAGTCATTCTAGGACATTGGTGCTAAGAGTGTCTGGGAACCACATCCCGCGCATCAAGACACTGAATGAAGTGGCCGTCCTCAAATGGATCAAGGCTAATTGCCCAACCATCCCAGTACCCGAAGTTGTTAGTTACAGCGCAGACGATTCGAATACCCTGGGGAGAGAGTTCACAATACTCGAATGTGTACCCGGAACTAGTGTCGACAAGATATACCCCGACTTGACTGAAGGAAAGAAGCTCAAGCTTGTGTCGCAACTAACCGACATCATACTTGAATTGAATAAGCACCAATGGAATCATGTCGGAGGCTTAACAATATCATCAGCGGGAGATATAGTCCCGGGACCTGCTCTGGAAGATACGTTCTGGCTTGTCCCTGATATTCAAGAGCACTGGGGGAGCACTGAGACGGTCGATACACTCAATCCGACTGGCACTTATCCTTCACACGCAGCATATGTCACTACTTACTTGAAGCTCTTTATCTACTCTATCGATCGACATCCTAGCCTATCCTTGCTGCAGCAAGATTTCAAGCCTCGGCTCCAGGCACTTGTCGCTCTCATCCCCAAAATCACAGCATTGGATAAGACAGAGTTGGTTCTGGCACACAAAGATCTCCACTTTGCAAATATTATGGCGATCTCAGATGGCACCATCACAGGAATTTTGGACTGGGAATTTGCCGGCGTGGTACCTGCGTTGCGCTGGGATCCTGTCAGGGCATTCCTTTGGAATGGACAGGATAGTCAGGTGGCAAATGATGAAAAGTATCGCCTACAGCAGATATTTGAGGATGAGCTCACGAAGAGAGGCGAAAAGCTGTGGTGGAAGGATACTGATCCGCAGGTGGACAGTATTTGGACAGTCATTCGTTATGTGCGAGCAATCGTCGAAGTTTGTCCGCGAGGACAGAAGCTTGAAGCAGCCAAGGGCTGGAGAGATGCTGCTGCAGAGGCACTGCTAGCTTTGGGTGTTTAATTATTATATATTTCTATAGATATATCTCTCATGCTTCTATAAATGGTGTGCTATTTCTTCAAGCTTGAAGCAATCAACCTGTAAATATGTGCGGTAAAAGAAGCCATAATACCAAGTTTGTTATATCTCCAGTTGGCCCAAGCCATCTCCGAAAAGAGATTCATGCCAGGGTTTGTTACCCTTCTGACAGACTCCATCCCAATCAACTGGAATCAAACTAGCCGCTCGGCTTTCAGTACTTGGATGAAAGATGGTGACTTTGTTTTCGATTCGCGATGCATGTCCATAGTCAACCAAAGTGTCGTCTACTTCCGACACGTGTGCGAGGGTCCGCTCTGAAGAATCCATTTGTAGGTTTTTAGTGACAAGAGACCGCAAGTTAGGGTAGAACCACATCTTATCCCACCAGTTCTTGAGCCTCCACGGCTTTAGGTTCATGACATATGCGTTATGGTGAATCCCAACCGGTGTGGTTCCGAAATAAAAGTCCGTGTACAGAGGGACCTCGCCCCATGACACATTATGAAGAGGATTATTTACGTCCGGTATCTGGGACAACGCAGATGGCGGTCCTCCAATTCGTGCTGACCCTGGAACACCAGCTCGCAGTGATTCTTGCAACACAGCACCTGCATCGCCCAGCTTAATAAAGGATCCATCCTCCTCCGCCGAGCACGTGGGAGGGATGGTGGCAAAACTGTAATCTAGTCCAATCCCAAAATCAAATTGTTTGCCAGTCATGGCTTCTTCTGCGACACGCTGTACCTCGGGTGCTAGTGAAGATAAATCGGTAAGCGCCGCGGTTCCATTCCATGTATATGCTAAGCCTCGTACCCAGGTACGGAACATCTCTTGTTCACCAATAACCTCTGCAAATAGAGCCTGGTCGCTCCAGAGTTGTCGGCCAGAACGCTCAATCATCTCAACTTTTTCTTTGCAACGGCGCAGGGCTTGGCGCATTGCACCCATGGTCCCCATTATCATGCCCGAGTTAACACAACGTGGGCGAATCTTTCTATACTTGCGGGCAGGGTCCCAAAGAGGAGCTGCAAGATGGTCTGTTCCAGCTCCATACATGTCGGTAGGCATAGGAGAGGCTGGCCAATAGTCGTAGTGTGGGTTAGACCCCGAATCCCAGTCGGGGGAACAATCTTTGGCACTCGTAACAATGATTGATTGCTTCTGTGGCGCTGGGACTGGTATATCTTCGAACCGTGATAAATCTAACCAGGTCTTTTGGTTTCGTTCATCGGCGTCGTGATTGAGCTTGTGAAATCGATCGAGAAGGACCTGGGGAGGAAGTTGAAACCAGATATCATATGCATCAATCATAAGGGCAATGTCGTCTTCATGCGCTCCGCCGTCATCAACGGTTCCATCTAGCAGTTCTTCAATAACAGCCAAAAGGCTTGTGAGCTTAGCGATATGGCTTCCAGCAAAATGCCAGTGCGGGCGGTTGAACTCCCCGTCCCAGTTGAGTAAGGTTGGGAGCGGATAGCCCAGAGCTACAGCAGACATAATCGTTTTGCATAGATTCAAGTGTGGTGAGTCGGCTGGCATGAAGATGCGCAGACGTCTCTTCCCAGTCGTCGTATTTGTCTGGCTCGGAACTGCTAGCCTTTCTAGGCCATCTTTTGTAACTATTCCATTCCACTCATTGCCATATGCATTGGATAGTTCGCTGTGCGTGGGGTACTGTTGCAATATACTCGGTTAATATAGACTGACGTGTATCATACGCCGTTACTTACGATGGCTAGCAGGAGCGCGAGTATAGGTACAAAGACAACAAGCCCGATGACGTATCTAGAACTGCGGATAGATTTGGGTCGATGTGGTGATGAGATCGGAGTAGGAGACGAGGGGCGGCCGCTGTTGAATGGTAGAGGTTTGTATTCGTTGCTCTGTATGAAGCCAGAAAATATTCCTGGCGCCATGGCTGTTAAGTCGATATAGAGGTATGGTATGTCATTAAATCATGTATACTGCAAGCACGCGAGCACTAATGCCATATGATCAAACTGTCGCATGCACCAGTATTTGAGTCTGAGAATAGAATAATACACAGGCGCTGTAAGTCAAAGACTTTGTCAAATATGGCCCTGTATTGAAGTTTGGAACATGCTGCAAGTATATGCACAATGCAAGACGACCAAAGGATCAAGTGTCCTCTCGTGACGACGCCATGGTCGTTCGCCAAGGCGGTAAAAATGCGCAGAGCATTTATTTTGCTCGAATCCATAGGCAATGCGCAACCCTGGCGAACCACTGAGGAAACACACTTGGGGAGAGTCAACACGCGTTGCCGGTTAATATGGACCTAATGACGTCGCGGAGATTGGTGGCCATAGATAGCACACACGTGGCTGTGTTTTATGTTTTATACGGCAAGCGCTAGGAACGGTGAACTTGGATGCAACATCAGCCCAAGTATGCTGAATGTTCAGGGTCGGTGTACTCCCAAATCATTGGGCATCTTCCAAACTGTTCGTCTAATTTGCTTCCGAATTATTAACAGTTAACGTTGTGTGAAAATGAGTCAGCGCAGCGTCGTTTCAACTGTAGTCCCGCGATCATCGCATATATTTTCAGCGATGTGGACTAGATAGACGAGACGGTACTTGCCCGTTGGTATATTAGTCTGTTGCATGTATCTCCACCCATTATCAGTATTTCCGGGACCATGTTCGCGCTGCGCCACGATTCATGTTGGTCGTTGCGGTGCTTCGCTGACGCGATGGCGGCTCGACATGGTTCATTAGTGTGTCTTCCTCTTGCCCATCCCTTTGGTTAATAACACTTTGCAGCAAACACAATCAACCTGCTGTTGTATCCAGTCCTGTCTTTTACATAACAATTCGTCGTATGCCCATTGCGAAGTACAATATTCTACGCCATATCTTGGCCGTCGCAGTGTCTTCATCCGTTAAAGCCGTCATTTTAGCCGCCAGGCTAATTAAGCTTATATCGCCCGTTGAAACAAAAAAGTTGATACAATCAACTGTATTTCTGATCGCGTGTATGACTATAGTCGTAAGATGTTTTCATCAGTCATGGCAGGGCGTGAAATGCGTGCCGCTGTTGCTGTTGCTAGTATCGGTAAGCGATGACACATTTTGCGCAAACAAAACTGAAACTGACAGTCGCCAGCATTTTTAAACACAGTACTGCCCTTCATGTTGATTGAATCGACGTATCTTATTATCACATTTCCGCGCGCGTCCGTCGCCATGTTGGGGCTGTTGCCCAATCTTACGACCAAAGTACTGCTCCCATATCTTGTGAGACCAGTTCCAAATCGGTGGAGGCCAATAATGCTGTCAGTTTGCTTTTTATTGACAACCTTCCTGGCGATTGCCAGTTCTCCTAATGTACCACCGCCGATGCGTCTTCTAGTCTGCGCGCTCGCAGCGGTTACTTCCGCGGCGACAGAAGTAGTGACGCTAAACGCTGTGCAGGAGTTCGGTCGGTCGTCGCTCCAAGGCTGGGGGGTTGGATCTGGGTTGGGATGCATTATATGCGCTGCTGCTCCGTATATATGGACCTTCAAGATGGGACACACCATACTGGAGGCGACTCAGTATGGCGTATACTTGGCGGTATTGCTGTTTGGTGCCTTCTACCTTCTCCCTAGCGCCAAGTCCTGCAAAACAAACTCCAAAAATGGCGTCTTAAAAGCTCTCAAGAATGGCAATGAGATAAATATTTCGACAACAGATCTCGCTGGATTGTTCGAAACTGGAACTCATGTCTCATTCGGGCTGCTGAAACCCTACATGACCTCTCTGTATGCAATGGCTGTGCTGCAGTCATTCGTTATACCTGGGATTTCTAGAGCCGCTTACAGACCTCCAGGGGCTGATTTCGAGACCTCACTTCTGGTAAATAAGGTTTCATTGGCCCTGGGTATTCTTTTGGGTCGTTCTTCGCTCTTATGGTTCCGGATCGGCGAACTTAAAACCCTTCTGACTGTTCAAGCAATCATCAGCTTTGTGATGATGGTGAATAGTGTTTTTCTCGTTTACAGCGGTGATAGCCTATTGACCTTGGGGCACGCCTTGCTTGGAGTTTCTTCTGGGGCAATGTATATCAACACATACGCACACGCACTAGAAAATCTTACTCGAGGTTCACCCACACAAGCAAAGACCGGGTTATCCTTTATTGCCTCTGGGGAAGTACTGGGATTATTAGTTGGTACTCTTTCGGGATGTTCCATAGAGTGGAAGCTCTGTGGAGAGCCAGGATTGGCAACTGGGCGTTGGTGCTCGCCGCCATCGTAGTAAATAGATATCAATAATGAACTGAATTGGGTCTTTTTCTGTATTTACCGAGAAATAGTTAAACTAGTCGTCATACTCGTACCGTTCTTCAGCGTATTCGTTGCCGTCCTCGTAATAGTCTCTTTCTTCAACATACTCATTTCCGCGTCGATATTCATGTGTTTCTTCGACATAGTCATGGCCGTCTTCATCTCGATACTCACGACGTTCTTCATAATCATACCGCCTGTATGAATGTCTTGATGATGATCGTGACGAGCTTGAGGAGCTGCTGCTGCTACTGCTTCTGCTTCGCCTCTCAAAAAATTCCTCAACTTCATCCTCTTTCCGGTCCACATAATTATGAACCTCGTCCTCTTTACGATCGATAAAGTTATGCACCTTGTGCGCCTCGTGACCTAGAACTTCAGCTCCGACGAAGCCTACAGCGGCACCTCCCAATGCACCTAGGGCCATGCCACCCGCACCACCGAGTCGACTGCTGCCTGATGCTCTACCTGTATCATTTGAACCTCTATTGGGCTGTTGCTGAGATCCATACTGTTGCGGCGGGTATTGTTGAGGAGGAGGGTATTGCTGTGGTGGTGGCTGGCCGCCCGGAGCTTCCCACTGGGTTCGCCCTGTTGCTTGTTCGGCATAGTACCATCTTTGGTGTCTTTGATCGTAAAGAGGGATCCAGCCTTGGGGAAGTGGTGGTGAACCGGGTGGAGGTTGGTACTGAGGAGAATAAGGCGACGGCGGTTGGGGCGGGTAGCCTACGATATGAATTAGTCCAGTACAGCGAAATGAGCCTTCTAAACGTATTAATTATACTTACCACCGCCAACACCCGCGTTGCCGTAGTTTGGGGGCATACTATACGTGGCCATGGTCACGGCGATATTTACAAAAGAATGTTTATGCAACAAGAAATGAAGAGTCTTGAGAAGGGACTTCCCCGACGGAGCCGGCCAACAGGCAATTTAAGAAGGATATGCAAGCCGCAACTGCAGACCAGGCGGCCTCAGCCGACCCCTGTCAGGCCTGTTCTGCAGGAGATCTGACTTACAGAAAAGAAATGGCGTAGACGGCAAATCGGTGCCGAACACAAAGCACGGGTCCGAATACCGCAGTGACCCTTGAAGACTGGGCAGCCAACCTATAGAAATCCGTCCTGCGGGTCGGGATTCGGGCATCCATTTAATGTAAGGCAGGCGTGACGCAAGCTTCGCCAGTCAGTTGGCCTCCCCCCCTCCCTGTTACATTGGCTGGCGCGGGGCATTGCACCAGTGTGGTGTTGTGTTAGAGGCATTCTCTGAAAAAGAGCAAGAATTTCTACGATACGAGTGGTGTTCAGTTATGATAAAATTTTGTGTACCCAAAACTGCCAGCTGGTGTTCCTGCCTTCTAAAAGAAAGCCATCTGACGCAGCTGTGACAGCTGGTGCGCTCTTTTACCAACCCCGCCAGCAGCAAGCTTCGGACTCAGCCTCGCTCGGTCCACCTTTGTCGCCCCTCGATCCACACAAGCACCGTCATCACCGTTCAGCTAAACCATCGTCTCTTGTCATCTTCAACCCACCCAAATCTGTCCTGTCCATCTACCCGATTCATCCCTTTCGATCGCAAGAATGGCATATCCTGGCCAAGGACATTATGGTGCTGCCAACCACCCTGGCGGCGCGCAGGGCTACGGCCAAGGCTATGGTCATGCCCCTCCTCCCACTGGCCCTCCTGGCTACGGCGGCGGCGGTTACGGACAACCTCAGGGCTATGGTCCTCCTCAAGGCGGACCGCCTCAAGGCTATGGAGGCCCTCCTCCTCAACAGAATTGGGGACCTCCTCAAGGCCCTCCTCAGGGCTATGGTGGCCCTCCTCCTCCCCAAGGATATGGTGGCCCTCCCCCGCCTCAAGGTGGTTGGAACCAATACCCTCCGCCTAACCAACCACCACCTCCGGGCTATAACTCCTACGGCTATCCTCAGCAGAATCAGCAACGACAGGGTTGGGGTGCACCTCCCCCTTCAGCACCTCAGTCCTTCGGTAACGGTGCGCCGCAGGGCTACACGTTTCAATACTCCAATTGCTCTGGTCGTCGCAAGGCGTTGCTGATTGGCATCAACTATTTCGGTCAGAATGGCGAGCTTCGAGGATGTATCAATGATACCAAGAATATGTCAACCTTTTTGAACGAACGATACAACTACAAGTGGGAAGATATGGTCATCTTGACTGATGATCAGCAGGATCCGCGCAAGATACCCACCAGAGAAAATATCCTCAAGGCTATGCAGTGGCTTGTAAACGGTGCTCAGCCTAACGATGCTCTTTTCTTGCACTACTCTGGTAAGCTATATCGATGATCTTTCTACGGGTCTATTTTGGTAACTAACAACATTTGAATAGGTCATGGTGGTCAGACCGAGGATCTCGACGGCGACGAAGACGACGGCTTTGATGAAACAATTTACCCCGTCGACCATGCCAGAGCCGGACAAATTGTCGATGACGAAATCCATGCCATTACAGTCCGACCTTTGCAACCGGGTGTTCGCCTGACGGCCATTTTTGATTCCTGTCACTCTGCAACAGCCATGGACTTGCCCTACGTCTACTCAACCAAGGGTGTCCTAAAGGAGCCGAACCTGGCCAAGGAGGCTGGCCAAGGTCTCCTCTCAGCTGTCGGAGCGTATGCTCGTGGCGATTTCGGCGGTCTCGCGAGCGCCGTTATGGGCTTTGCCAAGACTGCATACAAGGGTGACGACGCGTACGAAAAGACTGTCCAGACCAAGACATCGCCTGCCGATGTAATTATGTGGTCTGGCAGTAAGGACTCGCAGACTTCGTAAGTGATGCTGCATTAGGGGCGGAGCTGCCGGGAATATAGTACTAACATTACTTGACAGTGCCGATGCTACCATCAACGCCCAGGCAACTGGTGCCATGTCGTGGGCTTTCATCACAGCCTTGAAACAAAACCCTCAGCAGAGCTACGTCCAGCTCCTCAACAGCATCCGAGACGTGCTCGACACCAAATACACGCAGAAGCCACAGCTTTCATGCAGTCATCCTCTGGGTAAGATGCCTCGCAGCTATATCTTTCCGTCCATCACTAACTGGTTGCAGATACGAACCTCCTCTTCGTAATGTAACGTCGACTTGGGAATCTGGATTTTGCAACGCAATGGCGTTTGTTTATGTTGAACATGATTTAATGTGGCAGAGAAAGAATGAATGTCTTGCCTTTGAGCTAGTCAAAATAAATAAATAAAAAATAAAACTTGGTTTACAGCCAGAATTGTATGCTCTTTGTTGGATGTGCGGTGAGACGACCATGACGCAACTTATAGGCTTGGCGTGCGTCTTTGTGTAGATCTTTTTGTTCCTCGTTTTTTTTTATATTAGCAGCACCGGGCATCATATGCGGATGAGATAGCACGTGTCAGGTCCATCAGCTTATTGGAAACGAACAAACAAAACAAAATATATGTTCGGTAATGTTTTTTCTTTTCTTTGCTCTCCCAGTCGCCGTTATTTGCCGTGTGCGGAGAAGTGCCACCGTTGCATCGCTGACGCCCGATAACCTTTTTTAAGGCTTGCGAGCAATGCAGCCAGCCGCCCAAACTGGTGCGCCGATGCCCCGCTGTAAAAGCGTCCAGACAGCCCAGGTGCGGGGTACTCTGCTCATTACAGCGCTAAAAACAGAGGCGCTGCATCGCTGTAAGTTCGTCGCAGGGCAGTACAGCGGGGACAGTGGCACGACGGGAGGCAGCCCACGCTGTAATTACGGCGAGGCTATGGCAAATCGGGGAAGGGTGATTGGCAAGTCGAGTGGACATTTCATTTTATTTTGCGTCATTTCAACTTGCTGCTATGAGTGATTTTCCCTGGCGAATTACAGACGGACAAGCACTGACGTAGCCTGCCATGTACTCTCTGATGCGCTCCACACACCCACCAAATAAACACGCCTGTCACCGCTAAAGCTGTCGTCACTCTTCGCTAAGCTGCCCCCCTTTGCGATCGGTTGGCCGCTAACGCGTGCACAGCCAGGTGGCCCCCGTCATGGCGGCTGGCGCATGTTTTTTCTTTCATTCAGCTACGGAGCACGAGAGGAAAAACCTAAAAAACGACGGAAACAAAAAAAAAAACACGCAGCGAGCTCTTATATCTCCCACCAAGCCCCTCTCTTCTCTTCTCTTCCCTCCCCTACTGTGTCTATCCTCAAGTCTGCTCTTTACACACTGCATCCTCGTCGTTGTCCTTGACGCTACGCTCTATATCACAACAACAGCCAAGCCTCCCTGTGTTCACCCTTCCATCTATCACAATTCATGAAGACACGCACCGCTACCTCGGCAGATGTGCCCCGCATTGCAGCCATAATCTTGGCCGCCGTGGCCGCCGAGGAGCCTTGGAGAGCTTACATCCCAGCAGCTGCTCGCCAGAATGGCACCTACACTGCGGCCGTGGAGAGACTTGTCAAGGGATATGTAGAGGCATCTGAAAACGAATGGACTGTTGAAGTTGTCGAAACTGGCAAGTCAGATGCCCAAGGCAACCCGATAATCGCGTCCGTTGCCATCTGGGATATGCGCGCTGCGCCGCCACCAGCTAGACGTGGTAGCAGTCTCGTCAGCAACAGAAGCAGTCAAGAAGGTATTACTAGACGACCGTGCATAGTGATCTATTTACAGAAAGCTAATTTGTGTTTTGATAGTGGATGCGGCTAAAGCGGCAGCCAAAGCACCGGCTTGGTCCGACGATTGGGCAATCGACCCCGAAAACGACCGCTTACAGTCCCTGAATAACGCCTTTGCCCAGGGTAAACAGCAGTTCTTTGCAGGCGGAGGACCGCAGATCGTCCTGCGACTCTTGGCCACGGCTCCCAATTGCCAGCGCAATGGGTACGCCAAGGCCCTCTGTAAGTCTGGGCTTGAGATCGGCTGGCGGAGACAGGCCGCCGTGTGCCTACAAACTGGCGTGCGAGGATACATTGCGCTCTCGGCCATGGGATTTTCTGAAGTTGGCGCCGTGACTATTCCTGCTATACCGGGCCAAGAGGAACAGGTGCTAAAGGCGCTTAAAATGGATGTTGCCAAGGCGCAAGAGAGCCACCCCAGCTTCATGACATCCTTTTGGAACTATGTCCGCAACTAACACGCTTGCGGTACTGACCCTCGCCCGGTATTGGCATATCTGGCTGGCACACCACGGTCTTTTCGATTTATCGATTTTGTTTCGGCGTTTTATGATGTAGTTATGTGTTTATCTTATGTGTACGAGTACTACTTTTATCCTATGTACTCCATCATATTGTAATATATGGTGTATACTTTCCAGTTTTCTGGCCGGCTGTGTTACTGATAGTCTTGACGTGGAAAGGTTCTAACGTCTCGAGCACTTCTTTAGATACGAGGCTCAATTGCTGCAAGATTTCAGGAAGAGCGCAGTACAATGCGTCCAGGTCGCCGCTTTCAACCTTGACGGCGATTCCAATAGCGCCTGTCGCACCCAAGGCTTTGGTAGCTTCCGATCCACGCATGCCGATGCCATAACACGCAGCAGCGCCGATTTTACCAATTGCCTGTCCTTTGCATGCTCGCATGAATATCGAGCAAAATCTCTCTTCGCCAGCAACAAGTTCAGGATACGATGTCATGGCGTTGAAGATTCGCGCCATATCCTTGGTCCGTTGCCCAAAAGGAGCATCGTTACGATCAACGATATCAGCTGCATCAGCAAACATGGCAAACGATTTTGCCAGGCATGAGAGCGGCATAGCGGGTGTAGCCATATTACAACCGTCCACACCCCATTTGACCTGGTCTTCGTCCAACCCCGCCGCATAGGCCATGATTTCCTGGATTCTCTTTTGGATAGGATGTTGGAACTCGTGGTACTGGTCGGTACTTTCTCCAATGGCCCTTGTTGCGGCTAGCATACCACTATGCTTGCCAGAACAGTTGCTGAAGACAGCAGTTGGCGTTATACCGTCTTGCGCCCATGCCTTGTTAATCTGCGGCAAGATGGACGGGTGGCCGCCACAAGCCAAGTCGCTCTCCTGATTACCGGCCTTCTCCAAAATAGCTCGGGCCCTATCAACATGTCGTGCCTCACTGTTATGAGAGGCGCACGACAGAGCAAGGTCAGCTTCATCTAGCCCGTACTTGTCCATAGCCCCGGACTCCACGATGGCCAGTGCCTGCATAGGCTTCGCTGCTGAACGAATCAATGTCAGTCTGTCATAGTCTCCGATGCTTCGGATGAGTTTCCCAGTAGCGTCAGTAATGGCAACGTGAATCTCATGTCGGTCTTCCACAATTCCATTCCTGTTCGTTATGACATATTGAATATCCCGTGACGGTAAGAGTTTCGGGATCGGCGTTGGCGGCGCTTGAGCTGCATGAGCGTCATCATGCACTGGTCCCGGCATGGCGTCTGCGTAAGATATAAAAAGACCGCTGCGAATTCGCTTTCTTGGGGGCTCACGAAAATTCAGACTCTTGGTAAACTGTTTCAAGATGAATTTTAGGAAGTGCAGTCTAACAGTCTGACTCCATAACCCCGTGGGGGTCACCTAGGCCGAACTCGCTGTGTTGGCCCCATTAAGAAGGTCACGGCATTGTAAAGGCGGTCGGTTAGTCGGTCCGTCGGCTGGTGGCTTATATATCAAAATGAGCCGTTTGCTGTCATTTTTAGAAAGAAGAAATGGCAATAGCAGTGAAAAAAGCACATTCCAAACATGAAATTGTATTTATATGTGCGAGTTTCTATGTACAGTAGAGATACAAAGCAGCGCGGTCGCTGACGCTGCTTAATGGGTGATGCGGAGCTGAGAGAAGTGGACTTCAGAGGCCTTGGTGCCCTGGTTGTAGTTGCCGGCTTTGAAGTAGCTCTTGGGGTTGTTGAGCTTGTGTGTGCTGAACTGCTTGAAGTTGGCGCCGTTGATGCTGACGGAGAGATTGCCGTGTTCGTAGCGAATCTCGTAGGTGAACTTGGAGTTGGCACCGACCTTGCCGGCAGGCTCACGCTTCTGGGTGCAGTCGTTGGTGGCACACTCCTGTACGCCAAAGTTGAGGTCGCCGGTGTGGCTCAGGTAGAGCTCAGCAACAGGCTTGTGGGAGACGGAGTCGTCGACGTGGATCTGGCCCACGCAGATCTCGCCCTCGTTCTTGGTGACCTGAACCTCGGCAAAGAGGCGGTTGGCGCTGGCAGAGGGGCTCCAGGAGCCGTTCTCGCGAAGCTCGCTGCGGCAGTGCTTGCTGTTCTGAGTAGTGACGCACTTGCTGGACTCGGGGACCTTCATAACCATGGTGCCATCGTTGCTGTCGGTCTTGAACCACTCATCACTGTAGCCCTTGCAGCCTTTGAGCTTGTCGCCACCGACCTGCTTAGGGTGCTTGTCCTCGCCAACGGGCTCCTGCAGGGTGAACTTGGTCAGGTCGAAGTTGCCGCCAGGCGCGCACTTGGCATCAAGGGCGTAGCCCAGAGCGGCTGAAGACAGAACAATGGCGGATGAGAAACGCATGTTGATGGATGTGAGAGAGGTATGTATTGGATACAAAGGTGAAAAGTAAGGAAGGAGACGATCGTTGGTATCAATGGGGATGGGCTGTAGGACAGATGACTGAGGAGGGTGAGCTTCACAGACTTATATAGAGAGCGTACACGAACGATGGGAACCTCGACGGCCGATCAGCCGCGGACAGCCATACGAGCGAACCATACAGGGCCAAAGACAATATCGGCATTGACGCAGCCCTGGATGTAGCCGTAACAATGGGCCAGAACCATGCGCGGCTTACACCAATGACAGAGTCTGGAGCTCCCCGGCCCTCCATTATGCGCTAGTGGCTGTAAGCGCTGATGCGGCTGGCGGTGCGTGGCTCTGGGCGATCGTCAGGCTACCCCGTGGGCTGCCAGCCATGGCTTGCCGAACTATAGGTAAGCTCTACATAACGGATCGAAGTTGAATGGTGGCCATCGTTGGGCTGTCGTGATAAAAGGGCATAGTTATTCTGTATACAGTCTTTAGAACTCCCGGTTTTCAATCAACATTCGCAGACATGATTCACAAAACAAACCACATGCTCCTTTCGTATCCTACGCATTACTCGCCGTAAATGAGAGGCCACGGGGGACGATCGCGGATGGGTTGAGCTTTCAAGTTGTGGTTGGTGGGATTTGGATTCCCCGCCCCAAGTGCCGCAACGTGCATGGTGTGTTCCTTGTGCCCCTGTGCCTGGCGAGGCTTAGCGCTCTTTTAGTGCCCGAGCGGGGACCGCGCAACGTGACGCCTGCACCAACAAACAAACTTCGCTTCAGGACACAAGAAATCTGCCCCGGACAATTTGCGTTAGTGTTGCGACGGGGGCATGTTCGAATGATTGGTTGGTAATCATGTCGTCGCTGCCCAAAAATAGTCGGGCAAGAGTTGTGCCATGCCGTCCGTGATTCACAGGGGGTAAATCAGGTCTGACCAATGGAACGCGGCTTTGCAAGGTATGAATTCTAGAAGCTTTACTGGCTAAATGGAAGAAGGGTAACAATGTCCTGTCTAAATACGAGGTTTCTATGGGCTTGTTCTAGTTGAGCTTATCGAGAATGTCTTTCCAACCATCATCGCCCGACCACATCACGGCGTCAATGTCACACTTTGTCCCTTCAGCAGGCATCTTGCCGTCCACGAAATACGACTTGATGGCCTTAGCTGTACAGATGGACGCCTGGCTAAGACTCACATGCTGCAGATATACGGGTTAGCGGCGTCAAAACTTATTGGGTATGTGATATACTTACACCATAGCTCTTCTGCTCAAGTAGCACACTACCTTGGAACCGCTCCGTCATGTTGCGGGCAGACACGAGAGGCGTGACAGGGTCGTGCTCATTACCGATGATTAAGACGGGATTCTTGGGCGTGACCTTGAAGTCGCCTCTATAGATCTCCTTGGCTGACATTGGCCACTGTGCACAGCGGGCGACCATGCTATCCGCAACGTCGCCAAACAAGGCGCTTTTGTTGTGGCGAGCGTTGATTGTCGGCATGATTTCCGTTAGGTTGTTCGTGTGCCAGCGCATATCGCTGCATTTGATACCGTAGAGAGCCTCTTCATACCCTGTCATGTCCTCGCCACCAGACGCGGGCTGAACTCCTCCGAGCCCGAGGATATCACCACGTAGAAGTGCATCAATTATGATGGCAAGTCCGGGCCACTGTGACGGGTTATATAGCGAGCTGTGTAATATGCTCTTCACCAAACTGTAGGTGATTAGAACACCACCACCTGGGACTTCTGGGCTTGGAATGGCTATTGGGTGCTGCTTCATGTCATCAATGGCGCGTCTCAAGTAGCTTTCCAGCTGTTCAGAGGTTCTGTTACCAGCGATGGGACAGCTAGTCCGGTTCGTAACGCACGAAGAGCAAAAACCACGGAAGACGTCTTCAGAGTCGGTCCAAATCTCAACTTCCCTAGAAGGAAATTTTGTTAGCGATGGTATACGTATCTGAAACAACTCTCGAATCTTACTTGTTTTCGTAGTACTCTTCGGCGTTTACAACACCGTCCAGAATGACTTTGTCCATGCGGTCCGGGAACATGGCAACGGCAGTGGCTCCTAGTACGGTTCCATAAGAGACACCCCAGTATCTCAGCAAGCCATCTTCTTTGAGCGCATCGACAATTTGCATCATGTCTCGAGCAACAAATGCCGTGCCGACAAACTCTCCCGTCTTGTTTTGAGCCGCATAGCAAGAGGCATCATACAGAGTAGATTTCGCCCAGATGTCTGGTACAGCTACGTCTGACGCACGTCCGGCTTCGGTTTGGACGGCAGGAATGCGGTACAAGCTATTCTTGAAGCAAGAGTATGGGAGCGTTTTCCCGGTGCCTCTATAGATACATGGTTAATTTCGACGTACTTTACAACACTCGAGGCTATACTAACCTAGGAGCAAAGGTAATCAAGTCATGTTCACCGCCAGTAATTCTATAAACCATTAATCAATTATCATAACCAGACTGTTGCCTTTACTTGAAACTTACGCCTGTAGAATCTTTCCAAAGGGTACAAAGCTAGCTGCACCAACGGAACCGGGACCACCAAAATTGAACAGGATACTGCCTTTCTTGGCACATTTGGATGCCGGAATGCGCTGCAGATCCAACTCGATAACATCGGTAGAGTTCTTTTTGGTGTAATCAAGCGGCACAGTTAGCTTTCCGCAGTAGATTGGTACTGTTTCATTGGCAAAGTTGCATGGCGACCATTTGATATCGCCAGTGTTGACGCTGGCTATGGGAGTGGCTGTTGATGTAGCGACGCATAAAGCGCCGATGATAGAAAATTGAGGTTTCATAGTAAATATGTATTAGCGATGTCTATTGAAGAAACGTTGGACAACAGAGGGAAGTGTTTGGTGCTTTATATATTCGTCCTGTGGCACAGTACATCCCCATCGCCAACGTCATCAAATCTCGGCGTGGCTGGCATCTACAGCTGTTACACTACGTCTGTAATTCATTTCAAAGTCTAAATTACGCCCGACACCAGGCAGGCTGCGTTGCATCGCTAGCGCAATCGGAAAGGACTGTCGCTGATCCAAGGCGTGGGCTGAGGCTGTGCTTCCCGAATAGGCAATACCTGGCGCTGGGCGGAGATGGCTAAGGCTTCGCTGACGGCATCGACTACCGCGCCACCTATGAAATGTGAAGTGCAGTGAAAGACAGCCTAGGACAATGGGGGCGAAGCGTAGCCTTATGGCTGAAGACTGTGCAGCGGAGACAAAACAATAGGCGCAAGAGGGCAAAGGGCTGGTTGTTAAATGATGTCATAAATTTCCGATACTATGTACTCTATGTAGTATACAACCACTCGCTTTTGGTTCCACTCATGGAAAAGAAAATAAAAAACAGAATGCCAAACGAAGATTAAACAAAACTCCTGCTCCAAGCCATCTCCATCACTGCCACAATGGCCGTTTACTGCCATGCAGCGACATGCTGGGTAGGCAGCTGGGCCAAGACGTTGAAGCTGCCCGTACCAAGTTTGCCAAGTGCGCCCATGACCAGACGACTACTGGGAGTAGTCAAGTCGTCCCAATCACCGTCTAGAACAGCATCCTTCAGGAAGGATACTGTTGTCTCGAAACTCATCTTTGTAAAAGGGCTGACGTTGCCGCGCAGACCCATACGGCTGAAGGCAGTGAAGCTGCCGCCTCTAGTCATGTAGTCGGCAATGAGGTTAAGATGTCTCGTGTCCACGGAGATACCGTGAGACTGGAAAACGCCTCCCACTTCACTAATGATGTTGGCTCGGCATGCCTCAACACCGTAAATATCGAGCAGGGCCGCAATGTCGTTAGACTGGATGCGGTTGACATCGATGATATCACCGAATTCTTGCATGGCCTGCAGGTTGACGCCGTCAGTCTGCAAAGCACCATCTGCAAACGTGCAGGCTCCAACGCCGCGGATTTCGCGGACCAAGGTCTTGGCTACGGCATTCTTGACAATGCTCAGCATGAGAATCTTGGGGATATCGGTGCTGTACTCCAAGGTGATGTTGCACCAAGCACCCTTCTTTTCGTCGCACTCAAAGCCAGTCACCTCAGCGTGTGCTCCCATAGCACGCTCAGTGCGCAAGGAGCTCGGCTTGTCCAGGCCGTCATCTGACATGTCGTCGTCGCTGTCTGCAACACCGTTGGTCTGAGGTGCATTAGGTAATTCGTCATCGTCGGAATCGCCAACGACCGACTCTCTTTCCATAGCTGTCTGGATGTTGTTGTCCTCGTCGTCGTTGGGTCCGTAAGAGACGTCTTGGGAGCGCTTGGACTTCTGCTTGGAGTTGGTCGCATCATCATCGCCTTCGTTGTCGTCGTCATCGTCATCAGCATCACCTCCATTGTCAGCCTCAGGAGCAGCAGTCTCAACCACACCGGTCTTAGCAGCAATGTCTGGAGTGTTGAGACTAGCTTGGTTCTTCTTCTTAATCTCCGACTTGGTCAAAGACAAGATGCGGGCCACAAGCTTCTTTTCAACAGCATCCATGACGTTTGCGACACTGGCAGCGTACATCTCGGAGTATTCTCTGGACGGGAAGAACTTGAGCTTGATGAGGAAAGTCTTGGCAGGATTGTACATCTTGCCCTTACCAACCTTCTCTTCGACAGTGACACTATCAAGCAGATAAGACAGCGGGAGGGCACTGAGAGACTTGGCAAATTGCAGAGCCCGGTCTTCGGAGATAGTCTTGAGAGGGTACAGAGACATGGACGGCGTAGCAACATCGCGAGTAGCAGTCATGAGAATTTCTCTCAGTCGGGGAATACCAGCAGTAACGTTACGGGCCGAGTGACCAGCCAAATGGAAAGTGTTCAACGTCATCTGTGTAGATGGCTCACCAATGGACTGACCAGCAACAATGCCCACAGCCTCACCAGGCTCGACCAACGACCTAAGATATTTCATAGCGAAAAGCGTCTCGGCATTCTTTTTGGTCAAGACGTTCGAACCTGCCTCGTTCTTATCGCCTTTGCTCTTGATTAAACCATCGGCATTGTTCTTGATGTACTCGGACATGTTCTCGAAGAAACTTTCCGAAGTCACAAATGCGTTTGTGGTTGGGTTGTATTCGCTTGTCAGAGGAGCCTTGCCATTCTTGTCGCCAGCCTTGGCATGCTTCACAGCGCTCTTCATATATTTGGTAAAGGCATCCTTATTGGTCATCAAGCGGTCGACGGAATCTTCACCGAATTGGAGTTGAGAAACTTCGGACTGGACGTTTTGCAAAACGAAGCGGAAGTCATTGAGATACTTTTGCTTCGAGATATCCAGACCGTCTTCGCCATAGAGGAACTGAATAATTGACCCGTCAGCGTCGCGAACAGTTGTATCATAGGCAACTTGAAGTCCTTCTAGGCCCTTGATGATACAACGTTGGAGGTAACCGGAACGAGATGTTTTAACAGCAGTATCGATAAGACCTTCTCTGCCACCCATATGATGGAAATAGTACTCCTGAGGACGAATACCAGTAAGGAAACGGCTTGAGATGTAACCGTTTGCCTTGATGTTTGTCTCGAATGGCTTGTAGCATGGTAGAGATTTACCACTGACCATGAGGGGAACACGTCTTGATTCCAAGACCTGCTGTCCAAGATTGCAAGAAATAAGCGAGGCGTTGACTCTTGATCCCTTGGCACCGGATGTTGTCATTGCTTGCATTTGGTTGCGGGGAAATGGCTTTTCTAATCCGTCGGGGATACAGGCCTCTTGCACAGCCGCGGTAATATCCTTAGTGTTGGAGTTCATGAGCAAATCAAGACCTTCTTGTTTCTTATCTTCTCGGAGAACTTCTTCCAAGCGTTCCAGAAGCAGTTTGTTGCTAGGGTCAGAGTTGCCTTCCAGGGATACATAGTTTGATGCAATCTTCAAACCAGCACGATTGACCTCTTTCAGCGCATCCAGTCGGGCAGCTTCGCCTTGCTTTGTGAGTCTCAAGTCATCCATACCGCAGGAAAATGCACGCATGTTCAGATATCTAGTCAACAGACGTCCAAGACAACTGAGCAGCTTTCCCGCAACAGATGCGCCATAGATTTCGTGAACGGCGTGGACCATGCCTCCGGAACTTTGACCAATGTGCGCTTTATCGAGGATGCCAGTGATGAATTCGCCATCTTGGAATAGGACTTGACCTTCCTCTGAGTTCTTGCCCCATTGTTGGGCCTTCAATTGGGTTTTGCCTTCCATACTGAGACCGCCACAGTTTACAGGCTGAATATTCTTCAGAATGGTAGTAATGACCTGCTTACCAGTCCATCTAGCAACGGGCTTAATGAATGCAGGAGGGATAAGTTCAATTCTCTCGCCAAGAATGTGGCCGCTCTCAGGTCTTAAGGCCGCATAAACCAGCTGGTGATAGTCGCCTCTGTTGAAGAGGGTGTCACGGTTGCAAAGAGCAACTGAAACCGACAAATGGTCTTGAATGAGACCTCTGAGTGGTTTTCCTTGTGTTCCAGAAAGGTACTGGTTATCGGTATTGGCGATATTGAGCGCTTCAGCACGCGCAATCTCGTTTTGTGGGAAGTGCATGTTCATCTCATCACCATCGAAATCGGCGTTGTAGGTGTTACAGTTAGCATAGTGCATTCTCAGTGTCTTCTCGCCAGGTAGAACGCGCACGCGGTGACCCATGATGGAAGGCTTATGGAGCGTAGGTTGACGATTCATCAACACCACATCACCATTGGTCAAATGACGGTGGACCTTTTTGTTGGCTGTTTTGGGAGCGTTCGCGTTGGTGGGAGCAAGGAGCTGATTGGCGATTGATATGCGGTCGTCGACTGTCTTGTTTCTCAGGTTCACCACTTGGCCGTTTTCGTCCTCAACGGCGGCAGCACCAGGCCATTTATCAACACCATTGATAACGGCTTGTTGCATGTCTCGGAAGTTGTGACTGGTTACGGGCTCTGGATATGTGAGCTTCATGGCGAAGACTGGGGGAACACCGATTTCGTTAGTTTCGATGTAGGGGTCCGGTGAAATGACACTACGGGCAGCAAAGTTGACACGCTTGCCCATCATGTTCTTTCTGAAAAGACCTTCCTTCTTTTCAAGCTTTTGTTTGATGCCTTCTTCGTTCCTCTTGGCGGCAGCACCTTGAACAGGGTTCAAGTTTCGATCGATAAGAGAGTTGACGGCTTCCTGTACCTCAGTCCATGCAAGGTGCAACTGGTTAATGTCTCCCCGATGTTCCTGAATGGCCTTGTAGACAATGGCAATCTTGGAGCAGCTGCGCAAGATATTCTTATACAGAGAGTTCTGTTCCGCTTCTGATATTTGCGAGTCACCAGTGCGTGCCTCTGGGCGAAACTTGTTGGGGGGCACTAGGAGGGTGGTGATGAAGAACATATCGGGAGTCACCTTGGTCGATTTCTTTGTGGCCGGTTTGGCGTCGTATAAAAGGGCAAGAAGCTCTTGCTCCTTGTAGAACAACTCCGAGAGTCGCGCCTTGACCTCCATAGCGCTAATGTAACGCTGTGCAGCGACAGGCTCAAGAGCCTTGGCGATAGAGTCTTCCGTGGACGAATCTTCATCAACGTCCATTTCGTCAGCCTCAGCTGAGTCGGAGTCACCTTCCGTTTCAATCTGTTGGGCGCGTTGTTTCGAAACGCCGTTGGCCTTTGAGACTCGAGACATGGCATCCTGGCGCTTTAAGTTCTTCTGGGCCATCTTGGCCTTCTCTTTATCCGAGAGTGCCTTTTCGAAGACCTTGACACAGCGGTCCTTGCGGTATGCGGGAGAAATGCCTCCACAGGAAGCGCATTCTCTCTTTTTGGTGATTTCAGTGAGAAATTCCTTGATGACATCTCGGCGCATAGCAGATGTGCCTTCGTGTTTGCCCTTCTTCACTTCGGCTTTGGTAAGTTTGTTGTTCTTCAGGCAGTATCGAACATATTTCTCTCGTTTACGAATAATGCCGTCTGATGAGTTGTCCTCGTCCTCGGCTTCACTTTCGTAGTCGCCAAAAACAGCCTGCATATCTCCTGCCCAATCGGCCTCGCCAATAGCACCAACAATGTGAGCCTGGTGCAGAAGGCCGTGCTGAAGCAAGCGTAGCTTAGCAGTATACAGATGGAGATCTTTGGCGGATAGTCGGAATCCTTTGCAGTAAAGGCATGCGGCTCGAAGAAGACGGTACGCCTGGTCCATGAAGGTGGGATGGTAGACCGGGACGGGAAGTTTGATGTGGCCGGCATGGCCAGGGCAAGTCGACTGATTCAAATGGCAAGTGGTGCATCTTCATCTAGATGTTAGTTTCCAAGATTTTAGCATATCAATTGAAGCTGTAAACGTACGGTGCATCGCCCCAAGAGCCAAGGGCAGGGTCGTAGAGACCTCCAGGAACTGGGTTGAGAAGACTGTCGAAAGTGCTGTCATTCTCGATCAATTTCACAGACATTCCCTCGATCTCTTTTGGTGTCAAAAAGGCGAATTCGACAGAGTCGACCTCCGAGGAGACCGGCCGTGCGATATTCATGGTGGGCTTATTTTGTCATGAAAACGGGCGAGCGATGGAGCGGAAAAGCTTGCGATGCGTGCAAGTGCAAGTGGATTTGGAGGTGGTGCTTTTTTTTTGGCGGTCGCTGGTGGCAGAAACTTTTCCTGGCAGGCGGGTACCAGCTTGCAGCTCTACAGTGGCTGGTTGAGTGGGGATCCGCTGTCGAACCGCTGGGGGCGTGGCTTATAGCAGTTGCCGGTTGCGCAATCAGTAGATTAGCAGAGCTCGAGGCATTAACCGGTTCATTCGTCGATTTATTTTCTTGCATTTTCATCAACCTTTTTATTATTCTCCAAAACATGACCCAAGTCTATATCCTTGATGGAGGCCTGGGCACATCGCTCGAACAGCACTATGGCGTAACCTTTTCACAAAGCCGCCCGCTTTGGTCCGGCGATTTGGTGGTGTCGGACCCCGAGACTCTGCAGCGATGCCAGCAGGATTTTGGACAAATTCCCGTGGATATTTTGCTGACTGCTACGTATCAAACATCTTTTGAGGGATTCTCAAAGACTATGACTTCGGAATTTCCGCAAGGAATTCCTGCTGCTGCTGTGCCGCGCTTTGTGAATAGAGCGGTACAAATTGCTGAAGAAGCTGCAATTCCTTCAGTGAAAATCGCCCTCAGCGTCGGCCCTTATGGTGCTTGCATGATTCCAAGTCAAGAATATTCAGGAAAATATGATGTGGAACATGATTCAGAGGATTTACTCTTCCAATGGCATTTGCGTCGCTTCCAACTGTTTGCCGAAATTCCCGATCTGACCTCTAGGGTACGGTATCTGGCTTTAGAAACGGTTCCTCGACAAGACGAAATCGTTGCTTTAAGAAAAGCAATGGGAGAATCACAAGCGCTTCAAAAATTTCCCTTCTGGATATCCTGTTTATATCCAAATGATAACGCTCAGCTTCCGGACGGAACACCGGCGGTTGAAGTGGTAAAAAGTATGCTAGACACTGGGCATGGACCTGTGCCGTGGGGCATTGGGATCAATTGCACTAAAATAGAACGGCTTCGTCCTATCATTGATCAATATGAACTTGCCGTCGAAGAATTAATCCAGAAGGGTGAGGTTTCAACTTGGCCAGCGCTCGTTCTATACCCAGATGGCACTAACGGCGAGGTATACAACACAACCAGTCAACAGTGGGAGAAATCTTCACTTGAAAACGACCTTAATAGGAAACCTTGGGAATTACAGCTCGCAAACCTTGTTCAAGAGATCAAATCTACACAAAAATGGAGCGCAATTGTCGTGGGCGGATGTTGTATGGCAGACTTCCATGCAATCTCAAAGTTAAAGGAGTTAGTTGAGAGATAGAGCTTTTCAAAACACCACAAAATCGAGACCATTATTATAGTTTGAGAATACTTTGTGAAAGTTTCCTTTGAAGAATTTGGTTTGCTGGGCATGTAACCATCTCTTAAACAACCAATGCTGCTAGTTCTTTTAGACTTCCCACACGCCCCGCCTAGTTTTTCTTGAACCCCCACCATAGCCATAACCGCTCATCATTACAACGGACCAACATATCAGCTAAACATCCGTCTTGCTACACAAACATTGATATCAATATGTCTACGTCAAAAGTATTTATCGTTACCGGCGCAAGCAAAGGCATTGGTGCTGCTGTCACGCGCAAGCTCATCAGCGATTCGCACAAGGTGGTGCTTGCTGCTCGCTCGGCAAAGCTCCTAGAGCAGATCAAGAGCGCTAACCCGGACCAAATTGAATATGTAGCTGGTGACATGACTGATCCAGAGGTATGTACTTGTTCTTACAATGACACAAAGCCCCCTCTGACAATCCTGTCTGTCACTAGATCTCTTCCAAACTGGTGCAAGTAGCTGTGCAGAAGTTTGGCCGCCTTGACGGCATGGTGATCAACCACGGCGTCCTTGAGAATAAATTAGTCGCCGAGACGTCCTTGGAATCTATGAAACAAACATATGACGTTAACGTCTTCAGCTGTGTTGCCATGGTGCGAAGATCCAATCCATCCGAACTGGCGATGAAGGGAGCTAACTGGTCCACCTAGGCTCAAGCTGGCCTCCAGGAAATTAAGAAGACCCGGGGCTGCATCATTTGGGTCTCTTCGGGCGCTGCTCTGAAGGCCTATCAAGCATGGGGAGCCTACGGCTCATCCAAAGCGGCCATGAACGCGTTCTGTGCCCATCTTGCCTTGGAAGAACCCGACATTACCAGTGTCGCCATCGGCCCCGGCCGAGTTGACACTGACATGCAAGCACTCATTAGAACTACAGGAAAGGACACAATGCAGCCGGCAGTCTACCAGACCTTTGTGGATGGTTACGAGGCGGGTGAACTCCTTAAGCCTGAGCAGCCTGGTGGTGTCATTGCTCGCCTTGTGGCTAGTCCGCTCAAGGAGGTCTCCGGGCAGTACATCAGGTAAGAACATCTACGTCACACACTTTACAGGCGGATATTAACATATTACAGTTGGAACGCGCCAGCCCTCGCAGCTTACCAGAGCTGAGCTCGTTGATCGAAGCTGGGATTCCTATACGTATGTAACGTTAGCCAATGGTCTTGGATATAACAGTGGCGGATGAAAATTGGGAAAATGGGTAATGCGATCAGTCGAAAGATGAAAAGCTCTTATTTTAATCCACATTTGGTGCTTCGGTATTAGCATGGAATAAGATTTCATCATCATAGCATTAGATGCCCAAGAGGCAGACGGGAAAATTATGTGTATATAGAGACATGGGATATTTGTCCGACAATATTCCTTACCTTTGAATCAGTGTATTATAAGTTTGTGTGCAAGATGCTTGTCGGCAGCTCGATTCGAAGGAGATGATCCACGTTTGCATCTATTTGCTTGTTAGCGTGACTGCCTAGTAGATTGAAAATCTGTGATAGCCATGTAACAAGGAATTGTTCATTCAGTTTCGTCTATTTGGCATAAGACTATGTCGATCAGCACCGAAGGCTTGTCGGACCCTCTCAGACTGGGGCGACAACGATAACTCATCAAAGAACAATTGGTAGGTGACGGGTTTTCGGGGAGGGCAGGAATGGAATGTGGTGAATGGGCAGATAGCAACAGCAGGGAATTCTTACCAATGAAGCACGTGAATCAGCAGTAGTTGCAGCAGGATGCTGTTCCCAACAAACTGCTGATTCCAATCCACGTCACCCAAGCTACAAATGAATAGATTGTGTTGGTGGCCAGCGGACGATGTTGAAGGAAAAGGAAGAAAAAAAGCTGCGGAAATTTTTTGGTGGAAACTGTGAGCTTTGTACTGGACATGGTCCGTGCACGACGACTGGCCCCAGCAGTGATGCGAAGAGCAACGCGCCCATCCAAAGCGCCCCATAAAAACCCGCGAGCAGCCAGACACCACCAAAACTATAAGTTGGCGGTATAACATGCGCTGCACGCCCCACCACATCAGCTCTTTACAACCAGTGCCGCCGCCACGCTTTGTTACAAAAAGCGACCGCCTCCCTTCACTTATATACCGACTACACCCATGAACAGCAAGTTTTTGGGTAACAGATAATCCCTAGACTACTTTGGTCATACGAAAGATCCGCACTACTGCTATTTTATTGCATCGCATCGCTGTTTGCAAAACAACATATCCCGCTTTCATACTTGCGAAACGATCTATACAACATGTCGGACCACGAGTTTGGAGGTATGTTTAGGTTCCCCATTTTCGCAAACTAGCCAGAATACCCTGCGATAGCTGTAAACTGTGTCAGAGCAGGTAGCTAACATCATCTCCTAGGCAATGATGACCTCTCTCTGCCCAAAGGTACGCCAACCCACCCCATCTATAACTGCGCGACTGCTTTAACACCAGGGTTGCATCAATCGACCTGTTCAAAGAGACAATATCGCACTGAATTATCAAGTACTAACAAGGACTATAGCTACCGTGCAGAAGATTGTTACCGAAATCCTTCCCCCATCTGAGGGCCTTGCGTTCGCCAAAGAAGCCCGCGATCTTCTCATCGAATGCTGCGTCGAATTTATAACTCTTGTCTCTTCCGAAGCCAACGAAATTTCCGAAAAGGAGGCCAAAAAGACAATTGCATGCGATCACATTACAAAAGCGCTAGAACAACTCGGGTTTTCTGACTACGTGCCCGCAGTGCTAGAAGCTGCCGCCGAGCACAAAGAAGTGCAGAAAGTGAGTTTCGCCCATCTTTAATCTATAATTACACATACATTTTCTAACCAAAAATGCAGGGACGCGAGAAGAAAGCCGACAAGTTTGCTAACAGCGGCATGTCGATGGACGAGCTCGCACGTCTACAAGAGGAGCAGTTTGCTCAGGCAAGGCAACGACACACATAATGCACAAAAACAAAAAGGGTTCCCCGTATTCTTTGGTTCAATGGCGTATTTTGTTTTCGTTTGGATTTTGCATTTTGAAAGGCGTTTCAGGCTCAAGAACACAGGAGATGTTCGTGAAATATTCCCAGGTGTTTACTTGATTTTGAACCCCGCTTAACTTAGATATATTAAACTCGTCTTTATGCTACATGATGGCATTTCATATATTATAAAAGTATAACCATTTATACTTTAGACAAACTAAATACTTTAATATCTATTTAGCTTTTGTCTACATCGCGTGACTCTTCGTTGGTTGCCTAGTATAAAACAGCCTCATCCTGCTGACCTATGCTTATCGATAACGAAAACTTGCCTAACTCAACATCGCCGGCTGGACGTCATCGCTCAACACTTTTGTAAATTGCGACGATATTAAATTCAGCGTTCTCCGCGTCATATTACGACTGTATTATTGACTAATTTTCCCCTCTCTCTCTTCAAATTCTTTCAAAATAGGTCGACGACGTCGCGAGCGTCACCAGAACGGACCCCGCGTCCCAGGCAGACGAAATCGCAAGATGGGCCAAGAAGAGTCAACGATAATTGGGGATGATGTACCGCCAGTGCGGTTGGAGGAGCGCTCCTTGGCTGCCGTGGCAGAGTATATAAAAAGCGGCCAGGTGAAGCGGATCGTTGCCATGGTTGGCGCAGGTATTTCAACAGCGGCTGGAAGTAAGCGACACCTCGGCTTGGTTACGGTGGGATCTTAAGACTAACTGTGTTCTCTAGTCCCCGACTTTCGCTCCGCAAAAACAGGTCTTTACAGTAATCTGGCTCGACTCAACTTACCGCATGCTGAGGCCGTATTTGATATCGATTACTTCCGTAAACGCCCAGAGCCGTTCTACGTTCTTGCAAAGGAGCTTTACCCTGGCAACTTCCACCCAACAATCTCACACGTGTTTCTGGCGTTGCTTGCCAAGAAAGGATTGTTGAAGATGCTTTTTACACAAAACATTGACTGTCTGGAACGCGAGGCCGGCGTCCCAGCAGATAAAGTCATTGCAGCACATGGCAGCTTCGCGTCGCAACGGTGTATTGATTGCAAGGAAGAATATCCCGATGATGAAATGAGACGAAACGTTGAGAAGAGTGAAGTTCCGCGATGCAAGGACAGTAAATGCAATGGCTTGGTCAAGCCAGACATTGTGTTCTTTGGAGAGCCACTCCCGTCGGAATTTCGAAACAATACCTTCCACGCCTCCACCGCGGACCTCGCACTTGTTATTGGCACGAGTCTGTCCGTTCAGCCGTTTGCGAGCCTCCCAGAAATGGTCATGGAGCCTACGCCTCGGGTCCTTTTCAACATGGAAAAGGTTGGCCGGATGGGATCTCGTACCGACGACGTTCTTTCGTTAGGACCCTGTGACGATGGCATCAGAGAACTCGCCGAAGAGCTAGGCTGGGGCGATGAGTTGGACGAAATGTGGCGCAAGCGGGTGGGTGATGCTGAGGCTGATAAACAATCACGAGGGCGCAAAAAGCGAGATGACGAAGTTGAACACGAGCTGCAGAAACTCACAGACGACGTCGAAAAGTACCTCAATTTTGATCACGCTTGGGTAGGCTCGGAAACGGCTCCGGAGCCAGCGGATGCCACTGAGAAGCCGAGCACCGACATTCCAGAAAATGGCACTTCTAAGCATGAAGATAGCAATGCAGATGCAGCGGAGAAGCCACATATATCAAATGACTCCTCAAATGGGGAAGTTTCCGAAGGAGCCGATCAGAATACTTCAGAAAAGCCTGAGACGAAAACGAAGGAACTGGCGCTCTGAACGATACAATATTTGGCATTATAGAGTTGCATTTTGACGAGACATAGAACCAAGGAGTTAGATACGGAGTAGAGCATTGGGATACAAGGCGTGAAGTAGAATTATATCAAAGTTGGGATTATATAGACATTAAAACGTTGTTTTTTCCAATATGTGTACTCTAGGATCGGGTGTTGTAAATGTTGCCTGGTCTCTATTTCAGAGTTGTCTGGCTATTAGAGGCCGCTGTCGATTTGCTCTGGGATATTGGTGTTTGTCCAATCACCCCATTCACGACATGTCTGCGCAACTGTTTGAGGGATAGGTAGACGAGTAACTGCATCCTCGTTTGTCAGGAACTGAACAAATAGTCCGGCAGATACATGCCACGCAATATGGCAGTGGAATGGCCAGACACCCGGGTTCTTGCCCGCCTCAAACTGAATGACAAGGTGTCCCTTGGCAGGGACCATGACTACGTCGCGGCGCTGTGGGTTGAGTGGTCGGACAATGGTTCCGTCCCAATCACCCGTGCCAATATGCAGGACCTGCATGTTAAAGCCATGTAGATGCATAGGATGACTGCTAAATGTTAGAAAGTGTTCTTGTTAACTGGATCGTATCAGTGGTAATAACTTACTCAGCAAAGAATTTGTTCTTCACAACGACGCGAACCATATTGGCTTGTTCAAGGTTAATGACATTCCATTCTGGAGTCTGCAAGGCGGTCATGTTGTGTAATTTGCCGAGCAAGAGCGTCGGGCTATTGTAGTTGCCACGGAACGCTGATCCATTCACATGCCAGAGGTTGAAGCCGGTTTCGTTCTTGTAAAAGTCTATTTCGATGGTCTTTTCAACGTCCGGCTTCTGAGCCGGGACCAGAAGTATAGGGTTGGTGAGGTTCAAGTCGGCGTCACTGCAGGAGGCGTCATCCCATCCATTCACAGCGTGTGAAGTAGGCTGCTGAGACTCATCGGCACCGTCATAGTAGATGGCTGCAAGAGCAACGGGTTGAGTTGAATAAGCACAGGCTCGGCCACCGACATGTGTCCGCATCCAAAAGGCATCACCGTCGCCATTAGCCTCCACCACGACATCAGCGCGCTGACCGACAGCTAATGTCACAGTATCTGTTTCGTAAGGCTGCAGCATTACAAAATCATTCGCAATAACAGTCATTTTGTGACCATCGATGGAGAAACGTTGAAATGCCTCTGCGCCAGTGTTGACGAGTCGAAGGCGATGCTTCTTGCCACGTTGGAACTTGAACTTGGAAACGCCGGCGTTGTTGAAGCAGGATGTTTTGTCACTGGGAGGCAGCGTTGAGCAATCAAAGTTCATCTTGCCGTTGATTAGGTTGTTGTCAGACGGGAATTGTTTGCCATTCTTGTCCATTGTCTTCTGGACCAGGGAAAAGTAGTCTTCGTGATACCAATCTGATATCATGACAGGGCCAAGGTCGATATCATATGAGGAGAAGGATGGTCCGTAGATGACAATGGGCCCAAAGATGCCACCAGCATATTGTGCAGAGTAGTGTGAATGATACCAGGTTGTGCCGTAGAGCTGTGGTCGGAACGAATATGTAAAGGATTTGCCGGGTGCTACTGGGCATTGGGTGACTGCAGGCACGCCATCCTCCCATGGAGTGCCGCGCTGCAAGAAGCCATGCCAGTGGAGAGCTGTGCCCTCTTCTGGGCCAGTGATGTTGTTGTGCAGAGTAACTTGGATAGTATCTCCCCAATTGGCTTCAATGGCTGGACCAGGAAAGGCACCATTTACGAGCATAACTTGTTTCTGGTACCCGTCGGGTGCAATAACACCACGGCTAATGGTAAAGTCGTACGACCGGATGACACCAGTATCCGGCATCAACTCGTAGTAGTTTGTCTCAGCATCAAAGGTGCTCCAGGGGAATCCATTGGGGAGAGGGTTATTGGTTAGAAACTTGGGCAAGGTTGGGGTAGACAAGGTTCCCCATTGAGACAATCTTGATGATGAACAGGGTTAGCAGAGTCGATGTAACAGCTTCTTTTGCGACGACATACCCATTGGTTTGTACTTGAGTGGTATTCAGACCCAAGCTGGAAGCCTGGTATGCTACGCTCCTAGGAGCAAGATGAGACGAACCAGCACCCATGGTAACGGATAACTGTGTCGCTAGTTTGAGGTGGTAAGCGTGAGGACGAAGCAATTATTGTTGTTTGACACGTATTGCAAGAAGGCCGTTATATCCAGTGTCGAGGGAATTGATAAATATATACAGCCTGAGCTGGGAGCTCGTATTTCCTTCTTTTACCACAGCCTGGCATCAGGTTATCTGGATAGGGAGTTGGTCAGAAGGCTGCCCTGCCCGGTTCTGGGTGTAAGTCTCGGAGAACGAGGCGCAGAATTGTCTCCGTGATCTTGCAATCTCGGACGCTGAGGATCCAAACCCCGGGGACTCGGGTATAGAACTCTGGTCACAAATGATTCAAAATTGAAAAAAAAGGAGAAACCCTACGTCAGAAATTGACGGCTCGTGGCGAGCTCCCGAGACCCCAGTCGGCACTCGGGCGGGACTCTCTACCGATGCAACCATCATCAGAGAACCCACCCATCATACTTTTTCTCTCATAGCAATTCAAGCGACCGCCTTACTGGCAGCTCGGGCTACTGCCGATGTATCCGACGTATGCGCGGCAAGCCGGGCGTGGATGTGCTGGATGTGCTCATATCTAGACGCCATGTAACCTGGAGATGCGGGCGTGCGGAGACGACCGGGTTCGGCCGTAAGCTCCGCGCAATTGCATGCACAGAATTGTGCTTCGATTAGTTGGCATATGACGTGTACGCACCATTTTCAATGGGACGCATCTAGGCTCGTCAGTGGTGCAGCAAAAGCCTAACCAGTTACGGTGTAGCTTCGCAAGCTGCTGTTAGCCCCGAGCCCGGCCTGCAAGGGAGACGAAGCGCGACGATTACCGATACAGGGAGGGATCAGCAGCGTTCCGAACCTTCATCACAGCCATCCGAGCTGGTGTGAGTCTTGAATTAGTTCCCGCTGAGGCGTTCTAGAGCACATGGCCCGCTGGGTACGGGAGCCTCGCTCAGCCACGTCGCTGACAGTAGTTTAAAGTTGGCCGTTCGTTGCGTGTGATCCAGGACGTTGGCAGCTTAGTGATGTGCCAGAGCCTCAAGCATGCACACCTCGTACCTCCGCTTCGCTCAGGCTACGGCTCTCGGGCCTCTCGAAGTTGCGCACGACAGCCCCCATGGTTCCGAGCGTAAAGACGGCAGAGCACACATCGGACGTCTGCTGCGACCGATGCCCTGATGACTGGGTCCAACAAACAACAGGAGGCAAATTCGGAGATATCGCATATTGGTAGAAGCCCCTGTACAATGCCTTTATTGGGGTGAGCGGAAGCACCGGTCGTACGTTGCGAGAGCAAAGACGGCATCAGGGCCACGTGGACGGCCCGGAGATATATTGCAGAGAGGGCTGTCTGAATCTTGAGGGGCGAATTGGTAGTCATCACATGGTCTGAGAAGAGAAGAAGACGAGAATCCAAGGCGTTTTCGGTGTTTGAACCTCGAGTTCTTGTAATTCATTGGTTGGCGCACTAGGTTGCCCAATTGGTGTTGGTGTGGCCAAGTGAGGCGACAACCTGCAGCCACGTTCCATCAGTGGCTTGCTTTTTATATAAGGCTGATTGACGCAAAAGAAATAAGACAGCCTCATCATAAATAGTGTGTAACATCACGAAAAAATGAGATACAAAAAGATATATATAAGTATTTGTGACAAAAAGGCAAAAACATACAACAGCCGGTGTTCGCTGGTCGTCACCGACCCAACTACTAATCTGCCGATTACAGGCTTGTCTATGGGAGAGCGGACGGGATCCCGAATTTTCCTGTATCTATGGTCGTATGTACCGGGAAACGGAATATATTGATATATATCGTATACAGTAAAGGCAGCTATTTAGCTACTAATCAGCACCTAACGACGTAACAAGCGGTGAAAGCCCGGGCTTGACAATCGCCGCTAGCGACGATCACCTGTTTGGTTCACACTAGCTAGCGTTAACTGCAAGGTTCTCCCATCATCTGCCCCCTTAATCTCCTTAACGAGAGTCTTCTGCGTGCCTGCTTTGATTCCGAAGCTGCAGTCACAGAATCTCAGCTACTCGAGTGGCTCCAGGACAATAATAAGCTCCAAGGATCTCACGCACAAAGAGCTACCTGTGTTGGAGTTTGTAATAGCCCCCAAGTTCTCCACCCACCTTCGTTATCTTGCTCTGAGATCATAGAGGCGGATCGTCATCTTCCGTCTGGGTTTACTGAGTAAAATGCAAGGCAGCCTTGTACTCGACTTATATATATTGACATACCAGCCTCCAACAATTCGTCTCAACACGTCGACGGCGCATGCCACCGTAAACGCAACCTGTGATTGAACATTTTGCAATTCAGCATCCATTCGTCCAAGTCATTGCCACCATGTCCGATGCTAAAAAGACCAATGCTGTGGTCACAGCCCCAACCTGTAGCAGACACAGCACCCAAGAAGCCAAGATGGAAAATAACGACTCCTTTGAGATCTTCAAGACCCGCGAGGGCAGTGTCAATTTTCGAACAGTTGGTAAGTTTTCATAAAATAACATGTGCTTGATCACGCAACAACAAAAACGCTAATTTGCCAACCAAGGTTGGATTCATGCTTCTATCATCTTCCTCAAATTGATTTTCGCTACCGGTGTCTTGACTATTCCATCGGCCATGTTCGTCCTAGGGGCGGCCCCGGGAGCCATTAATGTCGTGGGATGGCAGCTCCTCAACACCTATTGTGCCATTGTGCAGGGCAATTTCAGAAACTCGCACGCAGGCTGCCATTCCATTGCCGACATGTCCTACGTTATGGGCGGTACCTGGCTTAAAGAGGTGACGGGAGGTATCTTCCTAGTCACATATCTTATTGTGTGCGCAACCGGTATTGTTGGCACCTCGGTGGCGCTCAATGCCTTGTCGAACCATGCTACCTGCACAAACTCGTTCATGATCGTGGCCACTATTATTATCTTCCTTATGAGCTGTGTCCGCAAGTTTGAGAAGATTGCGTGGTTGACTTGGGCAGGGTTTCTCTCCGTTTACATCGCTGTCTTTATCGTTGTGTAGGTCAACGCCAACTCGTTTCATTGCTCAATTGAGTCTTTAACTGACAGTTCCATTTTAAGCGTCAGCGTAACAACGCTGGATCGTCCTGCGGCGGCACCCCAAACTGGCGATTTCGAGCTCGGCTTCCATGTCATTGGCTACCCGACCTTTGCTGAAGGCATCACGTCTGCGGCCACCATATTTTGCGCCGGCGCTGGAACATCGGCCTTCTTGCCCGTTATTTCCGAAATGAAGCACCCAAGAAACTACAACAGGGCTGTTTACCTTTGCATGGGCGTCGTGACGGCCTCGTATCTGACCTTTTCCCTCGTGGTTTACCGGTGGTGTGGCCAGTGGGTTGCGTCTCCGTCTCTCGGCAGCGCGGGATATGTTGTCAAGAAGGTGGCATATGGTGTTGGTATAACTGGACTGATTGTGAGCGGCATGCTGTACTGCCACACGGCGGCCAAGTACCTTTTCGTGCGCGTCCTTCGAGGCTCGGACCATCTTCAAAAGAACTCGTGGACGCACTGGTGCACTTGGTTCGCCTGTACGTTTGGAACGGCTGTAGTTTCGTTTCTTATTGCGTCAGGCATCCCCATTTACAATTATTTGGTCGCCCTTGCCGGCACGCTGGGGTTTGGGCCACTTGCTCTCGGGCTGCCCGGATACCTCTGGATCCACGATCATGGATATTACCGCACCGGCAACTGGAAGCAAGTTATTATTTACTGGTTGCACTGGCTCTTGATTCTGCTCGGCGTGTTTATGACTATTGGTGGCACGTATGGCGTTGTGCAAAATATTATCGATGCCTACGCCAATGGCACAATCGGTAGAGCCTTTGACTGCGCAGACAATAGCAACTCCTCTTAATATTTGTCAAAATGACTGCTTGATATATTGGATAGTACTCACATTTAATCAATGTTGGGTATCAAGTTTCCGGCAAACAAATCCCGTGCATTAATCTTAAGTGTCATCAGGCCTCCATCATTACAGGATGTAACTGTTTGAAGTGACGTTGACTTGCTATTGATTTTGAAACCTTTAGCTTGATCATATCTTCAACTGACATCCTCAACGCCCGTCATCCAATCCCCTAACGTTTGGAACCCCGTCCGGCAAGTTCGCCACCCAAAGCTCTGGCCAATTCTCTGAAAAGTCCCATAACACTGGTGGCATCTCAGGGCGTCTGAAGCCCTGCTCCTCAGAAACTCCCTCTTCATACACTGGCCCAAGCACATCAACGGGAAACAGCCAAAAGCCAAAGGCAGGTTTTACAGCGGTCTCCAGATCTTCATCCTTGTATTTCTCGCTCTCCGCTCCGACGGGGAACTTGTAGCCAGAAGCTCGAATGCTTTCAAACATGGGATGTACGGGCTGCTCAACTCCATTCCATCTGTCTTCTTCTTTCTGCATGAACGCATTTGCTGAAGCGCAATCTAGAACATGCTCCGACTCCGGTGGTTGAAATGCTATATGCCACTTGTACTGGATTTGAGGAGCGGAGATGCCCCATGCCTTCAGCATTTGATACCAGACGAGTATCTGACTTCGATTCTCATTCATGCCGATAAAGACGTGCTTCAGGTCTTGACCAATAGTGCGTGGATCGCGGGGTAGACGCTCAAACGTTGGTACTTTGGCTTCGATGGGAAACGACCGGTTGTAGACTATTTCTGAAGTAGGTACCCCGTTATGGAAGCCTAGGATCTGGCGGCCTACTCGGATTGCCGAGTAGAAGATGACTTGGCGAAGATTCGTCATAATCTGTGTGAAAGCCACCTTAGATCCTCTATCTATATCTGATGGGTCTATAAGGCGGAAGTCATTGCCTGTCAAGTCGTTCCCCGTGATTACCAGATTGAGGAGACCAACACCGTAGGGATCGTACGTGGTCTTCAGATGGTACATAAAATTGAACAAAGTGTCCTTTACCAAGAATATCGGCGTGATGCGAAGAAAGTCAAGTTCAGGATTGAAGTAAAGGATCCCCCATTTCATGAGTCCTCCAGTGGTCCTGAGCTTACACGGAAGGCGGACGCGGTAAAACATCAAGGCTGCTTGTCTGGAGTCACTGTTAACGCGAAATAACTTGCTCATAGTTTGATGTCCATCAGCAGTCGGCCAGAAGGTTTCGCCATTCTCTGGAAATGTCGTGGTTCCTTCTACATCGTCATTCGTTTGATGTGAGTAAACCGTATCATGGAGGGTTAGGTGAATGATGCGCCGGCGATCTAGCGCATGCGTCCATATCTTTTGGCGTAGCTCTTTTGGAAGCAGAGGGAAGAGATGAAACTTGGAATCCTGATTCGGAGCTCGATCCGGCGTGAAGATCTGGAGATGAGGTGGCAAGTGAGATGCCATGCTTGGTGTTTGAGACTAGCGTCTCCACGTATCCTTTGTGGCGCCTTGTGTCGTGTTTTGCGTGGAAGAGGAAAGTCGATGTGAATGTGGGATATTTTTGATTAGCACGCAGGGCGAATTAAGTGGTTTGCAATCAGTAAGGAAATGCAAATTAGAAAGGTTCTTTGAGCAAGTATGAGCGAAGTTGAATACGTACAGGAGAGCAAGTGAGCCTGAAGCCTGGTGAGACGAGAACCACAAGGCTTAGTAGCTAATTTTAGAAGAAGCGGGTCAGTGAGTAAGTTATATAGGTTCCAATACATTTTGTACTGTACGCACAGAGTATCTGACCTGACTGTGCGTTTACTGTTCACGGTGGAGACCAACCAGTGGATTTAAGGGAACCGTTGAGAATTAATGTTAGTATTTCTTCATACTACCGTATCAGACAGGACGAATTGTAGCTGTTCCCTATATACCACTACACCATGCTATTAAAAGATTAGGTATTAAAGCTAGTTCGATATTCCACTGGGGAAATAACTACGCCTGTACTGTATCGTTACTGGTATTGCAAGCCGCTATATGCAAAAAGAAAATTTGCCTTCTGGAAGCGCTCCAATCGTTTCGGGAGTTTCCGACCAGTAGCTATGGTTACCCAATGCTTACACCAAAACAGTGTCGCCAGCCTTAACTTCACCGGTACCGCTGATCTGCATAGAAGATGGGGGCTGCATTGAACGCATGTGGATAACGGGAGGGTGCCCTGTGAGTTTCTCCAGAGCCGCCTTTGTCGATGTAATCATCTTGTTGGTCAAGTCCTGCTCGGCCGGGTTCCAAGTGCGTCCCTGAACTTTCGAACCAATATCGGCAGGGGCGGGGAGAGACATGTAGCCCTTCATGTTAGCGAGCTTAGCATCCTCAATATTCTTCTGGAAATCATCCCAATTGCTGGCAGCTTCCGAAGCCACCATGTGAAAGAGCCAGCGCGTGTTGGCATCTGACTTGGCTGATGTTGCCGTGCCCTTGATGACTATGCCAAAGCAGGTAACTAAACCGTCGGTGTAGAGGCCAATCGGAACTACTCCGTGGCTGTTGTGGGTGCCCATGGCTACTTCTACACCGAAGAAACCGGGCGGAAGGGCACGACTCTCAAGACCACGCTTCCTTCCGCCGGGACAGGTAGCTTTGACAGGATCCCAAGTAGCCTGAGTTGCTTTGATATTCTTGAATATACCTTTGCCTGCGACGAGAGGAGCTGCTGCTGGCTTGGTAGTGCCACGGTCGACGAGGTTGGTAACGTCATTTTGGACGGCAGCAGAGGTAGCAAGACCGGCGAATGCTACGGTGGCGGCAACGAAGCAATTGAGACGCATAATAGGCTAGAGACATTTGAGGACTACTCAATAGTATTGCGCTAGTTGGTTTGTGATGTCGTTTGTAAGAGATTGTAGACACTACCAGAGCCCTACTAGGATCGATATTCTTGAGGAGAAGAGTTGGTATAGAAGTTGTTTGTATTGCGGAGGAGAGAGAGAACGAGTTGGAGAGAATACTAGCCTTCTATATATACTCTAAAGACTCCCGGTGGCCTCATCAGGGAACATGGATTTGTTCCTGGGAGCCGAGCTCTTGGGGCAGTGACATTTCTTGACCAAGCCCTTGTCTCATGCTCGGTTTCGGCAGGAGAATTTAGAAACTTTATACTACCTTGAATCGAAGCCACCGCAATACGAGTCTCCGTTATATTTTCCTATTATTACTTGTTCATTAACTAGTCAAAGCCACAGTGGCGGCTTGGACGTATCTTGGTCTCATCTGAAGTGCCCGTACCTGTTCGAAATGACCCGCATTAGCGTGTGTAAGGCTGCCGACGATGCGTGGTTGGGAGTCTTTGAAACAGTCTCCAACGCTCAGATGAGACAGCAACGAAACCAGCAGCTAGATCTATAGTAGAATTAAAGTTAAGCCTTAAAGAGAGGGTGAGACGCCGTAGCATGCAGGGCGAGCGGGTAGTTTGGAGGTACTGCTACGTCTACTTTCGGCGGCGACGGATAACAGGTCCGTTCGCGCCGCCAGTCCGTGGGAGATGACATGCCACGTTTCAATGTAAATATAGGCATGCGAAGTATTTAGTTTGTTATTGAGCTGATGAGAGGCATGGAATCGGCTTATTGTTGCACTTGGCTCAGAGATTAGCAAGTCGATAATCATATATGTTTCGTTATAACGCAGTTCACGGGCGAGTGGGCTATCTCGGATCCTCTATATTTCTTAAAATTAGCAACCTGGCGTCTTAATAATAAGAGAGTGATGTATTTGTCCTATTTTGTGCGGAAACAGGATTCTATCCCAAGCAGTCTTTAGGTAGCTTCCTTGGAGCCAATCGTCATATTCCGAACCATTTTCGATATCTTCTTTAGTTTGCGCAAGTCGAAGCGCTTGCTTTGATCGCCAAGTTGAACTAACACAGCCTCGGCCGCTCCGCCATTCTCTGCATTTGACGGATCCGGCGCCATATTTGGGTCAGAATTGACCGCGTTAGCTGATAGATCTAGCGCTGTTTGGTCTGACACCTGATGTGTAACAGACTCGGATCCAGAACCAAGTTGAAGCGGAAATGTGATGCTATGACCGAATATAACTGCGCCATTTTCGGGAAGAGGAAGACGCGGGCTTCTGAGTCCACGCGTCAAACGCTTAGGATAGCTCGCAGGAAGGAGAACTTGTACACGGTCACAGTAGTTGGGGGAACTACTCTTCTTCTTGCCACGTTTAGTAGGATGAGGACCGATATTTCCTAACACTGAATCGCAATCACAGTCTTCAAAGATTCTGTCCGGGATATGCCAATACTGCTTTTTGGTCAACTCCCAAAGATCTTGTCCTTCTTCGCGCATCCCTGTAGCTTTCCTTATGTATTCCAATTCACGGGTACTTACCGCCAAAAGATGTTGATCCTTTGGAAGCCGCGCCCAATTTTCACACAGCACAGAGGTTGCTTCTGGTAGTATAAGGTCACCGAATCCTTCTCCAAAGAGTGTGATGGCTTGCAATGCGCGCGTAAGATCCACCCAGCCACTTCCCATATCACTTAGGACGGTAGCCTTGGGTTTGATCGGATCTGTTTCAGTCGCAACATCTGTGAAGTTGAATCCCTCAAGCTGTCGCCGAGGTGAACCTCGAACTCGGCCGCCAACACCATCTGTCAACATGTCATTCATTTGATGATCAAAAATCTGCCAAAGTATGTTGTAAAGGTCAGATATTTTATCTGAGAGATGCGTCCACGTGATCTTTGTTTCCGTAATGGTCTCAACAGCCCCAGAGCCCTTTCTAATATGCTTCACCGTGACTTTTTCTGGATTCTGGTATACCTTGAGAGATAGATTATGCGCGTTCGTCAGCATAGCCCATGCGGCGTCCCTACCCATAAGCGGAGCAGTTGCTTCTTGTATCTCCCAATCTTGAAATATAATTGAATGGCCGATATTTCTTCGATGCAGTATTGAAGTTCGTAGGAGATGGAGTAGAGCGCTTATACCATTAACAAGCCATGCTCTATGAGCTTGAGTGTCGTATAAGACCACATGTCTTTGTTGTATCCATTCAAGCTGCCTGTAAAAGTCGCTGTCGGCAGCTCGCTGTACCGGTCGGTCCCTTGTTCCAATAGTCCCCGACATTCCTAACGAAATAACTTTGCCTCCTGAAATAGTAATACGGTCGAAAGCAAACCCTGGACGCGGTCCGTTCAACGCTGTTGAAGCAATATTATAGAGTGCCGTCCGAGAACCAATGTATTCAGCAGCTCGCGAACACCATCCCACAATATGTCGGGCAGACTCAATTTGTCCTATTGTAGCATAGTTTCGAATATTCCACCCTTCAATGCTATCCTCAAGTTCGTAAATCCGTGGATCTGCACATGAAATTCTCTGACCATTAGGATTGGAGATGACGTGCCAGTAGACGAAGCCGTCGGTATATTTCATAGGCACAAGAACTGTGCAGAAGCCTTTCAAATATACTCTGTCTCGAAAAATGGTAATTCTCCTTGTTTCTAGAAGCGTGGCAAGCGTTTTCAAATGGACTTCCAGCCCTTTTTGATGCTCATCGTGTCGAGATAAATTTGCATCTTCATTCAATGGTGTTGCGTTTGAGGTCGGCTCACGCCTCCGGATAGGGAATCCTTGAGCGACAGATGTATTGCCAAAGAGTTGATACCAGCAACTCCCAAATTCAGATGATTTTGTTTTCTCTAAATTAGATGATATAGCAATGATGAGTCCTTGTTGTCGGGTTTCACTGCCTTTACGTTTACACATGAGAGATGGTGTTGCCGTAACAGGGAGGTCACCAGGACCACTTCGCAACGCCGTAACAAGCCAGGACAGAATCTCTCCCACCTCTATCATGGAGATTGGTGTTGCTAGATTCATGTCGACATATATAAGGTCTTCCTCAGACGTACACCAAGCAGTCAACTCTGTACCATCAAGTAAAAGTGCCTTACTCTGTGTGCCGTGCTGACATTTCACAAGATCTTTCATGAGTTCGATGATCTTCATTCCGGAGAGCGACCAGGTTCTCTCCAAGTATTCCGAGCACGGAAGAGCTTCTGCCATTCCATTTCCTGCGCCAACAATGGTAAGGGCAGATTCTAGTGCTACCTCGGCTGCAACAGAATATTCTCTAACAAAGCTAAACGGGTTCCAATTTAACTTGAATAATGCATGATAGCGGGGAGGGCCGACGCCAGAACTAATAACACGGCTGCCATATTGAGAGTACACAATGTCTCTCAATTGCCCAGAAACGCAAGTTTTATCCAGGGAACCGCAAGGACGCAATGATTGAAGCTCTTCCCTTAGCGATTGTAGTAGCCATTTATACGCCATAGAATGTGGTATGATGTCCTTGTACGTCTCCATTGCATCATGGTCAGGTTCATCATCTATATCCGGGTCGTTCTCTTCGCCCACATTCGACAGTTCCTCATTAGAAGCATCAACAATACCAGCTTGTATAGGGTTGTCCTGTTCCGGCGTATTTGTTGCTGAGAAAGATTGCCATAGAGTGAACTTTTCTTGTAGTGTCATTTTATTTGGAGAATCTTCTGGTGCAACGCTGTCATCCTCATCGTCATTTTCATGATAGTATGCACGAAAGGCATTTGTAATAATACTGAAACGAAGCGCCGATGGTCAGCAGGTTGATATACCAGTATATGATTTCGGTGATCTTACTTTCGTTTACGATGGATAAATTTCATCGCTTGCGTCGATGCAAGGGTGTCTACCTTTTTCGTCTCCGTCCCAATTCTATATGCGAACTCCTTTAGCAACTCGGGCAGCTGTCCACATATCCTTTCAACACACGCATCATCAGGAACTTGAGAGAAGATGTCGTTAAAAATATCGCTGGCCAGCTTCTGTGTATAGTATGTTGAGCTTGGTATATCGTCCGATGTATAGATTGACTGTTGATCATTGGATGCCAAATTATCCTTGCTCAAGCTTTCAATACCTAATAACTTGGCTGATTGAGGCATCGCTGAATCATTGGCTGTTGTAGTATGTGTAGTCAAAGCAGTGGACACAAAATCTGATTGACTAAAGCCAGTGATACTTTGGCCAACTAGTGATCTAGTTACTGTTGATGATGTTGTTTCGTTCATAATATGCGATTCTGTATCCAAAGACGTCCATTTTGTTGATGGTTCGTTGGCACCTTCTAAAAAGGGCGATTTAATTTCGCTGGTTGACAATGGAGCAATTTTATTCGTTGTCTGTTCAGACATTGGAATATTATTCTCGAGGATGTTTGCAACATGTTCTAAATGATTAGCCACTGCGGACGCGGTGCATCTCAACTCTTGACGATTTAGCAAAACCTTTTTGTCTAGAAATTGCAATATAGAGGACACTGCTTGGTATTCTACAGCACTGCGATGTTTGGCATGCTGAGTTAACGTTCTGTGCCACTTTGAGACAACTGGATTGACTTTTGGTTTGCTGAATTGGGTACCTGGGATGAAGAATTGTTCAAAGCCTCTTGAGTTGCGTTGCTTCTGGCGAGCTTGGCTGTAATCCTCTAAAGCCATCCAGCCGCCGTCCAAATAGGCAAAAACGTCGCTGAGGAGGCAACCAAGCGCCCATACGTCACAGCTTGTCGTCATAGAAGTAGCTAACGATATGCATTCAGGGGCTCCGTATGTTGATCCTCCCTGTTCATTACCAGCCAATTCCGTATCTATATAGGGTCTGCCATTGCGAACAAATAGGTGTTTGAGATCATATGTGTCTCCCTTCATATCTATTCGCGAGATGGCGAAACCGCTAAACTTCCATATATAGTGGCCGTGCTGCTGGAATATTAAGATTTCGCTGGGGTGAAAGTCGATTTGATAGCACACTAGCTTCTCCTGAGTTCGTGTTTTGAAGCCAGTGTGAAGAAAGTTTAACCCCCTTGCGAGACCTGTAGCACAGCGGATGATTTGTAGTTTTGAATCAAGTTCTTGCGGTGCTCTGGGCTGTTTGCTTCTCATATACTCGTCAAGATGATAGAGGGCAAAGGGCATAAATAAGCTGTATTTATGTCCAATTTGTAGACAGCCGACGATATGAACAACATTTTCGTGCTTGGTGCTGGAGTTGAGGATTGCCTTCATAATTTGGTACTTGGATATTCCTCCATCCGAACCAGGTCGAAGATGGTACTCTTTTCGAGCCATTTCCAGTTCTTCACTATTCGCCGAATTTGTCTCGGGATCTAAAAACTGATTCTTGGCTATTCTGACACGAAACACTTTAGCAAAGGGCCCCTCCCCTGCAAGTTCCTCTGATGTGTATGGCAAGCGATAGTGGAGGTCGTCTGTAACGACAACCTCCTGTCCCTGTATAAGAAGTACCGGACAAAAACATGCTTGATAGTTAAAGAATCGATATGAATCATGTGGATGCTGGAAGAGCTGCTCGGAGTCTTCATGGGATAAAGGAAGCTGATTGAGGCGTAACACTCGATCAGTAACAGACACAGGGGCTATCAGGAGCCGAAACACTGCCCTTGCAGCATCTATACTGCAACTCGCAAAGACAAGAACCCCAATCAAGTCGAAAAGTTTCCGTTTCTCCACGCGTTGTATAAAGGTTTCGACATCGTCACCTGAAAGGACAAGACGATCGATCGCATCAGCATCAGCATCAGCATCCTTGGAGAGAACTTTGAGGATATGTCTCAGTAGCGCATAGTTATTTCTCTGAAATATGATTCGAAGCGTTCCACGTGGGGCAAATCGGCGTGCAATATCGTGTTCACTTTTTAATTCATAACATATGGTCCTGTAAATGTCTTGACACACGGACGAGTAGCTGTCGATCTCCATTTGTACAAGGCTACGAGAAAGAATTGCAATGAAACCGTCGACTTATACCTGGCGTAGAAAAGCAGATATTTCTCTTAAAGAACAGAGATTGTAGAGAACTCAAAGAGGGGGCTACCTTGTCACCAGTCAGCTGTGAGGCGGTGTTCTATGCACGTGCATATAGATGCCTAGCGGCTGAAACCAATGTGCGCCAGCAGTCCGGACTGCCGCAATAACCAGCAATGGTACAAGTCGCAACAAGAGGTAGTTGGTTGACCTGAGCTACTGGACGAGAGCTAAAGTTCAATTGGTTCACTAGAATAATACTTTGTTGGAGCGATTTCCCACGATTTTACATTACAAAACTTCCCACGGGACCATTTAAAGACAGCCTAGCATCTAGATTAATAAGAAAGGGGTCATGTGAATAGAAAAGCTAACAACGAGACAGCGCAGCCGCTCGACCAAACAAATCAAATCAGGGGTTCAGATTTGAGTGTTTGACTCCACGATCATGACATATTTGACTGTTTGATAGTATTTGATAGTATTTGACATGTTTGATAGATTTGATTGACTAAATTACATAGTGTCTGGTATTGACTCTACAAAATTGAAGTCTCCAATAGATACTGCACCTCTCCGCATCCAATTCTTCAAGCACTGAACCTTTTCCAAGGTTGATGACGACATCGAAAGTCTTTGTGATGTTAATGTCAGCTTAGCCAAGCTGAATGCTCTTTCACAATCTGCAGCCATGGCTGGAATTGCAAATATATCCAAAGCAAGCTTGCTAAGAGTTGGAAATGATGCTTGATGTGATATCCACCATTGAACAGGATCATCTACTCGTTGAGGTAGATCGAGCCTGAAATATCGATCAAGCTCTGAGCTATCATCTGAAAGCCTTATTGTTCTACTATTCAACCATT